GTGACAGCACCCTGAGCGGGCCAGCCAACGGCAGGTCGGCGCTTGAAGATGACATCGGGGGCCTCGCTGGGCAGGTTCGCATACTCGAGCACACGCTCAACAGAGACAATGTTGGTCTCAACTTCGACCGTCTGGCGAACGATCCAGTTGAGAGACTGAGTGATCTGGAGAGCGTAGGACATAGCCAGACCAACGATACCGGGTGAGAGAAGGCTTCCAGTTGCGACAGAGATAATGGCAAGGCCAGCGGAGGCCAGAATGATGATCGAACCAATAAACTCGAGGCGAACTGCCAACCATCGGTTGGCACTGATGGATGGGAAATAAGCCCGGAGGTTGGCATCCATGCGCCACTCGTTCTCGAGAGCAAACCGGTTCTCCTGGCGGTAGGCACGGATAGTTGAGATACCACCGAGGGACTCCTGGAAGTGAGCATAGATCGGACTGCGAGTGACACTATCCAGACGCTTCAGCTCACGGGAGGTCCGGAGGTAGTACTTCTGGTAGCTGAGATAGACCCAGGCCAAAGGAATAATAAACAGCAAGAAAGCCGGGGTGGCGGATGAGATGACAATCATGGTGAAGACAGCACGAGCAGAGTTGGCGAAGAGCATGTTGAAGGTTCGGGCAAGGACCTCATCGACACGGTACACATCGCTAGAGAATCTGTTCAAGATACGGCCAGAAGGAGTAGTCTCGAAGAAGTTCATGGGCGAGCGGAAGATGGCAAATGCCATGCGCTCGTGAAGTTTGCGAGAAGCTTCGATAGAGCAGAAAATCCACAGAATCAGGTTCTGCATGATGACCAAAAGTGAGGAGCCCAGGCCGAAAGCCAAGTAAATGCCAATGAACTTGCCAACGCTCTCATTGCGACCATGAGACTCGTTGTAGTCGGTCCAGTTCTTAAGCCAGTAGTTCGCAAGTACCTGGGCAGTCTGAGCCGCCAAGAGCGCGAAGAGGTAGAAAGACACTGCAACAATATTGCTGTTCTTTGCGTACTCGCCATAGACACTCCACTTGACCTTACCTTGCTGTGCGATCTCCTGGGTCTGCTTGCTCTTGAGTACGTTTTCCTCGTCTCCAAGCTTGCGGCGCGGGCCTTGCCAAGTCGCCGTGCTAGCTCGGCGGAGGGTAACGGTGCTTGTCCTTCTGCGGGTATCGCCGTGACTCTTAATGGGAACAAGAGAGCCAGGCTCCTCCAAATCTTCGCTATCCGAACCTTCGCCAGTCTCAATCACGGCCGTGTCTTCCGAGGGGTTGGGGCTAGCAAGACTATCATCTGAGACGCTGGCAGAACGCTCATCGTCTGATTCAGCTAGGTTTGTGCGGACAAGGTTTGAAATTTCGCCCTTCATGGCCATCAGCTGCTCGTAAGTGCCCTTTTCGATAATGGTCTTGTCACGGAGAAGGCCAATGAAATCGGCCTCCTTGAGGACAGTGATCGCGTTGGTGGCCAGAATCCTGGTCTTGCCGCTGAGGATACCGGAGCTACCAAGGACCTTGTTAATGATGTGACGCCCGACGTGCTGATCCACTGCGGAGAGAACATCATCAAGAAGGTAGATATCCGCACGAGCATAGACCGCACGGGCGAGTGTCAATCGTGCCTTTTGACCGCCAGAGAGCGAGATTCCACGCTCTCCAACTTCGGTCTGGTCACCATCGGGCATGATCTTGAAATCATCGAGCAAAGCGCAAGCCTCCACGGTCAGATCATAGAAGGCAGGATCCCATCGATGTCCGAACACAATGTTCTCTCGAACACTGGCATTCATGACCCAAGGGGTTTGTGCGACATATGCGATGCGACCACGAACGACGACTTCACCTTGGTTCTTCCATAGTTCACCAAGGATGGACTGAAGCAGGGAAGACTTGCCAGCGCCAACACGTCCAACAATACAGCTGAGCTCACCCTTGCGGGCACTCAGGTCGATGTTCTCGAGCACAGGAATACCAGAGTGGCGATCCCAGGTGAACGTAGCGTCACGAATACGGACGGACTCGTCGCCTGCATGCTCCACAGAATCCTGGTAAATAACACTATCGGTCTGGAGTTCCTCCGCGGTAAAGTACTCTACAAGACGCTTCACAGCCACGGTAGACTCAATGACGGAGGTAATAACCATCGGCAAGATAGAAAGCGGGAACGTGAGGAGATTGAAGAGGGTTAGTGCAGGGAAGACGATATCGGTAGTCAGGGGCTTATCGCTCGTCAAGACGAACACAGTGAAGGTGGAGCAGGAGACGAGGAAAGGAGTTGACTGCCAGGTGAAATTGGCGATAGACTGCGTAGCTCCAATCTTACGGAGGGTGTTTAGCTCGAGGTCATTTCGAATATGGCTGAGCTTGTTCATGAATGCTGTGTTCCAAGCATAGAGCTTAATGCTCTTCATGTTGTTCAAAATCTCAGTCATCAGTCGGGTTCGGGAGTCCTTGTTCTTCATCTGGATGATCTGCAGTTTCTTCATCATCCGTGCAATGACACCATTGAGCGGAATCATCAGAATCATGACACCAACACCCGCGAACATGCTAGGTCCCACAAGCTGGTAGAGAGAAAGCATGCACAGCGTAATCTGGAACGGAGCCGATAGCAGCTGGGTACCGAACTGGGTCAGGTCAGAAAGACGCTGCTGGTCGACAGCCATGTGGTTGACAATATCACCAGTGGTCTTGCTCGCACGACCCTCACTTGAAAGACGCAAGGCCTTGGCATAGATGAGGGCAGTCAGAGATGACTTGACCCGCATACCAGTATCGAAGGCTCGCTGGAAGTACTGGTGAAGACAGCTGGTCTGGCAGACCGAGACCACGAACATTGCCAGGGCGATGGCCACACCGCGGATCACTGGCTGGGGGTCCGGGCTTCGGTAGGAGTCGATGAAAGCGATCAAGTATCGCAGCAGTTGGGGCTGAACAAAAGCGAGCATGTCACTACCCGATTTGATAATTGCGCCACGCATGTAGGGACCACCGAATGCCTTGAAAAGAGCCAACCAAAGAGATGGGCTCTTCTTCTCGAGCTCCTCCTCCCACGCAGTATTCAAATCATCCAGAGTTGCTCGAGTAGTGTCGCGGCGACGGAGGTTCCACAGATCATCCTGAGTCAAATAATTCTTGTAGCCAAATTTCATCATCGGCGTCATCCATCCGAATGTAAGGACCGAGAAGATGTCGGCATAGTTGTAAGGGCATTCATCTTCGTCGCCGAGCGCATCATAGGCACTTTGCTTCTTAGGAACAAAGTATTCCAGGATAAATTCTAGCAAGGAAAGGCCCAGGCCGACGTTGACGCAGACAAAGTTTGGAAGGTGTTGGAGGTAAGTCTTCTGAGCGACGAGCGACTGCAGCTTGACGGCATAGGCAATGATAAAGAAGAGCCAGTAGAACAGGACGACCCCATTTGGCTGCCGACTCCGCCAATGCTCGTAGTACTGCACAGCAAAGATCACACCGAGCGAGCCGAGCGTCAAGAGGGAGGACCAGAATCGGAAATCGGCAAAGAAGTTCTTGGGTTGAGTTTCGGCATGCAAGGCGGCTTGAAGGGCAGTAACGAAGATGAGAGCAGCGAGAACAGCCTATAGTAGGTCGAATTAAACATGATTAGAATCGCGAGGAATGCGGAAGTTCGGGAAAAACGGGACCGACGGACCAGCTTAGCATAAAAGTGCCAATTCTTGGAGACGGGTTGCGGGACACGCTTCTTCAGTAACATCCAAAGCGCAGCGAGACCAGCCAACGAACCCCACACGGCGACGACGGCGACAACTACATCCACAAAGCACGAAGTCAGGTAGAAGCCTTTCAAGCTGAGCGGACCCCAGCCCTCCGGATCGCCGCAGAAGGCCTCTCGCTGGTGGTGGTCGAAAGCGGAGGCGAGTCGCGACGGCGAGAGGTTTCCCGAAGGTGAGTCCCCTAGCACCATCTGCGTATGACCATCCAACATGGTGGTGACAAGCGACAGCGCGCCCAGGATCTCCTTCCGTGAGCACAGGCGAGAATGGTGAAAAAGGCAAAAGGAAGGATTCTCGGGGAATCTAGAGAGCTTCCAAGTTCAGAGAGGCTGCTTACTAAAAGACCGAGCAGAACGGGGGGCTCGGGCGGTCGGGGATGCTTACCCAAGTGGAACCAATGACGATCCACTTGATGACGTCCGCGATGACTCCCCAAGGGGGCCTCCAATTTGGGGGGGTTGATAATTGCGTGCAACCAGATTCGAGGAGATAATCTCCCGGCAGCAGTCGGTCTTTAATTGACCAGACTGGGACTATCCGAATATCGACTGATTCAAGTCGAGACCATTTACTACGGGGATATCACGTGAGCGGGACCAAGCGCTCGGCGATAAGCCTTCTTTAAGCCCGATTAGGAATCGCTTCAGGAACCACATGGAAGAATTATTTTTACGAGAGTCGGGGTTAGTTATGGTACAATTTGGATCATCTATGGTTCGAAGGGCTCGCTTGTTCATTGGCTCTCCATCGTGTCATCTGTGGCTTAAATTAAGCTACTCCCCTGGCTCTCGGGACCGTTGTAACACTCCAGAGCCATCGGGTCGGTTCCCGACATATTATCTAGATGTCTTTTAAACCTATGGGCATATCGGTCATGCTTGTCTACGGTAGTTATCTAGTGTACTATAATAAAACGAAGTAGTATAATCAGATAATTAGATAGAAACTAATAGCTGATTATGGTATCTTCAACGTACCTACCTAGGATGCTCTAGAGACCTCTAAGAGAAACCCTTACCTAGCTATCCCAAGCTTATAATTATAGCCGGATTCAGGCTTAGAGTAAGTATACCCTATTATAGTAGGTACTCGCTCATTGCTCACTTATTCCTTACTTATTGCTCACTATCTTATCAGATTATCGTCACTGAAGCGTCACCTATTATCATAAAGTAACCTCACCTTCCTCTACCTCAATGATATATATGTTGGCTTTATCCGAATATACTGCCCGTTGTCCTTTGCTATCTTAATACCACCAAAATGCCGATGCAAAATCGCAGCTACGAGCTTGTTCTGGGTAGTAGCTTCCTTAAAGATCTTCCCCCTTCGATCAAACGATTTCCATATCACGGGGTGTCAGATTTCTTCGATATCTTGGAATCCGAATCCGCTCGTTTCGAAGTCTCCCCCCACGCAAGCGAATCTCTCCTCTTTCATGCCAGCAAAGAGACCATCGACACCCTTTTCGATCTTGAAAACGAAGACACCCCTCCCATCGCGAAATATCTCACTTCATTTGACACCAACGAACAACTCTTCTTGGACAGGATGCCGTCAGCTCCACACGGTGGGGCGCCCTTCGCTATGCACGGTGTGATCATGGAGGCTATACGATCGATGGGGCTGCTCCCTTCCTTCAGTGTATAAGGGAATGCAGATGTCAGAGCAGAGTCCCGAGGAAAACAGCCAGACTGCGGTTGGGTACCAAGCAAAACCACTCGTGGGGTACCTCGCTCGCCCTCCGTTACTCTCGAAGTAGCGTTCTCGGAAAATGACTTCAAGCTAAACTCCGATGTGCGCTTCTGGCTCAATCCTGACGAGGGAAAAGCAAACGTATGCTTAACACTTCAGATCGGTCGATCACAGCCAGAAATTCGGATTGAGAAGTGGGAGAATCAGAACGACCGCATCCACCGCTCTCAAGTGATCTGGATTACCAAGCGAGGAAACCAGATCAACGTTAGTCACCATCCTCTTGTCATCTCGTTTGATAGTCTGTTCTGTCGCCCATCATCCTGTCCACGGGAGAAAGATGTGGAACTCTCACAGCAACAGCTGAAGGAGGTCGCGGAGATGATTTGGGAACACCAATCTTGGTGATCTATCCTTGTACGGACCAAATGGATTGCTATTACCTGAATTGCCTCATTGTCAGAATTTTCTCTCAAGATAACACCGACTAGGCCATGACTAACCATTCGCCTATCGGAAATTCCTCCAATACAGCTTTCATACAAGACGCAGCCGTCGCAGCAGCATAGTGTTGCCAGTCTTTATTCTTATGGCTGTCGGCATAATCGCACACGCCTTTGATGACAAGGCACGGCAAAAGTTCCCAAACCCCAGAAGCCTCCATCTCAAAAGCGATGAGGTTATGCTGGATCGCAGTTTCATCACGATGTTGCCCGGATTTCATGACCGTATCTCCAGAGCCAACGAGTCCGAAGTGGATTATAGGTCTTGGGGGGCAACTTTTCGCAGAGGCGTCCTGCAGTCGCTTGCGCGGGACCAAAGACCCCTTCTGACATCCAAGCCGTTGACAAGTCAGTAATCGTGCTTCTTCGCATACTGGATCTGTCCCGCCTTGACAAGAACTACATAAGTGGCAGGCTGCTGGATCCTGATGCTTGTGTCGATAGGCGGATTGAAACAACTCGTCTTTGCCCATGCCTGGGTAACCAGCTCTCTGGGAACCAAGCTTATCCTGCAAGACGCTGAGATGCCTAGATAGCCTCGTCTCAATGCGTTCTCGCCCTCGTACTCCCTTCAATTTAGCCAACAAACCTCGAAGCTTGGGGCCAGCCACCTCCGGTCTGGCTTTGCTTAGAAAGGTATCCGGGAATCGCCTTCCAAAGTCATATTGTACAATTCCATCACTGATCACAACGTCGCCGAGGATAAGATCGTCCTTTCCGGCCGAATATGATGGAACCCCCGCGCAGACTCCAATCACAAGCGCAAGCTTGATCTCTGGATAGCTGGCTCGTATACTCGAAGCCGCTTGAGTTGCGGCACCCTTTCCCATACCAGCCATATGGACGAGAACGACGTTATGGTGCAAGATTCTGCCTAGGGTGTACGTATTGTCGTCTCCGACTGCTTTGCGGAAGTTCTCGATTTCTTCGTTCAATATTTCATCGAACAACTCGCTGACGGCGTCTGCTTCCAAGGGTAACGCACAGAAAATGGCGATGGTGAATTGGGATCGATTGGCCGGTCTGGTATGTTGGGCCTGAGATGGAGAGATTAGAACTTCTGGCTTGGGAAGCTCCTGAATCTCCCAGTCGTCTCTATATGCGTGATAGAGATCCTGAAGAGGCAGCACAACTTTCTCGTAGAGACGTGACTGTCTTATTTCAAGATCTTCGTCGAGTCTTGACGGGTCAGTAGGACCATCTCTGAATAGTTCGGCATCAAGACAGTTGTTTACCACCGCCTCATAAGCAGCTCCAATCATATTTCCTAAATTACTGCCATTCGCCGTGGTCCATGCCCACTCGTAATAATCATTGATCGTGGTTTCATCCCAGGGGTAATGAGAGCTCTCAGGTCTGAATGGTTGCTTGGTTGCAATTTCAATAAGGATAACCCCCAACGCGAGAATACTGGGATACATATGAAAGAGGTCGTCTGCGATGCAGTAGTCCAATACTTGGCCTTTGAATTTGCGAAGCTTCGTGGTGAAATAGGGATGTGGTCGGATGTGGTTTCGATCACTGACTTTTTCCTTCATCATTTGGATATTGTCGTGCGTCCATGGACTGGCCATCCAGTAAGAATTGTAGTACTGCCACACTGATCTCGCAATTGTATATGCGAGCGTAATCTTGACCCTGTTGGACAGGTGCACTGTCTGTTCCAGCCATTCTGCTAGAGGCACACTCGCCAAGGGGAGAAAGCTTCGCCAAGGGTTATCTTGAACAGTGTCGGCGAGCTTCAATACGTTGTCATCAACATGCAAGTGAATTGGTGTAGTCTTTTCATTTCTGATCAACCTGCAAAACTCTCCGAGTCCGAGTCTTTGGAGGCCAGTTGGGAATGGCAACTTGCTTTGGGCGCTAGGCGACACTCTCGAGGCCTGGAATGAAAATGAAACTTGCTTCTTCCGTGGTGTTTTGTTTCGTCTTTCAGCACATGGGAAGCTGAAAGTTAGCTATTTGAAGGTTCACCTTTCTCTGGCGTGTTTTCAGACTGTCCATACCTAGCAACCGATACATTCACCTCTTTCCACCGGAGTTGAGGATTGATTGTATGAGGTGACGTAGAGTCTGCCGCAAACAATACATCGAATGGAATATTTGCATCATCTTGCTTATCGTGGCCAGGATCCAGTCGTAGCCGTGGGCATTCAAGGTGTTGAGTGCCACACGAGCAGGATGAGTGAATTCGAAGTTGGGTATAGAGAGTATTGTTTATTTGCGTGGGATACTTGGTGTCATTACTATGCAGACGTAGATGCTCATCAGGAAGTCCATCTGAAGAGTCCGTTACGTGTAGGCAATCCATGATGAACCGTAGGAGAGAAGGATACTCGGGGTTTTCCTTGACGAACTGCAGCAGGCTGCGTCGGACATCGCGAATGAGTGTTTTCTCAACAGGCGTGTTTGAATCCTTGCACTCTAGTATCCTCCAAAGCGCATTAAACAGCTCATTCTCTCCGACATGCTTGGTTCTCGGGACCTATTGACCGGTGTTGCCAGTGGTAAGTTTGGGTTACATCTCCATAGCGGATGAATACTCACTTACAGAACAAGCTTTGTTAACGAGCACTGCAACCTTGACTAGCTTGGAACCTTTTCCTTTATGGCGTGAGAAGGGGATTTGTTGAGTCAAGATGAAGAGTTCCCCGCCCAGCTGAGCGAACCTGTTATCCTGCGTTTCCAGGCCGAGACATGTTGCTTGGTTGCTGATCCAAGGAAAGACACCCCGACACAGATCATGGATATCATCCATTCTGGCGAATACTGCCCACGCTTACCCCCTGAGGGAAATCAGCAGTTTCTATGAAGAAGGGGAAGGAAGCTGAAAGCGACAGCGACGCTTGTCCAATCACGTGTGGAAAGATCTCAGGTCAGCCTCTTTAGGCGCTGCGGGGTACCTGCCACCAAGCTGTAGATAAGCAGGCGCATTCTTCTTGCTGGGGCAATGCGGATGGCAGTGAGCGATTTCCAAAATTCTACACCGAATCCTTCGTTTATCCACGGTGGGTGCATTGCCGTGAGGAGCAACGCCCACCATGGCGGAAGCTTCTACGATCTTTGAAGCCGCCACTGCATGTCATCACATCTTGAGGACGGCTATAACAGTCCCACGGCTAATGCAACAAGAATGGGCTGAGAATAGACTCGCAGACTTCAATCTGTGGGCCATGGGCGCTGGCGCCTCAAGCACGGGAAAAGCCTCACTGGATCATCGGCTACGTGCTAACCCGGAAGCACATACCATCTTGCTGAACCTCTTGTTGATGTTGCAGATTCTGTTGCAAAAATGCATAGACGGATGTATGAAATTCTATCAACACCGCAGATAACTGTATCTGATGCTGTATCTTAGGTCTCGAGATTGAAGAGACTGTTGCAGAGCTATCCGGCCAGGAATCGGCCAAAATGAAGGATGTTGAAGACAGTCTGAACCAACTCACAAGGCTGACAGTTGCCATCCGAAAAGCCGGAACCAGGTCCCGACTTCAAAAAGCAGACAGTTTGTTTGATCCCGACGGTCCACAGATTCGTTCCCTGCGCCGACACCTTGAGTTTCTCATCCTGGTGCGACCTGACGAGCATGGAGGCTCCTCTTTCAGCGAAAACCAACTTGACTCGTCGAGATTGAGCCCAATTCAATTACGGCTCATCCATGCGAACTTGAAGCGACGCAATCGCTTCATATACGCTCAACAACACGCTCAGAAACTAGAGAACAATTCGGGACACCCAAAAAACACGCCAAGGGGAAAATTCGGGTTGGTAAAGCACTCAAGGCATTTCGATCTTGCTCAAACGGCCTCCCTTATGGACGAGGAGAATACTCTTGCTAAGGATGACCCGCAAGCTCAGAGTACAACAACTGCCACGGTGGTGGATGAGAAAATTGAGATCCCGTCTGCACAGGTAATGAGGTCTGCAACAACAGTCGTGTCAGTTACAAGCTCTCGAATCACATACCCAAAGTGCCCACCTCTTCATGATAATCACATGGTTTTCACATGTCCTTGTTGCTGCCAGTCCCTTCCAGTTTCAATTGGGCGCGGGAGTCACTGGAAGTAAGTATGTACCGCCGAATATAAATGCTCAAGCTCATTGTGATGCCTCTCCGAACAGGAAACATCTGATGGGAGATGTCCTACCATATACATGTATTGTTGAGGACTGTCCCCAGGCAGACATGTTTTATACGACTAAAGAGACCTGGCTGAGCCATATGGGCGAAGAACATGGAGACACGGTCCAATGGGTATGCCATGCGTGCTCCCAAAAAAACATCTATGCCACCTTCAGAGACCCAGCCGATTTTACTGCGCATCTTGAGCAGCAGCATAGCAAAGGAATTAAGCCAAGTCAGATACCTATGTTGCTTTCGTCATGGCGGCGTAAAGTTCCTTTCGAAATATCCGTTTGTCCACTTTGCGGTTTCCAGAGTGATGATCAAACGGCTGTCCTTGATCACACTGCTGAGCATGTTCACTCGTTCTCGTTGCGATCATTGCCATGGGCACCGAGGGAAGGGTTGGAGATTGATGACGACGATGAAGAAGAAGAATACGGGGAATTTTTTGACGAACATCCATATTTTGACGTTAATAGTTGCTGGTCAGAACCCTCAGCGACCTCGTCGGGAGAGTCGCATCTAGCCACGGATCCGGAGAGCATTGCAGACTCGGAGTCCGGAGAACCAGCTCATCCGATGCACGAGCAGGAGCAGCAGCAACAACAACTACTGACAGAAGACCTTATCAGTCAAATGCCCCATGATTCCTTAGGGCAAATAGGTACAAGTGATTGGTTGAATTCACTGACTTCTTTCTCCTCCTTCGCTGAACACCGTCTGGGTCTCATTCTGGCCAACCGGCTGGAGTTGACGGGTGTACTGGCCGTGGAATATCAAGGTGCTTTTTACAGTGCCGTGGACATTCAGACGCAAATTCAATATATGGTCAAGGCCCTAAGCAAGACTGACCAAAGCCTTCGTGTGTTAAAATTTCAACAGAGGGAGATAAGGCTCCACCATCGCGCTAGCCAGCATCCTAATGTGGTTTCTTTGGTTCGTATCATGGATTCTACCGATTGCACCTATGTCGTGCTCGAGTTCCTCCCGGAAGGGGACTTGTTCGAAAACATAGTAGACAAAGGCAACTATGTGGGCAACGATCCCTTGGTGAAGCGTGTCTTCATACAGATACTTGATGCTGTCCAGTTCTGCCACTCAGTTGGAATCTACCACAGAAACCTTAAAGCTGAGAATATCTACGTTGCAGACGGGGGCATGACCGTCAAGATCGGTGACTTCAGCCTCGCTACGGAGGACTACTCCACCTCCGATTTTGGCTGTGGTTCGACGTTCTATATGTCGCCCGGTAAGAATGGCTCTCTCTTGCACCAAACTTATAATAATGCAGGACACTGACTATTGGCTGTACAGAATGCCAGCAGGCAAACGCACCTCCAAATTCATCCTACTTGAGCGCCCCCAATGATGTTTGGAGCCTTGGTGTGATCCTAGTCAACCTCACCTGTGGCCGTAACCCATGGAAACGTGCATCCTTGGAGGATTCCACGTATAGGGCCTACATAAAGGACCCCCTCTTTCTTCAATCCATCCTGCCTCTCTCCACCGAGGGAGTTTTTATCTTGAGCCGCATTTTTGAACGCGATCCTTCCACGAGAATCACCATTCCAGAGCTCCGCAACTTGATTCTGGAATGTCCCCGTTTCACAACAAACGTCATGACTCCATATGTGGCCAGCAGCGTACTTGATCCTCCTTGGCAGGGTCCCGACGATTTTGAAGGGCCGAGTTGGTATGACGATTTTGAAGAAGGGGGTCAGGACAATGATTTTGAAGAAGAGTATCAGTATAACTCTGTGCCAGAGACCGTAGGAGAGAGCCAGCAAAGTGATCCAGATGATACGTCTATAACTTCACCGTTTCTTCAAGATGTGGAATGGATGTATGAGTCTAGCGGGGGACAGTGACACCGATAGACCAGAAATACATCATGGGCACCATTTTTATTACTTTGACAATATGCAGCTGAGGAACTTGCAATGATGGAATGGATCCATTTGTATCTGACAGGGACATTAGACGCAGAATTGTAGATTGAATATGGATACCCTCGTGATATCCGGGATGAATCGAAATATTGCAGTCTGCCACGGAAAATATTTAGAATCAACTAGTGCTCGTGAGCACTTCAGCTATCGAAGATTCTTGCCCTGGAGAATGGCCAGTGAGTCAGATAGTTGGTCTGGACGGTCGGGCACCGTCTTGGTCGTAGCGTAGCCATGGGCGGTTACGAGGTACAGCCACCGAAGACGGGTCCTGCGCTGGAGAAATTGAGGCTGAGCAGATAATCAATATGACTCATTGTGATGGTTCATCTGTATCAGTGACTAAGCCTAACTTTTCCTGCCTTAAGTTTAAGTTTAAGTAGGTCCAGACAATCTAAAGATTCTCGAAGCATCCTGGAAGCTACCGCCTCCCGCATTCTTAAGGCGGTAAGAGCCCACTTTATTGGCGTCATTTGGAGGGGCAGCCAACATTCCATTTCAGCTCACTTACAAACTCCCTGCTACCATGGGGGATTCCAGTCGCTTGGAGGAGCTTTTGAAGAGACCTCTCTATGGTGTGTAACTCTTTATTTACTTCCCCGTGACGTATGCCTTCTAACCTGCGCAGTTTATGACCTTCCGCCTGAGCTTCTTGCGACTCTAAGCGCAAAAACCGCGAACCAGCCTGTCGCCGAACAAGCCCAACAGGTCTCCGAAGCCACCACAAAAAATCCAGAGATCGCAGCGCAAGAATCGGCGATTGCAACATCAACACTATGCTCCCTCTGCAAAGTCACCTATCTCAATGTGCAAGAGCAACGTAGCCACGTTCGCTCCGATCACCACCGCTATAACATCAAAGCACAACTCCGCGGCAATGCGCCCCTCGACGAGATTCAGTTCGTAAAGGCAGTTGGAGAGCTGGACGAATCTATATCGGGATCAGAGTCATCTGAATCAGAGGAGGACGAGGCGGATGGAAACGGTGACACCACGCTCACTGCTTTGCTGAAAAAGCAAGCTAAGCTGTCGGAGGCAAATGAGGAGGTTACAACTGCCGGGACAGGCGGGTCACCCAAGAATCCGCTCTTTTGGTTCTCGAGTTCGGGCTTGCCGTCGAATAAGTCATTGGGAATTTATAGGGCGATGTTCTCAGATGTCGAGCAGGATGCACCTGCCCACTTGGTGGACTCGCTACGAAAGAAGCAACTCGTCCCAGTCAAGGCGCGGACCAATAATGCGCAAATTCAGAAGAATCTCTCTGCTTCTGGTCCCCACATCTTTATGTGTATGATTGGTGGCGGCCATTTCGCGGCAATGGTGGTGTCACTGGCACCAGAGATTCACCGGAAACAAGGAGGCGTGGAGGATAGGCAGGCAAGAGTCATTGCGCACAAGACCTTCCATCGATATACTACGCGACGGAAGCAAGGTGGTTCCCAGTCGGCCAGTGATGCCACTCGAGGAGCTGCCCATTCAGCGGGTTCTAGCCTGCGTCGCTACAACGAAGCTGCACTGGAGAAGGACATTCGGGAGCTTCTTGCGGACTGGCGGCAAATGATCGACACCGCAGAGCTTCTGTTCGTTCGTGCCACAGGAAAGACCAACCGGAGGATTCTATTCGAGAAGTATGATGGACATGTCTTTAAGCAAAATGACACTCGACTGCGCGGTTTCCCCTTCAATACTCGTCGAGCTACCCAAGGAGAACTCATGCGATGCTTTATGGAGTTGACTCGGGTGAAGATCAGTGAGATCGATGAGGCTGCTCTGGCAGCTGCGGCGGAAGCAGCAAAACAAAAAGAAGAGTCTAAGCCCTCCACGCCACGCTCACAACCTCAAAAGCCAAAGTTGACCAAGGAAGAGGAGGCCGCACTACTACACACATCCCAGATTCAAGCTCTCATCCGGCGCTCCAAAGTGCCCGCTCTTATGTCTTACCTATCCAACAACTCCGTCCCTTCCTCATTCACCTTCCAACCTGCCGACTTACCTCAAAACTTTCGCTGTCCCACCCCTCTCCATCTCGCTGCTAACAACAACGCCCCTGCTGTTGTGAATGCTCTCCTTACTCGAGCCAACTCTGACCCAACTGTTGTCAATGGTGAAGGCCGTACTCCGTTCGAGCTTTGCGGAGACCGTTCTACCCGGGATGCATTCCGTATCGCGCGACATGAACTCGGGGAGTCGAAATGGGATTGGACGGTAGCAAAAGTTCCGGCTGCTATTTCCAAAGCAGATGCAGACAGCCGAACCGAGAGAGAACGGAAGGAAGCCGTAGAAGAGGAGGCCAATCGACGCAAGGCCAGTTTGGAGCGTCTGAAGAAGGAAGATGCTGAGAGGGCTGCACAGCAGATATCAAAAGCTGGCGGGCGAACTCTGGGAGCGGTGGAGAAGACGGCAGCTGAAAAGCGTGACGAGGAGACTCGAGGTATGACACCGGAGATGAGGATGAGGTTAGAAAGAGAAAGGCGAGCGAGGGCCGCGGAAGAGCGCTTTCGAAGGATGCAGGGGAACTAGATGACTGGTATGCTGTATATTCTGTTGAAGCTCTTCCAACATTCACTTGCATCGAATATTGTATCATTGCACAAAACCTGTCAATAGAAACGGAATATACCAACTGGTCAAAGCATTTAAGCCCAGCAAGCAAACAAACTAGAGTCTTGTCTAGGTCGTAGGTCACATGCAGTCTCGTGATGGTAAACGATGGGGGTCTCCAATCTCTCATCTCATACAACTTCTTTCTTCCCTCACGTCACCTTTCTTAACCCTCTACGGCTGAAATGCGCTCTTTGCTCTCTTCAAGCCCCAGGATAAATGATCCTGGCATATGCGTTGGTACCTTGAGCCTCTGGGACGCTACCACTCACCAAACCAGTCGACCGCTTGAGGTCTACAGCAACGAGGAGGTGTTCATTGGACGAGATGCAAAAAGATGGTACTATCTACAAACCCCGTCTATTCCTTGAGTTCTCAAAATTGACCTAACCTCTTTCTATATCCATAGTTCATTCCATCTCACCAATCCTTATGTCTCGAACAAGCATATACGCATTTATACCATCCTCTTTGACCAAGATAACTTACAAGAGGTACCGCCACTGGTGTACGCCGAGGATCTTTCGATGAACGGGACTTTTTGGAATGATTATCGGATGGGTAAAGGCAAGGGCAGCTTTCTTCTAAGTGACGGTGATATCCTCAGGGTAGCTGGCGAAATCCATATTCGATTTAAGTCTGCTGATCCCGAGAACGAGAACAAGTTCACCCAGTTGCAGCAGCTTGAGATGCGGGTAGGGTTTCCAAAAGGTTGGTCTTATCAAATGGATTTTCTTTGCTAATGTGGTTCTCCAGAGCTTCCAGAAGAGCTATGTCATTACGCAGCGTATGCTTGGCTCAGGTGCTTATGGGAGAGTCCACATGGCCTTCAAAGTGAACACTGGACAGCAATTCGCCTGCAAAATTATCGATCTTCAAGCTGCCAAAGCCGAGTTTCAGGCTCAAGCTAGGGCACGGGAGGGCTTGGGCGAAGATATGAAGTCCAAGTTCTTTGCGAAACATGGGCCTTTGGAGTCTACATCCATGACAGGCAAGAGTTCTGTGTTGGAAAGATTTGTCGTAGGAAAGCTAGCCATGCAGCAGCGAGAGTCGCTTCTTCTCGCAGAATTATCTCATGTGAGTATACTCTCTTGTCTCCCTACACGTTTTAGATGCGAGGCTAATAATAGCCAGCCAAACATTATCGCAGCCGAAAAGATTATTCGGTCCGGCAATACAATGTGAGTCCGATGCCAGCACTACCTGTGATCAAGGCTGGTACTGATCCAGGTAGCTACATGTTCACCGAACTTGTGACATGTGGCGACCTTTTCTCTTTCGTTCGAAATAAAGGACCCCTCGAAGAGACGACTGCTGCGTTGATCATACGACAGGTCTTGCTTGCTCTGGAGTACCTGCATGACCAAAACATCGTACATCGAGATGTCAAGCCTGACAATATCCTCATGGCCTCTCACGAAGTCGGCAGAAGGGTTGTTTTGGCTGACTTTGGATGTGCTCGGCTGGTGAACCAGTCTAGTCAGCGAATGTCGAGCGTTGTCGGTACTCCCGACTATTGCGCACCGTATGTATGATCCTATAACGCAAGAACAAAGTCTATGTTCTGACTCTTTGAACAGAGAGTTGATGCACAACAGCACACAAGGCTACACCAAAGCTGTTGACATGTGGTCCTTGGGCTGTGTCACCGCGGTTCTATTGATGGGTGACACGCCATTCGAGAATGAATTGAGGTCCACCACAAGCGATCTGGTGAACCTAGATCTGGACATGAGAGCACTTGAGATTAGTCCACAGCCCAGAGACTTTGTTCGCAGATTGCTTGTTCAGGACGAGACCAAGCGCATGGATGTGAATAAGGCATTGCGGCATGACTGGTTTACAAACACCACTCGAGCAGAGTGGTTCAAAGAGATGTACGATCGTTCAATCCAATGCTGGAAGCCTCGAAGCTCAACAGAGCCGGTGATAGTCGAACTTGCCAGTTTCAAGAGTGTTCCGGCCAACAAGCAGTTGCCCTCGGCTTCGGCATCGGTTTTGTCACCCAAGGAAGATGTACAATTCGCAGACGTGGACCACATTTCCGAGAGCTCATGGGAAAATATCCTCCCCGCACGCACCAAACCGTTGATATCACCCGCCATCTCGAATCCGGCACCGAAGAAGAAATCTCGCCGTTCGCCTCTCGCCTCGCTGGATCAAAACAGCGCAAACAAACCGAGGAGTTCCCAACAGGCAATGTGTCTCACGAGCCCTGACAACGATGTCAAATTCATCAGCCAGGTCAAGCGTGAGCAACTCGATAGACGCAACGTGGAAAGACATGTTCTGTACGTGTCAGCCCATGAGAGTCCGAGTGACCGGAGAGCTGCAGAGAAGAAACAGCCAGCACCCAAGGCCGGTCCCAAAGCCAAGTTCACTGTGAACAAGGATACGGGAATGCGAAACTTCTTCATCACCCCGAGGACAGCTGCATCTCCCTCCATGCATACCTCAGTGCCAGCCGCACTGCAGAGACCCCCGAATAAGGAGAGTGATCAGTCCGATCAAGTATTCGAAGAAGTGCGCAACCCTATCACGGGCAAACGCAAGCGGTTTATCTATGGCCGGGATATGGATTCGTTGAGTCAGATGCTCTGATTCTGGAAAGTGTATTTTATGTCTTATGTGGGATTGATCTTTATCGTTGTTGGAATTTGCGGTGAGAATCATGGACCGGCACGAAGCCGAGATTATCATTCTGTGTACGATGTACCGTTATTCTTATAAAGTCTATTGATAATGGGAATATCGTTAGATTATTCAATTCAAATAAATTCATATGATATCACTTACTCTATATTCATCGGGGTAAAGAGGACAGCAAAGATGATACTTTTTAGCTCAATCTTATGGATCACATTAAGATTGACTGTGAAAGAAGATTGCGACAAGACCTGCCAAAGGGGGCTTTGTGCTTGGACTGGACTTTCGCACACATCTCCAAAGAGACACTGAACAGATTGGCTACTCAGATTCATTTTTGATCGAAGCCAAACGGGATCCAAGTCCGAAAGAAAGTGCCACAATGAAGGCACCGAGGGTTATCAATAGTCTGCTTAGCTGTGATCCACACTTGGAGCATATGGGGCGAAGTCAAGAGCCACCCTTGATCAAAGATAGTGCTGGGAGGGGGTGTAAGACCGTCAATTGGACTGTAGCGACAAGAAATATGGGGTTGGCTCGAGTCTTCTTCGATTTGACTGGCTCGTCCTCTTTGGAAGCCGCGATTGATTCAATGGCCACATTGAAGGGCTGCAGGCGGGCAGTGTATGATCACGAGTCTGATGGTCAAAGGATCAGCATGGAGGCAGTAGAGAATAGGAGCCAGATGGGATGGGCCCTCGAGAGGGGCGAAGGTGCTGATCTGATCCAATTCGGCTGGTGGAGGGTCTCAGGTAAGAAGCCAATGGCACTAGTCTGGTCCTTGAATGGGTTGCCCAATTGCTTCCCTATCGAAGAGGAAGATATGATTGGTACTCATTGCAGAAGAAGTTAACAAAGACTAACTACACTACTTTAGGTCCTTGTCAATACACAGCTAACCTCGAGAGTAAGCTATATCAAGAACTGTTGCATGAAAGAAAGACACCGTTGCCATGGCAAGTATCCTAAGACAGTCTCAGTAGAAATCACCCTAAACAACAGAGACATTAGCAATAGTCTCACTCTGCCGAATACAACAACAAAACAAACCATCAACCAGCTTAAATCCAGCCACCTTCCCTGGTCCGGATGGTACAGACAGCTCCTTCAGAAGAGCGATCACCCGACAGTTCCAGGAACACACACACCCTCCCCTTCTCAAACCCGGCTATACCATCTAAGACACAAAGGACTCTCAGAGCACGCCAAGCCCACCCTGGACCAGGACTAGGGCCTATCCCCTCTCAAGGGAACCCAGAATTACCACGAAGCTTCAACCCAACTCCTAACAAAGGATTAGATCCCCTCAACCCTTCCACCGCAAAGGGCTGAACGGGCAACGATCTCCCTCAGCCACGCCCACGCACGAAGGGCAGTGCGAAAGCAAGACAAAGCGCCCTGCACTAGTGCCCGCTGCAATAGCAAGAACAAAGATGTCTTGCATGGGTTCTCTGCAGGGATGAAAGGCCCGCGCGATCAGGAAGGAAATCTCTCCGCGCAGTCCTGTTTCGAAGATCCACGTACCCCGGGAAGATATTATTAAAGTGTATTTTTTGAGGTTTGATGCAGTTCGTGCAGGATGTTGTGCATCCCCGTGTCCCCTGGAGTAGCACGATCTTGGTATGGGCCTATGGGAGTGTGAGGGTGGTGATAGTGAATCTGATTTGGAGGTATCCCTTGCATGGGCTTGGAGGATGGTGATGTTGATGGTGATGGGGGCTGGGGAGATAGGGAGGAGGGGTAGATTGAGTGATAGGAGGCTCTTCTGATTAGGTGCTATGGCCGTCATCCTACTGAGATAGGTCCCTTTGTGTGCCTTGAAGGGTTGTCATAGTCTAGTGTAGTTTGTTGAGGCTGAGTAGCGGGTAGGGGTATGGGTGGAGCAGATTTGTTTCACTCCGCACAAAGAAAAGTTACTCGATAAAAATTGACGGAATTGGAAATATGAAATGTACAGAAGCCTGCTTGGAATCTGCATGTTGATATTCGGTGATTTTATCACACGTTGGTAGACTTGATCTGTCAAGCATCATGCGTTCTGCACCCCACAAACTCGAAGCGGCATCGTAGTGCAGCGCAGCAAATGCGAGATAAGAGCAGCCCACTAGTCTAATCGGTCGATCCGGGGCAGTTTTGGCACTATTCGCCAGGGCAACGGAGCCTGCAGGGGGCAAGGACTGGATGGAGTAGAGAAGGGTGGGTCATTGGGCGGGATAGGAACAAGATGCTGACGAGGAGCTCTTTTTTTTTGCAGGACTAACAGAGGTGACGGACTACTCGGGGAGGGGATATCATCTAGGAAAGCTCTAGGATCTACATATTGTCATTACAGTTGCCGAGAAAGATTTGAACTAGATGTACAACTACGTAGGAGGCGAGTTTCAAGGCGGTTTATGGAATACAGTACGATACCTACATTGAGCATGGACCCCGTCCACATTTATTTTCCGAGGATTGTTATTGGTTGTTTTCAGAGGGATCCTTTTCTAGGACTTATTGTAGACTCGAGTCAATGGAGAGTGTATTGCAGGAAGTATACTCCGTTTACTCCGTCGAGTATTCTCCGCTGGATAAATTCCGTCTAGAACGTGGTGGTCAGCCGCCCACTCTGATTGGCTGTCGCGTCACGCGTCAACCACGCGTAAGTCACGCGACGGTAACGCGTTAAGTGTAATTCGCGTTTTTTTTCACCGGCTACAGCCTCTGCCATTCGTATAGTATCGTGTAGCAATCAGAATCATAATGGCAGGAAAACTTAAAGAACACCAGCTGGGAATCACTCCCTCATACCAGCCCTCGAGAAGGAGATACTAGATATGGACAGGGTGGTTAACCCCTCCAGGGCTGGGGAGAAGGGCCGTAGGAAAGGAAGAAAGGAAGAAGATGCCCTCTATACCTCCTAGACAACCTAGTGAAGAGGGATTATTAAAACGCTCCGGGTCGCCACGGGATCTAGTGGCAAACGGCCAGTGATCAGACTTTCGTCGGGTGTATTTTATTTTCTTTTTGAACTACTAGTATACAAAGTACAGACTACTATACGGAGTGTAGTAGTTGATCAACTACATGGGCAGCGGTTGGCTGCAGCAGCCTGCACGTCATGGCCATTGCATCAGAGGGCCGTTGAAGCGATACAGTCATCATGATATCGATAACGAAGATCCCGGAGACTGATTGGGGACACACTTGATTACAATTTTGATACAATTCATTATTACGTGGAGAACGACGGAGCGGGTCGTCGCGGGTCGGCCGGATTGGGAAGTGTAATTGAGAAGAAGATCCTTGACAAGGATCCTAGTGACTTGAGAAGTTGAGGTAGACCTGGATAGTCTTAGTTTCCTGAAACGGTGCCCATCTCAGGGGGTCCGAGTTCGCCCTCGTGCTCCCTGCTGGTGGCCCTCGCCTTGCGTCCTGCATCCCTCGATCTTGCCTCCCTTTTAGGGATGTTTCACTGGGGAGAGACCATGAGTACAGTTGAGGAACGAGGGGGTCAAGGATGGTCGGAAGGATCGTAGAATAAAAAGAGAGGGAATGTACCTAGTTGAGTAGTTGAAATAGAGGAGAAGAGAGATAGAGAGAGTTCCTCATCATCGTCACTCGCTATACAACCTGATTTTCGCTGTCTTTCTGCCTGGGGAACATCATTACATCACCAGACTTCATTCTTTTCCAATTTCTGATCCTCTGGATTTCCAATTTCTAATTTCCAATTCTTAATTCCTCTCACTACTCTCTCTCCTTCTTTGTTCATACTCTCTTTCATCTCAAAATAACATCAACCCGTAACAAAGAGAGTGGATCCCGGGTGATGTTCGCTTGACCGTTTGCGGCCCATTCCTCCCGATTTTCTTTTATCGGCCTTCGCCCCCCGCCAAACTTCTTTCCCTCCCTAAACACTCGCTCAACCACCTCCCACTTGGCCAATATCCCACTTTCCACCCCGTCGCATTTCCTCCGGGTTACCTGGATATTGAAGCGCATTCCGACTACAATCTCTTCCACTCATTCTTAATTCGCCAACTCCATCGTTGCGCTTCACAACTGCCTCCGGCGCATTTCGCGCACAAATCCCAACTTTGCGCGATCCCAGCGCAAACTCGACCACCGATCAGACCACCTGCCAACATCTCCTTTCAACTCTTTCCAAATCCGATACTTTCGCAATCTTGCGACGCCATAATTATATTCTCTTCGTCCCTCCGTCCTCGCGCAACCATGCTGCTCCCTTCCGCCCTCCCATGCGACGTGCGCCGGTCGTCTCGCTTCACTCCCAGTCGCCTCTTCTCGACACCTCCTCCTTCAAACCGGGGCTACCCATCTGGAAATGGTCTTCTCGGCACCTGCCGTGCACTCCAGTCTCTCTTGAACGGTTCCCCAGCGCCATCACCACGCCGTACACCCAAACCCCAACGCCTCCAGAGTCCTCTACCCATCACTCAACCGCGTCGCTCGCCGCGCGCGCGCAAAGTCGCGCGGCCTGCTTCACCACGCCCGACTCCTCCTCCAGTCCAGATGGCGACTACCCCTCCCCCACCACCGTCTGCGCCCGCACGCGGCGCGAACAAGCGCCGTCGCACAGAGTGGGACGATGAAGACAGCGACGCAGACTTTGGGCGCCCCATTTCGACGCCAAAGCGCCGTCGCCATATCCCCTACGAACTCCCACTCGGACTCTCCTCGACAGACTTCTATTCTCTACACTCTCCGCCCATCACACAATCTCCTCCTTCTCCTGCGCGCCGGGCAATGCCTCAGGTGCAAGAACCGGTCGCGCGCATCGATCCTGATGCGGTCCTTCCTTCTATCGAAGAGCCAGATGAGCCATCTGAGACTGCTTCCGAGGAGTGGACCGCGGACGAGGATCAGCGCTTGATTGAGGTGGTTCTGGAAAAGTTCCGCCTCTCTCAGCAAGAATGGGATGAGTGCGCGCGCCAGGTGGGCCGCCGAAATGGTGCGGACATCGGGCGCCGATGGCTCTCCCTTGTGGGAGAGGGACGCGTCGGTCTGCGACGCCGACAATAAACCACCCTTTCCTGTTTGTTTTGATTCCACTTTTACATGTCTTGTATATTATGACCATATTCCCTTTCTTGTTCTCTCTTTTTCGTCTGCGCCGATCCCTGTTGCGAGAAACACACCATGTATTATCTTTTTTTCGGACTTTGTTGTTACTCTACCCTTGTGATGTCCATTCCCACTTTCGTTATCCGCTGTTTCTCCGTGTGGGTCGTCTATTTCTGGTTTCGCATCTGGTTATGTGAATTACTCCTCCCACTCAGTCCTCCTCCTGTCTATCGTTTTCAAAATGGGTGGGACTGCACATTGATTTATCCTGTTCTTTCTGACACCGTTTTTATCGCGTCGGTGAGCATTTGTACTACTATCTATTCTATCTGTACTATTACTCTGAAGATACCACTTGTCCATTTCAATCGCATATTTATTATCAATTATTGATCTTTTTTTTTCTATTGTTTTGTCAACAAATAACCTTAGCTGTGGTGTTGCTGAAGTAACAGGAGTGCCAGACAAGCTTTAACCCCTGTCCCGGTTGCTGATTGATGCATCGAAACTATATATAGACGCGTAGCTAACGCCTGCAGCAAATCATCTGCAACTAGCCGTGGTCGGTATAGGCGGTACTATCCTACCGACAAATACCACAACGAGGTAGTCTCGGATTTTGGAATGGTACCAGTCGCGAGGTGTGAAAACTCACGCAAGGTACAAAGTTGGTCTTGGAAGGTTACGGCTAGGAAATCAAAGACTCGGCAGCGTTGGGAGAAATTTAGGGGCTGAGATGTACCGTTATGCAATCAATATATGGCAAACTACATAAGGCAAACTACGTACAGTACACATCCAGCTGAGACATTCAGTGGGACATAGAAGCTGAGATTGGAGTCTAAGCTTTTTAGCGTCATTTTAGCATGCTCGCTACAGATTAGGGTATATGTGGACTACCCTAATCCTGAAAAAGAAAGCTTGTAACTGCAGACCATACTACTGGAGGTCATGATCTATACCCCATTGGACAATAGTGAAATTCGTCAAACAATAAACAGTTGCACTGCGAATGTACTAGTTAATTTGGGAAATCTTTCCGCTACTACCTCGCTTCTCAACTCGCTTCTCAACACGCTTCTCAACATCTATTTGGTTCGAGGTCAGTTGCGAATCTAGGGTTTGGACTTGCGCGGGCAGAACAACCTCAATTAGCTCTCCTCAGGACTTAAATCTGTTTGGGCACGCGAAAGAATACATAACTAGACTTGCTAAAGAGACCATCTTTGCACTTCCAGAGTCTGGCAAGATAGCTGTTGTGTTTATTATGTAGGTTGTTTTCAAGATACGCACAACATCAATTCCGCTGTGCAAGAAATGACCAAGATGCTTGAAAGCAGCGATGCACTTTATCCAGTCATCATAGCCACAACTATAGCCATTCCCATTTTCAGAGACCTCATCGTGGCTCGAGATGTCCTTCTGACTTGAAAATCGGAGCCATTGCCACCGAAGACGCCATCAACAACATAACCAGCTACGGTACCGACATGGAGGAGATGATCATAGATTCGCACACTTATAAGAACGCGAAATGTCTATATTTTGGTTCTCTGGATGTTGGCGTTGCAGATTTGCCTTTAACTTGTCCTCTGGCGGCTTGCTTCTTCACTTTACCTGTGCTTGATCTTGGTCTAACAACCGTGACTTCTTACGCTGCTCCTTTTGACATCAGCCTCTGGGAGTCCCAGAGGTCACCAATGTGACTTTGGATACTGGTCACATTATTGGAGACACCTATCTGCAGGATAATGTGGTAACGGCCGTTGACACGAGTTACTGTAGCTGTGTAGTGTGTAAGTAGTGACAGTGAGGACGAAGTCATGCTTTTTGATTCTCAACGTCGAATCTTACAGGAAATTTATAGTATGAGTTTTTGAAGTTATCAAAACATATTGGCCTTGATAGTAGACATGGTACATGCAGGCATAATGAATGACCTCAGGTTGCCAACTGACGATGTTCCAAGAGATCCGGCTGTTGCTCGTTATGCAACTACCCGTGCGGGGAATCGATCTTTGTAGATGCCTCGGGTGGCACTGGGGACTTGGCAGCATGAATACTCCGCTTTTACTCCTCTTTTGTGGCATCACTCGCGGTACATAAACACTCAGATAGATGCCGAAAAAGCTGGGGTTGAACTTCCTAGACAGTCCTTCACCTCAACTGCCTCCATATCCTGATACCAGACGCGTGCACCCCCTTACACTAATCTGGCAACATGGCGCCAAATATGATGAAAGCTGCTCTTTGCAAAGAGGTAAATTATACCAGCCCTTACCTGTCACAGTCTAAATACAGCTTAAGGCCAAGTCCCATTCCGTCTTTGATTTATCTTCAAGAACTAACGGGCTCAGCCTGGCCAACCCCTCGTCGTCGAGGAAGTCCCAGTCCCAACACCAACAGGCCGCAACGTCCTAGTGAAAGTCCAAGTCGCATCGCTCTGTCACTCAGATCTCCTCATCACCTCCCCCAAAGGTAGTCTCACAACCCTTCCCCAAATTATCGGCCACGAGGCTATCTCCGTCGTCGAGGCTCTGGGTCCCGATGCGGCACCCTTTGGTATCAAACCGGGTGACAGAATCGGCGCCCCACTATGGCAAGATATGTGTCTCGAGTGTTGGGAATGCAAGAATATCGGGCCTCAGTATTGTCCCAAGATTACCATGAAGGGGGTTAGTAGTGCTGGGTACTTCGCCGAATATGCCCTCGTGGACGCAGCCACGGCGGTGGTGATCCCGAGCCTAGAGGGCAGTGCCGATGTCTCCCCAGCGCAGTTAGCGCCAATTTTCTGTGCGGGAATTACAGTCTGGGATGCACTGGAGCGCGCGCAGATTAGTCCGGGAGAGACCGTTGCTATTGTTGGTGTTGGTGGGCTCGGCGAGATTGCAACCAAGTATGCACATGCATTGGGGGCGAAGGTCTTGGGGTTGGATGTCCATGATGGGCAGTTAGAAAGTGTTAAGCAGGGTGGGAGTGCTGATGGGATATTGAATACACGAGAGCTACAGCCTCAGGATGTTAAGGCACGCATCGCAGCCATGAACCACGGAAGGATGGTTGACGCTGTGGTTGTCACGTCCGGTTCGGTTGCGGCATATCAAACTGCCATTTCGATTTTGAGGTCTGATGGACGACTGATGGTGGTTGGAATACCTCATGAGCCCATGTCACTCAATCTGGGCATGGTCGCTCTTCAGTCATTCAGGTTTGTTGGAATCCTTTTTGCGCGAAGTACAGAACAAGCCTAATCATGGTTAACAGGATCATTGGAGCCAAAGTCGCTGGACCCATGGGCGCCACACGATGCCTGGAATTTTCGCTGAGAAAGGGAATCTACCCCAAGATTAACCCGAGAAAATTCCAGCTAGAGGATATCAATGAGATGATGGCGATGATGCAGGCCGGGAAGGTGCACGAGGGGAGAATGACTGTGCAATTCTTCTAAGGTTAAGCAAGGTCCAGACGATCGAGGGCTAGGAAAGGACAATACAGAAAGTATTGCAAAGAAGCACAATGAACAAATCAAACCTTATCAGGTCCATATTGAGGCTGAAACTCTGCTCGCGCAGAAGCTTGGAGACAAACACATGAATAACCTTTAATGGCGGTGTAGTTATGCTGCAGAGTGCTAAACGAAGATAAGCATTGACGAATTGTTTCAAGGCCAAAATGCGCCTCTGATGCAGTACTACCAAGGATGTGTTGTCATCGAAATCCCGCCCCCACGTCGTATTCAAGATATCATTTGTGGCTTAATCTAGTAGAGTCAGCCAGTCTGACCATGACTCACCCTAGCTTGAAGATATCCGGATGGCTATATACGAGGATAAACGGAAGAACCAAGTATCAAAATTAGAAAACCATACGAAATCCATTCCATTCCTAGGACCAGCCAAAATGGGACGCTTTCCGGTAGAGATTCTCCTCCAGGTCATCCAGGGAGCAGTTGAAACGATCCCAATCCCAGACCTAGCTAGAATGAGACTAGTCAACAGTACACGACCCGTCCCGTTCCAATATACATCTAGAAACGCACTAACAATTGAAACAGGCCTTTTCGCCCACGAAATCATGACCCTTCTCCTGCAAAGTCCCCGCCTAGAAGACGATGGCTTCGGCTTCGCAGACGAAAGCCGACACGCAGGAAGAAAACCGTATAAAATATGGTGGACACAGTTCCCCATGCACTATAAACGTCAATATCTCCATAAAAAAGTGCAACAACACCCCATCAACCAATGCAAATTTACCACGGCCATCCATGAATGTCTCGCTATTCCACATGCCCCACGCACAAAGGAGGAGGAGCACATCCTGATAGACAGGTTAATCGATGCCTGGCTCTGCGGGAGATATGTGCCATTTCGTCGCGTTTACGATCACAGATGCTTTCATCGGCCTCCAACGCCTTGGGAATCGGATTGGTATGCAAGGCCTTTGGAGTCTGCTGAATTGACGATGTCTATTGCGCTAGCGGTCAGCGCGATTATAAAGGGGGACTGTGAGGAGATTCAGAAATTAATCGACACTCATGATGATCCTGAGTACGGACCTCTTGCGTTTCTCTGGGACAGGAGCGAGCGATTTGGAGGGATTTACCCGGTGGAAATTGCCGGGTTGAAAGGCTCAACCGAGGTGATTCGGCTGCTTATTGCGAACGATCACAACTCTCAATTTGTCAATCGGTCTGGCAGGGCAGGTATTTTTGAATTGGCTTCGAAAATGGGGCATATGAGTGCTGTGAAGGGTTGGATTGAACATTTCAAAAATACGAATGAGGATCTTGCGACTCGTTTGAACAGTGCGGTTATGACCGCTGTCCGGATTCGAAGACGCGATATTGTGGAATTCATTGAAAAGGAGAGTGGGATTCAGTTCGACAAGAGCGAGGTCATGTTTGACATGTTCATGGAGGGTATTGTCAGGACGAGAATGAGCCAAGTACAGTACTATCTCAACTGGGGCGGGTTCGATATCAACATGGAAACTACGAGGTTTCGCTATGGACCAGTGAATGGCGCTATCTACGGGGCCAGAGGCCCTCTAGATCTAAAGCTTGTGGCTTTCCTTCTGGAAAAAGGAGCGGATCCGAATAAATTCAACCCGACGGCGAAACTGACGCCGTTACAGATCGCAGTGCAAACAAAGAATGTTGCATTGGCGAGGCTACTGATTGAGCGTGGTGCAGACGTCGGCGCATCACTATTGTTTCAGAAGAAGAAATCGAGGATACCCTTGCTACAGGTCGCTGTTGAAGGTAGATCAGTTCCTATGGTTCGTCTTTTGCTAGAGAATGGGCTGGACAGAAAATATGTGTACAAGGGCAGAAAGGTTGAGGTCAAAGGGGATACGGTTGAGGGGGATGATTCCCAAATATGCATCCGGCGGGAGGTGCAGGAGGATTCGAGATCAATCGACGATCAGAATGGCTATGTGGTTCTTTTGGGTGACAAGGTTGATAAACGTCGACCGGTGGTAGAAAAGCAAGCATTGGGGAAAATGATGAGCACTGGCGTGCTGAAAGTATTTATCAAGTGAAAATAAGAGTCATGTAGAATCAATAGAAGAAGAGAACACCATCAACGCCAGACACCCAGCCTAAGATTCCATAATCAAAAAGGGCAAGGGCTCATGCACGCCGTTATCTAAGCCAAGGGGTCGGCAGTATTAGAATCTAAAACAAAGTTCAGTCAGCAATTTGAACAAGACGTAGATGGTTGAGCAAAGGAAAAACATACCGGATCTCGTAGCTTCCCGCGCGAGTCATGTAGCGCACCCACTTGACGGAACTGTAATTGCTCTTCTCAAAGACCTTCAAGTACCGCACAAGCAAACCAGAAGAGGTAAACATGAGAATGCTAAACGAAAGGCTAAGCGGCGGCCGACTCCAGGCCTTCTGGTGGGTCATTGAAGTAAGAGTCGCCTCGGCGTTGAGGACATACTCGCTCTGGCCCGAGAATCGCGGGATCTTCCACACGATATTGTTCTGCTCAGGCTCATACTTGGCGCGGCCTTGACTCGTGCGCTCGGTGGTCTTTGCAGTGTTGAGCGGCGTCGGAATACGAACAACGACATTCGTCGCAAACAGCTTCGAACTGTAGTTGGCCTTGATCGCCACGCTGTACTCAACCTTTGTCGTACCAATCTCACGCACGATTGGGTGCACCTTGAAGGGCAGGTTGACGTTTTCCGTCGCGCGGTAACGCATCAACTCGAACTCGCCGTCCGGCGGCACGAACGAGATGATACGGTCAGCGTCGAATCGGCCCAATTTCACGCACTGGTGGAATTGGCAGTCCTCCAGCGTGACCGAACCGGCAGCTGCTCGTGTAGCCTTGTTGTTCCCAGAAATGCCCCCGCCACCTCGACCTCCGTTCGCACTAGAGGAACCACCAGAATCCAAGAGGAGCCTGTCGTTGAGACCGAATTTGCACTCCGGAGTGCCCGTAAGATATGCCCGCATGACAATCTGCCCGTTCACATCGGCGCGCAGGACGGTGCCGGTTGCCGACATCAGGAGGTTGACGTCTTCGATCACGTCGACAAAGGCTTCGTTCTTGCGGTATTTGATGTCTGAGCGGCGCCAAGAGAGCGCGCCCGTCGCTTGCTGAGTGATTCGACTAGAGTCTGTGGGCGAGTTGGCAATGGCGGACTTGACCCCCTCGGTCGTGATGTACATCTTCAAGGTGTCCGTTTCGGTATTTTGGGGGTACCCGAAGTCGAGGATTTCTAAGAATCGCAAGTATTAGAATTGAGCGATAATGGAAGGATATAGGCTGGCCATGGTCGCAACTCACCATCAAGCAGTTCGTAAATCAACACAAAGTTATTCTTCACAGCCTCCTCATCGAACTTTCCAAAGTAACTCCTCCCCAGCACGATCAGCCTGTAGAGGAACTCAAACACAAGCGCAGCATTGGCATTGCTCTTGGTCACGGCGACCAGGTAGATATTCTCGTGCTTGACATGGCTGAAGGTAGTCGAGCCCAGGGTCAAGATCGGGGAGCGGACCTGCGGGTTGGCGATGACCTGGATGCGAAAGATGTCGGCAAGGCGTGGGCGACAGTCACTCCGGAAGGCGCGGAAGATGAGGTTCTCACCCTTCTGATTGAAGACTAGGATCCCCGACAGCATGGTGGTGGTGTGTTATGCTGGGGCATCCCGTTTGGAGGTTCGAAGTTCCAGGAGCTCGGGGCGACGGGGGGAAAAAGGGTGTGGGGTGGATCGACACCGCCTGGGCCGGTGGATATACACACATGGCCCATGCCACATTCTTTACACCTAAACATGATAAGGTGGATTTGAAGGATGGCCATTTGAAAGACAAATCTGATTCTGTTGTTCATCATACAACTTTTTATGGTGAGTCTTTGTATGAACCGAGCTTTACCAGTGACTATAGGAGAGCTCAATAGGTTCTTGACTTGTATGTAAACACTGACTGCATAGCCATCATAGGCGCTAGATCTCTACCCTTTCTGAACTAATATCAACCACTTTTGTAATATTGATTTCTGTCGCAATATCACAAGATTTTCTAGTATCAAAGTATCAAGGCTAGATAATATTCACGCTTCGTTCTTAGGAATTTAACCCGAATTATTGGCGCAGGCACTTTGGTAACTGAGCTTTGGATACTCGTCAAGATGGATGGAGCCATTCAATTGTGTCAATGTCAAATGGATCTACTAGCACTACTTGAGATAGATTCCCGTCCCATTTAGATCTGGCCATACTACCATAATGTCTATTCTATCTACATTCTAGAGTCTCTCCTTCTCCACACACTGACTGAGAATACAAACGCACGTTCAATAGAAGATGAGCTCGGTTAAAGCCCGAGGTCTCCTATCCCTGCCCACTGGTTTTTATTTTCAGGCAAACACATGTCTAAAACTGGGGCTCTGCTCGTATTCAACACAAGGTTAACCACTCATCTTTCTATCACACGCTGCCAAGACATATAGTCATTCCTATCGTGTCCCGTCTATTTTAGAGCCACCCTTCCTAACTCACAACTGGTGTTCTCGGTGGTGTAGATATCCAGGTCCTTGTTAAGCTTTTCATTTTTCAAAGGACTCTGCGAAGGCTTGAATCTACGAATACGAGGACAACGCACCCAGCTCCCGATTTCTCCTTGGGATACCCAAAAGGCGGAGGGGGCTCTTTCTTTTGCTGTGATCGGCAGGCACAACTCGTATTCGGACCAGCCTGGTTGGAAAGGATCCCTTAGTCTCGGGAAGTATGACTATTTACCGTTAGAACTAGTCAATAAATCGACGTTCATCGCGTGCTAAGCTCGTATACGGGATTAAGAATAGAGCTGGAACGTCAGAAACGCTTAATTTCCGCTTGGCATATTGTGCTTTGTTTAGTGTGTATCATGTCGATCGAATACGCCAAAGCAGGGTATATAAAGGAGGTAGTTTTTATCTTGGGATTATCACCAACACAAGCCAAAGCCCAAACCTCCCACTGTGCAAACGATCTCACACTATACAAACAAAAAAGACCAACCTCTTATCTTTCATCAAAATGAAGATCCCAACCCTCCCAATCCTCCTGCTCGCCCTCACAAACTCCGTCGCCGTAAACAGCTTCAGCTTCTACGCCCACGGCAAAACCATCGTCCACGACGCCCGACGGGAGATCTTCCCCTGCCAAAAGATCAACCTCGACAAGGGGGATAATATCAGTTTCTTCAATGATAACGTCGACCGTGCGGATGGATGTCACCTTACGCTGTACGGCGATTCCAAGTGCAAGGATTTGAATGGGTATTCGTATGGGGATTGGAAACATACGTTGAAGCATGATGTTAATTCTTGGAGTTACACGTGCTAGAGTGGTGGTGCTGTGGGGAATTTGTCTTTGGAATGTTTGAGGTGATGAATGCGGTTGATTCGGTTTGGGAAAGACAGGTCTGCGTCAATTCTGTGAAAAGTGTTGTGGGGTCGAAAATGCATCATGTTGTCCTCATGTAATAATGTGGCCGCGTAGTCTTGTACAGAGAAAGGTTGCTGCCCTACTACCCGGCTTAAATCTGTCGGGGACAGACTAATAAACAAGATTGGAATGCCCAGGTTTCTTTTCACGCTGACCGTATGGCCATGATATTTGCTTTCGGAGACTCCAGTATAGTAAACTGACAATCCCAATATAAAATCAGCTATGAACAAGAGTAGACAACAGTCCATCAGCAAAGCCGAAAGTGACAGGAAGCGAAACCCCAGCGACAGATGCAAGTTGGGAGTATAGCCTGGAATAGTGAGAATCCCAGAAAGCAAGAAGAAGACAGAGGGAAAAGGTAATTAGGAAAATTGCGGCAGTAGAGAAGCAAAGGATAGTCGCTGGGTGGGGAGGGATATCATGCAAAAAGGCCCAAATTGGGAGAGCAAATCAACAAAATTACAAAGGACGTATACAAGCAAAATAAGACAAGGATCGAACAAGAAGAAAATGGACAGACAGGCGGAAGTAGGCCTATCAATTTCCTGGCCCAACACCAGTGCTGGGCCTGGTATTCGGCATGGATGGACCCTCACTCGGTACAATGCCGACCTTGGGGTCTGGAATCTGAATGTCGAGGGACATGTACGCAGTCCGGCGCAGACTCCAGATATACACACCGTCCTTGGCGCCGACTTCACGGTTCCAGTTCTCAAGCCAGGACTCTACATGTTGTAGTTGGCCCTTGATTCCCGGTGCGTTTAGATCGTCCCAGATCCAGCCGGTAAGGAGGCCAATTGCTCCGTCAAACCAATTTCGCAAGCTGAAGGGGTCAAATGCCTTGATAAGGCCATCATTGACGGTAGCAATCACTTGGCGGAAGTCTTGCTCTGAAAGCAATGGATCCAAGATCTCGGGGTACAGGTTGGAGAAGGTCGGCGCCAAATCGCCCTTGATCATCCAGTCACGGCGAATGCGAATGACTCGCGTTGTAAGGTATTCTTCCGAGCCGATAGGAACGTGAGGGTTGAAGTGAGGGAAACAGGGGTGCGCGGGGCCCCAGGCCAGTTCGTCAGCGACGTCGGGAGGGGCTTGGCCGGTGTTTGAAGGGACGGATGCGATTTGAGATTGGGATCGGAGAGATGTTTGGGATTGGGCATGGCGCGGTCGGTCGTCGTCGCGACAACGGGTGCCATCGTGGGCGAGATGGACTTCTTCGGGGGGCCGCAGGTTCTCGACGTCGTTGGCCGCGCTGCCAGCGAATGCTGCCGCCATCTCTGTTGGGGATAATTGTTCGCTGCGCCGGTGTCGCTGGGGTAATGCGATGCTCGTGCGCCCGCTTTCGGTCTCTCCCTGACTGCGTTCGACGATCAAGCTCGTCGGCGAGGTAGGAGATGGGGTGAGGCGACTGCGTCGGCGCTCGGGGACGGTGAGCAGAGGATATGCGTCGCGTTGAAGGCTGAGGGGGAGACTCTCGTCGGAGCGGTGGGGCGGGACGGTGATTGGGGTGATGCGAGGGACGTGATTGACGGGGTTGGCGAGACGAACGGCCGGGGGGCGGATGATGGCAGGGAACGACGGGCCCGCGAGGGGAACACACTCTCGTCGCTGTGCGCGAGTGAAGGACGGAGTCGCCTCCACGGGGGCGCGGCCGCTGGCTCCGCGAGATCCAAAAGGGCGGCGATGGGAATTTGGGCCGGGGGGAAAGCGAGAGAAATTGAAGTTGACTTCCCTCGATTGAGGATAAGGGATCGCAAAGGACGCCGTTTTGAGGAGGAACGAACGGATTCCCCTAAGGGAGGAGGAGGAGGAGGAAAAGAGAAGCAAAGGGAACGTGCCGTGATTTTGGTGTCTGCGGGAGGGAGAGAGAGAGGCACAGGAGAAAGTCTCCTTGGAGAAGCGACGAGTGAGGATGAATGGTCGATAAGAGGTCAATTGCAACAAAACGAAGGTGAATGAAATAAAATAAAATAAAAGGGAGGAGAGAGGGAAGGAACAATGCCTTCGTCAAAGGAAATCCTGGATTGTCAGGCTCAAATTTGGAGGCTGAAAGGTTGAAGCTCTCGACAAAGTTTGTTGGGTGAGAATCCCCGGATTCAGCTTGGTAGACGAGAGATAGTTCACTTTCCTTGCTATCACCACTGGATTTGACAATAATCTTAATTGAAATAATAATGGGCTTGTAGATGTGTTTATGTACTGTTAAACCCTCGATAGACAGCCACCATGGGTCCCATCTATACGACAATTAGCCCTCCAGCTCGAATTCGACCAGTCAATTGCCCCCGTTTCACTCTGATCTATCAACTACCCTCCCTTGTTCCACTATTTCTTTTGAACGGTGGCAGCACTCACAATTCAGAGCCTTCATCATGTAATACGCTAGGTTGAAACGCAAGGGTCCCTCGTTTGTCAAGTCCCCCCCCCCCCCACAGCCCAGACATCTCGCTTATACTCCTTGAAACACTAAGGATCCTCCTCATGGACAAAACGGAACCCTCCATACCCGACCAGCGTAAACGGCGCCCAGTAGAATGGACTCGACCAGTCCAACTGGTCAATAATCATCTTCAAGGTGAAAAGCAGAAATTCCGCATCAGGCACAAACTCGGCCGGACTACGGCCCCCTACTTCCGTAGAAGTCCAATTCTCCAGCATTCCGTCCAAAAGCATACCTGCCTTTTCACTATCGAGCTGTAAAAGATCCATCTGGGCCTTTCTCATTAGCTCTGCCACGGGGAGGTGTGGCATACTACTCAAATGGCGATAGAATAGCGTCATAATCAGCATGGATCCGAAGTCGCTCACTTTCCAAAGAGACCCGATGTATGCCTGGCAGCCAGTACTCAAGACCACATGGGAGAATCCCAGGACTTCACTGCCAAAGGTCGATTTACCGAGTCCACTAAGACATGCCGCGAAGACGAGGAGATGGACGCTGCTGCGGATGGCAGACATGTCGATTACTCGGAATTCTTGACCGTCGCCGATCGAAATTGATGAAAGCAGAGGATTGCGGTAGTTGACATCTCCATGAGTTCCGATGTGCATAATCAAGGAACCACCTTTGACGTATTCTCGGAAGTCGTCTCGGGTCATGTTGGATGCCTCGATCGGCCATGTTGCAAACATGCGGGCGATATTGACAGCTTCGATTCCTGCCATGTGGAGGTTGACCTCTTTGTTGCTTCGGGTTGCGTCCTCGAGTGCAGCCTCAGTCGGTGATTTAGCAAGAACCGATACCGTTGGGGTCATCGAAGCTGACTTTCTCTGTGAGAGGTGATGCAGTACAGTCAGGCTGGGTACTTGCGAGACCGCGGCGTGCATGATGAGTGGCTTCCCATCAAACACGAGACTTGCAAATGGGAACGCCGTCATAGGATCAGACATGGAGAAAATGACGTGCGACTTGCTGCGGATAATCTCTGTGAATGGTGCCAGTAATATGGCAGAGATTTCCTGGGACAGCTTGTTAAGAGCCGTCTTGCGTGCTTCCTCTTCTTTTCCAAGGTATCCAGTCATATTTCGCATTAGATGCAATACCTTCATTACGGGTCTCCGCATACCAACCACGTTGGTCGTCCCTTGATGTATCTTTTGAATGCCGTCCCGAGTCACTGCAAATGAAATGAATCCACGGGGACTGAAATTTGTCTCTATCACCACGGCATTCTCATCGATGCTTCGATACAACAGCCTTGGTTCGATAGTGGAATTGACAGTCTCGATGAAGGTCATCGCATTGGAGAGATTTCCATCTTTTTCCAACTCATCAATATCGTTGCGCAGCTGTGAAACCTCCTTTTCCTGCTCTGGGTTCAAGTTCCTCAAAGCAAGTAGTGACCGTAAAAGCCGTCTTTTGTGAACAGCTTCTGAAAGAGGGGCAGTATCAGGAACGTTGGGAATTCCAGGCGCTTGAACGGTTTGTGACTGTAGAGACTCGAGCACTGCCCTTGCTCTGCTAATCTCGATAAATAGTAGAGCATGTTCAAACCATGAAATATTGTCAAAATGACCATGTTTAAATTTTGAGATGAAGCTGACTGGAACCCCTGCCTCGTCCCACTTGAAACACAGACGCGCGAGATCCATAAACATCTCTGCACTCCAGCCCTGGCTGGAACTGCCGATTCGAGCATCCAGGTCTTTCGTCTGAATTCGACGGGTCTCGAGAATTTGGCGAGCCTCGAGGAGTTTGGCAAAGCAGATTTCAGGCTCCTCATCTCTCATGATATGCGCATAACAACTGATTCGTTGGGCAAAGTCAAGCGCACTCTCACTCATCTTTTCAAAGAAAGAAGGCCAGATACCTATGATGATATCAACAACTCGACGGGCTCGTTCCTTGTCGCCTGCGAATATAGCAAATGTGAGAGCGTTCTCGGCAGTCGAGGAAAATATAACTCGAACGCCAATCCCTTGTTGAAACTCGGCGAGTCTATCGTTGAACAACTCATTGTCATCGATAGAGTCAAAGATTTCACGGGCTCTCGCAGCATCTCCTATGCGCTCACACGCCAGGATGCGGAAGAGATCTCTGCAATACCCGCTTTCTAACTCCGTGGCATCGTTCACAAAATGGCGAAGCCTGTCCTCGGCCTTCACAATGTCGCCTTCATCCATCAGTCGACGGAAAAGGAAATCTGCAGAGGCGAATCTCACTGTGGCTGCATCGTCGGCCAAAGTTCTTCGCCACAGGCCCTTCACTTTGTTCAACGGCAACGAAAGACCGGGTTGGGTTAATTGCGCAAGCTCCTCATTTTCCATTCTTTCACGGAATGAGCGGAAACTCTCATCATTCTCAATCCAGAAACGGAGTTTATCGGTCCATTCTTCAAATTTCTCAAGATTCTCACTCCTAATGAAAATGTTGTTCACTTCTCTGCTGAATGTCCAGAGTATATTGAACTTGCTCGTCATCAGAGTCTTACGGTCCATCTGGCCCAAAGGCGTGTCCGGCGCGGAGTGGATCTTCGAATCCATAAACTCGGAAAGTCTCTCAACCATGGATATCGCTTCCTCGATGAAGATCTGGGATGCATCGGCGTTGAACATCTCGTGTTGTACACACGCTCGGGATGCCACGGATTGAAACATGGGTATCATGTCACCCAGTGGCTCGTACACTTCGTATGCACACTCCCACGCTAGCAGTGCGGCGTCCATGTTTGAAAATTTGAACCATTCTTGATGTGCGTATCTAGATAAGAGCATTCCAATAAAATGAGCCATGATCTCGTTTTTCGCTTCAACGCCCCATATGCCAATTGACTTGGCGATCGCCTTGATGCTACCCGGGTTTCCTCTCGTAATTCGTGTCAATATCAAGTGTGCCTTGACAAGTTGAGCATTCGCTTCATCCTTGCCAAACAATTTGAGAGATTCTTGCAGTTTGAGTTCGGACTCTCCGAGTATATCGAGCACCTGTTTGTGCAAGAGCCGTTCCTGACGGGCCTTATTATGCAGACAACAGCCTTGTCGAAGTAAAACAGCCGCCTGGCCGCGCTTGTTGTTCACTTTTTGGAAAAGATCGAGGGCAGACTCGTAAAGCTCTTGAACCCGGGGTCCATATTCATATGTGAGGTCCGATTCAATGGGATCCCAAAGAGTATCGCTCTGAGTGCAGTTGGTCACGTCGACAATAACCAGATTCAGCGTGACAGGGCTGGCAAACGGAGGGCTGATCAAACTGTCCGCTTCCAGCATCTTGGTATTCGCCATCCCAGAGTAATCTTCGAATCTTTCGCATCTTTCGTACAGTTCTTGCAAGAGTGCAGCTGATTGAGGACTTTCGCTTGCAAGATGCAATTCAACGACCAGTCGAAACATGAATGTCCCCATTCCAGTCACCCCGTAGGAATCAGCCGTATCGCGAAAATCGAGGAAAGGTTGGGCAACCTCAACGACCTCGGGGACTATGTCCTCTCTCGAGGCAACTGCCCGGCCTATAGGGCTGAGAGGGTGAAGTTTGTTGGTTAGATTCCTTGATCGCATCGGGAATCCGATAACAGTATTCAACATCGGACTCAATGCTTGGTCACGGGGTACACTGTGAGGTACATGCGTGGTAAAATTGCTCATAAAGCTTTCTGTGATCTTAAACGGACCGCTGATGTCGCCCAGCATGGAAATGTTGACTGGCTTCCCATTTTCATGATAGAAATGTAATAACGGGGGATAGCGCCGGCTGTAGTCGGTTAATGCTTTGTAGTTGGTGTATCGCAGCCCCCATTCCTTAGGTATTTGAGGTAGAAGACTTTCCAAGACTTCGAGACTTGCATATGCATCCGCTGGTCTGCCGATCAGTACTGAATATATGGCTGAACAACGAAGGTGCTCGGCGTAGACAGCAGGGTCCACCTCGGAGATTTCGGGTTTCGTCTGCTGCAGATAGTCTCCGGCAGCATCCAAGTCCCCACGATACTCATCCGTAAAGAGCGATCGGCCACAAAGGCCGACAAAGTGATCAAAGTCCATTTGACTTTGTCGGAAAGCGGCGATGGAGTTGTTAGATTTAGCTCTATAGCAAACTTTATGAAAAGCAATCTGGTGAAGCAAGTCAAAAGACCACCTAGGCTGGTCCATATAATAAGCAATAGTGGGGTTCTGGCGTGCCCGATGCTCCTCCCACGCTATCATGAAACCCTGAGAGCGATTCGTTTAAAATTTCCCGATTTGAATTGACCAAAATAAGCCTGGCTTGGTCTTTGCCCCGCGAAGGCAGCAGGGTAAAATCCACAGTAAATACCCTAGGAGGGGACAGGGGACACGCCACTCATTATTATCATCTTCTTTCCCCGGCTGCGATCTGTAGATTTGCATACGAATTCTTGGCATTTCACAAGGCTACCAACAATATGGGTGCTGGTGATGACTCCTCGTTCTTCTTGTATGGTGTCGGGGAACGGCCCGAGGCTCTGACCCTGGGTTCATTGGTGCTGGAGAAGTACTGGCAGCCAATGATTGCCCGCCACTATACCCACGATCAATTAAGGTACACGTCGTCCCCTCGTCGCAACCTTGACCAAAAGGTAACTGACAATTCTAATAGTGAAGAAGAACTACAAGAGCATGCATACACAACGCACGCAGATAATCTCGTCTTTCATGGATCCTCCCGCATCTCGCCCGCCGTGGGCGTCGAGGGTGGAGATATCGTCAACCTCGGCCTCGCCTACCACAAGGAAACTGAGCGTGTTGTAATCGCAGAGAAAGGAACTCGAATGATTCTGAAAGAGTATTTCTCCCTTGCTATCGATCTTTTTTCATCACTGAACTACTCTCTAACACTCTAATAGCCCTGAAGAATTCCTTACAACCAATGTCCTGGCCAACCCACAGGCACAGCAGAAACTAAAACTCTGGCTATCCGCTGCTCATAGCTCTTACGTACTCAATTTCAAATTCGCTCGTCGCCCCAAGGTATGGCTACTCACCGGTCTATATCTACTCGAGAAAACGCGCACGATTGTCTCTACGGGACAATCAGCAGATGTATCGGCTGGCGTTTCCTCCGCAATTGTCGGGGCTCTATCTGGCGTTCCGATCGGTGGGTCCGTCAGTCTGGGCATAGGGTCCTCCTGGGAGATGGCGATGGAAGTGGCTGACCCACACGTCTGGGCGGCCCAGTTTCGACTGTTGGATGCCCGCTTTATCAAGATGGGTAAAGGCGGCGCGGATGGAGTGAAACTTCCAACGACGATGGGCCTTTATCGAGATGTCATGTCAGTTCGCACCGCCCGAGGAGCGCAGGACAACACGGTCGAGCTTAGTCTTAAGAAAGAAGAGGATGATGATGATGATGATGATGATGATGATGCAGAGGAGACCTCTGTGGACGACCAGGAAAGCGAGGAACTGGAGGAGTACGAGAAGCGACTAGAGCAAGCTATCAAGATTTTCGAGACGGCCCCGAAGCACTTCCTACAGTAACTGGGTTTTTGTTATCTATGCTATTTGCATTGTACCAGGACGAGACATCTGAATTGAATACATCAAGCATTGTGTCATTATAGATTATGTGCAGTGAATGTTATGATATGTAGGTATGACTGATTAAGCCAATATTGTCCGAACTCCCAAGAGTCCCCGAAAAAGAAAAGAAAATGTAAAAGAAAGAAAGATAGGAGGGTATCAAAAAAGCAACGACTATAACTTGCGGTTGGCGGAAGCCTGCATTCGGCGCATTGCTTGGCGATGCAGGTCTGTCATACTTCCTCCGCGTTGCATCCTATCGGCAATGGTATTCTCAACCTTGGCTGCCGAGGATTCGCGCAATTTCTGTACGGATCCCCAGGAAGCCCGTGGTCTTTCGGAGTTTGCAGGTGTCCCGGGAGAAGGAGGGTGGGATAGTGGGTCACGTCGTTGAGTAATATCTTCTCGAACGGATTGACGCCAGGCAGCCATGACAGCTGCGGATCGGCCAGAGTTAGGCGGGCTTTGTGGTGGTGATCGAGGCGACTCGATGCTCTGGAGACTTGATACAGAAGGAGACTGAATAGTTTGGCGCTGTAACATGGCACGGCGCTTGGACAGTGGTATGTCGTCTGCATCTTCGGCAGTATCTGTCCCAACATACTCGTCTCTTTCCTCTGGGATTACCAGAGGCGGTGAGGCAATTATGGTTGGGTCAGCCAGGGACAGGCGGGACTGACTGCGTGATGCGTAGGGATCGTAGCGAAGGGAGGTAGAAGACATTCGATTTCGCACCATGTCTTCACGAACAGCAAGAAGAGGGGGAGGGCCACTCCATTTTGGAGAATCGGATGTCTCTTCCTCTTGGTTGGGAGTTGTGATGGTAAGGAATGGAGTCGAGACGCTTCGTATCGGAACAGGCTTTTGCTCCTTTTCCTGCCGTGGGAGCAGGGAAGCAGAAGAGATATTTCGAGAAATTGGCGGCGATATAGCACCCGACATGCTGTACATGTTATCGCTCATATTAAATTTGGAGACTCCAGCAGGCGGTACGTTAGAGCCATTGGAGCGTCGACGATGGTGCTCTGGGCTTGTAGGCATCTGCTCAGGGCTGTTGATAACGGGAGGAGGTAATCCGTTCAACGGCGTCTGAAGGAGCCCTGCCACATTCACCGGTGCTGCGACTTCTTCGGTCTCGGTTGGATTTTCGGGATAATCACAGTCTTGCTGGATGGGTTCAAGCTCGGGAAATTCAGCGTTGGCCAAATGCTTTGCCCACTCATTGGTGCGGAATGAGTTGACCACCATGGATGTTTGCTCGGGAATTTCTTTCACAGTCGATGCGTCAAGCTTAGCGCTGACACTTTTCTTCAAGGGCTTTGTCTGGGACACTGAATCGGGTTCACGCTCGACTTGGTTCGCGGGCTCTCGAGTTTCTTCTTTGGCGTTCTCCTCCTTGTCCTCGTCCACTTTGTTGGCCACCTGATTGACGTCAGGTAATTGGCTTTCCTGAACTTGCTCCTCCTCGTGGCCATTCTCTCGAGTGGCCTCTGGGGTGACCTCTTGGACATATGGAGCTTCTTGGGAGTTCGGCTGGACTTGCAAGGCAATACACTCAGCCTGCTTTGGCTGGCTGGCGTCTTGATCATGTGTCGCATCAGTATGTACTTGCTCTTCAGTGTCGTTATCCCGGTGTATCTGGAAACCATTTCCGCTTCGTGCTGGCTCGTTGATATTCTCCTTGTCTCCTACATGATGGGGAAGAGAAGAGCCCACTTGCCCATTAGCCTCAGTTGGAGCACCACGAGGTGCTTGAGAGTTGAGTCCGGACTCGGTCACTTCAGCAAGCACATTTTTCACTGGTAGCTTGTCTGAGACTATCTCCTCGTGTATTTTCTCATCCATCGCATCATGGCAGTCAGAGACTACACTAGGGCAAACCGAACAGGCATCATCCACGACACCAAGAATGGAAGAGCTAGCATCGTCTTGCACGACCAAGGCCTCCTCAGACTCGGACTTCCCGTTGAGTTTTGGGCTCAATGGACTGTTAACACTACGCCAGGAAAGCCTGTTCATCAGTGACTTCCCAGAGAAGCGCTTGGATCGTGGCGAGCCTGGTTCCGAACCGACCACAGCACCATGTTCGGAACCGGTATCTTCACGTAGAATTGGCTCAGGCCACATCGTCACCGGCCTTGCCGTTGATAGCCCAACATCCTCGGTTTCGATATGCTTCTGTTGATCGTCGGCTTGGCTAGTGTGACCGTCCTGATGTTCTCCAACAGTTTCCGCTTCAACCTCTTCCACGGCGTCGAGGTTTCTTCCGGATTCAGATGCGCCGGCTGAATTTTCAGGGGCTGACATATCTTTCATCTCGATCGATGTTTCCTTTTCGGGGTCGTGAGTTGTAGACTCGAACCCATCCGAGCCCCGACGGGAGTCGTCTGCGACAGCGGTTTCGGTCATAGAAGCTTCTTTGCCGGCGGCACCGTTACCGTACATATTCTCCCATTCGGTGCGTTCTCGGAGATTCTTCTCCTCCAATTGTCGACCAACTTCTGCCTCTGCCTCCTCATTCTTCTTCTCGGCTTCTTTTCGAGAGGCCTCCTCTTTGGCTCGACGTTCTTTGATCACTTTCCAAAGCCTCATTTGTGCGATAACACCGAATATGGTGATAATGACGGTGATAGCGAGTTCAACACGGATGTTGCGAGTCACCGGGTACGTGTTCGTGCCTAGGGGGAACATGCTATTGTTCAGACCTAGAGATCAAGTTAGCAACAATACATACACCTCATGCGGCCGGTATCTTTTAAGCTCACCCCATATATAGAGCCAAAACTCCTTCAACCCTGCCCGGCTGTAGCAGTCGATACCAAGAACCAAAGCCGTTGCACCCGAGATGGAAGTGCCGAGAATCAACCCGTAAGAGCGAGTATAATGGCTGAAGGAGAGACACCAGAAACCCACCGTGAATGCAATAATGAATCCGGTCTTCGCTGCACTGCCGGTCAGAAGGCCGCCTGACTTGACAGTCAAGAACCACATTCCGGTACAGAAGCCACCCAAAAGACATCCGAGTCCTTCGGTAATTTCTCTGAACACCAGTGCTAGTCCGCCAAAAATGGCACCAGTGAAGAAGGCCGCAACCAGATATCCACCTTGGATCGCATTGCTGACAGGCGGATTCATCACGTAGACAATCAGTACCTGTTTCACAGTTAGTCTTGGCCTGCTATAAGAGTGGCATCGATCCAAACGCACTGTAACACCCAACGCCGCAAGGAAGCCCGTGGATAAGAAAATATGAACCCTAATCAACATTAGCGAGGTGAATTCCCAATATAGGTAATCCCAATTACCATTGCTTGCGTATTCCAATAAACGCCAGAGCTGCTCCTAGCAGTAGCAGTATGATACCACCCACACCCCAGGCCGGGGTAATTTGCGGTTGGAGTGGCAGACCACCAGTGTACTTCTGTTTTGTTCCATCTTCACTATCACTACTCGAGTCTGTAGAGCCGTCTAATGAAGGAATAGTTGTCGCAACGTAGGTAGAATGGCTGGTTTTCGAAGAGGTCGTATTATTCGATGTGGTTGTGACAGCTGTGGCTGTGGCTGCTGTTGCCGCTGCACTATCCGTGTTCGTTGTAGTCACTGTAGACGTTTGACTGGGCGAATTATCTGCACCTGTAGTTGTCGCATCGGGTTCCGCTCTCTTTTCGACTGTCGTGAAGGCATCGTCATTTCGTTGTGCAATGTCCCTCGCAGGGGCAGATAATGCAACTCCGAAGAGAAGCACCAGGATCCAAGTGCTGAATAATGACCACCGCATCTTGCCCTTGTATCTCAGTGTTCAATGGCTCGGCTTCAGAGCGAAATCTCTCCAGTGCGAAGGGTATATTGTGTCGGGTAAGTAGAAAGACTGGTTTCAAGCCCGACCACACATATCCAACAAGACTCTCCAAAGTTGCAATGTCCCGTGTAGTCGTCAAAGTGCGATCGTGAACACGATAGGGGGCGCCAGTTATTAGATTATTAGATTAAAAAGAAAAAGTTAAAAGCTGCGGCGAGTTGTGGACCCATTGGGCCAAAGGCGATGAAATAAACAAGAGCAAAAGTCTTCCAAAAAGCAGATCCAGCCCCGAGATCCCCTACATATAAACGATTGATGACACCGCTAGTCAGGAATTCCAGAACGACGCGGGGCTCCCGGATACTGGGCTACATTCTTTTCGCTGATTTGAGTTTTCGGGCAGGCCAAGCGACAAGGAATTGGACAATCGACGCCCACGCGAGACTGGGCCAGGGACGAGTCAGTGAGCTATCCAAAAGCCCCACCGATCAAGAGGTCGACGATCGAGCAAGGATCAGCTGCCTGTGAACGCATCAGTGGCGGACCCTCAGGACGAAAAGAGATTAGGAGGTTCGCTGATTGCTGGGATTCGAAATTAGCCCCTCTCGTATATCCCCAATCCACTTTGTCGGACCTGATAGTCGGCCCACCGACCTGGAAGTTTTTCGTGTCGAGCATTTGTTACATACATACGGAGTACATCCTACACTACTCTAACGGCACAATTGCCGGGGAACTTGCACAAACCGGTTAATCTTGTTGATCATACCACGGCAAGAATCAAGATGGTCAAACCCCCTCAACGTTGATCCTGTCAATCCCCAGGTCAACCCGCGGAATGCGGGCAGTCAGGGTATTGCTCATGATCCATCACATTATCAAGTCAGCCCCCTATATGTACTCTCCAAGGCTGTAAGCTATGCAATAGAACATAGCATATAATATATGTATGTACTGGATACCTACACATCGATGCACCAGCCATTCTGCACTGCTCGCGTACATTTCCCGACTCACCGTAATTATTTCTCGCGCCATTGAAAATCTGCAAGTCCAGGATCCGACAGTTCTCAGGAACGAAAAAGGGGACGTGCTCGGAGGTATCGACGCCATCCGCAACTAGGGGTTCACTAAGTGGGTCGTGGGCCCCGATCTGTCGAGTTATCAATTGGATCTGTGCTGTTCCTTTTCTGCTGATGCATGCAGGACCAGTTGGCCTATCACAACGGCCAGCACGCCTGCCGTGCGTTGTATTGTTCCTGAGATGGTTGGGCCCAGAATTGACTTTGGCTTGCCGAGTCTTGCCCGAGTTCTGCGAAGCTCAGCAGGGCCACAAGGCAAGGAGTTGCACTGGCTGCATCTGAGACATAAGACAATCTTAATTTGGCACCAAGATTCTTTCCCCTATAGACCCTATAGGATGAACGAGTCAATCAGCGGTGGAGATGGTCCCATACGATCGGGTTGTGCTGGCAGACAACTGGCGCTGATTTGTCCCTGAGGATGGTTGGCTCTCTGTTTCCCGTGGATAATTGTGACAGAAACCACAAGCTGAGGCTGGTGCATGCATATACACGTGTAGGTTGAATAGACAATGGTCTAGATCATAATAATGCGTGCTGCACGGAGTATATACTCCGTAGGGAGTATTGGGCCCTGCAGTGCCATTATTATACCGATTAGTTTGTACCATTGAAGAATTATTCGGAAAGACGCCGCGCCAGAAATTCCCAGTGATTCCAGCGTCTCTTTCCTAGGTGCTAACCACCAATGAAGAGAAATTATAGGGGCTGGTGCAATAGACCTCGATTATTTGGTCTTCCCAAACCGACAAGCGGGAAATGATATCGAAAAAGTATTTTTCGGGTTTTACGCTGATCATAGAGATGTGATAGGCCTGTTCGATTCCTAAGCCTGGAGCTTCCATCCATGGATGGCCGGGTAATTGTTCAAGCTCGGAGATTATGAATTCCATTCTGGTCTAAATTCAGGATCGATTGGAAAGCCAGCCAGGGAGGCTCGACTGCCCAACGTTCGAGATCACATCATGGAGCCTGATATTCAAGGCTTGAAACGATAACTAACTTATCCATAAGGCAGCGAGTGCCCTCGACTGTAGTCACAGTAGTCAGTGCATTAGAAGCTTTTTCTGCCGAGATCTGAATGATGGAAGGCAATAAGTCGAAAGAGATCACAGAGTTGCTTTCCGGACATATCGCAAGAAAAATGGTAATTCAATTTAAAGCCCGGGACTATGAGTCTTCCCCATAGGCCATGGAACGGTGGTGAGTGGAAGTATATATTTCTGATCTATCAGTCATGCAATTTCAGGCAAGATGCAGCACCAATCATTTGTATGGAATCCAGTCCTCGTATATTTGAAAATATCTATCTCAAAATCCTCTTATACTCCGAAATGAAGGCCATCTCCATCTATTATATTGACTACAAGCAGTAAAGAACAGAAACGATCCGATGGCGATGAAACATCACGTGCCCCGCATCCGTCATCCCCCCACATGCAAAGGGGACGCGGTGTTCACTGCGGAAGTTCCATGAAGCTAATCTACGAAGCAAACGTTGCTTCAATTCTTTGAATTACCTTGAGTGTGGTGAGAGCATGGACACCTCACTTTATCAACCCTCTTGCCCCTAACCTTCCTGCGATCCCAGTCAACCAATCGTCCGCCACCTCATTGACTGGTCTTCATCCAGCTCGACATGGATGACCTGAACGGGCTGAGTTGGTCAACCAACTCCAACGCGCCCACCAACAAACCTCCTCCCATGGGCTCTGGCTTCGCGTTCCCCAATGTCCGACCAAATGGTGCCTCCGGTAGATCAACACCGATGTCCGCAGCTTCAAATCGATCCAATTCGCCATCGAAACCGCCCGCCTCCACCGGAGACAGCTTTGCAAACTTGGTCTCATTCAATTCCTCTGCTGCGAACAAAAACATTTCCCTGGTAGAACAGCAGAAGAGATTACAGGAGGAAAAGGCTAAGAAGGCCGCAGAGGACCGCAGGCGGTATGATGCGCAATACGGAGGTCAGAACTCGCAGTTCTGGGATACCTTGGAGCATGGCCGTACCCCGAGCCCTGCGACGGCTCCGATCTCAAAAGTATCGCCACCAGCAGATGACCACGATATACTGGCTGCGTTTAGTGCTGCTGCGCCGGTCGATGCATCGACGAACTTCCCAGTCCCAAGTTCCAACGCTTCTCCCCAGGTTGGTACGAATTCGCGACAAGGCACACCCAGTGCCGGGATAACAATGCTGGATAACTCCGGGGGCTTGGGCGCATTTGGCGACGATGATGACGATCCGTTTGGTCTCAATCAATTGAAGCCAAAGTCAACGCCGGCTCCGTCGCAAGTTCCAGCAGACGACGACGATTTCCTTGGGCTACTAGGAAAACCAGTGTCGGAGATTCCTCGTCAGCAGGCGCCACCGGAGCGGACAGTTTCCTCCAACCGCGATCGCGAGGACCAATCTGCCTCTCCCATGCCTTCGAACGAAGTTGATCGAGCAATTGCAGAGCTGGTAGATATGGGATTCCCGGCGGACAAGTCACGGCAAGCCCTGAGGACTACGGATTCAGGGACCAATGTCCAGGCGGCTGTCAGTTGGCTTCTTACTCAAGCACACGCTGAATCAAGGCAGAAATCCCAAGGCCGATCTCCTGCACCACCTCAGTCTGGCGATCGCACGGAACGAAGTGACAGTCGACACCGCGATGCGCCTTCCTGGGCGAGGGAAGTTAGATCGCAACCTCCGCGGTCGCGCGACGACAGTCGAAGCCCTGGCGTTGGAGAAAAGGACCCTGCACAAACAGCCTCTCAATTCGGCAACAACTTGCTGAAGACTGCTGGGTCGCTTTGGAAGACCGGAAGCAAGAAATTCCAGCAAGCTGTGAATGAATTCAATGCCGATCACGACCCCAGCCAGCCCAAGTGGATGCGGGATGCATCTGCGCCTCGCGAGGAGCCCTTCCCTCAGCAGCCGCCACGACGCGGTGGTGAAAGGGATCAGGCGCAAGTGCAGCCCCAAGACTTCACTAACGAAGCGCTGCTTTTGGAAGCTCGCGATTCTGGACCGCCTCGAAAGCCTGTTCGCCCGCAGGATCAGCGCCAACCCGCCCCGGCTGGTGGCGACCCGCGTCGCCAGCCATCGCCAGCCACCCAACATCTGCAGGAAGCGAACTTCCTCCAGCGACCATCACGACCAAATTCTACAGAACCAAAATCTCGTCTCTCCCGATTTGCTGCCGAGGAACAGTCAGCGCAAGCATACGTTAGCCCGGCAAGGCGGCGACGGCCTCAAGCGCCACCACCGGCAGCCGAGCCCAACGTCGATCTCTTTGATTCTCCCCTTCCATCGTCACAGCCACCGAGCCGAAGCCCTCAAACTCAGGCTCGACCGCCACCAGCACGTACGGCTTCTATTCCAGTGCGCCCCAAGGCTCCGGCCCGGTCTATACCGCCCGTATCTGCAGAGGCTCTGCAGTCAACTCACCGCCATCGCGAGAAGGCTGCAGATGCGTACAAGCGGGGCGACTATGCAGCTGCACACCAAAGTTTCTCTACTGCTCTCGACATGCTTCCTGACCAGCACCCCATTACGATCATTGTTCGCAGCAACCGAGCGATGACTGGTCTAAAGATCGGTGAGCCTAAGGGCGCCATCGACGATGCTGACATCATCTTGAAATTGATCGGACCGTCAAAGGGCGAGGAAGAGACAATTGACCTCGGCAATGGCGAAGCCGCCAAGCCTATGAAAGACTTCTTTGGAAAGGCGCTTATGCGCAAGGCCGAGGCTTTGGAACAGCTTGAACGATGGGCAGATGCAGCACAAGCTTGGAAGTTGGCTGTAGAGTCCGGACATGGCGGAGGCACTAGCATTCAGGGCAGGAACCGATGCGAGAAGGCTGCTGGAATCGGCAAACCTCCGTCGAAACCCTCAGCGCCGGTCAAAAAGAGACTGACTCCCGTGCCGAAGAAGACATCTGCGCTGTCAGATCTCTCCGGCAGTGCTGCGTCTGGCCAAGACTCGGAAGCTGTTAGCCGATTGCGGCAGGCTAATGAGGCTGCCGAACGTGCCGACGAGGAGAAATTCGCTCTTACTGACAGTGTTGACGCGAAGATTGGTGCATGGAGGAATGGCAAACAGGATAACCTGCGTGCGCTGCTTGGTAGTCTCGACACTGTGCTCTGGCCGGAATCCGGCTGGAAGAAGATTAACTTGTCAGAGCTGGTCTTGCCGAACAAGGTCAAGATTCAGTATATGAAGGGTATTGCAAAGGTTCACCCTGACAAGGTATGTTCTAGTCTTTCAAATTGGTCCCCCCCCTCGATATTGTTGCTAATGACTTCTCAGATTTCGACAACTGCCACTACCGAACAGCGTATGATTGCTGGTGCTGTGTTCGGAACCCTGAATGAGGCCTGGGACAAGTTCCGAGTGGAAAATAATCTGTGATATCGGCAGTTGGATTGCTGATCGGGCTTATGGCAGCTCTTCTGTTACATGCCATGATTTCTGAAGCATCTTGCCACACCTTGCCTTCGTTTAAGAGCACCTTTTTTAGAACATAGCCCATTTATGGCCTTTGGTGGCCAATATGCACATGAGATTATGACTTCAACTCCCAATACTATTGTGTTTGACTCCCTCAAAGGCCTATTTGTTTTACTATTTCTAGAGTTGTAGTCCTTCTACAATCGGCCATATCAAGCTTAGGGACGAAGAGACCCGGATCGTTGATTGGAGTAAAGAACGCTTTTATCGATGATTTATGTTAAAAGTACACCTCGTCATATGCATTAATACAAAGCAAGCCGATATCATGCCTCGCTCGTCTCCGTAGCTTGCTGTTCTTTCTCCTCCTTCTCCTCTTGTTGTTCTCGAAGACGCAGCTCCTTGAACTCCTTCTTCTGTTGCTTTCTGGTCTTGGGAGCCATCTTCTCTTCAGCCTCCAGCTTATCTGACGGCCACTTTCGTCGGCATTTCTGTTCGTCTTCCTCGGACCAGTCTCGAGGAAGAATGGCGAATACCAAGTAGGAGGTATGCGTTTTGATCTCCGACTCTGTGCGATGCACCAGGCGACCCAAATTGTATGTGGGCACAGTTTGGTCCTTGGGGGTACTGGTGGTGTCTTCCTCGGTGAGGTTGGCCCTGGTGCCCTCTAGATGGGCTGTTCGCAATCTCTTTGCTCGTTCATCGTCGGTTAAAAGCTTCGACATTGCCTCGTCCACAGACTTGGGGAACACAGTTGCTCCGCGGACACCCTCACAGTCTAGGCCGATACGCTCGCGTTTCACATCGATTCGGTGGTGGTTGACCTCGACCATGGAGATATCCAGCCATCCCAGCTGGCGCATCAAGCGGACCGTGCGCTCGACTTGCTCCAGGCATGGGGAGAATGTGCACAGATAGGCTGTTGAGGAGGGGTCGAGGGGAGATTCTGTTCCAGAAGCGGGCTTGCGGACGAGGTGCTTCAGAGCAAGCCATGGAGCAGGCAAATCCAGGAAGATGGCGCTGGCCTTGGGTGACCGGCCGGTCTTGGGGTCGCCCAGCAGGAAGCCATCCTCGTAGACGTCGCGATGCGTTACCTCTACTAGACCGTCGAGACCGTGTTCTGAAATCTCCTCCTTTACTCGGGCCGCTCTTTGCTCGTGGAATTCGAAACTGCACACCTTTCCTAACCTCCGCTTCTTGGTCGCGGACTTCTCGCTGGGATACCCATTGAATACAGCGCGAACGGCTGCGTGAGTGAACGAGCCACTTCCGGCTCCGGCTTCGATAACGGTACCACCAGCACGCGCGCGAAGTCGGTGGAGGATATAGCTGTAATCGGGGGTGTAGACGACCTGGGTTCGATGCGGAAGGGACAATGTCCAGGACTCGGGAGTAGGGTAGGTGAGGTGAAGGAAACCACTAGAGGCAGCCTCGGGTTTCTTCAAGGAGGAACTGTCTTCGGCGCCTGTCGTGGTGCCGGATGCTTCGAGTTCCTCAGCTTTGCGCTTGTTGCTAGGCTTCCGGCCTCGGGAGCCCGTATCGACCTTGGAGGCGACGATTTGTGAGCCCCAAGGCTGATTGATCAAAGTGCTGTGTGGGAAAGAGCCAAAACGAGTGTTCGAGACCTTTCCTTCCTTGTAGCCTAGGTTCTCATCGTCGGTGGCGCGGAGGATGGTCGGGATGGTCTGGTCGCGGCGCAGATGCAAGAGCGCGACGTCGTCGGCCTGCGCAACGGACCCGGGGGTCAAGAATGGAGAGGGCATGGCGAGAGAGCTGATCGACTGGGCGCAGGGAGCTTTTTTGAGCTCCGGTTCTTTTGTATGTCGATCGCGCAGCGAAAAGCTAAAAAAGGTCGAGAACGCCGCAACTTTGCGCGGAGAAAAAGCTGGGCGGCATTTCCTCTTTAGGCAGTTAGGGTTCAGGGCTCCGCAAGGTGTCCAACGCAGGGGCCAATCAGGCCAATCAAAGCGGTGGACGGCGACGATGACTCGATCTGTCTTTCGTCCCTGCCCCTCTTGTTTTGCGTGGTCCGCTCTCTCTCTTTATGCCCCTCCTCCCTCGCTCCTTTCTCCTGCCCAAGTCGCGGTTTCTGTTTTCCTCCATATCAGTCATCTCCGCCAGGCCCATGTCGTCTCGTCAACAGCCGCCATGGCGGCAGCCTACCTCGCCGACGGGAACAGAGCTCCCACCGTTGCAGATGTGGAACTCGCTGACCAAGTCTAAGACGCCCTTTGTTCCGATTGACCCAGCTGGCAAGAAGGTGTCTTGGTATGCCTGCGGACCGACAGTTTACGACGATTCGCATTTGGGACATGCCCGCAACTATGTTAGCACCGATATCATTCGGCGCATTATGCGCGACTACTTCAAGTTCGATGTCAACTTTGTTATGAACATTACAGACGTTGATGACAAGGTAAGGCAGTGACTCTTTGCCTTTGAGGCCGTGAACCACTAGGCGCAATGACTCATACATTCCATAGATCATTCTTCGTGCCAGACAACAGTACCTTTTCAACGAATACGTCGCCGCGAACCCCACTATTACGCCAGAGGTCTTGGACACTACCAAGAAGGCCTATACCGCATATCTAAAGAAGAACTTGACGTTGCTCGACCCCGAACTGTCCCCAGCACAATATCAGAAGGAAGTCGAGAAGGCATATGCGACGGTTCTGAGTGGAGGTGCGCTGCCGGGTAACGAAAAGGCCGGTGATGATGAGGCCAAGGTCAAGATGCACATCAAGACTGTGGCATCGGCTGCCATAGTCCTGAGCAAAGCCGAGGGTAGCACCGCTAGCGACCCGGCGCTATTTGCGGAATCTTTCTACACCAGCGCACAAGATGTCCTCCTGCCCTACTTGGACGCCCTCAAGGGCTCCTCAATTGACGCCGACGACCACAGCATTTTCACGAAGCTGACGAAGAAATACGAAGAGCGATTCTTGAAGGACATGCGAGACCTGAATGTTCTCGATCCTGATGAGTTGACCCGCGTGACAGAGTATGGTGCTGAGATTGCCGATTTCGTTGAGCGTATTGTCAAGAACAAGTATGGCTACGTCACTGATGACGGCTCTGTCTATTTCGATATTAGCGCCTTTGAGGCAGCAGGTCACCCGTACGCACGTTTGGAGCCCTGGAGTCGATCTGATAATAAGCTCGCCGCCGAGGGCGAAGGCTCTCTGATTACCAAGACTACCGAGAAGCGCAGTGCTTCCGACTTTGCTCTCTGGAAGTCTTCTAAGCCCGGAGAACCAAGCTGGTCCAGCGCCTGGGGCAAGGGTCGTCCTGGATGGCACATTGAATGCTCGGCCATGGCCTCGGCCCGCCTGGGCAAGCAGATGGATATCCATTCTGGTGGTATTGATCTTGCTTTCCCGCATCACGATAATGAGCTGGCCCAGAGTGAGGCATACTGGGATGACGGCCACCAACATGAGCAGTGGGTCAACTACTTCTTGCACATGGGCCATCTGTCCATTCAGGGCTCCAAGATGTCCAAGTCCCTGAAGAACTTCACCACCATCCGGGAAGCTCTTGACCGGAAAGACTGGACACCCCGGAGTCTGCGTATCGTCTTCCTTCTGGGTGGCTGGAAGGAGGGCTGCGAGATCACCGATGAGCTGGTTAGCACTGGCAACGCCTGGGAGGACAAGGTGAACAACTTCTTCCTCAAGGTGAAGGATGCGGCTGCTTTCCAGGGCTCATCTGCCGACACTACCTTTGCTGCTGATGTGGAAGCCGCCAAGACTGCAGTGCACAAGCACTTCTGCGATTCCTTCAACACGCCCGGTGTCATGCAAACCGTCTCAGAGCTCATTACCAAGTACAACAGCGCCGACAAGGCTACCTTGAACCCCAAGGATGTTGAGTCTGCTGCTCGCTTGGTGACCTCGCTTGTCAACACGCTCGGCTTGAACGGGGCTACGCCCGCCGACAGCACCGAGATTGGTTGGTCAGGCATTGATGTTCCCGAGGAGGCCAAGCCTTTCCTCTACCCCCTCTCCACTATGCGGGATACTCTTCGTCAAGCGGCCCGCTCCAAGGAGGGCATCTCACCGCAGCAGATCGAAGAGGCAGTCAAGGAATCCTCTCCGTCCGATGTCTCCGACTCGGCTAAGCCTTACGCCGAGGTTTTGTCGAACTTCCGAACCAAGGTCTCCTCTCTCAAATCCTCTGACTCAGTTGGCAAGGACATTCTCGCCCTCTGCGATCGCGTCCGGGATATCGATTTGTTCGACCTGGGTGTCTATCTCGAGGACCGGGACAACCTCCCCGCACTTGTCCGTCCCGTCACCCGTGAGATGATCCAAGCTCGGGAGGAGAAGGAAGCTCGTGCCAAGCAGAAGCTTCTGGAGAAGCAGAAGCGGGAGCAGGAAGCTTTGAAGCAATTGGAGAAGGGCAAGCTGAGCCACCTGGAGATGTTCCGAACCAACGAATACAGCGCCTGGGATGACGAAGGTCTGCCCACTCGTGACGCTGCTGGTGAGGAGCTCACCAAGAGTCGCACCAAGAAGCTCCGCAAAGACTGGGAGCGCCAGAAGAAGGCGCATGAGGCGTGGCTGGCTAGCCAGGCCAAATAGGCGCATCGTTCAGCACCATAAAAAGCCTTTCTATCATTTTGTTTTAATTTTTCGCGGTTATCTCGGGTGGTTCTTCGGACATGCATCGCGGGGCGTTCATTTAGGTCTATCGTATTGCACAAGTACATCTATACGCATGTATCTGTTTAAGGCATCCGGTTTCCCTCGTAAGCGTTTAGGCTAAATTCCCCCCACATTTACCAAAGCTGGAGATGTAAATACCCACCCATTCTATTTCAGTCTTCCTACCATTTTGTATTGAGCCATGCTTGAACAGGTATCGTACGAATCTTGGCCATTGGCTCGTCGGAGCATCTCCGATGCAGGCTTGTTTGCCACGAAGCCAGTGGCATGAACTGGCGCCGTGAATCTCGCCCCTCTCCACATCGACGTGGGCGCATGGGGACACCGGGTAACCTGCCTCGTTGGGTATCTCAAGCGACCGCGGGCGTTTAGAATGAGGAGGTGGGACGTTGTGATGTGTCTCTCGGTGAGAGGTATCCTTTGTTCTTCCACCACCTCTCAACCTGTGTCCTGCACAGCTTCCCCAAGTTAGATACTCATCGACACCCATCAGAGTTCCCTTTCCTGCCACCAATCTATCCAAGATGGCAACTCAAACCGGCCTTGATTACATGCGCTCGCGCACAATGGTGGACTGTGACACCTTGGATGAGGAAGGTGTGTATTACTGACCACAATGCGTGTTCACTATTGACCAGACGATGTATAGTTGCCAGAACTCTGGGTCCTTTCCAGGATTGCACATCTAACCAGGTGAGTATACCGAAGGACACTTCATTTACTGCCTGCTTGCATACGGCTGACTCTGTACCCCCAAGGCCATTGCATTTGGCGAGCTCTCCAACCCTGCACGGACTGAGGTCGTCGTAGCATCCAAGGCCGATGCGAAGGTCTTGCATTCCAAATACTCTTCTATTAGCGTTGAAGAGTTGGCTGTGGAGATTGCGGTAATGATTCCAAACTAATTTTCTGCTACAATATCTAGTGACTGATATGCTTGAACAGATGGTGCGCCTTGCTGTTGGAATGGCGAAACATATTCGTGGGCTCGTTCATGTACAGACTAACCCTTACTATTCGTACTCATCAGAGAAGACTGTTGTGAACGCTCTCCGTATGCTGTCTTCTATTTCCTGCACCGGAGATTGAATTATCAAGAAACTGACATTTATGTCAAAGGAATCGTGCAGCTGTTCCAGCATGTCCAACCCGGCTTCGATGTAGCCCGCATTGCCATCAAGATCCCAAGTACTTGGGACGGCATGATGGCGTGTCGAACGCTTGAGCTGGCCGGAGTTCGTACCCTTGCCACCACTCTCTTTAGCATGCCGCAGGCAGTGCTTGCTGCCGAAGTGGGCTGTACATACGTGGCCCCGTATGTGAACGAGCTCAAGGTCCAGGTAAATTCAGGGTCAGTAAATGTCCCCAACATCAGAAACTTCCGAATATAATACTGAGGAATATCAAAGAATCGTGGACGATCAGAAGTTGCTACGTCTTTGTGTCGCCATCCAGCAATACTACAAATCTGTCCCAGCTCCGACCAAAGTTCTGCCGGCGAGCTTGACATCTACTGAGGAGATCTTTATGCTTGCCGGGGTGGACCATCTCACGATTGCACCCCATCTGCTGGCTCAACTGACACAGCCTATGTCCACTGATGTCACGTCCTTGTTTGATTCCGCGGCACTCGAGCCCGTTCCTCCGGCAGGCACCTCGTATGTGCACGACCACGGCCAATACCAGATTACATTTGCTCGTGATAGAGGTGGAGCTAGCCAAAGAAAACTGACTGAGGTATGTAAAATTGAAGATCATAAATTGAGAGGATCTTCGTTGACACAAAACGCTTAATAGGCTGTGAACATTTTCTGTGACTTCCAGGACAAGCTGGAGAGCATGATGAAGGCTGTCGCTTAAACATACCACCTATATGAGACAAATAATGAGAATTCGTTACATTATTGATCGAATCTGATTCAAATGATCTCCCATCCAAGTAAATTTGACTTTACAACCGAAAGAGTCATATAGATTAAGAGCACGTGATCACCCGACGTCATCCACTTGGACCCGCGGATTTCTCCAACTTTTCTTCTTCAACTTACAATTGCATTGGTTTGGTAAGTATCGGGGTGGGAGTTTGCTTGCATTGAAATTCCAGAACCTCTGAACTCCCCTAAGTGAACACGCTGTCTCCTCGGAGCGGCATCTGTGGCTGGCATTCAGGGTGCATAATATTTTCCACTCGCACAACATGTTTCCCCCACAAGCGGCCAATCTCAACATCGAGGCCTTGGGTGGCATCTGTGGGTAAGTAAGACTGGTTTTTGTTGGAAACCGAAGCTTTCGCAACTGCTTTTGTGTGCACTGCGTATAAAGCACTCTTCATGCAAGTCTGCATAAAATCTCCGAGTTGCCGATCTCCCACATTGCGCCACACACACTCATGGGTTGCATCAATTCACTAACTCATATATAGCTCGATCTCAATTGCCTGCTGGGTTGTTGTATTTTCACCTCAAATTATTGAAAACTTCCGTCGAGGCTCTGCTGACGGTCTATCCCTTCTTTTTCTGATTGTCTGGCTAGCTGGCGATGTCTTCAATATCCTTGGCGCCGTCCTGCAGGGTGTACTCCCGACAATGATCATTTTGGCTGTCTATTACACCCTGGCAGATATTGTTCTTCTTGGACAATGTTTCTACTACCGGGGTTTCAACATTCGAGATGAATTTTCTTCATCGCCTTCTCCGGAACCTGGCCCGGTCGCTACTGGTGCGCTAGACAGTGAAGAAAGTAGCGGCTCCGAGGCTGTGGTCGCACCGACAGAACGATCAGCTTTGCTGCCAAAGTCGAATGGGCTTGTTCAAATTCAGGAACCGGCGCAAAATGCACCGAAAGGACAATCTTCCCAAGATAGTGCTCGTCCGATGTCCTCCTCACCCACGCAGCGAAGACGGCCGTCTGCTTCTTCTTTCAGAGATATTGTGCATTGCCATGTGGATGGGACACACCTCTCTCCTGCAACTCCATTTGTCGATCCCAATTTCGACAGGGCTCGTTATGAACGCCGTCGCCGGCGCATCTCTACTATTCAAACCATCCTCTTCAATACCACGGCCATTGCTCTCGTCTGTGCTGCCGGGATCCTCGGCTGGTACGTCAGCCCGGGATCAAAGAAGTCGAAGTCAGACCCCGAGCCTCTCACTCTGGATCCTCTGGGACAGGCCTTTGGATACTTGTGCGCCGTGTTCTATCTCGGCTCCCGAGTCCCTCAGTTGCTGCTCAATTACCGCCGCAAGTCTACGGATGGAGTCTCTCTGTTGTTCTTCTTGTTTGCCTGCATTGGCAACTTGACCTATGTCCTGTCTATCATGGCATACTCGCCGATCTGCCAGGGTACAGTGTCAGCCTCAGGCAATCTGGGCGAGCTATCGCACCGTCATCGCCCGCATTGCCGTCCTGGAGAGGCAGCTGCCTTGTATGGACGGTATGTCTTGGTGAATCTATCCTGGCTTGTGGGCAGCTTCGGAACTTTACTGTTGGATATGGGGATTTTCGTGCAATTCTTCTTGTATAGGGACGCGAAGAGTGTTGATGAAGAGTATGATGAAGAATAAATAAAATCGCTTATGTACATAAGAAGAAAATGACGAGAATCAGACAACGCTGCAAGCCTGGCTTTTTGAAAATGCGACTTGAATAAAGTGATATGACCGTACAGTCATTGCTCCAGATCAGCTAAAAAGGAGACCACCGCAGTCGCAAATGCCTTGGCATCATCGCGTCTCTCCTTAGTGTCAGGTCCAACTTGCTCCAGGAACAATGCCAACTTGGACTCCTTCCATCCCATGATGGGTGCGTTCTCAATACACATCTTGGACGTCGCAAACGCATCCATCTCATAATGTCCCTGCACAGTCAGGACTCTGCCTGGCTTGTATAGTCCCTGGATAGGGCAAATGGGCGTGCTTCCAATATTAAGCCATGGAGCAGGGAGGGAGACCGGCGGCGTGTCGGAGAGAGTCACAGTCTGTCCCTTTTCCACGGCCATCACACGGTCACCGTGGAACATTTGAATGCGAAGTTGGCCGTCCGGAAGGTGGCCCAGCGCGGATGGAAAGTGTTTAATAAATTGATTCTCCAGTTGGACGGTATAAATTCCCACTTCACGACCAAGAGGGCACTTCTCGACATAGACGTCTCGAACGGGGTCGTTGGGAACGCGGACCAAAGAGTGAGAGATCAGTTGGTGACCGAAGCAGGTACCCATGAGCCGGACCTCTGGATAGTCATTGTAAACGGTCTTGATGAATTTCTCCAGGATCTGCATCCAGGGAGACTCGGGCATTTCATAAACTCCTGGCGAGCCGCCGGTGATCAGGACTGCGTCGATGGGTTTGTATACTGGGAATTGTTGTTGAGATGCATCGCCGCGAAGCAAGTGGAAGTCCGGGTAGTGTCCTCCACGGATATCATATGGGGTGATGGTAATATCGATCGGATCATTGATGGCTGGGCTGGTTTTGTTCAAGTTGGCAGCTGTCTCTTTAAGGATATCGCGGAAATGGGCACTGCAAAGCCCGCGTGCCTCGTACAAGCCGCGTGCTGGAATATCGACATCGAGAACCGCAATGTGAATGTTGCGAACCATTTTGAAGTAGGTAACAAGTATGGATGATGCGTTTAAGAGCGGACAAGGTGTCAGAAAATTCTCAAATATTTACTCGGTGAAGCTGAAGACATGCTGAATATAACAACGACCGAACTCCGACTTCGCATCGGAAATACTTAGGTAAAATTGTGCGAAGTCGTCAACCTCAACAGAAAACTGTGAATAATCCGAATATTGTCGCGTAATAAAAGTTACCACAGAATAATGGAAATGACTCCAACTACTCGGGATCATTAGGTAAAAGATTGGATCTGGGGATGTTGACCGAAGAGCTTATTTGGAGCCCCACAGCGTCCGAGCCGGTGATTGGTCGGAAATGTCTGAGAATGATGAGCCTAAATATGTTTACAACACTATTGAGACTAGAATGATCCTGCTTCGAAAGAGAATAATAATCTATGCTGGGCGTGGTTGAGATTGGCTGAAACCTTTGGTTCAGCCACTTGGCTACCCCAGATCTGAGGCAACAGAGTGGATATAATATCTGGTGGCGTTACATTGAGGCAAAATTCTGATCAGATGACGATCAACAAGAACACTTAACTAACGCGTATGGATCACAGAGGACTCCTGCGGGGGAAAGGTGGAATAAACTAATAGTCATAGCGTCCTGTATTTCTGGAGTACAGTAGATGTGGATACAAAATTATTCCACATCAACAAGGAGACAGATCATATGACCACTGGTCAGGGATATGCGAGCCAAGTTCATGGCGATCACCGTCATTAATTTGAGCGCCCAGGATCTGCTTCGCAATATATTACTTTCTTATGGCTTTCCTGCCCCACCGATAAGATCAAGGACTTGTATTGACACGATTGCCCCTTAACGTAGAGGATTTGGCGCAGCCGGATGCTTCGGAATGTCTATGTGGGAGAGAGCACATAGACTTGGAAGATACGCCTTGGAAGGATCTTCGTAATTTCTCCTTGAGTCTCTTGGAACATCAATATTACGCTCGCGAGGAGAATGAGAATCCCCTTATTCAATATTGTGTAGAGGGAGCCCTCGTCTTATCACGAAAAGCAAAATAATTCAACAACCCGGAAATAATCGCAAGAAGGGTTATCATTAACATCCTCCCTAGAATCAGCAACCCCCGCGCTTGGCCTAGCGGTCACGGCCTGGAATTTGCCAGCCTGATTCGCATAATCCGAGGATGAGTGCCCTGCTGGCACCCCTCGGCAGCTGACGCGGCGGTTATCATTTTGATGGTCGTGGAATCTTATATTACCCCATCAAATTAACTTCCCATACTTTTTATAGTTTAATTTCTGTATCATTGTAACCAGAAAGAATGAGAGAGTATATTGAGTAGTTTTAATTAAATTTTAAACGTGTTGGTGGTTGGATGGCCTAGGGATATGTTGAAGGTGAGCATTCAAAGGAAGCCAATAATGTCGAGAATTGAGTTTGTATGGTAGACGGAGGTCGAGGGTTCGATTCATGGAGGTGGAGCATTTTTATTCTCAAAAAATTTCAAGAATTCTAGATTTTCTAATTTATCTCAAGGTAGCACTTCATGATGTTAGGACTTTAGAGGTCCTCTTGGGTCTCACAGTCCAGAGGCGGATCTCCGCGTGTTATGTAAGCGCGGTGGAGCGGGGAGCTTTCTCTAGAAAGCTATGGAATTTGGAGCTTCCCCTCCGACCTTTGTTTCCTTACAATCTCTCTCTTCGTCGCCCTCCCCTTCTCTGACACTGAAACGAACACCAGGCGTATCCCCACAGCCTAATCGCTAGGGACTGACATCATGAACGCTGCCGCAGAGGGTGAAAAGGCCCTTGCGGCCTCCAACGCGCCGCTCGCCATCCAACACTACACCCGTGCCTTGATCGAGCTACCCCGCGCCCCGTCCTACTACCTCCAACGCGCCATCGCACGCTCGCGCGTGAAGCCAGCAGACGGTGGGCCGAATTCTCGTGAAGCTCTTCAAGATGCCGAGATTGCCCTATCGCTTGCCCGCGAGCGCGGGAAGCGCGAGCTCATTCTGTCGGCACAGATGCGCCGCGGAGTAGCACTCTTCCAGCTTGAACGCTACGGTGACGCAAAGTTCCTCTTCGAACTCATTGAATCGAAGAATTCTGGCGAGAAGGAGGTACAGAATAAAGCGGAAGGTGTGAAAGCCGCCATGGCTGATGGAGGGGGCAAAAAGAACGGTTATGGAGCTGAGCTGCCCATTTGGATGGCCAAAGTCCGTCGCAAGTTGGGAGAGGTGGCTGAGGGTGATGAGAAGGCTACTGTCTCTGTGATTGAGTTCCCTACGGATACACGTGTACCGACCGAGAAGCAGCTCAAGGCTGAATGGGAGAGTCTCAAATCAGGAAAGGCGGTAGATGGAGGAGACAAGACAGTTCAAGAGAAGAACCAAAAGGACCCCTCTTCATCCGGTGTTTCCTCGGACCCCACGAAGTCGGAAGACAAAGAAACAACAGAGGCTTCGCCCGTTGTGGCTCCACAAAAAGTTCGCCATGAGTGGTATCAGTCCAATGCTTCTGTTGTGGTGACCCTCTACGCGAAGGGGATCCCCAAAGAGAGTGTTGAGACTGAGTTGAAGGATGAGTCGGTTTGTTCTATTCTACCCTTTTGGGAGGCGATCTGGAAGACTAACCATGACTTTTAGGTGTCCTTGCAATTCCCTCTGCCCTCTGGTTCCGGCTACGATTTTACCCTTGACCCTCTCTATGCTCCTATCGATCCTTCTACATCCAAAGTCTCAGTCATGGGCACCAAAATCGAACTGGTCCTGCAGAAAAGGACAGCAGGTCAGAAATGGAAATCCCTCGAAGGATCAGCCTCCAACACGACAAAGATTGCAGACCGGCCTGCTGCGCCGCAAGCCCCAGTGAGCTCGGGGCCATCATACCCAACCTCATCCCGACACGGTGCAAAGGACTGGGACAAGCTCGCATCGACCCTGACTGCCAAGAAATCCAAAGGAACAAAGGGCAAGGCGGAGAAGGATGAGACTGGCGATGTCTCCGACGCAGAATCCGTGAATTCAGAGTATGGAGGAGATGCCGTGGATGGGTTCTTCAAGAAACTGTACGCGGGTGCCGATCCGGATACGCGCCGAGCTATGATGAAGAGCTATGTCGAGAGCCAGGGCACGTCTCTGAGCACTAATTGGTCAGAGGTTGGAAGCAAGAAGATGGAACCACACACTTCAAGCTAATTGGATTTGTGATCATCAATTATGTGTTGTTTTTCATGTTCGTGTCGCTGTCATGAACCCACGCATCTAGCGAAAGGTGTTAGCTTGCATACTTAGTATTCTGTTTTATTTGTTCTCTTTATAACTTCGGTTCCGATATCTTTACTGGCACGAGAACATGATAGTTATTTGATTATCTTTGGTTACCAACGAGTGTATTGTATCCCCTGAGCCACTGGTTTAGACAAGTCGGTAGCTCGGAATTAATTCCGAGGGAGAAGTGGTTTTGATAACGCTCGGAAGCCCGCGATCCACCTCTCGCACCACCGGAATGTCGTGAACCTCGTTACTTTGTGGAGAACTTGATATCTATTTACTCCACCCCTGATCCGACTTCCGCAATATTGTGCGGGGTATAGCAAGTGCACGACCTAATCCTGAAGCGAAGACTGGGAGCCTTAAAAGCAGCCGCCGAGTATCGCACGAACTCTGCTAGTGTTTGCACCTCCCGTCGGTCAAGATGTATTCTTCAAACAGTCCAAATAACTCGGTAGCTTATTACAATGGCCACATATATACAGTCAACCCTGCCCAACCCTGGGCTGAGGCTTTCATTGTCTCGGCAACCGGTATAATTGAGGCAATTGGTACCGAAGAGGAAATCTTCAAGATTGCTAACTCACGAAACCTCATCCGATATGATCTCGCTCAAAGATTCGTCATGCCGGGTATCCATGATGCCCACACCCATCTGCTGCTTGCCAGCATGCAAGCCTTGAACGAGTCATCTATTGGCTTCGACTCTGGTGCGAGCAATATCAGTCAGCGATTGCAAGACGGTATATGTGCTTGTGCTTATCACAATGTGGCTGGAGACTGGGTAATTGGCAATTTCTATCAAGCTAGTTTCTTCCCTGATGGTATCCCCGATCGCAAATACTTGGATTCCAAGTATCCAACCACACCAGTACTCGTGCGGGAGGTTTCTTGCCATCGCATTCTTCTCAACACTCCGGGGTTGAAAAGAGCAGGAATCGATCCTGTTCATGCAGTTGATCCACCAGGCGGCTTTTATGTCCGCCGTCCAGATGGAAGCCTAACTGGAGAAGTCGCTGAAAGCGCCATGAGCCAAGTCTTCTCGAAGCTCCCCATTACGCCTTTATCTCACGCCAAACGAGCGTTGGAGTTTGGCATACGCATGTGTCTCAAGTATGGAATCACATCCTGCCAGGAAGCCTCCGCCAACTCGCTATACCTCCATGCCGTCCAAGAACTGGAGCAGGAAAATCGTCTCGACCTCGACATCTATACTCATATTGTCTGTGCACCTGAGACATTTGCCATGGAACCTCGCGATAGTCTAGCAGCCTTGCTAGATGTGGCCAATGGCTTCCGCAGCAAGCATGTGCATACAAACTTTGTCAAGTTCTGGCTCGACGGGGCTCCTTTACCTCCACAATTCACCCAGTGTGATCTCGACGCGGAGGGTCGTCCGGCGCAGAAGCATATGGTGATTGACTGGCGCTTCTTGGAGGAAGCGGTGACAAAATATGATGCGCGTGGTATGACCTGCAAACTTCACGTTGCGGGAGAGGGATCTGCTCGTGGCGCTCTGGATGTCCTGGAACGAGTTCGAAAGGCCAACCCCAATGGGCCAAGACACGAGCTGGCGCATTGTAGTGCAGTTCACGAGGGTAAGCTCCAAACGCATCACCATGAAGGTCGACTATTTTACTGACCTCGTTGGTGCTTAAGATGATATCCCTCGTTTTGCGAAAAACCGAATCACTGCCGAGATGTCCCCTGCCATTTTCCATGAACCAGTCGTTCAAGAGATACCACACCTACTCAAGTGGGCATTCAATCAGGTCCTAGAAACAGGAGCCCACATGACGATCGGATCAGACTGGCTACTTCCAGAAACACCTAGCCTTTTCGATTCACTTGCTGCTATCGTTGAGAAGGTTGAAGTGTGGCCTGGCGGCCGCAAGAGCTCAGCTTTGGAATCCGGAAAAACTACCAAGGAACGGGGAGGTGAGATCTTATGCCGGGTCATCACGCTTAGCGGCGCAGAGGCAGTTGGGGCTCAAGATCGGACTGGCAGTCTGGAAGTTGGAAAGAAGGCCAACTTTATTGCTGTGGACCGTGATTTGAGCAAGGGCAATTTCTCTGGGGCTACTGTTTTGAAGACTTGGTTCGAAGGGCGGTTGGTCTATGATAGCAAGGAGCATGGGTCTGCTACGACACTTTCAACCACTAACAGCAGGTTGTGAGGGACAACCTGACTTCTGGAGGTCGCTATGTGATCGAAACCTTCTGTATCTACTTTTATGGATCAAAGATAGACGAATCAACATTTCGGTATCTCTACCGAGCGATGGGTATTTCATCGACTGAATACGACGGGCTTCGATAATGCCCAAGATATTATTGATTATTGGAGTGAATAGTACAGTACATATGACAAATGTAGGCTTTTCATGGATATCACTGCAGCTCCTCGTTGCCGAATCGTTTGCTGTACAAACCCAAGGCACGAATCGGCCAGTAGAACTTGTAGTTGGGATACGAAATCATACTAGACACAAAGTTAGCTAAGCCCCATTTCCAAGGCAGAGGAAGGTCAACATACCATGACTGATTGAAAACTCCCTCGATCGACTCCTGCAGCCACTCGCCATTACGCTGCTGGCGCGACATGAGCAGCTTCATGCCTCGCTCCAGTGGCTCCTTGTGGGGGTAGTGGGCCTCCATGAGTGCCAGGCAGGCCCAGGCGGTTTGAACAACCTGGGACTTCTCATGCTGAACATAGACATGCTTCTCACTGCTGAGATACGATTCACCCCAGCCACCGTCGGCCTGTTGCTTGGCGATCAGGAACTCACAGCCCCGGCGAGAATTCTCGCTGGTCTCATAGGTCTCACCAACACTAGCCAGACTTTCCAGGGCAAACATAGCAGCATAGGTGAAGCAGATACCCCAGGAGCCGTACCAGCTACCATCCTTACGCTGAGCGCGTTTGATGTAAGCCACGGCCTTCTCCTTGGCCGCACGGATTTCGTCAGCACGGTAGTCAGGGTAGAACTTGCTGAACAGCGAGAGCGCAGTCACCGATGCAGTGGTGCACTCGGGATAATCATAGCCGATCATAATGCCGCCAAAGACCTCGGCAGCGTTCAGCCATTCGACCTTGGGCGAGGCACGGGTGGTCTCGTACTCGGTGAAACCGCCAGTCGGGTTCTGCATCAACAGGAGACAGTCCACACTGTCCTTCAGGCGATCCAATGAGATCAACTTGGGGAAGTTGTGCATCTCCTGAAGCTGGATAGTGGACCGCAGACCCTCGGCAGTGCAGTCGCTGACTGTGTATCCTTGGGTCTTGGTACTGAAAGGCCAAGCACCCTTACGGTGCTGGCGATAGCACTTCTCCTGATCTGGCACGTTCTCGCGTAGTTGATGGTCGTCAATGAACTCCAGGGCCTTGAGCAGCATGGGTCGCCACTTAGGGTCATCGGCAAATCCAGCGACTGAAACTGCTTGCGTGACGAAGGTAGTGTCCCACACCTGGACACCGTTGGTGCCGTTGGCCAACATACCCTCATGCTTCATCCACATGTAGTCATTCAAGCGCTCTCGATGTCGGCGAACCGAATAGCTGTCTGGGCCGTCGTGAATGAAGCAGGCAACCATGTTAAGTGGATTATTCACGGGTCCCAGCCCCGCGTAATCAGTGTTTTCATCCTCCATGCGGATCAGCTCCCAAGTCCAGTCCTCGGCACGCTTACTGATAGCGTTGATACGGAGGAATGGGTTCCAGATGCGGACCAGAAGCTCGTTGATACCGTTCAAGAGCCAGGTCTTGGGGTAGTAGTTGTCGGCGGGGTGAATAGAGTTGCGGTGATTCGCAAAATTGATTGTGTTGTATGGCTGCGTGTACAGCTCTTCTCGAAGCTGTCTCGTGAAGTCATTGAGAGGGAAGGACCATTTCTTGGACCAAATGTAGGAGAGAGGCAAGAACACCTGACGGATATGGATCCACCATCTCCAAGGAGCGAAAGGCACCCAGTCGGGAAGAAGCCTGACAGAGGAAGTTAGAGTAAATCCGTTGATCCTTGCGATGATAGACATACCAGATCTCAGGGGGAACGGGGTTGACACCCTCCCACTCCATTACGCCCAAAATACTGAGCCAGGCCTTGGCCCAGTGAGGGCCATAGATAGCACCTCCGAACTTGTGGAGAAGTCCTCGAGCCTTGATCATACGAGGGTCATCCTCGCTGACACCGACTATACGCAGCGCCACATAGTTCATGGCAGTACCAAAGACGGAGCTGTGAGCTTCGATGTGAAGACCCCAACCGCCATCTTCCGGGTGTTGACGGGCAAAGAGATAGCGCTTGATCTCCGTCGCATACTCCGGAGGGATGGGGGTGTTGGTCACATACCAGGTAATCAACAGACCTGGAAGCAAGAACATGGGGCCACCATACTCGCAGCCCCAGTTGCCTGGCTCGAGTTGGAGGTGAGAGAAGAAAGAGAGGCCATTTTCGGCAGCTTGGAGAGGTGTCTTGGCTTCAGACAGCTCGGGCAGACCCTGAATTATGAGTGTTAAGATTGAGAAATGTATAAGCAAATCCAAGCACTTACAGTGGGCAAACCAAGGTTGTATTTATCGGCAATTGTTTGTGGCCAAGCCTCGTTCTCCTCATCGGTCTCCAGATATCGCCAGGTCTGGCGACCCTCCTCATTGACCAATCGCCAGCGAGTGTAGTCAGTCTTGGAGTCGCCATTACCGTCATTATTCAGATGGCCCTGAGCAGGGCTCCTCCAAGGACCAATGTATGAAGCCATTGTCTGTACGGCTCCGTCAATCGAGAACTTGAAGAAGTGGAAAGTTGAAGCTCTATCGATTGGCGATAAAGCGGATAAACATCTCGGGGGCCTGGGGTAGCTGACTCAGCAGTCTCAAGACTGCCGTGTACAACCAAGAACAAGGAGTCGCAACTACATGTGATATTTGTTAGTTAATAGAAAAAGAAAAACATTGAATGAATGCAATTGATTGGAATCAAGACGAATACAACTGAAAAAATTGTCGAAGAACGAATGTTGGTTGCGTGGAGCCCACAACCTGACTACACAAGTACGATCCTAGGACTCAGCGAAAGGGCACACGACCTACATTCGACCTTCGTCTCTCGAACAACTACCAAAAGCACACGAACAGCATCTCGGTAAACCATAAGAGAGATGCCTAGGTCCGCGCTTTAGTGTGCGGGGGCCTTGACTGGCACTTGGATATCACCCGTTGATCCTCGCAATATTCGGGTGGTATTGAGAGATGTCAACAGCTGTACAAGTCATCACCTCCAGCCTCGCTGATGCCTTCATAGCTAAAAGGCCAGAAAAACACCGCCTCACATTACCTGTGATTTAGGCAGGAAACCAAAATTATACTGTGCAAAGGTTTGATATACACAGAGGATATCACTGGCGCTGCCCGACTTCACTGGAGATTGTTAGCCCAACCGAGTTAAATGGCGTACCTCGTTGGCTGGTTCTATACGCATAACATCTGTAACCAAAAAGTTTGAGCTCTCAATAATATCAATGTATAGTGTGAGTTGGGTACACGTCGTAGCCATAACGTACCGAATAGGGCAGGTCACGTTGTCACGTTATCCAAGTTAACTTCAACCACACCAACTTCCAACTATACTCCACTTCACCCACAGGCATTGGCATCTGCCATGTGAATAGCTTCCGATGCCATGTCCTTGGCCACAGCCTTTGTTTCGAGTGAGGAGCAACAATTGGTCCGCAATTATATTGACAACGTGCTCATCGACCTCCTCAATCAATTGACCCTGTCCCCATCCGAAGGACAGCCATCGATCACCCTGCGCTGCAAATCCCGTTCAGCAACATGTATGATCAATTCGCACAATGGGGCTCTCGAGGCAGGTCGCAATGAGGACGCGTTCCGCTCATATTCATGGCCGGGACGCACGGCACACGAGTCTTGGAAATTCAGTATGCAGACTGTCTTTGCGTTATATCCCACAGAAGCGCTAATAGTCATGACATCTAGCGGCGATCCTTCGAGTATTGGCTATTATTGATCAGACCCTGCGTACAGGACAATTGATTTCGAAAAGGTGAGTGGGATGTCCCTGGGCCCGTTGAAGGCAGACAGGGCATTGGACTAATCGCGACGGTCTGTTCCCAGAGACATTTATTATATCGATCCAGCATATTTCAAATCGCAACAGACGATAAATTGCATCATTGATGACCTTGCCTTTACCATTGGTGTTGACCGAGCAGCGTTGAATGTGGTGAGTCTGCCTTTAGCCAACTTCAGCTTCAAATGGAGTCAACAATGCTGAGCGCAATTCATTGCTAGGAGGCAGCCAGCAAAGGATTGGTAGCAGGGTGCTTTCGGCTGAAACACGAATCCTCTATAATTATGGATGCGAACGGCACACATGTGAGTGCGAGTCTCTGGAACCACTCAGATGTCATGGACTGTGATACTGATACGGCCAGGACACCACCATCCCTCGAATTCAGGACACCGATCAGATTGATATATCCGGTGCTCGGTGGGTGTTCATCATTGAAAAAGAGGTAGATGTGTCCCCACTGCAACTCAATGCCACACATCCAGTGAGTGCTGACCTGTCTTTCGATCGAAGGCAGTTTTCCATCGGCTAGTTCGGAGCAGCTATCCCACGCGGGCCATTATGGGCGACGGAATCTTGATAACAGTAAGAGGGGACCATTGCAATGGTCCGCGAAGATGTCTAACAGACACTTCTCCAGGGCAAGGGATACCCGGATATCAATACTCGCGAGTTCGTACACCAACTCTTAGTCGCTTCCAGCAAATACGCCAGACCACCTCGCTTTTATGCCTTGGTCGACGGGGATCCTCACGGGATAGCCATAATGTCAACATACAAGTATGGATCAATCGCGCATCTTCACGACAATGCAAGGCTGAGCCTGCCGGGCATGGAATGGTTGGGCTTGAAAGTCGTAGATGCCATACTCGCATCCGAATCACCCGGTGCCAATGAGGTCCTCTCTCTTACCCCCAGTGATCGAAGAAAGATACTCGCTATGCTTCGCAACAATCCGGTCTGGTCGAATGATGGACCGGAACCCGAATGGCGTTCGGAGTTACAGCGCATGTTATTTTTGAATGTCAAAGCGGAGATCGAGATGCTTTATGATCGCGATGGCGGGCTTGAGGCATGGATTGATCGGAAACTCTTCCGCCAGGAGTGATCAGCATTTGCGACGCTGATGTGGATGAAAGCGTCGACCAGGATATCCGCTAAAAGCAACCTGTATATTATAGACTAGACTTAAAAGGGGGTTCGGGGATCCAACACAATAGCATAGAGCGAACAACTTATCAGTGGAATCATAAATTGAATTCTCTCTTCCAAATGCTCGATATACATACAAGCTGTGCAACCAGAAAAAAGCCATCACCAGCCAAGCAATGCAAAACTCAAGAAATCATGTCCCGGCGCCAATCATCAAAGCGTGTTCTTCGTCCGTGCCAGCACATTCGGGTCTGATATGTTTTTTAAAGACCCAGACCCTTGCGCACCTCATCCCGAACCTTCTGCTCGTACTCGGCTCGTCGCTCGCGCCACATTTTGGCCGCCTCGACGTTGGCGGGGCTCTCGTCGTTGGGTTCAGCGAGCATGCTCATGACGGAGATGAGGATCTTCTCCACGCTCTGAATGGGCGACCAGCGCTCGGAGGCATGTTCATAGTGGTTCGGGTCATCACCAGGTGGGTGGAGGATCGAGATGCAGACGGTTCCATTGGGGTATACTATATTACAGAACAAAGCGTCAGTCCATGCTCAGTGGGAGGGGTTCAAATGCGCTGTCGAGCTATGATGTAGTCTGGGGCCGGAAAGCCTACCGTTTGGGTGCCACACTCCACCTCCGACGAACTTCATGGTCGGGGGGCTCAGAGGATAATCCTTGGGGAACTTGAGCTCGGCTGCGAACACACCACCCTCGAAGGGAGTACCTCCAGGGCCCTCGATCAGAGCTTCCCAATAGAACATGTCATCCTCGGAGACGGGGCCAGCCGTGATACCCTCGGGCGGGTTTGTGGAAAGATTCTTGTACTCGTGAAAGAGACGCTTCTGAGCGACCGATGAAGCCATTCTTGCTAGCGATCAGAGTGGATGAGTCGTAGAAGGTGGTCGAAGTGGTTGGGGTTGGCACACGACGTAGAGGATGGGTTGGGTTCAGCGGGTGGCAAGCCGGGAAGTTTCCGCACTCGTTCGGAATGGAGACTCGGAAGAGATGGTTGTTAGGTAGGTGAAGGCCTCAAACCACAGCGGACACTGAGCGTGTAGAGATGCAGAGTTCTGTAAGTGGGTAAACGAAATGGCGGTTGGGAAAGAAGAAAAGTTGAAGAAGAAGAGCAGCAATTCGCGGGGTGCGCCATCGCTGGTCGCCCCACTGGCCGATCCCGACGTAATACAGTCTGTCCAGCTATAAAAATACAGATATATTCACGGTCTATTCAAGGTATCATAGGGTTCATAGTATACAAATTTTGATGATTTGACCATTAGAAAAAGTCAAAATCATCACCGCCTCCTTCATCAGATCCTTCATCACCCCAAGGATCAACGAATTCGTCTTCACCCCAAGGGTCCTCTGGGCTTTCCTCGGCCCATACATCTTCAGACTCGCCAGGCTGCCCTGGGAACTGCTGATCCGGCGGAGGCATGGTAGACTGACCGGGCGCAGGGGCCTCGGCCGCCTGGTTCCCCGACATACCCCTTTGCATGGCTTCGTATCCAGCCATGGCACCAGCGCCCGCAGCGCCCGCAGCTAAACCATCTGCCATACCACCAGCAGCGGTTGCTCGTCCAAGCGTACCGGCTGCTACCTCACCAAGTGCACCGGCTTCTCCAGCAGCTGCACCGCCAGCGGCAGCACCACCAACGGCCCCCGCAGCCTCTCCCGCGGCTGCTCCTCCAGCCGCAGCTTCGCCACCAACTCCGGGGAACCAAAGGGGCAAGAACCCAAATCCACCTGATCCACTGTGACGACTGAAGTAGTCGAAATCAACGCTGACAGCGGTAGCGAGCATCACTGCTCGTTGGTCTAGGGTCATCCCAGGTGTGGTGTTGCCCTGATTTGCCGATGCTTCGGTGCCAGCTCCAGCAGAATCCATGCGCAATGCATACACACCCGTGTCGGTGAAAATCTCTCGGGCGAATCCAGCAAAGTTGCGGTTCACAGATCCAATCAGTTGATTTTCTGCTGATAGTAGAGAAAAGTCCCAGGACAAGAACGGCTCGTTGACATAGGCAAATTGGTTAAATTCCCCTGGACCTTGGCTAGCATCCTGGGCGAGCTGCAACTGCTGCTGTTTGGACAAGCCAGATCCGGCGAGGGGGAAGCTCCGAGTACCCATGTCCATGGCGGAAGTTGGCGATTGGTGATATGTGAATAGATTGTACTTCCGCCGCAAGGGTGCCCATTGCTGCTGCGCTTCGCCAATAACTCGCATCTGGGCAAAGTCCAGCGGGGAGACGCGCGCATTGGAGGAAACGTCAGCTTGGACCAAGGCACCTGGTGTCGTTGGTTGGGGGGATGTAGAGTATGAGGATGAGGCAGCATTGGTATCTAGGGGATCGTAGACTTGGATCCGAGAATTGATCCATGAGAATGGGCGATTAAACTGTGGCGTCCAGTGATTAGCGCTTGAAGGGGATTCTGGCTACGAGTCTGGCTTACCCGTAGCACCTCGTTCTCATGTTTATCAAACACATGTGTCACGAAGCTCCGGTGTGTGCGGAACCATTGGCGTGCCATGGCATTAGCCATGCCCTTCTCTTGCTCCGCCATGTATCCAATGTGATTCCCCTGCGCATCCATGATGACATACTTGTTCGCCTGTTCGAAACCACTGCGAGGATTGTGTCAGTATTATAGTCTTGGAGGATGCTGACCCGAATCCACTCACATCATGACGTTCATCATCTCCAGTTGTCGCTGCACCACCAGCGCGGAGTTGGCCAGCAGTTTTGTCGCAGGATGAGTTTCTTTGAGGACGCCATTAGGGTCTTCTGGGAGATAGACAGGTGAGAGGAGGGTATTTTGCGAAGGATCATAGTTTGTATTGATAGTATCTTGGGATTCTGAGACCGGTGTCTCTGATGGCTGTGGCGTCTCGTCTGGTTTCCGAGCTTGGGGAATGCGTCCCGGCCTTGCGATGCTGCTGCGCGGACCGAGACGAGTGCTTCTGCCGCGAAGAGTCGACAGAGGTCTGCGGATTGCAAGACCGCTCAGCGGGGAGGAATGGAGCCTCACGCTCCACATATCGATAGAAGCGAGTTGTTAAGGCTGGGTGGTGCGTATGCGAAGTGTTCGAGTGTACGTTGACAGCGGCGGGAGCACAGGCAAAAAGTCGAAGCTGGCGATGACGGAAGATCGCCCGCGGGGTTAAGCGGATTTACTGCCGCCACCTTACGAGTACTCGGTGTCGTTGTCCATCCATTCCTCTTAAATGCGAGCAATTCAGATAATAGCCTCTCTATGGAACACTGCATACTTAATCGGCTACTTCACTAGCCACATTTTAGAGGCCATCCTAGACTTCCTAAGCTTCAAAGTGTCTCTTCAGAAGCTCCCATCTCTTTAGGCTGTCTTACCACCCAACGTGAGATCGAGGCAAATCATTCGATGGATTGGTAGAAGTTTTGAACAATGCTGAACGTATTATAGTGCCCTGGGCCTTGAAACTACAGCGTATAGACATTATGATCGCGTTGATTGCATACAGCAATCTCACAGAAGACCCTTACGAGCCAACTCAATCTTCCGGGCCGCCTCGCCAGCCTTGAATCCGCCCTTTGACACGCAAATAGCGCTCCCTTCTCCCAGTTCGACCTTTTCTTCAACATCGGGGTGTGCGCATGGGCAGTGGTGTGGGAAGGAAACGCATGCGAGGGTCCCAGGGCAGAGGTAGTTGCTGCATTGCGCTGCATAGGTAGATTCGAGGTCAGTGAACAATTGCAAACTAGAGTATGCCCAGCTCGAAGTCCAGACGACAAAGACACCTACCTTGAGCCCACATCTTCTGGTACCGACCGCTATCACTAGGGACATTCTGAGAGCCTTGGTGTTGAGCTTGTTGGTTGCCGCCAAACATGTTCTCGAAGAATTGGAACTGGGCCTGGGCGACGGCGGCCAGCAATAGAAGAGCCCATAGACTCGAGACAATATTGCGCAACATATTTTTGATCCGAAGTTGCTTCGTGGACAGAAGGATGTCAAAGCAAGGAGCGACCTGAAGTAATTGTTGGAGGTGGCCTATAGATGAAGCCAGTTTACGGACTGGGCACGTGACGCCAAGCAATTTACCTCCGAGAAAAAGTTCCCCTTGTAGCTTTCACCTCCGCATCTCGACTCAACACCAATTGCCAACCATGTTGCAACCCAGACTTCTGGCGCCCTTGAGGGCGCTGGAACGGGCCATTGCTCCCTCACTCCGCTCAGCTCAAAGCGCCTACCGGCCTCAATCCATCATTCCGCGATCTCTTACCGCATCGCTCTCCGTCCCGAAGACAACGCCCTCCATTCCTCGCACCCTCCTACCATTCTCACAAGTGCGTTTCGCCTCGCACGCATCCCAAGGAACTGCCAATCGACACTCGCGCGATCCCGCTGGAAAGCGCCTAGGTGCCAAGCGCACAGGTGGTGAATACGTCGTTCCCGGATGCATCATCTTCCGCCAGCGAGGATCTAAGTGGTTCCCTGGCGACAACTGCGCGATGGGACGTGACCACACAATTTACGCTACTCAAGCCGGATACGTCCGGTATTACCTGGACCCAGAGCGTCACCCCGAACGTCGCTACATCGGAGTCGTCTTTGAGAAGGAGGGAAGACTTCCACACCCTCGGAATGCGCCCACCCGGCGCAGACTGAACAGGGTCACAATCCCACGCACTGAGCCTGTCTCGTATCAGTCTGATATGGTCGCCTCCATCGATGAGAACGGTACTGAAGTTGGCAGTGCCGAGGCCGTCAACGCCGAGTCCGGCCCTCAGCTGCGTCCTGGTTACATGTACCGTGAGGCCAATTGGGTTATCGGTCGTGCTGCTGAGAAGGCTGGAATTACCGCTAAGACATATGATCGCAACAACCGTTGGCTTGCATGGAGGAAGAGACAGGCTCGTGCCGAGCGGGCTGCCCAGATGAAGAGTCTCAAGGGCAAGAAGAAGGCTTCCAAGAAGGCCAAATAAGGGTGCATGATGTTTCAAGCCATGGATTTTGGGTTTTAGTAGCGATTTGAGGATTCATATTCTGTATTTTTCTGTATTATAGAAAGAGGATTTCATAAAATATCTCTTGACATGTATGTGACACAATTTCAACCATCTTCTCCACTGTTCAAGCTGCCACCATTGGATAGTTCGACTTGGCAACCCTGAATATTTAACAGATGCGACCCCCGTGCTTTAGCTCCAGCTTCGCTTAACTGTTTGGGGTTGAGATTGGCAGGGTGGCTATCTGGTTGGGTGTTTGAGTGATGGAAATTGCTCAGACCCGAAAGCCCTCCAATCAACATCATTCAACCCCTCTCCAGACTCGCAACAACCTATTCCATGCAATACACTTGAAGGATTTCTATCGGCATCCATGCTACGGCTATCGGCTACTTGAATAACTCGAGTCATTTCCCGATCCCTGTTCTATCATACCCCGGATTATCGCTAGCGAGAGCGGGGGCGTGGGGGGTAAGCTGCAGCCCTGTTTACCTCGATGTCTAGCCCCCATGTATACTCTTTAGCAGTAGAATACTACATTTTATTTCACGCTATTGACGGAGTCATGAAATTCTCGGCACAACTTTGACCGAATCTGTTTTCTCGAACCACTTATACCGGACTCTGATCTCCCGAAGGCATCTCTTGGGATCTCTATACATGGAACTACAAGGACCAACAAAGATGCAGTGTTCTGGGATAGACTACACAACTTCAATAGTCAACAAAGATGGGTCTTCTTAATCCTCTTTTGCTTCTCATCCCGTTCGCAATTCGGCCTGTAATTGCAACACCCGTTAGCTCGGGTGCTAACATCACACGCTCCTTCTCCCTTTCACCACCCCGTTCCCCTCGTCCGGAAAAGCAGGTTCATGATGCAGACTACCACTCGTTCTCGATTGAATTCTGCTATATGGCTGACTATGCAGGAAATGACACGTGAGTATACAAGGCTCCCTTCGCCTCGGAGTGTGATGTGCAATTGACCCGTTTACTGGTTAGGCACCCCAATACCTTTTCACGACAGGTCATCCAAAACTTGAAGGACATCGCGGGGAAACCTCCATTGTTCCGGGTTGGCGGTAGTACGCAAAACTCTGCTGTATACTATCCCGACCAGTCTGAGGCCATCATCGCCCCCTTTTCCTCGGCTGCAGCGACTCAGCCTGGACATTCGTATATAGGCCCTGCATTTATGCAGTCTTTCAACCAATTTCCAGAGGGATCTAAGTATATATATGGTAAGTAGACTTCTAACCTGAGTTCTTCATCACAAATGGTCGACGCTGACATCTTCGTAACAGGTCTCAACTTCTTCAACCCTGCCAATGAGACTCTCTTCAGCGTAGGAGATGGTCTTGCGCAATGCGTACTTGAGGCTAATGCTGCCTACAATGCTATCGGAGATGCTCTCTATGGCTTTGAGATTGGCAACGAGGTAGATGGTGAGTCATGATAGATGCAGGAGCAATCCAATGTCACTAATCCAACGCTTTCTCAGGATGGCCCGGTGGTTCGCGTCGATCTGCGAATTACACACTCCAGGATTACGTTGACCAGTGGAACGACTACGCCAAAGCCATAAGCCAGAACTTGACCGGGTCAGACTCTATGCAGATCTTCCAGGGTTGTGCTTTCGAAGCACCGCGCAGTGTAGCCAGTTCTGCCTGGAACGTTGCAAATGCCGAAGCAGATGGCATGAAGTCTAATATGGCAAAGGCCGTTGCTGACCATGAGGTAAGGCATCTCACCCACACTGAACCGAGTCTTTGCTTACCTATCTATAGTACATGGGAGCCAATTGTCACTACACCGGCGTAGGTCCAACGATCGAGACAAGCATCTTCGATCGCACAAACATGCTTTCCCGCGTCTGGTACCATGATTATCTCGGAAATGCAACAGTAGACTCGGGAATTCCATATGTCCTTGGAGAAACAAACTCAATCTCATGCCAAGGCGCAGCCAACATCTCCGACGTCATGGCAGCGACAGTCTGGGCCGTTGACTACGTGCTATACCTGTCCTCTCTCCGTGTTGAACGCGTCCATTTCCATATGGGAACCCGATATGCATACCGGTCGTGGCTGCCTGTATCATTCAACGACACCAACCCACAAGTGTTCCCAATTTATTATGCGGCATTGTTCAATGCCCACGTTTTCGCTGGAGGTCATAAGCAGACTGAGGTGCTTGTTAACGGGTCAGACTTTGGTGCCTACGCAGTTTACGGCTCTGGCAAACTGGAATCTATTGTTGCTGCCAACCTTGTCATGTGGAACTCGACCTCTGAGCAGAAGGCCAGGCCTTATACTGTCCTCGAGCTGCCATCCGGCTGGGAATCGGCAAAGGTATTGAGACTTACAAGTCCTGGAGTCGAAATTGCCAACAATATTACGCTCGCGGGTCAGTCGGTCAATGAAGCGGGCGTAGTTGTGGGTGACAAGACTCATGAGAAGGCACAGGGCAGGAAGGTTCTGGTTGGTGCCGGTGAAGCTGTGTTGGTCCAGAAATGAGGGAGTATAGATCGCTCTACAGCCTTTGTTGGTTTGCGACGGATGCTTAAGTCTCTTGTTATATGAAATTGCGTGGATTGAATTGATATTTAAGTCTGGCTTGAAAATTGAATAATTTGCCCATGTGCATCCTTCATGGCTTGCTCTGGCCTGACCTTTGATTACTGCACAGTTTCTAAATTTATCAAACCGTGGGTGGGCTTGGATAGTGCCCAATGGCCTATATCTTGAACACCCGAAGGCATGGAATGTGTTATAAAACAGCCCTGAATTGTGCCTCCAATCCCGCTGGAAATCTGAGCAACTATCCAGGACCCAATCTAGTTGAAAAGGCAGTAGCCGCTCACAGAAATGCCTTCGACGGTAGTAACTTGAACCGCCCAGTTGCTCGCCAATCCATAGATGCCCAGAACGACACCAAGAAAAATATCACCATGGTTTCTCATAGCTTTGTTATGGGATGATTTCTGAATCGCTGGGTTAGGATTCTTCAGACCAGGGTTGAAATCATCGGATAATGGCGAATCTGCATGGGCATCGGAATAGGAGTGGATTCATCATTGATGCCTTTGGACAATGGAACCAACAGAAGAAAGCCCCGGAAGAGGAGTCGTCATCAAGGAACCCAACCGAGCTGTTCCATAGGCCACTGCAGCCAGCAGCGGTGCTCCTCATCCAAATAGTGATGTATCGCACGAATTATGTGGATGCTGAAGCCCTGCATCCACCAAGCCCACTCAACCTCTTTGAGAATAACACAATAGTAGCCAAAGATCACCAGGGCTTCTGGCGTTCGCTGTCGCAATTGATTCAAGAACTGATCGGTAATGCGGAGCAGCCAGATGAAGATGTCCGCTGTCTCGCAATTCGAGGAACCGACCTCAAATATTGTCGCAAATGATTTTCCCAAATCATCAATGGCATCAGTGTAGCATTTCAACTCGATCGGGTCGTTAACTGACTCCTCTATGAGTCGCCGCAAGTTGATGAGGAATGTCTGATTAGCGGTTGACCTAGCTTCCCAAGCACGGCTTCTCCGTCGTCCCAACGCGAACATGGGCGCAAGAGGACCGGATTTGAGCGATTCGTTGACAGAGGCGATAATGGACACTGTGCCTCGAAATAACGATAGCCACTGTAGGATTTGATCGTTGCTTACCCACAGATCCTCACGTTTCCGCGGCAAAGCACAGCCGATGATACAAGTGATTGTGGAAAAGAGATAAACCGCGGGTCCATTTTCCTCATTGATTTGAGGAATGGTGCCTGAAACCATCTGCAGGGCTAGATTGTGGTGGAATTCAGCAGCATCGACGTACTGGTCTTGAAGTTCTGGCTTCAGATGGGCTAGATGTAAGGCCGCCAGCGCCAGAATCCCGCGGAAAACGAACTGGTAAGAGAAACCAAATGTGGGCACTGTATTTTGCCATACGGTTTGCAAAACTGGGTGTCGTGAGATTGTATAGCAAGTCGAGGTGCTATAGTGATGCAGCAAGGCCATCTCCGCCATACCCATGGATGGGGCGTTGACATCAGAATTCAGTCTAGCAGCTTCGCTCACAAAGGGGCTAAGTCCAGTATGAATGCCCGTGGTAGGAGTGCTTGCTGCAGTCGGCGGAGCATTGTAATTACACTCAACTCCATGGCGAACGCAATTCTGGCATTTTGGCTTTGCCTCGTCGCACTTTTGATTCGGTTCAAGTCCCAGATTAGCTGGCTGCGAGGTGAAAAGGAAGGAAGGGGCTGCCAACCTTTACTTTGCGTAATTTGCACGACTGACACCCCGTTCGGGACTTGGTGTGTGTTCGCCGGGGTCCCATGGTCAAATCAAACCATTTCTTTTAATCTCCTGCTTTGCATGCTCCACTCGAGTAGGAGATCTGACTTCGCAGTTAACGAAATAAGTGGGAGGGTTTTGAATAAATGCACGCGACGGTTGTTGATTGCGGAGGAAATTGAGTTTTTCCGACTGTTGCCTCCAGGACGCGATGGTTACTTAAACGACCGGCTATTAATATTTTGGTTGAAGCTTATTATTACACCTTCCTCAGCCTCCACAAGAATCAGGGTACCGAGATGGAGAATAGGCTGAAATTTATTCTGGAACGCTGAGAGGTTGAGGTTGTTCTGTGGGTCGGCTTAACCCAGCCGGGGCCAAGTCCCATAGTTCCATACATAGTTTGGTCTGCACTTCTCCACTCGGCACTTTGGAAAGCAAAGTGGGGGGGGGGGAGAATACGTATAGATCCAAATCAAGGGTCCTACCGTACGAATCTATCTTGTCTTATCGCTGTTTGTTCTGCAATGGTTCATTATGTGGAATACTTCACTATGTTTGTTCGTCTATAACCGTGGTTGAACTACAGACGCAGGACCGGCCAGCTCAGAATACACATCCAAAAGGATCTATCTTATTGACAGGATTTACCATATGTACATGTACTAGCATAGCCACCCACTAATCAATGAACCTAGACACTCAACTTGAACCCTCCCCAATTGAGTCTGGAGAAAACACCCAGAGGATCATACGAGGACTTGATCTTCCTCATCCGCGCAACATTCTCTCCAGGGAAACCTGCAAAAGGATCTTGCCATTCACCCGCATCACCCATATAGATAAAGTCCGATGCCAGTCCTTTCTCAACGTTGATCGCATTGAGCCGTTCGATCAATTGGCGTGACCAAGCCTCAATTCGAAGATCATCTTGCGCTAGGGCCCACCCTGTGCTGAATTGCCACACTAAATTCTGGGTTAGCTGTAGTCTCGTTGATATAATCTTTCATGCCGAACGTACGGATATAAGGCTCTGCTTCCAGTCCCCAGACATTGCCAACCCCGTTGGTAAGAGCAACCCGTGCTGCGCTTGCAGGGGCGACATTCGTAACGAAAGTTGGGTAAAGACCCTCAACGTCCGCAATTTCGTCAACGGCATCTTTCCATGCCTTGTAAATGGAGATGAGAACGTCTTGATCCGGTTTCATAGTCTTGTGAGAGAACATCACACTATATGACGTGTTAGAACGCAAATTCTGTTGAGGGCCAGAACAGTAAATGACTAACCGGAACATTTGCTTAGGAGTGTCTAGACTAGACGCCCACTGTTTCATCGTCGTGACATTGTTGATGCGAGTCGTAGCAGGAATGTCAGAGAAGTTTGCAAATTGCGATGGAGGCTTGCTAATACCTTCCTGAACCCCGAGCAACGAAGCTGAAGCAACTTTAGTAGTGGCATTGTACTGCACAGTCGCAACCATGCCGGCTGCAATGGGATCCTCGTCGTCTAGCTTAACGATGTTGCAAACCGCAGTCAGGAATTCAGGAATACCGCTCTCGTTGAATACCTGAATCGTTGTGCTGACTTTAGGAATATCGTAGGTCTTCAATGTAAACTTGGTCACGATGCCGTAGTTGTTGGCTCCTCCCTTTAGTGCCCAGAATAGGTCTGGGTGTGATGTTTTGTTGGCCATAACCTGTGTTCCATTTCCAAGGACGACATCGTAACTGAGGACGTTGTCCATCGCGTAACCGTACTTGTTGTTGAAATAGTGGAATCCTCCAATGAGACTCAGACCGGGGACACCAATTGTTTTCAAACGTCCACCAATGGCAGCACGACCGTAAGGCTCGAGGGCTTCGTAGACATCGTACCAAGTCAGGCCGGGACCGACTTCAACAGATTCGGCATTGACTTTGACCTTGACGAACTTCTCAAGGGCCATCAAAACCCCACCGTCGATGTTGTTCGATCCTGGATACTGGCCGGTTATTAGTTAACCATGTATTGACTGACCCCAACCGGCTGAAGTACTCACATTCATATGCCCACCACCACGAACAGCAAACTGCGCATCACAAGACTGGAAGATCTCAAGTGCCTTGGAGATTTCATCCGCAGTACTTGGCAAAAAGATGCAGGCTGGAGAAAGATCAGCTCGAACATCCCAATAAGCGTTCACGGCTTGGGCCGTATAATTTGCACTTTTGGGGCTGATAATCCCCGAATAAGCTCGAGAGAGTTTCGAACAAGCACATGCAGCTCCCTTGGTGAGCTCAAAAGAGCCCAGAGGAGTAGTTACCGTAGACCCTGCTTGAGTTGTTGCAATAACGCTCTCTGCGAGGGCCAGAGCCGAAATGGAAAATGCGACGAGATCCTTCATCCTAGCTCAATTCTCGCCGGATAAAATTCGAAGATTGAGATTGTAGTCGATCTCTCAATCCGTTCTCCTCGAACAGCTTTTATACAGATCCGGGCAGCCCTTGGCCATCATGTCTTTATGAAGTAGACCATCCTCCCAGGGGCTCTCCGAATCGTATCCGGATGCTCACAGCGCCGATCATCATACTGATCCCGGGGATTCCTCGGCACGCTCTTGCACGTAGAGCGTGTTCTGATCCATGGCATCTGAAACTCCGATCATCCTTGGGATGCGAGATGGGTCTTGCTCAGCCCTGCGACAAAAGGATGACGACTTGGTTTGGGCAGAGAGCCACATTAAATGTAGTTGCCTTCGATAAAGTGGGAACTATTGCTTCCAGAACGTGGAATGTGAAAACGCCAAACCGGCGCAGTGAGTGTTGTGCAACATCTGATAATCTTGCAGATCTACAGTGGCCCAAGGGCAATCCGAACCCGAATAAGAACCCGAGGTCCCTGGTCGATCGCGAGACGGGCTCGGGTTCGGGTTCGTATTCGGATAGGATGATTCCTTTTAGTTCCAACCATTCTCTGGTCTAGTTTAGAGTTTGATCAGTTGTTTGAATCTTATGCTACACCAAATATTGAGAATTGTGGGGATAAAAGAATTTTCTAAATTTGCCCATGATCCTCATCAGTGGATATCCAACTTCAGGTTGAGTTTTGGGCTTTGCGAAAACAAATGAGGGCTAGCCTCAGGATAGTCTAAGCAGGAAGGGAACTAGCCAAAGGCATCCCTATCTGGTGCTGTTCTTACTTTGCTAAGGACAAGAGCGACGGTGCATTCAATGAAATTGGTATCTAGATGAAAATATTGAAAAAAAAAGCAATCACTCTTCGAAAAGTCTTCCCAGAATCAAGCTCTGGCAGACAAACTCGCTGCCCACGACCTGTGGTCCAATTAAAGTTGCCAGGTTAGGCCTCGACATGGTCACAGTCGATCTCCTCCTCTTCCTCGGATTCACCGGGGCAGAGCTCTGTGCTTGGGAAGAAGCCAACATAGATTTTGCGGCAGTCTGATCTGCATCATCGACGTAGATAAAGTCCCAGTTTGAAGGCGATGGGGAAGCTCCAGCCTGGGAGTCCAGAAGGGTCTTGGCTGTCTCAAGGTCAGGAACCCGTTCTACACGAGAGGCGCCCAAGGCCAGCGTGAGGAATACATAAGCCTTGCGCTTTTCTTCTGCCTTTCCACGACCCATGACGATGAGCACGGACTTTCCATCGAGTAAGCTCGGTCGTGAGGAGATAGTATCTGACAAGCGAGCCTCCATAGGTGAGATTGGCGTCATGATTCGTGATCTTGTAGCCCCGTTGAGGTATTTGGACTCTCCGGCTGGCAAGAGGTAGATATCCCAATCAAGGACCCGACCTTTAGCGACACAATCTTCAACCCAACGACCAGACAGACATGGTATGTTGAGTGCCAATGCCTGCATGTACTTCTCGCGCCGAGAGTGGGTATCAGCAATCAAACATGTGAAACCAATCTCCGATGCGTCCGAATCGAGGGAGAGACCATTGATCGTTGATACTCCATTGCTCGAGCCGCCCTTCTTGGGTGTTTCGTCGGAGGCGGTTTCGAAAAGTTCCGTAAAGCCGTCATTCAGCAACACACCACCATTGTCTCGGATGAGTCTCGTGATCCGGTTTTTCGAGACTTCATCTTCCTTGTAGGAAACCGCAAAAGCCATGTTGGTGAAGATCCCACTGGGTTCGTAGATACTGCGAGCAACGCGAGAATTCGGAGATGCTGGTAAAGAAGATCTCATGGACAAAACACGGAATGTGCTCTCCTGTGGCGCTGTCTCAGTGTTTTGCGTAAACTCCCTGTCTTTGAACCGGTTCCACAGGATATTATCCATGTAAATTCGGGAGATTGGCACTTTGGTCATGGTTTCTGACCCATCGAATGAACCACTAGGCAGACTCTTGCGTTGCTTCGACGCAAGTATCAAAGCAGTATACCCATATACATCAGTCTGTGGATAAATGCCGTTGTCTGCAGCGCGAAGAATCTCTTCCCGGGTGAGCCGATCGCTGAATCCACGAATGACATGCGCAAGTTTGGGAAAACCAGGCATATCGACCTTGACTTCATCACCGACCCGAAGCTCAAGCCGCTTTACAAGACCTTTGATCACTTCAACAGGAAGACTGCCATCGAACTGCACTGAATATTTGCCCTGGGACACTCCAATAGGAGCGCCAAAACACGTAGCGGGATAGTAAGCCCGTTTTTGGCCCTGCCACACGGCTATAACTTGGTTCGGCGCACGAATTTCCGGGTCGTCGGAGGCAGGGGCAGGGGCAGTGCGATGCGATTGAGGTGTAGTTGAAGGACTCTTGGTGATGTTACTTGTTGATATCATTGAAATATCGGAAAGCAAATCAACATCGGTGAGCTCAGACGATAGAGCCGGCTGGGGGTTGTACACAACCACTGGCCGTGCAGGCGGCTGCTCATCTGGAAACTTGACTGGAATGCGCTGCGGTGGGGGGTCGCGCGAGGTCATCAGTCTCCCGTGTCTAGACCTGGATCTCTGGCGAACAACCCGTTGCGGACTCTCAATTTCCCAGACATTTTCGCGCCTCCTAGATGGAGGTCGAGACGGAGCTCGTGAAGCGGGACGGGTGGAGGCTCTTGATGCAGGTCGTGAACCAGATCGTGCCGCTGGTCGTGAAGTAGATCGTGCCGCTGGTCGTGAAGTAGATCGTGCCGCCGGTCGTGAGGTAGATCGTACGGCCGGTCGTGAAATAGATCGTGAGGAGGGCCGTGAGGAAAGCTCCAGCTGTCTACCAATGCTGGTGACTGGAACCTGAACTGCCAGCATCTCCTGTGAGTTTGACGGTGGCTTCTCGGCACTCGACTGCGGTTGACTGCGAGCGACCGTCTTGGGCGGCTGAGCGCGAGGAGTACTCAGAAGTACAATATCGGAAGGCCGAAGGCTCTGACCCAAATTCCCCCGGCGTCTCTTTCTAGGGCGAGTTGGGGACCCGTCAATAACAAGAGCATTGAATTCATCGTCCTCGGCTGTGAAGAAGTCGAGACCCCAGTCTACTTTGTGTTCGACTTGGGGGGAGGCACTAGCGGCGATGGCAGTCAGCGCTCGGCGCTGCCTTCCGCTGGGACTAGAAAGGATTTGAGACTGCACTTCTTGCGCTTGGATCATTTTGATTGGGGAAGATTGCGTTTGAGAGGGACCAGGTCGGGAGCGTCGGTTGACACTCTGAACGGCGAACATGGGGGGCAGATCATCATCTTCATTATTGAGACCATCGCCGTTCGATTCGCCCTCCCATTCGTTAGGTCGAGTCTGGTTGGGACTGGTCTCGGGAATGCTCGTCATAGGAGCCATATCACTCATCTGTGGTCGTAGATGAACAGGGGTCTCTGTGACACGCGAGGGCATTGAAGAGGATTTAGTCTCCAGTCCCGGGTCGGTCCCTTGGGGAAGTGATCCTGGGGCCTCCCGATCTGAAGGGTTGCTTGACTGAACACGTGCGATCTCATTCGAGGAAGTCGCCTGGATCACGACGTCCGTGTCCATTTCCGTGTCTTCATTATGTTGGGACTGTGGTCGTTCCTTCTGTCGAGAGCCGGGTGGTGAGGATTGAGCACGCGAGCGCACAGGCGTAGTTTCTTCCACGTCAGACATTTGATCAGCAGAAGTTTCATAGCAGTGAGAAGGTCGTTTGGACGACCGCTCATCCGGCTTTGGTGATTGATACGGCGTTTGCTGGGAATCCTTGACCATAACCTGCGAGGACCTGCCGAGATATTGGTCATTCTCGCGAAAGGCTGTTCGGTCCTGACTAGGGATATCAGCGCCCTGATCCGCTATGGCGTCATGTTCTTCAATAGCTAGAGCTTGAGAGAGCCGATCGTGTGCACTACTGGTAGCATCTATGCACACTGGAGGACCGTTGTAATTCTCCTTGTCCTCTTCCGAGGACTGCATGATCTCCTGTGATTGGGGTACTTGTGGGCCAAGGTCGTCTTCTTGTTCCGTCTCTTCTTCACTTCCTGCGGCTTCGTGTGCAGTCTCGTCTGGGTGCAGTCCATCAGTTGGATGGCTTGGCGAGGTAGCTACTGCGGTGGTGGACCGGGAAGGAGCATTGAGAGCAGCAAACTGGGCGGCAGTCTCCTCGTCAATTAAGCGTTGGCGCCGTGCATTCTCAACAAAACTCGACTCTTTGTAGAACTCATGGTCAAGCTCATCACTCGTCTCCATGTTGTTGGCCGACCGGCTGAGTCTTTCTCCCAAAGATTTTTCACGCCTCGATTGTGAGTCTTTTAGAGAAATGTAGTGCAGATTCGGCTCGGATGACTCTCTGGCGAAGTGCAGAGGTCGTTCTATCAAGGGCGACGAGACGGCATTCGTAAGGCGACGATGTTGGATGGGAAGGTTTGGGGAGGGCCGGTCGGATATCAACTCCAGCTGCTGGGTATGTACCAAGGGTGATGACGGGGCCTGTGTCGCCTTGAAGAGCTGGCTGAGGGCTAACATTCCTCCGCTAGACTCAATTTCACCAGCCAGTGGGTTGCGTGAAATGGAAGGTGTTCGCATGGATGTGCCCGGCGTCTGGTTCACCTTCACCGCAGTCCCTGGAGTTGTGGCCAGGAAGCGCTGGGACTCTGGAAAGAATTCGGCATTGTAGGCCATTGGAGACGATTCGGTGCCATCGTAGTTGCTGTCGTCGTCGTGATCCGGGGACTGATTGCCATCGTGTCGTGCAGTATCAAATTGAGAAAGGAGATTAATGTGCCCACTGTCTCCCTCCTGCAATGTTCGGAGTGTTGCACCATCAGCTCCATTCTGTGAGTGTCCATGGTACATAGATTCTCCATTTTGTCGAATGATGCTATCGTACACTGACTGCGACACGACCTGGGTGTCCCCAGGGGCAGCCTCCGCGGAATCCATCTTGTCAAAGGGTGTCGAAGGGACGTGGTTCGTTCGGCTCTGTTCAGTTGTAGGATTGGAGGTGTTCACGGGTTCCGATTCATGTTGCCGAGGTATTGACGAGGGAGGAAGTTGTTTGAGGGTAGAGCTGGCGGGATTCGATGAGGAAGTCGAGGATAATCCTATGGCAGTGGGCGATGCACCACCATGAGAATGACGAGAAGGGCGTTGATCAGAATAGTTGGACTGCTCCGGCGAAGCGCTGGCAATTCTTGCTGGGCCGGAAAAGATTGACTGGGATGGGTCGTGCTCCTGGAGATGTCCAAGTCAGTCCAATGAGAATCTGGAACGCTGCAGGTCATGACATACTAGCCCCAACGCGACGCGTTGCAGCTTGGCGATATCGATGCTGTCCTGCGTCTCCATCGCCTCAACGTGATGTCGGAGAAGTATGTACAATTGCGAAAACCATGCCCTGTGCAGCTATAGATATGATGATTGAATTATTTCACGAGTTCCAACGGTAGTCGGCGCTGGGCGGCCAACAACCCGAAATTGGGAAGCGGACGCGAAGCGCGTCGGTCACGTGCGGTCGCGCTTTTCCAATATTACCCGTCTGGGACTAGCGTCTTTGGAGGACCTTCCAGCAGATACATGTAATAAATACAGTACGAGTATTATACTACGGAGTACAAAATTGTGATTGTATGTTGAAAATGCTATTGGGTGTATCACACACAAAATCTCGTACAATAAATCACTGAACACCTGAGCGGGTATCTGAAGCCCGATATCATCATCACTGTAGAATACATAACGTCGACGGCACCTCAATCGCGAGTGCGATTAGGAACCCAGCGGCGAAGGATGAATTCGCGGACCCGGTAGCGACCGATTTCACCCCCAATATCCGCAGACGAGGGCACGGGAGGAGGAACTTCCACATAGCAGACCACCAGACTCTTTTTCACTTGAGCTTGGACACGATTAACGCAATGCAGCCACCACCAGCTACGCGCTTGCTTGTTGACCGCATATTCCTTGCGTTCCTCGGTCTCGGACCAATATGGATGGCTGTAGGAAGGAATGATAATGACTGCAAACTCGGCATGAGAGAAAACCGGCCCGCGGTTGTAGAGGAGATAGTCGGTTCCGAACTTGACTCCGGACCGGACAACCCAGCCGAGAGAGCGGAAGTGGTGGTACACAACATATGATATCATGAATGGGTCGTCAACCTCCGGTTGAGAAGAGTCGGGGCGGGGAGGGTAATAGGAATGGCGACGGAGGAGGGAGAGAAGTGATGAGGTCGAGATGGGGGCATTATCATTGCGGTCGACAACTCGAAGAGCACCAAGCGCATAAACCAAGAAGAAGGTCTCCTCGGTGGACAATTGTAGATGTTCTTCGTTTTCGAGAGTCTCGAGGTCCAATTCGTCATCGAGGGCCTGGTGCCTGGCACTAGAGTTGGAGACAGCCTCATGCTTCTCGACAATGGGAGAAGGTAGATCGGATGAGGCGTTGGCTGCTTGGGATGAATCCGCAGACTCGGAAGTGTTCTTGTTCTGAAGTGCTTGTTGCCGTCTCTCGTGGTACTTGGCTTCCATGGCCTTCTTGACAGAGAACCTCTCTACCAAGATAGCAGCAGCCTCGGCACCGGCATCGATGGGTGATCCGTCAACAGAGCCGGATTCACGAGCAGCGGCCTCAGCCTTAAGTCTCTCTTCGACGGCCAGTTTCTCGTGTCTGGCTCGCTCCAGTTTGAGTTGGCGGCGTTCAGCACGACGCTTCCGTGTGGCCTCCTCGACAGTATTACCACCCATCAGCCCCCTCCTCTTCTTCTCCTGCTCCAGCCAATTAGGCTCACTTCGGCTCAGACTACCTTTACCAAAGAACCCCATCTCCCACAAGGCCCTAATCGTCTTCTCATCGGTGACATGAACGGACGAGGTAGCCGAGTCGAAGTATGCGGTATAGATTTCTTGGCGTGGAGGGGAGATAAGGAAGGTGAGGTACGAGAGGGCAACACTAATGATGGAGAGAGGGTTATGAGGAATTACTGAAGGAACATGATGAACATTGACTGGAAGAGGAAAGCGATGGATGTGCCTGTAATTGGGTCTAGGAGGCCGAGGAGTCCGGGCCGGCCGAGTTTTCTCTGCTGTCTCTGATACAGTCACAGCGACAGGGCTAGGGCCAGGTACAGCCTTCAGCTCTGGCTTGGGCACACTGGTAGCTTCGGCCATGATGGAACAAGTATTACTGGATGAGATGGAGTGATGATCCTGGTCTGAAGAGTTTGAGTTAGCAAACTCGGTTCATCAAGCACATTGGTGACAAAGGCAATTATGAATGACGGTCTTCTCAGATACCGTTGTAGTCAATTAAGCAGATCATTGACAGGCAGCTAGAAATCAAGGTGCCACCTGCCTGGGCTTAGGTATATAGGTCATCATCGAAGGGGAGGGGAGGGCATGGAAAGGGGAAAAAAAGGATAGCTCCAGAGAGCTCGTAGCGTAGCTTACCTGTAGATCGTCATGCCCTGACGGTGAATGTCGAGACAGGGCCAAACGGATCAGATGGTGATCATGCCCGGCTTGAAGTATCTGCTGCGTCAACTGTAAGTGATAAGCTTAGCTCGTCCGTGTCTGCATTATTGACAGTGCAAGTTAATTTTCCCTCGAAATTCGCAAGGTGAAGGAGAAGAAAATTTGCGGGCGCTTCAGTTCGTTTTAAGCGGGCATGCATGACTAAGCACCAGGTCCGGGATCCACCCGTCGGCGTCAAAAAAATTCCTCCGCTTCACCGTTCACGACACCAGCAAGAATACTCTCGATCCACACGACCACCAACTACCGCCAAGTAAGTATTTTGAATGTTTCACTGCATTGGATTTCTGAGATATCGAGTATCTTACTGACTTCTCCCCCTCCAGAATGCATCTTATGGTACGCTACCTCCCCTCTGCGACGTCGAGACGAACCCTCGCTTCGATAGCGAACAACGAACCCCCTCTTCCGAGATAATTACTGACTCTTTTGAAAAGTACACCCTCGGTGCCGATGGCAAGCGTGTCTACACTCTGAAGAAGGTTGTTGACGGCAAGGTCTCCAAGTCTGCGTAAGCATATACCCTACCCATCCCGCAGACACATTGATCCAGCAGCTCATTTTCAACAGTCACCCTGCTCGTTTCTCCCCCGATGACAAGTACTCGCGCCACCGTGTTACCCTGAAGCGCCGTTACGGCCTCCTGCTCACCCAGCAGCCCGGTACGTCTCCTTATCTTTGTTCCTACGAGTCTCTATATACTAATAGCTGTCCTCCACCAGAGGAGTCCGCTTCCTCCTAAACTCCGACAATTAAACTTGGGACAAAATGGATTTCAGGGTGATATAACCCGCGATTCGGCGCTTGGTGTTACTTGTATAGTCTGTCGACGGCTATGATCTGCATTGCTTCTGGCCAGGTTTTTTGATGGTCAAATTTCATTGGGAAATACCTACCTAGTCTCACATGTTTGGCTACCAATGATACTCTTTTTTTTCTTTTGGACACATTTATACCAATTTCTCTATATTCGGTTCTATCCTATGTGCAAGGTTCATCGTAAAGAGGTCGGCTTCGATCGCTCCAGTCATTACTCATGAACAGAGCAGGTTGCCCCATCGTGACAAGAAAACGGTTGAATGACTTTTTTGTGCATGCCCCCCAAAACTCCAGTCCGTGTAGTCCGTAATGCAAATTTTGTCCACCAGCTGCACTTAGCGCTTTCTCGAGTTGATGTTCCGACCGGCGCCGACCTTGATGCGGCCTCCGGACTTGTTGCGCTCACCAGTCAAGATGCCAGGAAGATAATCCTCGTCCATAAGGTCCCGTTCCCGGCGCTGGCGCCGCTCTTCCTCGGTGGTGGATCGGGTGAACTCCTTCTGATCCTCGGCGAGAATGAGCTCAGTGCCCCATCCTCCCTTTCCACCGCCGCCCTTCCACTTGCCGTTGGCACTGCCAGCGACGGGCTTGGGAACGCTGAAACGGTTGCCTCGGTTGTTCCATTGCATGTTCTTCTTCAGATGCATGGTAAACTGGCCGTTGGCAGTCGTGGTGCACGACACACGGGTAAGCGTGTCTTTACCGCAACGAGGGCAGAACTGCTTGTTCATTTCCTTGGTGGTAAGGAAGCAGGCATGGCAGCGCTTAATGAATGACTTAAGGTGCTGGACTCTTTGAAGAGTGGTCGTTGACAGAAGGTTCAAGTTCATCTGCAATAGAACGTTTTGGCACTGCGAGAGAAATTAGTTAAAGTATTCAATCCAATACGCAGAAAAGTTGCCATACCGCAAAATCGGTGGTCATAGTTGCGACCTGCATAGTCTTGGGCTCGTTTCCAGCTCCTCCCGTCCCACTTTCATCGCGGGCCAGCCGCTTCTTGTAGTTGGTGGGCGTAATCCATTCTCCATCCGAATCAGCAGCATCCTCTTCGTCCTCGGCCTCGGCCTCAGCATCGTCCTTGCTCTCCTCGGGAGTATCCTCGTCAGCCGCAGGCTCGACCGTAGTGCTCTCTGCGACAGGTTCGACCTCTTGTGTGGGTGTAGCCTCTTCCTCCTTGGATTCCTCGGTGGCCTCGGTCACAACGGCCTCGGTGGTGGTGTTGTCGACGGTCTCTTCCAGGGTAGCCTCTGTTTCTTCCTTCTTTTCCTCCTCCTTGACAGGCGGCTTTCCGTTGACTCGCTTCTGGCCAGGAACACTGCGCAGACGCCAATCACCACCATTGCGCTCACACTCAATCTCATATGCGAGCGCCAGGATTTCGATATCGACTCGACTCAGCACGGATCGGTCGCCCGTCTTGCGAGCAAATTCGCTAATAACATTGAAGCTGTTCGGAGACGGGGTTCGCTGCTTCAGGAAAGGCAGGTAGAGGGTTTCGACACGAGCGCGGGCGTCCGGGTCGCGAATTTCGTTCACCACTGAGGGGGTGGTGATAATCTCGTCGCATTGAGCGAGCAAAGTGGACAATGGCGGGGTATTCTTGATGATGGGACCAGCGTCCAGCACGATTGTGTGGACGGGCTTCGGTGGCGATGTCACTGTATCCGCCATTTTTCCTTCTGCTTTCAGCACTTCCTGTCGCAAGGAATAGTGCAGGAATCGGTGGCTCTTTAAAGTGAAAATTATCCTTCGCGGGGATGTGGAAAAGGAAATTTCTCGGGATAGTTGGTCTGTGCGCGCTTATCGCCTTATCTTATCGTCTTGCAAAGCCCTACAATGCAGTACTTGAGTAGCACGATTCAATGCGAGAACTAGTGGTATAGAAGAGATCGGTTTAAGTTGAAGATGGCTGCTTAATCATTCTATATTCTGACTTTGACATCAAGAATGCGATTTTCTTTTTTTCATGAGATTAGAGAATCTGATGGTTGCTATCCATTAGGATCGTTTCAGAGCGGGTATCTAGCGCCCATCGTCCGAAATATATACATCAGTCCACAGACTCTAAACGTCGATTTCAGACCGAATAGATGGCATAAAGATCCATATGTCTCTTTGCCGGGTAGTGAACCTCGGAAGGGATTTGGTAGGTTAAAAAGTGAATAAAAATGAAAATTCATATGTACCTAGCAAATAGTAAACCGTCTAAAATCATATCTATCGTTCAAAATTCCACAATTTCCCTTTCCCGTCCATGCAATCAGAACACTTCCAACCTAATCCCTGATAGATGAAACAGGGCGTTGTTGCATCTCAAGATCGGATTTCCACTGAATATCCCTTTCGGGCTGCGCAATAGGCGATTCCATCTTTTTGTTCAAAACAAAAGAGGGATGGAACACATTCATCACGGCCATCACCGAGAACATCATCGCAGCATCGAACACATACAAGAATACCTCGTGGCTGATGACATACCCATCGTTTCCTTGCACAAATTCAACCAGACGGTAAACGGATCGAATCAAGATTAACACGCTAGCGCTGTAGCATGCGAACAGGAGACCTCTCCAGTCTCGGGGCCAGATTGAGCCACGCTTGTTCATGAATCTCTCGCTTTCAATGGTAGGGCCTCGAATTATTTTGATGTGGAAGATGAGCGAGGTGATCACAAATGCCCCGAAAAACACGAGCTGGACGCAGAGGCCTGCCACAATAACCCATTGACCGATCTTGATAGTACTTTCGGATCCGCTTGTCATAATTCCGCCTCCTATTAGGTCCGAGACGACATCGATTAGTGAAACGCAACGGAATGATAGCCGGTAATTTGCTCAACTCACCGGCAGCCTGAAGGATAAAGGACAAAACGTCCCCAGCAACGAAGATTTTTGTCATCCATTTGACCGGGATATAACTCAGATGCTCACCGTGGAGGAAGGTGATAATTCGGCCAAGTACCATGTATATCGACGCTGCGTAAAGCGTTGGCGCCAATAAAATCAGGAGTGACTGAATTGCATAAAGAATCGTGGAGTCCATATTGAAATGAGAGCCAGCACGTGCTCCATAGCCGATGATTTGAACTATAATAATTGTTAGCAAATTGCGAGGCCACGAAATTGCAGGAAGGAAGATCGGTTAGACTGACAGATACCGCCCACAATAAACGGGTTGAAGTATTTTGAATGCGCTTTAACTCGCTGATAGAGATGGAAGACAGTCGTCAACGCAAAGAGCACAGCTAAAAGGATGGCACATGGAAGATTGGGCGTGTAGTGGTAGAGGACATAGTTCTTGTCGGTAGCCATGAGGACTCTTTTCACTTTGAAAGACTTGACGTTTAAGTAGGAAAGAAAAAAAAAAGGCCGCGGTACTGCTGGAAGAGTACTTGATGAATTTGTTGCTATCGAAAGCTCATGGGCTGGAAACTAATGGACAATTTATAGGGTTCCCATTGAAAAGAGGCTTATCGATCCGAAGATTGAAAAATATCATTGCCTGGCTCAACGATGGCGAAAATAGCGATATTCTAGCTCGGAAAGGTACCGTAAGGTTAAGAAATTGGTGAAGCCTGGTGCGGGATCCGAAGTCGAATACGAACTCGATTGTCACTGAAAATAAATAAGCTTAAAAAACATCTTCTGTCTGAATTTTCACAGCCTCCACCTAAGATCCACGGTAGACCTAGGCTCGCTTCGGATCGAGTCCGGGTTCGGGTTCGTATTCGTCTGGACTCGCAATCGATGTAGATCATTCCTCGAGTAACCAATAAACATTATTTGAAAGAAATTGAGAATAAAGCATGATTTTTATTATTTGGTCTAGTAATGCCCGGATCTGTCGTGTCCCAGTTTCATCTTTTCATGTGAGAGATCGTCGCATGGCTCTATTTACACGCTCGTTTGCCCCCGCATTATGGGCCAGATATCCTACAATTTGCTACCATTCAGCCGCTAGTTTACCTTGAGATCAATTATATGGCCAGACCCAAAAGATACGACCAGCAAGGATGTTTCTCACGATTGGAATAGGGAATGCACTGGTGGCTGGTCTTTCAATGGTACAAATTCCTGATCTAGAAGTCATAACCTTGGCTAACTACAGAAGGCGATCATTGGATACCTCTCGGTCGCATTTTACAACGTTTTTCTCCATCCTCTTAGTCGCTACCCTGGACCCGTTTCTCATGCGATATCTCGATTACCATACTGTTTCCGTGCAATGCGCGGAACTCTTCCATTTGATATGCTCGAGCTACACAAGCGTTACGGTGATATTGTTCGTATTGCCCCAGACGAACTTGCCTTCTCACACCCTGATGCCTGGAAAGATATCATGGGGCACAAGAAGGGGGAGCAAGAGCTAGGCAAAGCAGCGTGGTTTTATCAACCCGTCGAAGAGCTGCCCAGACACGTCGTCAACGAGGAGAGAGAAGAGCATGGCCGACTCCGCCGGCAGATGGCCCATGGATTCTCTGAAAAATCAATGCGATCGCAGGAGCCTCTGATACGGAGTTATGTGGATCTTTTCCTTCAGAGACTCTCCGAAATTTCTCAAGATGGAAGCGCGGTCATAATCTCGGATTGGTACAATTATACCACTTTTGATATCATTGGAGACTTGGCTTTTGGTGAGCCGTTTGGCTGCCTGGAAGGCTCAAATTACGATACTTGGATCAAAAGTATCTTTCAATCAGGACAGTTGGGTACAATCCTGCAAACACTGTCATTTTATCCCTCAATCAAGAAAGCTTTGCTATCGTTGGTCCCGAAATCGATGCGTGATGCTCAGGAACAGCATAAAACCCTCACAAAGGCTAAGATGCTACGAAGAATGGAACGAACGGAAGAGAGGGACGATTTAATTGAAGGGCTGCTGAAAAAGAAGAACGAACTGGTGAGTATACCTATATGATTGCTGTTGAGCACCTACTGATATAAGCCAGAATCTGACTGTTGAGAAATTAATTGCAAATGCTGAAATTCTCATCATCGGTGGATCGGAAACGACAGCATCTTTGCTGAGCGGAGTGACTTATCTACTTCTCACAAACCAGGATGCATACCAAAAATTGAAAAAGGAAGTCAGAACTTCTTTCCAATCTCAGAAGGATATCAATTTGATATCAGTCGGCCGGCTGCCATATCTTCAGGCGTGTCTGGAGGAAGGATTACGCATGTATCCTCCTATCGCGAATGGGTTACCGCGAGTTTGCCCTCCTGGCGGAGCAACAATCCTAGGGAATTATATCCCAGAAAATGTGAGCCAGCAATGCATCTATGCTCTCCTAAATGAGGCATACTAATATTGTGAATAGACGTATGTTTCGATCCATCAATGGGCACTCTATCGACGCGATAACTATTTCAAGGATGCAAATAAATATCACCCCGAACGATTTATGGGAGACACAAACTTTAAGGATGATAGACGTGAAGTGCTGCAGCCTTTCCATATTGGGCCCAGGAACTGCTTAGGCCGAAAGTAAGTTTTGCTTGAAGGGATAGACTGACTCCGCTGACCACGTCTAGTCTTGCATACAGTGAAATGCGTTTGATTCTTGCACTGATTATTTTCAATTTTAATCTTCGGATCTCCGAGGATTGCCATGACTGGATTCAGCAGAAGAACTTCCTCATGTGGCAGAAACACCCTCTCAGGGTCTACTTGCAGCCTGTAGTATAACAGTTAGCGGGGCTTCCCCATTGGAACAAGATCTTTGAACCACGGCGAGAATAAGTAGTGACCGGGATTTTGGTATTGTGTCTTTTTATTCAGCGTTTGAGTATTCAGCTTTGTGTACGATAATCAGGCGTAGGAATCACGCTAGTGCTCAGAGTACGAGCTATCGACTGGATTGTTATTTTCATTGATTTTGTTCCAGATATTATCTGCGACAAGCGTAGGCTAGCTATTGCTTAGGTGGAGCCGAAAACCTTTAAATGAGGGCCCTTTTCGGAAATCTAGTCCCCGTAGATCAATAGTCTAGAAATCAGCCCAACAGGGACATGAAAACGCATAGAGAAGTGAAAGGGCCATCTCAGCTATTGCTAGCGACTCTGCAATGGATAATACCTTCGGGTGCAATCCGACAACATCTATAAACCGTGCATGGGGACTTCCTACAAAATTGGAGCATCATAGGTTTCTGAAAACACCGTTTTTTGCTAATATAGTCTTACTTCACGCCCGCGTAATAATCACTCATTCAGTCGCTGATAAATCAGCTCAGTGTCGTCTACCTTTGGCGTATCTCGTGACAAAACCTGGCTAGGGTGAAAGATCACAAAGACGACCATGACTTGTAACATCAAGAAGGCGTCAAACATGTATGCATAGTACTCATGACTCTGGAGTACGCCGGTTTGCCCTTGAATATACTCGACCACGCGGTAGATACAGCGAATCATTATCATAGCACTGGCAAAGTAAAGGATGAAAAGGTACCGCTTCCAGTTGACAGTGCATGTAACCGACTCCGTAGTAGGATTGGCGACAATTCTTTTGTGAAAAATGACCGAAACAATGACGAAGAATCCAAAGAAAATGATCTGGACGAAAAGACCGACGATGATAACGTTTTCTCCAAGTTTCATCTTGCTTGCTGATTTCGCGCCGGTAAGAATGGCACCGCCTACGTATCTTTGATTAACAACAATCCTTGACATGAGATCAGAATCGTGATGGTACATACCTCCACTTTGAACCAGAAACGCCAGAACGTCTCCAACAACAAATATCTTCGTCAATTTCGTAGACTTGATGAGAGATCTCGAATCTCCGTCAACTCGACGTATAAGGCGACCAAGGACCATGTAGATTGATGCTGCAAACAGTGACGGTGCGAGTAAAATGAAAACACTCTGCATGGCGTATGGCATGGTCCCGTAGTTTGGCGCTTGGTGAGCATTCACTGCTCGAGCGGCATAACCAATGGTTTCAAAAAAGCCACCAATAATAAATGCAATAAGGAACTTGAGGCGATGCTTGATAGCAAGGAAGATATGTGCGATGGTCGCTGCGAGAAACAATAGAAGCGCAATCACAGCGACTGCCAAAGACGGCGTGTAGTTGTAGAGAACGTATTCGGCCATCTGGAGAGGCCTTTGATCGTTTGAAGTGATGATAATTGGATGAAAGGAAGGTGTGAATGTTGAAAGTTCAACTGCAATGGGGCATTCAAAGCCCATATAGTCTTCTACCTCATTCGTGAATTTTGACATTCGAGTTATCTGGTGTTGAAGCATCATTTATTGCTATATTTAGGGCCTCAGCTTCGACCAGTTCTTGATTGTACCCGAATGCGAGTCCGAGGGTCCACCCTCGGATTCGGTACGAGCCGTAGAGTTTTTTGCATATCAACCAGTGCTGATTATTGACCCAAAAAAGCTGCTAGAGGTGTATCTTCCCTCCATGAGTCTCGGGTCATAGTACTGCGACATGGCCACATGCGAGTCGTTTGTCAAAGAAATCATCAAAGAGACTTCATGAAACATCCAAGTTTCCACAAGGCATTCTACTATTTATTGCACTAGGCAGCAATTTTGAAGATAAATAACCTATTGGTATGGCGTTTTATTTCCAGAGCTGAGCATGGACAACGATAGTAGTAAAAGGCAAACGCGAAGATTGCCTACGATTCTTGGCGCCTTTGAAACACTCGAAGGACGAAAGTGCGTTTGCAGATGACATTCATTCATATAAAATTCTTTTAGTTTAATACAAAGCGTGAGTTGGCCTCTGGATTCCAAGGCCCCGATGGGCTAGACGCTTGCTTCCTGCCTCGAAGTTGTTTGACGTAATCCTTCAATCCTTTGTTAAAATTCATCATACACCAAACCGAGTTGACAAGCGTCGAAATGATCAAAAAAGTTGCAATCGTAGCGAATAAAGTCAGGGAGGTCTTGAAAGAGCTAAGACCGCTATTGTCATTAGAGCGGTACATTTGAATTATGGTTCGGATGATACTCGTCAAAATGGCAACCATGAAGATCTGTGACAATTGTCAGCTAATGTTTCGGGGGATCTTTGGAAGTTGTATGCCCTACCATCATCAAGAAGAGAGATTTAGTTTTCTCTCGTCGACAAAATAGGGCCGACAAAGATAGAGTTATTATGGCAACGGGAACCATGGCCGCATTGATCAAAAATTCCTCATTCTCAAGATCTTGGATGGAAAGTAGGATCTGGAGTTGTGTGCCAAAAATGAAAAACCAATCAAACTTGAGGAGAGCAATGTAGACCTGAGCGGTTAGCATGTGAGATTCGTGTCAGACTAGCAGAGTCTCCTACCTGGTAGACTGTATATCGGCGATTCATTCGCAAATCTGCGCTGATATCTTTGTAGATTGACCAAGAAAATTCCGCACGAAGCCTCCAGGTCACAAATATCATGACAAAAGTACCAAGACCCAAAAATACCGGAACCAAGATGAGTTCAATCTGATATTTACCCAAAATGTTGGTGCTGCGCGTGGTGTCGGCCACCACTTCTGTGACGGTTTTCTTAATTTCTCTCATTTGCAAGATACCATAAGTAAAAAGCCCAAGGTTGCAAATACAGAGACCAGTTAGTTGGAAGGTGTTTTTGCGTCGTAAAGCATCGTATGAGAGCGCAAGCTCGTAGAGAAGTGCGAAAATGTAGAGACCAAGAAATGACCGAATGCGTGTCGTCGCACTGCCCTTCTCAATTTTGTCAAGCTGATTCAACATGCTAACGAATACCCAGCTAATGATAATTATGAGTCTTTGAACACTTCACCATCTGAGAATTGTGCTAGATGACCCACCTTTCGATTCCAACTGTAGCCAGCGTCTCAAGGACCACCGCGATAGCAAACGAACGTGTCCATAACGTGTTTGGAATATAGATGGAGCGACGGCTCTTTTTAGGAGAAGTCACATGTCCTCGGTCATTGCGAACTTGATTCATCGGCGGCGTGAAGTCGTCAAGCTCAATGTATTTCCCATTGTGGGTTGACAGGGCTGACTTGGAGAAGTCGAAAGTGTGGCGGCCTTGTGGGGAGTCCGCCCTGGCCGGAGGGTACACAGTGGCTTTAGCGACTCCAGAATCGCTGGGCTGCATCATTCGTTCTCATGGGTTGCAGCTCCAGGTTTCAGTTGTAGAGACAATATAGGAGTGAGGTTTGGATACAGTAGATATTAGATTGTGAATGTCATTGAAGAGAGTTTATTGTTGGCAACTTCAAAAGGCTGACGAGCCCGAGTACGAATCCAGGCGTAAATAGCTCGGCACCAGGCCCGCTTTTGGGAATTTTAACTCACACAGGTCGATAGTCAACATTTTGTGTGGAGTCTAGAGTGTCAAGATCTGATATTATGGTGGTTTCTAAAAAAAATTTGTGCTTCTAGTCGTATTGGGTGATGGCCCACTAGTGCCTGGATCCACATAGGTGGCCTATCAACTATGGCTGCCTAATCTAACGTGGTCGGTAAGCGAGTGGGCCATGTAAGCGAGCGGGCCACCTAACCGCTTTTTCGCGTCCTACCACGTTCATCTATCTTCTATCCACCACCATGCCTCCAATTCGCGCCGGGTTAAGCCAGGATGCTATGCAACAAGAGGGCCGCATCTTATTAGCTGTACAAGCTATAAACAACAAGGAAATCGGCTCTATTCGGAAGGCTGCAGACCAGTTTCAAGTTCCCCGGAATACGCTCACGCGTCGACTACGCGGTACTACAAACCGTGCTGAATCTCGCGCAAATTCTCATAAATTAACAGAGATCGAAGAGGAACTACTTCAGCAGCGGATACTATCGCTAGATCGACGTGGAGCAGCCCCTACACAAGCTCATGTACGAGAAATGGCTAATTTGCTACTCGCGAAGCGTGGTTCTATCTCTATCCAAACCGTCGGCGAAAAATGGGCATATAACTTTATCCAACGCCATCCGGACCTTAAATCTCGCTTTTCACGACGATACGACTACCAGCGAGCACTACAAGAGGATCCAAAGATTATTCAAGAGTGGTTTAACCTCGTACAAACCACGATTCAGCAATACGGTATCCTCGCGGACGATATCTATAACTTTGACGAGACTGGGTTCGCGATGGGCCTTTGTGCGCATCAAAAAGTGATTACTCGAGCGGAATACTACGGTCGGAGATCGGTTTTACAGCCAGGGAACCGCGAGTGGGTAACCGCAATCGAGTCAATTAACGCTTCGGGGTGGGCACTTCCACCGACGCTTATTTTTAAGGGTAAGCAATATAATCAAGCCTGGTTCAAAGATCTTCCGTACGACTGGCGCTTCGAAGTTAGTACGAACGGGTGGACGTCTAACGAAATAGGCCTTCGCTGGCTTCAAAAGCAATTTATTCCGTCGACAAATAGTCGTACGCGCGGAAGATATCGACTTTTAGTCCTCGACGGACACGGAAGCCATCTAACAGCAGAATTCGACCAAATCTGCGCGGATCACGATATTATACCGATCTGTATGCCAGCACATTCCTCGCATCTTTTACAACCGCTTGATATCGGATGTTTCGCGGTTTTAAAGCGCGCATACGGTGGTTTAGTCGGCCAGAAAATGCGGCTCGGGATTAGCTATATCGACAAGCTTGATTTCCTCACAGCTTATCCACAAGCTCGTACCGACGCATTTAAATCAGAGACGATTCAAAATAGCTTCCGAGCAGCAGGATTAGTACCTTTTAATCCCGAACCAGTGCTATCAAAGCTCAATATTCAACTTCGGACGCCTACGCCGCCCTCAAGCCGCGGTAGTCAAGCAAGCGCTTTTTGCCCCCATACGCCCGCGAACGTGGACGAGCTTTATAAGCAAGCAGCTTCAATTAAAGCTTTCCTAAAACGACGCTCGAAAAGTCCCCCATCGCCGTCGCAGGCCGCGCTAAACCAGCTTATTAAAGGCTGTCAAATCGCGATGCAAAACGGTATCTTTCTCGAGCAAGAAAATAAGCAGCTACGCGAGGAAAATACTACACAGAAGAAAAAGCGTGCTCGTACAACTAGATGGATAGCTCACGATGACGGTCTGAGTGTACGAGAAGCAATGGAGCTCGAGGAAGCTCATAATGCCTTTTTTCAGGCCATACCAGGTCCACGAGTGCCACCAGCGCAGGGTATACCGGCACCGAAGCCGAGGGCCTTACCTAAATGCGGCAATTGCAGTGAAATAGGGCATAAGAAGAATTCTTGTCCAAATAGAGAATAATGAATATAAAGGAGTTGTGGTTGATATATATCGATAAATGTGTAGAAATTCTGGTTGGGTGGCCCGCTCGCTTACATGGCCCACTCGCTTACCGACCACGTTAGCCCCTTTTTAACCCGATCCTTTCTCATTTAAGGAGGATCCATGGTGATTTATCTGGCACGATGTCAACAAAACCGATGTTATAACAGCACTCGGAAGTTGGTGAAGGCTCTGCGGAGTCAGCGCAGTGCCACTGTGCCACTGAACAGGCTCCCAGGGCAAACCTCTGGGGAGGATTTCAGAAGTTCCTCCCCAAGTCGGGCAAGTGAGAAGGCAGATGGAAAGACTGGCTATTTAAATTATTGTTTGACTAGAACTTGACCTGCCACTTGGGGTTTGTTCTTATCCGCTCCCCAAAAATTCGAAATCCTATAGGAATAGGGGCTATTGCCAGGGCAATAAAACCCAAGATACTGTTGCCCCAGCCTAGGCCGACCCTGTCATACAGTTTCAGCGCGAACAGTGGGAAAAGTGCCCCCAAAAGACTTCGCAACACAGTGTTAGCTGCTGTGGCGCTCGCAGCATGTATAGGGAACGCGTCAACCAGGTATGTTTGGATGCACATCAATATCGCGATCATGCCAAACCCGATCACAGCATTTCCAATCTGAGGCACAATCCAGTGAACACGGTACTGGGTGCTCCATCCGTAGATAAAAAGACCAACTGGAAGACAGAGGCATGCCGGAACGATGAGTGTATATCGCAGTCGGTCTTCTGGAAGAATTGCCTCTCCCGAGGCAATTTTTCTCCTGATTCTTTTGTCGCTTTGTGTAGCGGCGAAGGCCAGCCCCAAGAGCATTCCCACTCCGCTTCCTAGGAAAGCTAAGCCTGCAGTACCTGAAGAGAACCCGTACTCTTCCTCAAAGACAAATGTGTAGGTCGTGAAGAGTATGTAAAGCAGACCGTACATGACTGCCACATATGAACACATGAGAAATATGATGGGCGAACAGAGGAGCATCTTCATGGGTCGGATGATGCTTTGTATGAATAACTCCTTCTTTGGTAGATCTGAATGGAGACGCGATCGGTAGGAAGAGTCCCCTGTCTCTTTTCTCAGTTGAGCAGCCTTGCGCTCTAGAAGGACCGGGGTATATGTCTCTTTCAAAGTGAAGAAGCACAGGATAGTGGATGCTCCAGACTATTGTATGGCATTCCACGGTCAGCAGTCGTGCGCAGACGAACGAATCATTTGAGGGTGGCTTCTTACAACTATCGCGATGACCCAAAACACCCACCGCCAGTGTTTTGCTTCAACGAGGAAACCCCCTGCAATGGGGCCAACGATCGGTCCAAATAATGGCCCAAGGGACCAAAGCGACATTGCTACACCTCGTCTTTCCGGAGGCATGAGGTCCGCAATTGTGCCGCTACCGCAGGTAATCGGGGCCACTCCAGCACAGCCAGCCAAGAACCGAAACACAATCAACATTGCCATGCTCTTGGAGACTGCGCAGAGGATCGTGAAAATTAAGAAGAGAACATTGCAAACATGATATACCGGGACCCGACCGATCCATTCGCTAAGAGGTGCGATGACAAGGGGTCCAAATGCGAAACCGAGCACAAACACAGAGATGACGAAGGTTGCAAGTAATGTCGAATCCGTTTTGAAGTCAGTCAGCATTTGAGGAACACCAGGAGCAGACATTGAGGAAGCTAAAGGTCTGGCATGTCTGGTAAGCCGTACTGATATAGCTTGATGTTATAGGGTAACGTACGTGAGAAAAGTAACAAGTGACAAAGAAGCAATGATGGTCCATTTTTTAGAATTTGACCAGTTTCTTGGGTTCGCAGGGTCTTCGTTCTCAGGAACGTTCCACCACACATCGAACTCGGACGTGGTCCCTTCATCGCTCACCGTTGTTGTGGTATTCGAAGTCTTGGGATGACTGTCGATCCCAATGGGGCCGTCCAGACTTTTCTCGGATGCAACGTTTTCCTTGCTCCCAATGTTTGCATCATTGCCATGCGTTTTGTCGGACATGATGAACCCGGGGAAATGAGCTTATTTCAGGTACGGCCGGCGCGCCAACAACACAGTCTCGAGCGGCGGTAATTCAACGCTTCTCCGCAAAGGCAGAGGATTCGAAAAAAAAAAAAAAAAAAAAAAAAACTTGTGCGAGGCTCTAGGAAATCACTTCCTGTAAAATTAATCAGCGTCATGATTCAATCGTGGAGGGTATCAATCTGCCAACCAGTAAAACTGGAGGCGATTGCCAGCATGTGCCAATCTAACCTCGGGTTCGTTTTCGTACTCGGGTACACAATACGAACTTTTGACATGAAATTTCCTAGCCGTAGACAATGGAATTGGATCCTGCATAGAAAGATTACGGCTTTTGATTGAAATGGATCGTGAAAGGTGCTCTCTCTTTTAAATCAATATCGCCCTCTTTATCTCAGCCGAACGACGCCTGTCGATGCTATCCTCTAAACCGTATATACACCCGACAAACACGAATACGAATCCGACTCGGATCTCAGAAATCCGAAGACCTTTTATGCCTATCGACTACGTTAAACTCAGCATGAGCATCCTTTCGGATAAAATAATGCGGAATAATGTCGAGACTTAGTATGGTGGCTGCCATCATGATTTATGCTCTCCTCACGTGCTCTCTCAGAATCCCCATACACTCTGCTAGTTGGGGGTTTTGACGGAGCGAGAAGCGGGGCAAGTTCTGGAATTATGACCCCGTCTTCGATGCCCATCTCGTCGATTTGCAGTGCGTTTCCGGAGCCTTGACTTTATGCAAGTTATGTTTACGCATACACTATATTTGCCATGAGCAAAAGAGTGCCGCTTGAACCTACCTAACGGATTTCGTCCTTATTTCGCTTTAGTGCTTAGACCCTCCCCGCTTTTGCTCACTGAGTACATCTCTAAACGCCCTGATCTTATCAGTGAGCATTGCGTAAACTCTCTAATCTACTATTTGAGTAGATCATCCACTTAGTGATGCTTAGATGAGCGCTCTAATCTACTCACTAAGTATAGCTAGCTAGTAGTACCTTTAAAAACGTAACACGCTATCCGTATCCGCGAATATCCCCCCTCCTATATAGTGCCCCTATAGCCCTACCAAAAAGTACGAGTATTCATAATTTAGCATTCCGTTTTAGTATGGCTTTGACGAGCCGCTGGAGCGCTAACCGATTTCCTAGCGGGACAAGGCGTTTGGCTTGGATTAAGCTGTTCCTTGATCGAGGTTGAGTTTCAAGAAGACTAGACCATCCGGGGCTCATATTTCTTCTTGGAACTGTAATGGACTGGCAAGATATTTAAAGGACTAGTCGGTTCATCTTCCTAAAGAGTAGGTTGCTGAATTGACCTTTCCTGCATATCTGTACTGAATCACGAGTTGAATCTTTCATGCCCGCCGACAAGAATAAGTACCAAAGAGGTTTTCGATAGGAAGTAAGTGGACAAAGTTCAAAATTTATCCCGAGTCGAATCATCCTCCCCGTTGTTTAAGCCGTACGTTAGGTCAAACTATAGATGCAATTCATTTAGACTTTTGAGGCTAGTCTAATTCCCTTCTTTTCACGCGTAATCTTTCGATGACTTTGTCCGGATACCGCGAAAATTCCTACAATGCCCAGAACTGAAATACCAAATGTTTCTCAATCTCTTTATGCATGTACTTTCATTCTACCAGTGTTCAGGATTTTCATGTTTTAGCATGTATGTATATGGAACAACCCCCTCGGTAACTTGAGTTCACCGATTCACAAATAGGAGACAATTAAACTTCCAATCCAAGGGCCACTCATCCCATTCTTGAGCCCTCTTTAGACAAGATACGTAGTCGCGCGTGATAATTGCTATTTTCGCTATTTTTCGTTTTTCCACTTATCCTTTTTATATTCTATGATAGTGTAAACTACTATCTCACTGTTATTTCCAGGAAACTAGGGTGGCAATCACAACCAGTGAAAGCTTCTACTACGTATTCAGATTCAACTTGTAAATTCGGGTAAGACACCTCGATGCCTTTTGCGTAGATATCAAGAGACCCCGCTCCCTCGCGGAGAGCCGAGGAAAGAATTGCATACTTTCCTGTGACGTGGGGGTAGAAAGTTAATCCATCTGCCAGCAACCTTCCATAAATCATCCACGGGGTCGGCATCCCCACATGCTCGGCATGTCCACTTCGCAGTACAACATCACGACAAGAAAAACAATCCATCCGGTTCTAGCGTAAATAAATAGATAGAGTCGTGATGGCTGAATTTGTTAAACTTTTATCTAAAAATCATCATACTGGTAACTGGACAAAATGAGCAATGAGCAACTTCCCGTTCTAGTGGCGGGGGCAGGCCCTGTTGGATGCTTCATAGCATATCGACTGGGAAAGGCAGGAATTCCAGTGCACTTGTTTGAAAAAGAAGCGGCTCTTCCATATTCCCCACGGGCTGTCGGCTACTATGGCGCAACGCAAATCATGTTCCAGGAATGCGGACTTTACGACCTTGTTCGGTCCGAAGGGTTCGTGACTGCTGGACTCTGCTGGCGTGGACCCCCGATCGACGATGGCCAGGGTGGCAAACGACTTGGAGATATGATTGCTGCTCAGCCTCTCTGCGACCCCAGTGATCCAGTCAAGGATTGCCCCTCTGGTCTCCTCAATCTTCGACAATCCGAGCTGACAAAGCTTATCTTGCACGAGGCATTGAAAACTGGCAAGGTCACGATTCAATTCAACAGTGAAGTTGCTAGCATTGAAGAGGGGGAAAACTCGATCAAGATCAGTTTCGAAAATCAAGAGCTCGCCCCTGTCTCAGGTTGTTACCTTGTCGGTGCCGACGGCGGCAAGTCGAAAACGCGCAAACTCATTGGGACACCTTGTCTCGGACATACTTGGCCTGAAAGACTCGTTTCCACAGATGTCATTCTTGGGAACTATGTTGATCCAGTGTTTCATACCTGCTATATCATTGGCACCGAGAACTTCACAATCATGACACCTCTAACTGAGCCTATTGTTGGCGAAAAGAGCCTCTGGAGATGCACAGTGGCAGTCCCCCCGGAGGACCAACGATCAGACGAAGAGCTAGTGCAGAATGCGGTAATCCAGGGCTTTTACGAGCAAGTCATCTCCGGGCCACGGCCCCTTCAGGCCGAGATTTCTGCGAGAGCAGTCTACCGCATTCACCAGCGCATTGTCCCGACTATGCGCAAGAGTCGATGCGTTTTGGCTGGAGATGCAGCACATTTGAATAACGTAAGGTCCATGTGGAACACAATTTCTCGCAGGTTGAATTTTGCTGATTATCATCTAGCCGTATGGAGCTATGGGGTTGAATACTGGTCTCCTGGATGGTGACGCTTTGGCAGAGGCCCTGGTTATGATTCTCAACGAAGGGCGATCAGATGAGCTGCTCACTATCTACTCGGATTCTCGTGTTCAAGTCTTCAAAAACTTTGTTGATCCTACAACGACGGCAAACAAACTTCGTCTCCACCTGCCAAGCGAAACTGCTGCTCAAGACGATTACTACTTGAGATCACTTAACAATGCAACCCAAGAGACACTGGAAAGTAGAGCTCGGCCGTACTTTGAGACATGGAGAACAGATATGAGAGCATTAGCAAAAGAGACTGGGCTATAATTTTTCGTTTTGTCAGACTACGAAACGACACCCAGGCAAAGTGGAGATCCCGGTTTAGCAGTCGGGCCTCCCCACATTGCGCTCTTCTGTATATAGTCAACTTGTACGCACCTACAGGGAAATAGTTTTCAAATATTCATCTAAATTCTCAAAATGAGCTCAATTGACCACCCACTTCTTGGCCGGATTCAGGGCAACCAAACCAATGATGTGATTGAATTCCTAGGTATTCCATATGCGAACGTCGCACATCGGTTTGCTCCGCCCGTGCCGATCAGCCACCAGGAGAGAAGCCCGGAAGCCATCTTTGATGCTACTTCATATGGGTATGAGTTCGATTTTAATTAAGTTGCCACTGGATTCTTTTGGCTAATACCATCTGGCTGTAGACCAAGTGTCGAGGGAAAAGACGGGTGTGAGATGGACTTCGCCCTGATCCAACACACACTTCCACGGACGCATTTTGCTCAGTCAGGCACCGAGAGTTTAAATCTCAACATGACGATCCCTCGGATGACCAAACCATCCGAACCATTACCTGTTCTTGTTTTTCTGCACGGTGGCGGGTTCGAGGTTGGGTCCTCCTCATGGCCGCAAAACCGATTGAATAGATTGGTCTCCCTTGCATGCGAACTAGGTCTCCCTGTTCTTGGAGTTAGCATCAAGTACGTCAATTCTGAGTGTGAATGAATGTTTCACTAATTCTCTTAGTTACCGTGTCGGCCCTGCTGGATTTTTGACCTCTATGGAAATGCGCGACGCTGGACTCACTTCAAATAATGGCCTTCGGGACCAGCGCGTCGCTTTGAAATGGGTCCAGCATCATATCAGAGGATTTGGAGGTGATCCAGATAACGTCACGTTAGTTGGACACAGTGCAGGAGGTGGTATGTAACGCTAATTCTCTACATGATCATTCACTGACTTAGCGCAAATCGGACACAGTATCCGCTGCCCTGCACCTCTCAAGTGAAGAGCCCTTGTTTAAGCGAGTTGCATGTCTCAGTGGCCATTTCCTAGCGAAGAAGCCCCTTCCATCTGAAGTCCATGAGCATATCTACAATGAATGCCTTCGGATTCTAAATTTGGAAACATTGTCAGCTAGCGAGCGCGTATCCCGTCTTTTGGAGCTGGGTGCGGATGATTTGGAAAATATTTCGCGCTTTCCATCGAGTCCAATTGTCGACGGCGAAATTTGTTCCGAGATGCCTTCCGTGCACGCCATATCGAATACAATTCCAACATCGCTACACCGAGGCTGGTGCCAAGACTTGTTTATTGGAAGCTGCCACTTTGATGTAAGGAATTAGATATTGCATTCCAATCTTTTCAGCGGATTCTCACCTTTTTCGAATAGGGATCGATTTTGGCAGGCGCCCTCGAACACCGGAAAGCGGGTATAGGGATGTCATTTGCTGGGCACTTAGCTAGCGGACTCACGCAAGCCCCCGGGCTGGCTGATAAAATTCTCTCCACATATGGTATCAATGTCGACAATCAGAACGACGATGGGGATTTATATGGCATTCTGAAACTGGCAAATGACCTCTTCTTCTATGTTCCAACTATCTATATGGCCGAAGCTTGGAAGTCCGGTTCTGCATATCTGTATAGATTCAATTCGCCAAATCCGTGGGAAGGCCAGTGGCAAGGTGAAGCTGCACATATTACTGATCTAACAATGCTCTTGCACAACTTTGATGAATTTTTGACTGAAGAGCAGCAGGGACCGGGACGTGAATTTTCCCACGATCTGCTGACTTTTGTGTCTGCAAAAGCGCCGTGGAAGGCGTTCGATGGCCAAGAATCGTCTGCTAGAGAGTACGGCAGCTTGATCAGTGACCAGAGAGGTTCCATTTGGGAAATATTGAAGGGAATTGACCCTGATCAACTTACGGGGTTGCTGGAAGGGTTCTTGGCGAGCGGATGAATCTGTAAGGCACATGCATCGCGCTGGTCAGTCATGTTACACTATTGATTGCATAAAGAATATTACTGCTATTTTTCAGGACAATATCTGTATTTTCTTTTTATTTACATGATGCTAATCAACTCCCGGCAATCTTTGGAGGGTGCTGACGAAGTTTCTACCGACTTGTGTAGGGGAAGGTGAAAGTACCTCAATGGCCAGCCTTAGTAGAGAGGATGTACGAGTCATATCTCTTCGTGGCCCTTCAACTCTGGGGTCGAGACTTGATGGTTTCCATGCTGCATACCATAGAGTCAGGGCTGCAAAGAAAACACAGTAGCTAAAATGAGGGCCACCTTCTGTCCATAAAGTGACCGTTTCATCATGTTTCTTCAACTTGCAAGCCAGGTGAATAATTTGCTTGGCGTGCCAAATGGCGTTTCGTCGGTTTACTTCCGATGCGAAAGCATTCTCCGATGAAACCCTGTCGGCACTCGTGGTAGAGCTAGTGCTGGGCGAATTACCGCCCTCTCGGCGAGCAATATCTTGTATCTTGGTCATGCTGACGTGAAGATTGAGGCAGATCAGGTGGAACAGTATCCTTGTTGACGTTGACGCTTGGTCGCTGCTCATCAAGAACCAATTGTTCAAAGCCGACTCCAACACCTCTCCACGGCGAACAATTTCCACAGCTGGCTTATCCACAGTACTGATGGAGTTTACTGCAGCCCATGGCAAAAGCAGTGATAGGCAACAGAGACTCCACATTGATGTGATTTCGGGATTATTTGACATGTGTTCGAAGCGGGGCGAGATAGCATTGCGCGTCATTATCCGCCGTAATTGAGCGAGAAGAACGTCGTCGGTGGGACCCCCTATTCCTCTTGGCGAAGGAGGTGTTGCTGTAACTTCAGACAGAATTGGTAACACTGGGCTGAATGTGGCTGCACCATGGAGAATTGTAACGCGGTAGCATTCCAAGATACATATCCCTTCTATCGTTCTGGTAGCCAAAGTTTGTCGTCAGTTTTTGTTATTACCGATTCCATCCATGATGAAGTAGGATATTTACCGCATCCGCTGTGTGTCCCATTCACGGCATGAGGTGGACCACAAATTATATGTACCAATAACCTGTCGTACAAATGAATATTGGAGCATTGTGCTGGATCAAAAAGGGCCCCAATACTTACCTGGATCATCTCCCAGTGATATACCTCAGCGATTTCGTGGTATCTACTTTTACCGCTCAGGTATCCAAATAACTCAAGAAGCATATACTGGGTCCCTAGCCGTCAGCCATGTTCTTGGATCACACGATTTGGTTGTTGTCAGAACTTGCTTACTGTCTGGACAATTGCCAATTGATCGTCGTTTGGTGACGGTATCCTGTGGTGTACCTTCAAAAATCAGCCATGCACGATCCCATTCGATTAATCAGCAATACATACTTTTGACAAGAGCTCGATACGCGCATGGCTATAGAGAGATTCTGCAAGCTTCATGGACCCTGCCGTTGTACAGTGCAATGCCCCAATGGATCCCATTGCCGCCCACAGTTCAACGGGGGTTATTTCTGTGACAGTAAAGTCCTCAAAGCATCGGAAGGTTGGGACCACGTGAGCTCGAAAGAGATTCAAGAATACTTGCAGAATTAGAGGATCGTACTGGACCTTTTGCTTTTGACCCAAGCGATGCAACCAGTTCTCGTACTCAATCCTAGCCGTGGGAGACTCGGGTCGTGATATGTCTGTTGGAGATGAAAAAGCGTGTAGCTTAGTGAAGGCATCTTCTATTCGAGAGGAATGTGACCCTAAGAATCCTTGGGCCGGATTTGAAGTGGGTAAGAGTTCCAATGAAGGGAATGGCGGTAGTTGATCGAGGATTCTGAAATCAAACGATGGCACAGTCGCCATGAAGTCAAATTCCAACAGTCCTGGAGTCAATTGTTCCATAAAAGATTCCTCTCTAAATGGAAATTCGGTGGCAGAAGGCAAAGAGAAAGGTTCCTGCGGAGACTCGTAATTTTCTGGATGCCAAGCCGTGGTATCTGGGGGAAGCTGAGAGACCGGCTCTAGAAGAGAATCTCTATGTTCTGATAGATTATCCTCAGCCTGGTCACTGCCTGTACGTAGGAAGGTACAATCGGCGCCTTCACGAAGACATCGCTCACAGGGATGGTCCGCCCAGTTGCATTTTACTTTGCGTTTATGACAGTTGTCGCACGCCGCTTGGATCCTCTTTTTATTGCTCGTCAAGAGTGATACTTGGTCGGGATGCTGTGTTTTCAAGTGCCTTTTATACACATCTTGGCGACCAAATTCCTTTTGGCATACCTCACAGGCAAATGGTTTCGTCTTGGTGTCTAGCTAGGGTCAGAGTTTGTACCAACAGCACACTGGGGTAGGGAAACCCTACGCGTATGAACATGCCGTTCGAGATGTTCTTGTCGGGAGAAGACACGGGCACAATAGGGGCATTCTATCTGTGATGGTCGAGACTCACGGGCTCGTTTCATCACGAGGAGCGGTTGGGGGGAGGTTGAATGCCAGGAAGTTTCTCGGATTGTGGGGATCTCCATCATAAATGGCTTTGGCCATCACCGCCTTCCACCTACTCCGTTGGAGGTCCCCTTTCCGAGATTATTTTACAGAGTCCAGCAGCGATCAGAAGCAGACATGGCAGCAGCGATAGCGTATCCGATACTGCTTTAATACACCTTATCCTTTACTAATCATTCATGGATCGCTGTGCAGAATAGGCAGTCGACACTTTGACCAAGTTGCCCCATTCCAACGGTTCTGTACCCCACAAAAGGCGATCGGCAAGATTGTGGAGATTTCGGGCAAGGGTTTTCGACATTCGACATTTACCCCATTCATGCAGAATTGACAACCGTAATGGCCAGTCAAGGTACGCAAGCATAATCTCTCCTCCCACTAAGATAATCATTGGCTAGTCTTGTATTCACTACTCCCCAGCAGAGTACCATCCTCGTTCGTCGGATGCGGCCCGAGCAGGAGAAGCGCTACCCGATGATTTCGTGCACTCGTTCAAACAATCATTGGTTGCCGACTATAAAGATTTTATTGCCTCGTCGGACTTCGTGCCCTTCATAATTCCGACTGCTTCTCAATCAGCGACGGACGCGTCTGCTCAGAACATTCGAGCTTCGGGAGAGCTTCTAGGGGTGAATATTGACGCAGAAAGCGGCCTAGGTCAACATGATGAAAGTGTTATTACTTTGGCCCAAAGGGTTCCGGGAATAGGATCGATGGGTGTCAGTGACCTGAATTATCCGCTATCCCTGTTTGATAGTTTCCCAGATCCTCCGCCAGCGACCATTGTCGAAGATCTCACCCGGACATTTGAGGTCGCTTTCTTGGGGAAGGTCCCCTTCCTATCAAGTCTCACCAACTTGGATAGTTCCATTCTCGCAGGACTAACTGGGAGTACTCCAGTGGCCCCCTATCTTGCCTTTGGAAGGGCGCTAATTGGAACACTCGTCTCGAGGAATGAGGATTGTCAGAGATGGGCATCGAATCTCTACAAAACGACTTTAAAACTGTTTGTTGGTTCGGTCGAGCTTGATAATAGGACATCGAGGAACATATATTGGTATGAAGCAGTAAGTCTCACCAGGAAGGTTGCACGGAGGTGCGGGTTGAGCGGACTGAGAATTAACAATGAGATCGCAGGGCATATTATTAGTGATTTATGGAACCCTAGGTTCAGATTATGCCCTTTGGGAAACAACAAATATGGTCAATGGGTACTTTTTGGCGGTATTTACATCTATGATTCCAAATCCATGTATAATATCTGACACATGACCAGCCATACAGGCGTCGAGGCTTTTTACAGATTGGAAATGCTCGTGGGTCTCTCGACAACCAAGATCTCAGTTTGTATATCATCCTTTTCCGTCAACGGCTCGGTGGTAGGTCAGCTAATGGCTCACAGACTTACTTCTTTCTACTTTCTCATTGATGTATTCCGCTCGATTCATTTGAACACTCCGCCATCATTCAACCCCAGAGACCTGTCTTTCCCTCTCATGACAACATCTGCTGGTAGATTTGAAGATCTCTATGCACAGATCATCTTGAATCACAGGGTCCTGCCCCCGGAGCTGACCCCAGACGAATATTTATTGGCCATTTTGTGCATCCTCTCTGAAATTGTTCATTTATTGCGCTTTCTTGGTGTATTCACAGATGAATCACTTCATAACACAGTGAAAGCCTTTAATGATCGAGGCAAGAATTGGTGAGGGCGGCTCAAACCTTTCCTAGTTGTACAGAATGATCGCTGATACAGAGTTACTACAAGCATAAACGAGCCTTATCTTCCTTCTTCCGCCAATCGCGAGTATCTACATCAAACTGAGGCTCTGATGTCATCGCTTGATGTATGGTACCGATCTGTGAACTATCGCCAGTCTGAAAGTTCCAGCAGGGAATGCAGTTCATCCGATAGAAGAGCCCAAATTAGTTCGGATTATAGCACACCCAAAGTGCACAGGAATGTTCTTTCTATAGCATTCTTTTGTCGCATACTGCTTGAGATTGGCCCGCAAGCGTTGCATCTACCACAAATTGCCGGATACCATGAGCTAGCACCAGACAGAAATGACCTGCGCTCTGGACCCGCTGAGGAGGCTCATTTTCCGGGAATCCACATGAGCGATATTGCCGTTGAAAATGCATGGAACATTCTAGAGGTCTTGAATGATGAGGGATCCGAGTCGAATCTCAGCGAACCAAATTCTGAAAATGCCAATGAACACCACATGATCCCATTGTGGCTTCCCCTGGTCGTTTTCTACGCTGGTATTACTGTATGGGCACGCATGCAGGAAGACCAAGACCGGGGAGTGCTCGGTATTCAAAGCTCGCCCCTGGCACGCCGCCAGTTATTGAAACCCTTTCATAATGAACTCAGGAGTCTAGGCAGGCAGTACAAAAGTGCCTCCCGCATGGCAGATGTGATCAAGAGTTTGTATCCGTGATCATAAGAGAATGGACTGGAATTCCAATCGACAGAAATGGGACAGATATACGCATATGTTTCAAACGGACAAAAATTCACAATTACTGGCCATACGCTCCAGCATACCATCCATTATCATCCTGCCCTTCCACCACAATTTTGCGAACCTTAATGAGCCACAACCCCTCGTCTGTCTGCTCAAAGACATCCTGCCAGTATCCCCAGTGATCGATGGTGGACGACCCGGTCATCGCGAAGAAGAGAGCCCGTGTATTTGCTTCTCTGTCGCTGGTGAACTCAATATCCACGCTTGTAAGGTGGTGGCGAATGAAAGCTGGTGGTTTGCCTTGCACAACAGTCCCCATTTCTCGTGGAGGAACTCCACTTCCATTGGGAAGGCGGAACACGCCATCGGGGTGGAAAAGGTTGGCCATTTGTGAGAAGGGTGCATTCTCACGGGCCATTATGCAGTACTTGTTGAGAATGCGTTCGATCTCCGTGATAGCGATGGTTCGCTCGATGGAACCGGGCCTGTTCAGGTCAATCATGGTAACGATTTTCGAAGAGGCAGATGTGCTATGTCAAAAAAAAACTTTTTTATAATGGTGACCGAAAAGGCGTAGGAAGCCAACCAAAGATAAAGGGAGCATTCAGCTGGGCCACGAGGTGGGGAGCCGAGCAGGATTTGTGGGGTAGCGTTCGCTCGGGTCATTCATGCTCGGCGTTCAAAACCAGGAAATAACCGACCCCTTATTATCTATGGGTGAGCAAGAGGATATCTCCTTTTGAATAGTATATTCTGCTTCACATAATTGTAGGTCAACCAACGTCCAAGTCAATCCTACGGAACAGCGGTCTTTCATTCATCTTCGCCCGCCACAATTCATAGAATGGGCCAAACAATCGAATTAAACTATAAAGCTAAGTAGCTGCAACCGAAAGTCCAACTACACTCTGAGTGCTCTCACATATCAGTAATGCAAGGCGTGGGAATCAGTTTTATGTGGTTTATGGTAACAAGAGAGCTATAGAAGAGAAGAGAGGCAAGCACGAAAGGTAACCCTGTGACCAGTGCAGCTGAAGCTATAGAGCCTCGTGGAACAGCGAGGGCCAAGCCCAGCGAGGACTCCACAAGTCAGCGAATCAGTGACGCCAATAGTGGAATTTAATGACAATGCCTTGAGAAAACTTCAGCTAAGAAGAGAGTTATCCAACTCAGAACGAGACAGTCAGGGGAAGGAAACGTCAAGAGAAGTATGGAACGAGGCCCTAGTGGAAGAAAATGGAGTTGATAGAGAAATAAAGGCTGCGTAATCCCTTCATTCGGACCGCTCAGCCAGGCAGGTTTGATAGAAGACTAGAGTAACAACCAGCCATGCAGATGCTTATCCTGAAATCTGAGAATCAAACGTGGTAGTTGAAATGAAATCGGACCAATTCAAATTCCAGCGTCAGAGATGCCGGTACATTACTCGTGATGTCCCTGCGTCAAGCTGGATTGTTCACAATAATTTATGGTTGTTAGCTGCGAGATTGAGGTAAATAGCGGTGAATCCACATGGCATATTGCATAAGGCTTAGTGTCTCTGTTATGTAGGGAATAGGGACAGATGGTATAAGGTATCTACATTTTGACCCACTGCTATACTAGATAAGCCGATACTTAAACGCTTTGATTCTTCTAGTCTACCTTTTTTTTTAAAAATAGAAGCCCGTGAAAATGAGCAGTAATTATATGATCTAGGGGCCAAGTAACAGACGATTACGCTGTACTGGGACAAAAATCTTAATTCTGGCTATGCATAGACCCGTCACTATCACGACAATTGGGGCTATCCTGCATAGACATGAAGCGGGAGATGAGTGTTTGGCGTGGACTTCATGAGCGAGATCATGCGTTACTCGAAACCTTCCAGAATGACGCTGCTTCATACCGCCGAGATTGTCACTCTGGGATATTGTAATACAAAGGATCGTAGCGTTTAGTCTCAGGATTTAGGTTTGGGCCACTTCGGTCCGATTGTCTCTTCGAGCTCGAGGTGAAGCATAAACCCGCAGGTGAATGGTAGCAGAGGGGGGCTACAGCACTTACTAACGGTTACAGGACCTAGTAGTATGGGACAATTTGGAATCTCTGCTATAAAGGGAGAATAATGGCAGTCTCATGGATCCGTGCGATAGTTGGTTGAGGATTTGGCTCGATGTGATGGATCACTTTTGTCGAGTGGCGTCGGCTAATTTCCGCGGTTTCGGTTTGCTTGGGCAATATGGTGATGGTTTTAAAGCCTGCTGCTTCGGATATTGCTAGCTAGCATGTAAGTGCTTCCTAGACAATATTCCATCGCTTATAATCTTATTTGTAGGTCAATTTGTGGTAAACTTCCACACGCGCGTAGGAGAGATGTACCGAAAAACAGTCTGAAATTAGATTTGTAAATCCAGTTGTCATCAGGCTCTGCCTAGTCTTTACCCCTGTTGTAGACCTATTATCCTCACACTTCTAGTGAGATTTGCCCTACTTGCATTCGGATTTGAAGCAGCGTACCTTGCGCGAGTGGCCGTTTTTATGCACATCACGATGGAACGGTCGCGGCTTCAACAACTCCAATAATCCAAACCCATTTTCCTAGATCACACCGGCAACCAGATTTTTTGGTCTCATCAATGGCATTCAAACACAAAATCTCGTTGTCGTAGGGATCCTATTTGTGGTTAGGTTTATTCGTTCTGGGCTGCCCCTTACTCGTCTTGATCCGTGCTGTGAGCTTAACGAAGGCCTGGGATGAAACGCCCCACTACTAAATTGGCTCTCCAAACGCGGATGTTTCAATAAACTGTCATTGTGTATGTGTCAACCTCTTGATAATATCTTTTTTCAATAATACCACTCAATATTCAGTCATTCATGCAGTTGATTCATGCTAAGGCGAGAATAGGCGGGGAAGAACGAGGGCGCCAAGCTGAAATTGTGACGATCGTACGGGTGATCTGCAGCTCTTTTTCTGATAGATCGGGCGTCTACCGCGTCCCGGAGACCGGGATTGTAGGAAGTCCGTCGACCGCGTTGCGCTTGCTGCAGGTGCATAATGTATGGTGCCTTTTACGTACAGTAGTGGGACTTGGGCTGGGCCAATGATTTCGAAGATTTTGGCGGTTCTTGAGTTCTTGCTTTTCGCACCCATGCGCTTCGAGACTGGAAGCACTCGATCTTTTGGAGCTGGAAAATAATCATTGTGATCGTTACGCCTGGAAATCACTAGGCTAGATGACAAAGGAGGAAGCAATTTGGCATTTTCGATGTCATTAGGTTCCCAGATTGTCCTCTTCTGCTCTTGACCGGAAGTTTACAGGCCAAATCTGTCTCGTCAAGGTTTTGGAGCAAGGTTCCTCCAATTAACGTTTGAGGTTAACTTTCTTCCGCGAAGACGAGGCTTAGAGTCTAAATTTCCATGGTCTCCAATCTCAGAGCATGGATGCCGATTCATATGCCAAACAGCCAATTGCAAACACACGATTCTGTCGATCGTTAGTCTTCTTAAAACTTGAGCGTCTAAAGTAAGCGAGGCAGACCTCTTGAACATGAAGTCTTAGATTTTAAGAAACAACTGATGCCTCGACGGAACTTTGAATTCGCCATGTTTCATGAATACAATCAACTCAGGAGCCCCTCCCAACCTAAAGGTCCATTTATACCAGGACTAAAGTGCATATGGAGCTTAGCATATCCGCTCATGCTCATGTATTGAAAGTATTCGGAGAACAACGGGAAGCCGATTCGTTGGATGTGGCCCCTTGCGCCCTCGAGCTGCAACCTGCCCATTGGCAACCTGGGGTTCTGCTCTCACGCATGAGCCTTGATCCACCAACCTGGGGAAACCAGGCAACATTATGCAGGGAGTCTCGTCTTGGCCACACTTTCACCCAGGGAGACGAGACTAGTGGATTTTGGCTCCAACCGTTCCTCGCTGATTCTTCGTCTGGTTGGATTCTTTATTGAACCATCCAATTGTTTTACATCATGGATAGAAGAAAGTATATTGGATTTTGCATGTTCAAATATTGGAAGGATCCCGGGCCCCTCTCGCTCCCTTCTTTTCTCGTGGACTCGGGGACTCAAGTTTGTCTGGCTTTTATCACTCTTTTGGAATCATTGGCCTGTCCTCCCAGTCTACGTGTCATTGTCAGTCAGTCAAAAATTGGCTGTCCCTGCTACCTGGGTCCCCCCATAGATCTGTGGCTGGTGTTTGGTGTTATCGTCTTCATCAGGGAGCCATATCGATCCTGTTTAGCATTAGCCTTTAGTGCTTGCTGAAGATGAGCCTGTTACAGCTTCGCGATGGTGTCTTCAAACGGGAGGATGGAAATCCTTATCTGTCTCCACGAGGTATGCAAGGCTTAGTTGTCAGCGTGGTCTTCACATCACTAGCAGCTTCCTTCGTGGGAATACGTCTCTATACTCGGCTGAAATTCTTGAGACGCCTGGAAGCCAATGACTGGATGGTTGTCATCGCATTGGTAAGTCAAGTTTTTTGGACCGCAAGAGTCCCTGTAATACTCCGGAATTCGATGTTTACTGAATCTCGTGCTGTTTAGATCAATTCGTTCATCTTCATGGGGCTGGATATCGTCGAGGCCACGAGTGGGATGGGAATGCATCTGAAAGATATCCCACCAAATATTCTTGAGAGGCAAATGAAGGTATAGCAGACCCGACTATCGATTTTAGAAGATCCTATCTAATCTAATCAAACCCGAAATAGGCATTCTGGCTCACGATCCCCTTCTACAATGCCGCCGTCCTCTGCGCAAAAGCATCCATTCTCATGCAATACTTCCGCGTCTTCCCCACGCGTCGTATGCGCATCGTCTGCTGGGTGATGATCACAATTTTGGGTTTATATGGAACATGGTGTGTGGTTAGCGCCTTCTTGACTTGTATTCCAGTGGCCAAATTCTGGAACCCTACCCTCCCGGGATTTTGTTTGAGCAGGCCTGGCCTGTGGTTTTCCAATGCTAGTATGCACATTACTACCGACCTGGCAATCCTGATTATTCCAATTCCGGCCTTGATTGCCATCGATATCCCGAAGAGGCAGAAAATTGCACTAATGATCATGTTTGCGCTGGGTGGTTTGTAAGTAACTCCAGCAAACAAGACATAATATCTTGCCTGATCCTGAAACTAACCCTTTCGTGCAGTGTCTGCATCACCAGTATCGTCCGCCTAGTCAGTCTCAAGACAATTTCTGACTCGACTGATCCTACCTGTATGTTCTAACCTACTCCAGCATATAATATCACAACTAACCGGGATCCTCCAGACGACAACGTCGGCGCAGCCTCATGGTCTGCCATCGAATGCAACACCGGCATAATCTGCGCCTGTCTCCCAACTTTAAAGCCACTTCTCTCCAGGATCATCCCCGGCCTAATGTCCACATTCAACGGCAGCAAGCCCACGCAAGATACCGCCGGTATCTCCAATGTGCGCTCAGTCACCTGGAACGACGAGTCCACTCTCGGGGCACCCTGCGAAGACCCTGAGTACGGCGCAGGAGACCCCGAGCGAGTATTGGAGTTATCTTCTGGGGGCAATGTCCAATATTCTGGCAAATCCCTGGCTGAGAAGAATCAGATAGGCGATGATACTTCGGTTGCAGAGCTTATGAATCACCAGCAACAGCATCGACACCATTATAGCGTTTCAACTGGCTCATTTCCCTCGCGCACATGATACCCACGACTCCATGTCGAGACCAAAATTCATGACAGTCTCAAACAGTAAGTAACACCGGCGTCGGGTATGCATATTTCAAGAACATCCGCTAGGGCTGCTCGCTCTTTCCGGCCTGGCGATGGTCGATTCGGTCACCACTCCTTTCCTACACATACTTATATTTCCGTTTCAATATGGTCTCTGAGTTGACCTTCTTAAACAAAACATATGTATTCAGATCACTAGAGGTATATCTCAAGCACAGCAATAAGATAAGAACAAAGGAGGGACGGGTCAATAAGACTGAAATCGCTTCAAAGACATTGCTCTAGCTAATGCTGTATAAGACAAAACAAATAAACCCCGCCCAAAAGGCTTGTGCAAACAGAATCTATACCACATTCTTCTAGAATTCTACTAGAAATCAGCAAACTCCTTGTCAATCTCCTCAAAGTAATCAAAGACACCCTTGAACAGCTTCACGCCAAGACCAGGGTCCAAGCTACCAGTAGTAGCACGAATGCTGTGCATGCTAAGCTGGGGAATACCGCAGTCGATAGCTCTCATTCCAATCTGAGCGCTAGTCATAGGGCCGATGGTGCCACCAGAGCGGGAATCATTCCGAATCTGGAAGACCTGCAGTTTTGAACCACAGCGAGCAGCAACACGCTTCAGAATGCTGTGGCTGACACTGTCGGTGGTCATGTGACCATTGGAATCGGCGGAGACAGTGACACCCACGTTCAAGCGGGGAGAGTGGTTTTCCAGGTATACGTTGAGGAAGTTGGGGTTGACAGCGTGAATGACATCGGACGAGACCAGGAAACTGTTGGCAACGGTCTGCGACAGCAGGTTGGGGCCGTAGGCGCCCTCGGCAAAGGCCTCGGTGATTCGCTCCATGACGCTGTTCATAAAGTTGGATTTGGCACCCTGGCGAAGCAGACTGCCAATCTCTTCATCGTCAAACATTCCAACCATCTTGACAATTCCGGTAGAGGTCTCGTCGCTAGACGCCAACAGTGCCTCGTGAGCAGCATAGCAGCAGAGCTTATCATCAATGCGACCGGCAAAGATCAGGTCCTTCTCCAAGCCTCCAAGTCGAGCTGGCTGGGTGTCAAAGAGCTCCAACTCCCAATCGATAATGTTGCTATAGTCCGTGACACCGAGCTCATTGGAGATAATCCTGACAAGCTTCTCGGGTTGGGTAGCGGCGAAAGTTCCAACCTTGATATCAGTCGACTCGGTCGTCGCCGATGTCTCGAAGAGATCAGAGTTATCAACGCCAATAATGGGCACCATCTGGGTTTCCTGGTTGAAAGGCCCGTTCGCAGGCGATCCGAAGTGAGGAGCAAGAGTGGGGATGCGTGCAATGGGCCAGTCCAACTTGACCAGCTTAGACTCGACCTTGCCGGATTCGGGATCGCGAACAATCACACGGCCACCAATACCAAGGTCCCGATCCCACCAGGTTGGGCCCAGTGCGCCAGCGTACGGGGCGACTGCCAGCTGCCTAAAGCCAGCCTTTGTAGGGAGCTTCGACACGGGCTTGAGCTTGGCCGTGAGAGCATCGACGTGTCCTGCCACGACTGCGATACCATTACCGCTTTGGTATTCCTTGCCAATGTTGAATGCGAGCAGCGAGCTGCCGTTACGGGTGACGTAGAACTTGCCGCCGCGCTTCAGCTCCGAGGTCCACACCGCACGTTCGGAGAGCTGCTTGTAGCCGTGCTTCTCAAGGTCTTGGGAGAAAGACTTGACGGCATGGAAAATCGTCGGGTTGGCGGTCATGAAGTCGCAGTAAGGTTTGGAGTAGTCCTCAGGACGAATGGGCGCATCGGTAGGAGCTGGTGCAGGAGCTGGCCGGGCTTGGGCAGGAGGAGCTGGGCGAGCATAGTCACACTCTGGCAGCTGAGCATAGATCTGCGCGGCCCAGGGCCGATCGAGTCCAGCGGGATGTCTTCTAGTCATTCTATAGGTATGGAAGGTGAGAATGAAGTATGAATCGGGTGGAGGGGAAGGTAGTATCGGAGTTGGAGATGGGAAATGAGTCTCGTGAGGGGAAAAGGCGGAGTGCGAAGGAGGCTGGTGGCCCCTTGCTTATCGCCGAGGCCGACTGCGGCCAGATAACGAGATTCATGGCTGCAATAGCGCCAACACCACGCTTGCCTGAAAAGGATAAGAACAATAAGTGTTGACTCGTTATCTTCTGCCCATATTAGCTTTTGCTGAAGTGAACAGCCCGCTTATTTAACCATCATGAGAGTAGGCCGGTTTTCAACCTTATTGTCGGGCGGTGGGTGGGCCCGAAGCCCGAGCGTTATGGTAGATAGATATCGGCGACTACCTTGTGCCTTCCACAAGCACGAAGCACGTGTGCTGAACCACATAAGTGGAGGATGGGATCGAGTCGAGGGAAAGTAATGGAACGAGACTCGCCGAAAGAAATTATTCCAAGGTGCTAGTTATCCATCACTCCACCCAGTCAATCTTAAGCCCAACCCGATCGAGCCTGCCTGAGCGGAAGGTTATCATATCCGCCGCACTTTGGAATGAAGTACTGGGGACCGGACCCTCGCGAGGCGTCAAATAAAGACAAGCGAAATGGGTATGCATTCATTTCATCGAAACTGTAAACTTGAACTTGAAAATATGATCAGACGTAGGAAATAGAGGGCTAGTTAGCATCTAATAATGATGTCAGCGGCCAGAGGAGTTCGGTCAGTATAACTTCAAGCCTGTACAGTATCCCTAAGTTACGATGCCATGACGTGGATAAGAGTAATCAAAAACGTAGAACATTAACTGAGAAGTACAAATGCATGATGTTAAACAGGCGCGAGCCCTTGTATTCGTTTTTCGACTTCGCATACTCAAATCCTAACAATCCAACATGGCGGTATCTCAGGCCGCAAATATCGTGGAGAAAGTGATTGATCATGATGATAACGCGACAATTACCACCGATATAAGCGATTATAATAATGAATACGGTATGGAAAGTGGCCCTTTGATCAAGGCCGCTATCTGGCAGGGCAAGAAGAAGGTCTCTGTGGGTATGTCAACCATCTTCAAGAAAATCACGCTAACTAACAGCTAACCCTAGTCTCCGTATTAGTGGAAGTGCCAAAGTCAAGAGTTATCTCCATGTCGAGGATTACCACGGGTACTAAATAACAGTATGAACTGACGAGGACTAGGCATGGTTGGGTATTGTCATTTCACAGGCGGGTTTGCAGGTGGCCAAGCAGCATATCTCCGCGTGCCTTATGGAAGTACCAATCTATTCCCGCCATGTATCTGCAAGACCGCCAGTTGGGCCAAGCATTGATCAATATATGCTAAGTTTCCTAGACGAATCACTTCAATATTATAGCGCTTATGGAGACGGGCGTTCGTTTCATCGGAAATGGACAATCTCCTGTCCAGAAATACCGAAAAGAGTCCATGGGCCTCATCCAGGAAGGGAAAATCAATCCACTGGATATGGTGACACATCGTATGTGCCTGGAGGATATGGAGCAGGTCTATGCAGCCTTGGACCGGCGAGACCGGGGCATGCAGAAGATTTTTCTGCAGACGAAGCACCCTGCTCCTCCTGCCAGGGCACCCACTTTGACCGAGTTGTAGTGAATGACTGGACGAAAGTACCAAATCAAATTGATTTTGGATGGCGAATGGGCTATGAAGAGTTTGGCGTTTTTGGTAGAACAGGTGAAAATCTGAGAATACACTCGTTCTGTAGTGTATGATCGCGTATAGTGTACCGTATATTGACGACACACTTCTTGCGTTGTGGACAACCGAAAATTAATGTTAAGATCCTTTTGATTTTCGCGTTTATTAATTTAACCGTTCGGTAGTCGGCCAAGTCTACTCTGGGATATGCAGCCTTCTAATCTCGTAGTGAAGATCACTGATGCTGATCCTTGCCATAGCGCCTCCGTGCTATTTCCTTGCCGTTGCCACCAAAAGCATCGTCATCATTTGACCCATGAATCATGATCGAACAGTAGTACTGTTAAAATGTCGCTAAAGGATTCACTCCTGGTCATTTAATTGACTCTGCCGTGGTCCTCCCAAAGGCCTACACCGGGATCCATTTCCCAGCGAGGGCGGGCAAGTCAACCAGCAAAGTCCACTCGCACCCACGGAACTAGGGTTCAGGTCTTCCCAAAGGAAGCCTAGTTTGCGAAGAATCCGTTTTTCGGCTCTCGTTCGGCCTGATGTTAGTGGCCTAGGGCAGGAGCGGGGGGAGCAAGGAGCCACTGATTGATAAGAAGGAGGTGCAGTGGGAGGAGCCGCCAAGACTCTGCAGCCAAGCACTTGGACGGGTGAGGGGCCAATAACACGAAGAAATTGGGAGACCATGGAAGAGGGGATGGTCGGTGTCTCCAATTTTTTTCACCATTCTTCTCGTCATCGCAATTCCCTCGCTCATGGATCGGCGGGGATGCCAAATGCAAACGTGGACCGTGGTCGTCCGGATTGCCCAAATGGGACACTAGCGCCATCAGATAAGATCCAGCGTTCCCCCGAGAACGGTGTTTGAGAACTTGAGAGCGTGGAATCTGTGGATTATTATGTATTCCCAGCCTGTTGATCCACTTGTCTGTTACACCGCTAGCAGGACTCGGTCGGAAAAGCGATTTGGGTCATAGTGGCTCTCCTGATTGGTGCGAGCGCCGATTCTACTAGGTAATACTCCGTCCTGGATGGAGTCGATGAGCGAAGGTCCGAATCATGGGAGAGTGGAAGGGTAGAAGAAGATGGTAGTTACGGGCGAAGAATTGAGCAGGTTTGTCAGTCAGTGTGTATTTTCTTCAGTTGATGATGAAAAGTGGAAGTACACTAGACTAACTATAGGCTCCTGGGGAATTGATTCATCCTCGTGGGATCTTCCTGGCCAGCCATCTCGCTGTGTGAACCAATCCCATTAGGAAGAAATCAATTATTATTCAGAGTAATATGAGCAGCTAGGTCAGCCCACTACTCGGCGGTGCTTACCGGGCCCTTGCGATCTGATAAAAATTCTGACGAGGAGACCAGAACCAATAAACAACGAGTCATCGATCCACCTGCTACATCCGAAACCGGCATCATGTGAGGGCAATCTAATCTGATCATCGCCCTTTTTCTTTCTCTTTTCCCACCCCGAACTCTCCTTGCTATCTGATCTTGATCTCTTCCTAACTCCTAACTTCTATTTTTTCCTTCCCCTCTTCACTCCTCTCCCTCTCTTCCCCCCCTCTCTCTCAACTACCTCACCTCACTTTGCCCCCGTGGTGTGTGTTCCATTCCAAGCCCCTCGCTTATCGGTTCGTATGAGCCCACATCCGCTCTTCCGACCGAGACTCACGCCCGTGCGTACTTCCCGAGGCCGCCCGACCTCGTCCTCCCCTCCATGTCTTCGACGCTACTCTATGTTCCCGCTGACCCCCAACCCAGCTTCTGAAGTGATTCCGGCATCATAATGGCCACGACAGGCGTGTCTATCACGCCTGCACCGGCCATCGCCGCCGCACCGCCACCACTGGCCATAGCCCCCACGTTAGCTGCCCGGCCGTCCGTAGCTCCCTCGCCTGGCCCTGGCACTCCCGGCTCTATTACCTCTAAGGAATGGGTGATTCCACCTCGCCCCAAGCCCGGTCGCAAGCCAGCGACAGATACACCACCGACCAAGCGCAAGGCTCAGAACCGAGCCGCCCAGCGAGCTTTCCGAGAGCGACGAGCCGCCCGAGTCCAGGAACTGGAGGAGCAAATTAAAGAAATCGAGGATGGCCACGAAGTTCGCATCGCCGCCTTTACCGAGCAGATCGGCAACCTGTCAAGGGAGGTAGAACAGGCCAGGGAAGAGGTCAATTGGTGGCGCGACCGATGTCATTCCCTGGAGAAGGAAGTTTCGATCGAACGAAGTGCCAAGGAGGCTCTGGTCAAGGAATTCCGGTCTTCCGTGTCTGCCTCGAACAACCACCACAAACCGGCTACCATCCCAGACTCGGTTCCTCTACCACCTCGCAATCGTCCATCCACTCGAAGCTCCCGCATGGAAGGGGTGGTCCAGACGACCATTGAGCAGAACAAGGACGATGGCCAGGATAATGTTCCTTTGGGATGCAACAGCTGCACTTCTTCGCACTGCCAGTGTATCGAGGATGCATTTGGAATGCCTATCGATACTCACGAGTCGTCTCGTGCTAGACATCCCCCTCACGGTGTCGGCAGCCCCGTTCGTGAGACCTCGGACCCGGAGATCAAGCCTGACCCGGAGGAGATGGAAATTGATTTTACATCCCGATTTGCCGCCGTTCCAGTGCAAGCCAGCTCCAACCACACCAGCAATGTCTCTTCGCCACCCGTTGATCCCTGTGGCTTCTGTCAGGATGGCACGCCCTGCATTTGTGCTGAGATGGCTGCCCAGGAGCAGCAACAGCAGCAGCAACGTGGCCGGCGCAATTCTTTCGAGAACAACCGCCTTGCCCCCATCCAGTCTATCTCTCAGTTTACTCCTCCCCCTTCCGACGGTGATGTCCGCTCCGAAGTGACTCTCCCACCTATCAGCCAAGCGACCAACCCATGCGCTAATGGCCCCGGTACCTGCGCCCAATGTCTTGCCGATCCTCGGAGCACCCTTTTTTGCAAGACGCTGGCAGCCTCCCGGTCAGCGAGCGGAACTCCAGCGGGAGGAGGATGCTGCGGCGGCAAGGGAGCCGACGGGGGATGCTGCATGTCACGAAATGCCCCCACCCCCTCGACCGCGCGTAACAACCCCTCCATGCCTCCGCAACCTGCCGCACCCAAGCCCTCTACGCCCAATGCGTTGACACTGAGCTGTGCCGATGCCTTTACCACACTCTCTCGTCATCCCAACTTCTCCAGGGCTAGCGATGAGATTTCAACGTGGCTACCAAAGCTGCACACCCTCCCCAACCCACAGGAATTGGCACTCGCCGAGGCCCGCGGCACCCGCCCTGCTATGGAAGTCGAAGCAGCCAGTGTCATGGGTGTGCTGCGCTACTTTGATCGGCGGTTTGCCGATAAATAAAATGCTCTCCTGAGTTATGATTCTTTTCTTTCCCCGCCATGATTTTTGCATCGGGTCCCCCCTGCCTCTCGGCTACCTTGATACCCACCCCTCCCGATTGCTTCATGTATCACCATACGGTCTTCTTCTTTTGTTCTTTTCTTTTTTTCTCCCCGAATGTGCCACGCTGTCTTCACATGGGGTTGCACGGATTATACCGTCATTTCATCTGGGAGCTTCGAGAGCCAATCAACCTATCTGGTTATATGAACCTCTCGACCCTCCCAACCCTTACATCCCCCCTTCCTAAAAGCACGCCATTGACTTTTTACTTTCATCTTTTCTTGTGAATCTCTGGCGCCCTTATTGACGTCATAGAGGCCTTCCTGACCGATATGAACATGGTCTATGGTTGGATGGTGGCTGTTTAGCCTGTTTAGCTGTCTCTGTTTGACTCCACTCTTCTAGATGGATTGGGTTATAATGGCGTTATGGCCTTGTCTGATTTATTGTCATGTGTACGCTGTGTTTTTGACGAATGAAATGATTTACCCTTGGGAGATTATTGCAGGTCTGCAACGTAGGTGTATGGTTTCTGGAAACATTCGTATCGTCTCGTATAGAATGTAGTATTGCTAAGCTGTATAGACACAAAAGGAGGTAACACTTTCTAGAAATGACTCAATTCTAAGAGGACAAGGGTCATGGCGCAATGGAATTACTCCGTGTTTCAGGATACTATGTAGAAGAAGAGGTTTTATACATGTCGCGGAATCAATCACCGACGCCGGTCGCCTGCCCCTGGATCCATTCCCTGGGGGTATACGGTGTAAACAGAGGAAGGAGGGGAGAGGTAAAAAGAAAGAAACATCAGCCGCGTAACATAACACCCGGTTTCCTGGACTGCAGGCCATCAAGCCGAGGCCGGGAAGGTCTTGATCTTAACCAAAGAAACTGGAAGGGTTGGTTATCACACTTGCAATGCACCACCAAGACGGATGTAGATATCTCGATGTAAAAATCGAGAATTCATTTTTAGAAGCGCCCACCGCTGGAACTGCCGTGTCCACCTAGCATGGTCATTTCTTCCTCGCTCGCGCCGGCGAATCCACCGAGAAGGCTGGCTCCCCAGATGCCAGCAATACCCCACATACCAATGCGCCAGCCACGGTACAGGCCCTGGATACCCTGGCCCTGCCGGCGCTTCGAGACCTGCTGCTGAGTGGTAGGTCGGCCAACGGCGATGCGGGCACGCTCCGCATCAGACGGCACAGAGCTGACGCCCTCCTCGTGGACGATATGCCACATGGTACCAACAATACCACGGTAGGTGCGTGGCGTAGGGACGATAGTTTCTACGTCTGACGCATCGATGGATGCAGCGGAAATGCTGCCGCCGGAGGATTTCTGGCGCAGACTGAGGGAAGTGTAGGTTGCGATTTGGGCGCGGCGAAGGACGGTTTCGAGGGGGAAGCGCACGGCGAGCTCGAGGCCGGAGCTGAGGAAGCTGAAGAGATTCCACATGGAGGGGTTGAGGAGGGGGTCAATTGAAAGGTAAGATCTGAGGAAGAGTGGGGCTGATGTCGTGATGAAGTTGGGCAAGCTGGAGTGGAGAATGGTGATTGGCACGAGGTGGGGTGGGATGGTGCAGTTGGGGGTGGGAAGCTGGCGGATAGCGCGGATAAGAGACCGTGGACCGTGGGTGGCAGGCGTGAGCATTAGGAAGGTGCGCGCTGTGTCGATGGGGGAGAGGATGATCGCGGAGAGGGACGATGAGATGAAGGAGAGGATGAGTGTGGCGAGCGGCGAGGGTGCGGTCAGAATATCAGCTGCCATGGACGACGCAATGTCCTCCTCTGGCAAGCCCACGATGGCAGACAAAAGGCTGCGAATGAATGTATTGAGTGTTGGAAGGAGTAGCGAGTAGATAAAGGTCGCGTTGGATGACTTCCACGGAGAGCTTGGCCCGCTCGTCGACCAAAGCTGGGAGAGAACATCCATTAAGGAGTTTGGATTGCGGAGAGTCAGCGCATGTTTGGACGGTGCTGGTGCCGTCTCTGGGCGAATGTAGCCACTGCGGTCGGTGATGTGATGGTGCCGACCCCTTCGGGATCGTGGTGTTGTCGGGGTCGGCGTGGCCGGTGCTGCCGATGTGAAGTAAATGCTCTCATCTCCTGATGATTCAAAGTCCTACAAATGAGCTCGTCAGACATGCCCGAGAGTTGCAAGAAACTGAAAAATGATCATACCGAGTCATACGAGCTTCCTTCAGCTGCCGGAGCTCCCTTCCGCTCCTCCTGTTCCTCGATAGGATCTGGTACGACATACACCTGCAGGATGGTTTTGGCGACATCGAAAGGCTGCGCAGTGAGGACCTTGCTGTATCGCACAAGTGCACGGTTCAGAGCATCGCGAACCCAATCTGATACCGACGGCGAAGAGTCGAGATAGTCGGCATAGTCAATATCCGGGATGAGGTCGCGCGCCGAGCTCCCAAACACTTGGGCCGAAGAGGACGACGTCACTTCGGCAGTGACATTTGTGGCGGTGGGCGATAAGCCCGACTGGGGGATATAATATGGCCGCAAAGGATTGATCCCTTCACGAGTGGCCATGGTTGGATGACGAGAAGAGGGGGTGGGTTGGATTCGGGGATAAAAAAAAGGTCGAGAGTCGGAGAAGACTCAAAGTTGTTGGCACAAGCCCGAACAGCCCGATGCCGCCTTTAGCTTTGTCAGTCTTTTTTTTCGTTGCCGGCCATTGGACGATCGCTGCCCGCTCTCTCGTTCCTCGCCCCAGATCTTTCCCGACTTTCTTAGTCCGATAACCTTCCCTCTTTCTTCCTCCCTCCCTTTACCGGTTTCTTGTGAAGACCACTCTACACAATGGCCCTCTGGCGAGAATTCGGCCTGCAATTGCGCCGTGCTGTGCCCAAAGCCAGCACCGGCGACGTGTGTCTTGCCCGCCCGCGGAGATACGTCAGTTACTCGACTGCGCCGTGGAGAACCGGAGGGGCCGCAAAGTCGAGTCAGTGGAATACTGGGGCAAAGACCGGTCTTCGGTCAATGTCGCAGGGTTGGAAGGAGACACGGCGATGCTTCTCCGTGACGGCGCAAGCTGCCCACGGCCACATCACGCCGCCGAAGCCCGGCGAGGAGTGAGTCAACAACCTTGCAGGATACAGATATAGTCTTGCTTTACTGACTGTCGGAATAGGATCAATGTGACCTTCATTGACAAGGACGGTACCAAGGTTGAATTGCAGGTATCCGAGGGGGATAATCTTTTGGATATTGCGCAGGCCAACGATCTTGAGATGGAGGGTGAGTTTCATTCCAAAGCTATACATTCAGACAGTCGCTGACTTTACTTTTGTATAGGTGCCTGCGGTGGTTCTTGTGCCTGTTCCACGTGCCACGTCATTGTCGAAGACCCGGACATTTTCGACAAGATGGAGGAGCCCTCGGATGATGAGAATGATATGTTGGATCTTGCCTTCGGTCTTACGGAGACATCGCGATTGGGCTGCCAGGTGATCATGACCAAGGACCTGGATGGTCTGGTTGTGCGTCTGCCCTCTATGACCCGGAACCTCCAGGCGAGCGACTTTGAGTCAAAGTGAGTGTGAGATTAATCAAAATGTGGGAGTCGTGTCATGAAGCGGGCGCAACGACCAGAACACTTCAGTCCAGAAGGACCCTGTATTATTTGCATTGAATTTGGGGCGAGCAGGCCTGCAAGATACCGAATGAAACATCTCCTGTACCATTTGTATAATAATATTCCACAAGACTGATGTACAGGTGAATCCAGAAACAAGAGTAAAAACAATAACGTAAAGAATCTCCCAACGCCGGAAACATGCCATGGGGTAGTAATCATAGATCCCTTTTTTTTAAGCCTCCTCAATATTCAAAGGCTTTCCCTTCTTGCCGTTGATCAACTCCAGGAAGCCCTGCTTGCTGACCTCATTCACAGTCTTCTCCCGCTCTCCCATACCAACAGTTCCCTTCTTGCGCTCGTCTCTGGCAGCTTCTTCACCACGGACCTGAGCAGCACGCACAGCATTGAACAACTTGACAACACCACGTTGCGCTGTCTTGCGCAGACGCTTCTCCTCCTCTCCAACTTGGCCCGTCAGGCCTCTCTCAATACCCATCACATCACGAACACGGCCGCGGTCCAGCTCCTCCTTCTTCTCGGCGCGCATCTTAGCACGAGCTTGCTTGTCGAGCTTCTCATTCTCCCATTCACTGCTTGTTTGCGCAGCATTTCTGCTTCGGGAAAGGACCGGGTCGGCGCGGGCGGAGGCTGGGAGCTTGGTGGACAGAATTTTGGAGATGGATGTAGAGAATGCAGAGGGATCGTTGCGCTTAGGGATAGCACGGCGCTTGCCACCGGTCGTAGATTGTTCATCCTCGGAAATTTCATCATCTTCTTCAGAGCCAGACATGTCGATGTCTTCCTCGTCGGCTTCGTCGTCCTCGGCGTTGTCATTGCTAGATTCTTTCTCGTCGGCAGTAGGTTTTTGCTTGGGTGCAGGTGTCGACTTGGCGGTCTTCTTCTTAGGAGTAGGCGCAGTAACAGCCTTCTTCACAGGAACACCTCCATCTTCCTCCTCATCCGAATCGGCGAGATTGACAGGCTTGAAGTTGCTCTGATCATCGTCCTCATCCTCGGAGCTGCTGTGATACGCGCGCTGCTTGCGGAACTTCTTTGGCCGGTTGGTCTTGCCTTGCATGCCATCCTGGACCTTGCGCTTCTTTGAATATGACCCAACCATTGTGAACGAAAAGTCAATTTGAAAAGTTGGTTGGAATAATAAACTGCGAGTTGGAGTTCATCTCGAAGCGGTTCAACTTTTTTTTGGGCGGTGAGACCCTCCCGCTCTCCGATTGGGACTCCGCATTAGCCTCCTTGGCCTCTCGGCTGTCGCCCCTCCACTCGTGGTGTCTTCCGTTTGGGAATCCCCAGGAATCGCTGTCAATTAAACTCACCTTCAGTTTCCCCCTCCTTAACCATCCATCATGGTTCTCCAGGATCTTGGGCGGCGTATCAACTCCGCCGTCAATGACCTAACGAGGTCTAACAACCTCGACGAGAAGGTGCGCAATGCTCCCGCCTCATTGTGGCCCCGGACTATGCTAACCAGACCAGGCATTTGATGACATGCTCAAAGAGATCTGTGCTGCCCTTCTCTCCGCCGATGTGAACGTTCGTCTCGTTCAGACCCTTCGAAAGTCCATCAAAGCTAGTGTCAACTTCTCCTCCTCTCCCCGCCGCCGTCAACAAGAAGCGTCTGATTCAGAAGACCGTTTTCGATGAGCTGGTGGCATTGGTCGATCCTCATGCGCAGCCCTTCCGCCCCAAGAAGGGTCGTCCTAATGTGATCATGTTCGTCGGTCTTCAGGGTGCGGGTAAGACTACTACCTGTACCAAGTTGGCTCGCCACTACCAGACCCGTGGCTTCAAGACGGCATTGGTCTGCGCGGATACCTTCCGTGCTGGTGCCTTTGACCAGCTCAAGCAGAATGCCACCAAGGCCAAGATTCCATACTACGGTAGCTTGACCCAGACCGATCCTGCTATTGTGGCAGCTGAGGGTGTGGCCAAGTTCAAGAAGGAGCGTTTCGATATTATCATCGTGGATACTAGTGGTCGTCACCGTCAGGAGGAGGAGCTGTTCACCGAGATGACCCAGATTCAAACTGCCGTTACTCCCGACCAGACTATCCTAGTTCTTGACGGTACCATTGGTCAGGCTGCAGAGTCCCAGTCGGCTGCTTTCAAGGCCACTGCCGACTTTGGTGCCATTATCATTACCAAGACCGACGGTCACGCCGCTGGTGGTGGTGCCATCTCTGCCGTTGCTGCCACGCACACCCCTATCATTTTCCTCGGCACCGGTGAGCACATGATGGATTTGGAACGATTCGAGCCCCGCGCATTCGTGCAGAAGCTGCTGGGTATGGGCGATGTCGCCAGTCTTGTCGAGCACGTCCAAGCCATCACCAAGGACTCCAGCTCTGCCAAGGAAACCTACAAGCACATCGCCGAGGGTATCTATACTATTCGCGATTTCCGCGAGAACATTACTTCCATCATGAAGATGGGCCCTCTGTCTAAATTGTCTGGCATGATCCCCGGTCTTTCCAACTTGACCCAGGGACTGGACGATGAGGACGGTTCCATGAAGCTCCGCCGCATGATCTACATCTTTGACAGTATGACTGCCGCCGAGTTGGACAGCGATGGCAAGACCTTTGTCGACCAGCCTAGCCGCATGGTTCGCATTGCTCACGGTAGTGGTACCACCGTTCGCGAAGTCGAAGACCTTCTCTCCCAGCACCGTATGATGGCCGGTATGGCCAAGCGGGTTGGTGGCCAGAAGAAGCAGATGCAGCGCGCACAGAACATGCTTAAGGGCGGCAACAACCAGCAGCAGCTCGCCGCCATGCAGAAGCGTATGGCTGCGATGGGTGGCGCTGGTGGAATGGGTGGCATGCCCGGTATGGGCGATATGGCCAAGATGATGCAGATGATGGGTGGCAGCCAGGGCGGTGGTGGTATGCCCGGCCTTGGAGGTATGGACCTGCAAAGTATGATGAGCCAGATGGGCGGGTTGATGGGTGGTTTGGGTGGAATGGGAGGTATGGGAGGTGGCGGTGGTGGCCGCGGCCGCGGACGGTAGTTTGCAAAAGCTTTCTGTGGCTTGTCCCCTCCCTGTATTCCCCCCATACCCATTGACGGTTCATCGACTTTGCATGGCTGGCGTTTGGTGTTTTGAAGATATCGTACCTTCTATGTGGCCTGGACATTATGACACTTGTCTATATGAATAGGTCTACAATGTTTTAAATCAGTTGATATGCACTATGATGATAATTGCACTGAAATTCCTTCCAATTTAAGATGATCGCTGCCACGCGACTCAGCTGTAACATACAAGTTGCTATGATTAGCAAAAAACCAACACTCCCTGCCTTGCCTCTTTACCAACAACGACCACTTCTAATCGTCTCTCTCCGGAGCCTGCAGTCTGTTCAAAAGGGTATAATAACCCGCAATGGCTATATCAAAACAAGAACGCGCCAGCTCCTCCGTTCTACCAATAGCAGTCTTGAACGCAACATCCCAGCCCTTCTTGCCAAGCCTATCCTCCAAGACCCGTCCCGGTGGGAGGTGAACTTTCTTACCAGAGTCTTGGGTTGCTTGAACACCAGCATGCGGCCCCAGAGGAACACTGAGACGGTACTTCCAAACAACCTCACCATCCACATACAACGAGTATGTCAGTATCGAACTTCGCAAGGGGGTAGGTGCTGAAGTGGTAGGATCAGCGTTTTCCACGCCTTCGGCAATATCAAGGTATCCAAATTTACTATTCCCATCCGGTGCGTACTTGACAGAGACATCCTCGTCATCTGTCTGATAATACGAGCGGACGGGAAGGTAGAACATGCTAAGCGGGCCAACGCTGAACTCGTGAACACCCAAACCGGCAGTGTCAGGCTGTAACTCAGACGAAGATAGCTGAAGACCGGGGTCAGGGAAGCGAGTGGCGCCGAATTCGTGTCTATCGCCGCTTAGAAGAACGACGCGAACGCCGAGTTCTCGCTCAGCGTGCCACATTGCTTCAAAGACGGTTTGGCGCTCGTTCAGGAAACCGCCCCATGTATCTGTCGTGCCGACGTGCCAGTTTTTGGTGAATGGGACGCTGGAGCTGATAAATTTCCAATGAACTCCGGCTGGCTCTGGGGTAGAGAGGTATGCCAGGAGTGATTGGAGTTGTGCAGAACCGAGGATAGTAGAGTTATCCTGCGACGGCTCGGAGCGATAGGTTCTAGTATCAAGCATGAAGAATGAGGCTGGTCCGTTGACGAAGGAGAAATAAGTGACATCATCGGGATGAGCGAACGCTTTCTCCGGGACTGGTGGGTTGGCGGCGACATGATAGTGCAAGAATGGATCTGCTGCTGCTGGGTAAGGTGCCGTCTTGTTACCCTGCGACCAGTCGTTTTCAATTTCATGGTCGTCTAGGGTATGGATCCAAGGAAGATCGATGGCAGGGCCGTCGATTGAGGCTGCTGCCCATGATGGCGAGGAGTAGATCCGTCGGTACTCGCTGCGATAGTGGTCCATGGAAGAGCCGAATCGGAAGGGCACGTCGATATAAACAAAGTCACCCAGGAATAGCATAAAAGCTGGTCGCAGCAACTTTCCAAGTGCCTCCGTCATCTGCTCAATACCGGGAACCTTTAATGGATGCGAGAGAACGTTGTACGGGAAGTTTGGCTTTATACAGCTTGATGTGACGAAGGATAGCCTGTTGGCTGCGGGGGATCCAGGCCGTGGTGCCGTCATAAACCTGCCGGTTTTATTGTTTGATAGCGAGTACCTGTATTCAGTTGAGGGCTTCAAATTCCTCAATGTCACGGCAGCTGTATAATCAGTGCTGTTGTCCAGCTTGTATACCGTCCCCTCTTGAGTCCATTTCTGGGAGGATGAAGAAGCCTCTTGGTAAGAGACTATCACGGGCAATTGACTTTGATCCGGCTCGCGAAGGAGCAGGTTGGCCGTGGTTGGCGAGACATAACCAATTCGAGAAAAGGATACATCTGTGCTTGGATAGAGAACCAAGCCTCGAATCAAAAAGTCGAGGGTTAGCAATGCCACCGCGACGTTGATCAAAGCCGTTGTCCAGGTTGAGAGTCGCGACCGCCTGGAAGGGAGGCCTGTCAAGAGGGTCTTCAGTACGGAATCACCGGACTTTGCAGTTTTTGACGCTCGAGTACTTTCTAGGTAGTATAATTAGATCATGTCCAAATGTGCAGTCCGTGGCTGAATTTACTAGAGCTTCTTGTGTTCTTCTTCGAGCGGTTGGAGGATGGCTGGTCACCTCTGCCCAGTGAGACAAGGGATGTCAAATACACCACTAACGAGGTAAAGATGATGGGTACAAAGTGATGACCAGGGATCTAAAACCATTAGAACGGGAAATGTTTATTGCATCGATGACTATTCATACCCATCTGAGAAATATGAAGCCAAAAAAGCGAATGGCCGTCGAGCTAGTGGCTGCGGCAACGCGCGGGAGAGATGCCATCTTTGCGATTTACTCAGTGGCCAAGTGCAGGCTAGGGACCATCGTAGGATGCAGAAGCTTAAAGAAAGATCTCCTCAAGGTATGAGATTCTTGAATTTCGATCGACGAATGTCTCGGGCCAGTCATGTTGGGTTTGGCGGTGGTGATTGGTGTTTGCTGTGGCGATGACGTTATTCGTAGCCTTGTCCTGCAGGCCACAACATCCCCTGCAAACACTACTTCATTGTCCGAATATACTCTAGGATGAGGGTTTGACTTTAAATTCATCAATTTATCATTCCTATAAACGCTTGTATGCAATTTCCAAAATTAAATTCATGTGCATCCTTCCCTGAGTAATGGGTATATCCTGCTCTCGATCTCCACCTTATAGTCCACGTCTCTGGTTCATCATGTCCTGTAGCAGATTGTTCAAGCTATTGGCCATAGGTCCTGCAGTCAACACTTGACGAGCTGCAACAACCACATCCTTCATGCCCATACTGAGCGACATCTCCGCAGCCCACTGCCAGGGTTTCTCCCGCTCGCCGGGCATAGCATTGAAGTACTCCCAGCCCATCACCCCACCAAAGTTCGGGAACTGATCAACCAACATGGCCAGAACAATACTGATCTTCTCCCGAGACACATAGCCCTGTGATCCATTCCCAGGGTTCGTCAATAGACCATAGACCACACGACGTGGGGACCAGCCCTGAGCCACGATGGCGGCATACATCCGTGGATCCTCTGCAGGGCCCCAGCCATTGTAGAACTGGGCGTTGTACCAGTCAATTTTTGAAGCACGCGCCTGTTCCAGCTCACGATAATCGAAACCGGACAAATTTCCAATGCCGAGCAAAGCAGCTGCTACAGGGGCTAGGGAGATGATAAAACTATCACCCATGTCACTCTTCAGCCGGTCGATCAGCCGAATGATACCCTGAAGGGACATTTCCTCCTCCACGTCGAGATCAAGTCCATCGAGTTCATAGCGTCGTATAATAGCCAAAAGAGGGAGATAGTACGCCTCAAATTGCTGTTGGCTGCCATCAAGACGTTCGAAAGATCCCCGTGCGGCACCTCCCAGCATTCCCATCACCTTCACCCCGCCTTCTTTGACGAGGGGTACTTCTGCCCATAGCGGGTCGAATTTGGGGCTCTCCGGAGGGTCGTCGTTGAGTGTGATATTTCCTGGGCCATCGTTGAGATGAATGGCCGCGAGGATAATGTGCGTGATGCCAGTATTGTGCTCTATCAGAGGGATCATGGACACGTATGGCCCCTCACCCGGGATCAGTGTCTGATGGTAGCAGATCACGCGACGGCGCTCTCGCGCACCACCTGGAATCGGTGGCATGTTGAGGTGAGGTGAAGTGTGTTCGTTTTCCCTTCAGTGCGTAAGGTGGAAGAGAGCCGAGCGTGCTCTTCCGTAGCTTGTACTTGTAGAAATCGATTCAAGGCGGCGGGGCCCCCTGATACACCGAAGCGGGACTGCTAGAGTAATAGGCCGCGACGACCACCTGGGAGCAGCAACGCAATAAGTAGAAGTGTTTTTTGTGCGAGTTCAATGCAGATGGGAGCTTTGAGTTTTCACTTTTCGCATGAACTAGGTTGATTGAATTATCATCGGATAAATTGATCGTTATCTCCGCAAGCCGCAAGGAGCCTCAACCCCCGCGCCGCGGCCCTGTGACTAAGCGGGATGGAGATGCCCGTAGTTAACTAAGGTTGGAGGAAGATTCATCTCTTTAGGGTGCAACTCGGATTTTGTAAGAATAGAGCATCATGATTCAGATTGATTACAACAATGCCTGTTTTGCCAGCCTATGGATCGGTACAGGTGCAAAGAGCTTATTGGGCCTGACTCGAATGACATCAGGATTCGGCTCCGGCTTTGATTCCGGCTGGACGAGGAACCTTGGGCGAACTTCTGAAGTCGCCTATAGGGGAAACGTGGGGACTTTCCGCCTGGAAAGCTAATAGAAGGCTGCCAGAGCATATGAGGCGAGCTTATCTCACTTACTCATTGGCGTACCGTTGCTTGGGTTCCTTGTATATGGAGCGAAGCGGCGACAGACGTCAGAAGTATAAAAACTTGAGGTTTCCTACATGAAAGACCCTCTGAGGTTCTAGCTACCCATTTCGAACACTGGATATTTCCTAAATTTCCGTCTGTAACTTCTGAACACTCACCAGTTACTCGAGTTTCCAAAATGCTGTATCCTGCACTCCGTGTAGCGCCTCGTCTTCAGTCAAGACGGATAGCAGTCTGGCACCGCTGCGGCGTCGCCACTGCAACACCCAAGCATCCCAACCCAGGAAACTTTGCTAATCGACCACGAGAGGAGATGTCGGAGATCGGCCACCGCGGAGGGAAGAAAGGCGGCAAGGCTCGAGGTGTTGGCGGGTTTCATGATATGGACCCGGAGAAGCAGGTATGATGCACGGCAGCTACAGGAATTAGACCCTCCAGTGGAAGTATCAACTAATTAATGGTACAGCATGCTATCGCATCTCGAGGTGGACGTGCCACGCGCAAAGCAGCTAGGGAGCTAGCAGAAGCTGCGACACAAGGACAGAAGCGCCAAACTGGACTCGGTACACTTGGGAGGCGTACGCATGAGCCTCCAGTGGTGCCACCGACATATGAAGAATGGCAGAGTTGAGCAGGTGATCTCAATGGGTCAAATAGTCAAATACACATACAATTTTGATGGATCATCTCGAGAGAAAGCAAAAGTAAATAATGTAGAGAGTAGAGTACAGCCCCGCTAGTCCCGAAAGGGCAGGGTGTAAACATGACGCCTCAGGCATCAACAAATCATCAGCACCCGCATTTATCCCGCGACTGTTTCACCTTTGACTCTTTGCGATCGCTATTGTTACCTCTTTATCTATACATGACAGCCTCGATGGTATAGAGTCTGACCTGGCCGACAGAACCCGTACAGACACCTGGTCTCTCCTCGCGTCCTATCGTGCGCGTAGCGCTCCGACCCATCTTGCATCCCGCTACGCGTGGCGATCATGGCAAACACGGGCTACACGTCGCCGTTCCCGACGTCCCACGATACTATCGGGCAGTCCACACTTGTGACGCCCCTTTTTATGCCTTCTTCCCCACCGCAGCAGCCCTCTAGCCCAGCCACGGAAGCACCGCAATCCCCGCAGTCGCCGCAATTACCACATTCACCCCAGTCGCCACAGTCACCGCGGTCACCACCACGCCCCGAGAGTCCGGCCTCTGAGCATTTTGACCCTCACCAAGACGATGACGATGAAGATGATGCGCATCCAAGCGATCACCAATCGCACCACGAGGATCAGCTGGAGGAATTGTCCCGCCCTTCAACTCCGGGAAGCCCTAGCGGTTCCGACTTGGACGCTCGCCTCGCCGATTACACCCTCGACTTTAGCGCATTCCCAAGCAGCAAGTTCCTAGATGGCAAGGATGGACCACCACTCCCGGAGACAAAGGACGGCGAGCAAGACAAGCTCTCCGATGTGGGCGGGCCCGAAGACTTTACCGCAAACATGGAGAGATACTTGATGGGCGAGGGAATGTCGAGCGTCAGAAAAAGCCGGGTCAATGATAGCAGTGAGCTGCCGGGGTCAGCATCACGATACAAATCTACGAGGTCGAGACAAGCGGCCGTTGAAGAAGATGTGGAAGCGGGCGAAATCAGCGAATTCGGGCCTCCAGTCGACATGTCTACACCGTCGCATTTCTTGCACAGAAACAGCGCGCTTGCAAGGGATACGACACAACTAGAAGATATCGAAGAGGATCCACATGATGAGCTTTCTGCCATGGCATCACCATCCGAGCGCAAACTGTCGATAACTTCGGATAACGAGGCAGACAACTTGGAACAGCGCCTGCACCAGCGTATCATTGAGCTAGAGGAGGAAGTCCAGAATCGGGATGAGCAGCTGCATAAAAATCGCAAGCGCGTACTCGAGGCCGTCTCAGCTGTAGAGCAGATCCGACACCTGCAGGCTGAGCTACAGCTCAAGAATGAGCAGTTGGACGAGATTTCTGCGAGGAGTGGAGATGAAGCGAAACTTCGTGAGCAAATAGAGGCTCTCCAGCGGCAAAACGATCAACGGGAGAAGCTGCTCCAGCAATCCACGGCAAGCCAACCGGACTTCGGAGCCGTGGAACAACAAATTCGAGACATGCAAAAACAACTGCAAGACAGGGACTCCCAGAGCTCGCTAGATGCCGAGCGGTTGGAGACAATTTCCCACCTGCGACAACAACTGCATCTCACTCAAGAACAACTGAAGAAGCGCGATGAAACTTTGGAAGAGACCATGACCAAGCTCAAAGAAGTCACCCGGGCCAAGGAGGTCCAACTCCATGAGAAGAACTCTGAGATTGACAGACTCAAGGGTGATATGGACTATCAAGCACTGGAAAACGAGAGGCTGGAGACCGAACTCGAGCGCGTCAACAGAGATTATGAGACGCTCGAAGATCGTCTGACTGCTTTGGAGACGAAGAGCGGTCCGCTTGAGGAGAGGAATCACTCCCTCGAGGCAGATCTCACCCGTGCCCAGTCACAGGTGGAAGCACAAGAAAGTGCCCTGAAAGCCGTAGCAGCAGATCTGCCCATCGGTAGTCGCAGCACATACAGCGAGATCCTTGATCTGATCAAAGATCTCGGCGGCGAGGACCCAACACCACGAATCGGATCTCCTCCAAAGGAAAGGTCATTTGATGATGGTGATGTGCAACAGCTGGGACAGGAAATTGCCAAGCTTCAGCAAGAGCTGCAAGAAGCCACTGCGTCGCAGAAAGCTGCGGATGCCGAGGCTCGCCAGCTTCGCGAACAGCTCTCAGAGACACAGAACCTGATCAAGGCACTCGAAAAGGAGAACTTGCGCCATGCCACACGGGTGGAAGAGCTCACCTCCAATCTTAACAACACTCAACATGAGTTGACACGCACACAAGAGGAGCACGCTGAATCTCTCGAGACCATTGCTCGTCTCCAAGAAGAAGCCCTCGGTCAACCTCCAAGCCCCCCTCCTTCACCACCTCGGACTCGCAGCGCCGACCACGCAGACTCCGCAAGGACAGCAGAATTGGAAGCAACCCACCAAGCCCAGATTCGCAGCCTGCAAACCGCCCACTCCACAGCCATCTCCACCCTCCGCTCCTCCCACGCCGAATCAATGCGTAAAATCCGAAATCTCCTCACATCCGCCGAACAGCGAGAAGGAGAAATCCGCACAGAACTCACAACCATCCGTACTTCGATCGCAACGCAAGAATCACAACTGCGCAAGACATTCAAGTCTGAAATCAGACGTCTGGAGGGTGTCATTGCCGCTAAGGATGAGACTGCCACAGCTATGGATGAGCGTATCGCGTTGTCTGTGGATAAGCGGGAACGTGAATGGGAGCGTCGTGTTGATCTTCTTCTCAAAGAGCGTGACCGCATGGCCAAGGCTCTTATGATGTATTGGGGTGAGAAAGAGATGGGCAAGGGTCCTGGTCCTTTGGCTGATGGGAAGGAGAGACGTCGACGGGATGGGGATGATGCGGATGTCAAGCAGGGACAGGCGTACAAATACAAGTATTCTCAGAAGCAGCGATCTAGGACGGGGGATAAGAAGGTATAACGGGTCGGACTTGTTGGTGTTTTGTCGTGTTTTAGCTTTGCATTACGGGTGGACGGATCTAGGGGCATTCATTGGTTTGGACTGGCCGCTCTGGTTACGGCGTTTTCACATCATGCACGGTTCTAGCCAAATTGAGATTCGACTTTTCAACTTTCAACCTTTCTTCGTAATGTGTTCAAGAAATAATATTCATTTCTGGTATCGAAGCTTAACTAGTAGGTATCAAAGAATCCCGATCCATTCCTCTAAACCCCTCCAGACAATTCCCTCTTCCGACCTCAAAATACAATATCAAGCTAAACGTAACTGAGAAGCAAAATCAAGTCCGACCAGCAGACAATGAGACAGGTAACGCACTAGTAAAATCCCAGACTGGTTCGATTCGCACCACGATAAGTCGTTTGGTCAATCTGATTGCGCTTCGCCTCCGAAGCCGCAGCACCGACCTTGCTGTCATCAATAGACACCTGTGGAACCGAGCCAGACTCCATGATGCAGCTTAGAGGACCACCGTGCGTATTGCTACGCGGCCGACGGGTACTCGGATAGATAATCTCAACGTCGCTGCGACGCGGCAGGTTAGGCACTGAGCGGCTAGGGTCGTAGACTTGTTGGTTGGGCCAGCGTGGAGGTTGTGGGTACCAATTGGCATGGCGCTGGGTCTGGGTGTGTCGAGGCATGTGATGCTTATCAAATGAATGGGAGCTGCTGCGGATTGGGTATGGCACTGCGTGGGTTTGACGGGACGTTTTTCGGCGTTGCGGCTCAACGTGTACTGGGAGAACGGCGGAGTTCTGGCGACAGGACGAAGAATATTTTCGTGGAAGGGGAGGCATTGCCGGTCTAGGGACATAGTGAGGGTGGTGTGGGTGGTGGATAGACATTGTTGGTTGAGCTAGGGATGCTGTCTGCGATCGGCGGACTCTGGCAGGCTCTGCGGGCATGACGACCTCTGGTGCATCGGCGGAGTTCATGGTCATTGTACGAGCGCGACCTTCCATTTTAGTACCTATCGGCTTCGCTGAAGTGGGAGACGTTTGAGTCGTGCTAGAGATGGTCGATCCTTGGGGCTTGCTGGCTGGAGCATCTGCGGCTATCGCAGCGATGTTCTTGCTAGAAGGAGATGGCGACACGACTTGCTTCTCGACGTCTGATGCTGCATTGGGGTCGGAAAGGGCTAGGATCTGGGGATCCGATGATAGTGGCAAGGAGAGTGGAAATGACTTTGGAAGGAATCGTCTGAAAGAGGATAGCGACGACTTTCCCCTCTTGTGATTTGTCGTATACTGTGTTGGAATTGCCGGGACCTTTGGAATGGGAAAATCGGACATCAGTGTTCGTGGTTCGCAGGCGGTTTGCGATGTCATGACCGTTGAAGTACGCGATATCGGACAAATGTCGCTCACGACTGTCTGGCCACCAGGTGAGAGGCGAGACAGGGAGCCATCTGGCGACACTGTCGTTCCCGAGGCAATCTCTCCGTATTCAGAGCCGGGATTCGTATTAACTCGAAGCTGAGGACGCAGACGAACGGGCGCAGGGTGACGGATACTGGGGTGGCAGTTCACTTTATCGGCCAAGGGGTCAAAGAACCACGGTTCCTCGCCGGCTTTTCCATCGTGTTGGCGGCAAAGATTCAAGATCTCGTTCTTCAGAGTTTCGTCACTATCCCAGCTATGACCTGAGAAAACGCTGCCGTTACGAAGAGCTTGGGAGCGCTTATAGATCCCGATGATAGACACATCGTATGGGCGATCGCAAAGCTCTCGTGCGCAGTACATGGTGCAGACCGTAATCCTAGAAACATACTAGTTAGAGATGAGTCAAAAATGACCCTAGCTGGGGAACATACAATGAAACCACGGATACAATGACCGATGATCGGTGAAAAATGCAACTGGTGCCGACTTTCCAGTAGCTAGCATCGGTTCCAGCCGGCAGACATGAAACTTGCTGAGCGGCCACAATCAAACCAGTGACACTCGTACCAAGCCATAGCATGAGATCCAGTCGGAAGAAGTATGTGCAGATATTATGGAGGACTGTTTTCTGTTCCCCAAATCCTCCAATTTTATTATATTGCCAGGCGACCAAACTCTGGAGAGAGACCAGCGGGATAGTAAGAAATGACTATCAGAGAGGTTAGTAAACGGATGCGTCAACTCCAGTATGGATACGTACGGAGACCATGCATAGAATTAAACTCAGAGTCATCTTCGAATCAACCCAGTGGTTACCGTAGAGATAGAAGACAAGGACTAGTCCAACTATAGACTCAAGGATCAAGCAATATAGCGAAACGAATATCACCAACTTTGTCCAAGTGCCCTCCTTTCGAGGCGTGGGGGAGAATCCGGTAGCCATAATTGCGTTGCTGAAGTGCACGAGCTGCTCTGCAGCGTCGCAGACAAGGCTTGAATATCGAGGGCGAGGAGTGCAAGATTTGGTGCACTATACAGGTGGTTGTCGCGTAGCGGAGGATAGAAGGACGACAAACGTCTGGTCTCGACCCGAGCCCGTGGTAGAGTTATCAGCTGGTTGCGAGACAACGTCTAGCGACACGAGAACTGACAGAGACTAAAAGAAGGACTCGATTCCCCTCGCACATAGACGGTGAACGCGTCGACGCGCCTGGATGTGGAGGGGTGGAATGTGCCAGCCGAGGAGTCTGGCATGGCAAGAATCCCAGCCGCGAACATGGCCTTTGCGGAGTCCAATGACTGGAGTGACCAGCGGGCATAAATTTCCCAGCTGCTGATCGTCTGGAATGTCACAATGGAGGAGTTCACAGGTCAAGCAGGGATGTGTTTGGTGGACGCCGATGCCATCCCCACCCTTGGAGCTGCATTGGCTCATCGTCAGAACTCGGCCATCCTTGCAAATCGGTATTTCGGAGAATTTGAGGAATCGCACCCCATGCATTAAATCAGATGGTAATACATCATTGACAGGATCGCCCTCGACGGAGGCGCAGCTGCGAGCGTTGGCTGCCGACAGGCACGACAGGGAGTGTCAACTGGACCCCTCGATGACGTGTGGTCAACTCGATCCGCTCTCCTTCTCCAACACTCCTTCGGATATTACTCTATTCACCGGTGCATCCAGAGGCACTAGATACAACATATTCAATTTGGATTCAAGATATCATGGGCGTACTGGAAGAGTTCCTGTATGGCTTGCTGAAAGATCGCACTGGGTAGGCACGACTTCGATGTACAGACACTCACGTGACCCGAAGGGGATACACCCTGGGAACAGCAAGGACGAACTCGAGCATCCAGGAGTCTTCATATTTGACTGATTCAATCTTACACATGAATGTTATGTCTTTCAACTTCAAGTGGTTCACTCGTCTTCCAGAGCACGCTGGAGCCCGATGTGGTCCGGCCACATCGACGTATCAGTTGATGTGTCTACAACCGACATTCCACATTTGTCATTGAACTGTCACAAGCCAAAGTTAGATTCGAACACTTGGTCCAAGTTATACACGGAGCAAAGATCTAGAATCTGTGAAAAGAAACGAGAACAAACGGGAGAATAAACTTACATATGTTGTGACCACCCAATCTATCAAGCCTTCTCCCATCCTTTCGATTATCATTTCGCCCACTAATCATTCCAGACCTGTGAGCTTCCTTTGGAGTAACACAAGCTCAACTCTCCGATATGAGATGAAGATGTCACAGATCTCCCTAAAACCAAGTCTGTTTGAACAGCTTCCCCAGAGGGCTTGAGAAGTATTTTTTGGGATTTTGATCAACCGACTCTCTCCAAAATTTATTCGCGGAATACTGCAAAGAGTAGAGCGGGTTTATCCTAATCATGTCCGGTTTGCTGTACGAGTAGCAACAACGCAGAATCTATGTGATGGATCACCGCGAGCTTCCAGCTTCAGCTTGCGACCCAGCCCGATAGATGTGCAAGTATACGCAAGAAAGCTCCCAATGACGAAAATCTCCAACCTTGGACGATTTCTAATTTCTCCTCCACTGTTTGCATCGAGAGTTTTTACTGCTATAGACAGCTTTGAACTAGTGTGCATCCCATCATCTTCGTCAGAGCCGCCTATTCAAGCCGCCGCCGTTGGTACAAGATTCTGGGTCCAGTTGATATCGAGTATAGAACAGCTTCTAGGCGTGTCCTTTCTAGTGGAAATACTCACCACATCCTGATCCAACATGTTATATTTACCCTTTGACTACTCTCGTCATGTCTGTGCTTCCCGTTCAACTACCTGAATCCGAATCGAGCTCTCCGGCCTCTACCATTACTAAAATCCCACTCAAACGAGCAAATCAATCCGGTGCACGTCCATGTTTCCTTGCCATCTCTACTTCAGTCTTAGGATTTGATTATGTCTGGAGGTTTTTAATAATACAATAAGATAACATTCGCAATTGGTCAACTAGAGAGCTTAATCACAGATATAAAGTCAAAGTATGAATGACCGTTTGCAATAACAATGTCGCCCGTGTAGCATGCTTGCCCAGTCTAGCCGTATTACGGCATAAATCCATGCAACATGAAATCTCTGAAGCACCGTAGTGCTCATAGTTGCCCTGTGACTTCATATGAGAGCTAACCTTAGCTATTGGGACAATTACAATCACAAGAGTAGAAGATTTTCTTAGGGCCTAAACCCCCTTTTTTTATTTGTTTTGTCTATTTTGACCTTTTTGGGTTTTTGTTGTTATCCTCCTCTTGTGTTTCCTTCCTCTCAGATCATACTCAGTGCAGAATAATACATACAAATCAACAGGATGTCATGGGAAGATCAATAGAGTAGACTCATCCAATCCGGGGGTGGGACATAGTCCAATGGATCTCCCAGACTGGATGGGTTGATTGTCTCACTTTGCTGAGCGGCTGATGCGACAGATTGCGTCTCAGTATGATCGACATCAAAGTCTTCGTCCACCTTCCATTTCATTGCAATTGTCAACAATGTGCTGTAGTCGAGACTTGACACGAACCCATTTCCGCTCAATGAAACAGTGCAACACACGCTGCAGAAAGATATGGGGCCTGTCATCTTTGGTGTCCGTCAATTTGAACATATTACCGATCACGAAAAGTCCATCTTGGGCTCTGGTCAAAGCGCAATTTAATCGGCCTGGTTCGTCTGTGAACCCGATCTTTCCAGTCACCGTAGTGTCATAGATAACCACAGGGAATTGCTGCCCTTGGAATTTATCCACCGTGCCCACGTGCATACGATCGACACCGAGATCTGGGTGCTTCTTGTGGACCAGTGTCAACACGTTGGCGACCAGAGTTCTTTGAGCTTCATATGGCACAATTATCGCAATGTCGTTGGCACTGAGTTCCTTGCCGGGACTCTCAAGGAGCCATCGAGCAAGCTCGACAGCAACCTGTGCATGAGCTGGGTTGTACTGGGATCCGGTGTTCTGCACTTTCGCGTGGGTTCTCTTCAAATTGATGAAGACGGCGTTTGAACGGCAAGAAAGGTACTTGTTGTTCTATTGTCGAATAAACTTTGCCCGAGTGTTGACGTTATTTCCAACCCTGTGCGCGGTTTCTACACGACCCCCTTCAAAGGCGAAGGAGATCATGGCAATATTCGGGTGAGAACGATATTGCACGGTGAAGTCGCCAACAGTTATACCATTGGCAACGAGACGAGCGAGGTGCGAAATTCTCATCTGCTTCATCCAAGGGTTCTCTTGCAGCGTCGAAGTCACGATGGGCTTGGTTTGGTGCGTGTCGCCAACATGCATGAATCCAGCGTCCGGATACTCTCCGTAGAGCCACCATAAGTGGCCCTCAAGTAACTGCCCTGCTTCCTCGAAATAGATCATATCGGCACGGAAGTTCTTGGCGACGAAGTGTTGTGAGAGACCCATGACAGTGCCGATCAAAAAGTCCATACGACTCAGTGTTGTGTCCAGGAGATCCTTGAATGTCTGTCTGAAAGCGATCCACATGTCACGAGTGAAATTGACTCCTGTGCTGTACTGATCAATGAGCGAGCGGAAGGCCTTGCATTTGGGTTGATCGGGCTCACTCCATGCCTCGGGGATGATTCCAGAGTATTGAAGCATGCGGTGACCCAGGCTACTCCCCACGGATGTCAAACGTCTATCCTGGATACCAGTCGCCGTAAGAACCTCTCGGATGTAGAACATGGCGACCATTAGTTCGTGCGAGGACAAATTTGCGGTTTGGATAGCGGCAAGCATGTTATCTTGCTCGGTCTGGTCAAGTCCTTCCTCATCCGCTGCCGTCGCTCGTTGCGGCTTGCCTGCGCAGGTAGACGAGATACCTTCCACTCGGTTCAAGTAGCATAGATGCGAGCCCCGATTGGCACTGTGCCGTCTTTTCGCTTAGCATACTCCTGTGTCAACGGTTCGGCCTTCTTGTAAAGCTCGTTTGCCGTCAAGTTGCTAGGGCAGGCAAACAAGACCCTGTGAGGCTCTTCCGACTCGACGTTGCGTGACTGCAGAAGGGGCATGGCTGACATCAGCATAAACTTGGTCTTGCCACTCCCAGGAGGTCCGGTCACTGCAATAATCTTTCCAGGCATGTGGCGCATACGCAGGAGTGCATCTTGCTGCTGGGCGTTGAGTGAGTCGAGGATAGGGCCCATTTCAACCTCGCCGTGATCGAGAGTGCGATACATATCGGTTTCAGGCAGGTTTTCATAGTTGTTCAACTGCAGACTATGCCAAATATCAGGGGATTGGTATCGAATCGCGGAAAGTCTGTGAGAGGCATGTGTGAACGCCTTATATTGGCGGTCTTTGAAATTCACGTCAACCATTGCCCCGAATGTGTCTTGCCTCTCAAAGTATCGAGGCATGTTCTCGTCATCCATATCTTGGACGTCATGAATCTCTGGCTCCAGGTCCGGGCCCATGTTGACAACTTCACCAGTGTCTGGATCACGAGGACGAACAACGAGGACAGTCGAAAAGCCACCGGGTGCAAACCAGGCTTTCTCGACCACCTTGAAGAACCATCTTTTGGCACGGGGGATCTTGGGAGGTTCGGCAGCACCAGGGCGAGCGGCGTTAGTAGCAGTCGAGTTCAACACCGATGAACGATCAAAATGTGGATTCAGAACATCGGCAGGCTCATAACGACGGCGAATATCTTCTTGCTTTTCCTCTTCGCCACCGCTGTCGCTATCCGTTTCACTGTGCTTGTCGGCGTCCTCGTCGACATCGCCGTTGTTGTCGCCGTTGTTGTCGCCGTTGTTGTCGCCGTTGTTGTCGCCGTTGTTGTCGCCGTTGTTGTCGCCGTTGTTGTCGCCGTTGTTGTCGCCGTTGTTGTCGCCGTTGTTGTCGCCGTTGTTGTCGCCGCTGTTGTCGCCGTCGTTTTCCGTGTCAGGTATGGCATCCTGGTCAAGGATAAGTCTGCCACACTGACCGGCGCGAAGGACAGGGGCACCGTGTGGGAACTTCATCAAACCAAGAAGCCTGGTGGGGTCGTCGGAACCTGGAACTCGCAGCAAGATCATCTCGACAGGTTGAGTACGCAACACAACCTGTTCAGCGACGTCGTGCTCATGTTGCGCTGTCATGCCACGCCCAATCCCCTCGATGTAGTTGAACCAATCAGGGAACGATTGCTTGCACCAATAACGGATATCTTTCTCTCGGTGCTGAGGTGCAGAGTAAGTCGGGATCTTTGGGTTCTTTCCAGTGGACATCGCATATGGGTAGATACCGTGGTCGGACATGACATTGTTGGCGATTTGCACGTAATGTTCTCGGACAGTGTCACGACTACCAGTCATCAACAAAGTGACGCCACGGGATTCAACGATACCGTCACGGAGCTCTCTTATAAAGTCTCCTTGATCGCCGAGATCCACAGGGCCAAAGATTCTGGTTCCCTTGTGCACAATATCTTCCTTGAAAGTGTAGCGGAGGGCGAAGAGGCGTTGAGCCTTGATGTCTGCTTCACAGTCTTTGATCTTTTCCACCATAGACCTCTCATAGATCACTTTGTCGCCCTCGCCCTTTCGACTAACCTGCTCGGTGAAGGTCATGTTCTGTCGAGGCTGGATCTAATATTGAAGGAATGAAGTAATTAGCTGTACATGTCTTTGGAGAGAAGGCGGCGATGAATAACTTACCTGGTCTTGAAGCCAAGTAACCTCCTTCCAGGTAACACTCGCAACCTCATTGGGTGTCAACATGATGGATCCACTCACACGACCGAGGCGACTGTCTCGAAGGCCTTCACCACGATCAAATACGGCATTGATGAGAATCTCCGAGTATGGGGCCTTGTCGAGTCGGACAACGTGGGACAAGTCCACGCGAGATCCACGGGCACAGCCAGGAATATTGACTCCTTCCTGTACGGTGTAGATTCTGCCATCGTCTAGACGAATCGAGCATGTGACAGCAACAAACCCCTTAGGATTGGGCCCAAAGTTGTCGTAATCCCAGTCAAGATCCGGAACGTTACCCGCTCCGTAGACGGGAGGGTCCGTAGTCCAGGCACTATTGACGTTTGACATGGTGAATGATGATGATGATGATGGATTTGGGTATGGAAGAGCGGGTGGAGGAGATCTTTTCATGCCCGACAGATGCGAGAAGCGAGTCCCGAATAAGCAGGCAGGCTAGTAAATAAAAGGCAAACAATGAGCTTAATGGAAATTTTCATTAGGCAAACAACGCGTTCCAGCTGACCAGGCAGTATCGTGGATAAACAAACAGCTGTCCAGTACGCCTACACAGTATTCGTGGCCTTTGGATACCTGAGTATGGCTATATCTCCCTCGGCTTGATGCCGTAGATCTCTCCATGGGGACGGATGGTCAAGGTCTACCTTGGACATGGCTCACAAGGACTGATTGTGACAACCCAGGAAAATAATATCCTTCCCATTACTCTGGGCTAACCAAAATTAGTTGAGGTATCTGGCTGGAGGATTACCCTCTTTCTCAATGTTTTATATACCAATTATGACAGACTAAATATATCTCCATGTTCCCAATACGGCCATATTGATCGACGTGTGGTACAGTTGCTAAAGAGCTTTATTCTAGGGAGCAGTTCTTCTTCGAAGATTCGGGGGTAACAAATGGCAACGAATATCAAAAGCTTTCCGAACCCCATATTCGCTTGGAGTCTGCCGGGATTGCATATCCTCATTAAAGGTAAACGACATCATTTAACTTCAAGAGGGAAGAAGAATTCAACTAGTCTTTCTTCATTAAGATCAATCGAGGAGTCAAGGTTTGTGGGTAGACGATTCCCAAGGCGTCGAGGACATTGTATAGGCCGTGACTGATCAAGATTCCTTCACTGTCGGCGGGTTTCCAGGGACTGGAGTGCTATTCTCCATTGTCCAGTTCATACGGCCAACCATACAAGCTTGGGATCTGTTGGAGCTCACACATCATCTGTTTCCGTCACTTAATCTGTGGTACGCGGTCATACCCATGGTTGTGGCTTGTAGCCCCTCGTAGCATTGTATTCCGAGACACCTAGTAATTCGTGGATGTGGCTGTCTTCATCGCGAATATCGTGGAGTTCGACAAGAAAAAAATCCAGGCGAAGCATCCTTCTTGCTAGCCTGTCTGTAATGGCAGTGTTAGCGAGGACCCCAGCCAATTAAGAAACGAGAGGGATAGTGATGTGCAAGCATATTCACTTCGCTCGTAATGTGTGACTGATATATCTCATATTTAGCAATTTTGTCAGGGTCCACTAAGAATCTCTTCGTAAGCCCGTTATCTTCCTCTGGCTCCATTTTTGCCGGCTTGAGTTGGATGGGCGGGTGGAACAGGCTCAAAGTTGCAGTCAACTCGGACCTAGGAGATAGAAAAGGAATGACATAAGGTTCCCCTGAGGCGACAAGCGATATCGAACTGCCTACATAGCAAACATCACAACATCTGAAAACAAAAACCTCCTCATCCATGAATCGAACCCCCAACCTTGATGTTCCCTATATACTTCACCAAAATGCTCCATCACGATTCCACGATGCCGAAGTCCATACTTTCAAGGCTCCTCCGGGACCACACCCACTAAAGAATCACCCTCTACAGCACCATAATAGCGTAAAACTTTATTATTTAGGGTCTAATATAAAATAGAATATAGGAGACATCTATATAATAAATAAAAAATTTACTTAGAAAAAACTAAAAGAAGAAATCGGCGAGCGGGGGGTTTAGCGGCTCGCCACTCTCCCCCTTGGGGTGTGCCCGGTCATCCGTGGAGCTGTGCTCGACATCGGATACCAGTCAACCATATTTCCCCTCATTTTCCTTCACAGGGGCACACCCTTGGCCAACCAGGTGGCGACCAACCTGGCTTACCAACTAGGCCATATGGGGGGGAGATTACCTGGAAGACTTGGAAGTTGGTGATAACCCTTGTTTATCACCCATCTCGAATATTTTAACGACAATAATCCCTATGCTCATCATTTAATTTTCAGGAATATGGTTTCTTGAAACGTTACCTGAATAACTTTGGGCGTCGTTATCTTTCTCAATTTCTCAATCACTACTTGCTTTTGCCGGCTGATTCCAGGACCAGCCCTCTGATGGCCTGTTGCGGCCCTTTCCTGTCTCCTTTTCTTCTTGTTCTCTTGTCTTCTCTAGGTTGAGACACAATCTAACTGTTTTTTGTAGCAATAGTTCCATGTACCAAATTACTAGTAATTGTTCCTCGTTTGCTTTTCTTTTCGTAAATCGAAATTTGCATCGGGGGATCGTAGATGGATTACAACCTTCCAACCCGCTGAGTGTAAATCTCACCAGGAGTCAGCCCACCAGCTTCTCGACCAAAAAGCACGAATGCCAACAAAATTCCAATCACCTCTACGCTTTCAAACCCTTATATAACCCAGCTTGAACATTACCACCATATTTTGAGTCAGTCTAATAATCACCCGGCAGGTGTACATACTGCAGTATATCCGAGTCTAACCAAATCCGGTTAGCAAAGAACAATGGAAGAATGCACGAACAATCGAATCTCTTACCCTAAATTCCGAGGATCCACCCACTTCAATCCAAATGACTCATTTTTCGTCAATAACAAGCAAGCTGGCGCATAGGAAGCGCGTCGGGCTCATAACCCGAAGGTACCTGGATCGAAACCAGGGCTTGCTAGTTTCTTTTTTGTAGATTTTTAATCTAGGGACCTTTGATTTTTGTTTATGCTGAACATACCGTATTCCCATACACTCTGTATACATCCCTGTCACTCGTGAATAAAAAATCTTCAAGGTCTGCCGCCGGAACGATCGGATAGCGGGAAGTCAACTTTAAAGCACCATAGTCCTAGAGTTTACTGGCCAGCTACGATTCGAGCATGGAAATACCTCAAGGTATGGAGAGTCCTTAGGGAAAATCATAGTTCTTGTGTTCTATTGCAGATAATACCCCTCGCACTGAGGAGCATATCCTAGGTTTATATCTCACGGATTACTCAAAAGAAATCACCAAACCCAAGAAAACAGAGAACGCAATCTGGATGCCTCGAAGAATTGCTGATTAACTCAAACGAGTCCAAGGTGAAATGAAAACAGGAAACAAAAAAACCGCTGGGGAATATACAGATGACACAAACGAATGAAGAAAGGGAAATGAAAGAAGGGTTTAATCTGTCGTATCGGTCTGGATGTAGCTGCACCGTCGAGCCAAGAGAATGGTCGAAAAAAGAAACGAAAAGCCCATCAGACACACAGGACGAACGATTATCGACCGCCATTGCGGAATTGCTCGGGGATGTGAGGAACAGCGGGAGGTTCAGCCACGTCCTCGTCTTCTTCCATTTCATCCTCCTCCAGTTCCTCGGGGTGCCTGTATCACAGAATTAGCTTAGTCTTCAATCGCCGTGTCAGTGTGAATAGGTCAAGGTAACATACGCAAGCAACTCCTTGATATTCCTCATCTCGTAGTGCTTCTTCCGATGCTCCTCAAACTGGCGATGCTTCTCCTTCGCCTCCTCGGTGGTCATTAGAGCATCATCACCTGCAGCCACATCACCATTGGTATCAGGGTTAACGACAACATGTTTATCGCTCCTATGCGACTCCGTGCTCATACTACGCTCACGGTAGATACGCTGTTCGGGACTCTCCGGAGCAATAGGATTCTCCTCAGCCTCGCCGAGCTCCAGATCCGGAATATCATCCTCTGAGACGCCCTTCTTGTGGTGGCCACCACGGGTGGTCTTATCGAGCTCATCGACCACCACATCCTGTGCGTCAATAAGACTCTCCCTCGCCTCTTCGAGGCGATGTTCCTCTTCGTCCTCGGCGGGGTCGTAGTGCGGGGCGTAAGGAGTCTTTGGCTCGTCGATCTTCATTTTCGCAGTGCGCTCCTGCTCGGTCAGGTACAGGTTTGCTTCATCCCACTTCAGGCGGGGCTCGTTCTCGTCGTGTTGGCTGGCGAGAGACTGTCTGCGCGAGGAAGAGCCTGGTTGGGCGGCAGACGAGGAGCGGCGTCGGCCCGCGTTCACCAGGGTGTTTTGGAGAGTGAGTTCCTTGGTGTCTTCGGGTTCGCCGATGGGGGGAATGGCAGGTGGTGTAGCAGCCGGGGCAGAGATGGGAGCAGCCTGGAAAGATCTACTATTCTTCAGGATACCTATATCGCAAAAGAGACGGTGTTGATTAGCGTTTCAGGTTTCGAGAAAACGAGTCCTCCGCTGGAGCTGGGTTCAAGTCGGAAAACGCACCTCTAGGCCGTGGGTGCACATCATCGCTGCTGTGTGCCTTTGACGGCAAATGCGGTGCAGTCGTCATGGTGGGTGGTTGGTAGTCCAAGGACGAAGACACCGTCCGATTTTCAAGTCAACTTCTTCGGAGGGGTAACTGTGGTGGGCTGACAGTCGGCTTTGTCAGACGAGGCTCAGCAGTTCAGCTGAAATAATTTGCAAGGTCACTGAGCAAAGGAGTTAAGGCTGGGTGGCGTGTTCAGAGAAGAACGTGAGGAATGAGGCATATATCAGCCGCGAATATGAAAGTCAGCTGCGAGGTTGCGAAGGTGCAAAGGTGAGGCACGTGGGGCCTGATGACGTCGGGCTTGGCGCCTGACGTCTTCGGCAGAAACGGGCTTCTCTAGACTCTCGCTTGGCGATCCCACGGGAATCGCCCGGATATTTCCATGGTTAGGCGGTTGGGCTTTATTTTGTGATTGATTTGCCGACGGAAGTATTGGACAGAGTTTAGGCAATGTCCAAGTTGGTATATTCTGGAGGGTGGTTCATTTACTCGGAATATGTTGGACTGTGAACGGAATATATAACGCTCGGACAGACGTCAATGTTTCAGAATTGATAATATTTCCTGTATAAAGTATCGAATTTCATAGAATTCTCAGACCACAGACCCCCAAGCTTAGCCAAGCAATGGCAAAAATAACAGGCCTCTCCCAGTCTTTCAATGCAAACAGGAAAATCAAAAATAAAAACGCCATAATACTCCCACCTACAATAGCCCTAGAATAAACGAAGAGGATTGCGTCCCAAAAGATGATTCTCCTCTAACACCAGATCAATCGCCCAAAAATAGGGGGGTATCTGTATATGCAAATAAAATCCAAGGCCTGCCTCGTATAGCCACAAGAATAAAAAAAGGGGTACGACGATATTGAAAAAAAAACGAATGGGTATGGAAAGAAATGGGAAAAAAGAAAGGATCAAGCGATGGAATCAAATTCCTCACGCTCACGGAGACGATTACGTGCAAGCATGTCGCCTCCGTTGGCTGACAGCTGCATCCAGTGTAGTGCCAAGCACATACTCTGCGGATCAGACTTGGAGTCCTTGCCACGGCGGTACATCATCTCAGCCTTGAAAGTATCGCGAGGCCGAGTGAGTGGGAGTGTAACGCGCTGAAGACGTTCGGGATGGGTGAGATAGAGAATGGCCAGCTCGCGCTGCGCAACTGGATTGCCCTCTTTGGCAGTGATGATCCACATCGCTGCTGCATCTTCAATGGCATGGCCGGTTCGCGGGTAAAAGTCCGCCCCTGGATGTCGGCGCAGAAGCTCTTGGGAGACGATGCGGTCTGCGATCTCGACCATGCTGTGGCATACTTCATCCTTGAGACTTAGGGCTGCAAGTCCGAATTGGAGGAAGGCAGTTCCACGATCGGATTTGTTGAGTTGCTCGCCAGGCACAAACGCGGAGATGAACTGCAGGTCCCGGAAGAGCGTCTTGGGCTTGAATTCTAGGATCAGATCTCGCAGGGTAGCCACGATCTGGTCTTCCGATGGTGTTGAGTAGTCGGAGCGTCTTGAGCCACAGGTGACTGACTCGGGTGGAGTCATTGAGGGGAAAGCAGCACCTGTCTGAGGCATCGTGGGTGCATGAGCCGCGGAGAAGCTTTGTCGAGTAGCCCGTGATCGAGAACCATTGGGGCGCTCTCGTTCACCTTCAGACATTGAGCTAGCAGTGAGTCCCGATGCATTGCTATCATTCGAAGACATCAGCGACGCAATTACCAATGATCTCAAGTCTCTCAAAGCGTTGAGCTTGACGAACGGGTTCCCATGGCGAGAGAAGACTTCAAGCAGTCGGTGGAAAACTGCCTTGTATGAGAAGGCAGACGAGTCATCGTCGTCGCACGTTTCTTGCATTAGATTCGATGTATCCGTCTGCGAGTCCTTTCGAGAGCGTCCACTACGGTTGTCGAGAGACCTGCTCCGTCGACCCCCTGATGACCGACGCTCCTCACGAAGATGCTTTGATCGCTCCTCATAGTCGGAGTAGAACCTCCGGACTGCAGCATGCCGCTGCATCTGGATTTGAATGCGGGGTTGATCAAGGTAGCTCGAGAACCAGGCGTCTGTTTCACTACCACAACTCCACACGGGAGACCCCAAGTCGCTCAAGAGCAAGCTAGTAAGCGTCTGCCTCAGCTCATCCATGAAAACGGTCTTTGCATGCGTTTTACGTTCAGTACGACGAGGTTGACGCGTAGCACCTTCGCTGAACATGGATGGAGGCCGCGAGTAGGCAGTAGAGACACTACCAGCATACATCGGATGGCGTTGCGACGCGGACCAGAAAGTGCTATAGGTATCACTGGTTGACGTCGAAGCAGCGCGACCGGGCGATCCACCGATGGAAGAAACATCGATAGAGGGTAGATCACGGGTGGCCCGGTATTTGTCTGAAATTAGACTCTGGATAGACGGCTTGCTTCCCAAAGAAGACCCCAAATCCTGAGGAAGACGAGAAAGCGGATCAGGTACGGGGAGACTAGCACCATGAAGTTGAGAAGCGTGCAAGGGATCCTCGCTCGCATTCGTAGAAGGTCGAGGGGTCGTAGGCATTGATAGACCCGGGAAAGCTCGAGAGCCATAACCCTCGTACCTCGAGCGCTCCATCTGAAACAATTCACTTGCCCAGAGCACCGGGGTTTCTGCCATCGTTTCCCCCACTAGCCGGTTAATGCTGGTTCGCACTTCATAGCAAAACCGATGAATTCGCTCCTCGCCCTTGCAGAAGTTCTCGATCCCGCTGTGGTCCAGCCACTTGCGAGTCAATTCTACCTGCTCATCGGACATTTTCCTAGGGCCACCCTGGCTGCTAGGTGCTTTCATCATGTTCATGACCTGTAGCTCGGGCTTTTGGAACAGGGAAGCCCCTAGTGAGCGAGCTCCGGATCGAGACCGTGATTCGTCGGGCATCTCGGTATTGTAGAGCCGGGCAGAGGCAATCATTGTGAGAGCCATGGTCACATGTCGGGCTTCCTCGTACCTCATGGAATTCTTCACGTCGGTCATGTACCACATCTTGGTGCGAACCTTGGATACAGTGGCCATGAGCGCCTTGACCTGCGTCTGGAGCCGGCGGAGGCTTTGATCCAAAGAGACAAAGTCACTTTCGCATCGCTCAATGACAGCCGTCGAGTGTTCCAGTGAACGAGTGCAGGATCTGTGCATGGGACCTAGGATCCATGTATCGCCGGGGGAGGCGGCTGAGTGTGTTCCTTGTCGTAGCTGTCGGGAGGCATTCCACCAGTAGTGCGCACCCACAAAGTCGGAATCGTTCTGAGAGGAAGCCATGGCCTGGTTGAATTGTTGTTTCAGTGACATGGGGGTCAGCTGCAGACTTCTGGGTTGGCGATCAAAGTCGTCCGAATCATAGACATGGCTCTCTTTGACAAGACGAATGATCGCGGTTTGTAGTGCCTCGTGGTTCTCCTCCAGGCCCAGACCGGTGGAATGTGTGTCATCTTCGCTATCCATAGTAGAGGCTTTTGAAGGTTCATTAGTCTGGTGTGCGAGTAGACTACACGTGAGACCTTGACCGTCATTCGCAACAGAGAATACTGTCCAGTGCTCCTCAGAAGGGTGCTCTAGTCTGGCTCGTTCACTTGGTTCATCTAGATCGCTCAGCTCGAAGCGAATCCTCGCAGCGGTTTGAACGACCCCTTCAAGACTGGAGACGTGCGAAGAGGCCACGGAGAAGATGGAGCCACTTTGTGATGTCGGCCGAGGACTCAATTCAGGGTTCGGTCGGAAGAAACCAGGTTCCATAGGCGGCTCAGGACGCAAGTTGTACGACGGAGAAAGACCAGATGACCAGGATGGCACGCCAGCGGAAGCCGGCGATGAATGCACCGGAGTACAGATCTGCGGGAAAAGAGCGTCTAATAAGGTGAGAATATCCGTCGACGACAGTAGAAGAAAGTTTGACGTAGAGTCACGGCGGATTGTATGATCGACTTGTGCGGATGGCTCATTTGTAGGCTCGAAAGGGACAGTACTCTGGAATCGGGAAAGCATATTGTCAACATGCATTTTGACTGACGGACGAAGATTCGAAAAGTGATGCCTAGGAAAATGGTAAGCAAGACTCAACGCCTAAGCAGTAGCATATCAAAGCAAACGCACATGGATCGCAGGACAGCAAAAACTTGAGAGTAGGCGCGTAGCCCAACCTGACCAAGCAGCTTCTCACGAGCATCTTTCCGGATATGAAAATCTAGCAACAAACCGTGTGTCTAAAAGCCAAGTTGGTCAATCAGTATTTAAACCAGCGAAGGTGAACACATACCTCAGGATACGTCAAAGCGCTATAGAGGAACTTGGGGAAGAACCACTGTACGAAAAGATATTCGAGAAAACGACTGCGACTGTCAGGAGATTCCATTTTCCGAAGAACAGCCTTGGCAAATTGCAAGACTGCACGAGGGAATCCACCATCGGGATCGTCGAGGACACGGAAAAGGTTATCCACGGCAGAAGCAAAGAACTCCTCAGCAACGTCCGTCCGTAAGGGATCCAAGGCTTCAGGGGCGAAATCCAATCCGGCAGGGCTATCTATATGTTCCAAGAGAAACGCTCCAGTTTGTAGGATATCCATCAGGTAGAGCTCAAATTTGGGGCGGGCTTTCCAATTGCAGCCCGTAGCCCAGGAGGAAAGAATCTGGCCAATAAGAGGATAAAATTTACTGCTGCCGTGGGAAATTAGTTGGGCGCAGACGGTCGACCATGTATCCAGACGTAACCTCGCCTCGGGAGATTCGGGATCCAGTGGTGAGGCAAACACGTTACAAAGCAAGATTGTCAATGGATCGGTCCTTTCAAAGGTATACGCATGATTCTTGAAGGAAGAAAATTGGGCCGGGTTTCGATTATAAGCATACTGGCCGCGGAGCCGGGATGAAGAGGAAGCAAAAGCAGGGTCTCCGGATTCCAATATGGTGGCCGGGGAGGTGAATGTGGCCAGTTGAGCAGATGTAAAGCTGCGAAGTCGGTCAACCAAGAACTGCGGATCAGAACGAACCATTCGCAAAATTTCCAATAAGTCCGTCCGGGATTGAGGGCTGAGTTGGTGGAAGAAATCAGATGAACGGTCCAATTCGGATTCTGCGAATGGCTCGCGTTCGTCCGATAGGTCCTGATGCTCATCGTGGCGAGCGCTGGAAACACAGGATTCCTGAAGGTCAAAAAGCGTATGATAGAGGGCAACGAAACTGGCCTTGTCATCATGTTTGAGAGCTTCGACTAGACCGCGCTGGACCGTGTTCCCAACGCGGATCATACGCGCAGAGATTCCGATGGATACCTTGGTCGCGCGTAGGCGCTGTTCCAGACGCTTCCTTTGGACCCGTTTGCGCTGGCTTTGGCGATAGCGCGTGGCAAAATCCTCGAATGAAACCTGGGGCGCATCTTCGACCTCCGGAGGAGGAAGAGGAGCGGACATGGCGAAAGCCGTGGTTGGGCGCATAGATTCAGGCCGAGGGGAATCGGCCATTCTTAACTTGGGACTGGACCGGGCCGAGCCACCCAACTCACCTGGCCCCACGGTTGGGTCCGCTTCCGTTGGAAAGATGGTCGCTGAAGGTGATGCAGCAGGGGAAGGGGGTAGAGGTATTGATGCGGGATCAGCCCGATGCAATAGATCATCATAAGGTGGATCAGTCTGGAGAGGGGGCATCCGCACGGCTGGGAGAATAGGAGAAAGAGAGCAGATCAGATTGGGAAGCCAAGAGTCAAGTAGTCAGGCACCGACGGCGCATTTCGCGGAGAAACGGTGGCGGGTAGTTTCTCCACCCCACGAAATCGCCGTCTCAAGATGGGAAAATGATTGGGGGCAAAAATGTATAGAATGGGGGGGGGGGGGGGGGGGGGAAGTTGAAGAATCACTCACTAATTGCTGAAGCCAGCGATGAGGATAAATAATCCTCTTGGTGGTAGTCCAGCATCTCGGGTTGGGTCGCGCCAGCGGGCGGAGGAGTGCACAGTCGCGAGATGCCCCTGGCCGCGGTGGGCGGATCCTTATCGCATGGTTCTATCGCGGGGCAACCAACTGGCCGGGGCTCATGGGAGAGACGACGCACCCGGTCGGAGGGGATAAACGGATGATCGATGGGTTCCAGGATGGAATCTCGCGACGGAGGAGAAGGGGAGAAAGTGTAAAGAGCGAGGATGATCAAAGGGAGAATGGCCGAGAGCGAGAGGGAGAGGGAGGCAAGAGAGAGAGAGAGAGAGAGGAGGGGTGAAGAGTATAGAAAGGAAGGGGAGGAAAATCACGCGGAAAAAGAGTGATTCTGCTGCAAGTACGAAACAGCAAGCGACTCGAAGCGGACTGATGCAGACGGTTTGTCTCGGAGAGTACCTGTCTATAATCTGGGCCAAGGAGATTTCCGCTGCAACAGTGTTAGTCAAGTCCAGACAAGAGGGAAAGTCGAAGTGTCTAGCTGTTGGCCGCGAGTTCCGAGTACACGGGCACGATGCGCTGGCACTGCATGCAGGAATGAGGTGGACAGACGAGCCCGCCACGATGATTCGCCCGCCGCCCTCCTTTGGCCTCTGCGGAGTCAGCGTCTTGTTGGCTGGCCTGTCGGGGCTGGAGCCAATCGTTGGCCGCGCGGGTGTTGGATGTGTGTCAAGAAAAGGACTGCAGGCGAGAGAAAAGCATGCTGAAAGTCTCGCTGCGTGCAGAGAGTAGCTGTGCGGTGGAGAAGGGAGGGGGCAAAAGTAACTCGTTGGTAGTCAGTAGTCGTGTCGATGCGGGTTGATACGCCCCTCGCCAACCAGACCAGATAGAGTTGGACAAAAGTAATTAAACACTTTAAGCAGATAATAAAATAAGCAAACAGACTGTCGGTGTAAATCGTTATAGTATCTTTTCCTTCGGGGGATTTCTCAACCAAACGTTTCATCATGAGCGCTTCTACTACTTTCCTCTGTATACTTCGCCTGGGAGATGCCACACTAGCATAGTGGACTGCCCCTACCGACCATAATATCCCTGGCCTCCTGCACAATCTACACGGGTAGCCAGTCAGGATGAGTCAACTCGCAGGGAATACAAGGCTTCAAAACCCTGGTCATACACGTCGCGCTGCATCTACTCAGGGCCACGGCAGTCATCCTGATGAACGCTGTCATTGGCCCGAGGCTCACTACCAAAGTAGCAACATGGCACCTAGACCCGCCAGCGATGCGATGCGATACATAAAAAAAGATACTTGCAAAGAAATCCCATTCGAGGAAGACATACTCACATTTTCACCGAAAAAAAAGAGAGCCAGTAATCTGGATAAAATGACAATGCTAAAATGTTACTCATCGTAGCCCTCACAATGCGGATTTCCCTCTTGAATCCAACAGAAAACGCCCGTCATAATGCATACAGTGTCCACGCCATAATCCGAAAAAAAATATCATGTCAAGAGAAGACAAGAGCCGAGGTAACGGGTACACTTTAGCGCCAGACCCATTTCTTATCCGTCTCTTTCTGGCCCACACGTACAGCGTACTGGTCCAGGGTAGCCTTGATGGTTTCCTTGGTGACCTTCGGGAACCTAAATGCAACGTCAGTACAAGCACAGAAATCGAACCTTTGAGGGGCGTTAACATACCTTTTCTTTAGAATCTCGACGGTCCCGATCTTATTCAGATCACTAGCCTCGACTGCCTGTTTGAACTCATCGAGTTGGTCCGGTGGGAACTGTCGCTTGGCCTTGGTCGTTGCGGGTGGTCGAGCACTGCCGACTGCGGGCGCGCCCGGTGTAGTAGAAACCCGGAAAACATCCAGAGTGCTGTTGCCAGCAGGCGCGATGCGTGGCTGAGGGGGCGCTGGCTCCACAGGCTTTGGCTTCTCCCAGTAGGCCGTTGAAAACGGATCGATGGGGAACTTGACGACATCGGAGATGGTCTCGACTTGGTATGCCTTCATCTCGGGATCCACGCCATCCGCAGCCCAGCGAAGACCGCTGGAGACAGGTTCGAGATCACCCACGATGAGGCGTCGTTTGCCGGCGAGCAGAGCATCGTCCTCGTCATCGAGGAACCCGTCCATGTCATCCTCGCCATCCTCGCTGCCCTCTTCATCTTCCTCCGAGTCTAGATCCTCACCCTCCTCAGGCTCCTCCCACTCGGCCTCGGAATCATAATCATAATTAATGTCCGGCAAGCCTCGGTAGTAAGGGTTCCGTGCAAGCTTCTTCGCCGATGCCGCAGGCACGGAGCGTGAGAACGTGCCCTGATATGGAGGGCGCACGTCCTCACCGAACCGGAGGGTCTTCATAGGGATCTGGCGGAGGATGTCGCGGGCATCCTCCGCAGCCTTGGTCTGGTCTTTACCGTCAAGATCCATTAAGGAGTCGTCACTGACGTTCTGGATCCTCAACAAAATCTCTTTCACAGACTGCCTAGGTCGGCCACAGCGTCGATGGAACGGAATGATATGGAAGATTTCTGATGGGCGGAAAGGTAGGTGTTCGTGAGAATTCGTATGGCTGGCATCCAAAGAAGAATCTAATTTTTGGCGAACGTGTTTGAGCGCCTCGGGATCGCGATCGAATCGATGACAAGGTGCAAGCCTGGTGTGTGACTGGAGGAAAAATTCGGGGAAGGTCTTCTCGTAGTCGGACTTGGTTGACTTTGGAGAATGTGTGAGGTGAAGTTCTGAGGTGGCAGGTGCTGGCTTCTTAGGAGAGGTAGAGTTTCCAGGTGTAGATTTGGTAGTTGTGGAAGGTAATGGCGGTTTCGCAAAGAAAGAGTTCAACTTGGGTTGAGCCTAGAATGAGGAGTTAGTAAAATTGTCCCGGAGTACTTGTCAAGGCCTTCAGTAGGACATACCCTCTCCTTCTTCAACTTCTCTTCCTCCTTACGCTTTTTCTCTTCTTCCTTCGCAGCCTCTTTAGCGGCTTTTTCCTCGTCTTTAGCTTTCTTCTTTTCTTCACGCTCTGCCTCGCGCTTCTTTTTCTCTTCCTCCTTTAGCCGCTTCTCTTCTTCTCGCTCCTCATCCCGCTTCTTCTTTTCCTCTGCCTTTAAGCGCTTCTCTTCCTCCTTTTTGGCCTTTTCTTCCAGCCTTTGGCGTTCGCGAGCTTCCTTTTCTTGCTGTTTCGCGTCCTGGCTGGCAGGAGACAGCTTCCGCTTCTTCGCAGCTGGCGTGGACGCTGAATCGGATTTCGCTGGTGAGAATGAAAATGGCTGTTGAACGGGCTTGGCTTCCACAGAAGAGATACAGCTAGGGGTCGTTGCTTTGGATCCAGACATTATAACTAAATCCTCACTCCTCACAGTAATTTCGACAGTCGGGACGGGAGGTAGGGTGAAGGGTTGCTCTTGCGGTTTGGTGATCCCCTTGGAGGGAACTATGAGGGCAGGGTCCTGATTTTCTTGGTTTTCGGTGCCGCAAGTAATGAAAGGCCGCTTCTGCTCCGATGATGACAGGCCAGGATCCTCAATTTCGTGAATCGTCCTTTTTCCAGGGCTTGAAGAAGGCGATGCCGCGAGGGGAGATTGCTGAGGCAGGGGCGATAGACTCATTCCCGGATCCATCGAGGCAGGTGCGGGCGAAGTGACGCGGTTGTCGTTTAAGGCTGGGACGACACGAGACCAACAATTTCCTTGGATGCCGAATTGACAGACATCAATAGAAACAGCAGTGTGTATAGTAGTCGAAGAGCCGTATATTCGAGCGAGGTGTTCTTTCCCAATGCCCACAATTCTTGGAGGGTCGTAATCGGCTGGCTTGGAAGGGGAGAACTGTGGGTTGTCAGGACGCGTTAATGGGGTTTCGCGCAGCGCGTCCGATAAGGCACGTGTCCCGTTATGTAATGCCACTGCTCCCAGGTAACTATCCTAAGGTTCATAGACTATAAGGGCTGTATTTAATATGAGCTAGATTCAATTGACGAGATTTGGTGATCTATTCTAGAGAAAATTTATCTTTTCAAGGCATCATTACCAGGAAACTCTGGAAAGAACATGAGTCTACAGTCTTAACATATGGCTCGAGGCCAGCATAGAAATCACCCAACCAAGCGTTGATAAGGCTATCAAGAAGATGAGTCCATTACAACAACTTCAGGAGGTTGAACGTAATGTTACAATTAATATGTTTGTTCAGATTTGAGAGCTATACGACAAAATAAGGCCGGGGCAAGCCCGGATGCAGGAGTGAGAAGAGCGCACAGGAGCCAAAATTCAATCCAAATGATTCCTCGGCTTTGCAGGAATCGCAAAGAGAACAGGAGTAACGGAGCTAACGGAAACGGAAAAAATATCAGGGGATATTGACAGAAACTGTGGCACGAAAGGACAGTCATCAAGACTGTCGAGCGCAACACCAAGCACGGAGATTTAGTAGGAGAGGTATTATGTGCAGCGGTGTAAGCGATCATAAGAAAAGCAACCCACGAAGAGAGATCATAAGAAAAAGGCAGAAAATAAGAAAAGGGCAAGAGAGCAGGCGCTGCGTGAATAGAAAGAGAGGTAGAGGGGGCGGATTCCCCGAGGATAGACCTTTAATCGCTAAGGTCTGGGTTTGCGACGAATAATCGCACATTGGTCATTGATGTAGTGCGATCATCTACACTGCCTCGTCGCCGTAGGTCATCTGCCTTTTTGGCTTTCTGGGCAGCAGTTATGACTGCACTGGGGGCTTCCATGTCTGGTACGAAGTCTTCTTGCTCGCTACTATTCGTCGTGTGTGTTGTAGCGGCATCATCCTTGAGTGATGACAGGCGGCTCTTCTCCTCTTCGTGTTTCTCGGCGGGTGTGTTCTCAGAAACACCAGGGAGATCAGACTTTTCATTCGGAGGTGTGCTGTTGCTTCCCATGGTGCCCTGCTGGCGCTGATAACCACTAGGGTATCGGTTGCTTCCCAGAGAGCTGCGGCCACTGCCAGTCCTCCTGTGCATCCCTCGTTCCTCGTTGCTGCGGGCATCATCGTCATCCTCGCCAATCTCATTGGCACTCAGGCGAACCGGCACCTTGGCACCAACCAGGTTTGACGGGGAAAAGTCCATTCCAGCCTTCATTCCGTGTCGAATCTTGCCACTTGCGATGGTCGATGAGCGTCCGGCGCCATGAACCTCGAGGTACGCCCTCTTCTTATCCCGCAGGGCCTGTTCCCGCATGCGGGCGTCCTCGGGCTGTGCTCGGTCACACCAGACCGTCGCCTTCTGTCGTCGCATGAGGGCGACGTATCCAAGTTGCGAGCCGCCCGAGCGGTTCGAAGCGCTGCGTCGGATATCCGGTCCTCCTTGGGCCATTTGGCCGGTGGAGTTGGTCGAGGTGGTTGTGCTGGACATGCGGCGAGACGAAGGGAACCCGACGGGAGGGGCCATTGTATGCGGCGAGACTGCAGAGCCAGGAACACCTTGGTATTGTTGTTGGGAATTTGAGGCGTGGGCGGGGAGCACGTGGGAAGAAGTAGTGCGAGTGCGACTGTGGGCGGTTTGTGGGTAGGCGGAGTGAGGCGCGAGGTTGCGAGGGGCATCATAGGCCTGGTAAGGGTAGCCAGCCTGTTGGTTGGGCATCGGTTTGCGGGCTGGAGGTCCCTGATGCATGGGCATGCGGAATTCGGTAGTCATGTTGGGCGGCGGCTGGGAACTACCCATGCAACACTTCGCTTACGACCGGCGTGGCGGAGGGGGTTGATGGAAGACGAGGTCTGCTCGACTAGCGGCAGGATTCTGTTGACAGCTCGCAAAGGAGATCGCTGCGTCCGGTTATAAGTCGCAGGCCCCTATGAAGCCCGAAGACGTGCTCTGCGATTTGCGATGCGCGGCTGACGGGTAAAAGGGATCGGCGGTTTCAGCGCCTACCACAAGGGTGCAACGGGTCCGTGATGGGGATCTTTTTGAAGCGGGGAGGTTGATGATTCGAGGGAAAAGCGTTTCAAATGTCTCGTTGTGCCAGTCAATGGAAAGCTCGACCGATGCTTTTCAACTCTAGCTTAGCGGGAAGGGGGGGGTTATCGAGACCAAATCCTTGTGGAAGAAATGGAATGTGGACGCTCGTTTCAAGGCGCACGTTCGGTCCTTGTGGGAGATGCAATTGATTGAGTATGTGTGCTGAAGAAAATGAAACTCGTCCGAGGGGGAGCGAAAGAAGACAGCGTGTTGAGGGGAAAGAGATGAGGGAGGAGTAGGGAGAGGGGAGCACCAAGAAAGCGTCAGAGGAGACTAAAGCGACTAAGAGACTAAGAGACTTTGGCGGTTCGCCCAGCAGCAGTGATGATTGGACGTGGCGGAAGCGGACGGACCTGAAAATGTACTCGTCCACCAACTTTGCATGGTGGAGTACCTTTTTTTCCCACTCTTCCACTTTTTCCAAGGACTACCAGGGACTACCAAGGGCTAACGGGAGACTAACGAGCGCAACGCAGTAAAATTCCCTGAAATCCCATGTATTTCCTTGAACCTGGTGCTCCGAACCACTCAGCCACACGGGATGGGGTCGAAGTTACGAGTATTACGCTTACAGATAACGGTACAGTACCACTTTGCTTACAGAATTTAGGCAGTCAACCATTGCAACGTTACAGTTCAAGTCCGTCGATGATACTGCTACTGTGGCTGATTATGTATCTCTTAGCTGGTGATAGGATCAGCCTTGTTCTACAGGCTGAGACATCAGACGATCTCCCTTTTTGGCCTAATAATTCTAGTGCTTACCATTCGGCAGGTCATAGTATAAATGAGGAAGTACTTTATGTATCTGCAGTACAGATTAATAGACAAGCTCTCTACAAATTGGCTGGACGCCGAGTACGCGAGTGCATAAATGCAACGTGCCCATACTCGCGATACCCTTGGTTGTGCTCCCGCAGAATCACCACCCGTTGACGGAAGTGGTTCGTATGATGATACGCGTCATGCACTTCCACGCTCTCCCATCCCACATACACGATATAACACAACGATCCCTCCATCGGCTCCACCATCCATCCCCCGGTGACCCCGAGACATCCAGGTACCTCCCGCACGATCGTCGTCCATAGCGCCCACGTTGCTTCCCACCCGGCCGGGTCAGGGGTGAGATAGAAGGCCGTGCCCGTGACGGGCGCTCCGTTGCCCAGGCTCTTAGGCTGCGGTGTGAACTCGGACATCATCGCATGCCGCACGATTAGCGACGTGGCACTCGGGACGCCGAGCGCCGTCAGACTGGCTGTGAGCTGCTGCCATTCTGGTGAAGCTAGGAGAGCATAATGCTGGTGGAGCGAATCGCGGACTAAAACAAGCGAGAGTACGATGGTTATTTCCCGATCTTTGCGGTATTTTGTGCTCTTTTTGCTTTTTTCAACTTCGTATTTTCTCACATTTCTCGTATTCTGGCGTTTCTTTTCCAAGGTTCTGGATCTCTGGATCCGATCAACGGTTCTGTTCACTCACCGATATGTAGATGGACCTCGTCCGGCTTTTCCACGTGTCGTCCCCAGTACAGTCGGCGGAAGCCAGCCCAATTTTCTAGTACGTTTAGTATCTGCGACCAGACTGCACCAGCTGGTGTGGAAGGCGTGTCGATCTGGATCTCCTCCTTGATGGGGAGGATGATCATTTGTGTGGGGGCTGCCGCGCGCGCCATGTTGAGTATATTAAAAGTGGGTTTCTTGATAAACGGGGAGTTCTAGATCTTAGTTTGAGAGGTTACCAGCAAGGCTTGCAAGAAAAAGAACTACAAGCTCTTCTTATGTTCAGAATTTCTAGAAATATGAGTAGCAGCTCTAATTACCGAGGACCGATGTCCGCGGGTTGACCAGCTGTCGATAATGCGGGGTAGAGAGGTATATACCCCTGTCGATTAGATTTATGCATCCATAAGAGTGGTTCTTCATTTACTTCAGTGGAATAAAACCCACAAGGCTTGTCCTCTACCTAATTTCCCCTAATTACAAATTTTACGATAATGACAAAAACCCAGCGATAACCGCTCAGACCACCCGTTCCTTACTGTTTATCTATAGGGCTGATCACGCGATCAGAGCCTCATATGGAGGAATTACGGCTAATTTCTAAACAATATTGACATGGGTTCAGTCCATAGTATACATACTTGGAAATTGTTCGGAATTAGGCCGTCTTATCCAGCAGAGCTATCATACATGGAGAATCTGCCCTTGGCCACCTGATAGCCACTTGTCTTCTGAAGGTTGGGTGGGAAACTTGCAAAGAGATCATCCTCACATGACCAGACAGTTTGAAGGCGCATTCCCCTTTTCTGAATTCTCAAGAAGAAAATGCAAACCCGTAGTTATCTGGCTCATATCAACGGATCCCCCCTTGGCCCCATCAGATATCGTAGCTCGCAGCTTGACAATGCGAGCCCGAATATTCCGATTCGCAACTTTATCCGCATGATATACCAACTGCCGCTCCACAGTGTCAAGTTCAAACCCATAAAACTCATAAATATCATCCGGATCCTCAGTCTTGCTCTCCCGAATCCGAATTTGCACTCGCAAGAGGTCTACCAGGGTCCGTACAGCAAGCCACTGGTGTGCATCAAAGCCATTCTGTTCCTGCAACCAGTCCGAACAGAGGGATTGAATCTCGCTCGTTTGGAGAAAATCTCTAGTTGTCCGATGCATATAGTGTACACGAGAGTGCAACGAGTAGAGCTGTTTATTTGAGAATGACCAGGAACCTTCTGGCCGCATGAGATCTGGATCGTCATTTTCGTGATTCCCGTGATTGCTACCAGAGATACGCATTTCCAATAGCCCGGCGCATTGACTCATCAGTCGTAAATGCACCTGATAACAACGGGCAAGCTTGATGTCATCGGTGAGTCTTTCCATTGGGTTGGTTACTTCTTCCCCGGAATGCCAGAGCGCAAGGGCCAATGGCGGCTCGGTTGCCGCGTGCACGATGGCGAAGATCCGGGCAGAGCGAATTCGGTACCGCTGGGGGATACGAAGCAACATATGTCGATAGAGACGCTCAAGATCTGCAGGCAGCTCGTCGAGATGAGCTTGAAGGTCTGAAAGTTGATCGCCGTTTTGAGAACCTCGGATGATAGCTTTGACCACGAGACGAACCCAGAGGAACACGCCATCCGATTTTCGCACAATCTTGATACCAAAGTCGTGCATACGTTCTGGATGGGCCTGGAGAAAGCTTTGAAATATGTCTGACCGGTTGAAAGAATCGAAAACGAACAACTTGATATCGCTGTAGGTAAGGTTCTGGAGTAATAGAGTAGGGTAGCGGTGGTTGCCAAAATGTCTCTCGAAAATGGTCCAGGGTCGTGATGAGATGCAAATCTTGACTTTGGGATTGGTGCTGTTCTTCAAAAGCTCGATCAAATGTTCCAATTCATCCTCCGTTGCTTCATATTCATCGAGGCCATCAATCATTAGGAAGAATTTAACCGGAAGGTCTTCCTGGGAGAGAACAGCACCCAAGGCTTGGAGTAGACGGGGTACATCCCAGTTCAAGCTCAATCGTTGATGGGCCTCGGTGAGATATTTGCGAGTAGAAGTAGGAGGTAGCTTCGGCCGGTCTGGGCTTTTCCGCCTCCTAGCCAAATCCTGCATGACGACTTCGTTGAGTACGGAGCGAACCTGTTCTCGTTCCTCAGTGCAGGCGATATTGATGAGATCCTTGCATTCCTTGAATAGCTGATAGAGAACCGTCCGGAGGAGGCCAACTAGTGATCTTTGATTCTGTGATCCTCCCGACCAGAAGAAGAACCCAGCTATGGCCCATTGGCATGAGCTATCAGAGGCGGACAATATCTGCCGCAGCGCGGGATTCTCGAACAAGTATTTCATCAATGTTGACTTGCCGGATCCCGCCTTTCCGTTGATCCAGTAGACTCCCCCTTCTGTGCTCATCCAGTCCACGAACCCCGGGCCAGGCTTTGTGAAGATCCAATCAAAGGTGCTCTTGTGCGCATCAATCAGACTTTGATGTGCTCTGGAGATTCTGGAATACCGTTCATCCATCAACTCAAATCGTAGAGACTCCAGGAGGTAAGTCTCGGTCAGCATGTTCATGGTGGTTTCGCTAGGGCCAGCCAGAAGTGGCTGTTGTATCTGGGCATCTGTATGCTTCTCAGTACGGTGAGCCGGAATTGTCAAAAGCAACTCTTTCGCATAAGCAGCCGCAGATACTGCTGCGTAGCCTTGCCAGCCATCGTTCTTATGCGAATCAGCATAGTCTGAAATTCCTCGGATAACAAGGCAGGCAAATGTATCCATCAGTCCAGCCGCCTCCATCTCGAAGCAGATGATCCTGTGCTCTTTAGCTAGACGATCACGCGTCTGCCCGTGTTTGATGACTTGGTTTCCAGAGGCAATATTCCCGTAGAGTACTTTTGGTTGATGGTGAATCCGTGCAGCTCTACTCTTGACCTTATTCAAATCACAGCCACATTCTTCGCAAGTTCGGCCCAAGATGCGATGTTCATATTCGGATTCAAATAAACGGTCCAACCCTGCCCTGGGAGGAGAAAAGTCCGAGCTTTTATTCGGGTATTTTCTGGCTGCCTCCATGATATACTGAGATATCTTGTCTCCTTGCAAATCATGAGTCGATTGAAGGCGATGAACTGCACCGAGAAGCTTCGGGGCTGGCTTGTTGACGGTGCCAGTTGGGCAAAATTTGCCTTCTTTGATGGTCTTCCCAAAGTCATACTGCACAACTCCTCCGTGCCCGTCGCTGGGGACACTGACAACGACATCACCTAGGCGAATATCATGCTGCTCGCTTGGTACTCCGCCACCGATACCAATCATGAAACTGAAGTTGATAGAGGGAAACGTTCGAATAATGTCCTTGGCGACGTTTGCCGCGGAGGTTGTACCTGGCACTCCTTTGGGTAAACAAGCCAGAACGACGTTATGAGATCCTACCCGCCCGTAGATATATGCGTTGTCGTCCTGAGCCGGGATCGGAGTTTCTGCATGCTCTTCATCCAGCATGGCTCGCGCAGCGCTGAGCTCGCATGATAGAGCGCATATCCATGCGACGGTATAGTCTTGCAACCGTAACCCGTTCATGATTGTCTATGTGGCTTTTGATAGGGTGATATCGGACTTGAAGAGATGAACCATGGTACAAAAAGGCTCTAGCTTGCTATGGCAAACCCTTGAAGCGTGTCTCAACACCTATGCATGCATATCGGTGTGAACAGCCTGAACGTAATCAGGTGGTTGGGGGCGGGGGCGTGAGGCTGAAGTGGCTTTGCCGATGCCTTGGAGGTACGCGTGGTAACGCAACTAGTCAACGATCTAGATAGTAAGGTTATCTCCCTCGAGTTCTTCAATCGATCTTGATATCGTTTCTCATGGGTGAAATTGTCCGAAATATCATTCAACCCTTTTTTTATAATCATATTCTGCTGGAAGCTACCGTAGATATGGTGTTTGATTAGTCCAGGTACCCCTCTGCCATGTTACACCCTCGAGTCTGCAATTCTGAATTTCAAATTAGAACTATGACTATTTCACAATTGAATAATTCTCGTTAATTTTGCATTATACAAGGCATAAGTAGTGCGATTCACCATCAAGACTACTGGTTGGTCAGATAGAAACACCTTCACGAACAAGGCTCTCTGATCACTCTGATAGCTCTGTATGTTGAATTCAATGGCTACTGCTATTTCATTCTGACATTTTCGTCCGCCTCTATAATTAGGAAGACTTTACCGTTAAAACACTCGGTCGCATCCATCTTGTGCTAAAGTTTCTATCCAACCTTGATACTTCCATGTAGGGCTGAGACGTAATGTTACCATGTTACAAAACACAACAATACCGTACGGAATTACCTGCTGCGCCACAGCAACCGCACGTGGGGAGGTGGTACTCGGTGGAGTCCGGATACGGAAATTTGTTAGTCGTGACGTCAACGTGTTTCAGCATTTCCGATTTTCGTCGCAACCGAGCTGGAAACGTGTACCTGGTGACGTTCTGCAATTGAGGGTTCGGAAACGATGGTATGCGGATGGAAAGTGTAGCAAAGGCTACCGCAGGACGACGGAAAGGTAAAATCCTCAAAGAAACGCAAAATATATCCCGCAACCCGCAAGGCTACGCGAGAATTGTGTAGAGATGCATGTACATTAGAATAGTGGGGTGGGGACCCTCGAGAAAGATCGGAGATCTCCTATAGCAGACTGGGCGAAACATTCCATGGGTACACTGCAAAATGAACATTCCTAACCCACTGCGCATGTTTCACAACTTCACCCTCCTGTCCACAGATACTAGTGCGCCGTCTTCACGCACTTGGAAATCCTTATTAGGCTCCCATCCCATCCAAGATCGAAGCGTCTCCACCCCTCCCTCACCAGCCTCAAGTCCCCCGCCAGTCCACCCGCCCTCATCGGCCTTGATGGGATGGCCCGGCGTGCGGGATAAGTGGACGGCGGGACGTTGCTCATACCCCGCCGACTCCAGCTCGCTCTGTTCCAAGACAGGTGTGGCGCAGGCATCTGTGCCATCGAATACGGCCTCCCATTCGGCGCGTGTCTTTTCCTTAAAGCGACGAGTGAAAATGTCGCGCAGCGCGGGCCAACTGTCTCGGTCTTCGCGTGCTGGCAGGCTCTTCGGGTCGAGCTGTAGTCCGCGGAGTAGGGCTGCGTAGAATTGCGGCTCGAGTGCGCCGACGGCAAAGTATTTCCCAGAATCTTTAGTCTCGTAGGTATCGTAGTATGGACATCCGCTATCGAGTAGGTTTTCGCCGCGCGGTTCATTCCAGGAGGGGAGTTTCGTGGCTAGGCGAGGGAACGTTGCAAGGTAGGCGGATCCATCGACCATGTTGGCTTCTACGACTTGGCCGCGGCCGGTGCTGGTGCGAGCGATCAAGGCGAGAATGATACCCAAGAAACAAATAGCACCACCTCCAGCAAAATCACCGAGAATGTTACCTGGTGCGTAGGGTTTGTCTCCTGCGCGGCCAAGCATGGAGAGGACGCCCGATACGGCAATGTAGTTAATGTCGTGACCGGCCATATCTTTGTATTTCCCATCGCGCCTGAATCCCGTCATGCGCGCCACAATAAGACGCGGATTATGTTTGAGGAGAACTTCCGTTGGCGAGAGACCGAGACGTTCGAGAACGCCGGGACGGAAGGGGTCAATCAAAACATCGGTGGCGGTTAGGATGCGGAGAAGGATCTCTCGCGATTTCGCCTCGCGCAAGTCGAGGGTAATGGAAGTCTTATGACGAGTAAGTTGATCTGCGCTGACTGAGGATGGCCGGTCAATTCGAAGGACTGATGCGCCATAGTCGGCCAGAAGGAGACCGGCGAAAGGGCCTATAAAGACAGTCAATGTTGAATGCTCGGGGGTACGGCTGATCGAGGGTCTTACCTGGAGCTAGACCAGCTAGCTCGACAACTCGAATGCCATTCAAGGGCGGTGGAGCGGCCATTCTCTAATGATGAAGGTAGGGATGAAATGTTTACTTTCAATCGAATGCGAGATGGAATGAAGTTTAATTATGGAGATCAGATTAACTGGTGTCTCCGCAGCCGAGGTCCGTGGTAGTCATTGCCGTGTGCGGCGTGCGGGGAACCACGTGTGTACACAATTTGGATAACTCCATTAGTGACGACAGGAAAATCAAAGGCTCTACCTAGTGTAATTAATTATTGGGAAATACGAGATTCTGCATTAGATAAGTCTAAATCCCACTTCATGCATATGTGATGATTAGACACTACTCTTATGCTGTTTACTATTCTAAAGCTGTTCTCCCACTCCGCTAATTACTTTCGCCATGTCATCTTGAATAGGAAATACAATGTTGATTGGCTCAATGGGAGTATATAATCTAAGATTGATAGCTTGCACGCTTTTCATAAAATGACCAGAGTTTCTCCATATAATGATCAAAAATAATAGGCCATGTAGAAATAAATCACTCTACCGACTCTCACATGAGGTCAGGCTAGAGATCGAGGGCTGTCGAAGTAAATATAGTAACAATTAACATCATAAAAAAACATAGATAAAAACCGACAAGGTGAATTGTCGGATATGAACAAGATGCAGGACGCTTCAAAAGGTCAGTCCGCTATCAGGTTCAGAGAATGAAGACGCAAGATGCTAGGACGGTCATGAAGATGGCGATGAAGTTGGTAACTCCCGAACGAGAGGCAGTGCCAGTGTAGATGGGAGAGACTCCCTCTTGAGTGCTGCTAGCAGAGGATTGAGCCTGAGAGGCGGTACCAGTGGAATGGGCAGCGAAAGTCGGGGTTCGGCTGGGGGAGTAGGGGATGCTAGAAACCGATCCAATGGGCTTGGAAGAGGGGATGACAACGAGAGTGCCGGTGACGGTAGGCTTGGGGGAGCCACTGGAACCGGACCCTTCACCTTGTCCAGAAGCTCCCGTGCTTCCGGTAGGGGTTGCCGAGGGAGTATAAGGCACGGTCACAGTGACCGTCGAGCCGGTAGGACCACAGTGCTTGCAGAAGGTCACAGTGGTAGTCCAGGTCTCAGTCCAAGTCTCGCTACCCGCCGGGGACGAGGGAACGGGGGTAACCTCTGCCGTCGTGGTAGCAATGGGCTTGGTAAGAGTGACAGTGGTCGGGGTCGCAGCACAGTGAGTGCAGACGGTCACGGTAGTGGTCCAGCCCTCGGGGATGGAGGGAGTGGTAGTTGCCAGACCGGAAGAAGGACCAGTCACACTAGCAGTGGCTTCGGGGCAGACAGTGGTCGTGATAGTCGTCGTGATAGTGGTGAAACCAGTGGGGCAGATATCGGTATACGAGGTAACGATGATTGTCGTGGTCACATCAGGCTGGGTAGACGAGGGAGCAGGAGTGACCGAGGGAGAAGCACTGATGACGGAAGTGATCGTAGGGTATCCAGATCCAGTAGATCCAGAGGAGCCAGGAGTCTGAGAAGTGCTAGTAGCCTGGGAAGAGCTGGTAACCTGAGAGCTACCAGTGGCACCGACACCCGGAGAGCTTGACTGACCAGCGGGCTGAGTGCTGGTAGCCGAAGTCGACTCAGAAGAGGAGACCGAGGTTACAGACACGGAACTAGAAGTTGAAGGTGACTCGGACACGGCAACAGAGCTCGACATAGGGACTTGAGATGGGCTAGACACGGGTGACTGGGTAACGGGGGTGTGGCTGGGTCTGTGAGGGATAGAAGACGAGCTCGAGAGGGTGCTAGTGCTGCTAACGCTCTGGGAAGAGGCAATCACAGTTGGGACGGTCGAGCTAGAGGCCGAGGCACTTCCAGAAGGAGTAACAGAGTTGGAAGCTGGGCTGCTAGAGGAGGGGGAACTGGAAGGTCCAACGGGAACGATAGAGGCAGTCGACGACTGAGTTGGGATCAACGGGGTGCTTGAAGTCTTGGACACAGTACCGCTAGGGGTCACGACAGCACTGGAAGATGACAGCACAGGGGAGCTGGAGCTTCCGACGACAACACTGGAGGAAGACGATTGAGTAGGAGCCACGGGAGTGCTTGAAGGCGTTGAAACAGTTCCGCTGGGGGTAACGGCAATTCCAGAAGACGATGAGCTTCCAGAGCTAGATTGAGCCGGCTTGCTTGAGTGCGAGGGGGAGCTAGAGGGAGTAGCCGTAGGCAAGACGACCGGGACGCTTGAGCTAGAAGTGTGCAGGCTAGAAGAAGACGCGACCGGGGAGCTAGCAGGCACACTAGAGCTAGGGACAACCACAGAAGACGAAGCCTGAGAGCTGGTCAAAGAGGTGGAAGCGGCACTGGATGAGGCAGGCTTCGAGCTGGATGGCACGCTAGAGGGAACGCTAGACGACACCACTGGAACAGACGAAGAGGTATGGCTGGGCGTAGGGGTAGAGCTAGACGAGCCAATACTGGAAGGCGAGGGAGTGCTCGACTGGGAAACATGAGGAGCGCTGCTTGAGACATACTGCGAGCTAGATGGGATAGCAGGAGTAGTCGATGCCACCGGGCTAGAAGAGGGCAAAGAGCTGGACTGAGAAGCAACGGGCGAGCTTGATGATACATAGCTCGAGCTTGACGCAACTGGGGAGCTTGACGCAACCGGGGAGCTCGACGGGATGACAATCGAAGAGGTCGGGGACGAGGAGGCCGGGGATGAGGCTGGAGTGCTAGAAGGGACCACCGAGCTGGAAGGAGTAGGAGTAGGAGTAGGCTTGGGAGTTGGCGTCACAAGGATGGTAGAAGTCGAAGTAACAGGGGGAGGGGGAGGAGCACAGCTGTAGAGAATCTCCTTCATCTCCTCGGCATAGGTCAGACCGTCGGGAGAGACGTTGTTCTCCGAAGCAGTAGCCTCCCACAGCATGATACCACCAAAGTGCTTGGGGTACAACGCCATGTATGTCTCAACCAGAGGAGAAACCTCCTCAGGGGTCAAGTAGAAGCCTGCAATGGCAGCGTCCTCAGAGGCAGGAAGTCCGATGAACAGCTTGGTCTCGGGGTTGGCACTGTTCCGAATAACCTCAACCCAGTCATCATAATTGAAGCCATCCCCGCTCGCTGAGCAGCTAGCCGTATTATACCATTGAACCCACAGGAAATCGAATGAAGCATTTGAGATGGCGTCGCTGAGCTGCGCATCAGGAATCGCGCATTGAGGCGCACCAGAGATATAGAACTGCTGGTCCGGATACTCGTCGAAGTGGGAGCGCAGACGGTTAATCATGGTAGCGTAGCCTATTTGAGAATGACTTAGGGTATTATATAAGAAAGAATAGAATAGGGGTCAACATACCTGCGCCGCCATCATGCTCAATATCAAAGTCGAAACCATCCACAGCGTTGGCTTGGAAGGGACGAGGATAGACATCGGTGTAGTTCTCGTTCTGGGGACCGAACGAGTACCACAAGAAATCGGCAAACCAGATAGCTTGAATGTCACTGGTCAGCTGCTGGTAGGCAGTTTCTCCTCCAATAGACAGCAAAACGGTCTTGCCCATCTCCTTACAGACCGGGATATCCTCCCAAATCTGGTGGCAGCCGCTGAGAAGCTCCGTTCCAGGGTAGACGGTGCCATCACACTGGTTGCCAAAGTTGGAGCCGGGATAATCACTGACAGCGTCTGGGAACACATTAATGAACGCTAGGTTGATTATATCGAGCGATGTCTCTTGGCAGAAGTGAGAAAGTCGCTGCTGATTCGCTCCCTGGCCCTGTTATTATAAATTAGTAAGTCAGTAAATGGAATAAGGTACAATGAAAAGCAGCCAAAAAGAGGAACTAACCCAATAGACGGCGAGATTAGTTTTCAAATCCACATCCAACGCAGCAGAAGGAACGACGATGGATGAGAGAGCCGCAATAGCGGCAACAGTCCTCCGGAAAGCCATTTTATAAGCTAGTAATGAATGACACTGGCGAGTGTAAAAAAGCCAGAGATAAAAGAGTGGCAAGGCAAGACTGCCTTCGTTCGAATCAACGAAAGGACGCAGACGATAGTCTGCTGGGGCACCGATCACTCAAGGAAAGAGAGTGAAAATATTCAGAGCCTAAAGTCGAAGAAGAGGGAGACAGCAGGTCACCTATTAAAAAGGATACATAATACTGTTCTTACAGGTGGAGGCTATGCCCTCCTGAATTGTGCATGCCATTTCTATGGTGCGCTAAGAATCTAGTCATCGCCCAGCTAACTAATGAGAAGGGGGGTTTCCATTTCATCACCGGGAAGTGCAAGGTACCTGGATTCTCCACGGCTTAGCACCGGTTTCCACTGCAGGAACACTCTCCACTTGCTCGAGTCCAACGAATAGCGGTCAGATCTCTTCCAACCAGACTTGACCATATTGGACCCGAGAGTGCGAGAAAGCGCTAGCCGGAGATAAAGGTCGGAGTCGAGCACGGTAGGTATGTAAGGACCGAGGGCGCACGCCATTCATCTCAGCCGCCTCAAAGGCCGGATAAAAGGGCCAGATGCAAGCCTTCACGAGTCAAGGTGCCAGTAATTTTGTGACCAAAGCCACCACTAGGATAAGTCCGGAGGATGACAGAGTGGCGTTGGAGCCTTGGAGGGGGAGGAGGGACACGTCCAGTTTGAAGGGTTCAAGCGCCCTTGGCAAGGTAAAAGTTGGAATAATCTTAAGAGCCGCATGGAAGGGGACTGATCCGGTCTTCATTTGGGATAGTCTTAATGTCCGGGCACCAAATGCGGCTTCGACCGAAAGTATAACGAGGGATGATAGGGCGAATGGAGATCAGGATGTTCGGTCATTTCCGATTGATCATTGGACAATGGAATGAGCTAAATACCGCTAAGCGTGATAGTCCCGAGAGTCGTTTTGGTTGAACCAGACATGGTCAGGGTCTAGAGATGGAAGCCGGGTTTACCGGATAGACGTGAAAGAACACATTATGTCGATGAAGCGTAGATGCTTATATAGTAGAGGTAAATTCGGTATGTGAAGCATGGCTGATTGCCATAAGAGTGTCAATTCCATCACGCATAATACTGGAAAGGTAAAACGGGTATTGGTGATGGCCATGGACTATGGACAGCAAGTGGAAGTGGGAAAAGGAAATTACTTGAATGCACGAGAGTCCGAGCGTCGACTCGTGGAGAAACAAATTGGGCCAAATTGGGGGTTCGCTTGGGGCGGAGCCTCGCAGGAACACCAATCAAAAGACTTATCGGAAGCCAACCGGATCAGCACGCCGTTTTCCAGCTCGGTTAGAGAGGGGCAGGGTAATTAGCAAGATTTTAGCAAGCAGTTCTCGTGCCTGATCGATCCTACCCTAAGCAAGCCCCGAATGCTACTCTAGGACTTTGGACTGCACGAATCTCGCCATGCTAGCGTGGGCTCATTCCCCTGTTACCAAGTAATTTCCTGTCCCCGCTAGCGAGATTGGATTCGCATCTTGGCTCGGCTTAACTTTGAACTAATTTCGGCCAAGAAGATCCAGAACGAAAATCAAGTTTAGGGTGCCTTTGATGTATCGGAGGCTTGAAAGCACTGATTGCGGATCATGGTCCTTTTTTCGGACCCCACGCTCATCTGCCGTTAGGGCTAAGTGGGAAACAAATTTTGAAAATGCCCCTCCATTGGCTCACTAACCAATGGAGTCCACTTTCCGAATTGCCTAGGTAGGCATAGTCTATGGAATTTCGCCGCATCGTTGGGACTTCGTGAAATAGTCTATGCTAGAGGACCCTTAAGGTCCCACATAACCAGCCTCTACCATCATATCCGCCCGCACCGGAGGCAACAAAAAACTCAATGTCATTAGGAATGCTCGATACATACTACGGAAACGGTGCATAAGTACCTCCGAGAGATTCAAGAGCTGGTAAATTGAAAATTGCGCATAAAGATTGTGGCGGGGATACCTCGGAGAAGAGAATGGCACAAAGTCAGTCGAAAATATCTTCGAGTACGATTTCCTCTCGTCGCCTGCGAATGGAGACTTTCGCACTATCGTCGGCATGTAAAGCAAAGCCTTGTCGTCTGAGTTGAGGAATAGATCCTTCAGCAAGTTTGAAGTCATATTTGAGAAGCGCATGACATAGGAAAATCTTGATCTCGTTGCTGGCGATGAACCTGCCAGGGCAAACATGCTTTCCAAGTCCCCAGCCAAGGTATTCGGCCGAAGCAGACACGAGATGAGCGTTGGTCCCCTGACCAGGGGTTCGTCGTTTCTTTAAGAAACGATATGGGTCGAAGGTATTGGGATTCTCGTAGAACTTCTCATCCCACATCCAGTAATTCGGGACTGCAAGTGATGTTCCCTTGACGATTGATGTTCCATCACTTAATTTGATATTTTCTTCGGCGATTCTGCGTATGAAGACTATAAATGATCAGTTAGGTGGAGCATGCGACCTATATGAGGAACATTTATGGGTGTACTCACCAATGTTGATTGGTTTCATACGCTGTGACTCTTTCAGAAAACTATCCATCAGCTGGAGTTTGTAGAGAGCAGTCTTTTTCCACCCTTTTTGAGAAATGACCGATATGATCTCTTGTCGTAACTCTTGAATAAGTGTCTCTCTTCCACATAGGTCGAAAACAATCTGGGTAATCATATCTGAGGTCGTATGGATGGCCACGACGGAGAGAGCCAGCTGCATGGCCGCTTGATTGTACGGTCGCCCTTTGGCAGTCTGCTCCATCCATTCCATTGCATCGTTGTTATATGGAATTGGCTTTCCCAATCTCAATGCAGTCTCTTTCTCTCGTCTTCTCTCTTCTAGTATGGGGTTAATGATAGATTTTGCCTCGGCAAGCTCGGATTTGATCTTCCTGTAAGATCCGAGGAACGGAGCTACAATGGGTCGAAGGAACCGGGGGATTAATCGAATGGCTTCTGACGCTGTGATAACATCAACCGTATAATTCACCATGACCTTCAGCCAATCAGGGTTGCGACAGATCTTGTCACCCAAAAAGACCCTTGATGAAAGCTGGGCGACGATTCTATGTATGGTGGGTTTCAAGGTAGGGTCATGCCACTCTATACATACTCAGCCTCTCAAATAACGAGGGAAATGGTAAAAGCTTTCATGCCTTCCTTGTCAGTCCAAACTTTGCGAAGAACGACCGAAACTTCATCGGAAAGACGCTCCCTACGGAAAAAGTATGAGCCAAGTCCGACGTAGTCTGTATTGTAACGCACCCAAGGCCTGTGTCAGTCTCATGCGCACCGCATCTTGAAAAATCTCATTTCCTGAATCAAGTTGGAGAAAGGGATCAAAGGCTTTGAGTTGACTGTGAACATCCTGAACTATAAACTTGCTGAAGCTCAAGCCAGGCAGTCTACTAATCTCACTTGCGTAGTATGGCGAAAGAATTGTCTTGTGGCCATTATCACTAACGATTTGGAAAACCCGGGACTAGATAAATATGTTAGATGACTACGTTGAAGCTTGTGAAGTCTTAACGTGTTGAGCTTGTCTGACCTTGGATAGCCCGGCTTTTAGTATGCCGGCCGCATCGGTTATATATCGGTGCTTACGCTTAGTAGAGTAAATCTCGAAGGACCTCCATGCGGAGGTTGGGTGAATGTAGAACAAGAGAAAAAGAATTAAAAGGGCTCCAATTACCATGGTTCAAGTAAGCTAAACTCATTCTGAAAGATCGCGGTGTTGTATTGATAGAAATTAGCAATCTTTAATCTTGGACTGGAGGAGATTCAATCTCTTATATTCTACATTTCACCCTCCCAAATTGCCTTCTGGGCTCTTTCAGTGCTGGTGCACTTTTATACACGATTTCAATTCACAAGAGCTTCATAATGTTGTGATCTAACCTGCAATGCAAGTTTGTGAGGGTTCGATTGAAGTATAACTGGCTGCTACGTTTCACCGCAGTGGCAAAACATTCGCATTCATTACTCAGACTTAAAGGGGAAAATCGTGGAGACTTAATTCAATGGAAATATTTTCGAGCTATGGAGTTTGCCAAAACCATATAAGCCATGTAGAATATGCGGAATATAATTTCTTCCGCAACAGGGCCTACGTCCTTCACCGTTTAAGAACGAAACAAAAGCCAGTATGTCACATAATGGACCCCCTTCCCCACTTCATGTCCATGGTCTGCGTATGATATCATATACATTTAGGGTAACACAGCATGTGTGGAGTGATCATACAGGGCTTGGTGGGAAGCAATCCATTCATCGTAGTCTGAGCTCCGATGATACACAAGCCCTTTAATTGTTGCACATAGGAAACAATAACGATGACAAATTTTAAGTCAAAGCATTTTCCATCTTCTCGCTTCAAGGCCCAAGCAGGGATGGAAATTCCATCCTTAGATGCGAGTCATATCAAACATGATCTTACATCCTAGTGTCCATCTGCTTCCGAGTCCGTCTCCTATACTGGCCCACAATCCACTCACTGATGTAGGTTTAGTCCCCCGCTAGCTTGTGGTAAGTATATGAAAAATTTTTATAAAACCCACTGGGCCAAGCTTTCCCCTGCCCCCCTTTTTTAACTATAGCAATAATGCGGTTCATTCATGCAGAGGTACGCTGATGCCTGAATTTGTAGGGGGAAAGATACTGTCAAACACAGATGGGGCATAATACCGCTAGACTAAAAATGCACCATGGGCAACATTCTTAGTCTATACGGGCTTCTTGTTGTTCCGACAGATACAATCAGTATCACGTGACAGAGTGAGCACTTCATCGCTTTATTCTGCCAGAAATCAACCAATCAACATCACCCATATTTGTATAACTTCTATAATGGAGGAGGCCCTCAAAGATAGATACAAGAAGTAGTTCCTCACATAATTAAATATATCTCACTCATGCAAGTTTCTCTTCCACGTGCTCCGTGACTTGCTCCTTTGTTTCCTGAATCTTGTGCACCATTTCCTTTTTCCTATCCTCTGAGTCAAAGATCCAGGCGACCTCCTCCAATGATAACCCAGAAGTCTCCGAAAAGCAGAAATAGACAATTAGGAAGACGATAAACACCCAGACACAGTAGTAGATGTAGAATTTCCACCCAATATTCTTCAATGCAATAGGGTTGACATAACTTCCAAAGATGGAGGCCACTTGGATCGTCAGCAGGACAAAGGCCCAGGTCTTGGCTCTCATTTTAGTTGGAACCAGCTCCAGAGGGTAAGTAACGATTAAATTCGTCCAACCTAGCGTGTAGAAGCATTGGAAGACGAAGATGCAAGCTATAACGAGCCTTCCGGCAGCCAGGGAGCCTTTTTCGAGGTACTGTTGAGCCGCGATTGTCCAGACAATAAACGTGACAAGAACACCGCCTGATCCCGTGAGGAAGAAGAAGCGGCGACGAAAGCGGTCAATGACAAGAGTGACAAAAATGGCGACGATATACTGCCAAAGAGTGACCATTCCGTTGACAAGTGTAATCTCGTATTCGGTCTTGAGGCCAGTATCTTTCAGAATTTGCGTGAGATAGTTTGATACCAACAGGTTACCAGAGCTCTGACTGAACAAGGCTGTGCAGAAGCAAAGGAAAATGCGCTTCAGATTGGCCTTTGAAGAAAAGAATGCCTGCCAGGTCATGTTTTCCTCTGCTTCCTTGGAAATTGCCTGTTGGATCTCAGCGTATTCGATCTCCACTAACTCGGAGTTCGGATTGCATTCGCCGTGATATTTGATCAAAATTTCGCGTGCTTCTTCGGTGCGGCCATTTGCAATCAACCAGCGTGGCGACTCAGGACAGAACCAGATGAGACAGAACTGGTAAGCGGATGGAATGATTTGAATTAGAGTCGGGAGCCTCCATGACCACTGGCTGTTGATCCTGAAACATCCGAATGTCGCCCACGCACCGATAACGTAACCGAGAACGATGGACGTGTTGTAAAAGGTCGTGATTTGGACACGCTCTTTGGGGTGAGATAGCTCAGTGACCAAGACCGGAGCGCCCATTTGAATCAATGATGATCCCACTCCAAGGATTATCTTTCCGCCGATGTACATGTTCAGAGAGGTAGCAAATAGCTCAATAAGAACGCCAGTAATGATTATAATCGAGCCGAGCGCGGTGGGAAGACGGCGGCCCCATTTGTCACTAATCCAACTCAAGAAAATGAATGGGATAACGCCGCCAATGGCGTTGGAAGCTCCAAAGAATCCAAGCTTTGCGCCTTCAGGGTGTCCAAATCTGTCTTGCCATGAGTTCAAGACCTGCATTCCATTTGTCATGGACTTTGTCGAGAAACTTGTTAGTTGGTGTTGACATCAAATTGGAGTATAACATGACTGACACCATCAATACCAAGCGCAGCGCTGGCAAAAAGAGACGACGTGAGGAGGAAATATAGCAGTATGCCATTTTTCCGACGCCAGAATGGTGGAATGGATTTCACATCGATGGGCGATATGATGCCCTCGGCCGCATGAGCAGCAGCAGGAGCCATAATTGCACTCGATTGACTGTCTCGGCGGAAGATTAAGCTACAGACAAATCTGCACGGAAATGTGTAGTGGAAAGTGAAGGTGAATCTTGTGGCCTTGGACACTTCCACATGGGGATCGCTGCTCCTTATATAGAACACGCTCCTACCAGGATTCATGCACGATCAATCAGTTGGGTCTTGCCACACGTGGAAAGGAGAGCCGGGCAAATTCCCATGGCGGGGGACCATCCAGTCGCAGTCGACTGAGGTTTGTGGGGAAGAAGAAATTCGTCGGGAATAAAATTTGGGGTTGCGGGGACGGGGACGGGGAAATTCGACCGGGGAAATACCAGCAGCACGGACACCCACGTTTAAAATTGTCCCGGCCCCATGGTATTTCCCCGATCCCAACCATGGAACCTCGAGCGCCCCACTCTTGTTTCAACGCCAGTTACGCCACAAGCCACCCCGCTCAGGTATAAGGCACCGGAGCTTCCGTTTATCACAGAAGTGAAAATATGTTCCCTTCAACTTGTAAGTTGACAACGTTGCAAGAGTCACTAGCAGGACTTGCTGTGAAGGCAAATTCTATCAAAATGGCGACTAGTTCTCCTGCCAACTCATTGCCCAGCGACTTTGAATGGGGCTTTGCCACCGCTGCCTATCAGATTGAAGGGGCTTTTGATGAAGGTGGTCGCGGAAAGTCAATCTGGGATACTTTCTGCCACCTGGAGCCAACAAGAACAAAGGGTGCCAACGGTGATATTGCATGCGACCACTACCATCGGTATGAGGAGGACTTTGATCTTCTATCCAAGTATGGCGCGAAGGCATATCGGTTTTCCATCTCTTGGACGCGTATCATCCCGATGGGCGGCAGAGATGATGAGATAAATGAAGAGGGAGTTGCATTCTACAATCGTCTTATTGACGCTCTGCTTGCAAGAGGTATCACACCTTGGGTGACACTCTATCATTGGGATCTGCCTCAAGCTCTTCATGACAGATATGGAGGTTGGCTGAATGTCGAGCAGTCTCAGAGGGACTTTGAGAGGTATGCCAAGGTGTGCTATGAGCGATTCGGAGATCGGGTCAAGAACTGGATTACATTGAATGAACCGTGGATTGTTTCCATCTTTGTGAGTGTATCCACTGGCTTCAGTTTTCCTTGCGATGTTTCATACTGACTAATTAAATATAGGGCTATTCTACTGGTGGAAATGCTCCTGGAAGAAGCAGCATCAATCCTCAGTCTACGGAGGGCAACTCTGCGACGGAGCCTTGGACCGTCGGCAAGGCTCTTATCATGAGCCACGCCCGCGCGGTGGCTCTTTATAACAAGGAGTTCCGAGCAGCACAAAATGGGAGAATTGGAATTTCCTTAAATGGAGATTACTATGAGCCATGGGACATGGAAGATGAGCGTGATCATGAGGCTGCTGAGCGACGTATGGAGTTTCATATCGGATGGTTTGCCAATCCAGTGTGGTGCGTACAACGTCGCTTCTCACATAACCTGCTAGAAGGCTAATCACCTCATGATATCAAAAGCCTCGCACAAGATTACCCCAAGTGCATGAGAGAGCAGCTTGGTGACCGTCTGCCTGAATTCACAGAGACTGAGTTTGGTCTTCTTCGAGAAGCGGAGATCGACTTCTACGGAATGAACTACTACACTTCTCAGTTTGCGCGCCACCGTGACGGCCCGGCATCCGAGACCGACTGTCTCGGGAATGTGGAGGAATTTCAAGAAAACAAACATGGTCTGTCTGTTGGAGAGCCGTCCGGCGTTCACTGGCTGCGCTCAACCCCTAACCTGTTCCGAAAACACTTGACTCGGGTTTACCGTAAATACGGAAAGCCTATTTATATCACTGAAAATGGATGTCCTTGTCCTGGAGAAGACAAGATGACGGTCGAAGAAGCAGTTAATGATGTGTATCGCATCCGCTACTTCGAAGACCACATCAATGCCGTTGCCTTAGCACGCAACGAGGATGGCTCTGATATCACAGGATATTTTGCCTGGTCCCTAATGGACAACCTAGGTGGGTTCTTATATTCTTCTTCAACAAGACTCCATAACTAATACATCCTTTAGAATGGTCCGATGGTTACGGAGTTCGCTTTGGCGTCACTTTCACCGACTACAACACACTGGAAAGAACCCCAAAACAGTCTGCATTGCTCCTTAAGGGGATGTTTGACAAGTACATGGTTCCTACAAATTAGGCTCCTAAGGAGTAGCAACAACCATCGAGGATTACGTTGGCCTGAGTACGACACGGGGCTCTGGGGAGCAAATGTTACAGCAGAGGCAGTTGCTAGAGAGGTGCATATTTCGGTTACTTGCATGTCAACCGGGTATAGAATTTAGGCTTAACGGATACTTTGAGGGCGTTACATGGTTCAATTGGAGATAAATAAAGAAATAGACACAGAAACAACCAAGTTCAATTCGACCAAAGTTGCAAGCTAAAAAGGCCCTGTCTTGAAATGCCGTCTTTAATAGTATGCCATGTTAATATCAACAACCTCCAACTCTGAGATCACTTGCTTTTTCTTTTCTCGGCTTGTGGCCGTTGGAGTATGCCGTTTATTTGCTGCCGAGTCCTCGTGACCGGGACGCGGGACCCCTGTGTCGGGGAAATTTGTTGGAAAAGCGGGGTATTTGAGTATTTGACCGTAGCCACCCCCCAGTTTTCCTTTCCACAAACTGTAACAATTCTCCGTTCTCCCCGACTCGAAACAACGGCCATGTGATGGCAGCCGCTAATGAAGATACTCCGCGCTCAGCTAGTAGGGCATGCGATCGATGCCGGCGGCGAAAAGCCAAGGTGGGTACCCCTTGGAATAGCGCTGGAAAGCGACCGTCCAGAATCAAAGATGCATCAAACTGAATCTCTTACTTCCCTAGTGCGACAGTCCTGATCCATCATCAGTCTGTGTCAACTGTCGCCTGGCGGGCGAGCAATGCACATTCGATTTGCCACTCTCTAGACGAGGTCCGAAGGCAAAAAGACGCCATCTGGCCACAGAAGGTCAAGGGAACTCTTTGGGCAGTCCCATCACACCATCCCTGCATGTAACGAGACATAACTCTTCTTCACAGGGTTTATTTCAAGCCCCCACAAGCTCGGAGAACCTCGATCTGTGGGACTCTGGAATTACATCTGCCATCAGCCTAGATCCTGCGCTGTCGCCGGCGACGGTACATACTGTTCCTACCCCTTTGTCCCATGCTGCGTCGACCGGAGGCGCTATCTCCGCTTTACAGCGATGGGAAAAACTTGCCCGGCAACTGTACCTACGCAGGCCAACTGCTGTGTTGGAGAACCTGATCAACCATTGCTTCAAACTTTTCTTCGACTATCTCTTTCCCCTCATCCCGCTCGTTCATGAATCGAGTCTCCGAGAGGGCCTGGAGTTTTTCGTCGCTCGAGATGATACACGAACGTTACGAGGGAACACTTCGAGCATGAGATATGGGTATGAATCATTGAAATACCCTGAGCTATGGCCTGATGTGACTTTCACTCTCATCACGGCCGTTTGCGCCGAGACAGCCTTCCTTCTCCCCAAGGACATTTTCCCGGAGGGAGAGATGATCGCAGATATTTTTCTCCAGGCCTCTCGCAGCTGCTTAGTGACCTACCTCGAGGCCGATCTCGAATATCCAAATGCAAACTCTGTGGCTATTCGATATCTTCACTCTAACTGCATGCATGCGGCTGGAAAGCCAAGGTTTTCATGGCATATATTTGGCGAAGCGACTCGATTAGCCCAAGTACTGCAGATGCATGATGAAGAGTCGATCCAGGGCCTACATCCTCTCGAAGCCGAATTCCGCCGACGAGCGTTCTGGATTACCTACATCGGAGACAAGTCTGCAGCCATATTAAACAGTCGCCCGATCACCATCCATAAATTTTCTTTCGAGTCTGGCATTACCATGGGCTACCCTACCGGCATTGAGGACGAGGCCATCGTGACACCGGGAAGCACGAATGCAGATGACTTAACTGTCCGCAAAAGCTTTCTCATCGGCTTTAATGCAAATCTCCGACTTTGGCAGACCGCATCAGATTTGCTCCTGGAAATGCGATTGCTTGACAGTCGCAAAAACGTCTCGATGAGCCCTCATCATTCACTCACTGCTGAAGAAAGGCTGCGGCTGGATCATCTTTACGTCCTCTTTGTGACGTCTTTAGACGATCTTCCCCCCTTTCTCCAGGATGACCAGCTCCTAACGAATGCCCACTCTGATAGAGAAGAAATGAACAGTCTATCAAGGATTTACACCATCCAAGCTGCGAACTTGTACATTTCTTTGCACTGCTTGAAGATGGTCATAACGCAGAAGTTCGAGGAGGCCAACTATTTTCCCATGGGTCACAATGAGATTTTGCTCCTGAGAAAAACGGAGATTGCTCGGAATATGCTCAGAATTATGCGGGAGGCGCCCTTCTGGTCATTACAAATCAATGGAGAACCGTGTGTAAGTTATCTGCACCATTGTTCCTTGATCATCATTGCTGCCAGTCTTGCTGATTGTGTATGAAAAGGTTGAGAAGATACGCCTCATAGGTGCTAGCCTCTTAGAGATCATCGATCAACATGAGACATCGCCTCTATCAGCTCGCGCGCGAACTGACCTGTCCGTGCTACTTGATATCTTGACACGGCTGGACTCAAAAGCATCAGATACCTTGCGTCGGTCTATGTAACATTTTGTATGTATGATAAAGAGATAATGGAAAAAATTTTCATAATGATCATGAAGGTCGTTAAACGCCATCTGAGTGTGATTGCATATCCCTGATATTCCGATGCGCAAGGGGGCTCAGATCCTGCTTGGTTGAATCATCGCACATTCATTTGTAGATATTCTTTCAGACCCCCTTTTGGACATGTTTTCCAAACTTTCAGAGTTATTTTCTTTGGCCTTGAGAGAAGTCCTAGCTACAGACACATGGCCCTCCAACGTTTGCTTCTATTGATACACTAGCTCAAGGGCCTTAGGTTTCAGGCAGAAATCTGCCCAGTGTATTGCCCCGATTTCTTGGCGGCTTTCATTGGCCTCATTGCAATATCAAAATTGAATAAGGTCCTTCTAGAATTCCGATTTGAAATAACCCGAAATGGTGCTATATTAAACTCTGGAAACTCCGAGTCGGCTTCAGAGCGTATTTCGCCGTTTCCCCGACACTTGGCCACCCATCGGCGAATCGGCGCACGGTCCGCCCTCGCCCTGCCTTGGTTTCAAGTGCCGAATTTCCGCTTCCAACTTTTTCTCTCGCGTGAATTTCACCGAATAAAAGCCAAAGCTGACGCTTACGAGGCCCGGTGGAGATTCTTCAGAGATTGATTATGGCTCTAAAATCAAATACAGTGGGCAACTTCATTGTTTCATTGGGCAGCCCGACAATTCCCCAGACATTCTCATTCTCGGGTGATGCGGGGAAAGGCTGATCGCACCCTAAGAGGCAGGTTTTCAGGGGAAATATGGAGATGCTTCATTAATTTTAAAGATTTCTTCCGATGCATATCCTAAGGTTCGAATAAAACCCATTCAGATTATGCTATTCAGTTGTATATAAATTTTCGCCGTCCCACGATCCACCATATCTACCAACCTGCCATTGTCTCACCACGATTGAGATTCAGCATCCGAAGTCTTCAGCCTTCAGCCTTCAGCCTTCTCTGCTGTTTACTCAACTCTATTCACCCAGTTATGCGTTTTACTCAGGCGTCGCTGGGCCTGGCATGTGCCACTCTAGCTACAGCTTTACCTGCAGCTTCAGAGCAGAATGGCAAGCCATCGTGCCGATTTGCTCAGCAATACACTCAGAAGCAAATTCTGCAAGATCCTTCGAATTTTATCAACGATATGCTTTTTTGGGAAGGCCAGTTCCACCAGAACAATGTTTCTTATAACTCAGATAATGGAATGTCATACGACGGGACGAACCTTGATTTCGTGACTGGTGTGAGAACTGCCAAGCATCCTTTCAGCGCCGCAAGCAAAGAAGTGAGTTGCGATTTCCACGGAAAGTTCCATTGCGACCAATGAGACTTACTCTGTGCTCCTCCAAATAGTCACTGCAAATCATGCTTTATGCCCATGCTATCTTGGGATCTGCCGATGCTGCCCGTTTCCTCTCTCCCAGCAATCCGTCCGCAGCTCCTGGAATCGCAGCTTCTATCATGGACGTCAAATTGCAGACTTACTTGAGATTTAATGAGACTTACCCTGGCTTTGGTGGATTCCTGCCGTGGTTTACCTCGAGCTCTCAAGATCTCTCTCCCACCTGGGACTGGAATAACCGTGTCCCAGGCCTGGACAATGGGTACCTCTATATACTCGATCCTGCGAAGCCCATCCAACTAACAAGGCTTATAGTGAGCTTCTGTGGGCCGTGTACGCTTTCATTCAAGCTGCCGAGAGCTCTTCAAATCAGTCATATATCGACCTTGCCAAGAAGTGGCAGACTTGGATGGACTATACCAAGACAACTGCAGCTCATGTACGTCTCCCATACTTTTCCTGCAAAGACACAAGGACAAAAGGTTGCTGACCCCATCTCCTTTCTGCAAAAGATATTCTACGAGGGCGCGGGTAAAGTTTGTGCTGTGGTGGATATCAAGAACCAGACACTTCCTGTCCACCACCCCGAGCAGACGTATGCCTGTGAGGGTTCCAGCTACCTCGATGATCCGTACGAAGGAGAACTCTTCACTTGGTGGCTCCAGTTCTTTGGTGGGCTCTCCGAAGCCGAGATTGAGGCTCTTTGGGAGTACAAGAGAGCCAAGTTGGTGAGCGTGGACTATCATATGGGCAATGTCGGACCGATAACTGTCCAGAAGGGTATGTTCTATTTCGCAGGAAGCGATGATACAGTATCGAGATTGACATTTGTACAGGATATTGGTTCTCCAGTCACGAGACCTGGAAGGTGATGGAGATGCCCTACTACGACATTGATATCATTCGGTGAGTACTCATGTACAATAGCCGACCAAAACCTCAGGCACACTGACAATTGAACTCCAGTCGTCTCTTCCAAAATGCTGAGCGTGTTCGCACTTGCAACTCGGTTGTCACCAAGGTCCCAGGCATGTTCGCCTCCATCAACAACGTCACGGACCCATCGACTGGCGATGTGGTCGGCTATATCTCGAATGCCGGTATCCCCTCAATCTCGAACCAGACAGTCCAAGAGCTCGACGTCATCACCCCTTACAGCGTATTCCCTACGGTCTTGTTTGACAAGGCAGTTGGAATGGCTTGGTGGAGAAACATGGCTATCGCAAAGAAGATGCAAAGTCAGCATTGTCCCGTCGTTTCCTGATAATTGTTTGTTTACTAACTCAGTGAAGACATTTACGGTAGCACCGAATCTACTCGTCGTGATGGAACTGGAGTGTCTGCGCTTCTGACCTGGGATAGCAAGGTCACCACTGTGAACGCCATTCTTGGAGGAGTGTCCGACCTGGTCCGTCAGAAAATGAAGGCCGAGAACATCTACAACACATTTGTGAACAGAATTGAGGTATTATCTTGGATTTCTAATTCATTCAATTTAGGCGCGTATCTTTACTGACGGAATATTTTTAGGCTGAATACTCGAGGGTCTTCAAAAATCTCAAGGGCGAACATGTTGCATTCTGTCTTCCACAGGATACTGTACCTGATACCGGACTCGCCGACTTTACTACCTGCAACTAGGTATTTAAGTCTTGGGTGTTGGGAATAGACCCTATTTGATTGATCAACTCAAGAAGAGTTGACTCAACTGACCTGTGGCTTTTGGCTTATACAATGTGTATATCGCTTCTACTTTGAGAATTTTAGGAGCTCCTTATTGAGCTGAAAGTATATGCCGCGAACGGACTATTTTGTATGATGTTATAGATGTAAATAATGGGGACACCGATGCATTCTGGACGGCGGGCTTCGAATCGTAAAGACTAATGACTACCCAGCCAAGCCCTAGAGTCTTTTTGGTATCATCGGTAAATTACTAGACCCCTAAAAGGTATGAACAAGAATATTTCGTTTAACTAGTTAGAGAATTATAGCTGGATTTGGCTAGGGCTCTCTTCCCGTTTAATATTTAACTTTACACTCCAAACCGTATCATAAGGACTTGGCTGTACAACTGTCGCTGTGGCTCGAGTAAATTAACATCTTTTATCTCCGATTTTCGTAAATGGGTTTACTTTTTAATCGTCTTTTCTATTATCCTTTAACAGCCGTTCCCGGGCGTTCTTTTTCACGGGCTTCTGAATGACTTTTCAATGATAAGGTGCAGGACTAGGATGTTGTGAGGGCAAGATACTAGATGCGGAGGCGGAGTTCCGGGGGTAGTGAGAAGATGAGAGGAAAGTCCGTCGCCATGATTCCTCGATAAGGATCTGGAGCAGACTGGGTCGTGAATTTTTGGATCTGAATAGAGAGATAGTTGTCGATGATGTTGATGTCGAGGGTGATGGTGGCTACTGACGAGGGTTACTGAAGGTGAAAGTTGAAGCGAATAGGAGAGTGCTGAAGGAAGATGGGAGTTGGTTTCATGTTTCTTCCTGCCTCTTACGACTGTAGACTTGGGCTCACACGTAACTCACCTCCAGAACTTCGTTGTCTCCCAGTCCGCACGGCTATGATGGAAGGGATGCTAACCGAGTACACGATTTTTGATTTTTGATATTGCTTCAGAATCCAAATGCTAAAGCTTGATTCAAATCCCCGGGAAGTAATATATTCGACTACAGAGCCCATATTTATTCCCTTTCTTCTGTTCTGTTGTATATTACCCCTCTCTCGTTTCTCTGTGGCTTATGCCCCTCCTTAAACGTTTTTACCTAAGCTTGAGCCACGTATATGTCCAACCGTCTGCAAGTACAGATTCGGACTTGAATCAAAATTCTGTACGAGGGCCCTGAGATCTCCTAACTCGACGCTCGCCACCCAATACCCATTACGACCTGGCCGACGACCAAATGGCCGCGACCGCGGCAGACGATCTGCAAGTTGGCCAACACGGGCCCTGTACTCATCCGTGGACAGCCCATGCGCTAATCGATAATCGCCCGTTTCTTCGCCATGCTCAATCGCACGTTTCAATGTAGACAGATCCAACTCAGTCGGTGAATTCGTAAATGTAGGATCCCAGGTCTCCTCCACTCCTATCCAGTCACGATCTGAATCATACGCCTCCCTGTCATCTGGCAGAGGCCACGGCTGAACACATATGATACTCTTTAGCGGTGGTTCAATTTCGCGGAGCCAACCAAGAAGGCCGACCATCAGCTCTTGCCGGGAATTCGGGGTTAGCACGATGTGCTGGATATGATCGAACAGCTTGTGGTGATGCTGTACTTGCCCAACTGGAGGCTGTTGGTAAGGGTAGTCTCGTGACCAGTATACTGACCCCTTAGGGATGTTTTGCATGATGTATAGAGTTTGCGAAAAATTGAGCCAGCCGATTCCCTCGATATACGTGTGTGCTTCGGTCAGGACTTGGCGGGCCTCGAGACATGTGTGGGCAATGGCCTTGAGCGGATGAGTGCCGACCGTTATATCTTGGTTGTCTCGGGTGCGCTCGAGAGTAATACATGTCCACGACCCTCGGATGGCATAGTGCCAGATACGCAGGCGCAGTTCCGCCGGTAACAAGCCGAAACGGGGGAACTCTGTTGCCATGGAGGTTGTGTGTTACTTGGTATTGTATATCCAGGGGACTTTGCTTGTGAGTGTTATAAAGTCTAAGAGGGGTCAGCTTTATTGCCTGGATATTCTTGCCAGCGCCGCTCGTGCCCGCCCCGGTGCCTGTGCCTGGTCACGGGCATGGAATCTATTCGTCGCACTCCAGTAGCCTCTTCGAATCTGCGCCTCAACCAGAAGCAGGTGCAAATAGCCGAGATAACGATTCCCTCCAGGCTGATATCCGACATGTCCAAGCTATTCACGGGAATTTCTCGTCATAAGTGAAGGTTTCATAGAGGATGCAGAGTGAATGTAAATCCCTCCCCTGCGGTTGTCTCAATAAGAACAGGTCAGAACCCCTAGACTGAATAGATATTGTTCGCATAATTTGCTCGAGTACCGACCTGATCGCCTATAGTCTGACCAATAGCAGTGTGCCTCTCACGCGGAGAAAGAAAATACCGGAAAAGACATCCGAATTGGCCATATTGGGCCAATTAAATGGCCCGGTTGTGACGATGAAGCTACTGTCAAAAGAGCTTGGCGCAAGAATAGTTATATGGCCAGCATAACTATATGTAACATCTCTCCATACGTGACTCTAGATGTCAAGCCAGAAAGTTAAAGATTACTCTGTATTGTATTTCAGCTGGGTACTCCCACCAGAAAAGTGGTACAAAATTTGGGTCAACAATAGCAAAGGGCTTACATGTTTTGAGGTACATATCATGTTTAAACGTATACTTGCCTGCTAATTCTTATCTCGGCCATGATCGTACTTTGAGCTGTTCTTTAGACCAACGGGGGGCAGCTACATATTGAGTATGAAACTGCTAATGAGTCTCCATTGCGTTGCCATCGCTACAGGCGCACCTATTTTTATCGCCATATCTCAAAATCCTCTTGGCCATCAACCGGCCACGGGAATATCTTATCATCCATTGACCTCTAATCAAGCTCTCAGAATTCGAGGACATATGGACATTTCTTCGTGGCCTCGGGTGTGGATTCAGAGCTAATTACGGGTGACGGCTCAGCCCCGAACGGGTCGTGCTCCGGCTAATCTACACTGCTATTCAACTCTACTATTAGGACAGCTGAGAGGGTCTGCCGGGACCCTGTGTTACCATATCATCAAAGGAGGATAGATCGGTATATTGATAATAACCTCCCCAGTCATTGAGCCTTGTGGAGAGTGCAATTACTTATCTACATTCCACGAGGCACGAGAGACCCCTATGGTAGCAGAGCCTATTTTGGATAATGAAGCGCTGTGCTGTGGTTAGCGTTTGTATAGGTCTCCACTATTTTTCATCGGCAAGATTAAGAGTCCTCCTCATTTCCGTATTTTGTGGCCTAGCGCTCCTGCTTAATTTCGTTTAATGAGATCTTGTCCTTAGATCCCTCATGGTTTGGATAGAGCTAAATTCACTCAATTCTGGCATACAAACAGCCCGACTCAGGTAGTCTAATATTAGCTCTCTGGCTTTCTGCTCGTTGGACTGCCTAGTGAATGCCGTGCTATATTTAAGTTGCGGTATTCTCGATCCATAGCGCTAATCATCTCCCAAAACCGCAGCAGGACCAACTGCAGTGACCAATGTCAGTCTAGAACCCCATTTAGAATTCACAACAGGCTGGTACTCAGGGGCTTCAAATTTCCCCGGGCTCGAATCGCTCGATGGGTGAGCCCCTTAGTGTTGTCTCAGCCGTAGGCCCATGATCCATCGGGTTGACAGGTGGGGACGGCAGTGGACCCGATTGATAGGCCAAATTATCGAGGCAGCGAACCCCTGCCTCAATCTTTTTTTCTTTCCCCTGAAGCTTTTCTATTTCCTCTTTCCTTTTCTTTCACCATCACGTCAATTGTACTCTTTCATCTCCAAAAAATCGCAACATGTCGGACCAAAAGCCCGTCGAACAGGTCCCCGCGGCCGAGCCCGAGAAGCTCCAGGAAGCTGCCGTGGTAGCTTCGGAAGCTCCTGAAGCTAGCGACAAGCCTTCGGAAACGCCCGCGGCTGCAACCACCGAGACTACCGACAAGGAAGCCGAGCCCAAGGCTGAGGAGGCTGTCCACGATACTCCAGCCAAGGTGGAAGAGCCCGTGAACGATGCGCCCGTTGCCCCTGAGCCCGAAGCGGCCAAACCTGAGGAGCAGAAGCCCGAGCAGCCCGCATACCTGACCAAGATCCCCGGTCTGGCCCAGTTGTTCGAACAGCTGCCTAAGATCCTCAACGAGACTAGCTACAATGAAATGTGGGGCGTGCAGCTCAAGGACAGCGAGGATGTGCCTACCGTCAATGTGCTGATCAAGTTCCTCCGTGCCAACGAGGGCAACGTCCAGGGTGCTCAGGATCAACTGCGCAAGGCTCTTGAATGGCGCAAGAAGACCGATCCTCTGGCTTTGGTCGAGTCTGGCCGTTACAGTGCCACCAAGTACGGTGGTCTCGGCTACCTGACAACCTATGAGCAGGATGGACGCCCTCTGGTGTTCACCTGGAACATCTACGGTGCCGTGAAGGATGTTAGCGCCACTTTTGGCGACTCCGACGAGTAAGTGATTTGATGAATTCAATCCTGGAAATATAATGTGCTGACTCTCTCTCCAGGTTTGTCAAATGGCGCGCCGCCCTTATGGAACTCGCCGTTCAGGACCTGAAGATGAAGGATGCCACCGAGGTCATCGACTATGACGGCGAGAAGGATCCTTATCAGATGATCCAGGTTCACGACTACCTGAACGTCAAGTTCTTGCGTATGGATCCCGCCGTTCGTGCCGCCACCAAGAAGACCATTGATGTCTTCTCTACTGCCTACCCCGAGCTGCTGCGCGAGAAGTTCTTCGTCAACGTCCCTACCATCATGGGCTGGATGTTCTCCGCCATGAAGCTGTTCCTCAGCCGCAACACTACCCGCAAGTTCCACCCGATCTCCAACGGCGCGAACCTCGCCCGTGAGTTCCCCGCGGCCATTGCGGACAAGATCCCCAAGACCTACGGTGGAAAGGGTGCTGAACTGAAGGACGAGGCACGAACTGTCCAACTTGTGGAGGACAAGGTGGAGAAGGAGGATAAGAAGGATGAGGCCAAGCCAGTCGAAGCCACCGAGGAGACTGCCGCCCCCGCTGTTCCCCCCTAAGGATGAGAAGCCCGTTACGGAGGAGGCTCCCAAGGAAGAGGCTGCTAAAGAAGAGACTGCTAAGGAAGAGCCTGTTAAGGCAGAGGCTCCCAAGGAGGAGCCCGTTAAGGAGGAAGTTCATGTCCAGGTGGGGGCCACTAATACCGAGCAGACTACTGAGAAGGAGGTGCTCAAGGAGGAGATCAAACCTGTTGCTGAGGAGGCCAAGTAAATTGTGCCGTCCTATTTCTGAATGTGCGTTTCGTTGTGATACCCGGAGGACGAGTGGCTGCCAAGGCTCTCTGCTCTTGCTTTCGCCTTAGGCAACTAGTGCCTTTCATCTGGACTTGTACTTTCAAGCCTAATAATTCATAATAAGATATTTTTATTTGAAACTAAAAGTTAGTCTGTCAGTAAAGAGTGTAAATTACCTTGTAGTGTATAGTTGGCTCAACAAGCATGTACGGGAGGCTGCAAGAACCACTTGCGCAACACCACTCCCAACTCTCATCGATCAGCTGTCATCTCCCTGCCTGCTCAGCTTGTTGCCTACAAAAAAAAGAGTGAAGAAAATTGCAACGGCCCAGTTTATCCCTTCTTCGCTGCAGTCCACCGGTGGCCTCTCAGAATGCGACTCTGTCTCTGATCAAGAGCTTTCCGACCACCGAATTCGCCCATCATCGCAATCCCATCCCTCCCAGATTCATCTCCGTCGCGACCTCACCTCCGAGTTAGAATAAAGCAACCGCTATGTCGGTCTGGAACCCGGATAACATCCGTGATGTCGCGGAATCTGTTGGTATTACCAATCTCAACCACGATGTGACGGAAAACCTTGCCCGCGACGTCGAATACCGCGTTGCACAAGTGCTGGAGGAGGCACTGAAGTGCATGCGACACGGCAAGCGCACCCTGCTCACTACTCAAGACATCTCTCATGCTCTTCGGAATCTGGACGTTGAACCTCTATATGGATACGAATCCCTCCGACCGCTGCGATTTGGCGAAGCATCGCTGGGCCCCGGCCAACCGCTGTTTTACGTGGAGGATGAAGAGGTGGACTTTGAGAAGTTGATCAACGCGCCGTTACCGAAGGTCCCCCGCGAGGTGTCTTTCACTGGTAGGTATATTTAGACTCTTGCTATCATGACGGTCCCTAATCACTCTCTATGTAGGCCACTGGCTCGCCGTCGAAGGTGTCCAGCCATCCATTCCCCAGAACCCCACTGCCGCCGACTCTCGCAACCTCGAGCTGGTATCGAAGGGACCGAACGCCAATTCCACCCTTGCGGCGATGAGCGGTAGCGGTGAAGTATCGGTCAAGCCTACCGTGAAGCATGTGCTCTCCAAGGAGCTGCAACTCTACTTTGAGAAGGTCTGCAGTGCGTTCCTGGATGAAACGAGCGAGGAGTACCGGACCTCTGCATACGCCAGTCTACGGGATGATCCTGGTCTACACCAGCTGGTGCCATACTTTGTGCAATTCATTGCGGAGAAGGTCACGCACAGCCTTAAGGATATATTCGTCCTAACCCAGGTGATGCACATGGCCGAGGCTTTGGTGCAGAATACATCGCTCTACGTCGATCCTTATGTAAGTTGACATCCACAGCACGACTTCCGCAGAGGATCTCCGGCAGCTGACCTTTTGATAGATTGCCTCTCTTGTTCCATCGATCTTGACCTGCCTGGTCGGCCGACAACTTGGCGGAGCCAGCGATCTATCTGAACAATTTGCCCTGCGTGACCTTGCAGCATCACTCCTCGGACTTATTGCAAAGAAGTTCTCTCACTCATCTCACATGCTCAAGCCCCGTCTTGTACGGTCATGCTTGAAGAGCTTCCTTGACCCTTCCAAGCCTTTCGGTGCTCATTACGGAGCCGTCATTGGGTTGCAGGCTGTTGGTGGTGCCGAGGTGGTCCGCGTGCTCGTTATTCCCAATCTCAGTGACTACTCCAAACTACTCAGCGATGGTCTCGACGATGCAGCTCGTCGTCCCGCTGCTGAGCGCGTTCTCAGTGCACTCATCGGCGTTCTGGCGTCGATCCGAGATGCTCACCCGTCTTTGGCCAACGGCCATCCCGCAACCGTGTCGGATGATTTGCGCTCACAGTTGACAGAGAAAGTCGGTGGTCTCATTGCCGGGAAGATCGCCGAGGCCAACGAAGTCCAGCTGGCTCGCCTTATCGTGGAGGTTTAATGTGTTGTCAAGTATTTTCTTTTTCACCCGTGTCTTTTCTTTTTCATCTTCAAATCACCGGTATGGGGGATTATCTGATGCATCCATCTGGAATGGGCGTTGTGAGCGGGCGTTGCGGGAGGGGAAGGGCAGGATCTCTGTGGCTTTGACCACTTATCTCTTCTAGATTCCCAATTGACATTAATTTGTCATTATAATTTATGCATTCCATCGGACAATAGTCCGCTCTAGTCCGTTTATAAATGGTCGTATGCAAGGAGGGAAGTATTGTACCTGCAGTCCGGTCAGGTGACTTTCTTCTTTTAAGGTTCTCGATTCCCCGCTGATTGATTACATAACCTGCGGCCAGGCACGACCAGCCCGGAACTCAATTTTGCCCCGTCTCACCGCTCGCGTGTTCTAGGATTCTCGGCCGGCGCATCCTTGTCTTCTTCAAGTCACGTCGAGGTATCGTCCTAGACGAATCTACGCTTCGCTGTGATTCATCCCGTGAGTGGCCGGTTTCTCCCCTAGCTTTTTCTCCTTCACAAATCATGCGTTTTGTGGCGTTGCAGGACTCGACAACTAACTCGGTCGCCTTCCCTGATGTCAGACAGATTTTGATCCGTGCCCCACGAGCTCGGGCCCACAGACAAAATCGCTCATTGCCAACTCAACCCGCCCGTTACGGCAAACAATTTTCCTGCCAACCCCTCCTCTCGAGGTCTACAAATTGACCATCGGCTTCCTTACCTTTGGCCAAACGATTTCCCAGAGAGAAAACTTTTCTCTCAACTCGCCCAGAGCACTCAATTGCATCTCGGGCACTTTTTTGGGCTTTTAAGCAAAGTCTGACCCGCGCAACGCTTTTTTCTGCCCTCATCATCCCACTGATGATCACGATTGTGGCCTCGCGCGACATCGTGCAGTTCTAAGCCGAATTTCCTTTCCTGCCTTTCATGAGCCCGAAGGATCTTCTGCGATTTCTCTCTAAGCCTGCGAAGTATGTGCGATTTTGATTTTTTTTTCTTCTATCCCCTCGGTTACCCCTCACGGAGGGCACCGATCCACAAATATGGAAAGATTCTTGTTTTTTCCCCATTGTGTTGGCGCAACGGCCTAGGGCTGAGCTACTCCAGACACAACCCCTTTGCATCTTCTCTACCCACCGTGGATTATTTTGACACATTCTCTTCCACGCGATACTAATTGCTCCGTTGTCTCTAGGCCTCGATAGCACGACTCACGTCACCAACGATCAACTTTCCTCCATACCTCTTGCACAAAGCAGATACTCTCGTCTGCTAGACCCGATACTTTGACCGGTATCGGTATCTTCCAGCACGAGGGTACTGGACTGACAGTCACAATTCTTTGTAGCATCTTTCTCCTCTCCTTCGCGTTCCTACCTCCTTAGCGGCCCTTCCGGTCTGTTAAGTTGTTCATCTGCCTGGCTTGATAGCCAGTTCCACTCTGTCCTCAGGGCCTTCTCTTCTCAGACGGGCATCGCCCCCTTGTTCGTCTGGGTAAGTAGACAGTGCTTCTAAAGCCTTTTGTCTCCCATCAAACAGCTCCCAGGGCGGTCCGACGTCACACAGTCACCATCTTCGATCCCGTTAATTGCCCAATTTATTAACAGCCTCGGCTGCATCAATCAACGGAAATGGTTTACGTCGGTATTCCGAAGAATTACACGCAGTCTCCGTCGTCTTTCGCGGGGACTCCTTCTCTGACCATCAACTATGAGGCCACCCAGGATCTTGACTCCAGCAGTGCCTTTGAAGGTTAGTCAACTTGCAGTCAACCAGCTGTCGAACGAATCACTCACAATCTCATACAGGCCCCGAGAAGCTGCTCGAGGTCTGGTTTGCTCCGTCTGCCAGCGAGCTTGGCGCTGCAGGCCCCGACGGTCTGAAGAAGGTGCCCGGCGAGATCTGGAAGGACATGCTGGATCTTGTCAATTGCCAGGTCCTGTCGGTTGTCTCATCCGAGGATGTGGATGCCTACCTCCTGTCCGAGTCCAGCATGTTCGTCTGGCCCCACAAGTTGATCCTCAAGACCTGTGGTACTACCACCCTTCTGTCGGGTCTTCCGCGCATTTTGGAGATTGCCGCCCTCTTTGCAGGCTTCCCTCGCGCTACTGCCCCACCGTCTCGCGGCATCACCGTTGCAGCTGCTCCTTACCGCGTTTTCTACAGCCGCAAGAACTACTTGTTCCCTGACCGTCAGCGCGGCCCTCACCGCAGCTGGCGCGATGAAGTTCGCAACATGGACAAGCTGTTCCAGAACGGAAGTGCCTACATGATTGGCAAGATGAACGGAGAGCACTGGTACCTGTACCTGACTGAGCCTCACACGCTGCTCACTCCGCCGGCCAGCCCCAAGGAGGAGGATGGCCATTTCCCCGAGACTGAGACCAAGGTCCTCAGTTTCCCCCAGGCCTCTCCTATTGCCGACTGCAATGAGCACGATGAGACTTTGGAGGTCCTGATGACCGACCTGGACGAGGAGAACGCGAAGCAGTTCTACCTGGATAATGCTACCGCTACAGCCGAGAAGCGTTACCGCAACTTTGACAAGGATGAGCACCTCGATGTGTTCGACAACGGCTCGAACCCCGATGACCCTGATGCGGATCGTCTGCTGCCAGCAGAGCTGACCACTGAGGGTCACGCGCTCGGCACTGTGGTGTCCGATGCCTGCGGCCTGTCGGATGTTTATCCCAAGAGCAAGTTCCCGGATGCTCGCATCGACGCGTACCTTTTCACGCCCTGTGGCTTCTCTGCCAACGGTGTCGTCCCTGCTCCGGATGGCAAGGCTCCCACGCACTATTTCACTGTGCACGTTACCCCGGAGCCGCACTGTTCCTATGCGTCCTTTGAGACCAACGTTCCGCACTCGCAGAACGGAAAGGCCACTACCGACATCATTCAGCAGGTCGTGGATATCTTCAAGCCCGGCCGTTTCAGCATCACTTTGTTCGAGACTAAGCCTGCCATTGAGGATGTGGCTAGTGAGGCCAATGGTTTCCACGAGGTGCACGCGCAGCGCCAGGCCATGCGTCGAAACCCCAAGATGGAGCAAATTGAGGGTTATCGCCGCGTTGACCGCATCGTTCACGACCTGAACGGTTACGACCTTGTGTTCCGCTACTATGAGCGCAACGACTGGAAAGGGGGGCTCCCCGGCTTGGAGAGAAGTTCTAAGGGCATCACTCTTACATGAAGATGTTGGAGATGGTCTTGTTTCTCTCTCCACGTCCGCTGTTTTTCAGCCGTTGACCTGCTTTTGTATCCATTTCTTTTACTCCATATCTTGCACAGATCGTCTGCTTTTTCGTCGTTCTCGTCCCAAGTTTAGAACTATGTGGATGTAATTCCTCCTGTCTTTACATAGTGCGCAGCATTGTATGTCCATGCTCCGAGCGTCTTGTCATCTTTTTGTGTTCGGTTCAGCTGGACTCCATCAGCGATCTTGTTTTGAGCTTTTCTAGTATTCTTGTGAATTATTCATCTTGTCACTCTTTCTTCATAATTGAATAGTACGTACTGCTTCAGGATTATATGCAAGTCCATCTAGACTATGCAGGTAAACCCTTTGCATCGTTCAATTAAGCTTCTTTTGACGTAGTCTCAGCGGAGCATACAATTTCCAAATCCGGCAGGCGGTCTGGTGTGCTCTGGAATAGTCGCGACCCAATTCTGATCGCGTCAAACAGATATCGACTCATCTTTGGCAGCTTCTTTCATCTTGTGGGCGACTGGGCAGGTTTCAGTTACTGTTTTTCTCTCTCGGATTTTTAACTTCTGATTGAATTCGCATTGTTTTCGCGCTGCAAACTGAGGACCAGGGTCGCAGCGCTTCACCAAACTCGGCGAACCTCCCAGATTCCCGCCAGAGCACGTCGGACTCAAGATACACCTCTACTTTTCGATCCTCTCAGCGCATTTCCCTTCAACTTCTCTACGTCACCCACTTCGAGACTCTAATCCTTTGCATACAATCGTTCAAAATGTCATCACCACCACCGTATCAGACCCCAACCAACCCCCTCAAACGACCCTCTATCTCCTCGTCCGCCTCACAACCACTCGGCAAGAAGCCTCGCATGCACCCTCTCCGACAGACCTCATTCCCCGCAGGTCTCGATATTGCAGAACGGAGCTTCGGCGCAACCAGCGATGCTGGAAGCGTGACGGGTAGTTTCACAGGAAGCATCGGCGGCGCAAGCGCAGACGGCGTCTTTACTAGCGCAGCTCGCGGAAAGAAGCGCGGAAGAAAGAGCAAAGCCGAGAAGGAGCGTGAGCGTGAGCGAGAAGATGCGATGAGCTCGCGCGCCGGAGATACGCGGCTTGGTTCCGTTGATGCTGAAGGCTCGGTTCGAGGGGGTATGGGCGGAGGGGGAGGGGGAGGAGGTGATGATGGCGACGATGACGATGACGACGATGAAGGCGAGCTTTTGGGAAGAGAGGAGGGTACTACGGATACGGAGGCTGAGAAGAAGAACTTGGCGTATGTTTGTCTCCATTGGGACATCTGGGGAGCTGGAAGACTAATATTGTGGCTTGTACAGGATTTTGGTTGATGCGTTTAACCCTCAGCAATCCGAACGATATGACCTTTTCAAGCGAGCGAAGCTTCGCAAAGAGTCCCTTCGACGTATCGTCAATCATGCGCTTTCACAGTCTGTCCCGGCCAGCGTGGTTACTACAGTCAACGGTTTCACAAAGGTGTTTGCTGGTGAAATGATTGAGAAGGCTCGAACAGTTCAGGCTGAATGGGCCGATGCCTTCGACCAAGCAGCACGAGCGGCATTCGATGCTGAAGAGGCTGCCGCTGAGAAGGCAGCTCAGGCCAGAGCTCAAGCTGTGGCGGCACAGTCAAAGACTGCGACTCCTACTCCTTCGGGAACCCCTGTCCCTCCATCCAATTCAGGATCCCTCAGCAATGGCATCAAGAAAGAGCCATCGGATACAAACCAGATACGACCATCGTCAGTTCCAGCGAATCACCTCAACTCAAGCTCCTCTACTCCCGCCCATCATATGTCCCCATCTCCATCTCTACATGTCGGCCGGCCTTCTGTATCAAGTCCTGCGCCTCTACGCCCACGAAGAGAGTTTCGCCCACCACCTAACCCCCATCGTGGCCAACTTCTACCATCGCACTTGCGTGAAGCACTTCGCCGTTACAAGCGTGATGGCGAGGGTGGTGGTGTCGGTTTCTCCGGATTGAGTATGGATAATCTAGGAGTGAAGGGTTCGGTTACGTGGGGTTCTGGCAGCGTGGGTGGACGGCGACTATTCCGTTAATCAACTATTTTCTTCTTGGCTTCATATGAAAGGTACATCGGCGTGACGGAATTTTTTCCACGGCGCTCGGGTTTTGTCGACAAGGACGTCGACTCATGGTTTACCAGGAGTTTTCTACCTACATGGTAGAGGTGTTTCATAAGGATTACTGGACATAAAATTTGATACCACACTATTATTGACCCTCTAGCAACTAGCCTTTGAGCCCCTTATCCTAAGTCCATCCACATATCTTCCCAGGAAATTACGTATCTCTGAGGAGCAACGGGGGGTGTTTCAAGTAACTGTACAATAAGGAGCGTACATTCCGCCACATTTGCTTGATCTGCCAATCTAGGAGGTTGGCAGGCCTTGGCATGGACTGCCTATTCGATGCATAATTCACACAAGCTATGTAAACGCGTCTCCTTAACCCATGAATGCCCCCGTCCGCCAACTACGGTGGCTACCTAATCCTCTTCGCTGCCCCTGAACCCGCCTAAAACGCCAAACCTGTGGTGGTGGTGGTGGTGTTGTATTTGATATCTAAAATTCCTAGTAAATAAGCCATAACAGTAGTTCCTCAAAAAGCAAAACAAATACACAGCCAGATCGACACACTCAATCCTATTTTAGCAATGTCTTATGCCGACCCTGCAAGGGTCTAACGCCTCCCGCGCATTTGTTTTTTCCTTATCCTCAACTCTCGCAGAAGCACTACGTACCTAGACCCCGCCTAGACCCTGGCATACCGATGGCTTTCTAGATCCGCGTTCTGATCGACACTTTTCGAACCCCCTAGCCGTGGCGAAGCATATCCAGACACTTCTGGGCTGGTCATTTGACGAGATGATGGGTTCATGATTGCGCAATTGGACATCCTCATCGGCTCATGCGATGCAGGAACGCTTTGTCTATCTATTTGTGGCTTCGGACTCTGGAGACCTGGTGTGTTGTTGTGCCCCTTCTTTCTTGGCGTGTTCCTTACTCGAGGGGTATACTAAGGCTTGATGGCCGTTTGGGTTGGCAGTTTTCTTCCGTTGTGTGTTCCGTATGCTCTTGTTTCGTTTTGTTATTCATTTGGCCCAGGCTACATCTTAACGGCTATGTTAACCTGAGGCTGTCTACCGACCCCGCGGTGATATGATATCTCTTTGGAGTATCTGAAGCACTAAATCATTCTTTAAATCAAATTTCATACATATCCTGATAACCATCATGTCACTCTTTCCATCTTCTCATCTATACACTCGTTTAAAAGATACTATTCCCGCTGTTCTACCGTGGAGTCAAGGGGACTCCTCCACCAAAGGTGATCCTCGGAAGAGTGTCAAGTGGATCGATGTATGTTTCCAAATACTCTCAATGTGTATCCAGATTGATCTCGCTAACAGGATCCTTCAATATAGGGCCTGCGCGGAATTGCCTCCTTCCTAGTAGTATTGACACACCTCGCCCGAGCATGGGACTATGACCTCTTTTCTCCTCGAGACACCGAAGACGCGATCCCACGGATCCTGCAATGGCCTATCCTGCGCATTCCCTGGCAAGGCCGTCTCGGTGTTACCATCTTCGCATTCCTTACAGGCTATGTCTGTGCCCTAAAACCATTGAAGCTATCACGAGCTGGAGATACGACTTCTGCATTCACAACAATCGCTAAGAGCGCCTTCCGGAGACCACCAAGACTTATCTTTCCGGCTACCATTGCCTTGGTGATATCATGGACGGTTGCCCAATTCGGCGGATTTACTGTTGCCAATCGCTCTGATAGCTGGTGGTGTCGATATGCAGCCCCAGACTTGGAAGATTCTCTCTGGAAAGAGGTTCTTCGGTTAGGGGAGAACTTTTTGTCGACTTGGACCACCGGTTATATGGCATACGATGATCACCAGTGGGCTCTTTTACCTTTGCTAAAGGCCTCGATGCTGGTATTTATTCTTCTTGTCGCGACCATGTTTATGCGATTCCGATATCGAGTCACCGTATACATTGGGATGCTGCTTTATTATCACCAAGATGCTGCAAAAGATACGGGTATGAACTATATACTCTCGCACTACCTATGCTTGCATTTGACATGACAATGGAAACAATTTGCTAACGTAAACTCACATTTTAGAAACATTCCAAATGCAAGCTATTTTCGGCGTCCTTCTCAGTGATCTCTCATACAACACCACGCTCAAGGACTGGGTAGAAGCCCATCGCTATACTCGGAAGCTCATCATCATACCCCTCGCACTTGCGGGTCTCCTAATCGCCTCCTACCCAGGCGAACACCCCGAATGGATGCCCTGGTCGAATTTCATGTTCGAACTCTCAAAATACATTTTCCCACCAGATGTGAACGTCGGGAAGCGCTACTCAGCCCTCGGCGTGGACCTCATCATCCTAGCAATCTACCTATCTCCCTCCACCAAGGAGTTTCTCGCCAGTCGACTGCTACTCTGGCTTGGAAAGCAGAGTTTCGCGGTATACCTCATCCATGGGACGATGCTGCGTGTTGTCCTTTGCTGGATGTTATACGGAATTAGTGGCCAGCCATGGGAAGGAGGTGAAGCTGCCACTGATGATTTGCGGGACTGGCTGCCACTACGACCGCCGTGGGTTGTTGCTATTAGTATACCAGTATGGATTGGACTGGTGTATGCTCTTGCAACGGCTTGGACAGCGTATGTTGACCCGTTCTGTGCATCTATGACGGAGAAGTTGGAGAGGACGGTTTTTGCAGAGGATGAGAAGGCGTCGTTGCCATTGCCGGCTGTCTCGGTTCCTATGCGGACTACATGAGTGGGCCTGTTTATTGAGACTTTCTTTTTTTGTTATCCCTCATCTTAAATTGGGCTGTAACAAACATACTGGGTTTCTATTCCGACTTCCATTCCGTGTGGAGAAATGGTTTGGTGCAATGCACAATCAGCATGGACTTCTCATCACGCCCTTTTCTTTGTTAGGAGGTAGATATTAGAAAGTAGATAAATGAGCTACGCATGGACAGAGTTCAAGAATGGTCGAAGTAGATTCTAATTCTGTAATACATAAAAACACAGAATGCCAGAGTTAAAGCGCCCTAATTTACAGTTTATACACATTGAGGGAGATCACTGCCTCCGAGGTGGGCCGTTGCGTCCAACCGCCTGGAAGTTCTTGAAGGAATCCCGAGCCTTCTGTCGCTCAGCTGCAAGAGTCCTCATATGGGAGCTCCGACGGGCGTGGTTACGCTCCTCGCGCAGGGCGGCTTCCCGAGCCTTGGCTTCCTGCTCGTATCTATCTGCGGCCCGTCGGTCCTCATCGCTAAGACGAGGCTGTGCGGCGGGAGAGCCATCCGCATTCTTGGTCGCCTTGCCTCTCACTTCGCTCCACTTGTCCGTGACTTCGCGCTTAGCCTTTTCGCTCCAGCTGGTGATGTTCTTCTGGACTTGGTCGATTTTGCTGATGTTGCTATCATCGGTTACCTGGGCCTGGGTTTGCTTGAACTTCTCCGGGTTGGCTTGAATCTCTGCCAACCGGGCTTGGAGCTGCTCCAGGTTGCTCATATCTTGCGTCGCCTGGCGCTTGATAGGGATAGCCATGCCCATGGCTTTACGGAAGTTGGCGTTGTTGATAATGTAAGCTTGAGCAAGACCGAGGAGACCCGTAGACAGGAAGTACAGCTGCAGAGCGCCTGGCTGGAAGGCCATGAATGTGAAAGAAATGGCCGGAAGACCAATTAACATGGCTTTACCGGCAGAGGTGTTGAGAATATCCATGGTGCCAGTCTCACCACCTTTCTGTACTATTTATTAGTGTCCGTCCTCGGTTGTTGTGAGCAAGGAGAGGGATCACCTACCTTGAGTGTGAGGTACAAGCACGAGGCTGTGATGACAGGGATCAGGTATAGCTGATCAGACACAGTCAAGTCATTCAACCACAAAGCAGACTCGTTCAACAACCCCGGCACCGGCAAAGAGGTCATACCGCGGACAACACGGAAGATACCGTAGCCGAGAGGAACCTGCAGCATAGGAATGAGTGCCTTTGAGGGCTTGATCCCGTGCTCGGCCTGAATCTTATCGAGCTCGGCCTTCTTAATCTGGAACTCGTGTGTTTGTCCATCGATACGAGCCTTCATCATCTCTTGACGAATCGGGTCAATGATAGGTCTCGCGTTATGGGTTCGGGCACCTGTGTCGGAAGCAGCCATAGTAGGCTTGAACAGACCAACACGCACCAATACGGCGGCACCGACAATGCTAGCCCACCATGGCATACCCGTCCAAATATGAATGTGCTCGATCACATATTGGAGCATGGAGGATGGACCCCAACCATAGTCCAAGCCAAGTTCCTTCAAGTATCCAATCTTCTCAGGAATCTCCGAGATATCAAAACCAACGTCAGACGGGTCAATCGGCGTTGTCGTTTCGGGAACGGAAGCGGGAGTTGGGTCAGAGGAGGTCGAGTTGAAACGGATCGCAGCAGGGCTGGCAGCAAGAGCAGCACGGCGCCATGGAGCATTTCCAGAGGAAGCGAGGGTCAATTGGCTCTTCTGGCCAGGGAGTTGGAAGCGCTGAGGCCTGAAGGTAGATACCTGCAAGAACTAGTCAGTACGTGGTGTCCTTCCCCGGAGAGTCCTAGATATGACCAACCGATCGGGTGGATCGAGGAACCGCAGCGAGCCGTTGCCGCGCAAAGGCAGTGGCAGCACTGGGCCCTTTCAGGCCAGCAGCTCCCATCATTTTGTTAGAGAATGAGGAAAAGAGTGATTTTATGGATAGACAGTCGGACCATCGCGAATCTCCCGCGCCTGTCGGGGAGACTTTTTCTGCCGGGCGGAGACCACCCCGGTAAACATCCGATGCCGAGTCGTTGCCGGCTTTGGCCGTGAACTATGTACAACTCGAATTACCTTGATTTTGTACCTATCACTCCCCATATTCAGGCCAGCAAGATATCTCATACTCTTTGGCTATGGCCTAGGTACAGGAACTAATGTCTATCCCACACAATCTTCCATCAAGGCATACAGAACGGGTTAGTTGGTTTAGTTTCTGGAAATGCATTGTTAGGGATACGAACAAATAAATATACGGAGTATTCGTTAGTTACTCATTGCAAGAATTAGTAACATGTTCTAAGCAATATGTAAAATACAAATCCAGTTCGCCAGGCGCCAGCTGAGCAGTCTATGTACATGCACTACATCCAAGTGTTGACTCGAGGTCAGGTATCTCTCCAAACAAACATGTACCAGTTTTGTGTTTCCCATATCAATGCAGATCTGAGATGTTGAGAAAAATAGCATTTCAAGAGAGCCAGTAATGCCCTCTGTTTATTCCAAGGCTGCGGTGTCATTCAAGCCAGCAGCAGAGGTGACCCGCCTCCGCTCCGAAGGAAGCTCCCGAATCTCGACTCCAGGGCCCACGGGGTGCGTTCGGCGGTACATTGGGAAGATCTGAAATATTAAAAGAGATAGTAAGTATTTGTAGACTCTATGTACCACGTTATATTCAGCACATACCTTCGTGTTTGACCACCCCAGGCGGAAGGCCGCCTCATGGGCGAAGAGCTCGCCGAAGCCCAGCATGAGACCGTTCACGAATGGGAGCAGGAGGTTGATAGCTGCTCCTCGGATGAGACCCCATACAGTCGGGGGCTTGTAGAGAATCATGGGAGAGCTGGAGGTCGAAGGAGGCGAAGACGGTGACTCGTTGTTTGCCGAGTAGTTTTCCGAATCAGAGGGGACAGTCAAGGCGGAGTCGTATAGCTCGACCCGCGAGCCAGGGGCATCGGAGGCCATGGGTGGTGGAATATGTATTATTTGAATTGATAGAGATCAAGAGCGAGGTAGAGATCGGACCAGATGGGCTGGGAATTGGACGTTTGGTCAACCGCTCCTCAGGGCGGCGGTCGGGATGCTCCTCAAGAGGGCAGACGTGTGGATTATGTCAGCGGATCGACCCCGAGGCGGTGGGGACTCCATTGATGGATGTTCTTACCATGTAGCGAAACTTGATTGCAGGGGAATTAGTATCTCCAGAAATATTGTGAGATCTTAAATCCAAGGTATGCAAAGGCATAAAGAGACGTATGACTGAGATTAGCATGAGTTCACAAATATACATTTTCTAATTACTGACGGCCTATGTTTTGGACAATCCGAAGGCAACCCTGCACCTAACCTTAACACCTTGATAAACAGATAGTCATGGTGATATTTCCCAGTGGGGAGCTAGAGTAGTGGCTTGGCCTTTAGTTTGTGATGTATACCTCACTGTGTTTATACTAGGTCTACCCTACTGGAGTATAGATCAAGAGCCTCAGGCCCCGATAGTCGGAAGATCCTCCACTCCGGCTGACCAATTGCGAGTGACGTACCTGCCCGCGGTGTTTAGCTGGCTTCCTCCAGCTCGGCTTGGTTGACTTGCAAACAATACCCTTCTTACCCTTATACACCTTCTTCACCACTTTGATAACTCGCATACCGCCCGTTTCACTTCACCTCGGGACGTCCACCTTCATACCTCTTTCAGATTGTCCATCAGGATCTATCCATCAAGCTCAACCATGGACTACAACCCCGCAGAGCACGACGAGGTCGTGTCTCAGTTCTGTAACATGACAGGAACCAAGCCCGCCGAGGTAATTATTGTGCTTTCTTTACTTCTAAGGTCTATTATTAATGTATTTTTGCGGTATTGTAGGCACAAGAGTACCTTTCTGCCAACGGGTGGGACGTGGAAGCTGCCGTGACCGAGTTCTTCGCGGAGCAAGATGAGGCGCTACAGGACATGAACACCGGTGGTGGCCGACGACTAGGCACGGAAGAGACAGCTCAAACAGCTGGAGGAGGTCGCTCCCTCGGAGGGGGGCCCGTTCCAGCTTCCTCATCTGCAGCACCCCAGTCTTCGTCATCGAGCCGACGTGCTGCGCCAAAGAAGAAGTTTGCGACATTGGGTGACTTTGCTACGGGGAGTGGTGGTGACTCTTCCTCCGAGGATGGCTCCGAGGACCAGGACTTTTTCGCTGGTGGAGAGAAATCTGGCTTGGCTGTGCAAAACCCGGATGACTTGAAAAGGAAGATCCTCGAAAAGGCTCGCAGGTAAGACCGTATAGCTATCCTTGAAAGACCGTATACTGATCCATGCATGAACAGAGCCCAGCCTCCATCCTCAGATGAGCCTCAGTCCCGACCCTCTTACTTCACCGGAACTGCCCGCACCCTGGGTGGCGACGACGCTCCTAGCAGAGTTGTCGAAAACCCCTCCGAACCTCAACCGCAACGGCCCCAGCGCGTCCACCGAACTCTTCACTTTTGGGCTGATGGCTTTTCGGTCGATGATGGAGAGCTATACCGCACTGATGACCCCCGCAATGCTGAAATCCTGGAAGGTATCCGCCAGGGTCGCGCTCCTTTGACTATTATGAATGTTCAAGCGGGGCAAGAAGTCGACGTCGAGTTGAAGCAACATGACGAGAACTACGTGAAGCCCAAGCCTAAGTATATGCCCTTCTCGGGTGTTGGACAGCGGCTTGGAAGCCCTACTCCTGGCGTGGCAAGCAGCCAGTCCTCTACTCCCTCCGCTGCGCCCGCTCCCACTACGGCTGGGCCCCCCAAGCCTGAAGTGGATGAATCGCAGCCGACAGTTACTTTGCAGGTGCGTTTGGGAGACGGCACTCGACTGACGTCCCGTTTCAACACTACTGCCACCATCGGTGATGTCTACGCCTTCGTTGCAGCCTCCACTCCCGATGGTCGGAACCGCGCGTGGGTGCTCATGACCACATTCCCCAGCAAGGAGCTCAGTGACTGGGATGTGACTCTCGGTGACCTACCAGAGTTCAAGCGAGGCGGCGTGGTTGTCCAAAAGTGGACGTAGAACACATCGTCGGTTGCTTGGGGCTGACTTCAAAAGCGAGTGGCAGCGGAGATAGACTACGTCTCGAGCGCCTAATGGTTAGATACGATGATAGGAATTACGATGCCATTATGTTGGCTACTCTCGGAAGACCAATGGTATCATAAGAATACAAATTTTTTTAGCTCTAGCCATTAGATCTCATGTAAAACATGATGGAAAGTATAGGAAACCATCCGCGGACGATGTTTTAGTCAGAGAGCGGCGATTGATAAGCGTCCGAGGTCGGCTCCCCACTTAAGCCTATCCGTCCGTCACTGTCTTTGCTTTTCCTCTACAGATTCCTCTACCTACACAAAGATGCCTCTGGACGGAGTCAAGAACATTGTGCTGGTGAGTAGTCCATCTGGAAAGCCATGCGCCTCCTCATACAAGCAAGCCTCCCGCAAAACACTCTTCCCACTCGCCTCAGTAGCTTATCGATAACGAATGCATGAGGGGCATGCCGATTGGCGAGTAACAAGCAGCAGTCGCAGCAGCATCAGAGCACATAGATTCAAGAGACTGACAGACTTGTATCGCAGGTTCTATCCGGCAAAGGAGGCGTTGGAAAATCCTCCGTAACCCTCCAACTCGCCCTCGCACTCTCCCTCCAAGGCAAATCCGTCGGCATCCTCGACATCGACCTAACAGGCCCCTCAATCCCAAGACTCGTCGGTCTAGAAGACGCCAAAATCACCCAATCGCCTAGCGGATGGCTCCCCGTTCCAGTTCACGATGCCATCCCCACACAAACAGACACCCCATCATCCTCGTCCCCTTCACCCCGCGGCTCCCTCCGCTGCATGTCCCTCGGCTTCCTCCTACGAGACCGCGGCGACGCAGTCATCTGGCGCGGGCCGAAAAAGACAGCCATGATCCGCCAGTTCTTGTCAGACGTATCGTGGGACTCAACGGATTACCTCCTCATCGATACCCCGCCGGGTACGAGTGACGAGCACATCGCGCTGGCAGAGCAACTCCTCACTCTATCTACGACGGACGCTGTCGCCGCAGCGCAGTCGAATCTGCCTCGTTTGACCGGCGCGGTACTAGTTACCACCCCGCAGGCCGTTGCTACATCGGATGTGCGCAAGGAGGCCAATTTCTGCGTCAAGACTAGTATCCCTATTCTCGGGGTTGTTGAGAATATGTCTGGATATGCTTGTCCGTGCTGTGGCGAGGTGAGCAATTTGTTCTCCAGTGGTGGCGGAGAAGTCATGGCGCAGCAATTGAGTATTCCGTTCTTGGGTCGTGTGCCCGTTGATGTGAAATTCGGGGAGCTGGTGGAAGGGAAGGTGGAGGCTGGGAGTGATGATGAAGATGAGGATGAGGAGATGGAGGCAAAGGATGAGGCCCCGGAGGAGCCTGATACGAGGCCTCTGGTTGAGAGATACCAGGAGGGCTGGTCGTATCCTCGATTCGAGGAGTTTGCGCGGACGATAATTGGAGGCGTGCGGGCCACGGCTGGGGCTTCCTAGTAGTCGGTCTGCCGTGATCCGTTTAGAGAAAAGTTGCGAGCGTTTTAGGGTTCAGCGATTATCTAAGTTTGCCAATTCGCATTGCATTAAGAATGGCGTTGTTTCATTATAATCGTTGGGCTAACGTCCAGAATATGTCTGCTTAGTATACAAGGAAAAATAAAAGACGAAATTCATTAGGAAACTTGCGTGTCTGCACACATAAGAATATCTGAAGCATGTCGTATAGTCATTAAAAGTCATCATTCGTCGTGAGTCATTACAAAGGGAATTGCCAGTTATATACGCCGGTGAACTAGGTCATGGGCAAAGAAGTATGCTCATCGCCTGCTCGCCCGAGCATAGCCCGTAGACGGTCCTCGGCTGATTGCAAGGCAGGCCGCGAGTCTGGCTCAACAACGCGGGTTGTCCATTTCAGCCAGCCAAGGAGAAATTGGACCACATCGGACGTGTTCCAACTGTCCGATGCGTGGGTGCCACTAAGATCCGTGGCATCTGTAGTAACCCGTGGCTCTGCAATAGTGTATTGATCATCTGCTCGTGCTTCAAAGTGAACTTCAGAGACCATAGCTGGGGTGGCTATATCCTGTGAGGGCTGGCCAGCACCGCCAGAGGGCTTGTGCTTCCCCAGCAGGTCTCGGCTGGAGTTCTTTGGTCCTGAGGGAAACTCGCGAATCGCTGGCAGTGTGCCTCTTTCTAAACTTGCTCCATTCACTGTGGTAGACTGCGTAGCCATCAACGAGGTCGGACTGCTATTGCGTTCCAAGGCAGATGCAGCATGCCGAAGGTTCTCCAGATAACGATAGAAAGAGAACGGATGCATATCACGTCCCGTGTCCATCATGCCAGGGTCGTCATCAAAGATAACGACACCCTCATCGGCACGACGTTCATCACTCGAGCTTGCCTCTTCGACCGGGACCAGGCCACCTCCTGGCGGAGCACGAATCTCGCCCAACGGGGCGATATGACTGCCATACTCATTCGCAAGACTTAGTTTACTGCGTCCACAGATCTCGGCGATTGAGTCCAATGTTCCACGGATATCGGGATCGATGGCTTGCAGTATACTATCAATACTGAAGTCTTTATCCGACGGGAGCGGCGGACCCGATGGACGGGGGGAAGCCGAACTCCTCGACCCGGTGAACGGGAACAGTCGGCGCGGAGACATGGATGACAGCTTGCTCCTCGGTTCATCCTCTGCATTTCCAGAATACGCTCTGACTAGAACGGGTTGCGTTGGTACGGTAGACGGCCGCTCAGATGGTAGATTAGCAGCGCGGTCTGTTCGGGACCCGGGTTGGAGGTCTTCGTGTACTTCACGTAGAGACGAAGAATGGTGGTCTCGGAAAGACTCGTTCTCGGCAAAGGCTTCGAAGAAGTGCCAGCTTGCCTGGTGGGAGGGGCCTGCATCGCCTGATGTAGGCGCGTAGGACGGCGACTGTCGAGACCACCCTTGTCTAGCGAAAGACGAGGACGATAGCCGGCTTCCGTCCCAGCGAGTCGACCGTAAGTCCGATTCCATTTCGTACTTACCAATCCAGATACCGGAGGGCCTTCGGGTCAATGCAGGACAACGCAGACTTGCGGGTGGGAAACCCCGCTCGGAAAGAGTATGTGTTTTTGCGGGGAGATAACAGCGTTCTGCCGAGTATGTACTCACGAGGCAAGGTGCGTCTCAAAGTCGCATGCCCAAGCGCATAAAGTGGTTGATGCGTTGGCAGATTCTCAGCGCATCAAAGCTCTCGAGACAAGAGATAGAGAAGGTGCAAGCCCACTACTAGAAGGAGGAAAGTGAGAAAGTAAGAAAATGGAAAGTCCAGTGAAACGGCGGCCAAACAAACGCCAAGACTCGACACGTTTGGCTTCGAAGCTCCACCACTCAGCTTCACCTGCACCGCTACTTTACCCGCGAGTCGGCACACCATGAATCGTTTCCATGTAGGTTTGATGGTGCTCCGGTAATTCTTGGTGGATTTGAGCTAATCCAACCCCGTCCAGTTCGGCGACTCGGACGAGTCTGCCTCCGACTTCGACGAGGATCCCTCCGGCCTGCCTTTCCCCGAGCCACTATCACGAACCTCGTTCCTGTCCCCTGATTTTGACCCGGCGGTCTTTCTCTCTTCTTTAAGGAATCGCCACCAGAGTCTAGAAGATCTGCGGCAAGAGTTGCGGAGCCTGGAGCAAGTGCTGAACAAGGAACTGCTGGACCTCGTCAACGAGAACTATCAGGACTTCCTATCCCTCGGCACCGCATTGCGCGGAGGAGAGGAGAAGATCGAAGGGGTCAAAGTGGGCCTGCTATCTTTCCAACGAGATGTGCAATCTATACGGGACAAAGTAGAAGCACGCCGTCAGGAAGTAGAGGGGCTATTGAACGAGAAACGACAACTCCGATCGCAGGCAGATATCGGCAAAGACCTACTGGACTATGACGACCGTGTCGAGGAATTAGAGCACCGATTGATGATTGCGGACAAATCTTCACCAACCGGAGATGCCTCGGCTGATGATGAGTCCGATTCCGAATCGGATCTATACGGCACCGGCAACGACGAAAGTGACGACGAGGAATTGGAGGACGGCACTGCACCCGTGTCACTGAGACGACTTGAGCGCCATGTCCAGAAATACGTATTCTTGACCTCGATTGCGAAACGAGTGGGCGAGAGCCACCCGTTCATTCTTGCACAACAGCCGCGCGTATCCAAGATCAAGTCCACCGTTCTGCTGGACCTGAAGACTGCGTTGGAACGGGCTGGTCCTGCTGGGGATAAGCGTGATGCACGGACAATGGCAGTCCTCCGCCTCTACGACTTGATGGGCGAGGATGTCAGTGCCGTCGCCGCGCTCAAGAACCTCAAAATATAGATTTACTCGGGACTGAGATTTACTCGGGACTGTTCCAACCCATAATGCGTGGGATATACGTGGGAAGTTGCATAGCGTCGGCGTTCAAGGTTATGGGAGTCTTCTATTGAACAGAAATGATACCATGATACACCAGGTCCTTTCCTAATAAAACAAAAATCTGTACACGCCAAGATGAATATAAGACAGCAAGGTATTTTACACGCCGGTCAAGGCAGAGGTTTCGGGGGAGTTGTCGGTCTTGAATTCGCCGTTCAAGCTGAATCCGGGGCCATGGGTGGAGCTCAGGACCTAGATTATCGGGTTAGTTACCATCGTTGTAGATGTAGAACGGGTGCAACACTTACCACTTCATAGATCTCCTTGTTCACGCGGTCATTGAGCCCAGAGGCATCCTTCTTGATCTGGTCAATGGTAGTGCGCAAGTTGTCGCGCAGTTGCTCCGGAGAGAAGCCTAGTTGGCCGATGGGCAGCCGAATGACGGCATCGCGCTCTCTGTAAACGGTACCTCCGCGCAGCATTTCCACACGAGAAGCCACATCTTCCACCACGGTACCAGTCTTCACACTCGGCATCAGGCCGCGGGGACCGAGGATACGACCCAGAGCGGCCTTGTTGAGTGCCGGCAGACTGTCGGGGTGAGCAAGACAGCGGTCGAACTCGATCTTGCCAGCCTTTACGGCCTCAAACACCTCGTCCTCACCAACCAAGATGGCTCCTGCGGCGAGCGCATCCTTTGCTTGCTTTGACCCGGGGGGACAGATGACGCAGATGCGGGATTCGGTTTGGACAGCGTGAGGGAATCGGATCATGTTTCGGATAACGGGGCCGTCTCGCCTTGTGCGCAGGCGAATGTGCACTTCGTACTTTGAAACTGTGGGCTCGCGGCCGACTTCAACGGCCCGGAGATACCTGCGGAGAAGAGGCTATGTCAAAAAACAATCCATACTTGAGATACCATCAATGGACCTGTATCAATCCACTCATGAGACTGCATACCGCATCGCATCACAAAGAGCAAACTGCTCCATGTCCTTCAAGTTCTTCTGTCGGAATTCACGAGGACCTTTCCGATCCGACTTGGTATCCTTCTTCCCCTTGCCTCTGGCTTGCGGGTTGCTCTTCGCACCTCGGACTTGCTGGAATACCGAGAAAGATGGGGCAATTGACTTCTCCCGGAGAGCTGGACGGCATGATGAAAGAATACCGCGTGCCACAGTGGGCAGTGCGGTGCCGTAAGACGACATGACTGAGTAGGCGTTGACTGAGCAAGACGTCGGAGCCGCAGACGGAGGACATGCAATTATTGTTTTCTGCCGGACAGCTCTCGGCTCCGGAGAATTATACCCCCGGCCCCCGATTATGATAATGACTGCCCCTCCTCCAAATTATTTCCCCAGTCATCCATTCGTTCTGTGCAATATCCAAAAGCACAAAATGACCCAATTCGATCTGACCGTGGCCACCCGTGCCGGGCATGCTGCCCTGCTGCCCGTGATCCTCATTGCCACCTCCATCAATGAGGCTCGCCCTTCTCCCGTCATCAACATCAAGTATGAGGACACTGCTCTCCTCAATGAGGGTGACAAGGCTATTCTGCAGCTCTCCACTGCCGGCAAGTCTGTGTTCGGTACCATTCCTGCCATTCAGGAGCTGTGCGCCCACTTCCCTTACCTTGTGGGCAAGGATGCCACCATTGTGAGTTACCCAGCCAGATAGTTCAACCCCGCCATACAGTTTGAGTATATGGCTCACATCCCTAATCTGTTTGACTCATACATATCTAACACCTATTTTTGCATATAGGAGAGCCAGTGGATCTCCCAGCTGGACACCCTGACTACCCTTGACTTCAAGGCTCTCGACCCTATCCTCCAGAAGCTCGACACTCACCTCCTCCTCCGCTCCTTCGTCGCCGGATACGCTCTCTCTACCGCCGACATTGCTCTGTGGGGTGCTCTCCGTGGTAACCGTGTTGCTGCTGCAGCTCTGAAGAAGGGCTCTCTTGTCAACCTGACCCGTTGGTACCGGTTCCTGGAGGAGCTGTGCCCATGGACCACCGCTGCTATTGAGGCTCTCACTGCTTCTGCCAAGGAGTCCAAGGCCGCCAAGTCCAAGGCCGGTGCTACCTACGACATTGCTCTTCTCAACACCGACAATGGCGTTGTGACTCGTTTCCCTCCAGAGCCCTCTGGATATCTCCACATCGGTCACGCCAAGGCCGCCCTTCTCAACGATTACTTTGCCCACGAGAAGTACAACGGTACCCTTCTTCTCCGGTATGACAACATTTCCACATAGGAATCATTACGATTGGATGCTGACAGCCCCTCAAGCTTCGACGACACCAACCCCTCGAACGAGAAGCAGGAGTTCCAGGATGCCATTGTTGAGGATCTTGCTCTCATGGGCATCAAGCCCAACAAGGTCTCCTACACTTCCGACTACTTTGACGAGCTCTACGCCTACTGTATTGAGATGATCAAGACCGGCCATGCCTACGCCGATGACACCGACAAGGAGACTATGGCTGCCCAGCGTATGGACGGAATTCCCAGCGCTCGCCGTGAGCTTTCTGCCGAGGAGAGCTTGGCCCGTCTGGAGGAGATGAAGAACTCCACCCCCGAGGGTCTTCGCTGGTGCATTCGTGCTAAGATCTCTCCCGACGACAAGAACAAGGCCCTCCGTGACCCTGTTATCTACCGTTGCAACCCCCCACCCCCACCACCGCACCGGTGCCAAGTGGAAGATCTACCCTACCTACGACTTTGCCTGCCCCGTTGTTGACTCAATGGAGGGTGTCACTCACGCCCTGCGTACCATCGAGTACCGTGACCGCAACCCCCAGTACCAGTGGATGCTGGATGCCCTCAAGCTCCGCCACGTCCAGGTTTGGGACTTTGCTCGCATGAACTTCATCCGCACTCTGCTGTCCAAGCGTAAGCTGACCAAGCTCGTTGAGAGCGGTGTTGTCTGGGGCTGGGACGACCCTCGTTTCCCTACCATTCGCGGTATCCGTCGCCGTGGTATGACCATTCCCGCCCTGCGGGAGTTCATCCTGAAGCAGGGTCCCTCCCGGTCGATCACTCTGTTCGACTGGGCTCTTATCTGGGCTACCAACAAGAAGTACATTGACCCCGTCGCTCCTCGTCACACTGCCATCGTGAAGCAGGACGTCGTCAAGACCACCATCACCAATGCCCCCGCTGCTTTCACTGAGGAGAAGCCTCGCCACGCCAAGAACGCCGCTGTCGGCATGAAGACCGTTACCTTCGCCCCCAACGTGCTTATGGAGCAGGTCGACGCTAAGTCCTTCAAGCAGGATGAGGAGATCACCCTGATGAACTGGGGCAACGCCTTCGTCCGCAAGATCACCACCGACGCCAACGGCACCATCACTCACCTCGACCTCGAGCTGAACCCCCAGGGTGACGTCAAGAAGACCGAGAAGAAGGTGACCTGGTTGGCCGAGACTCCCGATCTGGTCCCCGTCGAACTCGTTGACTTCGACTACCTGCTGAAGAAGGACTCCCTGACCGAGGATGACGTTCTTGAGGACGTTCTCAACTACGACACCGAGACCCGCGAGCCTGCTCTGGCTGACAGCAATGTTGCCCAGTTCAAGGAGGGTGATATCATGCAGTTCGACCGCAAGGGCTTCTACCGTGTTGACCGTGCTTACAGCCCCGGCTCCCCGGCTGTCTTCTTCAACATTCCTACTGGCAAGGCCAAATAGGTGTGTAGTGATGTAAAAATCGGTTAGCATATATGAAGGGGGATGTGATGGAGAAAAGTACTACTCGGAGAGATGATTAGTATCTGAATCTTAGAATCCATTTCTTTCCCACAACTACCATGCTGATACTCCATATCTTTCACCCTTAATCCACTGTGCCCAGACGCTCTCCAAATTTCACCAGATAGGGCGTAGATAAACCAAATTTCCGAAATCCCGCGCTATTAAGCGCAGGATTTAGCAGATTCAATACCTGTTCTTCTTTCGGCAAGTATAAGAATGAAGTAGCCTTTATCTGCGAATTTCCCAAGATAGAGGTAAGTGATAATCCACTTTATTGTTGCAGGGTCGTCTTGGCGAGTCGAACCATTCCTATGATAGATTCCTGAAAACCGGATAAGTAGCTCACAGGCTCAATATAAATACGCCATTCTCTTACTCGGCACGTATGTTTGAAGATAGCAATGAAGAATGTCCTCATTAAGGGCAGATAATAACCCGGTGAACGTTAGAGAAGATACGGCCTAGGAAAATAGAAGGTGGGAGGGTAAGAGGACGAGACATAGAGATGTAGGATATTCAGAGGTCCAGATACGCAGGAAAGTCAGGATTTCAAGAATGAGTGACCAGAAAATAGAGAGAAAGTGGAGAGAAAGAGCGAGAGAGGAGGAGTAATCGAGGAGAAGTGGAAAAGAAAAGTGCTAACACGATATCAAAAGGGAAAATTCATTTCCAGGACACAGCGAAGATTCATGAGGTGCTCAAAGTGAATAAGACGAATATCGAAGTTACGTCTTGGCCATTTGCTCACTTATCGAACGCTCTCCAAAAAGATCCAGCATCGCCGTCGTCGTATGTGTTCCGTATATCTCCAATCTCTAGATAATTTGAAGCCCTCTTAGCAAAACTGCCTTCACTAGCGAGAGGGTCTCCTTCCCGGTAATGGAGGCCCCCTTGCCAGCGTTGCAGCGTTGTAATGTTCCTCTTCAGAGCGGAATTCTCATTCTTCAAGGCGGCATTATCCCGCTTGAGGGTGGCAACCTCATCCTGGAGGCGGCGTTTCTCTCGAGCATTCTCGGCCTCTAGCCTAGTGTCACGGAGCATATCGGACTCAAGAAGACCCATCAGAATAGCTCCTCCGAGAAGACCGAAATCGCCGATCAACTTGAGGATTTCGGCATCGTCACGGGTCAAGTTCCGCAAATTGTCCTTGATGCATTTACCGATGAACTCACAGGGCCAGGCGTCATGCTTCATCTGAAGGATGTGGCGTGCCATGTCCACGAACCCCGGGCTCTTGAAGTTGCTCTTGGCCCAACTAGTCATTTTAGTCGCAGCGAGAGACTTCAAGAGTTGGATGTCGTATTTATCTGCGGTGATATAGACATCGGCATGATTAAGGCCCACTTGAGCTAGATCCTCATCCTCGGCAGCGGCCATTGGGATAATATGGCCGGTTTGTCGGTAGTCTTTAAGGTAGAGGTAAGAGATCATCCGCTCGACCGTTCCGGGGTGATCTGCGGGGAGCTCGATCACCCGTGTAGAAGACTCCTGTATGTCTGGTGAGCATCTGATAGATTCACAAGGAATATCCAGCAATCATACCTTGAACGGATGCTCGATGGCAGCCCTAAAGAACGAGGACTGGGGGCATATAATGCATTGGTGAACATTGAATGTGATGTCTTGGCAGAAGATCTTTAGGTCCGAATATTCACCGCTGAGGAGGAGTCTTTCGAAATACTTCTGAGCTTCAGAGAGCTCATAAGTAGGACTTGGGTGTTCCATGGTGGGACAGATGGTAAGGGATATCAGAGGGTAGGCGAAGGCGATGCAAAACGTCACTTAATGGTAGGGAACGATCGATAGAGTGTGGAAGAATATGGAGAGGATGAGAGAGACAAAAGGGAGAATAGGAAAGACGATGGTGATTTGAAGTGGATGACGAAGGACTTGAAGGAGATGGAGAGGAAAGGAGTGCCGGAGAGGAGGAGGCAGAGAAGGGGAGAAAGAAGGAAACAAACGGGGAAGAAGAAGAAGAAGAAGAGAGAGAGGGTGAGAGAGAGAGGAGGGTGCTGATACGATATCACCTAAATAAGTCTTGGATAAAAGGTATCTTCTAAATCTGATTCTGAGTATCTGAATAGCAGCTTACGAAAAAAGAACATACACATGAAACAATACACAAACATTAGATTTCAAGTAGGAAAGCGTACCAGCTACGACTCGTCGCCCTTTTCCTACTCACAAGAACCAGCCATAACCATATCGAAATTTCCCAGGAGCCAGGATACCAAGAAGCAGAAGTTCATGCTTCACAAGCAAGTCACCAAACCCCCACGGCATGCACTTTCCGCAGAGCCAGAGGCACACATGACCAATTCAGCCTGTCGCAGTTTATTCCACATCCTCTTCCTCCTTGCTAGCAGACAAGAAGAAACGGCCCTTGGGCTTACCAGGCTCTTCATACTCAATCGTGAGACGAGCCAGATGGCCAAGCAAGCTCTCAATCTTGATATCCCCCTTGCTGCGCTTGGCACGGCCCAGATTGTCAAGCCAGGAGATCTTGTTGAGAATGAAGTAAACGAGAGCAATCACGATCTCCACACCAAGAGAATAGCCCCAGATTCGGACCACAGTGACGATATCAGTCCATCCGTTCTTGGTCTCAACGAACTGGTCCACGGGCTTCGTCGGCATGTTCTCGTTCGTGAACCAACCAAACAAACAGAAGATTGTGGCTAGAATGTCCACTCCCAGAATAGCAGTAACCAGTTGAATGGATGGCCAGGTCTCAATGCCACGAGTCACGAAAATCAACCAGTTCTCTGTGAGAGCGACTTCCAAGAAGATCACTTCTTGAATAGAACCCCAGTTTTGAATGACCCCGCCCGATTTCAGGAACATAGATCCGCGAACAACCCAAGTACCCATTGCAAGGAGTACACCCAGGAGCACCGAGATAAACCAAATCTTTGGGAGTTGCCATTCCACAGGTCGCAGTTCAAATGACGCGTTATCATAGGCCACGGCAACAGTCGCAAGATCGGCAAAGAGAGCCAGGAAAACGATAAGCTCGACACGAATACTTTCGTTGAGGATAATCATCGCAGTCACAAGGTAGATTTCCAGGTGCAGACAGAGGGCGATACGATACTGGATATACGCCTTCATGCGGTGGAAAATCTGGCGAGCAACCTTGATCGAGTCGATGATAGTCGAAAGGCCAGGCTCCAGAAACACAATGTCCGAGGCGGACTGAGCGGCTTCCGAGGCTCCTTCAACAGCGATACCGCAATCAGCTTTTTTGAGAGATGGGGCATCGTTCACACCATCGCCGGTCATGGCAGTAAGGTGACCGCGTTCTTGAAGCATCTGAACAACCTGGTATTTGTGCTCTGGGAACACCTCGGCAAATCCGTCCGCTTTCTCGACCAGATCACTAGCCATGGCACCACTCAGTCCACCGTGAATAAGCTTATCCGAGTTGTAGACCTTAGTACCCAGGGCCAACATCTTGCAGGTTTCCTTAGCAATGGCGATAGCATCACCAGTGAGCATCTTGACACTAATGCCAAGATTCTGAGCTTCGCTGATAGTCTGAGCAGTGTCTTCGCGTGGAGGATCGAACATGGGGAGCATTCCGAGCAGAGTCCAATCTTCGCCTTCCTTCTGAACGGCAACACCCAGAGAGCGGAAACCTCGGTGAGCAAACTCCTGAGCTTTGGCCTTGTACATATCAGCGGTTTCCTTCGAGCACTTAGTGAGCTGAAGAACGGCTTTGGGTGCGCCCTTAGTACAGGTGTATCGAATGCCATCACAGATAGCCACAGTCACGATTCTCTTGGACACTGGATCAAAAGGGGTGAACCGCTCAGTCTTCCAACCACGTCGCAGGATATCTCTGGCCTTTGGGTATTGGCGAAGGGTCAAGATGGTGACTTTATCGATAGGATCCAGGGATTCGACATTGTGCGAGGAAGCAAGGGCAGCAACCGCAAACATCCAGTCAACGTCGACTCCTTCAGCCACATAAGGGTCCCGAATACTCAGTTTGTTGGCTGTCAAGGTTCCAGTTTTGTCGGAGCAAAGAATATCCACGCCCTAGTATCAGTTAGCTGGAGGATTTCCCGTGTAGGTAATCACAAGTTTCGAGAGGTAAACTTACAGCAAGAGATTCAATGGCAGTCAACTTCTGCACGATAGCCTTCTTCTTTGCAAGATAGGCAGCGCCCACAGCCATCGTGGTAGTAGTGACGACGGGAAGACCAACAGGAACACCAATAATCAGCAGCGACAAGGTGTAGTGAAGCAATGTCTGCTGACCGGGGGAGGCAATTGGAATATGGCGGAAGAATCCACCAATCCAAGCAGCCAGGATCCAAGCCATGACCAGAATCAACAGCGACGTTCCGATGTTATCCATTACAATCTCAAAATGACCAGCGCCCTTAGCAGACTGGACCATACTGGCAGTGCGGCCAACAAAGGAGGTCTTCGCACCAGTCTGGACAACAGCGTAAGCCTTGCCGCGCTTGCAGCCGGTGGTGTAGAAGATGACGTCGCCCATGTAACGGTCAACTGCAAGAGATTCGCCCGTGATGGCAGAGTGATCGCAAGCCAAAATGGGATATCCACGCTTACGGGGACGGTGCTGTGGCTGTGGCTGTTCCTCGCCCCCATCTGCAGTGGGTTCCTGTCCATCACTAGTACCCTGGTCGGTGTCCTTCTTTTGCTCCTGGTCTTCTTCTTCAGAGTCGGAGCCACCGTCAAGCATGCCCTCCTGCTGTAGTTGGTTGAACTCCTCCCAGCCGTTTGGATCATTGTAGTCGCAGATAATCTTCGCATCTGCAGGAACGACTTGGCCTTCACCAACGATAATCTATGGCATAGTTAGTGCCTGTGGTTCGTACCAATATCATGATGTGTGAAGAGACATACTACATCACCAGGGACGAGTTCACGAGCAAGAATCTCCTGTTGAGAGTTGTCACGAATGACGAGAGCACGCATAGCGATGTCACCCTTGAGGCTAGCAACCACATCGGCGGCCTGCTTCTCTTGATACCAACCCACGGAGGCGTTCAGACACAAAATGCCGATGATCACACCAAAGTCCACCCAATCTTGCAGACCAGCAGCCAGTAAGACAGCGAGTTCCATGACTAGACCCGCGTGTTAGTCACAGAACATCAAATAACAGAATAAGACACGTACCGTAAAGAATTGGACCACGAAAGTAAGACAGGACCTTGGCGATGGGATTCTCCTTCTCGGAGACGAGTTCATTCCATCCCGCGCGTCGACGGCGCTGGTTGACTACCTCACTTAACAGACCCTCGCGGATATTGGTAATAAGCCAATCGTCCGGGAAACGACCGGCTTCGTCCTCGGCAGGCTGGACACGAACTTTGCGCTTCTTCCATGGGGCATACCAAACACGTTGCTCCTCATACTCACCGGCCTCGGCTTGCTCAACGCCCGCATCTCGGAAGGTAGACACGTACTTGACAAGCTTGCCGTACTCATCCAGACTGGCGTAGTCCTCTCTGAGAGAGGCTCGCGAGATGCGAGAGCCACGGCGGGTGTCAGCGCGCTCGACGTCGCCCTGACTCGCCATGTTGGCGTTTTGAAACACTGGATCAATTGACGATGCAGTGGTGGTAAGAGTTTTGGAGGTTGATGGGGGGAGAAGGAAGAGAAGATGCTGAGTGATTGGAGAAGAGAAACGGTGGAGGGAGGAGGGGAGGAAAGAAAACACGTAGAGAGGGGATTTCCCTGGCAGATGCGACGAGAGCCTGAGGTTACAAACGTGGGAAAACAACAAACTGGAGGCCGATTAGATCTGCCCTGCCCTTCAAGTCGGACGTTTGTTTGTTCCTCGATGCGCCAGGCAATCAAACACAATTAGGAAAGATCCAGATCCCACCAGCGATTATGTTTCTTCGAAGCTTATAGAAAAGTAGATTACCAGCTACCACCAGGTACGAGATAATTTCCCCTCGCTCAGTCTATCATACTGACGTCGAGACTTGGAAAGCCCCCGGCTCAGAAAGTGCCCGCGGAGCCGTATAGAAAAGGTATCGTTCCCGCATCCGAGGTCGTGAAAGTTTAATTGACAGGTACCGGCAGCCCGCGATTCGAGGGAGAGTACCTGACGGCTCTTGACGTATGAGACATTGGCTGTCCCTATCCCGATGAACTTTTCCAGCAACGGGCCGTTCCTCGCAGCCATGGGCCTGTCATGAAGACTAGCCATTGTCGGCTCAGCAGTGCCCGGGCGGTGTTCATGTCTGCAATTCTGTTTGGCTGTTCCATCATTAACACCCTGTAGAACCAAAGCCTGTCACGCCTGTCAGCCAGAATAGGAAAGTTGTACACTATTGCAGCTCTAGTGGAGCCAGATAGCTTGCGCGGGGCGAGCTGATCGACCCTAAGCGTTTTTGGCGTCTTTAGCGTACCCGTTCCCTTCCGCCATTGGCCGAGCCTAATTTGGCTGTGAGCTTCGATTGATCGCAGGGCTGTCCTTCTCAGCATTCGATCTTTGCATGGAGATATCCTGTGACATTTTAATAAGAGCTGGGATAGAATGTGACAGCCACAGTGGATAGAAAGGGGTCCTGGGCAATGCTGTCCAGCTGGACTTGACAGTTTTGGACCACATCGCATGGCCGACATCATATGCTAGGCTGCCCTTCTGTTGCTACCCGAGCCAGAAGTTTGAACAGGTACTCCCGGTCTTGACATTGTATGAATCATCCATCATGGCGAGTTCTGGCTGGGATTAGCAATGGAAGGACGGAGATTTGAGGAATTGAAGAGAAAGAGGACTACGCAGGGGGTTTCTTGAATGTATTCCAACGTGATCAATCTGCAGGATGAACACGTGATATCAGATGCCCTGTACGTGTGTCTGATGTGTGACGTATACGCTTTCCAAGATGTTTACATCAGTCGTCTCCGTGAAAGTACAACGCTCAGAGTATATGAGTATGAGTTACAATAGTAATTATGATAAATGGGTATCAACGAAAGTAAGAAGTACATAGAGTTGGATGGATGGTCTCCAAACTATTCATGAGCAACATTCAAGAGACAGAAGAATCCTTCCTATACTTCATACATTACTCTGTGATATGAGCTGCTCAATCTTTACATGTCGCCATGATGAGAGCTATACCTGCAACGCCTAATATCCGACGCGACGGGCACGACGAAGATTCTTCGTGAGGCCGTGAGTCAGACCGCCAGTGATAGTGTTGGCGTCCTGCAAACCATGCAGCAGACCAAAGAGATCCTGGCTGATGACGCCAAGAGGACCCTTGCTAGTGGAGTCCTCCTTGGGAGTGTCGTTATTGACAGCATTGGTTGCACCTCCATTTCCAGCATTGCCAGTGTTATTCGGAGACTCGGTCTCGTCGTCAAAGTCAAAGTCGTCGTTATCGAAATCATCGGGTGCCGCCGAGGACTGGGCAGGTGCCTTCGTAGTCGAGGTGGACGCGGGCGGTTTGGGTCCAGCAGTCGGTTCTGGGACGGGAGTAGTCGTGACCGAGGGCTCATGACCATTGGACGATGAGGCAGATCCAGAGGATGAGGAAGAGGAGGACGAGGAGTCGGGTGCATTGGAAGATGGCGAGGTCTCCGGGGTGTTAGTGGACGAAGGTGCAGACACCGCGGTCGACGCCGCGTTGTTGGACGGCGACGACGAACCGGAATCAGGCCCACCAAGCGCCTTGCGCACACTTCCAATAAATCCATCATTCGCGTATGCCTGCGTGGTATCCCACATCATCACGCCGCCGAAGCTGTCGAACTTTTTCGTATACTCGATCACCTCCGCCAGTTTCGACGCAGGGATGTATCCGGTGCTGGCTGCGGTAGTATCGGCCGGGACACCGATCAGGACTTTGACGTTCTTGTTCTGAGAGACGTTCTTGGCCCAGGTATCCCATTCTTCAAAGTTGTAGTTTGAGCTCGTCTCATCGGTGGCGAAGTTATTCACGCCGCAGTAGTTGTTGTAGAATTGAACAAAGACCGCATCGATAGAAACCGGGCCATTGAGGATATCCTTGTCTGCCTGGTCGGGATAGGGGCATTGAGGAGCCGCAGTCAAGAAATACTGTTGGCTGGTGTCCTGATCCATCAAGCTGCGGAGCTCATTGGCGAACGTTGCCATGTGCAGCACGGTGGCCTCAAAGTCAAAATCAAAGCCATCAATACTAACGTTTCCGAAAGGTCGAAGAGCTTTTGATGATGCTTGGACTGGGCCAAAGGTCTCCCACATCAGCTTTGCACCAGCCTTTGCGTCGTCGTCGGATTTGAAACCACCCTCGCTGTACGTCGCACCGCCAATAGAGAGTAGAATTGTCTTGCCCTTTTGCTGGCATGTTGCAATATCGTCACTAGAACGCATTAGATTGACTGCGCTTTGCAGATAATATTCTTACTCACCCAATCTTGGGACAGTTCTTCAACTGGGTTCCAGGGAAGACGTCGCAGTCATTGCTGGTGACCGAGAAGTCGACTTGGGGAACACCCCCGGGCCCATTGATCATCATGTCGAACGCCAACGGGATGACCTAGTTTATTTCAATCAGTGATAGGGTTCAAACAATAGATCATTCTATTCATACATCGATGTCATCGTCTGGAGATTGAATGATTAGTGTTCTGTTCTGTATCGCTGTCATGTATGCGTTTGACTTACTCTCGCAGTAGTGCGCCAGTGGCTGTTGGACCTGGCCACCATTTCCCTGCAATGAATTCTGACCTAGAAAGATATCATGTAAGCTGTCTTTGTTTCAAGGACAAGTCAGAAATTATCCCAGTACATACCCCAGTAAATGGCAATGTTCTTGGCAGAAGTCAGGTCCAGCTTTGCCTGAACTCCTCCCAGGGTGGCCAAAAGGACCGACCCTGACAGATACTTTTGATATCCACGCATATTGTTAGGGATGCCAATTAAACGTCTGGCCAGAGAAAAATGAAGGACTAAATATTAAATAAGAAATAATCAAAGGAATGAAATTATTTGGCGTATGACGGGGTCGCAACCCGGTAAAGGAACGAAAGGCGACACGGCGAGGACGAGTGATAGACAATCAGGCGCACGACGACTCCGTTCACGGAGCTCGTTAAATAGCAGGCAAAGGGCATATTTTGCTTCCCAGTCTGCATGCCATCCGTAAAAACAATGCGGCCATTTCCTGCGTCATCTAGGGGAGTTGTGGGTGTCTTGGCTCCTATCGCATGGGATGGCCCACTACGTCCACGCCAGCAGTCAAACTGATAGAAATTAAACCCCGCTTGGCCCGAGGACTTGCATGTTTCAATTGTCGGAATTCTGGTCATTGGAGCGTTTAATTGGATCGTGTTGCAGTCTTTAGCAGGCTCGCCTACATTCCAGTGTTGTTGTCAGGGGATTCAGCTGCTGATCGTGGAATGTATTTCACCAGTCACGAAAGTCAATATTGGATCACGTTCTAGCCTCATGCTACTCGGTCAAATACATGGAAAGCTCTCTTATTACTGGCCGGAACGATCCTAGCAGCATATCGCACGTCAGTCCTGTGTCAGGATCGGCTGTCGACGAGTACTATGAAGCTAGGGTTAGCCAACATGAACATTCCAGGAATGACAGTCCTCCCTACATTGACACCAATGGACCTCCTCCCTCCCATCGCCTTAGGTTATGTATCGCATTTCTTCTTCGGTTTTTGACAATTTAGGCGATTTGTCACGAGACGGCAACTTGTTTCACAGTCGGTCTGTTGGTCACGTACGAGAAGCACGGGGATACCAACCTTCATTATGTAGTTAAAAAGGCCCATGCTAGCTGTTTTTTTTTTTAGATCATCGGTGCGAAATCAGTTATCATGCACTACGTCAATTATTCGGACGCATCCCTGGTGACCTTTTGATAACAACTGAATCATGGGACTAGCTGTCATAGCCGGCTTTTCGACATTGCACGATATCCTACAGATTATTGCTTCAGCAACATCACCTATAACCCACTGCAAGTATTCGCAAGAACTTTCACTCTGTAAAATCATGTCTCATTTCAGACGTAGAGTTTACCATCTCGATCCCCGATGATAATTTTCTACCGAGGGATTCCAATGACTCGCTGGATAGCCTCATCATTGCTCATAGCGGTATCAATGACACCAGCCACCTTCAGAATATCCACAACGCCCTCAATAACCTTACGATCAACGCCACGAGTAGCATTCGTAAACTTGACATCCTTCAACCACTCCGTTGCATCCTCCTCGATATAGTTGCAGCCGAGCTCACCAGTGCCCAGGAGCTTCACGACTTGAGCGGTATCGGCCTCAAACTCCTTGATGCCCAGGTCCAAAGCTTGGAACAGTTGCTGTAGTCGCTGGTCATTCTGGGGGTCTGGGAATAGAGCCGTTGAGGCAACAATCATCCATGATGGCCAGGGGGTGAAGATCTCGCCAATGTTCTTCAAAGGTGGGTTGGGCTTCTCGGTAGTTGCGTGGAAGAATGGCTTAGTCGTGAAGTGCTCCCACATGAAGAACTCGGCTGTCGGGTTGGGTTCTTGGCTCGGGTTTGCTTCGTCCTGTCCAGTGACGCCGGTTCGTAGGGCGCCGAACGGACCCAGAGGGACTGGGGTCAGGGAGTCTGGCTTCCAGCCCTGCTGCTGAGCCAGAACAAAGGACATGATATGGGAGCCACTGGATAAGAAGCATCATCAGCCATGAATCCCTCTATGATGTGGTACCCTGCCCAATTCCCATGATGTAGGAATACATACCTTCCCATGCGGCTCACACCAACTCTCTGGTCCTTCAGGTCCGGCACACCATTGATATTGTCCCGGTTGCGACCAGTGACAATTGCCCATCGCAGCGGGTTATCCACCCAGTGGCCAACAACCTTGTATCCTCCCTCGGCGGGGTTCTGCGGTTGCGTCTTTCCAGTCAGACCAGCAACCCAACCCTCGGTCAAACCAATGGCGATATCGATTTCATTGCCGCGGAGCGACGTGATCATATGGCCCGTGCCAGAAGGGAATGGGGTCAGGGCGATCTTGTATGGGAGGGAGGACACGGCCGGAGATCGCAAGGCCAGGTGAAGAGGGGTCAGATAGTGTTCTAGGATCGCGTGAAAAATTACTTGTTAGTTTCTTTGGCTCATAGCAAGAACAAGCCGCGAGCGGAGTATAAACTCGAGTCATCGCATGCATTGGATAGCAAAGCTCCGTAGAGCTCCGTTCAGGTCATACCGGGCACATAGCCGATGCGAATAGTCTGTAGGGAAGCCATTGTGAATGCACCTGTGGCTTTGAGATTGCTGAATTGACAACAGAACGCAAAGGAGAGAAAAGTTGCGAGTCTGACGTTCCACCGCTTGGGGGAGGGACTGCGGATCACGGCATTCGCGGGGCAGATCCATCGACTGCCCGAAACGGAATTGCCGCGGGGCATTGTACTTTTTTCTTGCTGAGAAAACGAAGTTATCAACATCGGATCATGTCAAGATTCAAGAAAATATTAAACGTCATCTCATTCAGAATTACAAGTCTATAAGTCGCTATGGCTCGATGGTTCCCATCTATCTACACCCAAATGCAGCAATCGGTTTCATTAAATCCTAGTCGCAAGCCCTTTCAGTTCATGCGAATATCCTTCTCTTCTTGCCCCCACCGGCCTTCATGCTCCACGGAGCTGCCAGCAGCCCGGCCGGAGGCGCGGGTGAACATCCAGTACTGGAAGCCCAGGTACAGATCGCACACGCACTGGAACATACCGCAAAGCTTGAACGCCCAGGGGATGGTCTCCTGGCTGCAGAAGAAGTAGCTCATCTTCATGGTATCACCAAGAATCCAAGCAGCGAGAACGGATACTCGGAATCCCTTGCAGGAACCGGAGCGGTGGTTGGCCAGAATCTGGGGGAGAGGGAGAATAGCCTCGACAGCAAGACCAACGGCGCCCAGGAAGCTGATATAGGTCGGGGAATCGGAGATGGGAGTAAGGTGGAAGACGGTCAGGCCAGCGGTAAAGTAGGCGAGGAAGAGCCAGTACCTATAGTAGCCGAGAGTGTCAGCGTATTTGGACCATGTGGTAAAAGAGGGAGCAAGTGGACTCACGGCTTGGTGTTCTTCCACTGCCAGAAATCATAGGGCCGGTTGAATCCACCCTGAGAGCCACCGCTGAAGGGTGTGTGCTCGATGCCATTCTTTGCGCCAACGGCGGGGCGATTGTCCAAAGCAACCTTGAGCAGCGCCAACTGCACGAAGATCATGACCACAGCCTGGGCCAACAGGGCCTTGGAATAGTATTCTCCAAACCAGTAGAAGACCCTAAGAAGCGCGTCAATTCCAAAATTCCACCAACTTGAAAACACATTGCGCTAGGTTATCGGTGCGGTCGCATAGGTGTATTAGAAGGATCTTACTTCAAGATCGACGCGACAAGCATAATCAACGGGATGTCGAGCGAAAACCCAGCCGAACTCCTATTCCGGTGAATGCTGAGGATCTGGTCCAGGTAGGACGTGAGGGGAGAGGAGATAAGGCTATACAAGCATCGTTAGCACAAGATCTCTCTCATAGTTCTGGTATTGCGATTCGGAACGTACAAAAGGGGCGCGCCATATTCAATGGCCAGCTGAATGAGGTACATGGTGCCGTTTGAAGATCTTCCGCAGCCTCCGGAGGGTATACACTCAAAGATCAACAACTCAACGGGTGTCGTTCCAAGTATAATCGGGTCGAGGGAGGCTCAAGAATCCAGTGCGCTCGGCGGAAAAAAAGCCAGACAATGCTTTGAACCAGGCACAAGGGGACAAGTTTCGAGTGGACCAACAATCAACGAGGAAGAGGGACCCAACGCGGCCACGACGCTTGCGGCTTTTTTCCACCGGGGCTTATGTCAGCGCCCTGTCGATCACTGGGGCCAAACCAAGAAATTACCAAGTAATATCGATGCTTTTCTCGCCCAGCGCGTCCTTGGCAGGGCCCTTGGAGAATTGTATCGGCTTCGTGGCTGCTGAGATGAGCTAGGGGCCACAAAGCGATATGGCTGGCCTGTTCTGAGATCTGATTCATAGATTGACTAGATTAGATAGTGTTCAAAGGACGGAAAGGCTATATGTACATAGGGAGAATTAGAACAGTCGCATCACTTGTGGGCTAGTCTAAGAACGCGATAAAACATGACTAAAGCAAAATCTAAATCATTGCAAGACAGACGAACAAGCAATAGTTTGTAGGTACCAAACCAAGCAGTTGGACATCAAAGGGGAAATTGGTCGCGCGACACCCCAAGCCCGCCTGGTCTGTGCCCCCAGCTTCGATGGGCTGGGCATTACAAGCTCCCATCTTCCCAGACCTACCATTATCTTAGCTTTGATCTATGGGTTTGAAAACAAGTCTCAAATATGTGGCAGGGGTCCCATAATGAGGATATGTAGCCAAAGACCCAAATGATTGGAGGGCATACAGATACTTTGGTCGTACTCGTCGATATATATCGCCCGCTTGGTGATGGACGCCACTGGCAAAAATAATCTTCATCCCTCCATGGAAGTACAGAAGATAATCAAGTCCCATACACTTCAAATTAAAACATATATATGAATTGATTGATTCATCATTAGGTAGCGACGGAGAAGAGCTAGGTGTCTAAACCCGATTTGCTGTCGGCTGCCCTCGACCAAAGCAGTTTCGACTGCAAATCCCTTCCTTGACTAAATCGATAGAAGATTACTAATTTTGATTGCGGCTTCACTATACATCAAGTTCGTCTTGAAAGGGAAGTACTTAACCTGATCTGGCAGGACCTATAGACCTTCTAGATGGACTTTAACATAGTGATCTACAACATCCAGTATCTCATCTATTAGCACTATATCCACGAGCGCCAGTGTTCTAATCTCAACATAGTCTAAAATCACCCTTGCCATCACCATCCTAAACACCACATCTCAAAATGCCAATCCCTACTCTCGAGAACACTCCTCCAGCCGAGGATCACCCAATCCCATCACACACGCCAGCCCGGGCGTTGAGGCTATACGAACGCTCACGACTACGCAGAGTATACCAACAACCCGATTACCCCCAAGAACTCCTAAACCAAATCAACGAAGCACATGACCAAGCAAACCAACAAGACCAAGAACCCGGAGAGCGCGTCTATATAATGACCCATTCAAGTCTCCGAATGTTCAGCGAACCCACATTCCTGATAGAGAGTGCCTTCACAACGCTGGAAAAGGCTAATACGACCGCAATGAACTTTTTCAGGACTATATATGGTACTTATTTCCGGGAGAGGGGGAGACTTGATCGTTCGAATTTCTTTTGGTTAGGTGATGAGATACCAGGCTACAATCGAGTTGGGTGGCGTGTTGAGTCTAGCGGGGAACTGTGTTTGGTTGCTTTTGGTTCGGAGGGAGAGAAATTTATTGTTGAGGTACATTCTCGGTTTTTGGTGTGATATACTTGGAGTTGGAGGATATAGTATGGGGATGCCAGTACGGTCTTTGGAGCTTCATGCTTGTGTACAACCTAAAGTACGGAAATTCATGTTCTTGCAAAGCTGCCCGAGTTCTACTGCTGCTGAAATTGGACATTGAAAGAATTCAAGCCCATCGCATCTTCCAAATAGGGTTAAATGAAAATGAACCAATCAAACAGATTGCATGCTATTTAGGAATCTCAGAATCTAAACCATCGAACATGTATGTCATCTCATGTCTAACAACCAACAATGAAATACCTAAAACTCTATCCGCCAGTTCTTGCCAATGCCAACATTCGGGCTCTTGACAACGGCATACGAAGCCTTGCCGCCCTTCTGCTCAAAGTACTCCAACGAGGCAGTGGATCCAGCCTTAGCCCCATCCTCAATGACAGTGACACTGTTCTTGTCCTTCCATGACGCTGGAGGATCAATAATGATCACCCGCTCCACGGTCACGCCTGCCATAGTCTTCAGATACTCAGCGGTCTTGGCACCCTTGGTGGAAATGTCCTCTGACGAGAGGACAGACTCCCGGTACTGGAAGCGGCGGTGGATGTAGCCGCCGCGCTCGTAGTCGAACGTCTCACCGTCATCGACGTAGAGAGTACCGTTGGCCTCACCGTTCTTGTCGAGAGTAATCACGAAGGTGTAAGGATCCCAGCGCATCAAAGCGCTGCTGCGACGCGGACGGTCCCGGCGGGGAACAATGTGTCCACCCTGAATCAACAGAGGAATCTTATCCTCCGGAGCGGGGACGGTGTGTCTCTTACCGGCACCTTGGTAGACGGTAAAGTCGAAGTAGTCATAGTACTTCTCGTCATCGGCAATATAAATGTCGGTGGTAAAAGTGTTCTCCTGCACGACAGGCTTGGCAAGGAGACCAGTGTCGCCCAGGTACAGCTGGTCATCAATAGCAAAGCCTTCCTCATCATCGGGGAAGACGTAGTACTGGGGACGCACAATGGGTGTGCCATTGACGGACGCCTCGTGGAACGCGGTGTACCAAGCGGGGAGGAGCTGATATCTCAGGCGGATGGCCTGAGAAATGATGGTACGGTACGGCTCACTGATCAGATACGGCTCGCGACGGCGGGTATCGATGTGGGCGTGGGCACGGAAGAAAGGATACCAGATACCAGCTTGGTACCAGCGGGACAGAAGCTCCTTCTCCGGGTTGTTGAAGAATCCGCCAACATCAGCGCCAGCGAAGGGGAAGCCAGCAATGCCGTTGTTCAGAACCATAGGGAGGGAAGCAGCCAGGTGACCCCAAGTGGCCTGGTTGTCTCCAGTCCACATCGCGGCCAGGCGTTGAGCTCCAGAATAGTACGACCGAGTGAGGATGAAGGGACGGCGAATCTCACCCTTCTTGCGCTCCAACATGGCTTGATAAGTGGCGTTCACCAGGGTGAGACCGTTTACGTTGTGGACATCACGGTGCTCCCAGTTGCCATAGTGGATGTTGTCCTTGGGCATAGTGGTCTCGGGGCCGTTGAAAACCGAAGGCTCGTTCATGTCGTTCCAGATGAAAAGGTTGGACATGGACCCCTTGAACTTGTCATATTTATGGAGGCTGCTCCACCACGGGAATGCGGCGGGGTTAAAGCAGTCAATCCAGTTCGAGGAACCGGGCCAGCACCAACCATCATAGACTTCACCGTCCTTGTTCTGAACCGCAAGGCCCTTGCTGTTCAATTCCTTGGAGACGTAATAATCATCCTTGTTCTTGATGTGAGGGTCAATCAGGACCACGAGCTTCCGCTCAGAAGCATCAAGCTTCTCCTGCATGCCCTTGGGGTCGGGGAAGGTGAGAGGATCCCAGGTGAAGTACTTTCGGTCATCAGTGTATTCCAGATCCAGCCAGATCACATCATAAGGGATCTGGTACTTGTCAAACTTGGCATCCACTTCCTTGACATCCTCGTCAGTAACGTAGTTCCAACGGCACTGGTGATAGGCGATGGCAAAGTGCTGGGGCAGCTGAGTATAACCAGTGAGTTCACCGTAGGTCTTGCTCAGAGCCTGGGGAGTGGGACCCAGGAAGATGAAAAGATCGATCCGGCCAGCCTCGGAGAACCAGTGGGTATGAGTGTTGGTCTTCGAAGCGGCACTCATCGAGAGAGGGTTGGAAGCAGCACTCTTTTTAACAATGTCGACCCAGGTTTCTGCGGCATTGAGCCAGAAGACACCGACGCTGGAGCCCTTGCGGTGAGCCTGCATGAATGGAATAGATCCATACAAGGTCATAGGGCTGTCGAGTTCGTACTCAAAGACATCCGAGTTGTACATGCGGTAAGGGTTTTCGTGGTTGCCAGAACCACCTCGGGTCTCCTTGAGGGACAGCGAGTCTGCGTGTTCAGGAATACCAAAGACGTGGTTATAACCGGGGAAGCTGATATCGAGACCAACACTCTCGGGGCCTCGAGGCTTGGAGTCGGTGTTTCCACCGAAGCTCTCCTCCCACCAAGTGCTCTCATCTTCACCAGATTCTTCGTCTTTACCCTCCACCTTTGGTCGCCAGTGTTCCATATTCAAGAAGCCCTGGTGGTTCAGCTGGACGTGGGTTTGACCATCCCTCTGGAACTCGACCTCAAATGGTGAGTGTCGAATGATTGCCTCAAACTTGTCTTCGGGCCCATACAAAACCTTGGTGGACCCGGTCTCGGATTGTCCGTCGAGGGCTGCCGATTTGCTGGCATCCAGACCACCGACAATAACCCACTTCTCAGCTTCATCATAGCGTTTCTTGTTCACCTTGCTGCCATGTCGGATTTCGATATCACCCTTCAAGCGTCGCTCTTCATCGACAAGCAGGCGAGCGGCACCGGATTCCAGGAAAGAGAGCGTAAGCGGCAAGTAGACTTTTTCGGTGTCTGAGATAGTCTTCACAAGGACACCCGTCAATTGGCCATCCTTGAAGTGAATAGTAGCAGGGTCAAGCTCGTAGGGTGAGCTCCAGGACGAGCCTTGAGCGGAGGCGTTATCGGCGTAGGCTCGGTTTCGCTTGCAGAAGCCTGACTGATCGCAAGTCTTGAAGTTTTCGTGTTTCACAGCCACTACCCGTGCCGAATGCAATTAGCTCTCGAGGACAATGTCATTACCAGTTGCGGAAGGTGTGAACTCACATCCGGGGACAACAATGCATGCGATAAGAACAACCAAAGAGAGCAATAGCGTCCAGCGGGACGCAGGCCGGCTCCTGGCCATATTGACGAGGATAGATACAATCAAAGACCCTCAATCTCTGATCCAATGCTTTCGTGAGAGTTTGGTGTGGACCTGCATCCGAAGGGCGGTACACTTGTCAATGATGGAAGCTCCAGGCTGGCCTGACGGTGGAGAGCTGGGGTAATGTGCCTGAGGCTTTAAGGCCATAAGGCATTAAAAGTCAGGCCACGGAAGCGGTGCTCGAGGTGTCGGGTTTCCGGCCTCAGGCAGAAGACACCCCTCAGCCCCACCAATCGCAGCCAAAAAAAGGCTCACAGGTATTTATTCTCCTCTCTCCCTCCCTCCTCTTTTTGCTCCTCATCCCTTGCTGATCCTTAAATCTTCAAGTACCAATCCATCAAAATGTCCGACGAGCAGACGTAAGTGGCCCGAACTATACCCAATGCCTTGTCTATACTCCCCACCCTACCCCTGCTTGCTGTTTTTTTCCCCCTGCGACTCCTCTTGCGACTCGACCTGGCGGTGTGAAGTTTAAGCTAATCAATTGCTACAGTTTCATTGCCATCAAGCCCGATGGTGTCCAGGTACGATCATCAGCCTTTGCAAACCGACATTGCAACGAATAGTCGGCCGGACCGCCAATTGAGCTTCAATCGCTAACCCATCTTGCAGCGTGGCCTCGTTGGTCCTATCATCTCTCGCTTCGAGAACCGTGGCTTCAAGCTCGTTGCCATGAAGCTCACCTCCCCCAGCCAGGAGCACCTCGAGAAGCACTACGCTGATCTCGCCGGCAAGGGCTTCTTCAAGGGCCTCATCTCCTGTGAGTTTCCGCGATGCTCCGAAACCTTTCCCCTCCATCCCACCAAAGATAAGCGTCTAACCCATTTTTTACTAGACATGCTGAGCGGCCCCATCTGCGCCATGGTCTGGGAGGGCAAGGACGCCGTCAAGACCGGCCGCACCATCCTCGGTGCCACCAACCCCCTGGCCTCCGCCCCCGGCACCATCCGTGGTGACTACGCCATCGATGTCGGCCGCAACGTCTGCCACGGCTCCGACAGCGTTGAGAACGCCAAGAAGGAGATTGCCCTCTGGTTCTCTCCCTCCGAGGTCCTCAAGTGGAAGGCCACCCAGGCCCAGTGGGTCTACGAGTAAATTACTCGTTTTCCACGAGGCTTGTGCCTGAAGAGTGCCTCCCCTCGGCTGTTTGCGGTATAGAATTGCAATAGTATTGAGTCAAGGTCTTGAATGGCTACAAAATCACACATACATCATATGATTTATGAGTACAGACTGTCTTGGTATCAGTAAAGAGAAAGGATGCCGCCGGCTTTTTAGCTCTTGCCGAACAGCCTTCTAGCTGCATTCGTGATCGGCGTAAGAATCGTCCTTGCAAACCATGGCGTCGCCCACACGCTAGCTGCTATACGAAGGGGCAGCAGAGCTTTTGTAATTGCATACGCCGTAGCAAACTCTAGTACCAGTCGGACTCCAGCTTGCTCCTTTTGCGCGCCATGCGTAGCTCCTGTAACCTGATGTTCCGCAACGGCACTGACATCGGATTCCTCCACCCAGCCCTTCTTCCTCAACCAGCGTCCAAACCGTTTCGCTCCCTCGTCAAAGGCGTTACTTTTCCCCGACTCGGAATCGGAACTGAGATCCGGCATCCATGCGCCGTAGTGGAACGCAGCGACCAGCCCAAATAGCGGCAATATCGCGGTGATTTCGTGCAAGACCAGGAAGGAGGTGACATGTGTGACCGGAGCTCCTAGTAGCGGTGTTGTATATCTGCGAAGGAATCGTGGTAATCGGTCATTGAAGCGACGGAGACGGGATTGAGAATCTTTAGGGGTTGCTTGAGCTGGCTTTGGGGCTTGCGGGGGATTCGGAGGTGTGGACAGGTTCCTTCGTGACGGTCCAGGCTGCCGCACCGCGTTGGCGCGGACCCGACGGAGGACGGTCGGGGAAGTCAAGGGACGCCGGGCAGTCATGGTTGAATATGGAGGGTTAATGAGTAGGTCGGAAGTATACGGCGAGTGTCAGGAGGGTAATATGCCTCGCTTTGGCAATGAGGACCGGGGGTCCTGGCGTGTTGCGGCAGCTGAAGTTCGGTTGGCGATCGTGTGGGCTCGTATTATTACGGCGGCCGAGAGTGATTAGTTTGCAAACAAGTATATCTCATCTTGAGGAATGATCTGTTTGATACAATGAATTGTAGATTAAAACACCTAGCAAAGAAGGTATCGAGGGAGCTATTCACACGCTCATCTATAGTCTAATAAGTACCGTATAAACTATGGAAGCATCCTGTTGGAAGAAACGCCATCTTGGCTCAATGCGCTGAGTAATCGCCTTTCCGAGCGAGCCTTTTTTTTCTTCTTTTTCCGTCAAGCTTGTTTGGAGCTATAGAAATGACGTGGAAGCAAAGAAATAGGACAGTAAAAAAACATTAGATACAAGTAACAGGCCCGAAACGATGGGTCTTTTGCGCATAGCGCGGAATGGCCGTCATCGGCAGGCGTAGACTTCATATTTCCCGATGCGACCAACCTACATCGGAGAATCCATGACGGTCCACTTCTACCTAAAACTTCTCTCTTTCCATTCAACCCCCTCTCCCATTGCCGACCACGACATCCTTCGCAATGGAGAAGAAGATTACAGAGAAGATCGCGGCCTTGCCGCCGGATGCCAATTACTTCTCGCTGGAGTTCTTCCCTCCTAAGACTCGGATGGTGGGGTAACCCCGCGTGTGCGCTCGCGATGACGAGAGCAAGAGAAATTGAAGCAACGACGCAGATTTGCTAATATGATGGCTACTGTAGGGTTTTGCGAACCTGTCTGCACGTCTGGAGCGCATGGCCCAGGCCCTACGCCCGCTATTCGTGACGGTCACTTGGGGTGCAGGCGGAAGTACTGCAGCCCGTTCCCTTGAGCTAGCGGAAGTCTGCCAGCGCCAGTTGCAGTTGACAACGGTGCTGCATCTCACATGCACGAACATGAGCCGCGCACTGGTGGATATGGCGTTGGAGGAGGCCAAGGTGTTGGGCATTCGCAATATCCTGGCTCTGCGAGGAGACCCGCCGCGCAGCGAGGAATACAACATGCACGGCGAGGACGACAGCAACAAGGACTTTACTTTTGCCGTTGACCTAGTGCGGTACATTCGCAAGCAGCATGGCGACTACTTCTGCATTGGTGTTGCTGCCTATCCCGAGGGTCATCCTGCCGACTCGTTCCAGGATGTCCAGGACCCGGTCCGCGATCTGCCATACCTCATTGAGAAGACTCAGGCCGGAGCAGACTTCATCATGACCCAGCTCACATATGATATTGAGGCATACCAGAAGTTTGAGAATATGCTTCGGAATCACGAGTCTGGCGTTTTCAAGACCATTCCCATCATCCCGGGTTTGATGCCCATTCACAGCTACAAGATTCTTACCCGAGTGACGAAGCTTAGCCACGTGCACATCCCAGATCCCATTGCTAAGCGTATGGAGGAGCTGAAGCATGATGATGACGCCGTCAAGCGGGCCGGTGTGGATATTGTCAGCGAGATCGTTGGTGGCATGCAAGAGCTCAAGTCTCCCGGACCACGAGGATTCCATTTCTATACTTTGAACTTGGAGAAGACGGTGTCGTTCATTCTAGAGCGATGCGATCTCATTCCTGCCTCAACTGATATCGAAGATGACTATGCTATTGTGGAGGTTGATGGTGTTGTGCCTCTTGGTGCGTCAGCTCGCCTGGCCAAACGTCGGGCCTCTTCTATCAACTCTCAGCCGCATAATCGTGTGATTGTGGACAAGCTTTCCTCCAAGGTGTCCTCCCATGATTCCGTCCACGAGGCTCTTGCCAACAGCGTGGGACAGCCGGCAATGCCTCCCGGCCGTGGAACAACCCTTCAGATTTCCGAAGGTCTAGGCTCTCTCGGCAGAGAGGCCACATGGGATGACTTCCCTAATGGTCGATGGGGTGATGCCCGCTCTCCAGCTTTCGGTGAGATTGATGGGTATGGCCCGTCACTCCATGTCACTTCTGCCGTGGCCCGCCGGATCTGGGGCCACCCCGTTGAGAACTCCGATATCAGCACCCTGTTCCGTCGCCATGTCTCCGGCGATCTGTACATGGTACCCTGGTCCGAGGGCGGCGCGGAGGAAGGCACCGGTCTGAATGCAGAGACGGAGCTCATTCGCCCCGAGCTGCTCAAGATCATTGACGGCCGCGGCTGGTGGACATTGGCCTCGCAGCCCGCCGTCAACGGTGTCCGCAGCGACCACCACATCTTCGGCTGGGGTCCCCAGCGGGAAGGCTTTGTCTTCCAGAAACCTTTCGTCGAGTTCTTCTGTCCAAGCAAGGACTATGATACGATTCTTAAGCCTTTGTTTGCGAAGCACGGCCATGACAAGCTCGTGTGGTTCGCAACGAACAACACCGGCGCCTTTGAGTCCTCGCTCCCTATTCAGCCGGCCGATGTCGAGCTTGACGATCTGAACTCGAACCCCGACAGCGTTAATGCCGTCACTTGGGGTGTCTTCCGTGGCAAGGAGATTGTCACGCCTACCATCATCGAAGAAGTTAGTTTCCGCGCCTGGGGCGAGGAAGCCTTCCGCATCTGGGACGAATGGCGTCGCATTTATCCTCGTGGCTCACCCACCGAGCGCTTCCTGGACACCACCAAGAATGACACCTGGCTTGTCTGCGTTGTCGGTCAACAATTCGGCGCAGGTACACCGCAGGGCAGCAAAGAAGAAGAGGATGAGGTCAAGTGGATGTGGCGTGTATTGGCGGGCGAGACTCAGTAATATGGACAGAGTCTCTCTGCTTAAATTGCATCTGCTAGATATACCCTCCTTCTTTTCTTTTTTTGTTTCTGTTTCTCCCGCTTCTTTCGTGTTTTATTCTTGACTGCGACGATGATGATCTATTTATTTCGGCCATGTGAAAAAGACTGGTGGTATCATGAGATCTTGGATCCTGTACAGTACTTTTCTGGGTGCTTTTGTGATCGATGGAATGACTATATGAAATTGAACCACTACTTTCATGAGTTGCAACTCCCGTTTATAGTCAACCCGAGGTTCTCCCGCCTATGTAAACTGTAGGGTAAACAGCTAAGGCTCTCTTATATGCATGCTTTCAAAACACCAGACACAATCAGAAATAACCCCAAGGTACGCCTGTTTCCAGGATGCTTCTAACGATAAGCGTCACGAATCTCTAGCAAACGATCATCAACGCTGCAAAAAAATCGCTTAATTAGATCTTCTCCGCAAACCCGTGCTTCTCAAGTCCCTCTGCATCCGTATCTGGAGTAGCAACCGATGACTGAGACTCGGCAAATTTCTGTGACAGGTCATCTAGACGACCGTATACCTTGGACATACGCCGAGGCTGGTTAGGGCCAGCGGCTGGCATTTGGTAACCGCGTAGGCTTTTCCGTGTCAGCATGATTCAGCGAGCAGCGGGAGGAATATTTTGGATCGAACTTACCGAGGGCCTTCGCCGGTACGGTCTGGCAAATTAGGGACATAAGCGCGGTGGAATGCATCAACATCCTGCTCAAAAGTACCGCGCTTGATGCTCTCTCGTGCACCAGCGAGCAGGCGATCAATCATCTGGTGATTGTGCATTTGGAGAAGAGCCCATGCCGCCATCTCCTTTGCGCGGAGAAGGTGGTTAAAGTAGGCCCGGTGGTGGTTCCGGCATGCGTAGCATTCACATCCCTCGACCAATGGAGACACATCCTTGGAATGTTCTGAGGACCAGAGGTCAAGTCCAAGAGGCTGCGGTTCTCCGCGTGCCAGTACAGCCTCGGAGACGGGGAATTCGAAATCGAGCGCAATGCCAGCGTCTGAGCATGCCTGCAGGAAAGGCACGGTCAAGAGGTCTGCACCGAGCGAGATCTCGCGCAGAACCTCGTGAGGGCTCGATGGCTCGCTCAGCAATAAACGAGGTAGATTACCCAGCGATTCGGGAATGTAGCCCAAAGAAGCCGATTCGTACAGCGCCAATCCCGAGATGCGATCCCGGAACTCGTCCTCCAAATCATCTAGATAGAGCGATTGCTGTGTATTATCTAGCGGCAGGACTGGAGCAAAGTACTTTGTCTTTGTCTTCTTTTCGTCTGCCACATTTCCCCCATATAGATGCTCCAGCGCATCACGAGTATATGCATGCGTCCGGTCAACCATCTTACCCCGCCTCTTCAGGCCCGGCGCTCTCCCGAGAACCATATCCGCCAGACCAATGGCAATATCAGGTTTCAGTTTCTGTATAGCCTCAATATACCTGTGCGCCTCGAGCTGCCGAAACCCGACAGAGGTCGAGATTGCGATGGACGTCTCGGTGTTATTGGGCGGGCATGCGATTGCAGGGAATCGTCGTGGGCCCAGAAGCAGGGTCGCATCATCCTGTGCACAGATGAACTTCCTCAAGGGCGACTCGTGTCCGGCGGCGGGGACATTATATAGCGGGGCAGGATGTTTCCTCTCAATGACTATTCAGATCAAAGACGTGGCGCGTGGTCAGTATGCGCCGTGTCACAGTAGGCCTGGATGGCTAGGATTTATGGATAGGACCTAGAGCACACGTACAGTCTTCCAATCCGACATATAGACTATTAATCGAAGTCTCCTTGCGCACCATATCATGCGAGATATGCGGCACGGCGCCCCGCGATGTGAGCGGGACGAGATTCGGGGTCGCAATCGCCTGGCGTCCAGCGAGGGCCAATGTGCCTACTCGAGGGGCCAGCACTGGCGCGACAGAGCCCAGGATGGTAAATGTCATCTCGTGGGACGGGGAGGGCTCGGAATCCATGGTTGCTGAGGTTATTGAGTGGCCATGTTGGCGGACGTTGGAATCTTGCGATCTTATCGGGGCAGGCGGCAGAAAAAAAGAGGCTTGGGGCCGAGTCCATTAAACAAGGGACCCGTCACTTTCTCTCCTGAACCACCGCTCTTGCATACTCATTCACAGACAAAATACAGGGAGCCTTTGAGATTAAATTGGCCCTGGACATATTTACCGTCATATAACTCGCATACTTCGAAACAGCTACCAGAATGACAGCTTCGCAACAAACGCCGACGCGACGCGGCGCCCTGATTGTCGTCGAGGGTCTCGACCGCGCCGGCAAGTCGAGTCAATGCGAAATGCTACAAAACTACCTCTCTGAACAAGGGCATAATGTGAAATATATTCGTTTCCCAGGTATGTTCTCTTGTGTTTCAATTGCTACGACAGGATCTAATCCCCATCCCAGACAGGACGACCCCCATCGGCAAGCTCATAGATAGCTACCTCCGCGGCTCCGCTAACCAAGACGACCACTCCATCCACCTCCTCTTCTCCGCAAACCGATGGGAAATCGCGAAGAGCATCGAGCAAGACATTGCCGCTGGAATCACCGTTATCGTCGACCGCTACTCATACTCCGGCGCCGTCTACTCGGCCGCGAAAGCCAACCCCACTCTCTCACTGGAGTGGGCCTGGCAGCCGGAGATTGGGCTCCCGCAGCCTGATATCTGCCTATTTCTGAACATTTCTGCCGAGGAGGCTGCGAAGCGAGGCGGATTCGGCGCTGAGCGGTATGAGAATGAGAGTATGCAGAGTCGTGTGCGGGAGTTGTTCCGCTCGTTGTTTGAGCGACAGAAGGATGTTTGCGTCGTTGATGCTGGCAGGACGCTGGAGGAGGTCTCAAGGGATATTCAGGCTGCTGTTGCCGGCTGCGTGGCGCAACTTGATACTATTGGGCCATTGAGGACGTTGGGGCCGCTTGCCAATTAGTTGGAATAGATGGATGTGAAGGTTAATATAATGCTGCGATGCGGGGCGGTTTGTGTATCACTCGATGATCTCGGCGTCGTCCCAATCGCTGTCTTCAATGACAATCTCTAGTCTCGAAGGTGGCTGTGTTGATCGGTGTTTTTGTGCCCCATGCTCCGTGTCTGATTCTATATCGACTTCTTCGTACCAATCGTCAGCCAAGAGAGGGTCATCGGCGTTCATTGGATAACCTTGGTCCCGGGATCCTTGCTGACTAGGCTCAACGGACGCCTGGCGAACCGGGCCTGCCTTGTCCTTGCTAGACGATGTATTTGCATTCTCCTTGCGATCACGCCTCTCTTTCCGCCGCAGAATAGTACGGACTTCCTTTTCGGCTCGGTTGCGAAGGCTGAGCTCTTGCATCATCAGTGGCCAGGATACCGTGTTATCGCACGCTGGGCAGACTCCCCTCGTTGGTATGAGAAGATCTGAATCATCGGCCCCTTTTAGGAATGCCTTCGATAGGCATAGAAGATGATGTGCACCTCGGCAATTTGTGTGCGGGCAGACCACAATCTGTTCCGTATGGGGTACCACCACCACACTGCACAGTTTGCATCGAAGATCTTGTGCATCATCAAGAAGAAACATAGACTTCTCTAGGTAAGCTTCAAGTTTGGTATAGTCCACTGACAAGCCATTGATGCTGCCGACAACAAGATCTTTGTTGCCTTGGCCTGGGCAGTCTCCATCCAGGATGATCTTATCATCCGGTAGAGGGACGGCGACTCGCTCATTCCATATCCTCCAAACGCGATGGACGTCTGCACGGAAAAAGCGAACACGTAAGGGCCAACCAACGAAGTAGACTGAACGAAGAAGCGAGTGCAAATCTTCCAAGTGAGCAGTCAGTGATCTTCTTGATCGAGAGGCTCGCGGCTTGGCCTTGCCCGTCTTCGAATTGATAGCGACTTGAGACTGTATATCCAGCTCTGCACCGTCTTCTAGAAGATGACGTGATTTTTCAGGGTGCTGCCACGCCCATCTGGATCAATGTTCAGTATTAATGACAATTGAGAATGCGCATATTGTGGTCCAACTTACTCGAATTGAAGCGCCCCTACGCGACTCATAAACCCTTCGACAACTAACACCATCTCCCAGGGCCGTAATTTGTCGCGCGAAGTCCGCTTGGCCCCACCTTTGGCGTCTCCATTGTGCTGCGGCAGTCGTCTGATCGGGTTTGGCGTCGAGCCGATATAAAGCGAGGCGTGCCGAACGGTCGAACGGAGCAGATAGCAGCAGTAATAAGCCGGGATGGGCTTGGGATGCCCCTGAACGTCCATGGTGGTGGGCAAGAGATTAACATGTAAGTATTTGGTACCTGGTTCCCATTCGTTACGGCAACTTTTGTTTTGTTGGCAATAATTGTTAGCTATTTGTATGGAGTTGAGACTAGGGATAGTACTGTACTGTCGCATGGGCCCACTTGGTAAACAACGCGATCACATGACGGGGGTCTACTGGGTTTGGGCTTGGACTCGGGGTTTGTTTGTAGTCGATCTGGATTATTATGACTGAACACTTATCATTGAAGACAGATACCTATTGATTCTTCTTATCATCGATTTGCTACTATTAAGACTGTTTCAGGAGTACTATCCAGGGACTGGAATTCCCGTATGAGAGTGACGCCGATGACCGGGCCATCCGCTAGGCCCAATCCTCGGCAGATCTCGTCGATCTAGTTTGATGCGACGTCGACGCAATCTGCGACGCAGTCTAGTCCATTCTTCGCGCCAGAAAAAATTTTCAGATCGCTTAGGGATAACCTGGAAATTCCCGTTTCAATCTAGTGTAAGCGACATCCATATCACTAGGGGGGCCATAACTATATCTAGGGGATTCTAGTACCAATTGTATCTACCCACGATGATGACGATATATGTAATATATGTAATACTGCATGTATTTGTAGCTGTTATGATTATTATTATTTCCATTTCTTTCCATCTTATGCGTTGGTTTGTTTAAACTTTTAAGCGGGCCAGGATGGGTTACCAAAAATCTACTTGATACGCTGTACTCCAACCGTACGATAAAAATCGATGTGTCACAGGACCCCCATCCTTCCTTTTTGTTCGCAAGCCCGCTTGGGCCTCGGCCATGTTATGTCGAGAAAAAAAGAAGAGTAGGAGGAAAGAAACAGAGACTCGTTACTGGCGCCACCAATATTGGTGGCCCGTTTGCGGCGTCGACGATGGGTAAACGGTATATTACCCTGGGTATAACAGAGATTACCGATGATTACTGCTCTCAGCCGTAATTTTCACATTAACCGCGGTCGCCATCAGGCACGGGGAACCCGAAGGACCCCGAATCTGACTTGCCCGATCATACCGAACTTTACCATACCGTACGGAGTCGCTACGTTATTTACGCAAGTACCATGGCTTCGTGGCTGTAGCCAAGGGACCCTCTCGAATAATGTCCAAAGATTGCGAACAACAGGATGATATCAATATATTTCTCATTGGTCTTTACAGGAAGATTTAATTCGGGATGGTTAAGCTATATGTGATGTTGTCGAGTTCACATAAACTCTCCCAGTCTGGTGGAGTCCCAAACCGGTCAGGTCACTCGTGGGTTCCTTTAAGGCGAGAAATATACGGTCCAGTGACCCCCCCAGTACCTTGTCTCCGGACGTGGCCCGGTCCAAGTCTACCGGACTTCTCTGTACTGTATTGCTGCTGCTGCACATAATCTCATTCCTCCACTATCAAATCCATCCTTCTTTCCTTCTTCTGCGCCTTCCCTCCAAACCACCCCCCCACAGCTCATCAACCCTTTTCTCCTATCCTCTCCCCCTACTTCTCCCTTTCTTTTTATCCGTTACCCTCACCCGTTTCTTGTGTTTTTATTCTAAAATACAGAAATCGGTAATTCTCTCACGTTTCGGATATCGCAGGTCCTCCGCCCTTGCTCTCTCATCTCATCAATCCACCCTGCCTACGCCTCCAATGCGCTCTTCGCACCACGCTTGACGCCTCCCCCGGTATTCGATCAACCAGGCGCAGGCCCTAACCTCTCGTTTACACCAATCTGTCTTACATTCAAAACAACGCTGAGAGATGGTGGCTCCGGCCTCCACCGTTCCAACTTCCATGGCTGCTCAATCCTCCATGGGCCGCCAGCCCACTCGTTCGGCCAGCACCCACCCGTCGCATTCACACAATGTACCTTTAAGCGCTCGGAGATCTGCGCCTCTGGATCTCTCCACGGTTGAGCGGCGCGGTCAACCCAATGCTCCTCGTGAGCCCTCCAAGCGCGTGCGCCCTCATGGTTTGCCCGAGGCCCCGACATTTCGGCCAACCGAGGAGGAATTCCAGGACCCCGTGGCATACATTCGAAAGATTGCGCCAGAAGGAAGGAAATATGGAATCTGTCGAGTCATTCCTCCGGAGAACTGGCAGCCCCCCTTCGCGATTGATACAGAGGTAGTTTTTCCCCCGTACTCGCGTCCGTCCTTGAGGCTATTTTCGAGGATTGTGCTCGGAGGTCGAGCTTTGTTGTGGCTAGCGTTATCCGCTCTCATGCAGATTGCGCCTCTAACAGCTTCCATCTTATTCTATATATGCTAACCTTTGGGATGTGTTCACAGCGATTCCACTTCAAGACCCGTCGACAAGAACTCAACTCGGTCGAAGGAGGTATGGCCCCGCGTTCAGCCGATGTTGCTGCCGGTGGAGTCTCTCCGCAGCGCGGTTCTAACCTAGACTCTGCTTCAGGAAACCGCGCCAACATGAACTATATCGACGGGCTTGCCATGTTTCACAAGCAGCACGGAACGAATTACAGTCGGTTGCCTAGTGTGGATAAGCGCCCTCTGGACCTCTACAAGCTGAAAAAGGCCGTCGAGGTGCGAGGCGGGTTCGAGTCCGTCTGTAAAACTAAGAAATGGGCCGAAATTGGTCGTGATCTTGGCTACAGCGGAAAGATCATGTCCTCTCTGTCTACTTCGCTTAAAAACTCCTATCAGCGGTATCTGCAACCGTATGAGGAGTACCTCGCCCGCGCCAAGCCTGGCGTCCAGCAACAGCTTGAAATGGAACATGGTGGCCCCTATACCCCGTCTCCGCGTCAGTCGCCCATGACCAAGAAGCCCGGATTTGAGGAGAACGGCACTCCGTCCAAACCTCGCGATGGAACACCTTCGATGCGCATGGCTCCGGTGATGAGCACCCCGGTCGAAAAGCCCATCGATAAGCCCACCCCCTCCGTGGAGCCCACGCCTCCCCCGCCCCCTCGCCCAGCTCCCTCCGGCTTCACTCCCGTCAATGCTGGCGCAGGTGGTTTCACTGCTGTGAATCACTCTCCCGCGTTTACTCCTGTCAACAACGGTCCCTCCATCAAGCACGAAGCCGATAATGGGGTGTCGACGCCTAAGAGTGTCTCTGAGCATCCTTCTCACTTCACGCCAGTGCCGAATGGACTTCCTGTACTGCCTGTGAAACGTGCGATCAGCCATGATGATAGTGGCTCGCAGGCCGAGAATGGGGATGATGGTGGAAGTGGGCGCCGTAGCAAGCGCCTCAAGAAAGGTATTACTTGAAAAGCTGATATCGATTCATCGGATCGCTCTCTAACTCGTAGTGCTTCTAGATATGCCACCAACCGTGGCCGGGTCTCACATGTCTCTCCTTCGACCAGCACCACCCAAAGGTCGCAATGGCGTGCAAAGAACTGGAGATGTAAGTGGTTTTTTTTATTTCCCTTGGTGAACTCGAACAAAAACTCTGATATTGATCTCTTAGAAATGTGAGTCATGTGGCAAGTCGGACAATCGCTCAACGATCCTTGTATGCGACAGCTGTGAGCTTGGATACCATACTACATGTCTTGATCCCACTACCACCTCGGCCTCTGATCACGATTGGCATTGCCCAAAGTGCTTGGTCGGCACCGGAGAGTTTGGCTTTGAGGACGGCGGTGTTTACTCACTCAAGCAATTCCAGGAGAAGGCCAATGAGTTCAAGAAGCGTTATTTCGCCTCGAAGATGCCGTTTGATCCGGTTCTCAACACTCACCGTCGAGAAACCGAGGATGACGTCGAGGCCGAGTTCTGGAAGTTGGTCGTGGATCTGCACGAGACAGTCGAAGTCGAGTACGGCGCCGACATCCACTCTACTACTCATGGCAGTGGCTTCCCAACCATTGAGCGCAACCCTCTTGATCAGTATTCGTCGGATCCATGGAATTTGAACGTTCTGCCGTTCTATGGTGATTCGCTTTTCCGTCATATCAAGTCTGATATTTCCGGCATGACTGTGCCGTGGGTCTATGTTGGAATGTGCTTCTCGACTTTCTGCTGGCACAATGAGGATCATTACGCCTATTCTGCAAACTATCAACACTTTGGCGCTACCAAGACTTGGTATGGTATTCCCGGCTCCGACGCCGAGGCCTTTGAGAACGCCATGCGGGAGGCAGTCCCGGAATTGTTCGAGGGCCAGCCCGACCTTCTTTTCCAGCTCGTCACATTGATGCCTCCTGACAAACTTCGCAAGGCCGGTGTCAACGTCTATGCAGTGGATCAGAGAGCAGGCCAGTTTGTCCTTACTTTCCCTCAAGCCTACCACGCTGGGTTCAACCATGGATTCAACTTCAATGAGGCTGTAAACTTTGCACCTGCGGACTGGGAGCCCTTCGGTGCCGCGGGAGTTGAGCGTCTTCAGACTTTCCGCCGACACCCTTGCTTCTCTCATGATGAGCTACTGTTCACAGCGGCAGCGCGAGACAATTCCATTACAACCGCGAAATGGCTTGCGCCAGCGCTTGAGCGAACGACAAACAGAGAAATACACGATCGTGCATCGTTCCTCGCTCGCCACAGAGATGCGGCACCTCATAATTGCGGGCTTGGTGCCAACCCCCCAAAAGGTGATTGTCAGCTGAAGTTCGTAGTAGAAGAGGAGGACCTCCCGGAGGATGATTACCAGTGCCAGCACTGCAAAGCGTACACTTACCTCACTCAGTTCCGTTGCCACAAGTCAGGCAAGACCCTCTGCCTTATGCATGCTGAGGTCTATGACTGCTGTGGTGAACCCCCATCACGGAAGCTACTCGGGCCTGGTCATACGCTGCGCTACCGTATGAGCGACGATCAGCTCAAGGCAGCGGTACAAAAGGTTCAAGAACGTGCCAGAATTCCGGAAATCTGGGGAGAGAAGCTCGACAAGACCTTGGAGGATGAGCCCAAACCCCAGCTAAAGGCTCTCCACAGTTTGCTCAGTGAAGGTGAGAAAATCCCGTACCACCTGCCTGGCCTCCAAGATCTTGCGGCGTTCGTCCAGCGCTGCGATAAATGGGTTGAGGAAGCGAACAACTACATCACCCGGAAGCAGCAGAACCGGAGAAAAAACGAGAAGGCGTGGCGCAAACCCGGCTCCAAGGCGGCGCAGCTGGACGATCGGGACCGAGAAGTCCGCAAAGTGGAGAACATCTACGCCCTTCTGGCAGAGGCTGATAAACTTTCCTTCGACTGTCCACAGATGGCGGCCCTGGAAGAGAAGACCCGCGAAATCGAGAAATTCCGTCAGGACCTTAACATTGCCCTGAGGAACCCGCATACGCGATCGGCCCAGGAAATCGAGGAGCTTGTTGAAGCTGGCCGAAACTTCAACATCGAAATCCCGGAAGTGGAACACCTAGAGAAAATCCACCAGCAAATGAAATGGACCGAAGAAGCCGCCCGCAGACGGGAACAATACCTCACCCTCAAGGATTGCCAGGATCTGATTGCCTCTGGAGAGGAACTTGGTCTCAAGGAAAATAACGAGCATTTGCTTCATTTCAAGGAGATGGCTCGCCACGGCGAGGCTTGGGAGGCCAAGGCCAAGGAGTTGATGGCCGTTGAAGCGGTTCACTACCAACAACTGGAGGCCCTCTCCGCACAAGCCTCTCGATTCCCGGTGTCCCCTGACACCCTCGCCGCCGTCGATGCCATCTTGACCAAGCAACGGGAGGCTCAGAAGCGAATTCAAACGCTCTATGAGAAAAGCAAAGACCCGGAATTAAAGAACCGACCCAGGTACAAGGATGTTCGTGAACTCACGGAGTCTCTGGAGCAGCTCAACAGTCGCCCGATTGGAGCGATTGATCTGGAACGGGAGCAGAAACGCCATGAGGATTGGATGAGGAAAGGCAAGAAGCTCTTTGGCAAGGCCAATGCTCCTCTGCACATCCTAAAGTCGCATATGGAGTACGTCGAGAATCGAAACTCTTACTGCTTCGATTTGGAGGATAGCTATCGACCGCCTGTCGAGCCTTCGTCTCGGGATAATACCCCCGATGGTTTACTTGAGACCCCTGCCCCCAACGTGTGGGGACCGAAATCTCGGAAGCGCGACGTCTTTTGTATCTGTCGTCGTTCCGAAGCGGGAATGATGATTGAATGCGAAGTCTGCCACGAATGGTACCATGGCAAATGCTTGAAGATTGCGCGTGGCAAGGTTAAAGAGTTTGACAAGTACACGTGCCCCATCTGCGACTGGCGACAAAAGATCCCCCGCGACGCGGCTCGTCCTAAGCTTGAAGACCTGCTGGATTGGCAAACGGAAATGACTGGCTTGCCCTTCCAGCCTGATGAGGAAGAGGTTCTGGATAGAATCATCAACCAAGCTACTGCCTTCCGTGACTTCCTTCATGGCTTCACCAACGCTGCCTGTACCACCACCGAGGAAGTCCCGACTTTGATTTTCTACCTGCGAAAGATCGAGGGTGCCGAAGTTCTTTTGGCCTACGAGACCAATTTCTTCCGCCAGGAGATTCACAAGTGGGCCCCCGTTGCACCAGAGGCACCTCCAATTCTCGAGCAGTCTCTGTCAACCCGCAAGCCGCGTCCGACTAAGCAGCAGAAGATCATGGCTCAGCTTGGCGTTGACCGACCGGAGGACCTTCCTGAACACCTCCGCACAAAGCACATAGTAGCAGGCAAGCGAAAGTCAATCGATGCTCAAACGTCCCGGCCCACCTCTTTACAACCCGCGCCATCACCTCCTAGTAACGGTGTGCCTACAACAACTGGGCCCACGTTGACTCCCATGCCAGATGCCAATGCAGCGTCGTATCCTTTCTCTGCGAATTATTCTCTTCCCGCAAGTGATTCCACTCCTGCATTCGCGCCAACGTCCTCTTCCGCATTCCTACCTGGTGCCGCGGCCTCGGAGTCTCCATCTTTCCTTCCTCGATCGCCAACGCCTCAGCAGGGCATGGAGCCTCTCTTCAGCCCTCCACGCTTTGGCCGTGATGCCCAATTTGCTAGCAGCAGCCCTCGTCAGAACTTGGATGATGTCTTTGCGGATCTCACGAACCAAGAAGAAGTTGAGCCTGAGGCCGAGCCTATGGAGAATCTTCACGCAACCGAAGCCCTTGAGGCTCTCAACGCTAGTAATGGTAGCAGCCGTGCTCCATCACCTAATGACGATGTAGTCCCAAGCGGGGAAGCACAAACCACTGCTGCTTCCACTGCAGAGACGAACGAGAACCCCGAGTCCGAGCTATGATTGTTTTTTCTCTGTATTGCTTATCTTGGAATGATTCTTTTTCCCTTCTCCCTTTAAACTCCTTCCGAGTCTCTCACATACTTCCATGTTTCTGTTTAATCTCCTTTCTCGTTTCATCCGATCTTTACGATTAAGTGACTCCGTTTTATTCTCCTCTCCCACGCTGGTCGATTCTTGATTCCGCTTTTCAAAGATGTACTACAAGGGGTTGCGGTGCCAGGGCCTGGCGAACGCCCGCGGAGTTGAGTGTTGGTTTTCTGTTGCAGCGGTTTTTATTCACTTTAACCTGGATGGTGTTTGATACTATGTGCCCCGTTGCACCCTCTATTTTTCTTCTGTCCTGTTTTCAAATCCTCTTTTTTCCGTCTCGGATCCAGGTTACGTTTACTATGATGACCGAGGCTGTCTGTTTTTTTTCTGGGTTCGTTTGATTTCCCTCTTGCTGTTGCCCGTCATCGATATCTTGTATTACTAGTCGAATCCAGCCATTATCAGACCGACTACCTTTTTCTCCTTTTTATACTTAAGGATTAATTCTCTTTCTCTCTTTGTATTCACTGTATTTCTGGACGTCCAAGTCCTTTATGCAAATGATAGCTTGGCACCTTTCGTGCATGCAGTATCTACCTCCAGGCCCAGACTTTCCATGTTCATCTTTTAGACGACCCGGTCAAAGTATGCCGATAGCGCAGCTTGCCCACCAGTATGAATGAACAAGACATTTACCTCTCCCAACCTATTTTTCTCGGCATACTTTATCATCTCCTCACTTTGTGCCCAATGCATCATCCCCGCCGCAACCTTGGCCGTATACACCGGATCCAACAAAATCCCTTCCGTCTCTGCCATCATAGACAATGCCTTGCGCGTCTCATCGTCGATAACTCCATACCCTTCCCCAACAAACCGATCATCCAAATGCACATCATCCATGGTAATTTCCCGCTCGGAATTAAACAGACCAATAAGCTGTCCCGCCGTTCTCGCAAACCGAAGCACCCGCTCTTCATGATACGCTCGTGGTCTAGTCGGCGAGTTCAGAATGCCAATAATATTCCGTGGTCCGCGGGGCCAGTTATCGCCGGAGCCCATTCGAAGACTGTCAACTAATTTGAACCCAGATATTAATCCGGCAACGGTACTTCCGCTCCCGCAGGCGACGAAAATAAAATCGAAGAGGCCGGAGCCGCCGAGTCGGCATTCAGACTCTTGTTCGGCGATTTCAAAGGCGGCTCGGGCGTAGCCTAGACCTCCTAGGTGATGTAGACTTGCGCCGCCGGGAATCCAGTAGGGTCTTTGACCTGATTTTCGTAGTTCTTCCAGGACGGGCTGGGCATCTGTAGCTTCGGGGTCGTCTGCGTTGTACATGCGTATTTCCGCGCCGAGAAGTTTGTTGATTTGCACATTTCCTAGTTGGGCGAAGTGATCGGGCGAGGAACTGGTTTTGTACCCACTGCCCGTGTCGCGGTTAAGTAGGACCAGGGCTTTCAAGCCTAGTTTTCGTGCGAGGGCGGTTACTTGGACGGTGTGGTTGCTTTGGAGGGCACCTTCCGTGACGAGAATTGTTGCTGGGCCCTGGAGGGTTTGATTTGTTGGATGGGATTCATGGTAGTGGTATGTCGGTGTTGGGGAGAAGATGTCTGGGACGAGGTATTCTAGTTTGCGGTATTTGTTCCCTGCGCAGGCGAGCGGGGAGCTCTGGTCTTCGCGTTTGGCGAAGATGCAGATTCTCGGGGAGGAGTCGGCGTGGGGGATTCTGGTGCTTATTTGGCTGAGTGTGGGGAGGGGGTGAATTGGAGAAGGTTCATGGTATAGAATGGGGTACCGAGGCAGTTGGTTGAAGGGCGGGGGCAGTTGAGTGGGTATCCTGGGCCTCATGTTGGGGGGAGGGTAGTATATGGGCTGGGATATTCTGGGCAGTTGTTGATTCTGTGGTGGTGGTGGTGGTGGCGGTGCTGCCGGTGCTGGTGGAGATTGTTGTTGTGATTGTTGATGTTGTGGATCGGGTCGAGTCTTCCCCGTGGGGGGATTCGATGACGTAGTTTGAAACTGGACGTGCCAATTCGACGATGGAGTGGATGTTGATGAACCAGGTTGAGTGAGTATTCGGGATTGACCCGCATTATGAACATCCTTGGCCTGAAGTCTCGTCCCTCCAGCGCGCTATAAAGCTTCCAGATTTCCATTGGATTTCTTAAGGGCTTTCACAACTTGACTAGCCCCGTAGCCTTTCGCAACTTCTTGAGCCACCAGTCGACGAACTCCACTGGGAAGTTTGTCCTCGACCGCCTCATAATCATGATTATGACCCTCCTTGCTCGTTCGCAAAATGCGTGTCTCACCACGGTATGAACCGCCCTGATCGTGCAGGCACACGCGACGAGTGGTGCGGAAGCTCGAATGCGCTTTCGATTCTCCTCGCTCACTCTGATTGGAATGGGTTTCTTCCGCCAGAGTCGGCCCCGCAACCATTTCGTGCGATGCAAGTGGCATTCTCTATCGTTCTGTTGGACGTACATATTGTCGAGAAAAGGTCACACGGCGTGGAATTCATTGGTCGGCATGATGATAGCGGCATCGGTAGCCAAATTAAATATTTGGTCTCGAAGCTCTTGGATGTTATCGGGCACACTCAACATGCTGGAAGAATTGCGCTGCCCTGGGGAGACTTCTGGGGAGGCCTCTGGAGAAGCCTCCGTAGAAGCCATTGTGGTGAGAACAGATATGGATGTGAATAGCTTCAATTCCGAGCTGATCGTGAGATTGAGGTTGTGATTGGGTGTGTTGATCGCGTCGCGTCTCGAAAAATTAAAGTAGTTGCCTAACTGGGTTAGCCTTGGTCTCAAAGGGGAATAGCGCAGAATATCCAGTCTTCAACAAGCTTAACCCATCTGAATTATGATTTCGAGATACAGCTTATTCTCATGATTACCTGTATCGGTTATCTTTGTTCTGTTAATACTTAAACCAAAGTATGTATTACATCTAACAACCTAAGACTAAGTGCTGGACCATCCATTGAATATTCAGATCCGTCGGTTAATCAATGTCGCAGGCTAACTACAATATATACTTCTGCTTCCCCTCTTCCGTAAAATTGTCCTGAATCTATATCAGATAACTCTCACGGCATACGTAGAACCTATACATAAGGTTATCTCTAGGCTTATCATTTTACTTCTGATTGTATATACTGCCCAGTCCTACCTAGCTTTTTTTTTGTTATTCTCATGCATAGAACTACCAATGAAGCGTTTTCGCACCGAACGGACTTGGTCTGTGTCTTTCAACGAAAAATAAATAATTGATCTGAAATAGACCCGGGAAATGTCCACTCCCGAGCTCGTTCTTATGATGATACATTGTCTTGCTCCGACTGTATATATCAGAATGTGCTGGGCGTGGTGGTGGTTTACCTCGTGCACCCAACCCCGCCGTGGTGACGTCGCAGTCCACTGGCGATTCACCCGCCAAAACACGTCTTCCCTTTTCCCCAACCTAAGCCAACCACCATGACGCTCCTCCAATTCCTCCGCCAGGCGCGCCAGCTACACCTCCAGTTCCTGGCTGGTGCCTTACCTGAGCCCCCCATCTACGTTCTCGGTAATCCATCCGCGGACCTGGACTCGATCATCTCCGCCATTGTGTACTCCTACTGCGCCAACAACCGTCTCCCTCCCACCACCCCGCGACCCCATATCCCTCTCCTCAACCTCTCCAATGTACCCGCAGGCCCCGAACTCTACCGACTGAGACCAGAATTTATCGAGGCGCTATGGCTTTCCACCGGCTTCCCCCTCTACGGCCCGAGGAGCAATTCGATAACAACTCCAAGTCTGCGGGCAAATTGCTCGGCGAGCATTTGGTCACGGTTGCGGACTTTGCGCGGAGTGTGAAGGAGCTCTCTACCACGAAGAAAATACAGGCTGATGCGGTCATGGTCGATTGGAATGCCATGCAGGAACGTGTTGAAGGGAAACCGGGCTATGGCTCGGTCAGTGGATTGGAGGAGGTCACCTTCCGCACCGTGGGGTGTATCGATCACCACGTCGATGAGCACTTTGTTCCCGGATCAGAAGACCTTCCGTCCGACCAGCCATTGATCATCCAGCCTGGTCCCGGGTCATGCTCATCGCTGATCACCAGCGAGCTTCGGAGACGCGGGTTTTGGACCGCCGGCCAGCACGCGTCGTCCGCTTCAGAAATCGCGCAGGTCGCGAAGCTCGCGTTGGCGCCGATTCTCATCGATACATCCAACCTCACTGCAGAAGGGAAGGTCAAAGATGTGGATATCGAGTCTGTCAAATTCCTGCGCGAATTGGTCTCCGGGGCGACGAGCGATTTAGATGTCGAATGGAATATGGAGGCCTTTTACGAGTTGATCCAGGACGCAAAGAAGAACAGTCTCAATTTGTTGACCCCGGAAGAGATTCTGGATCGTGACTTTAAGGACTGGACTGAGACAACTCAATCCTCCGGGCAAGCTGTCAAGCTCGGATTTTGTTCATCAGTCAAGCCTATTCGTTGGATTATCAACAAAGCGGGTGGTTCTCAACAATTCCTAGATATTGTCTGTCAATTCGCGCAAAGGGAGGATAAAGAGCTGGACATGGTGGTCGTTATGACCTCTTTTACCTCGGCTGAGGATCAACATACTCGAGAGCTGTTCATTTGTGCGACACAGGAAAGTGGTCTGACAGTTGACAGCATCAAGAAGTTTATTAACGAGTCAAGCTCTCTTGGCCTTGTTGAGTGGACGGCCTTGGATGGAGAGACTGTGGATTTGGTCGATGCCGATATCCAGGCTACGCTGAATGGCGCCTCCAAGGTCTGGAGGCACTTGTGGGTGCAGACAAACGCCACCGCAAGCAGAAAACAAGTGGCCCCAATGCTGCGAGATGCAGTTGCCAAACTATAAACTACATCATGAAATGAATATATTTGAACATCATATGTATTCTTCAATCAACCTATCAATACCAACACCAAACACCGACGAATAGAAACAACTATGTCTTGTGGAAAAAGGAAACACTGAAATGTAGATATATGCAATGCTCCAAACCGACCTGATGCAAATGCCAAGTATGGGAGGAAAAGAAAAGCCATGTAAAATCACGGCTTGCATCGCTGGCGCAAAAATCAAACAACAGAAAACCGCCGGGGAAAACATCAGATATGCAAACCGCAAAGAAAAAAAATAGTAATAAAATCAAACAGAGAACCCACAGAGTCTGTCACATAATGCTGGGATCTCGCCTCGTAACAAGGATTAAACACACTCCCACTCGCAGAACACACACCATCGTGCAACTCGGTCAGCAAGGACCAGGCCACGCCAGGTACCCCGCTCACCGATCTTGATGACCGTCTCCCAGACGCTGCCCTCGGCGGGGGCATCTGTAACGGAGCAGCCATTGGAATCTGGCGAACTAACCATATGATCTGCCTTCCGAGTGAGACGCAGGATCTTGCCAGATGGTGCTTGGATAGCGAGTTTAGCCGGCTTGTCGCGACCGGAAGCAGATCTGGTCGAGGAGATGGCAGACGTCGAAGCAGAGAACTCGTTTGAATTGCTCGAGATCGTGGATGCGCCCGCAGTGCTAGAGACCATACTCAGCGCACTGGATGGGCGGTTGAACACCGATGGTGAGGCTCGTCCAGCACCAGCGTAGTCATCCTTGGCCGGGGCTTGAGGCGAAGAAGGGTGTTGTCGCACAGCGAAGACAAACGTATTGTTGACCGCTAGACGGGAGCACTGGGGCTGCATGATGTACAAATCATGGCGTTGGGCGTGAGGCGTGGGATGACGGAGGACAAAGTCGTATGGCGGGTTTTCTCCCGTGTGTACCATTGGCAGAGCGAGCGCCATTGGATGAGGGATGTCGCGGCTAGAGTGCATAAGACCTTTCTTGCCGGCGTAAATCTTCAACACACCCTGCCCTTCATCTCCTGGCAGGACAGCCTTGATGGTAATCCGCTTCTGGCCATTGAACCAGTCTGGCTGGACTAGGGCGCGCTTGCGCACAATGTCGCCGCTCTCGAAAAAGTCCCCATCTGCATCACAAGCGAACCCTGGCGCTTCGACCTCTGCGGCGCATTCGACGTCGGCAGGCACCACCAAACGGATCTGGACGCACTCCAAGCCCTCGACGCGCATTAAGCTGGTATCGTAATCTGGGAACTGTGCACCAAGCTTGAAGAACTGCGGGCATATGCCCGGCAAAGCCAACAAGACATCTGGCGAGACGGGAGGACAGATGTGCTGTTCTTCAGGGTAAAGCGGGACATGAGTAAAGCAAATGTCGAGAGGCCGGGTGAGGAAGTACCAAGCTTCAGCCACCGACATGTTGTTGGTGACGAACTTGCTTCGTTGGGGGTTGGTAGGGTTCGCCAGCGCACAATCCATGATACGCCACTCGCCATCAACAAGGACTGCGTTCCACCAGTGATTCGGACGAGAAAGGCTGTCGAGATCAAGGGGGTCACCAGGGTTCTTGAGGAAGCCTCGGATCGTCTCAGCATGCAGACCAACGGCTGCACACATTTCATGCACCAAATAAGCGATCTCCTGAGGGCTACCTCGCTTGGCCTGCAGCACTCTCTTCATATCGACATCGAGCCCGTCAACAGGCTCCTCCCATGCAATCTTCTCACTAACCCAGGTAAAGATGGCACGCAGACGCTGAACATCACTCTTATATGGTCGGCAAATGTAACCCTGAGCCAGGCTCACGGGATTCGTGAGTGGCGGAATGCTATTAATAAACCGCGCACTCTTGTCGACCAGAGTTAGATTTCCAGCGTTGAAATTTGTGGGCTCGCTGATCGGTAATCCATCGATACTTTCGTCACCTTCTGCAGTATCATAAAGTTCCTCAATAGCATAGATGACTGGATAATCCATCATCTGGCACCGCTCAGCCCTTTCAATCCTCTCATTTCGACTTGGGGATGATGCCCGGTTGACATCTCGACGGACTTGCACCCAGTCAATGGAGCTAGCGCTCATACCCATGTCCCGTGCCGTATCGCGAGAAGAGTTGGTAGTGAGGAGTGGTGACACAACGTCAATCATCCTGTTCCCCTTGGTTGGAGACTGGGAGCCACCGCTATGGCCAACCGAAATGCTGCTTCTCGCGCTCGCAGCACCCGTCTTGGCAGACTCGAAGATCTTCTTGAAGAAGCCTTGCTTTTTAGTCTTAGGCGTCGAAAGTCCGCCGAAAACACCACCGGAATCTCCTGCATCATTGTCTGTGGAGGACCACGGAATAGCGGACGAGGCCCCCTGGCGAGATGTGTTGTGACTGGAGTGGTAGGAAATCCCAGTCAACGGAGTCTCCGGCCTGTCTAGATATCCAGCGTCACTGAAGCCCCGCGATCGGACAGTATCCATAGCTGTGTTTGGCCGCTGATGAGCACCATTCCGTCTAGCATAGCTACCGGCACTGGTTGCACTGAAACCGCCTGCGGAAACACCACTCATCAAGCTCTGGTTTGTCCTATCCGTACTGCTAGTCATGCTGGTCCCGATGCTTTGCATGCCACTGGAAGTCGTGGCGCTTGACTTGTTGGTGTACGATCTGTTGAGTATGTCTCCCCTATGGTCTTGCCCAGATCGCGCTTGCGCATATTGGCCCGCGATTGAATTGTGTCGGGGATGATGGCTTGCATGCTTCGGAGGCGGTGGTGGGGCCTGATCGTCATCTGGGCCACCTCCATCATCCTCAGGCGGTCGGTTCTGGTCCTCTAATTGTCGCAGGCGACTCTCCATCCGCTGTACATAATTGTTCAGTTGAGGCGGGCCATCCATATAGTGATCGTGTGAATAGACGCTGTTTCGATGGATGGAATTACCACGCAGTTGCTCCTTATGCCCATCAAAGCCGAGTGATGTGAGAGGCCGTCTGCGAGTAGCGGGTGGTGTTCGATCATTCATTTCGTTATATTCATCTGCAGACCAAGGGTTGTTGAAGCTTGGAGGTAGAGGTGAAGGCGATGGGGCTTGTCCTGGGGATGGCGAGGGCGGTTCTCGAGGGAGACCCATGTCTTCTAATGAAGTCATTACATCTTCCATGGCATCCCTCAATGGGGAAGGCGTGTTCCCATTCATGTCTGATTGAGCCGAGACTTCGGAGTGGGCCGAGTGTGTGGAGGCACCGCCGGGAGATGGTGTTCGTGCGAATATCACGTAGCGATCGTTCATATTTAAAGGCGTCGGAGAGCGTGACGGGCGCGGAGCATGAGTGTGTGGCTGCGGAGAACGCAACACGTGCTGCTGATGGTGCATGGGGGGCTGTGGAGATTGAGATGGTTGAGGGGGTTGAGGGGAATGAGAACGGTGATGGTATTGATGGTGCTGAGGCGGTTGAGGGGAGTGTGATGGGGCGCGATTAAGAGCGACTCGATGTGGAGGTGGTGGTGGCGGCGGAGGAGATTCTTCGCGCTCTTGAAATTGCATTGGTGATACTTCACGCTCCATGGGTGAAACTTCGCGGTGATTATGATAATGATGACGCGGGGGAGAGGCCGGACGATACATCGGGGAGACAGCGCGCTGAGGCATAGGAGAAACGGCACGATGAGGCATCGGAGAAACGGCGCGCATCGGCGAAGGCTGCATTGGGGAGACCTCGCGAGGCATGGGTGAAACTTCGCGCGAGGACGGGCGCGAAGATGAGATGCTACCGCGGGGGATCATAGTAGATGGGGACCTCTCCGGCTCCATAGATGTACGAGGAGACACTGAAATTCCCCGCGACGAGGGGCGAGAGGATACCGATGAAGGGCGAGATAGCGATCCCTGGTTTTTGACTGCAGATGCGTGTGTGCGCAGCGGCTTGACCTTTCTCGGTATACTGCCAGCTCGAGGGGGTGTCTGTGGAATCGAGCTCTTCACGGGAGTATTTGATCCACTCCGGGCCATCTGCGACGACGGAGACAGGCCCTCCTTGTGCGCCTGGAAAGGTTTGCGAAAGACCGTCTTAGTCTTTTTGGGGGCCGAGGTCGGATTGTTGATAGGCGAGGACCCGGCCAACACCATTGGACTCGTATCGCGACTGATAGGAACAAAGTCCTCGCTCATGAGCTCAACAAAGTTGGAAGGAAATAACCCAACGGCACGCCTATCACGGCGCAAACGCCCCATCCACCATTGTCCGTCGCCAGCATTCAAACATTCGATCAAGTCGCCTTCCACAAACCCGAGATCTCGCGTTGTTTCGCCTCCCCAGGAGTAAACCGCTCGACACCAACACGGAAACTTGACTGGGAGCTGGGGCGCATTTGGTGCCATCGCGATCAACCCACCCTAGTCGAGTTGGTCGCAAAGGATGGATGAGGATCGAAGGAGGGTTCCGTGACCTCTGGCTATTTATGAATGGTGGTGCTTTTGTAGAATAGCAGGAATTTGGGCTGGGCAATGGGTAATTGCTGGCGGATCGGAGGGTGGTGCGGAGGTCGTAGTTGTAGGATGGGACCGAGATGGGGTTGCAAGGTACGCACGGTCGTAGCAGTAAGAAAAGCTCAAGCAAGCTGCATTGTGAGTATTGAGAGAACCAAAAGAAATTCAAAAAAGATGATACCGCTGAAGGTACTGCAGGTCACAAGAGAATGCGAAGGGAGAGAGTAGGAGGAAGAGGGATCAAGCAGGGCTGGCGGTTCAGACGGTGAGGCCCGAGTTGGGTTGTTTACGTGTTGACCCAATCGGGACTAGTGGCGGAGACCTGCCTTATCGATAAGCTTAATGCGCTTATGTCATGCTTCTGGTTTCCAGGGCACCGAGCAAGGATCGCCCTGGTTCCTGACGTCTCCATGTTGGAAGAACTCGATTATTGAATGGAAAGATAAGTAGTATCTCTTTTACGAAACGCTGAATATCTTCATCCAACCTCGTACTTTCAACTTCGAGAGTGGCTGATGTATGGCGCCTCCCGAGGTCGACCCATGGTTGCTTTGCGGCGCAACCAAACCTCTTTGGCCCTGGCAACCTCCCGCCTTCCCCCACTTGTTGGGGTTGGGGGCCACTGGCAAACATATTATTCCCCTCCGTGGCGTCAATGTGGGTGATATCGCTACGGTAATGCGATTGAGTTTGAGCCAGCTCGAACATTTTTGGAAGCACCTAAAGCCGCCACTTTATGTACCTACAGCCATCTTGACGTCGGGCATACATTCGACAGTTCAACTCTTCGAAAACTAGACGGGCGATATACATCCTAGTCCAATGAAGGTCTTCCATGACGAGGTATAAACAGCCAATGAGGCCACTACCATGTTTCACGGACTTTGGAATCCTCTTACATTACCTCGTCAGGCTAGGGCCTTGGGTGACTACGCCAATTAGACCAATTAATTTCTGCACATCAGGCATTCAATGGTTTAGTACGCCGAGTAGCGTTCACCTCAATCAACGGTCTGGTACACATATACCTCGCTAGCGTTGCTTATGAGATGCAATCGAACAAACACCTGTAAGAAACTCTTTGTTTGAGCACTCCGCTCAACAGGAGGTGTTCGTGTGTCGAGCCCTCGTCATGTTGTATATCGCGTCCGGATTGGGAAATGTCCAGCATTCCTCCGTCCTCAAATATGCCCAGCCACGACCAAACATCTTACTTTAGCAGGCAATTGATGAGCGCCCCTTGCATACAGTCATAGGCTTACCACATCATGCACCAGGTAGAGTCGTTCAGGGCAAGATCTTCGAGCATGACACGGCTTAGAGTAGACTGTCTCTCGGCCCGACTTGACCGACTTACCTATTGCTGATTGAAAACGGCAGAAAACTTGCAGCCAGCTCTTCCCCAGCCTCATGGACATTCTTCAAGACAAGAGCCCCTGAGCCGAAGATGCGTCTCCAACTTGGTATGCAAATCAGACAAACGCTGCAAAGCCCACATGTGGTCCGCGCTATTTTGGTCAACTATGCAAACATGTTTTCGGATCCCAATCGGCTTGTTGTGGCGTATGTTGCATAGGGTCTGGTATGCGTTGAGAATCATAGCTTGAACTATTAGAATCTCACGACTCCCAAGTTCATTAAAGCGCCCCTTGAGATCTACCGCTGATCCATCCTGTTCAGAGAGTGTTGAGAACAATCAACATTGGCCCGGGATCGAACTGGTCTGATATATTCTATATACTTCGACCTCAAATTAATACAAGAGGTGACTGAAGCATGGCGCGATTGAAGACCCTGTTGGCTTTAGCCGCCCCAGGCATCTTGCCCCTGGCTTGGGCTAAGCAGGTTCAATTCGAATTGAACCTGAGTTGGCAGAAAGGCGCTCCCAATGGTAATGTCCGTGATATGATCTTTATGAATGATCAATTTCCTGGACCCGAGTTGCGGTTTGACCAAGGTGATGATGTAGAGGTATGTTTTGACACTGAACTCTGGGGATGGAACCGACAATACTAATTAGCCCTAGGTCGTTGTAAACAATAACATGCCCTTCAACACCTCGATCCATTTCCACGGTATTGAGCAGCAAGGTACCCCGTGGTCCGATGGTGTCCCTGGCTTGACGCAAAAACCGATCCAGCCAGGGCACAGTTGGACATACCGCTGGAAGGCTACTCAATATGGAACCTACTGGTACCATGCTCATGCAAGATCCGAGATGATGGATGGGCTTTATGGGCCAATCTGGATCAAGTAAGATCTTTGGACCCCTGACATATCGTTCATTGCTAATTCGTGTAGCCCCGGTCCGGACGTGCTCGATCCATTCCATCTCATTTCCAACAACCCTGATGACATTGAAGCTATGCGGGAAGCGGAAAAGAATCCCCAACTTGTCATGTTGTCAGACTGGGACCACTTGACAGCTGCTGAGTACCAGCAGGTGCAACAGGATACCCGAGTGGACATATTGTGAGTACAGGTCTAGGTAGATCGTGGGATCAACGGTTGCTGATACGGATATAGCTGCATGGACAGTGTTCTCGTCAATGGACGGGGTGCGGTTTATTGCCCTGGGACTCAAAACATATCCGCGGTTGAGCTTTCTTATCTCAAGACGGCGATTAACAACCAACCGCTTACTGACAAGGGGTAAGTGACACCAATTTTGATTGAAGTTGTCTCCCTCTATGCAATAGCTTACGCCTGTTTATCAAATTTAGCTGCTTGCCCAACATCTACGAAACGCAAGGAGAATTCCCACCCACGAACCCGGAGCGCATTCCTGAAGGGCTCAACTCTGGCTGTGTTCCCACAACGGGCCTTCACGAAATCATCGAGGTGGACCCTAATAATCAATGGGTTGCTCTCAAATTTATCAGCGCCGCCTCTTTGAAGTCTTTGATGTTCTCTATCGACGAGCACCAAATGTATATCTATGAAGTCGATGGAAGCTACATCGAGCCACTTCCTGCTGATAGTGTCAGCATTTTCAATGGTGAACGATACTCCGCTATGGTTAAGCTTGACAAGCCTTGGAAAGACTACACCATCCGAGTTCCCGACACACAGGGCGATCAGGTCATCTCTGGCTTTGCCACGATGCGATACAAAGGCTCATCGAATTCCGAACCCTCTAAGCCTTCCGTTAACTATGGCGGACAGAGTACCTCGGATTCAGTTGTGCCCCTAGAACAGAGAGCCATGAAGCCTTACCCAGCAGTCTCCATTCCTCGCCATGCTGACCAGCTGGTTAACCTCACCCTCGGCCGCTGGGGTTCCGCCTACACCTGGACCGCCGCTGGTAATGCACTCTATGACGTTATGGCGAACTGGGATAACCCTATTCTATACGACCTCAGTGCCAAAAAGAACCTTGCCGAGCAAGTGACCATCCAAACCAAGAATGGGACGTGGGTCGACCTGCTTCTACAACTCGGAGAGATGCCGGGCACCCCCGCCATTCAAGCTCCTCATGTCATGCACAAGCACTCGAACAAAGCCTTCATTCTGGGTGTTGGTCCCGGCTTTTTCAATTGGTCTAGCACCGAGGAGGCTTACGAAGAGCGTCCTGACCTGTTCCAGCTGGACAACCCTCAGAGGCGAGATACCTTTGTCACCAATGGCCCTGCGGGTCCGACGTGGATGATTTTGCGGTACCAGGTAGTCAACCCGGGTCCCTTCCTGCTCCACTGTCACATTGAAACACACTTGTCCAACGGCATGGCTGTTGCCTTGCTTGATGGTATTGATGCGTGGCCCCAGGTTCCCGCAGGTGAGGACCAAAGCCCTTGGCGCGGCGCAGACAGTCGGTGAGGTACAGAGTGCCAGCCCCAGCTCAGCCAGCAGCCAAGCCGGAAAGACTGCCTTAAGTCATTCTTCTGCACCTGTCGCTTCTGTGCCTTACAATCCAAGCACAACGCCTACTCCGGCTGTTTCTACACCAGTTGCGCTTCCTAGTTCGGAGGCACCACCACAGTCTCCCGAGCCTATTCCTTACGCCGAGCCTGAAACCATTTGGGATATGCGCAAGCTTTAATAAGAGGTCAATAATCAAATGGACGCGGGAACGTACCTCTGCCAATATGTAAATAAGGCTGCGGCCTCTTGACTTATAATAATAATACTTTTTTGGGACTAAGATCGGCCACACAAAATAATCAAGGCCATCTATTAATGGCAATACTATACCGATACGACTCAACGGGAAAAAAATCCCTCTTCACACTCTTAGAGTATTTTCGATATTTCTATTTCCGGCGGTGCATTCTAGATACTGGAGCTTGGTCAGCTGGGCATCGGTTCGTAACGGCTGACCCACCGCGATCGATGTCCATCCAGGTTTTTGGACCCTTTTTTTTTTTTTTTTTTTTTTTTTCCCCTTTCCGAAATCTACGAGCTGAAAACTTAATACCTCGTTATGGGAGCTTTATGAAGGTTGGATAACGTCGAGCAAGGTCGAGGCTCCTGCTTTTTGAGAGAGATGATTGGAGAGAACCCGAAAGTGCTTCCGTGTCCTGTTTGATAGTTCAGTTAATTGATTGCAAGTGACACATACTCATAAGACTCATAAAAATTGAAAGCTACCATATGGGACTAGATTTCGATGATTCTAGAAGATGATCGACATTGAACACACGCTTCTGACGGCACTGGATCTGCGACAAAAGATCATGCATGTTTACCCGGGATCTGAACGCTTGATCTGGTCATGTCATGACGTAGGGTAGAGACTACTATGATCCTTCGAGAGGATCTTCAAATAGATACTTTATTTGAATTTGGGTCTTCGTATTGCCTTCTTCATTTGGTGTTGCATTCCGAAAATCTACTGATTTAATAGTTGTTGGTTCAGTCTATTTTGATACTTTGAATAGAAACGCTGATATTCCTTGATACCCAGAGCAATCGAATATCTAGAAAGAGTATTTGAATAAAATATTAAAGGCTTTTATACTGAAAACTCGTACCTTCATCAGATGCTCTCTCCCCCTGAACGTCCAAAAAACCACAGGAGTAAAGGGGGTTTCTAGGGCAAGACAATCACGTGATGCATGGATGATTGCGGCTGCAACCTTCTGAAAGCGGCGAACCACCTCTTTGTCAGTGCAACTATCTCCAGCATTTTGCATCTATCCGGTTCCCCATCCGGAGTTTTCACCCTGATTATGTCGTATATCATGGAAATATACTCTGCGAAATGGCTTTTCTATCCGCAAACAGCATTCGGCCAGCAAGGGAGCTAATCTCGGTTTCCCGGTACCTCTAACATCCCGTAAGGGCAATCAGGGTCCAGCCACGATTCGAAGGAATGCGCTGCCATCGGTCCATAGCTTGATTTTCTTGACTCCACAGCCTTAAAACAACATTGCACGCCTTAGCTTCAGCGCCGACTGCCGTAACCGTTCCACTGGCCAGACTCCGATCGCCTTGTTATTCCGGTCGACCGGAGTACTACCAAGGCAAAAGTACTGGATGCGATACCGTGGAATGACCTGTTAAGTCAAAATTCCCATATCGTCACTCTAGCTTTCCATGGAAAAACAGGGAATACATGGTGTAAGCTAAGAATTTGTCTTCTGTGCCAAGAGCTTCCATAACCTGATGATGTCCTGAGACAAGAAATCGCCCCACAAAGAAGACTATAGCCGGATGTTGCATGTATAAAGTATGACCCCCAATACTTCGCGCAAGGCCTTGAGCTTTTTTTCTCCTCTTCTTTCCTCGTAAAGTTTCGCACCCCTGGCTAGCATCGGGCTTGAAGATGGAGAGCCCCAGCCGTGTGTATCTCTTCGGAGACCAGACTGCGGATTTCGACTCAGGCCTTCGCCGCTTGCTGCAAGCCAAAAATGACTCGCTGCTGATAGCCTTCTTTCAGAAGTGCTATCATGCCTTGCGCAAGGAAATCAGCCAGCTGTCGCCATCCCAGCGACAGTTGTTCCCGCGATTCACGAGCATTGTCGACCTCCTGGCCAGATATAGAGAATTTGGACCCAATCCAGCTCTAGAGAGCGCGTTGGCAACAATCTATCAGTTGGGGTGCTTCATTGAGTAAGAAAACCCCCCGATATTCATCTTTCGATCTTAGCATACTAATCAAGGTATGAACAGCTATTATGGAGATCTTGGACATCAGTATCCGTCAAAGTCCGAGAGTATCATAGTTGGCCTATGCACAGGCCAATTGGCTTCCGCTGCGGTTAGCTCTTCTAAAACAGTTGGAGAACTGATCCCAGCGGGCGTTGAGACGGTTGTTCTGGCCCTGAGACTCGGAGTTTGTGTCGTGAAAGTGCGCGAGCTTGTCGAGGAAAATAGGCCCTCACAAAGCTGGTCTGTCCTTGTTTCTGGAATGCGCCAGGAAGAGACTCAAAAGATTATCGCAAAATTTGGTCGAGCAAATGTGAGTAACTACCAAATCAAGCAAAAGAACGGAACCCCCGTCTCTGACATCATTTTCAGGCTTTGCCTCGCGTTTCACTGCCCTATATTAGTGCTGTGAGCCCCAATGGCCTGACTATCAGTGGAACACCCAGTGTTCTGGGGCAATTTGTCGAAACTTCGCTCCCAAAGGAGTCGAAGCCAGTGAGAGTTCCAATTCACGGTCCCTACCACGCCATCCACCTCTATGATGACAGAGACATTAGCCGCATCCTGCAATCTTGGCCAAAGGAGAAGTTTGCGAACTACGTTCCTCTCATCCCCGTGATATCGTGTGAGAGTGGCAAGCCATTCAATGCCAAGAATCTTGAGGATCTGCTGAGGCTGTCGCTTGAGGAAATCTTACTCCGTCAACTTTGCTGGGACAAGGTTATTGACTCGTGTGCATCTGCTCTCAAGTTGACCACCTCGACATGCACCTTGTATCCCATCTCCAGCACCGCAACTCAAAGCCTGTACGGTTCGCTGAAGAAGATTGGAATATCAAATCTGGAGGTTAACAGCACTATTGGTGATGTGAAGAAGGATTCCGAGACTGCCAACAGCACCGGTCGTGCCGAGCAGTCTAAGATTGCCATTATTGGTCTGTCTGGAAGATTCCCCGAAGCTCAAGACACCGAAGCGTTCTGGGATCTCTTGTACAAGGGACTCGATGTTCACCGTGAAGTGCCTGTAGAGCGTTGGGATGTTAAGGCCCATGTTGATATGGAAGGGAATACGAGGAACACGAGCAAAGTTCAATACGGATGCTGGATCAATGAGCCAGGCCTTTTTGACCCTCGCTTCTTCAACATGTCTCCACGAGAGGCACTTCAAGCCGACCCTGCTCAGCGCCTTGCGCTTCTCACTGCCTATGAGGCCTTTGAAATGGCTGGCTTTATTCCCGACAGCACCCCGTCTACGCAGAAGAACAGAGTTGGTGTTTTCTATGGAATGACCAGTGATGACTACCGTGAAATCAACAGTGGACAGGACATTGATACCTACTTTATTCCTGGCGGTAACCGTGCTTTCACTCCAGGTCGCATCAACTATTATTTCAAGTTTAGCGGACCTAGTGTGAGTGTTGATACCGCTTGCTCCTCGAGCCTGGCTGCAATCCACGTCGCGTGCAACTCACTTTGGAGAAATGAATGTGACTCTGCTGTCGCCGGCGGTGTCAATATTCTGACCAACCCGGACAATCACGCTGGACTCGATCGCGGTCACTTCCTCTCGCGCACTGGAAATTGCAACACTTTTGACGATGGCGCTGATGGATACTGCCGAGCAGACGGCATTGGGTCCATTGTCTTGAAGAGACTGGAAGACGCTCAAGCCGACAATGATCCCATCTACGGCGTTATCTCCGGGGCCTATACCAACCACTCTGCTGAAGCAGTTTCTATCACCCGACCTCATGCCGGCGCCCAAGCATTTATCTTTGACAAGCTTCTCAACGAAAATGATTATGACCCGAAGGAAATCAGCTACATCGAGATGCACGGCACTGGAACCCAGGCCGGTGATGCTGTCGAAATGAAATCTGTTTTGGATGTCTTTGCTCCAGATTATCGCCGCGGGCCAAACCAGTCGCTTCATCTTGGCTCCGCCAAATCGAATATTGGCCACGGAGAATCTGCTTCGGGCGTTTCAGCCTTGGTGAAGGTGTTGATGATGATGCAGAAGAACATGATCCCTCCTCACTGTGGCATCAAATCTAAGATCAATCACAACTTCCCCACCGATCTTGCGCAGCGCAACGTCCACATTGCTCTCAAACCAACTCCGTGGAACCGACCAGATGGTGGCAAGCGCAAGACCTTCATCAACAACTTCTCAGCTGCTGGTGGAAACACCGCATTGCTTATGGAAGATGGACCCCTGCGTGAGCGTACTGGAAAAGACTCCCGAACTGTATACCCGGTGGCCGTCTCTGCGCGGTCCCAGTCTGCTCTGAAGAACAACATTACCGCTCTTGTTCAGTACATTGACAAGAACAAGAACTTGTTCAACGTCAACGAGTCCAAGCTTCTTGGTGACCTATCATATACCACTACAGCGCGACGAATCCACCACCCATTCCGAGTCACTGCCACTGGTTCTACTCTGGAGGAGATCCGCAATGCATTGAACTCGAGTGCAAGCCGCGACGGCTTTTCTCCAGTCTCCGCAGTTACGCCTGGGATTGGTTTCGTCTTTACAGGCCAAGGCGCTCAGTACGCTGGAATGGGCAAGGAACTGTTTGAAAACAATTCCCAATTCCATACAAACATTGAGCACTTGGACCGTATTGGGCAGAGCCAGGGTTTCCCATCCATTATTCCATTGATTGACGGAAGTGTGCCCATTGAGGAATTGAGTCCTGTTGTTACCCAATTGGGAACCACTTGCCTGCAGATGGCTCTCACCAAGTTCTGGGTCTCGCTGGGCGTGACCCCTACCTTTGTCCTGGGCCACAGCCTGGGCGAATATGCTGCACTAAATGCCTCTGGTATTCTTACGACCAGCGATACAATCTATCTCGCCGGTCGTCGCGCCCAGATGCTGACGGAGCAATGCAAGGTGGGAACCCACGCTATGTTGGCTGTTAAGTCGTCCGTCGCACAGATTAAGGAGTTCCTTGACGGCGATACCGCAGAGGTAGCCTGTATCAATGCGCCCAGCGAAACTGTCATCAGCGGGGCCATTGACACGATCGACCAACTTGCAGAGAAGCTTTGCAATGAAGGCTTCAAGGCGACCAAGCTGAAGGTTCCTTTCGCTTTCCACTCCGCCCAAGTCGAACCCATCCTTGACGGCCTTGCAGGGATTGCCAAGGGAGTTACCTTCCATGAACCTACTATCCCGTTCGTCTCTGCTCTGTTGGGTGATGTCATTGATGGGGCAAACCCTGAAGTCATTGGTCCTAGCTACTTGACTCGTCACTGCCGGGAGACTGTCAATTTCCTTGCTGCCCTAGAAGCCACTCGTCATGCTAAGCTCATGAATGACAAGACTCTATGGGTCGAGGTTGGCTCGCACCCGGTCTGCTCTGGAATGGTCAAGTCGACCTTCGGGCCACAGGCTACGACAGTCACATCTCTTCGTCGCCAGGAAGATACCTGGAAGGTGCTGTCGAACAGTCTTTCGGCCCTTTATTTGGTGGGCCTTGATCTCAACTGGAAGGAGTATCACCAAGATTTCAGTGCCGTGCACGAAGTCCTTGCTCTACCTGCGTACAAGTGGGACCTCAAGAACTATTGGATCCCGTACACCAATAACTTCTGTCTGCTCAAGGGTGCTCCGGCTAAACCTGCAGGTGAGGCTGCGCCAGTCACGAATTTCTTGACTTCCTCTGCCCAGAAGGTCTTGGAGACCAGCGGCGATCAGACATCTGCGACTGTTGTGATTGAGAACGACATTGCGGATCCAGAGTTGAACCGTGTCATTCAAGGTCACAAGGTCAATGGAGCCGCGCTCTGCCCATCGGTAAGTCTTTGATTTCTAATGCAGTTCAGACAGCCTTTTAACTAATAACAAAAACAGTCTCTCTATGCAGATATTGCCCAGACCCTGGGAGAATTCCTGGTTGAGAAGTACAAGCCGGAATGGAAAAATCGTGGCTTCAACGTCTGCGATGTGGTGGTTCCCAAGCCTCTCATTGCAAAGGGTGGCAAGCAGCTGTTCCGCGTCTCTGCTACTGCCAACTGGGCCGATGAGAGTGCCAAAATGCAGGTGTGGTCTGTTACCCTCGAGGGCAAGAAGATTCTCGACCACGCATCCTGCACAATCAAGTTCTTCGATACAAGCATCGCTGAACTCGAGTGGAAGCGGAGTGCCTACCTCATCAAGAGAAGCATTGAACATCTCAAAGAAAGCACAGAGACGGGTCAGGCCCACCGCATGAAGCGCGGCATGGTTTATAAGCTGTTTAGTGCCCTGGTCGAGTATGACGAGAACTACAAGTCCATCCAGGAAGTCATTCTCGATAGCGATCAGCACGAGGCTACTGCGTTGGTTAAGTTCCAGGCGCCTCCTGGTAACTTCCACCGTAACCCCTTCTGGATTGACAGTATCGGCCACTTGTCTGGTTTCATTATGAACGCAAGCGATGCGACTGATTCAAAGAATCTAGTCTATGTCAACCATGGGTGGGACTCTATGCGCTGCTTGAAGAAGTTCGATCCCAACGTCACCTATCGCACTTATGTGCGTATGCAGCCCTGGCAGAATTCAATCTATGCTGGTGATGTATATCTCTTTGATGGAGATGATATTGTGGCCGTTTACGGTGGTGTGCAGGTATATTTCCCAAGCTCAACTCGCACTTCGATGCAAATACTAACACTCCCAAAACAGTTCCAAGCCTTGTCTAGAAAGATTCTTGACACTGCTCTTCCTCCTGCCGGTGGCTCGGTCGCTAAGCCTGCCGCTGCTTCTAAGCCCAAACCCGCTCCTATTGACGTGGAAAAGTCGCGAGCTCATCGGCCCAAGGAACCTCCTGTGTCTTCACCCAAATCTGCAGGACCTAGTATCATCAAGAAGGTCCTTACTATTCTAGCTGAGGAAGTTGGGCTTTCGACGGGCGAGATGACTGATGAGCTGAACTTCGCTGATTACGGAGTGGACTCTTTGCTTTCCTTGACTGTCACTGGTCGCTACCGTGAAGAGATGGGACTTGACTTAGACTCCAACGTCTTTGTGGACCAACCCACGATCAAAGACTTCAAGCAACTGCTGGTGCAGATGAGTCCCCAGGATAGCAGCAATGATGGATCAAGCAGCGAGCCGGATCTGTCGTCTGCAGCTTCATCGACTGATCTCTCGACTCCGAATTCGAGCGGTCTACCCACTCCTGCTAATGAGAAGTCTATGACGCTCGGACAGAATGAAAGTATGAAGCAAATTTGCAGCATTCTGACAGAGGAAATTGGCATTGAACCTGAAGAGCTTCGGGGTGACGCTAATCTTGGTGAGATGGGTCTGGACTCTTTGATGTCACTTACCGTCCTCGGCAAGATCCGTGAGACTCTGGATCTTGAGCTCTCTGGAGAGTTCTTCATTGAGAACCAGACACTCGACGAAGTTGAGGTTGCCCTGGACTTGAAGCCCAGGGCTGTTGTCGCCTCTGAGCCTATCAGATTGCCCGAGGAGATTCAGATCGAAGTCCCGAAGGTTGCTCGCAGCTCGATCCAACACCCACCTGCAACCTCGATCCTCTTACAAGGAAACCCCAAGACTGCGACTCAAAAGCTGTTCCTATTCCCTGATGGATCTGGATCTGCAACCTCCTATGCTACGATCCCCGGTATCTCCCCGGATGTTTGCGTCTACGGGTTGAACTGCCCGTACATGCGTACTCCCGAAAAGCTCAACTTCAGCCTAGACGAACTCACCTATCCATATGTGGCTGAGATTAGGCGCCGGCAACCTACTGGTCCATACAACTTTGGTGGCTGGTCTGCCGGTGGTATCTGTGCCTACGATGCTGCCCGGCACCTTATCTTTGAAGAAGGTGAGCGAGTTGAGCGCCTGCTCCTGCTCGACTCTCCGTTCCCAATTGGCCTTGAGAAGCTTCCTCGCCGACTGTATAGATTCTTCGACTCTATTGGTCTCTTTGGTGAAGGCAAGGCTCCTCCTCCCAAGTGGCTTCTCCCTCACTTCTTGGCCTTCATCGACTCGCTGGATGCCTACAAGGCGTCCCCCTTCCCATTCGATGAGATCAAGCATGCCGAAAAGATTCCCAAGACTTTCCTGGTTTGGGCCAAGGATGGAGTTTGCAATCAGCCGAATGACCCGCGCCCTGCACCCGCCGAGGATGGAAGCCCTGACCCTCGGGAGATGCAATGGTTGCTGAACAACCGCACCAACCTGGGTCCCAATGGATGGGATACACTTGTTGGCCCGAAGAATGTCGGCGGCATCACAGTCATGGAAGGGGCTAACCACTTCACCATGACTCGCGGCGAGAAGGCCAAGGAACTGGCAGCATTCATGGCGGGTGCCATGAACTCTTCTTGAACAAGCTGCATTGATTATCATGTTTTAATTTGTGTTGTGGCACTTGATGCTTGGAGTTGGCTAACGGTGCACAGTTGTTTTGGTCCTTTTCCTGTGTCGATCGATCATACTTCTACCTAATCTTCTCTTCTTGTTTGTTTTATTTTAACACACATAGCTCTGTGTACTAGCTCGGCCAGTGCATATACTCTAATTTCAGAATACGACAGATTGTTATCAGAAAGTTGAATGTGTTTCCATGTAGCAGATATTGTAGAGAAACAATGAAACCCTACCTGAATTTTAGAGCAATATCTTTATTTAACTGGCGATATAAACGTCATAGACAGCATTTCTAGTGGGTATCGGTTCCAGGACGTAATGGTAGGAAACCGTGGCATTCCAAGATTGGAGGTGATCTGCATCGCTTTTTGACTTACAGCTCCATGGAAACCATTTGACTGCGATTTAATCTCTTATGTGTTAAGGCTTCGACGAGACTATCATGCAGCTATTTACAATCGCGCGAGATGATCATGAATATGTAGTGAAATTGAGAAGCGTAAAGTCGCGCTATGGAGATTGCCAGATACTGGTTGACGCTTTGAACTCCTCTTTAAATGCAAAAGGCTAAACACTACGGCCGAGATGGAATGAATATTATCAGAAAGGCATCTCGGAACTGAACCGTAGGGCACTGCCCCGGCCAGCAAGACCGTTGCCATTGCCGTTATGGCCGACACCGGGGCTCGTTGGTCGGCTACTGGCAGCCCACTTCGGACTCCGGGGCTGTGTGCTTGTCGATCGCGTGGATGGGCGGTTCTTACGGATCTCCCGCAATTCATCTTCCTTCTTTCGTAGCAGATCGTCCCGCGAAGCGAGGATCAACTCTAGCTCTTTGATCCGGGCAAGGTGACGGACCGCGTCGTTTTTGATGTTCATTTCCCGAAGTTGGACGGCGTTGCCCTGAACCTTGCGAGTCAGGGCCTCATTTTCCTCACGAGCTTGACGAAGCTCATTCCCAGCTTGTGCGGCCACTGTGGAGGCGGTCTGATATTGCTCGCGAGTGTACTCTGCTTGGTTCTTCTCGTATTCTGCCTTACGCTCAAGGCTTGCTTTTTCGCTGGTAAGACGGCGAATCTCTTCCCGAGCCGTCTCTAGTTCTGCCAGAGAGCCGCCACCATTCTTGAGCTCCTGTCGTACTCCTTCAAGCTCGGCCTTTAGCTGTGAACGCTCCTCTTTCAGTTTGAAGAGGTCCTCCCTCTGCTTCTCGACTCGTTGCTCCATAGATGTCTTGCCCTCCGTTAGGCGATCGCGCTCTTGACGAGTCAGGTGTAGCTCCTTGGTTCTAGTTTCGTAGCGATGTTGGAGGATGCTCAACGCAGTCTCAAATTCTTGCAAGCGAGCCCGGGTCTGCAATAGCTCTCTCTGAAGTTGCTCCTTCTCTGTGTCATGAGTGGTCTTCATCTGGATGAGACTTCTCTCCAACGATGCCAGATCCCGCTCCAGAGTTTGGCTGGGTGGTTTCGTTGATTGAGTCATTTGGCTGGTGTCCTGAGTATCAACCCGTGCGCGTTTTGATGTGTAGTCTTCGGTTTCCTGCTCGTCGTCCTGTCGAAAGCTTTTTAGATGGTGAATGATTATGAAAGGATGTAGACCTTACCAATGATCGTTTCTGAGTGCCCAGCACTGGCTCTTCGGAGGAAGGTGTGGCTGAGTCCAGTTCATCGGCAGATACAAATTGCAAATGCTCGATGGCGGGGAGCGACCAACTAGCAAAGCTATCTGAGAGATAGTTGAGAATCTCTTCGGCATCTTCACACACATTGAGGGCATCATCCTGAAGGTCGCCGACGTCATCGTGGAAATAGTCGGTGTACTGCATGAGGAGACGTAGTCGCTCAGGCTCAGGCAACTGAGGTAGACAGCGTTCAATGTGTTCGCATGCGTTGGAAACAAGGAACCAGATCGCAGGCAGGAGACTCCCATTCCTGGTGTAAGTAGTTCGAAGATGTTGCACTGCAGGACTCTCGAGTTTGTATGATGTGTCAAAGACAAAAATGGCAGATGGCGGTTTGAACATCTCTCGCACCCCATCATCGGAATGGATGGCAAAGCTCAGGGAGTCCTTTTGCAGTGAGACCTCCAAGTTACCTCCAAGCTGCTCCCGGGGTTTGGTATGGGCAAATCCTTTGCCAAGCAAATAACGTTCAAGAATCTGACGTTTGTCTTCGCCTTGTACGGCAATGATGATGTGAAGGTCTCGCTCGCTACCAACTCGTATCAACCATCCAAGGAGCCGGAATTTGGCACTCGAGTACTCGGCCCACTCGGCTTCCCGAGCGAGTTTCGAGTCCTCGTATGAGACATGATGGGCAATATTCAAGTCTGGATGCGTAGATACATTGTTGAGTTTTTTAATGGTTTCATGTACCTTTGATAGAAGATATTCTTGCTGCAATTTGGTGTCAGTCTAGGCTACACAACACCGATGTACGGACTTACCTGAGAATCAGAGACCTGGCCAGCAGGGCCTAGGCTTGCGAGGAACTCCCTTGTGATGGCAGCGGAGTCAGTCAAGACACGATCATAGTCGTCTTTCACTCGCGAGTCCATAGGAAGAGTCACAGCGAACTCGGATGGCCCAAGACGGACCGATCCCGCAGGAGCGTCCTCTGGGCTCTCGACTGTCAAGGCGCTGGGTTGAATAGTTTGCATGGATGCTGAAGCATCGGATGTTAAATGGGGTTGAAGAAGAGATTGAGAATGAGCATGGTGAATAGCCGTGTGGGCATGCGACACAGAGTCCGTGTCGGAGCGTACACTGAGAGGTGCTATGGTTTCCGGAATAGATGTAGGCACTGTAGCGTCGATATCGCCAAGGGAAGACGGCGTTGGCTTGTCATCCATATTGAAAGAAAATTGGTGGGGGCCTGAATGATGGAGCGAATAGTAGTTCAAACCATGGAAATTTTACTTGTCAGAACGATGTGCAACTCGTGATTTTGTTCGTCGTTGCTGTCAATGGGGGAGGATGGGAGTGAATGCGCGCCAGCGACTCGAGCGGAGCTCCACGGTCTTCACGTGATGGGTACTTCTTATCGGTATCGCTATCGTAATCCTTATCGCTATCCATGGACCGAACTTTAACTCAAATCTCAAGACAGGTCATGTGATCTAGTTCTATACTAAACTATATACTACTCTTTAGTTTCTGGTCATCAAAGATAAAGCCAAGCTCCTCAAGAGTCCTGACGCTAGCCCTCCGATCGCCTCTCTGTACAAAGGCTCTCCTTATATCAGGGAATAATGCACGCATCCACCGTTCCCGCTCTCCCCAAAACACCCCCTGTTTGCCATGCCCACCATTCGAGAGCCCTGGGCGTGGTTTAGCTGATGCAGCCCAGGTATACATGAAGTTCAAATAATCCGCATCCATTGGGAATGGAAGTAGATGGAATTGCTTCCCATCTCCCTTGTTTGCCACTTGTGTATCTTCCCATGCCTGCATCTCTGCCTTTGAAGGGAGCTCGAGTCGTTGAGACCAAACACGGGAGAAGACAGCTGCCTGGTTCTCCGCCATTGGGAATGGAATCACACGCTGTGCAAGAACTGGAAACACCAGTGTAGGATGTTCAGAGTAAAACAATTGCTGATAGACGTGCATGGCTCTCCATCCATGTGTGATAACTGCTGGATTTAGAGATGAAAGGAAGGGGAACGAATAGAAATAGCCCGTGCAGAAAACGACCGCATCAACGTTTTCTTCAATATGGCCATTAGCGAATCGAAGGCCTCGGTTGTACTTGGTTGGTGAAAGGAATTCAGCAATCTCGGGGCAGATGATCTTATCAGATGGGGCAGATGCAGCCAAATATGACTCTGAGCGTTGCGACGCAATAATCGGGCCAGCGGACACTGTGTTTATTTGGGCGCCAATATCAAGCCCCGAGGCAGAATTTCCTACTACAACGACTTTCTTGCCCGCAAAAGGCTCAGGTGTGTCGTAGAATTTGGAGTGTGAGATTGTCTCGGGGTACGATTGATCCCAATTTCCGATCCCAGGAATGTCGGGGAGATAAGGAACGGTGAAGTGCCCACTTGCCACGACCACTGCATCGTAAGTTTGAGTAGTATCCTGGCCTTTATGGAGATCCTTTGTCGTAACATCCCAAGTGCTCAGCTTGGGGTCACTCAACTTGACATCCAAAACCTGGGTTTCAAAGTGGATATGGCTTTTTGTAGCCTCGGCATAATCCTCCAAGTACTGCTTCACAGTGTGATGCTTGGGGAAGAGCTGCGCATCCCGCGGAAAAGGCTGATCAGAGAAGCGCATTAGCTCTTTTGGAATATTGGTTTCGAGTCTGTCATACAGAGGTGACACGAAGACGGCGCCGGATGAGCCATCTGCTTCTTTGATCCAGGTCGGCTTCTCCGCCGGTTCATATGGATCAAGCTGAGGGACAGTCGTGGCCAGCCCAGCTTTCGCGGAGCTGGGACTGTAATTCCAGGCGCCTCCAACCGAGCTTCTTTGTTCGAACACGTCGATACGCTCGAAGTGTTTTTCTGCCAATAGGAACCTACTCGCCGTAGTTAGCACATCAAGGTCTAGTATTTGGTCGCAAATGGTGGTATCCTAGATCCGACATACTTCAACGAGGCAAGGCCAGATGGCCCTGCTCCAATGACTGCAACTCGGCGGACTGGATTTGCGAGGGCCATCATTCGATTATATCAGTTGAGGGGATGTCGAAGGAAAGTGGAGGGCCAGCGGGCGCTGTCGCCATAGTGGAGTTGGACCTCAAGCTTATCGGGGGTTGCGTGCTAGTCAGGGTGAATATTGATTTGTCGGAGAAGGCCTTCAGGCGATTGAGATTTCAACTCCTAATTTAAGAAATATAAAGAGGACTCACGTATGTTATTTTTGACGTCTGACTTCATTCGAGTCATGCATATCTCTAGGAATTTTATAGTTGACTTGGAGGATTTCGAGTGGTCCATGGCTAAGGCAGAAAACGTAATTTTGGTAATACATGACGTCCACCCGCTGCCTGGGTATTGTACTCATACGGTGGCCTTACCACACCGGAGTAAATGCCTGAGATCGAGATTCCCGCAGTCGCACCGAGCTCGCGTGTTTGTCCAGCTCTTTGTTCCCCCGACTCTTTCTTTCACCTTGACCAAATAACCTACCACCTTCGTCCCGACCTCCACAGATGGTTGACCCTTTACCCATGATCGCGAAATGTTGTTGTTGAATGAGGAAAAGCCGGTGTAATGATCATGGATGTCACCGACCAGTCTGCGCTGTCTGCGCCGCCGACGCGGCCGCAGTTGACCAAAACTCCAATCGCTCACCTGTCTCCTACCCTTGAACATCCCGAGGACAAATGCATCTATGCGACTGTTAGCCTTGTCTGGCCGTATTCCTCTTCAACCAAATCACTGGCCCTACTCCTGGCCGAGCCGGATTTTCGCCTTCGTCGGCCGAATGGTCAGGTTAAAGCTGTCTTTCACGGTCGCGTCGCAGAAACCGTCGCGGAACAGCATATTGGGATTGGAGAAACTGTTTGCCTTTCTCTGAAAGACCCAAGCTTTGTTCCCAACGATGCCGCGTCCCAGACCCCTGGAAGGAGTATCGCGTGGGATCTCTGCTTCGAACGCGGCTTGACACTCGAGGTACGCTAGCCTCAGAAACGTCAGTCTCCAGAAGGTGCTAACAGCCGCCCTTTAGGTCGACCGGTCTTCCCAGAATCTGCCCTCCGTCAGAATCGAAGTGGAGCTTCCTGCGCCGCATGAAGCCGAGCCACCATCTACTCCACGCTTGATCTCGAACGATTCCGACACTGTGCTAGCACCTACTCGGGAGTCCTGGGGGTCGCCAGCATTTCACAAGTCTTCGCGGAGGTCCTCCGGAAGTGCAGTAGATTTCGCCTTTGATCCGTTCACAGAAGAGGATGGATTCGTGCCTGGGAAAGGAAGAAAACGACCGAGGTACAGCCTCCAACGAACCGAATGGCGCGTTGTGGACGAACCGGAGAGTCCTGAAGAGCGCGAGGAACCAATGGACTGGGAAAAGGCTCTGGAGGATGAGATAGATGCCGAATCTGACACAGAAAAGTCCGCGGATATCGAGCCCGCCGAAGATGCTTCCGTCCCAGTCACGTCGGATACCGTCAATCAGGCCAATGTTGAGGACCCATTTCAAGATGAATCTGCTGTTTTTGTCAAACCATCCCTGGACCTCGCTGGTGGCCTCTTTGGTAGGCGTGCGCCGCAAACCGTCGACTCTGGACCGACCACTTCTGCTCCCCAAAGTCCATTTGGAAACCTGTTCAGGCGACCCACAGATACTCCTCAACTCCGACCAATACCTTCTCCCGGTCTTCCAATTCCATCACCCCTTATTTCGAACCAGGGAAATCAACAGGAATACTTCGCGCCATTCCATATTGCCCCGTCTGCCCATGATGTTGATCATGCCTCGACGTCGGATCCCAACACTGCCGTGCAAGAGTTAGATTCTTTGGCTCAAGCTGCCCAAGAAACCGAATTTCATGAGATGCCAGACCCTACCGAGCAGCCACAGGCTGTACACGACGATGAGACCTTGGGTCACCCACCGCCGCTTTCCAATAGCCATCAAGCACTGGATTCTGTGCTTGGGGGTTCTCCCGTGGGTGCGGCTGATCAATTGCTGACTGTCGATTTGGATCAATTCCACTCCCACACGGCTGTGAATGAATCCAACCTTATCGGCACAGATACTCGAGTAGAGATTGTTGAAGAACTACATATGACGATCTCGACTGAACAATTCGATGCCCAACCCTTGAATGAGGCAAAAGATGAGGCACTACAAGATGATTTTGAGGCTCATGGTACACCTGATCTCGAGGTTGGAGAGCAAGAAGTTGAAGGGTCCCAGGGGACAAGCCCCCCTCTAGTGCCTATGGAGATGCCACTCGATGAAGCCGAACCAGACGAAGATATGGCCGAGGACACTGCAGATGAAGACGAAGATCAAGGCCTATCTGAACTCGCTGGTGATGATGCTCTGACGCAAAATGGCAGTGTTAGCGCCAACCAAAGCGATGCCGAGGACGAAGTTCGTTACGAGGAAGATGCAGAGGGAGAGTACTATTCTGAGAATGAATTGTATGATGAAGAGGAAGCGATAGAATCTTGGTACGAGGATGAGAGTCATGCGGATGAAAGTGAAGACGAGGACAACGAAGCGGCTGGACGGTCACCAGCGCAGCCCGAAATCATTGTCCTAGACAGTGACAGCGAAGACGAGAGTGCCTCAGCGCAACCGACAGCGACATCCCCACACCATGCTCGTCAGCAGTCTGTGTCTTCTGAAGCCCCACAATCATCGGCGGAGGACGAGCGAGAGGATTGGTCTGTCGTTGAAGACGATTCAGATCACATTGTTTTAGAAGACCAAGACTCTGGCGATTATGAGTCTGAGAATGAGTATGAAGGCGAACGCCATAACCGAGTTGATGACAAAGACGATCGTGTGCACGACAGTGATATGGAGGATGATGAGCCATCTGCAGATGATTTAGCACAAGATGACTACAGCGAAGAGCGTTCCTCACGGGATGGGTCTGTTGAGGAGGAGCCAGATGGCGAGGAGCACCTTCAACCAATTACCGAAACCGAAGATGCGGCTGTAGTTGAGGGGAAGCTGGAGACCTTTACCGAAGTGGAAGTTCATGAAGTTCAGCCCGGCCAAGGCATTGACATGTCGATTTCAGCGGAGGAACCACCGCCTCATGACCCGGCTGGGGAGCAGAGGCACCCAACTACCCATGATGAGGAACGCCCGTCGGGAAGAAAGCTCAAGGCCTTTATGACCGTGGACGGGGCTCACGATTGGCCCGAGGTTACCAAAACGCCAGAAGAAAATCATGAAACTCCATTCGCGGATGGCACTCCCGGCATCGAGAAGGAGAAAGAGATTTCCGATACACAAGAAGATACCCTCGAGTCCGATGTGCCCGCTGAACAACACCCCAACAAGGGCCTTTCATTTGATGCCTCCGCCTTTGATCCGACTGAGCAACAGCTACCAACTCCTGATCCCACCCAGGAGGTGTTGCCTGGCGACAAGTCAGCACCCAACAATGAGCAAGAGGAAGAGTTGGCAGTGGCTGGCGAGCTAGCTTCGCCAGGGGATCTAGATATCTCCCTCGCCACTGCACCAGAAGAACTCATTGCTCCCGGGCAGCAAAACGATGCAAACAACGCAGATGTTGTATTGCCGACAACCGAGCTTACCGATGACCGTCAACAAGATGATGAGCAAGACATTGCAGCGCCAGAGTTGACAGTCGAAGCCCCCAAAACCCCGGTAGTCGTCATTAGCAAGCCCCCAGTCCCAGATCGCGATGCCCACGGGCTACGAAGCAAACTATCCTACTTTGCCCCTCTTGCTACGCTTGCGGATCATTACAACGCGCTTGTGGACACAATCTCTGTTGTTTACGAGGCCTCCCCGGTCGCAAAGGCGACTTCTGGCTCTAAAGAATATTCTATGACGATCTTCCTTACTGATCCATCGATGGCTGGCACAACCCTTGAAGCTAAGATTTTCCGTCGATACAAGTCTGCTATGCCATCGGTGGCCGAGGGTCAAGCCATCCTCCTGCGAGACTTCAAAGTTCAGAGTCATAATCATTCGATGACTCTTGTGAGTCTCGAATCCAGCTCTTGGGCTGTGTTCGACGGCTCTGGTCCGGAAGCAAAGATGACTGGCCCGCCTGTTGAATACGGATCTGAAGAATTGGCCTTTGCATCCGGCTTGCGGCGATGGTACTCTGAGGCTGGAGCAGGCATGGTGGCCGACAGCCAACTCCAGGCATCCATCAAAAGAGATAGCCGGTCGTTCACGCCAAGTAGTGTGGCAGCAAGTGATGCTGGAAGTCTGGATGAAACGCCGTCAGCCCGGGATTCCCCATCTGCTCGGGGTTCGCGCCGCTCTCGCCGAAGTCACCGACGGGTTACTATTCATGAGCTGCGAGACGGTACTCGCTACACCGAGGTCGGATCCCCTAGCGGCCAGCATGGGATTCACGAACTGCGCGATGGTACGGTTTATGCAAATGAATGAGAGGTTAGAGCGAATATCTCTTCATATCTCTCAATATACAAGAAACACATGACATCTATCTACTCTCTTGGAGCTTCTCTGTATTTCTTCCCCTCGCTTCTATATATGTACCGGGAGCTTGCTTGTAAATACACTGTGCACTGCGCTCCATCACATCTTAGATCTCTCTGATTGGAAATAATCGGCATTGACGGCTGCGCGAATCAACTGATTCGCAATGGCCGTCTCGGGGGGCAGCCGCAAGCCACCCTTATACTCGGGGCCTGCACCAGAGCTCAAGTCACTAGTACCAATGCGTAGCGCCTCCTCAACCTCCTCAATTTCAAACCAACGAGCATCTTCCAGCTCAGGGTCATGCTCGAGGTTGATCTTCTCATGTGCGGCATCACTGCACTGTGCAATCGCTCCGATCATCAAATTGGCCGGGTACGGCCAAGGCTGCGAGGAGTGAATCAGGACTCGTGAAAGCGTCACACCAGCCTCCTCCCACACCTCTCGCCGAACCGCGTCTTCGATAGACTCGGCAGGTTCGATAAAGCCGGCCAAGGTTGAGTACCACTTGGGTGGGAACCGCTTGCCACGGCCAAGCAAGATGCGCTTCCCATCGGCAGATACGACAGCCACGATGATGGTGGGGTCTGTGCGGGGGAAGGACAGATTGGAAAGAGTCGTGCGCGTGTTACATTCGGGGCGATCTTGTGGCAGGCCTTCGGCGGTTCGCGCTTCGTCCGTGGGGGGACAGGCGCGCTTGGTGCCGGCATTGACGGACAGCGTGCGGTGGCCACAGGTACCACAGAAGGTATTGCGGGTGTTCCAGTCCATCAAAGCGCGCGCCTGCGCATAGATAGCGGCTAGACTATTAATGAGCTTCTTGCTTTTTAATTCTATCGTGGTTCTCTGAACATACCTTCGTCCGGAGTAAATGTACTAATAACTCTCGTCTGGAAGAAAGACAAGCCCTTCTCCTCCATAGCGCTAATTATGTCTTTGCAAGCAGTCTGCTGAGCTGCAGAGCCCTTGGGCGTCACGTCGATAGCGAAGAACGGAATTCCCGTGTAGATCTTATGCGTCATGCTGCCCTCTTTGCGGCTTTCGTCCAATCCGAGGAAGATCAAGTTGGCATGCGTCTTGCGCGAGTCAAACCCCTTGATCAGTTCCTCCTCGGACTGGTCAAAGGTGTCATTGGGAATGAGGCTGCGCACTTCATCATATTTGGCATAGTATACCTCGGCCGGTGAGCGGGTGAGCGGGGCAAGATTATTGAGAAGGAGGAATTGGGTAGATGGATGCTTCAGGGCCGAGGACAGGAATGGGTGGTCATTTCGTAAAAATGACAACCGATTGATGGGAGAGCCTATACACAATCAGCTGTACTCTTTAAGAATGTTCTAGCAACCCGCCATTGTCCACGTACTGGAGAAATAGTTCACCGTCTCTTTGCCGAAACGCCGCGACAACATGGATTCCGCGAGCGTATGGGCCGGGTTGGGGATTTGAGAGGGCGCGCTCATGCTGATAATGAGCGTAGATGCGCTAGCAAGCAGATCTAAAAGGAAACAAAGGGCCGCTGGAACGAAGTCTAGAGGTATGTCAAAGTTAAGAAGAAGCAATAGCCGACCAGGAACAAGACCAGCTGGGCTGGGCAGCAGTAGGCTATTAATCAGCCGGGGAGATTCCAATCGGTATCGACATTTCCATTCTTTCATCGGACTTATGCCGATATCGCCGTTATCGGCTCAAAATGACGGTAATACGAGACAAAGCGGGGGAATCTTTGATTTCAGCATGCAGCCTCCCCACACACGTGACCCGGTTGAATCATTTCCATCGGAGAATGAGAGAGCTCACTTTCGTACCTTATCGCACTCAAGAACGGAGACTGTGACTTCATCATGGGGCACCTGGTAACTTTGGCGACATGGTATGAGCTTCTCCGCTGTTTCTGAAGCTTATACCTCCATTTTTGGAGCTTCACTACCCTTCCCACCATTACCGCATCAGGCTAATTTGACTACAGCAACCTGAACCAATGGGCTCTCGATTGGGAGGGTAACCGGGATAGGATCATTGAGAGTATTCGGCAAGCAAAGGCTGCTGGTGCTACTCTAAGAGTTGGTCCGGAGCTTGAGATTACTGGTAATTTGTTTGAAGATGAAGCTTGGCGCATATGGACTGACGATAGCCGGCAGGATACGGCTGTCTTGATGCCTTCCTTGAGGGTGATACCTTCCTCCACTCATGGGAGATGCTTGCCCAGATCATCGATCATCCGGATTGTCAAGATATTGTGGTAGACGTTGGTATGCCAGTCCGACACAGAAATGTTCGATACAACTGCCGGTATGTTTTGGACTCCCTTTTGAAAAAATACCTGCTAACAAGTTTCTAGCATCATTTTCTATAACCGCAAGATTGTTCTCATTCGCCCTAAAATGTGGTTGGCCAACGGTTTGTTCATCTCTCTTATAGTTGCAAAGCTTTCGAATGACGCCATTGCTTACCGATGCTTTTCCTACAATAGATGGAAATTACCGCGAATACCGCCACTTTACCCCCTGGCAGCGCCCCCAAGAGACTGAGGACTACTATCTCGAACAGATTGTAGGCAAGATCACTGGACAGTACAAGGTCCCCTTCGGTGACGCGGTTATCAGCACAAGAGATACTTGTCTGGGCTTGGAGACTTGCGAGGAGCTATTTACCCCCAATGGGTGCGTAGATCAATACCCCTCACCTGCCTATCTGCTCTGTACTACAGAAGACTATCACCAGTGGTATCATGCGCTAATATCTTCAAAGTCCTCACATTCCCTATGGACTGGCAGGTATGTATCCTCACATCGGATTTACGTGGACTTATCTGACATGTGTCTCGCAAAGGTGTTGAGATCATCTCCAACTCTTCCGGCAGCCACCATGAGCTTCGAAAGCTTGATACGCGGTTGAATCTCATCACTCAGGCTACCAAATTGGTCGGTTTACTTTCCAAACATCACTAAAATCTCTGCTGACATTGTTCAGAGCGGAGGTATCTACCTCTATGCCAACCAGCAAGGATGTGACGGTGACAGACTCTACTACGACGGCTGTGCCATGATCGTCATCAACGGGGAAATTGTTGCCCAGGGTTCCCAGTTCTCTTTGAATGACGTAGAGGTAGTCACTGCTACTGTGGATATTGAAGAAGTACGCTCATCTCTATACCAACCAAGTACTACATATTAACCTATAGTAGGTCCGAACTTACCGAGCTAGCGTCAGCCGTGGCATGCAGGCAAGCAAGCAATCACCATACGAGCGCATCGATCTTGACGTTCGACTCTCCCGTCGCCCCGAGGATGCCGATCCTAGCCTTACAGTATCCGAGCCTCGCAAAGCTCGCATTCATGCACCAGAAGAAGAAATTGCTCTTGGACCTGCCTGCTGGCTGTGGGATTACCTCCGGCGATGCGGTGTCGCCGGGTTCTTCCTCGCTCTGAGCGGTGGTATCGACAGCTGTTCCTCTGCACTGATCGTGCACTCAATGTGTCGACAAGTCTTGAAGGCTGTCAACGAGGGCAATGAACAGGTGATCAAAGATGTCCGCCGTCTCTGTGCTAAACCCGCGGATTCGGATTGGCTTCCCTCCTCCAGCCAGGAGATTTGCATGTGCATCTTCCACACGGCGTACATGGGTACCCAAAACTCTAGTCACGAGACTAGGGACCGAGCCAAGAGACTTGCTCAGGATATTGGCTGCTACCACATCGACTTCAATTTCGATACAGTCGTTACTGCCATCATGAACGTTTTCACTGCTGTAACAAGCTTCCAGCCACGCTTCAAGCTCCACGGTGGTGCACCTGCCGAGAACTTGGCTTTACAGAATGTGCAGGCCCGTATGAGAATGGTTTTCTCTTATTTGTTTGCCTCTCTGCTACCAACTGTCCGTCAGCGTCCCGGTGGGGGTGGTCTGTTGGTGCTTGCATCGTCGAATGTGGATGGTATGTCATTCCGCGACTTCCTTGATGACTAGATACTAACGAAGCTTGTAGAATGGTTCGCATTTCGAAATTCTCGGATGTGGTTGAATATTGCTAACGATACATAGTTTGCGAGGCTATCTTACGAAATATGACGCCTCATCAGCCGATGTAAGCGACAATGCTGACACCGTTAAACTCTGTACTAATAGCTATCTAGCTCAACCCCATCGGCAGTCTCAACAAGGTTGACCTCAAACGGTTCATCGCCTGGGGCGTTCACGAATTTGACATGCCCATATTGACCGAGTTCCTGGAGGCTACCCCGACCGCTGAGCTGGAACCCCTGGCAGCCGCACAGTCTGACGAGGTTGACATGGGAGTCAAGTATTCCGAGCTGGGTACATTTGGGTGCGTTAAACCTTGCATCTAGTTTTGAGGTAATATCAAGCTAATAATATGACTACAGTTACCTCCGGAAGGTGGCCAAGCTAGGCCCGTGGTCTATGTATGAGAAGTTGCTTCACGTCTGGGGCAATGAGCTCAGCCCTCGTGAGATCTACGAGAAGGTCCGCCACTTTAGCTTCTACTATGGTCAGTCTAGACTTCCTATACGTCCCTCCAGATATCCGGAAAATAAGATACTGACAAACTTTCAGCCATTAATCGCCACAAGATGACCACGATCACACCGGCATAGTGAGTCAACTCCGCTATTTTGGTCGTAATTATGCTCGTGCTAATCATTCAATCTCATTTAGTCACGCACTCGATTACTCTCCCGAGGATAACAGACATGATCTTCGGCAGTTCCTATGTAAGTCATACCATTTTTCCCACTGGGGACGAGTACCTGATACTGATTGATTCAGACCCCCCATTCACATGGGCATACAAGAAGATGCTGGCGAATGTTGAATTCTGGGAGTCTAAGGGCTGGACAACTGGCAAGGGACAGAAGAAGAGCGTCAAGGCGGATTAAAGGGCGTTGTCGCAGATTCGGCCTGTTTTCTCCTATTTGGGATTCTATTTCTTGATTCTTTCAGAGATTTAGATCTACTTTGATATGCATTTGATGTTTAGAAACACCTCTCTGCGCAAGGACGTTCATCAATGCCGATTGGTAATGAACCACATCAACTGTTCCAAAGTGCCTACTCATATTTCTAGTCTTATTGAGAACATATCGTGCTACTAGCTCTTGGGAACTCGGGGATTTGCATGGTGGCAAGTATCGAGATACCGCAAACTGTCAATATTCAATATGGAGGATAACGATTGACATGAAGTATTTGAATTATTTAACAAGAAAGAGAAAGACTGCCAAGTCAGATAGCAAGAGCCAAGAAATTGGAAAGATAGAGCAAAAGGAAAAAACGCTAACAAAGAATGAGTGGTAAATATTCATGGGTCGTGTCACTGCCAGCCTTGGCATATTGTAGGTCTCATGCATCACAAAGATAGAAAGATCATTCCTTCCAGAACCAACCATTTTTCGGCTTGGACTCGTCCTCTCCCGAGCTCGAAGAGTCCGCGTTTCCAGGACGAGGATGAGTCGTCTCGACCGATGAATCCGTCTCTTCGCGGCCGTCAGCATAACGTTTCGTCACGACTTTCTTTGTTTGGACCGAGCCATCGGGGAGCCGTGTTTGTTCTGTCCGAGACATGGTGGAGATGATCTGAGATGATGGGGATCCATTTGCGGGAACAGAATCGACGGGTGTCTCAGGAACGGATTTCCGGTTTCCGCCCGAGACAAGATCGAGCCAGCTCTCGTTATCATCGTCGCCTTGTTCGTCCTCGAGTGGAGGTAAGCCACGAGGGAAATCAGACTGATTCAACTCCTCCAGTTGATGTCTGTTTTGGCGATTTTCAACTAGAGAGCGCAGAATGTGACTTCTGTTAAAAGCCTGAGAGAAATCTCGCTCCCAAGCCTCGAGATCCTGCATGAAGCGCTCGTACAAGGCCAGCTCGTCATCCGGTTCAGCTTCCGCCGCCTCTGAGAATTTGTCCCGGTAGGTTTCAGCGCCTTGGATGCCATAGACTCCATTCATGCCCGGACCCGATACGAATTGGAATCCGGGGCCCATACTCCCACGCTTGACTAGTCCTTTCAGCCAGTCCCATTCGCTCTCGGTTCTACCCGCGATCAACCTGTCGCGATCCAACAGCGACATGCCATTTTCTACTCGGAGGAGATCTTCAAAGGCCTCGCGCCATTGCGGCTCGTTGGGGTCACGGTCCGACTCTTCCCGGAAGGAGGACACGAGGGATGAAAACACGCCCTTTTCGTGGCGCGCTAGGTCGCGTGCTTGCCGTTCTAGGTGTAGAGGGGAGTAGGGGCTGAATGTGATGTAATTCAGAGGCCACTGGTCATCGAAGTGCTGGAAGAATGATGGCATGGAAAAGGTGAAGTTTGTGCGAAAGGGCTGAGAGAAGAGCGGGAAGGAGAGCGCGTCGAGGCTAAGCGGGTCGGATGGTTCGTTGGACCAACGTTGGCGCGACTGCGAGGTCTTGGAGTCTGATTCTGTGGGTGGTCGATACTGTGATGAATTTGAGATGGGTGTGCCACCGTTGTTATCTGAAGGGTTGTCGTTGTCGTCCCGATTTCCGGATGAGCTACCCTCGGCGCTTCCACCTGACGTATAGTTCTGATCCCCCGCACTGTTTGCGCTGGTACCGTCTCGCTGTCGGAATTTCATGCTGTTGTAGGCTTTGTCGTCGGTGAAGATAGTCCAGTGGTCTGGCTGGGGAGGCGACACGGCGGATGGGAGACCGGTGATGGATTGTAAGACGGAGGAGACTTGTTCATCGGCGAAGCGGCGGAAGGCGACGAACGGGTTGCTCTCGCTCTCCTCGTGGGGCATCTTTTCGGGCTTCTTGTTGCGATCTGGGTCTTCGGGGTCTCGATCAGAGGGCATCGTGGGGAGTTGCAATGAGTTCTCCGTATATAAAGATGGCAGAGTCTTGAAGAAGTTGAAGGTGAAGCTGTTGGGAAGCCCGCCCCACATTCAACTTTGCCACGTGAGCTCCACCCAATGTTTTGCTGCGAGTACATGTGACGTCTTTCCTTTTCAATTACTGAATCTTAAAGCTCTTCTCTCTCTTAATTGAAGTCTACTTGTTAATCTACTATATCCTACGAATACCAATATCTTATCTCTTCGTATCAACACTGCACGCGCCCATACGCAAGGACCGCGACCAGTCTGGGCCGAGCCCCACTGCAGCTTAGATCGATAACCATCCATCAACATGAAAATCGTCAATTTAGAGTTCATTACGGACGTCAAAATTACATGCGCAGGTCTGGGTACAGTTTGAGAACATCAATCTCCAGTTATATCCTCGCACAAACTGATATTTATGACCATCAAAGCCGGGCGCGTCCGGGGACATGAACCCATGCCTCATCGAAACCAGTGGAGCGGATCCACATCGCGCCATCTTCATCCCCAACAGTGGAGTCGATGGCTGGTTGAGCAGTCAGCGATGACGAAAAAATCATGCTAGTCATGCAAAGGAGTAGTGGGATGGTATAACTTACCCATATTCCCAATTTGCAACCACATGTTGCTAGATACGGACATAGCCTGTGGTCCCTGGCTCTCGAATGGTTTACACACCTTCTCCCCGTGTGCAGCCGCGCGTACAAACTTGGCCAAATGCCCATCATCTGCAGGATGGGATGCGGCGCGGGCAAAGAGAGTCGACCAGTCATTTTTCACGGGGTAGTTGGTGATTTCGTCTCGTAGAAGCCTGGGACAACCGCGCGACACGTACATCAGTAGGTCCATGCGACCTTTCCATTCCAGAAGACGCAGTCGGGTCCGCTGATTCAGGTATGGGAGGTATGCGAGCTTCGAGAAGAAAATGGACGAATTGACGCAGTGGATGAAGAAAAAGTCCATTTTGACTGCCTTGTTAGGTCGCTGAGCAGCGCTGGTGTAGTATACTACAAAAAGCACATCAGCAAAACTTTCAGAGACAGCACCTACGGAGACCAGATCAAATTCAAACTCACCAACGTTATTGATCATCTCTGCCAGTCTCTCCTCCACCTGGTCTTCAGAAACCGTGTACTGTGCAGCATACTTTCGCATTTCCTGTGGGGCGCGATGGAACACTCCATCTCGAATCTTGTTCACGTCAGTGTTCCTAGCTGAGCGAGATAAAGTCTCGTCGTTGCGAATCTCTTCCAAGAGCTGTCCAAGCGACTTATTTCCTGGCTTTCCATTCCCACCAGCCAACTTCTCAGCAGGTAGGAAGAAATCACGACCAAGACTGTTATCATGAACTGCAGCCTGTGCGAGGGCCTGTGCCACGATGGCAGGTTGATTAAACTCAAGCCCGAAGCCGAGATGAATGAGTGGATGGAGCAAACCTGTATCAAGAAATTAGAACATCATCCACTTCACAGTGTGATCCTCATTTGAATATTGTAGACAACTTACCTCCCCACAGTCGGCACAGCATATTCTCCGCCTGCTCACTCTCAGCAAAAACATACTCATTAAGTACGGCACCGACACCCTTCTCATCAATTTGGCGCTGGAAGAACGACAAGAAATTCGGATAATGCTTCTCCTCCCCAAGATACTCCGTGAAAACCCCCGTCGCGTTCATTTTCTCAATCACCTCGACAACGGCGGGGACAACCGTGCGCTGGTAGGATTGATTTCTCTCGTAAGCAGCGCGGATATCCTCGGGTGATCCGCCGAGGGCGTATATGCTGAGAAGGGAGTGCGTAATATGATCTGTTATGAGGGTTAATTAGCATAGATGCCAATTACTTGAACACTTGGTATGGTAAAGGGGCATCGCACTGTGGAACCCTTCATCATTGAAGAAAACATGATGACTCTCCATATCCATCTGCAAAGCCTCACTCGCCGCCCACGCGGTGTCCTCTCTCACCCCCGAACTAAAGATACCCGTATCCGTCTCCGGGGAGAGACGAATCTTAAGCGCCGTCGTCATTGTAGATAGATATCCGGAATTGCTCTGCGCAAATCGAGTCCTGGAAGCAGCGTCTAACCTCCGGGATAGAATCACTCTAGACCCGACAGATCGTTGTGGCAGAAGTGTATTTGTCGAAAAAGCAGACACGCTCGGCAAGGAACCCGGAAGGCGAACACGCGTTCGAAAAAGAAGCTTATTCGCAGCCGTTGTTTCAAAGTTGGTGTTGCGGGGGATTCGAGTCCGGGGAAACATGACCTTTTTATAGTATGATCGCCGCATGACACTGTACCTAGTGGCTAGACCGGGCGGTATTACCTACCAGTAACTTTCCCAAACAGACTCGGGCCACCGATTAGAAAACAGTCAAGGCTAGAGCTCGTGTACGACCAGAGCTAGACGGGGTGTTGCTTTGCAATGCAGGCCTATCAGGGCCTCTATATTCCCGAGTCATCAAAGGACAGACCCCGAAAAGCGGAGGTATCGGGCCTTCGGGACTCCGTTGCCACGAACAAACGTCATTTTATCCAATGCCCGAGGCCAAGTTTATTTTTGAGTATATGCACCTATAGCTCTCGGATTATTTTGTCCCCTGGGTGGGGCTTTTCTGTCTTGGCTGCCGCCGCTTTAATGAAGGCACTCCGGCTCAGGCTCACTGAGTAAATGTCAGCATGGGCTTATGCTCAGTGGCCAATCATGGATGCTCAGTGGTCACTTAGCTACTGCCTACTCACTAGGACTCATTAGCTAACTAACTAACTATCCAATCAGCCAGCTGGAATTATTTTTCCCGTAGCTCAATTACACTATACCAAAGAAGGGCATGCTCATCTATTCTGTGATAACTAGTGCATAAATGGTACTTGTGAGGCCCTCCTATTCTAGAGGTCTCCATCTTATCAAAAAACGGGCCCTAATTATAAAAGTGAGGTAGCCCGTCCTCTTTAAGATTATATACCTAGTTCAAAGCGATATTTATACTATTATGTATCGTGTCCTGTAACTACTGTAACAATATTCAAGGAGACTTATCCCCTCCACGGCCATCTTAAAAAAATATATATATATTCATAAGGTTAGAATGAACTCATATCGAGGCTCGTAAAGTTATTTGATCCTTTGGAAGTTATTAGATACTCATACGACATATTATTGGTTGACCGTCTAGCTCATGAATCGGCTCAATTTACTGATGATGGATCTTTGCCTTCAAAACACTTTATGCCGCATGTGGATCAGGACTGCTTCTCTTCTTGCCCAATGGCAAATTCTTTGTTTTAAATGCCAGAAATCACTACGAAACCACGGAAATCATACACCTGTGCCTTCAGATGGGTATCTCAAATCCGGTGCTATGAAGCAATCCGGTGGTAATCCCTATTATTATAGCCCAGCGTAGCGTATACCCATCGAAGAGAAAAAAGGTTTCACCGAATCCTCCAGCGGCTCCTCCTCGGCCATGCTCGCAGCCACCTCCTCAGCAGCCCCCAACACGCGCAGGACATTTCCCCCGATCACTCCTGCCAATTCCTTCACCGGCACGCCGCGCTCCTGTAAGATGTGGATCAGATCTGGGTAATGACTGACATCTTCCAGGCCGCGAACCCCAGTGGGCATTCCATCGAAATCCGACCCCAGCCCCACGTACTGGTAACCGATACGTTGGCCGATATACTGAATATGGTCGGCGACATCGGCAATATCGGCGCGCTTAGGGTCCGCACAGCGAGTGTACTCCGGATAGAAGGACACCATGACGACCCCGGCGTTCAAGCGGACCAGATCCAGCACGTCGTCGGGAACATTGCGCTCGTGATGACAGAGAGCAAAGGCCGACGAATGCGAGAAGATCACTGGGCTGCGGGTCAGCGCCAGGACATCGCGCATGGTCGCGTGGCTGACATGGGCCAAGTCCACGAGCATTCCGACGCGGTTCATTTCGTGGATCAAGGCTCGACCGGCCTGGGATAGGCCGTTGTGCTGGGGCGTTTTTGGCGTGGCACTGTCTGCGAAGGCGTTGTGGCACTCGTGGGTGAGAGTCGCGTAACGAACCCCCAGGGTGTGATAAAGCCGGAGCACGCTGGCACTGTTGGCTATTTGGTGCAATCCCTCTATTCCGAGCAGACTGGCAATCTGCGTTCGACCGGATTGGAACAGTTCCCGGACTCCCGCGCTGGAGTCAACCAAGGCGAGGGCTTCGGGGTGAGACTTGACTAGACGATATACCAGGTCAATTTGTTGGAACGTGTCACGGAGAATCTCGAAGTATGTCTCGTCGGACTGGTCGGCAGGCTCGGTCTTTGGGCTTCATACGTGATCAGTGTAGGAGAACACGGGGGAAGCTGAGGATATGAATAGTTACCATTCTACGTAAACGCTCCAAAATTGACCTCGTAGCCGGCCCTGCTCCAGGCGAGAAAAATCCACCTGCCCAAAGAGGGGATCGTGCGTAAAATTCTCTTGATAGATATGGTTCTGGTAAAAGGCTCGGATCCAGATAGGAAAATCATTATGCCCGTCTAGAGACTAGTCAGCCTACAGGAGTTGGTGGTTGGTCGAGGTGATTACCGATTAGAGGAGCTGTTGCCAGTACATCCTCTACAGTTGGAATTGCTGAACACACATAGAACCGTCGAAATCCGAGCAGGAGAGTCAATGTGACAGTCATGCCTGTGGCGATCATCTTCATGACATGTTGCTGTTCCCACCATCGCCGAGAGGGCGGTTTGTCTGCATGTGCTATTTTTTCTTGGGGCCAGATCATTGAGCGGTCTATGGGAGTTGACAACCAATGAATTGTTTGAATGAGGCCAGAATCATAACCCAGAGTATTGTGCGGCGATCTTATGTACATCAGATGCCAATAGAGTTCATGCCCCCCCGAAGCCGATCCCGAAGCCCGGACCGGTGACCGACCCTTCCACCATCATTCCATTTCTAATCGAGAATAGCAAAGCACCGGACTTCAATACTTTCACGAGGGGGCGCATCTACTGAAGCATTCGGATGCTTGAAGGCAGCATGGGGACACACTGTGTCTTGTATCAGTCCTCTCAAATTCGGCTATAGAATATCCTATGGTTGCCACTTACATTTGGCTTCGACATCTTGCTTATTGTCCCAGATCTTGATCAAAGTCACCTCATGTGTCTGTTGTTGGTCCAGATAATACCATGTTTGATCGGGCGCATGCGAAAAGGTCACCGTCTGCCCGCGGTAATTATCCGTCTTGTCCAAGAGATCGGTAGGATAAATTAGATCTTCATCGCATGTTCGATAGTCCATGGTAGCGAGAGGCCAATCCTGCACCGGGCCACGCAGAGGACGCCACACGCTGATGACCCCGTCAGTCTAAGCATGAAATGCAACATAATAAGTAGCGGCAGCTTATACTTTATCATCAAGATTCGCTTTTGTAGGTGGTTGTGGACATCTGCCGGAACATTCTGCTCAAGGCGACGGAGTGCGCCTTTGGTCGACCTGGCAAACAAGTTAATCTTTTCGGACTGTACCGATTGCAATGCGGTATGGCCTGCTTACTGGTCGCAATGCACCTATGCAACATCATTGTCAGAAATGTAGTATATGAGCGGATAAGGCATTTACTGACCATCGTCGCCGGCTGCTCCTTGCCAGTTGGGTTCTCGTATGTTCCCAACTCGGGACGTCGTTTACGTGAGGTATGATCGAAGATTATCACATGCGATGCCCCCGTCTGCTTCTTAACAAGGCTTTCAATGTGGGGATAGTACTTCTCGCGGATTCTTTCGCCGTCGTTCTCCCGCAATACGTCAAGCATTTCCTGGGTGGCACCTTCGATGTCATCGGTATAAGCAAACCCATGTTTATCGAGACTAAAGGTCTCTTTTTCGCCTCGAGAATCCTTGATTTGAACCGGGCGATCAATCCATTCGAAGTTCATGTAATCATAACCCGGCTGTGGGTTAGTTCGAATAAACGGAAGCTCCTTGCTCTGAGACCAAGGCTCGATAAATCGCATGACCGAGGTGTAGGTCGCCATTTCTAAACTATCCCAGTATAGGTTGCGTTAGGTAAGGGTAGGGTGATGAAGTTATTATTTGATCCAACGATATTAAGGTGCGGAAACAGAAAGCTTTGATTTAAATATAAACCGTTAAAGCTATGGATACCATACGGCCTACTTCCCGGTCGGTCTCCGGTCATTAACCTGCCGGTCCCCGAAGGTAAGCTCTAGATAGCCTCCTTGAGCTCTCTTGCTTGTTCTGGGGTCATGCCATGGCCGAAGGTTTTCGCTCGACTCATGACATCCTGGATGGCAGGACGTGCCAACATGCGGGTCGCCCAAGCCTCGATATGAGGCCAGTCCTTTATGTCAACACCGAGAAAGGTAAACATCCAAGGCATGGCAAAAGGGAAGTATGACAAGTCTGCCAGTGTTGGGCGATCAGCAAGCGCAATATACTGTTGCCCTTCCTTTGCTAATTGCTTCTCTAGAATATCCCATTGCTTGATCGTATTCTCATGAAGTCTATACTCGGTGATCAATTAGCAATGGCCTTTTGTTTTCACCAGTAGGAGATTTGAAGACTTACTTGGCAATGGTACGAGGCAGCTGGATGGGACTTTTGCGAGTAGGATAGCCTCGTAGAAAGTAGAGCCAGTATTTGGCAGTAGCCCTGGCCATGGTAACAAACACGTTATTATGTGAACACCGATCCGGAGAAGCTCAGTAACGTACCCTATACCTGCGGTCTGATAGGCGACCCAAGTGAAGACAGCACCTCTCTCGGCGGTGGTGCGTCCAGCCCACTCGCCGTGGGTATCGAAGCGATCGGCCAAATACTGCAAGCACGCTGTGCCCTCAAACACATGAAATGCCTCACCAGACTCCGGATCCACATCCCGGAGTGCGGGTACCATGCGTTCTGGGTGGATTTTATATGCCCATTGCGAGGTGGTATCGACCAGGGAGATTACATGAGGAATGGCAAGCTCCTGGGCTAGGATCAAAGGCTTGATGTAGTTGATATAAGAGGTTTCATCCGCTAATTAAAAGGGCAAATTAGCAACTAGCACTAATGTGTCCCATTCTCAAGAACCTACCTCTGATAATATAAAGAACTAGTTGATTGTTGTCTTTGGGGACATCGCCAATGATGACCTGGCCGTTTGGTGAGCCCATATTGAACAAAATGATGTTTCGTTGCAGCAGGGAAGGGCTCTCTGAATTCACTTATTCTATGGGCACGCGGGGGTCTTTCTACGTCACATTTGAACCAAATATTCACTTACTATGCAACTACAACTTCGGTGCCCGAGAAGGTCCGGATCTAGTCCGAAATGAGGCCTTATTGGATTTATATCAACATTAATAGGGCTAGCACGGGAGTTGCTTACGCCAATCCAAGAGTGGAGAAATGTTTCATTAAAGATGTTCTAGTAGAATACAACCTGCACCTCCCCTCAAGGGTGCGATAATTAAGAAAGCATAGCTGCTCACATGCAGGGTATCTAGGATTCTGGTATGCTTTTTTCGATTTCACCATCCTTCCTCTGCTCATCATTCTCCGAGGGTGCTGGGCTGCTCATTTGTCTTCCTGGCCGCTGGAAGGCCACCAAAGCAAGTCCTAACAACGCAAAGCTCATGGCACCCCACCAAGTGGCCTGTAGGGCTCGTGTGTAGAGCTCCAATACTTGTTGTTTGGTGGTACCCTGGAATGACTCTATGAATGCCTTACTCGCTCGGACGTAGGCGCCTGAGCCGCTCATCAAAGGCCGGATGTCCGCGGGCACCAGGCTCAAGTTGTTATTCACAGTCTGGTCGAAGATGATGGACGGAATAGTCATACCCCAGACCAGAGCAAAACTGCGCAGGAAGTTGAACAGAGCAGTGACCGCCGTCAAGTCTTCAGGATCACACTGGGCCTGCACATTCGGTAGCAGAGTGGCAAGGAGCAGCCCGTTTCCGCCGGCGACGATAATCTGCAGTACGACGTGTACCACGGTTGGAGAGGTGGAGGTCAGGATTGTGAAGCATCCGAGACCAATTGACATCATCGTAAAGGCAACGGAATTGTTGAGTAGAGCCCAGAATCCATGGAACCGTGACATAATTATACCCCCGACGATGGAGAACACGACCAAGGCCACAATAGTGGGCATGAGATCAAATCCTGCTTGCTGGGTCGAAACTTCCAGGACCGCCTGGAAATACACGGTCAGGAAATAGTTGACCCACATGATGAGCATGCTCTGGATGAAGCTTTGGATTTGGAGAGAGACGGATGACAGACTGGACAGCAGTCGGGTTGGAATCAATGGGTTCGCCGCCCATTTGTGCTCATAGATGCTGAATGCGATCAGGCCACAACCTCCCACAACCAGCGGAGCAATAACTCGTGCTGAGCTCCAGGGATACATTTGGCCTCCCATTGTCAAGGGAAGGAGGATAGCAATACTGGAGGCAGGGAGCAAGAAGTTACCGAGCCAGTCAAACTGCTTTGTAGTGGCTCGCAGCGACTTGGCTGCGCTCTTCTGCTCAGCCGTCCGATGGCCGAGCATCAAAAACAAACAGATGATGGAGGCTCCGGCGAAGGGGACGTTGAGATAAAAGATCCAGCGCCAAGTACTATGTTGGACGATCACTCCACCGAGGATGGGTCCAAACACCAACCCCAGACACGAGGTAGCCATAACCATTCCCAACATTTGAGGCCGCTGAGCGAGAGGCAGCTGGTCACTGATAATCAGCTCGGCCATCAATGGAACCGCACCACCTCCAAACCCCTGGATGGTTCGTCCGGCGAGAATGAGGCCGAGCGAATGCGCCGAGCCTGCCATGGCACTGCCCACACCGAATACAAGGACGCTCCCAAGCATGATCGGTTTGCGCCCGAACATCTCGGCCATCCAGCCGACCAGAGGCTGGAAAACGGTGGAGGCGAGAGTGTAACAGTTGGTCACCCATACATACTCAGTGGTATGTAGGTCGCGGGCTATGGTGGGCAAGGCAGTGACCACAATACTGCCCTCCATCGTCACAGCGAACCCGCTAAGACAGAGAGTACCAAAGAGCACCCAGTACCTCCACGAAGTTGTTACAGGAGCGTCATGGTCCTCGGTAGGCGGTGATTCGGGATCATGGAGGTCGGAATCTGTGTGTCGATGGACAGAAGACATGGTTGAGAAAGCCTGAGGGAGCACACTCCGATGAATGAATGAGTGTTCTTTCCAAACATTTAGGGGGTGTAGGTGGGAGAATGAGAGAAAGAACAAAACAACGAGGGAGGCATGCAGCAAACAAAAGATCGACAGGGATCGGTGACCGATTGCCCTGCACATAGATCTGTATTGTATTGTAATCGTTACACAACTCCCCCCAAGTTCCCCCTCTCGGGCATGTGCATTTTACCAAGCGGAGACTTATTCTGTACGCGGAGACTTACGCGGAGACATACCAGTACGCAAACATTTTGTTACTCTGCAAATGTACGATCATGACACACTGGTGAGTCACTAAACATCATTTTACCTAGTCACTGCAAATGGAATCCCGTTCATAGTCGTGTTTCTGGCTGCTGTTGTTGTGAAATATTCTTCTGTTATTGTTTTGGTCTTGGGCATTCGACCGACTACCTAAGCATACCTAGAATGCCTAAGGCAGCAAGTATCTCTGCTCCTCGACGCCGATACTCCAGTCGAATTCACAATTTATCGAGTGGTATTACGTCTAGCGGTAATATAAGACTGTACCTGTTAAATGCTTTGAAAATGGTAGTATTAATCGTTATGTAACGTAAAAGAAGCAAAGTCTACATGTTGGCTGAGCTAATGCAAGAGAATGGAATTATCGGCGTAGCGTTGTCCAGGGAGTGTACTTTTGTATTCTGCCTTTCAACTCCAAGAGTTCGTTCCGAAACCCTTTAATTGATTTGATCAACCTGTGTTCTAGGTCTCACCTTTCTGGTTGAACTCGATATAGTACTGTTGCTTAGAGATCCCGTCTTCAAGCCGTATCACATAATCCTCATTCATCTAACTACATCTCGTCCAGTTGAACCGTAAAACACAATAAAACTGTCGGCTAGACATCTCAGCAAGGCCGCATATCAATGGCACATGGCCAGGCATTGCGCAAATGATGAATGGCTTCAATCCGCCAGCCGCTTTGATCAGCCAGATGCTTCCACGAGTCGGCGTTGCGCTCTAGTCCATTGGCGGCTACCATCATGTTCAGGTCTGCGTACCTCGACAGACGAGCCGACCGACCCTCCGCGCGAACGCATTCTAGAACAATGAGCCGACTGACAGGTGCCGAGATCATGGCCCGGCGGATGTTGCGGAGAATGGCGATGGCGTCGGCGTCTCGCCAATCGTGAAGTGTCCACTTCATAGTGTAAACACGGGATGGGGGGATGTGGTCAAAGAAATCACCGCCGATCAGGTTTTCCTTGGGCACACGGTCGCCCAGGTCGGCGAATTGACCGTCCTCTGTATGGAAGAATGGGACGGTGTGGTCGATGACATGGGGAAGATCGTAGATGCCGCCGCGCATAGTAGGATGAGCGCGCAGCAACAGGGCGATTAGCGCTCCCCCTCCGCCACCCACGTCCAGGACTGTTTCCCCCGAGACTTCCTCCCACTGGTAATCAGCAACAATACCAGGAGATTGTGCGGTGGCTCCACCTCCTAGAGTCCGATGGAGCTGGCTCACCCAGTCGTGCTCCCGGAAGAAGGTAAACATGTCCTTGTCTGTATCGTATTCGATCTGGGCCGGGGTGCGCGTCGCCTCCTTCCGAATCGAGTTGGGGATTCCTCGCGACATGTCGTAGAACTGGTTGCCATACAGCGCGGTCCAGTTATGCCATTGTGTCCAGTGGTCGCGTAGAAGGAGCGTGGATGTGTGGTTGTTGCTGTAACGTCCATCGTGACAGGTGAAAATCCCGTTGTTTTGCAAAACATTCAGAATTTGTTCGAGACGGTCACTTCGCGCACCGCTTGTTGAAGCAAGCTCTTCGACTGAGAGAGGTCCCTTTTCGTGCAGGATATCGGGTACTTGTAGTTCGACGGCGGCGCAGAGGCATTTCGTGTTCATGTACCCTAACAAAGACACCCAGTCAGTATCGCCGAGCAGCATATGTTCAGATCACCAATCTTACCAAAAAGGTGGTCCGCCAAAGCGAGCTGACCAGGCTCTAGCAGCTGCTCTATCGAATGAAGAAGGTCGATAGTCTTGAAGGAAAGTTCTGCCACTTCCTTGTCGGGAAGGACCCCCCTTTCCTGATTATGCAAGCGAGAATGTAGTTCGTTGTTAAGCTCGCCACGAAGGAGGTTCAAGGCCGAAGCTAAATGACTATTGAGGGTTTCAAGAGTTGATTGCATGTTGGATAATGACTGTAGCTAAGGTTGCGATACAATAAAATATAGAGAACAAAGTTGCCCTAGAGCATGAAGATTATATATCTTCTGCAACGCCAAACATCCCCCGTTCCATCGGCAGCCGAACTCGGCTCTATTGAAAAAAATAGCCTTTAAAGCGGCGGCTCCAAAATAGGCCAAAAAAGTTCTTAGATGTAGGTTCACGAGTTCCTTGTGGGGGAAATGCTCCTAATGCCTTCGACAGGCGTGTTAAACCCTCCTGCAGCGCTTCCGCTTCTACTGCAAAAGTTAATCGAACCCAACCCTTCTCCGACTCGATGCCATGGTAACTTCTACCAGCGCTGACAACCACCCCTGCCTCTTTACAGCGCTTGACTAGCAGGGCCTCCTCGTCCCAGGTAGTGATATCACGACCCAACTTCGCGAAGACGAAGACTCCCGCTGAAACCGGAATGTACGAAAATTCGTTGAGACGCAGCCACCCTGTGATGGCGGCATACGCAGCAGATAATCGACGGCGGTTCAAAGCAATGAGATTAGGTGTGCTAGAGGAACCCAAAATGCTTTTTGTGAAAGTTGCAGCCAAGGAGGAGACTTGAGTATTGGAAGCCAGACTAACGCCGACAATTACTTCCGGGTTGTGCTGAGACACCGTGCAGCCCTAGACCTCGTCAGACCGATAAATTGGGCACGGGATAACCAGAATGGGAGGTGGGCGTGCACATACCAGCCGAATTCCACTCGAGCCAAAGTCCTTGCTAATACTCCAGATAGCGTGGACACGGCGAGGAGAGCAGCCAACGGAGGCAGGATCACAAGAAAGAATGGAAACAAAAGGCGACAGGTTCTTGCTACTCATATCTGGTTCAAGGGTGCTCATAGCGTACACTTCGTCGGATATGAAATGCAGATTCCGCTGCTCGCAGAACCGGAGGCAATCTTCAAGCACTGTGCGTGAATAACATTGCCCTAATGGATTGTGTGGATTGGTAAAAACAAGGGCTTTAACAGGAATAGTAGCGTTTGCAATTGCATATTCCAATGCAGGTAGAAGTTTTGATGAGAATGTGTCGTCAAATCTGGGGCAGTTTACGACCAATGGAGTCACCGAGGCACGTACGCGAAATTGGAAATCAAAGCCATCTGTTTCAACGGCCATAGTCAGCTTGCATTCTTCGTCCACCGAGTCACTTAGCTTTCGTACTCCAGTAAGGGCCAGGAACAAGGACACCGTCTCCCGGATCGCACACTGTATGCAGGAGGGCGTCTAAGCAGCTGGCAGCACCCGGGGCCGTGGCAATATGGGATTGCTGTACAGGCTCGTGAGGATTGAAATAGTCATTCAGGAACTTTGATAGTGCGGTGATTAGCGCAGGGTCGCCGGAAAAGCCAAGCGGATACGAAAAATGCTGGGTTGGAGTCAGTAAGTGCTTCTGATTTCAAGCTGGGGACATAACCGACGCGAGCAGCAAGATCTCCTTTACGTATGCTCTCCTGATACATTTCAATCAACTCCTTTCGAATCAGCCAATTCTCTGCGGTGGACAAGTCGATGTTAGGATTGTCCTGGCGGGTCCGTTCTCCTACCGCGTCGCGGATACGCGGCATAATGGCCTCCACAACCTCTGAGGAGCGGACAGAGAGACCGGCAACCGCATTTTGGACGGTCATTTTGCTCGATTCGCTCGTAAATCAAATCCTAGTTAGTGGACTAAGGTGTATGCCTAAGAGAGACAATGAGATGTCATTTGACTGCGATATATGTTGATGTGCATCGGTCTCCCAAAAAGCATTTTCTAGTGATCGGTCACCGCTCACTCGGCGAGTGGAATTCCGAATATCGATGCCTACTTCCGAGGGAACTCCATGTCAATTTGTAGTAGTGACAGGATTCAAGATAGTCCTGGTCACCAGGGGCAGAAATCTAGACGGACTCGGAGAACGAGACAGATATACAAAGAATAACATGATATTGAGGAGGGGGAGGAAGAGGTATCTCTACCTACAGATGTAATGTAGTTCTACTGCTGGTCAGGTGAGCCCGATAGACCGAGCCCGAGGGCGTTATCAGACAGCAATATTCGGAGTAGAGGATAGATACAGTAGCAGCAAATGATAATAGATGGTTCTTAATAGTAAAAGTCCGCCTGATCACTTCGTCGCCCCGTCAGCTGCAACGCTCAAAGATACCGGTAGTGTCTCTCGCTTTATCCTCTCGCAGCAAATTTCAAAATCAGGGTGAGTGATCCAGCAACTCTTGTCTCGGGACCAGATAGTCTTATTCAGCAAGCGCAGATTGTAGTTCTGGACGAGGTTGACAACAGTGGCTCGGATAATAATATCTGTGGCATACTTGCCCATGCACCTGAAAATATCGTCAATCCCTGATAGACCTATATCAGCTGGGAAATGGTGGATTCAGACATACTGTCTTGGGCCAAAGCCAAACCTCCAGAACAGGTATCTTAACTTTACATTGTCCCGAGCGAGGAAGCGTTCTGGACGATATGTATCGTTATCTGGACCCCAGTGATCACTTCGGATGTTCAGTGCGTAGGCATCGACTACAAAGTTGGTGTTCGCGGGGATCTTATATCCGGAGACCACACGATCTGTCGGTGCCGATTGAGGGACAGAGAATGCCGCAAGGGGCTTCAAGCGACTAGACTCCAGTATGCAGGCTTGGAGATAGGTAGATGCGCTCTGCAGGTACTGATCCATTCTTCCGTCCTTCTGGGCTTGCTTGATTTCCTGACGCAGCTTTTCCTGGCACTCAGGATACGCGGCCAAGAAGACTGGGTTCCACGATAAGCCCCCCGTAGTGACGTCGAGATTGGCAAATATAGCTTCGTCGAGCGTTTGGAGAACCTCTTCCTCACTAACCCTCCCTGTGTACATTGCATCATACATGTCCACGATGGGTGCAGCACATTTACGAGATCGCCAGTATCCCACAACCTCGGAGTTCAAACGGCGCCATTGGCTCTTGAAAACCCTTAAATCTCGATTAGCTTGCGTGGGAAACATTCGTGACAAACTGAATTGTACAATGCCCCCGCTCATTGCGTGTTTCATCAGACTCTCTCTTATTGTGATAAGACCTTTCAACTCCTCAGTAAAGTGTGTAGGGAGCTGGCCGTAGAATAAGTCGCACACGATCCAGAAGGGAAGCATCTTGAGGTCACGAGCCGGATGTAGGGTTCCCGTAGAGAGGGGTCCACCTTGATACGAGGTTTCCAAAAAAGAATTTACCATGTCATGAATCTGGCCTGCCTTGTTTTGGCAGGCCCGTTGGCGAAATGGGGCCTCCATTACGGCACGGACAGCTTGCCACTGAGGAGGACTGATTAATCCAACGCATCTTCCGAGCAATTGTCCTAGAAGATAACCCGAGTCGTTGTTGATGGCCTTGGCATGCTGGTCAGAGTCAAAAAAGATGGACTGTAGTTGGTCAGGGCGAGTGAGGACACTGTTTTCGCAGCTTAGCTTCCACGCCATGACAAAAGAAAAGAATAGGTGAACTAGCAGGACTACCCACATCTCGGGCTTCATCCCACTCCAAATACGATAAACCGGCCCGTAATCACTTTCCCATTTTTGACTATTCTGAATTCCATCAAAGAATTTCGCTTTGTCTCCTTGTCCGTTTGGCCAGCGATACGGACATGAAGGGAGGGAGACCTTTTCGGTGACTGATTGTATCGGGTAACGCCATGCCAAATAGGCCTAGAGAACATATACTCTGAGTCGATTCCTAACAGGGGTTTTGCTTCAAAAGCGTCACTGACATTCAGAATGTTCGAGAGAATATCAACTAATGCTGGTGGAAGTCGTCCTGGGAATGCCCCCTCAATAAGCGCGATCGCCAACAACAGCCCTGGGACTATAGTCAAGGCCGCAATTGCCACAGGGCTCATGAGAATTTGAACAAGCATGATGGCGTATAGCCTTTTGTCAGGGAATCATCCACAAGAGGGTGATAGGTATCTAGAACCGCCGGGCAAGGCATCAGTGATCCTTCCAGATGAATATGATCGGGTTCCGTTCGCTTCTCCATGCGTTATCAAAGACACCAGGCACATTCTTACATCGGTCGCCGAGGGTCTCCACCTCGGCAACCACTCTCGCATGAACCAGTGCGATTATATACTTTGGCCCTACAGCCGAGTAAGGCCAGTCCAACACGATTGATACCAATGTCCTCAAGAATGATGTCAAAGCTTTATGACGTACTCATCGTTGGAGGTGGCCCGGCAGGGCTCTCGGTAGCACTTGGACTTGCGCGACAGCTGCATACCGCTGTTATCTTTGATTCACAGTCTTACCGAAATGATGGAGCGGAAAACATGCACAACGTATCGACCTGGGACCATCGGCCCCCGGCCGAGCTCCGTGCGGTTGCTCGAAGAGAGCTTCTCACCCGGTATGATACGATCCAAATCGAGAACACGTCCATTCAGCAGGTGCGGAAGTCCTCTAAGGGAGTCTTTGAGGCGGTTGATAGCACTGGGAATGTTTGGGAAGGACGAAAACTCGTGCTTGCGGTAGGAGTACGGGATATTCCACCTGATATTCCAGGCTATGTGACATCCTGGGGCAAGAAGATGTAAGTGCCAGTCGTGCTGTACGGTATAAAATCGGTCTCGCAGCTAAAGAGTTATTTTGTTAGCTTTCACTGTCTCTTTTGCCACGGTTGGGAGGAGCGTGGGCAAGAATCGGTCGGTGTGCTTGCAGTTGGCGATTGTGCCGATTTGGGCCCGGCTATTCATCTTGCACGCATGGCTCGGCGCCTGGCTCGCAAAGTAACCGTATACACAGATGGGGCGTTGGAGCTCTCGCAAACTCTCTCAGGACCACTTGCAGCGGAAGGGTTCGAGTTGGTCTCCCCCCATATTGCGAAATTGAGTGGAGGCCCTGGGGATCATGGCATCACGGTGGAATTGGAGGATGGCACTCTCCATCGTGAAGGTTTTATAGTATGTGTAGCAAGACCCCTCCCATTTGGTTAGCCTTGATCTCTAACCACGTCTCAATTGAAGGTGCACAAACCCAAAAGCGAAGTCAACGGTCCCTTTGCAGAACAACTGTCTCTTGAACTTACCCAAGGGGGCGATATTTCCGTCAAAGGCCCGTTTTACGAGACTGCTAATGTGCCTGGAGTGTTTGCCGTGGGAGATTGCGGTTCTGTGGGCAAGGCTGTGGCTCAGGCTTTAGCTAGTGGACTTTGGTGTGCTTCTGGACTGGTCAGCCAGCTACAGGCGCCTGCTCCCTGATCTTGCCTAAGGTCGCATCTCTCGCTTATATTGTGTACTTTCTATCTGTCTCTAGATAGCACACTCATCATGATGTTCACTTCTAACAAATTCTCCATGACTTCCGTGCGCTTGTAGTGAAATCAATTAATTACAAGGTGTTGATTGGCCTTTGCCCAAAAGCGACATGGAACCGTTGTGTTCCACCGATAGTCTCAATCTCATGAACCAATTTCTCGACATATTCGTCATCCCCTCCCATCTTCTTGGCAACCTGGACTATGTTTTGAGCTGCCACATTGCCCAAGTCGGGGTTTTTTGCCCCGTTTCCAACTAGAATCTCAAACACTCTCTCCGTCACGTTGACCAGGCCAGCCTGTTTGAGATACCGCTGAAGGTGCAATCCTTGTTGCCCATACTGGCCCTTGGTCTCCAAATGAGAGATGACCAAGCGGCCAAACTGCGCCAGCGCCGGATGTGCAGCGGCAGTGTCAGGGCTAAACCCGCCGGAGTGATCACACTCCATTAGCTGAACCCAACCGCCAGGCCGTGCAAGAGATGCAAGGTTGGCGATAGCTACCTGGGCTTCGTGTGTGTTACAGCAGGCTAGCACCAGGCGCTGATGAACCAAATCGAACTTCCCTCTGAACTCGGTTGGCCACGGGTCCTTGATCGACTGTGCAAGATATTGAATATCCCCAGCAGCGTGGTCCGCTGGGAAAAGGTTGGGTGAGATATCTGTTCCAATGCACGATAGGGGCGAGGTTCCGAATTGGGTTGACACATCCCTTAGCCAAATCCCGTCGGCGGTCCCTGAATCAAGAATCTGGGTGGTGGGCTGGTCTCGGTTGCGGTCAATGGGAGCAAGGATCAGCTCTGGCATGGCGTCTTTGAGCCAGCCGTGCTGCTGTTGCAAGCGGTCGATCTCATCCTGGTTATGACCCAGGACATAGACGTTGTCGGACTTCGAGATCATTATGAGCGATTACTGTTGGATTCGTTGTTCTTGAAGGATGTGTGAAAGATGTGTGAAAAACTCCTTACAATTTTGGAAAAGTTGCAGGGGCTGGTTATTCTATTCCTATATGATCTTCAACCAGCTACAATTGCTTATCGATCGGTGACCGGCGGGGCCCGAGCAACTATATCGGATTGACCCTCGAGTTGGTAGTGAGGCCATTCAGCCTACTTGAGCATTTGAGTAGATGCGCGGTTTATATTGTTTCGGAGGAACAAATATAAGCATTGGCCAAAAGAAGCCCCGAGAAATCCTATCTACGCTGTCTGTCTTCGCTTGATTCGAATCTTTTGATCAAGATCCGGAACCATTTGACCCTCAATGCACATACTGCGAGGCCGTTCCGTTACTGTGCCCTCCCATTCCAGATGATAGTCCAAAATGAGGCGACAGAACACGAGTTTAATCTTACGGACCGCATAGAATCGTCCCACACACGAATGTTTGCCGTAGCCGAACCTATTTTGAGATTAGCCAAGTTTCAGGTCGAAATCAAACAAAAGAAATAATCTTACGCCAGATTTGTCTTGGTCACAGTCGCTGAATTATACAATTGCCCTTCTGACGTGGAGGTCTTGTTGGCCATCAAGCGGGCGAAGCGAAACCCGTCAAACTCATACGGACTCTCGAAATTATCCTCGTCGCACATGATGGCACGCGCAGGGAACGCGATCCGCGTACCACGGGGCAGTATCTGTCCGTCATGCATCTCAAAGGCTTTCCCCATCACGGTTCTCGCGGCCGTTACTGGTAATGTCACAGATTAGTAGTCTGCCAGTACCCTTGATCATACAGGACTCGTACCAACTCCATTTGGATGCAGGCGGTTGGTTTCGCGAAGAAAGCTGTCGACCATGGGGATATTGTTTAACATTTTATCTGTCCACCCGTGTGCGTTCACTGATGCTTTGACTTCCTTTCGCATGGGGTCTAAGTATTCAGGGCACCAGAGCACTTGGTACACCATCTGAGTCAAAAGGCCTCCGGGTGCGCCGCTCCCGGCCCATAGATTCTGCAGGATTTGATGAGCCAATCTTGTGGGTGTGCGCTCACTTCCGGCTCCTGCCAACTCAAGTGTCCATTGTACCATGTCTAGCGGCTGGGGGCCAGTGGGGTTGGCCTCTATGTTGGCCAGGCGTTGTTCTACAACTGGAACCACGAGGCTCATCACCTGTCGCAGGTTTCGGCGGTGGGATACAGAGCCCATCCAAGAAACAAGGGGGCGTAGGGGACCCCACGGCAAGGTTGACAACATCACACCGTTCCGAAAGACCGACTCGGAAAATTTCATCGAAAGGCGAATATAGTCGGGATTGCGACATAGCTCCTCTCCAATCAAAATACGACTGGTCACTCGGTGCATCAGAGTTGAGCAAATCCCCATGGCGTTGAAAGACGCTCCGTCTACCGGTGAATGGAAAGTTGTCAGCGATGTGAATCCCTCTGTGAGATGTTCTTAGTATAAGAAGGGCTCCGACCTTTGGCATTGTTAAGCTCCGCACTGAATGCATGATCGCACTCGTCAACAAGGTATGGGATAACCGCCGCTGTCAAGTTGTCAGTTCAAACCAAATCTAGACCTCCGTCCTGTCGTTCTCCTTACGCAACTGAGGATTCAGCCTCCGCTTGACAGCCTCAATCATCGTATTTGTGCTGTAGAGGTTGCCGACTGACGCGCTGAGATGGAAGGCCTGAGACATTGATATTAGCAGAGTTGAAAATGGTAGGAATAGTGGGGTGCCGGTCGTACATCACTGAGGCTCTGGAAAAAGCTCAAACTTTCAAAGTCGGCCTTGCGTAGGTCTTCGAGAAATGCAGGGGGCATGAACAAGGTGTCCTGGCCCCACCAGTTGAGAACAAATGACTTTCCTAATCTCTTGTTGACCTAGAACGAGTCAAAATATATCATAAAGGAATATTTCACCTCTTTCACCAACCTGCAAATAGCCCGTTTCCACTATTTCATCAATATACCAGCGGATGGACTTTCTTCCGGTAAAGAATGAGACAAGACGTGATTCACCGAGTCGATGAGACTTATACGGAGACTCTACGGAGAGGATGAAAGTCCACAGAAAGTAGCCCACGGCCAGGAACCCAAAGGCACCTGGGACGTAGGCTTGTTCAATGGAAAAGGACGAGAGAAGCATACTGAATCTATAGCACCAACACCTCAAGTAGGAGTAAAGTTATTTGAAGCAGTCAAAATGCAGCCAAACAGGAAGTTGGTAGTTATCAGCACTAGTGTCGGGTATTTTAGGCCGAAGCCATCGGGGACCGAAAAGTGCTCCGGCTTCATTCATACTTTCCGACTATGGATTTTCCTTCCCAAGAAGCTTGTGTCAGTGAATTACCGCCCCAATGGATAATAATTTTGAAAACACCCTAGGCTTTAGAACCGTGGGCTCGATGGTGAGCAAGTCCAAAACTGGTGAAATATCATGCTAACCGGCATTTGTAGCTTGAAGACGTTCGGCCGTGGCTTGTGGAGCCGGTCCACGAAAGCTACCTATTATCCTTGTGCACTATTACCAGCATCTACATTATTTATCGAGTATTTCAGTTTGCTCGACATCGTTGGGTCTACAGGGAGTTCTACCGTTTACCATGGGTGCGAAATTTCCATAACACGGACCTCCGGTCCGCGATGGAGGAGGGAACTGCGAAGGTAGGCATCATCCATCCAAAATGTTGGAAAGCGTTCAGCTCAGAGAAAGAAGTATGCCGATCGACCCTTTGTCCTGCCTTTGCTAGATCCGACCGTCATTCTTCCAAGTAATGTGATCGACGAGGTAAAGTCTCTCCCCGAGACCCGAGTCTCGATCGATGCCAACAACAAACGGCGTTTTTTCGGTCAATACACCCTGATGGGGACCAAATCCCCCGAATTACTATCTGCCATCAAACAGGACCTCCACCGGAACGTGAGCAATCTCTTGACTGAGATGATGGAAGAGATTCGAGTGACTACGGACTCACTGATCTCATTAACTTCCGAATCGCCGGTCAAGAGTCTCTTGGTATATGAGAGCATGCTTAGATATATTACGCTTGTTACTGGGCGCATCATCGTGGGTTTACCATTGAGCCGCAACGAAGCATGGGTCGGCTCTGCAATCAACTACGCGGTCGAGAGCATGAAGGCAGGGCACCAACTTCGAACATATCCTGTTGCTCTGAGACCTTGGGTAGCCCCATTTCTATCTGCCGTGAGGCGGCTCAAAGACCACCAGTCTAAAATCATGACAATATTACATGAAACTGTGCTCCAGGAGCGGTTGAGTCCGGCCAATTCAACCAAAGTTGACGAAACGCAAGGCCGGTTGGCATCCTGGCTGATTCAACACTACCGTCCCATGTCCAACAAGGATGTTTCCGAGTGGAATCTGTGTAAAGACCATATCCTCGCCCTGTTTGCTGGGATTCACATCGCAACAAATGCTGTCACGCAGGTTCTTCTCGATCTCGCGGCCCGACCAGAATACCAACAACAGCTCCTTGAAGAAATTGATTCAGCGACTAGCGAATCTGAAAACAATACGCTTTCTTTGGGAATGATCGCCAAGATGTCCAAGCTAGATAGTTTTATCCAAGAATCCCTTCGGGTGAATCCTCCCGGAGGAGTTGGTAAGTCCATTTGCAACATTGGATCAGTCATGCGTGTGCACCACTGACCTAGTCTCTACACTATCCGTTCTAGTGACTCTTATGCGAGAGACTACGGCACCATTCCGGCCTTCATGTGGCCCTCTCATACCCAAAGGCACACTGATCGCCTTTTCGAACAACCGCTTTGACATGGCTACGCGTACAAAGGCAGACGTTGACCACTTCGATGCATTTCGTTTCGATCGAGAGCGTAGCAGCGGGGGTTCCAAGCATCACCTCTTGACACCAAGTCCAGATTCCTTGACTTGGGGGTACGGAATCCATGCCTGCCCAGGCCGATCATTTGCTGCCACTGAAATCAAAGTTATCGTCATCCATCTCTTGACGCACTTTCATTTACGCTTGAAGGGAGGAAAAGAAAGGCCACCAAATCAATCCTTTGATTTTCAGATTATGCCTGACATGAGTGCAGAGATTGAGTTCTCGTCGAGAACCAACCTAGGCAATCATTGAATTTCGCGTTCATAGTCATGTCTTTTTGACAATGTAGTTTCATGAATATGTTTAGGAGAGGAGATTTGGATTTAAAGGAAATAAACATCTGCGCCAGCTAGGCAGCAAGAAACATTTTTGGAGACTCAAAGATCAAAGATTGGAATACTGTAAACCTGAACGAAGGAGTACTTTATACCCTCCATGAATACGAACTATCCACGATAGGAAATGCAATATTAAACAACATTGTTTGTCAGCGGCGAGCAAGGCCGATTCCTCAACAGAATTTATCCGTATGCTATGTTTGTTTTATCAATTGATGGAGTCATAATCAATTTCGTGTCGGGATATCTTATAAACTTAAACATGATAATTCCTATCTGGAATTCCTAATCAGGTAGAACTGACTCGGTTGGAGTAGTTAAAATTCCATTGAAAAACGGATATCTGACAGAGGGCCTAATACGACCGTTCATATTGTCAAGAGAAGATCTTTCTCTCTTGAATCTGGCACAAGAGCGGCCTCTTCGCGAACATTACATATATCTCCTGTCCACTAGCCCAATTTTTACATTCCTCGGCCAGCTTTGCATCAAAGCTCCACACAAAGCGCGCAATAGTCACTTCGAAAGACCGTTAGTTCGCACCCAGATGCTGCCGGCAATGTGAATACTTACATCTCGCAAACGCCCACGCCATGTTCTTTCCCAGACAATTACGCGGCCCGGTTGAAAAGGGTTGATGGGCCTGCTTTTCGTCTCGCTGGAATCGAGGATCCCCCAGCCATCGCTCAGGGCAAAAGTTATCCGGCAAGACAAAATTGGTCTCACTCCTAGATGCTGCATATCCATTGATACCAATGGCGTAGTCTTCGGGGACGAACCGGCCGACTATTGTTGCCCCTGAGGATGCGGTTCGTCGTGGGAAAGTGCTCGGCACGACAGGGTAGATACGCAGAGTCTCGTCAATCACTGCGTTGAGATACGGCAGCTTTTGAAGGCTGGCAAACGTGATGTCTGCCTCTCGCGAGTATTCGGTACGGATCTCCGTAGCCAAGCGATTCCACACCTGTTCATCGCTGAGCACGTAGTATAAGCATCCGCACAGGAGCGTGGCATTAGTATCGCTACCCGCAGTCATGAGGATAGAGGAAGCAATCTTCAGCTCGGCGTCAGTCATCCCGGTCTTTCCCTGTTGTTGCTGGTTTTCGCGAAGGAAATGTGACACTTGAATCAATCAGCGCCACGCAGCAACCAATAACACCCATGGGGAGGGTGGGCTTTTTTTTTTTTGTTTTTGATCTTACCGAAATCCTCTCGGTCGGCACCCGCAGCAAGGCGTTGTTGCGCCATCTCTGTTGTCAACATAAACTGCTTCATCCACTTCCGTCCAATACGGCCCAGTACTACTCCTACTAGCCAGTTGTGTGACAGGAACGAAGGCAGTCGTCGCCAGGCCTGGATGTAAAGCCCTTGTTTGACGTGACCAGATACCAATTCAACCCACGGGTGCAGCTTTCCATTCTCGGTATTGGTCAAGCATCCCAAAGACCGACCGAAAGAAAGGTCCAAGATAACATCCATCGCTGCACTCGTAAGCCACGGCACCAAATCGACTGAATTTTCAGTTTGATACTGGCGGAGTTGATGTATCAAGATATCGACATAAGAGGTGATAAGAGGCTCTTGACGCGCCAACGCCCGATCCGAAAATGCGTGGGCCATGATCCCTCTGAGCCGTCTGTGGTCCTCATTCCGAGCTGTGACCTGGATTGAAAGTGAAAAAACGGCGTTATCGGACAAGGTACGTAGATCTCGTGCACGATGGATTCATACTTACGATGACGGGAACTGTGTTCATCGACTGCGAGTACCAAGTCGGATCCTTTTCAAATCCACTGTGAAACTCGCGATCACGCCACGCTGGATATGATGAGCAATTCTGATAGTTTCGAGAAGGATAGAGTCCGAGACAAACAGTGAATTTCATGATATGCGCGGGCCGAGTTGTAAGAGAGCTCATCCGGAGCAACACGAACGACCTCCCCATACTTGTTATGCCAATCCAGCGTCTTGTATGGAAGAGTTCCATTGAGTTGGTGATAAACGTAGTGCAGTCGTGAAGCGCGAGAAAGCCATGGGCCCGGATATGATGCCAAAGGGTGGAAGAAGAGGTTGTAAATCGATTTGGCAGCCAAAAGGAGAACCTGTCGCCGTCAGCTGTCCAGCCATGATGCTAGACGTAAAAGCCGGGCTACTGACCGTCAGAATGAACCCCGTACCTGCCACTAAGGTCAAGCCCAGCGGGCTAGAAAGAATAAGATACGTCGACATGCTTTTTGGTACGTGTCTGTGTGCAGACCAATGATGGTATTATCCATCATCCTCCCTTGAAGTCTTGTGCTTTGTTTACAATCCAAGGCGATTCTCGGTGACCGACAGTAGACACAAGGCGTTCCTTCGGATGACCGTGTACTTTGTGGGTGTTATCAGTGGCAATAACCCCCGCAGCTTCTCTCAGCTGCCAAGCCCTTTCTTTGTTTCCTGGCAAAGTATTTTTGTTCGCTGGAAAAGGATTTCCTTTCTTTGTTTCCTGGTAGAGTATTCCCCATCTTTCTTTCCTGGAAAAGTCTCTCGAGTCACACGGCATTGCCAAGGGGAAGAAAATGAATGCTCTTCGCAACTTGTTGTCAGCCTGTCGCCTCAAAGATGGACCCAGCAAAGCTGCTACAAGATGGATCAATGATGATCTGCGCCCTCTTCCTCCTTCTCGCCGACGCTGGACCGGTATGACCTACCTTGGTTGGTGGTCAATCTGGATGATGGGCTTGAGTAACTTTCAAGTCGGTTCCTCTTTGGTGGCACTTGGTATGTCCGTATGGCAAGCAATGGCTGCAGTGATTATAGGGCGAATCATCATCGCTGCAGTCGGGATTGGTAATGGAGCAGTTGGATCGCGATGGCATATAGGATTTCCGGTTTTTTCTCGCATCATTTGGGGGATGAGGGTATGTTTTTTTTCTTTCTTTTCCCCAGTTAGATCGAAAATCATGACGAACCAAGATCAACTCACAGTTGATGGGCATCTATGCAGGGGTCATATGGAGCCATTCTCTTGCGGATTCTTCTAGGACTGGTTGGCTTCGCGGTTCAATCCTGGAATGGGGGCCTCTGCATCGTGGCTCTCCTCAGTGCCATCTTTCCTTCTTACTTCCACCTCCGAAATACCATTCCTGAATCCTCCCACGTCACCACTAGCCAAATGATCGGATGGCTGGTCTTTCTTGCTCTATCCGTTCCATTGATCTACGTTCGACCAGAACGAGCTCCGAAGGCCATGGCAGTGATGAATATCCTAACACTCGTTACTATCGTTGGTATTCTCATCTGGGCCTTGACCGCTGCACATGGGGTTGGTCCACTGTTGTCCCAATCAGCAACCGTAGTAACCTCCTCGCAGCTGGGATGGTCAATGCTGAGTGGGATCAACGCGGTGATTGGCACCGTTGCCCCTGCCCTAAGTATGCGATTGTCTCTCTCATCTCGTTTCTCTTCGGTCTTCAAGTCGCTAATTGCCCCTTCCAGTGAGTCAACCTGACTTTTCTCGATTTGCACGCCGCGAAAAGGACCAAATATGGGGGCAAGCCGTGGCCTTCATTTTGGTTGGTACAATAATGCCTCTCTTTGGCTGTATGGTCTCTTCTGCAACTCTAAAGATCTACGGAGAAGCGATCTGGAACCCTCCTGTTCTCATCGTGGTCTGGCTTTCGCACAAATACGACTCTGCTACTCGTGCCGCTGCCGCCTTCGCTGGAATTGGAATGACCATCAGCCAACTCGCGGTTCTCGTTGTCGACAACGCCTACTCGGTCGGGATTGACCTCTGCGGGTTGTTTCCCACTTACCTCAACATTCGTCGCGGCTCATATCTGGGACTAGCCCTGGGGATGACCTTTTGTCCGTGGGAGCTACTGTCCAGCGCTGCTGTTTTTCTCTCGGTTATCTCCGGCTTCACTGTCTTCTTCGGTCCGATTTGCGGAATTCAGATCTGTGATTATTGGGTACTACGGCGCCAACGCCTTCGCCTGTCGGACCTCTATCATCTCCGGCCAGAGGGTATATACTATTATGTTCTTGGAGTCAACTGGCGCTCATTTGTAGCATGGGTGGCCGGTTGGGCCCCATTGTTGCCAGGATTCATGCAGACTGTGCAACCAGCGATTCCGCTGCGGACCTCCATCGCGAAGCTTTACGACTTAGCATTTGTATTAGGATTTGCGATCGCGTTTTTGGTGCATCTGGGTTTGAATCTCATTTTCCCGCCTTCGGGTCTAGGGGAGATTGATGACACTGACATTTACCTTACCTTTACGCATGATGAAGCTCAGGCCCTGGGCTGGCCTGCCGATAGCTCAGTGCATTTCGAAATTGTGGAGGTGGACAGGGGCTAGCTGAAGGTGGCGGGATTGCATCTGAATTCTAATATAGTACGAGTACATAGTATAATCGGGCTTTCTAGTTGATTTCATAGCAAGTTAATTCATAAATCCATCAATTCAATGAGCTGTCTTACTTTGTCATCGTCGGTCTACCGATCCATGTATCGACGGGACGTGAAACCCACGCTTTAGTATCGATACCTCAATGGATGCTTGATTCTAGAGAATCCTCCGTATAGATTAATTAAATCAAGCCAAATCAGGCATCAATTTGGAAAAAAAAATTAGGATATTCGGATCTCTTGCCCTTTTGCCATTGGCAGCACTTGAAGCATCTGTGTCGGCGAGCGTCTCGGTATCTATCTCGGTGACCGACAGTACAACAAAGATACGGCCACCAACTGCAAATTTAATTTGCCAAGCCAAGGTGTCAATTTACTAGCTAGTAATGAGCATTTCCAATAGAATTAATTGTTTTATTGAGGGCTGTTCGATCGGTTCAGCCATATTTGACATCCACGGTCTAGGCGTGATTGAACGTATTGCAGCTTCCGAATACTATACGAATAGTGTGGGATTTGAGCGGGTGCCGAAACATTTCAGCCCAAAGGGTATTCAAACACTACTGTTTGACAAATTTCGGAGGTGGCAGGAAAAGGGTTACATTTATTCACTATATATCAGGGCTGAATCTTTCGAGTACACATTGGCATCCCGAAGTCATATTTTATGCATATTTGCTGACATCTGGAATACATTCAGCACCTATTAATAGGCACAGTACATCCATCCTGCTTGACTGTGCTATTTACTTCCTGTATTGACATAAGGATTATTGCCCCGCTTCGCCACCTATTCCTCTCCATCATTAAGCAAATATCTTCCAAGCAAAACGTCCTTTCCAGCCGTCCTTTGTGAAACAATCCAGCAGCATGGATCTCAAGGCCCTCCCTCGGCATTATCAGGAAAATGTCAACAACACGAAATGTACCTACCGACAGCTCGGGAAGTCTGGCCTGAAAGTCTCAGTTCCAATTCTTGGTTGCATGGGTATTGGAGACCAAGATTGGGTTTGGGACTGGGTCATGGAAGAAGAAGAATCGATGCGCTTGCTGAAAGCCGCATGGGATCGCGGTATCAACACTTGGGACACAGCCAACGTCTTTTCCAACGGAAAAAGCGAGACCATCATTGGCAAGGCCATCAAGAAGCACCAGATTCCGCGCCACAAAGTCGTCCTCATCACCAAGGTGTTCTGTACTGTTGGCGAGCACGGCGATAATGCCATGGCCTATGCAGCACCACTCCGAGGTACTAAGGAATATGTCAACCAGTCCGGTGAGTACAATAAAGCGTTTAAGGTGCTTAGATTCCCACAGAAGGAAATGGAAGAGCTAATACAGCGCATTAGGTCTTTCCCGCCAGTCCATTATGAACAACGTGCAGGCGAGTCTGGATAGACTGCAGACAGATTACATCGACGTCTTGATGATCCATAGGTCAGACGATCGGGTGCCTTACGAGGAGACGATGGAGGCGTTGCATGACCTAGTCCGTGCCGGAAAGGTGCGCTATCTTGGTGCGAGCTCCATGTGGACCTACCAGTTTGTGCAGATGCAACACTGCGCGGAGACACATGGCTGGACCAAGTTTGTCTGTATGCAGAATCACTACAGCTTGATCTACCGCGAGGAGGAGCGTGAAATGAATCGCTATTGCCGTCAGACTGGGGTCGGGATAACCCCTTGGGCGCCTTTGTGTCGCGGATGGCTGGCACGTCGACTACAGGATAGCCTCACGGGTAACACTCTACGATCGCAGGATGAGTGCGTCAATGGCTCTAGGTATATTCCGGTCCGAGAGGCACCCGACCAGCAAATTATCCGCCGGGTTGAGGAGGTGGCTGATTCCAAGGGATGGTCGATGGTCGATGTCGCGCTGGCATGGCTGAATAAACGGGTCACTAGTCCTGTGGTAGGAATGAGGACGGAGATGATGCTGGATGAGGCCTGCGCTGTGCAGGGCAAGGAATTGACGGCGGAGGAAGAGAAGTATTTGGAAGAATTGTATGAGCCCCGTGCCATTTCAGGACATGCGTAGAATGACATTGGTATTTGCAACCGTTGAAATTGAAAGGACAAGGGCAGACTAGCTACGCAGATACTACTCAATTCACAATTCACTTTCGCAATTTGGTCCGCAGCTCTCTTGCTACTCCATTGCCTGCACAGATCCCCGCTACAATTGCCATCGAGGCGTTTTTGAACGGGGAAGCACAATCGCCAGCAGCATACACGCCGGGAACGTTGGTCGCTGGGAAAGGGTGGTCAACTTTAATATCCCCCATCGGAGTTATTTCCAATCCCAACTGAGACGGCAAGGGCCCTCGTATGCCTGTCCGGGGCTGGTGCACGAGGAAGCTTTCCTTGCACAAGCTGCCGTCCTCCAGCTCTATAGTAACATCTGCCCCTTCTGGCCCCTTGACGAGACGACTAATTCCACGAGGCTCAACGCGGAAGCCAGTATCTCCCACCAGGTGCTGCAGCTGAGTGGTCACCATCTCAGCTCCGTTAGTGTAGAGTGTAACCTCATGAGCAAACTTTCCGGTATCACCAGCCAGCTTGATAACCTGGGGAAGCACCGCCGCGAGTTTGTCGACGACCAGGACTCCGGCTGATGCACAGCCGCGTTGTTCATATCCAAATTGGAACATGCAAGGAAAGATCCCAGTAACCCAGCAGTCTGTGTACCCAGCAATATCTGGATACCGTTCGCTGGTGCCTGTAGCTAGGACAACCTTGCGCCCATGGTATTCTTTTCCGTCCGTTGTGATCAGCGTCCAACCCTCGGCGTCAGATCCTTCGACGCGGGCTACCTCGGCCTCGACAAAGGTGCAAAGGCCGGTTTGCTTGAGTTCCTCTCTGGCCATCTCTCGGTAGCGCGAGGACTGTACATCTTCAAACCCCGGTAAAAGCCGGATTCGTGAAGCCTTTTCATCCCGGAAATGGCCAGAGTTGAAGACCATTGTTGTGTGACAGGATCGGTACAGGGTGTTTGCAGCAGCGAGACCAGCATAGCCGCCTCCAACAATCAGGACATCGATGACATGTAACATGGCGGATCTCTGTTGAGAACTGATAAAGTTCAAGTGACTGGGTGTCTTGTGAAATCCAAAGACAATGAAGGGTGACCACCTATTATGTAAATGGGATGGAGGGGGCGCAGGATCTGGCCTGCAGTGATGGCATCGGGCTTCCCGTGTCGGGGCCCGACAAAAGCCCTGTGTATGGAGCCGGTAATGGTTGAGATTCCTTTAAACCCGATCATTTCTTGCAGATTGCAAATTGCAGCTTTAGCCATCAGACAATATGCACCCGGATCATAGTGACTACCAACTTAATCTGCAATCCACCTCGGCGGATGGCTCCATTATCCCCCATCTTCTGCTTTTTGGGGTGCAAATGGGAGCACTCATTGCACCTCCGTTTCCCTACCGCAGGATCCTCTTAGCCAGTGCCATAGTCATTCTCGCCATTGTGGCCAATATTAACCGGTTCACTGACAACCCCGGATTGGCACAATTCTTTTCGCTGGCGTGGCCCCATTATCTCTCTATACTGGAGAAGGTGCTCAGTGCTCCTTATCCCGGGCCCGAAGCAACTCTGTGGCGGATTGATCGTCCAGCGAAGGAAGCCCTGCGCTTGACACCCTTTGGTCCTCGCAAACTAATATGGGCGTTCGTCATCTGGTTTAATCTTCGCGGTATCCGCTGGAACTACCAGGTTCAGAATATCCCTACTGAGCATGTACCCGGAGATAGCAAGTGGCGCTTTCTCCTTGATCGTTTCCTGACCTTTACACGACTCCTTTTGATGGCCGATCTCCTTGGTCACCTAGCCGCATACAACTTCTATAGTGGAAATGAAGTTAACAGTCGTCTTCTCACCGTCCGCCACGACCAATTTCTGTGTCAACTTTATCGCACAGCTACTGTGGGAATGATTCCATATACGTTCATGAATTTGCAGTACGTGGGTGGCGCTATGCTTTGGGTTCTATTAGGATTCAGTCAACCTGCCGACTGGCCTCCTTTCTTTGGTCGCCTTGCCCAGGTGACAAGTGTCCGCGCCTTCTGGGGCAAGTTTTGGCATCAGATGATCCGTCGTGTAGATATTCCCATTCCGTATATTTCACTCCCACCAAGTTTGGCTAACGATGGTTTTAGACGGTCAATATCTACACTGGATTCATGTGCGATCTGCTTCATCTACCAACCGGCGGGGTGATTCGAACATACGCACGAATCTGGCTGTCCTTTGCCATCAGCGGTATCATGCATGCCACTTCCATCTATATCCTCCCGGCTCCAATGAACATATCCTACCGGGAGCGAAGTCTAGGATTCGTTCAATTTTTCCTACTGCAGGCGGCTGCTATCACTGCAGAGGATTTTGTCGGGTGGATTCATCATCGATTACTGCCCGCCACGTCCACCTCTCGTTTCGGGTATCGATTGTTACGATATCTCTGGGTTGTGTGTTGGTTCGGTTATTCTCTTCCATTCTTTCTAGATATCCTGATGAAGATGAAGACTTTTGAGTCGCCGATGCTGCCGTTCAGTCTCCTTAGACCCGTTGTTCCATATGTATCAATGTGCAATTGATTCTCGTCTCTATTGCTTTAGATACGAAGAGTATTTCTTGATAAAAGTCACCAAGATGGGATTCCCCTCCATTAAGCTGTAAATTTCTATAATAATATGCAATAATTAATTGGCCAGGCTCACGAGTTTCTTTTCCTCTCGTTTAGATAGAAGCAGTCGAATGCCCTGTGAGCCTGCCTTGGTAGCTCCCATCAGGTTATCGCGCACAATGTCGACATCCTCTCTCGTCGTCTGATAGAGTTCCATATCGTACCGTAAGACCATCTCTGCAATGGTCCGGTAAATTACTGCTTTTGCAACACTAAAACTTCGTCAGCCATGGCCTTTCACAAAGAGACCGACGGAAGCCGGGGCGACGTCTTACTTGATGCCAATGCACATGCGACTTCCACGGCCGAACGGGATCAAATACCGATCGAGCGGACTTCCCTCATCTGCCGCTCTCTGCCAGCGGAAAGGGTCAAAACTAGTTGGATCTTCAAAGATTGAGGGATCCAGATGGGTGAAATGATGATCCATGCTGACCGGTGTGCCCGGGGGAATCACCCACGTTCCATATGTGAGCGTCTCATCTGGGGCGACCCGAGCCAATCGGCCAGTCACAGATGCAGTGACTCTCATGCCTTCCATAACGATATGGCGCTGATACGATGTCAGTTTAGCACTATGAGCTTGTCACCTGAGTATACCACCCCGGGCTTGCTTTGTTTGGAACTTACAAGGTATCGCAGCTGCTCCAGATCATTCCAGGTTGGCTCACCCTGGCACTCCTCCATCACTCGGCCCATTTGAGCTCGCAGTTCTCGCAAAATGGGAGGGTTGTCGGCCAAATGGTACAGAATTGAAGCTACAGTTTGAGCTGTGCTCTCCGTTGCCGCCATAACAAAGCTAAAACCCTCCGCGGCCAGTCGCTTGGGAGATCGTTCTCCGGACGGCAGCGCACTGCTATAGACTCTATGCAAGACGTTTGGTTTCTTTGCCTCTATAGCAGACGCTGCGAGGCTATTTGAGGCCTGTGGTATTTTTAGAGGTGGTGAACCCTTTGGTTAGTGATTCTCTATTTAATTGCATTCCGATACATTGACACACCTCCTGTAAATTCAGAATAAATGAAACATCCGGGATATTTTTGAGCCAAGAACTGGGAAGTGACAGGAGGAGGAAAAGCTGTGGAAAGTGTCGTAGGGCGTGTGACGCCCCGAGCAGAGTTGGTAGTGGATTTGTCCATTTGGGAAACCAAGACCAAAGTTGGGGCTGCCCAGCTGGTGCTCCATACCATATCTGCAACACCACATCGATTGTAATGCTGGCGAAGGCAGTTCCTAATACCACGGGTTTCCCCTGCGAGACATATTGGTCGAGGGTCTCACACATACCCTCAACGGCGGGCGCGATCAGGGTTCGCTCATACCCGACGATGGCTTGTTTTGAAAAGCTGGGGGCATATGTGGCACGACGCTGCCGATGGAGATGGTGGTGTACTGTCGCTGAGCTGGTCGCATCCGTCCCTTCGGAGAGAAACCAGGCATACTTGTCTCGTCTTCGAGTATTTCCTGCCGGATAGAGCTCCGCGAACCAGTTGGGATCCTTGACATGCAGTTCATTGGGACTGATCCGAACAATTGGGCCATAAAGCGCGTGGAGGCGATCAATCTCCTTGAAGTATTGACCTCCCTATTCACTACGTCAGATGCTGGCCTTGTCGGGATTTCAGTGCAGGATGGCATGTCTCTCACCAGGAAAACATCGAAGTAGGATTCGTACCACAAGGTCAACGCTGCCAGTCGTGGACCAGGAAACCCCGCCAAAGGATGAAAATATATTCTCCACACGGACAGCGCAACGATGTAAACACCGCAGAGACCGGCAGTAACGTTTACCAGGTCGAATAAAGTCAAGCCGAACATTGTAAAAGTTGGTGCTGACTATTGGTAATTGTCGCTGGCTTTGATAGGTATTTCCTCCATGGGCCATGGGGACGCAGAAAAAAGAGTTAGGGCTCGTCGGACTCCGAGGCGGATGCCGAGTGGACATAGAAACCCCAGTTGGGAAATTCGTCCAAGGCAGCAAGAAGCTATTTTGTTTTGTTTGCGTCCTGTTGCGAAGAATAATTTCTGCCGTTACTAATCGATATCCTTAGCTATTCAAGGCAGTATACAATGGCAGCAAAGTCTCAGGTGGTCGAGCTGGCCAACCAGGTCGGTACCCTTGTCGCCGGTCTACTTGAAGAGTGGGATAAACGGCCATCAGAACAGCCTCCCTTTGATTCAACAGTGTGGAGTGAGCTGGCAACGCAGCTTCAATCCGCTACGGAGCTCCTGACAAGCCTCACAACACCTCCAGCATCTTTCGTTCGCACCCTCCAACTCCGCCACTACGATCTTGTCGCATATCAGATTGCCCTAGAATTCGATCTATTCACGGCCATCCCGATCGGACTAACGGCCACACTGCCGGCAATTGCAAATCATTCTGGTCTGGATTGTGGCCGAGCTGGGCGAACTTTGCGTCTCCTCGCACTCCATGGAGTTTTCCGTGAGACGGAGGAGGATACTTTTGGCCACACACCACAGTCGACACTCATCGCGCAGGATGAATCAATTCGCTCTGCGCTTGCAATCCAGTAAGATCTTTAAGCTCTCTTCCTTCACCTCAGAGGGCATTCTTATTCACCATCCTTTTTACTTAACCAGGATGTGCGAAATGTATCAGGCCGCGTCCAGCACGGCCGATGCCATTCAAAGCGTTGTCAAGGAAAATAAGGATATCAGTCCATTCGCAGCTAGATTTGGCGTTCCAATTTACGATTACTACCAGAAACACCCCGAAAAGGCCGATCGGTTCAGTTTGGGGATGAAGGGGGCTATGGAATGTAAGTCCATCTGCGCAACGGGTTACCTCCGGTTCCCAGCTAATCCAGCCTTTACGTTCCTCTTGCCAGTGGACAAGGACTCCCTAGTGGATTTGCAAAATTCCTATCCATGGGCTCAATTTCAGGGAGGGACAGTAGTAGACGTCGGGGGTGGAACAGGCCATGTTTCTAGGTTTCTCGCCAAGGTACAAAACCTAGTGGTGTTGGGATGATCGCTTGTTGGAATATAATATGATAGGCATGCAGACTGACAAGCTCCACTCTCAGGACCTCCCCTCGGTTTCCTTTGCGGTTCAAGATATCCTTGTCCCTCAAACATTGGAGAATACTACCAACGTGAAGTTCCACCAGCATGACTTTTTCCAACCACAGCCGTCAACGCCCGATGCAAAGGCCTTTCTGCTACGACACGTGCTGCACAACTATGAGGATAAGGATTGTATTCGGATACTTTCGGCCCTAGTTCCCGCACTGGAAGCACAAGGTGAAACGGCCTCGCCCGTCTTACTTATCAATGAAGGAGTCGTGCCGGAATTTGGAGAGTTGAGTGCCCGCGATCTTCATCTAACGCTCCGGCGCGGTGACTTGTGCATGATGGTCACGCTTTCTGCACAGGAGCGGACACGGAACCAATTTCAGAGTCTGCTGTCTGCGGCGGACCCTCGACTTCAGGTGAGTCTTGACAAGCTATTCGTGTTCTTGATTTTTGTTTCTAACACATTGCAGATACGTGGCGTGTATGGCAGTGGGGTGACTAGATTGATCGAAGTCCATTTGAACAGTGGGGCAAGCACTGCTTAGCATTGGATATTTCTATATTTCATCGTAAGCTTAGATTAGCGCCTTTCGCGAGACTGCTACTGCTTGGTTGAGATCGCTATTCAGAGTTGTTTTTATGCCTGTTCATGTTGGTCGTAATCGTTACTACAATGATTACCTGTTCTTCTAGCTTGAGGGGCCACTGATCTCAAATCATGGTGAACTTGCAGTGGTGAGACACGCTAAGGACCTTTACACCGAATGAAAAGAGCATCATGTTCATTTGAATTGGCTACTATGACAGTACATGAGCCTCAATTCACCCTTCTACGGAAGAGAATCTTGTCCCTTGCAGGAGATACAGTTGCACCAGCGTGCACACTCTCCGGTCTCGTGGCCCCATCGAGAAGTTTGATGTCATAATTCTGCAGTAGGTGTGCCATAATCACCTTGATCTCGCTGGCCGCGAAGAATCGTCCTGGACAGCCGTGGGCACCGTGGCCAAAGCTGATTTGATCCGGGCCGGTGGCCACCAACTGATGGCGAGTCGCTTGACCAGGCTGCTTGCGCAAGTTGGCAAAGCGGAAGCCATCAAATTTATCAAAATCGGGGTATTTACGAGTCACTTCGTGCGCAGAGAAGCCCACGACAGTGCCGTAAGGGATGCGGTGACCGGTCGACAACAGCAACCCTTTGCGCGCGGTGATCCTCCGCAGCATTGACACAAGTCCTGGGGGATTCATACGCTGGCTCTCGCGCACTACGCTGTCCATTTTGGCAAGTTTGACCATGGACTGCTTGTGCAATCGCCCGTCCAAGGCCCCGTCGGTTTCCATGACCGAGGCAAGCTCCTCGCGAAGTGGAGCGATATACTCCGGTCGTGCGGCCAGGTCAAACAGCGTTTGTGTGATACAGATGGTGGTGGTATGCATGGCTGCAAAGCTGGCGTTGAGTTGGTCACGAGCAAGGTGCTCCATTACAGGCTCATTCTCGTAATGGTTTAGAATGTAGCGCATCAGATCTCCACCTGGCTTCGCATTCTTTGTCTGCCCATTCTTGGTGTCTTCAATGATTTGGTCCAGCACTGGCTGAAGCATTCGCCGTGCGATGACTCGGTAGCGCTTCAGTCGCTTGAGTATGAAGGGCGCTACCAGCGGCCGAATGAACCTCGGGTATGGAGAAAGCGAATGAGCTTCGTGGCCACCATCCAGAGCGTATCGTGCGGAGACGTGAATCCACTCTTCGTCTCGGCTCAGAGGCAGTCCAACGAATGCACGGGAGCTCAACAGGCATACTATGCCCAGCACAGTATCATACAACGTTCTCTCAGTCCACTCTGTACACTCTCCCACATACTTTTCGAATGCGTAGCCCACCTCGTCGTGGAAGGTTTCCAGGTTTTGTTCCAGGTGACGCGTCAGATCCGATCGGATAGCCACGTCTAGCTGATCGCACGGCTCGCCGAATCCTGTGTATTGTCCTAAGAAGATAGTGTAGTGATGCTGTCTTTTCATTCGTTCTTGATTAGCGAATGTCAAGCAAGACAAAGGTTGAATAGACGAGATAATCGATCATACCGGAGTGACAGGACATTCTCGGGCAGGTTCTTGATTTCATCCATGATTGACAACGGAAGGATGACAGTTGGGTGCATCGGCGTGGCTAGTATAAATGGAGTGTTTGGGTACTAGTGATAAGGTCAAAATATGGCTAAAAATGACTATAGGGGTAGTCTATGCCTACCTTTTCAGCACCCTCTTCCAGGGCAGCACGGAAGTCAGTCTCCCTGTCATGACCCATTACGGGCAAATCCAGTCCACCATCTCGAACACGCTGCCAGCAAGTCGCCAACACAAAAAGGCTGAAAAGTGCTGCAGCAATATACGGAATGTAGTTGATCAACCGGGGATACTCCTGTTGGAGCTGAAAGTAAACTGTGTGCATCAAGTCCATGGTAATACTGCATGAAAGGGTGAATGATACGTTATCCCAAAGCACAACCTGAAGAGGCCAAAAAGAGAGAGACGTTCAATGGGCGTCCTTTCTGGCTTCGGTGACCAAAAGCCCATCGGTGCCCGCTATCGGTCCGACATCTGCATCGTTCCCCCGCTCCCTCCAAGGGCCATGGGCGAACCGGAAAACCACTAAGTAAGCAATCTTGTGGGCGATTCGAGGTACACTACACTCAGTGTAAAGATCTCAAAAAACTCACCTATTTCATATTCTACGCACTACATTGGATAGAAGTACTATTTTCCGCTACAGACTCGAACCTAATATGGCCACCTACAATGTTTCTTGGGTGGAGCAAGTCAATGCGGCGGGGAACGAATGTGTGCTGACGTTGGACGAGCTCTGGCAGGGCTGTCTTCTTCTGGCTCGATCCCCTCAAATTTTCACCAGTGCCATCTCCAAATGTGAACTTGATGCCGATGATGGAAACAATATCACTCGCACCTTGTACTTTTCGGAGGGACCGCAAACCGAGTTGAAACAAAGCGTCAGCTTGAGTCCTGGAACAAAGGTCCGTGTAGTCTCGATTTCATGTGTTGTTTGATTGTTGTTTAACACAGAAAGCAGTTTGAATGTGAGTCGGAAACTGGAAATCGAGTGACTACGATGGTTTTCCGTGGGCTTTCTGGATCCATTGACGATGCCTATCTGTCGATTGAATACGCCATCCCAATTGCAAACATGGGTCCAGATCTAGAGAGCGCGAAACAGTCCTATGCTGCAAAGGCAAAGCAAAACCTCGTCGAGGGAGTGAAAACAATGAGGGAGCTCAAGGCGCAGGGCAAGCTGGGTTGAATTTTTGGATGTTGCTCAGGGAGTTTTGGTCCGCAGCCGTTGGTTTTTCCCTAGTATGTAGGCAATGAGACCAGGAAACGTACAATCTATGAATTGCTTAGAATATGATCAGTCCTACATACAAGACAAGTAACGTAGTCATTAGGCAGCCTCCGAACCCAAAGGTCGGTGACCGGCGGGGCCAAGTGCACTGGGGCTTTGGGAGTCCATGTCGGCCATAGTAGAGGGCGGGTGCTACGACAACCTCGTCCGCATTCAAATACACCCTGGCTGTGCGCTACAGCCCATCAAAACTCGAACGTTTCATATTGCTATCTTATACTATGGGTGATAATGGTATTTTGTCCGACGCTGTGGAGCCTAAACCATCGGAATCTGTTCCATGTCGCTTTTTGATGTTGGAATTGATTTCTGGCGTCCTAAACCTTCATGAAACGGCCATCAACACGGACTTGACGTTTACGGCACTGGGTGGTAATTCTCTCCTTGCTGTCCAACTTGCACAGATGTGTGACGATGCTGGGGTCAACTTATCTGTCGAATCAATACTCTCAAGTGATAGTACTGAGGATCTCATCACCCAAGCCCAGTATATATCACCATCATGGTCGAGCTTAGAAACTGAGGATATCTCCCCATCCAGCTCGTTTGTTCAAGAAATGCCGCCAACCGAATTCTTGCACGAATTTGATGAGACACGGACGGTTTTGACGGAGATCCAGCAAGTCTTAATTCACGGTACTCAGCGGCACCATTCCCGCAACATCATCAAGTACTTTCAGACTCATCCAACGGAACATGTCCCGGTTTTGCGGCACGCATGGCAGACGGTGGTCTCTATGGAGCCAATCTTTCGCACCAAGATCGACGTTCAGGACGGGCCTCATATGGTTGAAAAAGCCGAGGCTAGGTTTTTATGGACAGAATCAACGTTCGACTCACAAAAAGCCTACGACAGGGCCATTCAGGACAGTACAACCGCCCCTCAGAGGGAACCTGTGGCCGATTTGGAGGATGTCTTGGTGCCTCGGTTCGAAGTGATTAACCTAGATCAAGGGGCTGGTCACGAACGGGTCAGCACTGTTGTCTGGAGTATCCATCATGCCTTGATTGATGGGTACTCCGCTAGCCTAATTCTGGAAAAGGTTCGCCGAGTCGCAAACGGCCTCAGCGTTCAGCCAGGTCCATCTTTCACTGCACTGGCTGGGCGCCTTCAGCGCCTGCAAATCAACTGTCGAGAAGTCGGAGAGGCATTCTGGCGAGAGCAGTCTGCTAGATACGGTCATGCCAGTGGCACCCTTCAACTTGTCGCTCCTTCAAACACCGAGGAAGGCATGGAATCTTTCTCATTCACGATGCCTACGGAGGTGCCGTCATTCGCTCAATCAATCGGAGTCACCACGGCTACTGTGAGTTATGTTGCCTGGGCCATGGCCCTGAGCCTATTCACTGACTCTGACACCGTTGTGTTCGGTGTCGTTATGTCGGGACGAAACTTGCCCTTGGCTGATGTGGCGACCACCATCGGCCCTCTGGTCAATACCCTCCCTCTACACATTGAGCTCAACACAAGCCAGACTGCAAAAGAGCTTCTACAGACTATCTTCAAACAATTGGTGAAGCTTTCATCCTTCCAATGGACTCTTCCTGAGCATGGATACAACCGCAACTTTGCGTCGGCAGTCAGCATGCAGCTGGCCTTCCCAACCACACCGAATACAGACGTAACGCAGCCTCTGCATCTCCCGCATTCCTATTCCGAAACCGACTTTCCCCTTAGCATCTTTGTGGAAGCGAATGGGACGCTGCGGGTACAGTACGATAAAAGCATGTATCACGGTCGTGAGATAGAACTCGTCGCTCGACATTACGAGCATGCTTTCACTCTCCTGGTAAACCCTACCGCAACTGTCGCACAGTGTCTGAGGGATTTGCTTACGCGCGACACACTCAATTCACTCTTGGCTTTGGGAAACTGCACATCTCCGAGGACCTCCTTCGGCAATATCACTGAGACATTAGTGACCTTGTTTCTGAACTCAGCTGCCGAGTACGAGGACAACATCGCAGTCAGGAAAGCAGACCTATCTCTCACCTATGCGCAACTCCTGAAGGCCGCATCTCGTGTCGCGGACCGACTAGCGCCCCTAATCAAGGAAGGAGACGTTGTTTGCCTGCATGCAGATCAATCCATCCAATGGATCATTGGAATCTACGGAATTCTCCTCGCCGGAGGTGTCTATTGTGCTCTGGACAGTAGATTACCTCAAAATCTGCGGAAAGTCTATGCCGAAACGGCAAAAGCAGCCATCTTCCTCGTTCCGTTATCCAGTCAGTCGAGCCTTGTACCGACGTCGTCTTCGGTGGTTTTGTCAGTCGAGGAGTGCGTGGACTGCGATGTCGCAAATGACAACTTCCTTTCCACCTTTCCATCTACCAATCTTCAAAGGAATGCCTATGTGTGCTTTACCTCGGGGTCGACTGGGCAACCCAAGGGCGTCATGTGCACTCATGCCGGACTTGTCGCATTTCAACGAGACTATACTGTGCGCTTGATGGCCCGTCCGGGATGGAGAGTAGCTCAAACCATGTCTCCAGCCTTTGACGGCAGCATTCACGAAATCTTCTCGGCTCTCAGCTACGGATCGACTTTGGTGCTGCCCCGGTCTGCAGATCCATTCGCCCATCTCGCTGAATCGGATGCTTGCATTCTGACCCCATCTGTGGCCAAGGTGCTCAGCCCCGCGCGATTCCCCTCCCTTAAAACCGTATACCTTGTCGGGGAAGCCGTGCCCCAAGAGGTCAATGACCGCTGGACTCAAACCACGGTGGTTTACAACATGTACGGCCCGACAGAGGGCACTGGGGGCGCCACGATCAAGAGGCTCCTGCCCAATCAGCCCGTCACTATCGGACGGCCCAATCCTTCCACTCGCATTTACATCTTGAGCCAAAAGCAGTCGCTTGTTCCCCCCGGCACTCTTGGGGAGATTTGGCTCGCAGGAGTCCAAGTTGCACGGGGCTACATCGGCCTCCCTGAACAGACTGAAGAACGATTCCGGCCAGACATCATCTGTCCAGATCGTGTGGAGATGATGTACAAAACGGGTGACTACGGTTACTGGGATGTAGTAAGTGGCGAAGTGGTATGTCTTGGTCGAAAAGATCGACAGATCAAATTACGAGGATTTCGACTGGATTTGAATGATCTCGAGATCCGCATGCTTGGCCTTCATCCTTCTGTGACCGCAGTGGCGATTACTCGCAAGGATGACTCGCTCATAGCCATGGTGACCCCTGCCTCAGTCGACATCAGTTTGCTCGCAGATCTGGCACGCCAAGCCCTGCCCATCCACGCACTTCCTCGACAGATCATCCCAGTGGATCAGTTCCCAATGACCCCTGCGGGTAAGCTCAATTACAGGGCTATTGCGGATCTTGCCCCAGCCAAATGCGTTCCAGTCATTTCTGCTTCGAATGTGCTCTCGGCCACCGAGAGACGTCTAGCACGAACCTGGCAATTGGTCCTTGGGCTCGATAGCAACCACACTATTACGCCGCTATCCCGGTTCTTTGATCTTGGTGGCCACTCGGTGCAACAGCTGCACCTTGCCTCAAGACTTAACGAAGAGTTTCACTGTCGCATCCCGGTCCGAGTGGCCGTAGAATCCTCAACCCTCCAAGAGATGGCGAATCACATCGACCTGCTGCTGACGAAGGAGGGGGAACTAGCATGAAGCTCCCAGGCCCCATTCGCCAGGTAGAAGACCACGAGGTGGCGCCCATTGAATTGGAATGGTGGCGCAAATACCAGTTGGGGGAGGCCACATCGGCCTTCAATGTCTGCTTCGCAGGCCGTTTCGATCCAGAACGGCTAGATCGTCGCCGATTGACCGCGTCGTGGAACACGGTATTAGGACGGCATCTCATATTACGTTCTAGATATTTGCCTGATCGTAAAGCTGGAGTGCGACGATCGTTCGCCACCAGCCCTCCACAGGTACATCGCGTCACTCACCTCGACCTGTGGAAGGAAGTCAATCGGCCTTTTGTGCTCGGTCATCAGGATCCTATCCGTGTACTTCTCTCGCATGATACCTTGCTGGTGGTGGTTAGCCACATCATCTGCGACCTCAACACTCTCGAGTTGCTTCAGGAGCAAGTCGTCGGCCTGTACCGAGGAGACCTCATAGTGCCGCCAGCGTCGAATTCAAGTTACATGCAGGTCATGATGCATAACTCCATCTCCGCCAGCTGTGATCTGGATTTCTGGCTGCAATACCTAGCCCAGGCGCCGCTTCCGGGGCAAGATTCCTTTGCTGTGGCTACAGAACGCCTCAACTACCGGGGCTCCTCGGTCCTCTACCACGTCCCCGACGCAGTTGGACACAGTCTACTTCAGGTGGGACGGGAGTCATGCCTCAGCCTGCACCAGCTTGCCTTGGCTGCGGTGGCACTAACCATGCACGCGGCCAAGCCGGAGACACTCGACATCGTCCTCGGAGGGCCGCACCTTAACCGAAAGACGCAGGATGCACGCAAGTCAATCGGCTTATTCCTCGAGCCTCTCCCCATCCGGATCCGCGAGTGCACCTCCCCTCCCCTCCTCCATACGCGAGACTTTCTACGCTCAGTGCGGTGCGCTAGTCAAGAGGCACTGGGCCATGCAGTGCCCTGGAATCAATTGTTGCGGCACCTGACCGTCGTCCCAGATTATCCCAACCATCCTCTTTTCGACATCATGGTCACCTTCCATGACCACCGGACGAAGCATCCCTTTGCGCTGCCTGGTTTCGAGCGCGACCAAATTGGCGTTTGGTCCCAGGGATCTAAGTTTAAGCTGTTATTCGAGTTCACGATCGGGGCAGATGACCGAATCCAACTCCGGGTGGAGCATGATGTCGATTGCTATCCAGACCCGGTAATCCAGAGAATGTTTTGCGTCCTCCAACAGAGTCTCGAGTTGCTGGGGACAGAAACATCCTACCCTGAATTGCGGGCAAAGCTAGCCAAGGAGGAGGGAAGGAGATAACTTCTGTATTTTGTTGTTTTGTTTTGTTTCCTTTTCGCTTCCAGTGCGCCATTCAAGAGCCAGATTGAGAAATTTCGAATTTTCAGAGAGATGGGGAAGACAGGCTGTCGAATACTATATGCAACTACCAACTTTCCGTTCATCATATGTTTTTTTTTCTGTTATTCACTGCACTTCCCTGAGTTTCAATTGTTTATTCCTGGATGATATTCAATCCATATGCCAGGTTAAATGATATTTAAATTATCCTAAATGTTCAAAACTTGCCAACCACACAAAATCACCGAACCGTTTAAACTACCGAGTAATTAAACACAGTCGGACCTCCTGCGAGAAAGACTGGGAATCCTCCATGTCCATGTTCGCGTCGATGCCCACGCCCCCATCATTAAGCACCCGAGCGACCCAATCAGTATGCCTGCTACTCCATAAAAAGCAGATACTCCTGGGTCCGCTGCTTGCCATCGACCTAAGACGACTGGACTCAGGAGACCACCCGCGGTTTCCATCACTGTCAGCCCTGCCACGGCTTGCGACTTGGCTGCTTCCAGCTGAGTGATCACCAAACTTCGAACAAACGAAGGCGTGGCCAGTCCAATCGCTGTCAATGAGGCAGCTAGGTACACCTGCTGAGACTGTGTCAACAGAAGGGCTGCCCCCGCCTGGCCCAGAAGGGAAATTGTTGCGGCTCCCAGGTCCAGCCAGAGTGGGATCTGCTTCTCACGGGCAAGTTTCGGAAGGATAAAAGAAATACTCATAAGATAGCCGGCCGCAGTGATGGCGATAAGCGACAGAAGCGTTCCGTTGTCCTTCGGGGTGTAGTGCAATTGCACCGAGGTGAAGATGAAGATCAGGTTGACTAGATATCCCTGGACCGTGTTGTACAGGAAGAGTGACAGTCCGAAGAAAATGGCCGTAGGATAGTCTCGGAAAAATCGAAGAGGTGAAAGAAAGGTGGCCAGGCCCGCAGAGGGAACGAGGGCACTCGTTGCTGGCTCTTCCGTCTTGCGAATCGGTGGGATTGCTATGAGCACATACGCAATTGTAATCAAGAAAGTCCCAATGGCGAGCACGAAGGTCCAATGGACAAAGGGCACCCAGCTTGCGGTCAGGGGCCCAACCGACATTCCCATCATATAGCAGGCCAGAGAGGTCCCCATCAGCCTAGAGGTGGTCGCTGGAGATTCGGAATGGACGTAAATCGAGTTGAGTATGTAGTGCAACAGGTTATCCGACGCCAGACCTTGCAGGATTTGGCCGATGAGGGCACAAGGGAAAGCGTGGAAGAGGACTAGCACTTTCAGTCAGCGGTTCAACAAGCTGGGAATTCACCGGTCCATACCTCCACAAAAAACCCCGAGAACTCCCAAGGCCCGACAGAAAATGGAAAGAACCAGGCTAAAACGGACATTCCATTGAACGCACTGCTTCATATACCCCAAGGAGAGTAAACCGGCCGTGTTGGCTAAGGTAGTGGCGGCCGCAACGGACCCGGCATATGTTCGCGATTCATCTGGCTTGCAGTTGTTGGGATCCTCACAGCTCAAATACGCAAATGCCCACACGATCGAGGTGGCCGTCATGTGTATGCCCAGGGAGACCAGAAAGGCGATCGGGACTGCCCTCATGGCGGGATATGAGACGATCTTCCTCGCTCCTCCACCGTGATCCAGCAAGCCAGTGTGCTCATCCCCTTGGTCGGGGGTTCCTTCATCGTCTCGATTCGGCATTTTTTTTCGTGCGAAGATTCAATCAGACTGTCTCTATCTCATATTCTCAGTCTCATATTCTCAGTCTCATATTCTCAGTGGCTATCTTCTCCATCAAGTGGAGACAGAGGCGTTATGATGATCAACGACCTCGCCCCGACGTCGGATCCCGCCCCGGGCTCCGAAAGAAGCCCTAAGACTGTGAAAGCCCTATGCCAACCCTGCCTCAACGACGGAACTGCGGCGGTTCCTAGAATTGAATCTCGTGAGTATTGACAGCTACTACGGAATGACGAAAATGGCAGATTCGTTCCCCCTTCCTCCGTCGGCTCTATACCCGCCATATCCACTCGCTCTAGCCAGTGTGTACCTTTTGTCAAGCATAACGCTGCGAGCTCGGACTGGGCGAGTGAGGGTCCAACCTTTGCAGTCCGCTATTTCTCAAACTAATGCTCGGGTGATATGGTGGCTGCTGGTTGTCTTTACTCTAGCATTGGTATGGCTCCAACATGGCAAAGAATCTGTGCTCTCTGCCTGGCTCACGGGCATAGTTATCCAACATTTTGGGAATGGTCTATGGTGCCCACAAAAACCACCAATGCATCAGCCAACCTTCGTTCTCAACGGTAATTCTCCATCTTCTTCCTTTATCCATGCTTTCGCCTAAGTCGTGACAATAGGCATCTCTTACCGGAGTGTTTCTGTTCTTCGCCGCATCACTCCTTCCAGACTCCCAGGCCCCTTACCAACCGTCCCCGTCCTGTGGGTATACATTGGTGACAGCACTCATCTTCGAATCAGCATTGGCGCTCAGCCAGACGGTACAGATTGCCCGTTTCCCTCTCCTCTGTTCCCGCGACGCACTCGCAGCATCATCGCTCGCCCTCGCCTATGGTCGGATCGTTCTTCTGAGCGCAGCCTGGGCTAGCCTTGTCCTTGGCAAACGCAAGTCCTCTGAGTCATCTCACGAGAGCCTACTGGGAACCAGCGGAGTCTCTGAGCGCGGTTATGGCACTATTGAACAAGCTCCCGATGCGCAGTCGACGGATTGGGTGGACTACCTCCTCGGCCTGAAGGAAATCCTTCCCCTGATTTGGTTGGTACATCCCGGTTCTTCATCAAATAAGATAGCTCTGATAGTTGTATCCTGCTGAGGCATATTCCAGGCCCACCGGCTCGACTACCATGCAATTGCGGGCCATCGTCTGCCTCGTCATCCTCGTTGCCCAACGGATCGTCAATGTTCTTGTACCCTTGCAGCTGGGTCGTGTTGTCGCCACTCTGGGTAAAGATCGGATCCCCTACACGGATCTTACCATCTATGTGGTCTGTCGCGCTATCCAGGGTCAGCAAGGCGTTCTCGCATCCATACGTGCCATGCTCTGGATCCCTTTTGGACAGGCCACCTACCGCAAGTTGACGGAACGAGCTTTCCAACATGTCCTGTCTTTATCGTTGGAATTCCATCTCGGAAAGCGCCAGGGCGAAGTAATGAGTGCTATGAACAAAGGCAGCTCGCTCAACACTTTTCTAGACTCACTCATCTTCCAGCTGTTCCCAATGGTTGCAGATATTGGTATCGCGGCCGCCTCCCTGCTTGTTGCCTTCGATCCCTTCTACTCGCTCATTATCCTGACAGTGGGCGGTCTGTATCTCTTTGTGACTATCTATATGGCTAGATACCGTGGGCGCGCACGCCGGCAAATGGTACTTTGTGACCGAGAAATTGATGCGATCAGGTAGCTTGCTTATCTCCTATATCCAAAAACATTACCTGTCTATTTATGTTAGTCTGATGAGGGGCTACATGCTAACCCAATGTTGCAGGTCCGACGCCATTATGGCATACGACGTGGTCCACTACAATAGCGCAATGAATCAAGAACATGAGCGACTCTCGAGCCATATTACCTCCTTTCAGACAGCCGAGTTCTCTGTGCTCATGTCCCTCAATCTATTGAACACCGTACAAAACCTGATCTTCACGGTAGGAGTTGGGCTGGTCTGTTTCCTCTCCGCCTACAATATCTCCACGGGCGCCGAGGAGGTTCCAATGTTTGTCACATTGGTGGCCTACCTGGCGCAGTTACAAGCACCGCTTAGTTTTTTCGGAAGCTTTTACACACAGATCCAAAATAACTTGATTGACGCAGAGCGCATGCTGGCTTTGGTAAGTATCAACAAGTCTCTTCCAGCCTATTTTAGTGGAAGGTGGGACTCAAAATCTTTTCTAACATGCTCCTAGTTCCACGAACAGCCCATAGTCATCGACAAGCCCGGAGCAACTCCACTTACGGACTTCAAAGGCCACATCCAGATCGAAGGACTCACATTCGGCTACGACCCGCGGCGGTTAGCGGTGCAAGACATTACCCTCGACATCCAACCGGGCCAGTCAATCGCGATCGTAGGCGAGAGCGGCAGTGGAAAATCCACGCTGCTGCGCTTATTGTTCCGCTTCTACGACGTGACCAAGGGCCGTATCCTCATCGATGGCCGGCCCGTGGACGACATCACCATCGACAGCCTTCGCCAGTACATAGGAGTCGTGCCGCAGGAGACCATGCTCTTCAACGAGACTCTGATGTATAATCTTCGCTACGCACGCCCGTCCGGAACAGACGAAGAGATCTACGCCGCATGCCGCGCAGCCAGTGTGCATGACAAAATCATGGCTCTGCCAGATGGATACCAGACGCGGGTTGGGGAGCGAGGCCTTCGGCTGTCCGGCGGCGAAAAACAGCGCATTGCGATTGCGCGCGTGCTGCTCAAATCACCCCGGGTCTTGCTGCTGGATGAAGCCACGGCCTCGCTTGACTCCGAGACTGAAAAGTCCATTCAGGCATCGTTGGCTAAAATCAGTGTCGGGCGTACTACGATCACTATTGCGTAAGTTGATGTCATTTACCCTGAAGATTTGGTTTTGGTGGATTCTGGGGCTAACAGGGATACCTAGTCATCGTCTTTCTACCATCACCTCTTGCGATGAAATAGTGGTTTTACACGAAGGCCGTGTCATAGAGCGAGGGACGCACTCGATTCTTGTGCAACAACGGGGGCGATATTGGCAACTGTGGGATAAACAGCGTCTTCAGAGAGAGAAGGAGAATTAATGTGGTCAGGCAAGTATATTAAAATCGCTGAGTGTCTATGGCGAGAAACGTAGGTTATTACCCGTGACTAAATTAGAAAACTTTCTTGTTCAGTTACAAATGTACGTTTTTATGTTGGGTTTCCTCTAGTCACTTTGACATGTCTTGATTCTCTTTTTCTACAAAAAAATTGAGCTAGATTTCTTGATTGAGATTTGACCATGCTGATGGTAATGTAATTGTCTACAATATGTATGTGGAAGTCTACAAAACCTTTTATCAACAGACTAAATGCTCAACACTAGGTATGTCACCACTTTGGTTTTAACATAGTACTTCAGCTGCATGTAATCTTTGCACACAATGTCCACACTTCAAGACTCCTTAGGATTGTTTAACGATTACGAAAGGCTTTGCATAATACAGTAATACATTCCAGGCAACAAAAGAACGATTTGTTATTTCCCAACGATGGCAATCAATCTGGTACTGGTCTCGAGGTCCCTCTTCCCCTCTACCTAATAATACAACTGCAACAAAAAATGCGAAATGAAAACCTGCTCAATCACACGGCACGGGAAGCCCGATATTCATGCACAGAGCATTATGAACGTTGCTCCAGCTCCGCGAGAATCCGCTCACTCTTAGCTTTGGCTGTGTCAAAGCCGCCGACCATGTAGAAAGCATCTAGAAATAAAAGGGTCAGTCTACATCCAGTATTTGCTGTTATCAGATGCATGGCGAAGTACTTACTTTCAGGCATCTCATCGCCCTTTCCATCTAGGATAGCCTTAAACGAGCGGATAGTCTCCTCCAGCGGGACCAATTCACCTTTGATGCCGGTGAAAACCTCGGCGACAGCAAAAGGCTGACTGAGGAACCGCTGAATCTTCCGGGCGCGCTCAACCTTAATCTTATCCTCCTCGGACAGCTCATCCATTCCCAGAATGGCAATGATATCCTGCAGAGACTTGTATTCTTGTAGGATCATCTGCACGTTGAGAGCAACGTTGTAGTGCTCCTCGCCAACAACGCGCGGATCAAGAAGTCGCGACTTGGATCCCAGAGGGTCGACTGCAGGGTAGATGCCTATCTCAGCAATTCCGCGAGAGAGCTCGGTGGTCGCGTCCAGATGGGCGAAGGTAGTGGCCGGCGCGGGATCCGTAAGATCGTCAGCAGGGACATAGACTGCCTGTACTGAGGTAATGGATCCCTTCGGTGTACTGGTGATACGTTCCTGCAGGGCACCCATATCAACTGCCAAGGTCGGTTGGTACCCCACTGCAGAAGGGATTCGACCCAGCAGAGCTGAGACTTCTGATCCTGCCTGCGTAAAGCGGAAGATGTTGTCGATGAACAGAAGGACTGTCATCGGTTAGCGAGTAGTATGGAAAACCAGGGTTTAGTAGACTGACCGTCTTGACCCTCGTCTCGGAAGTACTCTGCCACCGTAAGTCCCGTCAGAGCAACACGGGCCCGGGCACCGGGGGGCTCATTCATCTGGCCAAAGATCAGGGCCACCTTAGATTCTCCCTCCAGGTTAATGACGCCGGTCTGCTGCATTTCGTGATACAGATCATTGCCCTCTCGAGTCCGTTCTCCAACCCCAGTGAAGACCGAGTAACCACCATGCGCTTTGGCGATATTGTTCTAGTCCGGCGGGACTCGCAGTCAGTATATATATTCTCGAGGGGAGTAAGTTCGTGGTACGAACAATGAGTTCCTGGATAAACACCGTCTTTCCCACACCCGCACCTCCAAAGAGCCCGATCTTGCCTCCACGAGCGTACGGCGCGAGCAGGTCTACAACCTTGATGCCCGTGACCAACACCTCCGCCCGAGTCGATTGCTCCACAAACTGCGGAGGCTCACTGTGGATGGGCATTCGGCGAACCCCCTGAATTGGGCCCCGCTCATCGATTGGCTCTCCGGTGACATTCATGATGCGTCCGAGGGTGCCAGGGCCGACGGGCACCGTGATCGGGGCGCCTGTATCGGTCACTGCGGTGCCCCGGACGAGGCCCTCTGTACCTGTACATTGAAATGCACTGTCAGGTGGGGACTGAACGACAATAGGAAGCCCCGATCACCAGGGGTTCGAGCAAGGAACTAACCATCCATAGCAATACATCGAACGGTGTTCTCTCCAAGATGTTGCTAGACATCACAGCGCGATTAGCCTTTGGTAAATTGAGTTCGCAGTTGTCAGGAAACTATTCAGGGAAACCTACCGCCACCTCCAGGACGAGCGTGTCCTCGCCGTTCTTTGTTTCCAGCGAGTTAAGGATGGACGGCATGGTGCCACCTTCAAACTTGACATCGACCACTAGAGTAGGAGGAGGCATGGTCAGTCTGTCATTGGACCCTTCTCCCATTCGAGACCTGGAAGCCTTTCTTACCGGCGCCAATTACACTGTGAATTTTCCCACCAGGATTGGGAGTCACAGTACTCAGGTATCGGCGACATGCATCGCTTCTCGAGAGCGGCAAGGTTGAACTGAGGCGGAAGTAGCCCCCTGGTTTTGGGAGGCATGCCTTTCTGAGCATATTGTTTCGGTAATGATTGTGATAGACTTCTGTGGGAAGAGATAGAAGCAAAATAAAGAGAAGGGAAAGACAAGAGAAGAAGGAAAAGAGTGTGTTACAAGATGGGGGAAACAAACAAAACCCAAGACGAGCCCCAAGACGGACCAACTTCAAACGATATCGAAACCAAGTTTCCGGATGCCAATGTTTTGTCGATTCGTACGCTCCAGTACATACTGTAATTCTTTATTTTTGGTTAGTACACGGGGGATCTGCACGGGAAGTGGATCCCTGCATAGTTTGATCCTGGCTGTTTGACAAATAGAAAGATTGAATGGTCCTAATCATCTCGGAGACATATTCGGAGACATCTTCAAAGACATTCAGTTCCTTGGATGCCCGATCCCTGTCCACATCGGCCACTGTCGGCCACCGCGGCTAGCTATCCCCCTCTTGGTATGTTCTCCTGAACCTCGTAAGGTTGAGCTACCCTCCTTGGCAATATTGGACTCAATTTGAGCAGAGAAGGTAAATGTACGGAGTATAGTGCTGGTATATACCGCCGTCAGGTACTATATCTACTGTATCACCCTGTATGGAGTGGAAGTCGGAATCTCCAAATTGATACTCCGTTTCTCCAACTGCCAACTCCTTTGACGATTGGAGTAATCGCCGCAATCCAACGCTACCATGCACTCACAACAGGCGCCCAAGGTCTTAGCGCATGCTGATAGGCTTGAAGCAAACACGCCCGTCTGGTACTTTAGCTATGGATCCAACTTGACTAGCGAAACCTTTCGCGAGCACCGTGGCATTACCCCGCTGGCAGCACTCCCCGTCTACGTACCAGGCTGGATGCTAGTCTTTGATGTTTATGGCCTACCCTATAGCGAGCCAGCATTTGCTTCCATAAGTCCGATTCCTTTCAGCGATGACGAGGAGAAAACTGCTACGGAAACCCAACCCTTGGTCCACGGCACAGCCTATCTCCTAGATCCCGCATCCTATATCTCAGTAGTCGCATCTGAAGGCGGGGGAACGGCCTACGACGAGGTAGAACTGCTCGCCGTCCCGGTGACCGAGGACAAATCAAACACAATCGGTACCCCGCCGTTCTCCGTCATGACACTGGTAAAGGGATATGGTCCCACCATTGGGCGTTGTCCTAGTCAACGGTATAAGGTGGGTCCCCCTTTGATCCGCGGGCTTTTGCTTTTTTGATTCTCCATGCATTGCATCGGGACTAGTGGACGACTGACTTTCGAGGCGCGAGCGGGTGGAGAGCGCCCAATTTAGGACCTTATTTGTGTTGGTGCCAAGGAGGCCGAGCTTCCCGAGTCTTACCAAAAGTACCTTGACCGATTGCCCTGTTATGAGGCGCCCCAACGCAGATGGAGCTGGCGATGGATTGGATGCATGCTTTTTCTGGCATGGTGGAGTCCGGTGATGGCCGCGGCCGAGAAATTGACGCACGCTACTGAGAACGAGGATGGGGCTGGCCATTGTCCGAGATGGGTGCAGTTTACGGTGCGCTTCATTCTTTATGTGATGTGGCTGCACCACGATTGCATTCACGCCCCGATTTGGGGTCGAGGCGATGGTCTGAAGAAGGAAACGAGGGCTGGAAGGGTCGACTGGTTGATCTCCACCCGTTCGCCTGTGTGACCTTGGGAGATGCATTTATTGATCAGAGCTGGGGACGAGCTGGAGTGGTTTGCTTCTGCTAGGGAGTTTAGTTTTTTTTTTGTCAAGTTCAGCCTCGTGCTGTGCGGTTTAGAGTGCCCTAGCTAAGGACCCTGTAACTTGGCTGCCATTCTCTTTTATTTGTGGACAGGGGGTCCTGCATTTCTGAGTTCCTTATGTGGTAATATATACTGTGTACACATTCAAAAGTCCAATTTGCTAGAAGCTAAAGGCGCAAAAATCATCAACGCCGCGATTTAGCCGCCCAATAATACCAGAAACATCGATCCATGGCTAGTCATTTTGTCTTCACAGCCTCGCGGAGAGCCGAGAGCCTCGCCCGTAGTCCCTCAGACCAAGCTGGATAGACTAAGCTGAAATAGTGAGAGCCATCTCGAAGGTGGGAGCCATGGCTGGCCAGCATATCGACAAGCTGACTACATCGCTGCAGCTCCTTCAGGAAGATCTGCACCTGAATGTCGATCTGTTGATCCGGGTCGAGGCAGTAGTTTCCAAAGTGGGTCGACGATAGACTGCCCGGAGATGATTCGTGCACGTTGCACGAGGACAGAAATACCTGCGTCGAGGCGCTTTCGAAGAGCGTCACTACATAGTGGACGACCAGACAATTCAATGTGAGGAGGCTCATATTGGGATTGTTCTTTTCCCAATCCAAATACCCAAGGACCTGCGTCATGCAGTGTTTGTTCATGCGCATGATCTCGTCAATCGCCATCACCCGCATGTGAATGTAGTACTCGAGCCCATCCACCAACTCCACGCAGCTTACCATGCGCTGGACCGAGCTGCGCCGGTGGGCATGGAGTGGATCCGCATGAGACGATGATAAGCGAGTAGAACTTCCAGAGTGTTGAAGCGGGGAACGGGAATGGCCGCCGCCACGGTGTAGGGGCTGGTCCCTATGGCTGCCGTACAAGAGTGACGAGCCCGGATGCGACAACGGGGTGGAGTCGTGAAACATCGAGACAAATCTGGAGTCGGCCGTGGCGTCGTGAGGAAAATGTATCCCCGCATTGGAGGCGCAATCCACCCCGCTTCCTACCGAAGGGAGGTCCTCGAATCCCCACTGCAACGAGCATTCGTCGGGTTTCGACGTGTCGTTGAGGTGATGCAGGGCTTCCTCCGCAACTCCGGCCTCGGTCGACACGATGTACTCGTCGAGCGCAAGTCCTGGAAACCCTGGCTCGATCACGGCGGGGCTGGTGGCCGCGGTCGATGTGTGGGAGGGAGAAGAGGTGCTGGCAGTGAGCTCGGCCGTGCTCGTGTTCTGAGATGCTATGCTGCTGGCTTCGGACGGGGCAGGCTCTTGACGTCGAGCTCGATTTCCTTGCACCTTTCCCACGCGAGACTCAACATAAACACATGTGTACCCTAGGTTCAGACAACGACTACACCCAGTTTTCTCTCCACTACATCTGACCTATAGATAGTACGGTCAAATATCTGATACAACGAAGCTCATCTTCTCACGAGAAACCATACCTTGGAAAAATGGCATTGATTGCATGCCGAACGCAGCTTGATCTGTGTTGTGGTAGTTTCGCCCGCCATTGAGCTTACCGAGGCAGTCTGGATCACACTATTGGGGGCGTTTGTAATTCTGTGGTCAAAAAGCTGATGCACTCGTGAGAATATTCAACCAAGACAATAAGGCGTGACTTTAGAGCTTTGTAGCGTCACCACATACTATAACAGAGCCTATCTTATAGTGACCCCTACCATACACCTAAACTACGGGGGTGATATCTAGAAGGTCATGCATGATATGTGGGCTACTGTCGTTATCCATACCGTCTGACCCTCCAACAGGGTTCTTTCCTGGCAATTATTAGCTGTCGGAGCCAAGCTGAAGCAGTAGGCTAGTAATCCTCATGCCCGAATGGGCCTGAGGAGAGGAACAAATAAAACCAATCTTGAATGCAACGGTTGATTGGTGAGTCAGGTTGAGCTACCCCGGGAATGGCGCTACAGCCGAAATGCCATAGATAGTAATTGCTATATGACACAATAGGGAAAAGTGGGTCGGTTGATATAACCCTGTCTAGATGAAAGGTTACCACCCCATATCTCGACAAAGCCTCGTTGGGCGTTAACAATCTGCAGAGAACCTGCAAGTACAGGGTTACCATCTTCTTGCAGGACTACGAACCACATTCCCTTTGTAGGCTAGTTTTCGACCACGATCCTTTGCCTCGGGGTGGAGTTGGCCGCATTGCTGACGGATGCAATCGGTGACCGAAGCCAGCGGATAAGATTCAGCCCCCAAATGCATGCGGTCAGATGTGAGGATCGACTTGGTTATACAAACTCGCACCTCTAACCAAGTAACTCAAACACAATATGGACTCAACACCGGATCAGGACCGACGGGTGGGGGACCTATTGGATCAGCTTTGTCACCTTCGTGAACAATTGCGTCTCTTGAACCGACCCCTTGAAGAACAGGACAAAGGTGATGGAGAGCGAAAGGAGTTGCTCAAACGAGTGGGCACCGTATCTCATCAACTGGCGTTAGCCGCCCAGGAACCTCATGAAGCATATTGGGATCTAATTCGTAGAGTAAGAGACAGAGATTCCAAACCTACTTCTTTAGTTTATGCTGACTATCGCACAAGTGCTCGCTGATCTCTCCCATTCAAGTGGCCCAGGACATGGAGGTCTTTCGCTACCTAAAGGAGCACGGAGGCATGAAAATTGATGAATTGGCATCTAACCTGGGAGCAGAGGAAGGCCTAATCGGTAAGCATATTCAGGATTCAAAGAAACTGAAATCCCCTCCTGGCTGATATACATCGAGTGCGAATTCTACGCCCTCTTCTTGCAGAGGGTCTTTTGGTGCAATCCGAGCAGGGCATCTATAGCCTGACCGAACACGGGCTTATTTTTGCCCTCCCTGCCTACGAAGACTCCTGTAAATTTGCGTATGTGTCCAGATTCTATGACTATTAACTGCCTTGTCTGAACCATTTTAAAGGGTAGAGTTCCTTCCAGTGGTTCTGTTCAATCCGACTTTCTTCCAGCAATACGGTTATCGTGAACCCCGCTCGCATGATGGATTTGATACTCCACTGGCTGCATACTTCAAAAAGCCAGGGTATGGCTTCTTCGACTATCTCCGTGATCATCCCAGCGTACAGAAGCTTTTCATCTCAGCAATGCACGCTCAAGCTCGCACCCAGAGTATTCTGTGCTCAGTGTATGACTACGAGGCACGGTTGCCTCTGGTTGGGGATGACCCATCCGCTGTCGCTATTGTGGACGTCGGAGGGAGTCAAGGGGAACTACTCCTGGATCTCCGTGCTCGTTATCCGCAGATTAAAGGTCGGATGATTGTTCTAGATCAGAAGAGCACCTTGCAGAGTCTTCTCCAGGAGCCTCCGGTGGGAATTGAATTAGTAGTTCACGATATTTTCACCGAACTACCCGTCAAAGGTGAGATTGTTCCTCAACCGTCCTGTGCCAGTCGTTCATCTTTGCAACCGTGATTGACAAGGCAACCTGGGCCCATAATCAGGAGCCGCGGTGTATCATTTAAAAAGAATACTCCATGATTGGAGTGACCACAGTGCTCGCATTATCCTCAAACATGTGGTTTCTGCCATGGACCCCGAACGGTCTAAAGTCCTGATCATGGATGCGGTTAGCTATCCCACCTCCCTCTTTTTGCATTGCCAGCAAAGGTTCTAATTAAATTCCAGGTTCTCCCATCGACCAATACCTCGCTCTCGCAGGCAATGGGTGATCACTCTATGCTTACCTTTGGTGGGAAGGAGCGAACTGAGGGGGACTGGAGAACCTTGCTGGAGAGTGTAGGATTGGTCATTGAACACATATATCAAGGTCCTGAACCCGAGGCTCTTATTGAGTGTCGGAAGGCTTGATTATTTGTTTAGTGATATCTGGAAATGGAGAAAAGGGGATATCAATGGAGTCGCTCCTCCTTCACTATGATACAATTCCACAGGCCATTCGTCTGTTTTAGGTATACTTCAAGTTATATTTGCTTACCACATCTGATTCCCGTAAAATCGCTGCTCGAAACATTTGTAGGAGAGATTGTCGACCTGTACGAGACGACGAGCCCCGGCGTGACCACCAGCCGAGATCAATTGTCGCCATCCTTGAATATGACTTGTTGTGTTTTAGAGGAAGGTTGATTCATTATTCTTTCTGATGAAATGCAAGAGGCTATATATACACAACGTGAAGAACAAATCGATGGAAATCAATTTGATTCTTCATATAGAAATACAGGAATTATTTCCACGGACGATTTAGTTCAACAATCTCGAATAAATAAAGGAATACCCTGACCATCCTAGGAATAATTATTCACACATAGACGATTTCACCTTCACTTATTGATATCCTTTCCATCTAGAGAGAAGAGTATAACGTTCTAACCACGAAAGGAATTGAACGATATCCACTAAATAAATTTTACTTGCAATAGGAGATATCACCAAAGAAATGGTAGATTTTAGGAAGCCCATTCGTTAATTGAAAGGGGAAAGCCGTTCGGGGGCCGGGCTAGCGTGTCGCGTTTTAAGAAGCTACCTTACATTCCTAGGGGGATTAGTAAGTAAACTAGGAATAACGTAATTCCCGGTTGTGCCGTACACCCGGTTGTGCCGTACACTTTCCCCTAGTGGAACACTTCAAATCGATTATCTCAACCAGCACCGATCAATTTAACTAGATATAGCGATTTTTACATGTATTAATCCTGTGGCCAATCTCCCTGCACCCACTACACCTAGGTGGTGCCCTCTTTGCTGGCATAATTGGCTGACTAGGCAATTCAACCTCTGCATGCGAATCTACCCCATCATCTTCCTCTGGCTGGTCTAGCTGCTCAGCTAGCTGTATAGCCTCTTCAATGGTTAAACCCTCTGTGCAGGGTATCCTCTTAGTTGACCGATTGCGCTTTTTGATCATCTTCTCATTCGCTATACGCAGATTCGCATTGTCCTCTGCTAGTAAAGCACCGCTATGTAGCGCTAGCTGGAACCCCTTGATCATCTGGTCTAGGATCTCTTTTGATGGGCTCGGAGGGCTATTTGACCGCCGTTTTAGTAGATCTTTTAACATAGAAGCTTGCTTGAATAGCTGAGCAGCGGTTCTAGGCGTTTGTGGTGTGAATTGGCTAGATCTGCTGCTTGGACGGCTGCTTGGTGGTGTTGGTGTTCGTAGAGAGATATTAAGCTTGTTAAGCACTCTCTCGGCATCTAATGGTACTAGACCACTAGCTGCGAAGCTATTCTTGATAGTGGGATTGGCTGATTGGAAGGCTTCTTGCCGTGCGTGTTGGTAATCCACTAAGAAATCGTGCTTGTCGATATGGTTATATCCTCTACGCGCAAGATCGCTAACGAAGCGACCGTACGCGCGCTTAACCACTGCAAAACACCCAACATCTAGTGGTTGTAGTAGATGCGATGAATGCGCAGGCATACACAGAGGTATAATGTCGTTTTCTGTGCAGATTTGGTCGAATTGGGGTGTGAGATGGCTACCATGGCCATCAAGAATCAATAGTCGAAATCGCCCACGTATACGCGAATTCGTATGTGGGATAAAGTGCTTTTGTAACCAGCGTAGACTAATCTCATCGGTAGTCCAGCCATTCTTTGAGACCTCGATTCGCCAGTCTTTCGGTAGATTTTCGTTAAACCATCCTGCAATAGCCACTTTACCTTTGAAGACTATGCATGGCGGTAGTGAATAGCCATCTGCGCAGATTGCTTCGATCGCAGTAACCCATTCGCGATTTCCTGGTTGTAGAAGAGATCTCCGACCGTAGTATTCGGCCCTTGTGACTACTTTCTGCGAAGATATAAGGCCCATTGCAAAGCCTGTCTCATCGAAGTTATAGATATCCTCTAGTTGTATACCGTTCTCGTCAATCACACTTTGTACGGTCGCGAACCACTGCCGAATCGATTTCGGATCTTCGTTTAGTGCGCGCTGGTAGTCATAACGTCTCGAGAAGCGTGTACGAAGCTCATCGCGTCGTTTAATGAAGGTTGATGGCCAATTCTTTCCAACGGTAGGCGGAGGGGAGCTATCGCGCGCAGCTAGTAGGATATTGGCCATTACTCCCACAGTAGCCGGTCTAGGGGATGCACCGCGTGAATCCATAGAGAGTATCCATTCAGTAAGCGAATCCTCTTCAAATTGTGTTAATTTCAGGCGAGATGGGCGAGATTCAACGCGTGCAAGTACACCTTTCGCGCGGTCGGCTAAGGTTGTGTGAGGTATTTCGTATAGCTTCGCTACAGCGCGGATAGATTTGACGCGGCCATTTTTAATATCAGAAAGGGCTAATAGGATCTTGCCTTCCTGCTGGGCCAGTTTTTGCGAAGATTCAGAGCGAATTGGCGGCATGGTAGGTGGTTGAAGGTGGTGTATCAGTAGGAAGACGCGATTTTCGATGGGGTGTACGGCACAACCGGGTGTACGGCACAACCGGGAATTACGTTAGTTAGTTAGTTAGTTAGTTAGTTAGTTAGTTAACTAAGGTTGCTCAGGTCAGGCTCAGTGAGTAACCTTTCATACTAGGTAGGTGAACCAGGCTAATTACATCATGATCGCCGAGTAGCTAGGTCAGGTGGATCAGGGGCATGCTTAATTCTACACAGTGAGCTAAAGCGGCGAGAGGGTGAGCACTAGAACGGAAGCAGAATGCCAAGAATTGACGGACAATATCTATGCAGTGACCAACTAGGCTCAGTAACATGGAGTGTCCAGCGGCGAGACTGGACCGACCAGGCTTACTGACAGATTGTTAATCTCGTATTCTGTTACTAAGGAGGGGTATAGTTCTGGATCAGTCGGGGATGGGTTGATTGCAAATTGGATGCTTACAATTACCAGAAAGCTACGTGATTGGTTTAGTTTTTACTTGGCATTTTAACATTTGGGGATCTCAGATTTGTCATTCTTTTGCGAGACTGCAATAGCGCGCCTGAAAAGGTCATGAAGCGAGAACTAGAATTAATGGGCCAGGCTCGCTCCAATGTGGGTCTGATTCATCACGAAAGACGTTCCTGCAATGTTTTCTTTTTCCATGTGGACTTGTGAAAGGTGGGGGTATTGATAGTGGTGGGTATGTAGACTGGGAACCGACTGTTGTTGCTGTCCCCGAGTCTACTGATTTTTGGCCGTCTCGCGCTCCTTCTTCCGGCGCAGACGGTCTCGCTCCATCTTCTTGAACAGCGGGTGCTGAGCCCCTTTGTCCTTGAGCTGCTTGTTCCGGCTCTTGTTGTATTCAATGTATGCCATGTCATCACCGCCCGCCAGGCCACTGAGCGTGGCAGCACTGCGCTTCGCCTTGGCCCTCTTTGCAGCGGCATTGCGCCCGCCACTGCGCATGGAGAACAGGTCGTCGGTCACTTCCTCCACGTCTGCGGAGGACTCGTTCTGCAGCATGACCTCGGTGAGTAGCTCGCGGCGTTCCGATGGCGTAGAATAATGAAGTCCTTCATACTCGTTGATGCCTTCCAGGTGGGTGATCACCTTGAATGCGTAGCCCTGATCGACAAGGAAGGCCTGTCGCTTGGACGAGTAGGTCATCTCACTGGTGTCCTTGGAGACCAACGAGTAGAAGAAGGCATTGAAACCTTCGTCATTACGGCGTTTGGCACGGAGAATTCGTCCCAGACGCTGTGCTTCCTGACGGCGAGAGCCGTAGTGAGAGGAGATCTGGATAAGGCACGTAGCCTCAGGCAGATCAAGCGAGGTATCACCAATCTTGGACAGGAAGATGGTGTTGACTTGCTCATTGTGTTGGAAGTTCTCCAAGATACGCAGGCGTTCATTCTGGCCAGTGCCACCGTAAATGAAGGCCTTGTTCAACTTGCGTGCGTATTTCTCCAGGGCGTAGACGTTGTCGGAGAACACAATAATCTTGTCGCCGCGCTTCTCGTGGAAGTCAATGAGGTATTGGCAAGCCTGGAACTTGCGTGGGTTCATAATGTAGAGCAGAGCTTGCTTTCTCGAGCTTGCTCGCAGATACTCCGAATAGAACTCGGTGGTCATGGGGCACCAGACCTCAGCACACTGGACCTTGGCAATGTGGCCCTGTGCCGCAAGTTCCATCCAGTTGGCTTCGTACAGTTTTGGCCCGATCAGGAAGTTCAGATCCTTGATCTTATCGTCTTCACGCAGCAGTGTGGCCGTGAGACCAAGCTTGGTCTGCGCAGCGATAGCCGATGTGACCTTTCGGAACATCGAGGCCGGCACGACGTGCACTTCGTCAAGAATCATCATACCCCATTCGCGGCTCTGAAGCCAGTCCATCATCTTCTGGGCGTCATAAGACCGTGCTCGAGTCTGCGACACCATGGAATAGGTGGACACAATGATACCCGTCGACCGCTTGAATTTCTCCTTGTGGTCGGAGGTGAAGATGGCGATGTCCCCGGGGTCGATGGTCGTCCAGCGCAAGAACTCATTTCGCCACTGGACCACGGACATGGAACTGGTGCAGAGGACGATCGTACCCTTCTTAATGGTAGCCGCCGCGGTAATTCCCACCAGGGTCTTGCCGGCACCGCAAGGAAGAACGATGATACCGCTCTTCGCACGTCCGTTACCGAACATCTTACTCAGACTCATCTCCTGATATGGACGAATCCGCGCCGTGGGTTTCAAGTCCATGTCAAGGTTGGGATTGATGGTGTCGCCCTGGAAATCGTACTCCTCTAGAGCCGGGCAGCCGATGGCTTGACAACGGGCTTTCACGATTTCGACGCCCGTAGCGGGGATCTCGAAGCTGTATGTCAGGGCCTCCGAGGCTTCATCGCCGACATCGTTGATGCCATAGTCCTGTCTCTCTCCCTGGTTCTCGGTCTGAGACCTAGCAGACGCCTTCGTCTGACCACCAGTCTCTCGTACACCGGCCGCATCCTTCGTTCCGGGAATCACGAGTGCTCCCATCTTCGGTGCCGCTCGTTGAATGATCCCCTCCCCGTTGGAAATTCTCTGTGGTCCGATCACCTCATCCTTCAGAAGCATCTGTAGCATTTCCGGCTCGACCGTTTCCACGTAGTATCGGTTGTGGTACAGAACCATCTTGATCTTGCCGTAGGATTTGGTGAACTCGATGATGAACTGGGAGATACTCTCGGGAAGCGGAGTCTTCGAAAGACGATCCAGGAACTCGACAATATCTTCTGGCTTCAGACCAACCGACACTGCTGCATAAAGACTGTGGCCGGTCAGGCGGTACTCGTGGAGGTGGGTGGGTCGCGAGAGGGGTTCGGCGATGGTGGTCAGGAAGTCCTGTGCCTGGGGTGCCAGCGGGGAGAAACTCTCGAGGGTGATCGTGCCTTTTACCGGCTCGATCCATAGCGGTCGGTTGTAGTGGTCACGCTTGAGGGTGAGGTATGAGAGGTCTTTGTAGCCGAATCTGGGATCGGTCTTCTGGGACTGTGTGCGCTTGCTGTATGCTTCCAGCGAGAACTTGTTGACGACATCTTCAACCGCCAGTTTTAGCATCTGAGTCACGAAGTGTGCGCAGACTGCTCAACTCTACCTTTCAGGTTGTTGTCCACCGGCCCATCATCCGGGTCCGAATACTCATCGCTGCTGGAGACTTCGGCGTAGTCGAGGGAAGGAGTTGCTCGCTTCGAGGCGCTACTAGACCGACCGACTGGATGAAAATGTCAGCTGTGTGGTCTGCGGGGGAGCAGATCGGACTTGATAGCTTACCATCGGCGGCCTTGCGCTTCGGCGGCATCTTGTTCGAATTTGAGAGTTGAACCGCGGATGAGGTAGATGTAGGAGAAAGGAGGTGAATAGAGAGGTGCTTGAGGCGAATACCGCCTCAGATACGATCGTTCAAACCTGCATGCCACGAACAGTGGCGCCGCAGGGAACAAGCGGCGTGTGCTGGCAGGCGATTACAAACGGCTTCGAGTCGGTGGTGCAGTGGACGGGATGTAAATTTGCGAGGTGCTGGTAGAATACAGGTTACGGTCCTGCAGACGAAACGAGGATATTGTGGAAGGTGAGGGTGATGGAGGAAGAAGAACAAAGGCCGAAGTGTCTGGACTCTTGACTCCAACGGAAAGTTCCAAGGCTGACATATCACTGCCTGAAGTACCAGGCAGCAAGGCTCCACCCGCGGAGCTGCCTCTACTGACGTAGAGGATCATGCCATATTTCTCTCTTCATTTTATTTCCGTCACACTACGCAGCCATGAACACCGTGAGTTGCCTATTCCATTTCGGGCCATTCGATTAAATAGCTAACACCTTTCTCTACGTTCAGATTCGATCAACCTGGTAAGCAGTCATTCTCCCAAATCCTCGAGTCGATATGCACCCATTGCAAGTCCGGAGCAACGAAAGCTGATGAAAAGCTCTTTACCCATGTGACAGGATTGGCTGGGGCTCCCTCTGTGTCGGTACGTATTTTCAGCCTCATTCTATCTCTATTCCCGACGTCCAACCCCGGTCGGACACCAATCCCGAGTGTATAACTGACATAACCCCTCCAGCCGGCGGCGGCGCTTACTACTTTGCCAAACAATCCATCAATGCCGACCGACAAGCCCGCTTCGAAGCCGAAGCCACCCGCAAGGCCCAGTTGAAAGCAATGGAAGCCGAGCATAAACGACAGGCAGCCATGCCCGCTACCCCGAGTCCCGCGAACCCAAGCGAGGACCCCAGTCTGAAGCGCGCGAATATGACCCGATTCCAGAACGCGGCCGACGACGTTGCCTCGCCCAGTGCCGAAGCTTCGCACGACCCGGCACCAACGCGACACGAGCCGATGACCGAAACCGATCGGGTATTGGAGAAGGGGAAATACGAGGCTGCAGAGCCGTTCCGGCCGCCGCGGGGGAACCGCTTCAGTTGAGGGGCTTTGATGAGTCCTTATTTGTACATTTGAACGTGTAAAATACTGAGGGGAAAAGACATCCAGTGCGGTGTGCCTACTGGGTTGGCGTGCAGTTATAGAGCGAGTCTGCGAGTTGATCTGCGACCTTTTTTTTCATATTTGACAATCAAGGCTTGTCTCCGACGGGAAGACCATTGAAGGTCATTTGTATGTAAAATTTGTCTTGCATATTGCTATCAAACTAGAATGTATAATGCTATGATGAATACACAGCTAGTCTTCGGGATCGTCCATCTATACGGGCCTCGTCGCTCGAGATCTCCGTAGTTGTATCAGCTCATCCCTGCCATATCTGATTGATGTTTCTCCTCAACTATTAATCCCATGCTGAAGGATCTGAAAACAAAAGAAATTCATAATCAAGAAAGTCAAACTTCAACGCCCGATTCCCCAAGCGCCCCCGGATAATATGCAAAAGAGTCAAGAGGTCCCGCACTAGTGCCGGCACTAAGAACTGAAACCCATAATCTCAATGAACAAAAACACATGTAACTGTAAGAAGGAAATCGTCTGTCAAGTCGGGTTGACAGGCGTGCTAACGGGCATGGAAGCACAGTGGGGGGTGGGGCCTATGGTTCGATTAGCGTCGATGGTCCATATGTATGCCATTCCCGCATTGCATATTCAAACTGAGGGCCAATCGGGAAATAATAGAGAAACAGGCTTTCAAGGTGTTGAGTGGAATGGTTAGACTCACTTGGTGCTGTCTGGGGAGTTGGAGTTCCTTTGACGCGAGCTCTCAAGGGCGGGTGGGACAAACGGGAGAACCACGCCTGAAACAATGCAGGACATGGCCACGGCGCGGAGCAGCACGACTATCAGGTCGTGGTCGGTGGGCTGAGAAGTGCCGGATGGAAGGGCGGGCGAGCTGTGCGGCGACGATGGTGGCCATGGTGGTGATTTGAAAGTTGCAGTGTTGGAGAGTTTAAAGTGAAGGGTGAGTTGGAGAGTAGAAGATGGCTACTCGAGGTATATCGGATAGTGGAGGGAGAAGTTTGTTGTTGGGTAGTAAGTAGTTGTGGGTGGTGGAAGAACACTGGTTGAGGATGAATGGGCCGAGTTGAGTAATAGCTTTTTGATTCTGAAAACGACAGTTAATCACGAGGGGGGGGGGGCCAAGGGCATTTATAGAACGTGGTACGATGAGCAAGTCAGGCCATGCAAAGACGCAAGTGACCCGTGTGGGGGAGGCCCTACGGAGAGGGAACTCGGCAACCTTGGGCGATCCATCAGTTGCAGTTCTCCACCAGGCAAATCGAAAGAGTCATGGCTGCGGGGCCCGCTAGGACCAGCTGATGGGCTGATGTTCATCGCAGTTCTGAGGAAAGGATTATCATGTACCTCATGACCCATCGGCCTGTCGGCACGAAGAGCGATAGACCGCGGACTCTGATAACTCTGGGGATGATAAATTGCTTACAGATAGACCTCTTAGGTATGAACTAAGTGGAAGGAACCAGAATCCGCAGGGCTGCTACTAGCTGCTCTGGTACTGCTAGTTTACTGCCTAATTATTACCAAGACTGCCATAATTCATCTATATAGGTAGGTAATCTCGTCATTCTACCTCTCTTCCACCCTAGAGGGTACATAACGTGCTCCTCTCACGCCATCGCGGGGCTCGCGTCGGCCGAATGAGTGGGGCGGCCTTTGCCCCTCAAGTTTCAACGGACGAGCCTAAAAGGGGGGGCACACAGATCAATAAAACAGACGGAGCGGGGTTTCTAGGTTCTGGAAGTTGGGCGTCACCGTTTGTGGAAATGATCACACTCGGAAGAGACCTTTTAAACAGGTACGGCTCAAGAGATGATACGGGAGGGAAAGTATCCGATCTGAACTGCCGACACAACGAATAGATCTATGTATGCCATAGACTGATGGCGGGCGACTACAAGCCGGGGCACCTTGCCGGGTCGCATCACTTATTTTCCGGAGGCTCAACTCAATCGAGAGCTTGATGAGCTCCTCCACATGAAAGGACAGGGACAAGATCTCTAGGCATCGAGGGGCAGAGGACGAGAGATTAAATGGGAACGACACTGCGCCGCTACGTCAGAGCGTCTATAGAAACCGACGGACTACCGCTTACCCGCCCGCACGACTAAATAGGCAAATAATCAACTCCACAACGCTAATCTCCTACTACCTGAATGATCCTGTATCATACTTGATGGTAAAGCGTCCCTAAAAAGGGGCTGGTAACAAACTTTTGTGTAATCATAGAAATCATAGCCTGTGTCATAATCCATGGCATCATGAGGGCGAGAGGTGCCAGGCTGATATCCATTATAAGCCCAACAGCACGAGGCATCAACATCTCCGGCCGTTTGAATTGTCACGGTCACCCTCAGAGTCCGCAGAAGGCCAAGATGACACTATCAGAACCAGCCTCCCCATTGACATCACCACAGTAGATCAAATGTCCATTTCCGATTTTGGCTCCAGTGACTGCAGCCTGTGACTGATCCACATAGCCCGGGGGAAAGACATGCGACTGGGTCTGAGCATTGGCGATCGGAACAAAGATCTTCTCACTGGGGCGGGCATCCATGATATGAAGGGTTTTCATGCTATATGGCCCAGGGAGCGACGATGCATTCACCTCGCGAGGAAGATTATAGGAGGGATTGAACGCAAAGTCGGTGCGGTGGTAATCACCACGCTTCCAAGGCAGCGCAAAGCCAGAGGCGAAGAAATTATTCATGGCGTCCATGGTCACGAAACTGGGGAAATGCAGACCCACGATGGCGATGCCACCATTTCGAATGTAGGATACCACTTTTTGTAGGACATTTGCATTTGCACGCTCCGTCAGACCTTGGTCCGTAATTATGATGGCCTTGGGATTGTTCTGTTCCAGGTAGCGAATCGCAGCGTCTGCCTTTTTGGCTCGCTTCAAGGTGGCCGATGCGGCTAATTTGTCGATTAAGGAGGAGTAGGTTTGGTCGAGGAACTCGAGGTATGCGAGGGAAAGAAGGAAAATCTCTGGGGGATTTGCCGTGGCCATTGTGCCGTGGCCATTGTCAACGAAAATGATTCCTTAGATTAGAGCTTTGTTTGGGGGTTAGCTTGGAGCTCCCTTACACAATGAAGAACTGTGGGGCTCCAAGGAGCGGAGCTCCGCCCTGTCAAATCACGTGGGATAACTCTCGTAATCGCGGAGCCGGAACTCTGCTTCGTAGCTTACACGAGCATCCTGAAGTCCCCAGATCCAATGCGCCGAGCTCTCGATGACCTCCCACCAGATCGCCATTGCCAAGGCCTCCTTCTCGGCTGGGCTCTTGCGTCCAGATCCTTCATCTGTTCCTCGAGATGACATCGCTGCCTTTCACACGGCCCTCGAGCGCGCCCTCAACCACTGCTCCCCAGCAAACATCCAGGTCTGATCCGTGACAAGCTCTCTCCTATTATCGCGCCCCAGTTATACTAAACTGCCCGTCGGTCCACACAGACCTGCAAAGCATGGCTACTCCAATACGTCGCCTCCTCCGCTAACCGGGTGGGAGGGTTAGCCAAATATCTCGTAGCCCTCGCTGGCTCCTCTGATGAACCGGCAACCGCAGCTGCAGGCCCTGGCGGTCGTCCCGGTGCTGGCACTCGATCTAAAACTTCAGTAAAGCGCCGGAGGCTTCACATCCTCTATCTCCTCAATGATCTGTTCCATCATAGCAAGTACCACCTCGATACTACGGCTACCTTCTCCACCGTCAGCGGATCTCTACAACCATACGTGGTGGAGCTGCTTGGGCACGCCGCAGCCTATGATCGACAGAAGCATCCCCGGCACCATCGGCGCCTAGATGACCTACTGGATATCTGGTTCGAGCATGGATACTTTGGTCCCGAATTGGTCCAGAAATTGCGAGAGACGGCGAATAACTCGGCTTCCATCGGATCCACGGGCACTGCCCCATCCTCGTCGACTGATGTCTTGATTGAGGATACTGATGCTGCTAAGAAGCTGGCCGGGAAGGAAGCGCCCTTTATCATGCCATCCACTCATGGCGACCCTTCCACGCCGTACTACGACCTGCCGGCTGGCAATTGGATTCCTCATATCATCCCCAACTCGACCATTCCTCTGCGCTCGGATAGCATCAAACCACTACAGTTCCTGGCCGGTCCTGCCGATCAATCATTAGTCAAGGCTTTGAAAGACTTCTTGCAGGAAGCGGATCAGATCTATGGTACCGAGGAGCTCATCAAGGATGATGGAAACATGGATATCGATGAGCTCGGCCATCGCGTCACACGGGACGAAATCACAGGGGATATCTTGGATGGCGAGACATACTACGGCTGGTCTCGGGCATTTTGTCAGCAAATGAAAAGGCGACCGGGAGACTCTCGCAGTCGCAGTCGGAGCCATAGCAGATCCCGCGGGGCCCTCAAACGGCGGTACAGCGACAGCTCGCTGAGCCAGGACAGCCAACGCTCCGATTCTGAATCGCGCAGTCGGGCTCATACTGGTAAACGGGAGAATCGACGCTACGACTCACGCCCGCGGAGCCGCTCCCGCCGCAGATCTCGATCTCGCACGAGCGAAAGCTCCTATGCGCCACGAGAACAATCTCCACCACGCTTCCCGCCTCCACATCAACCCTCGCACGCTCCTCCGCCGCCACCACCCCCTGAGCCCTATCAACAGACTCATCCATACAATCCACAATACCCTGCGGCTCCTTCGGGCGCCAATTTCGCTCCCCCACCTCCACCCCCATATCCCGGCGCTTGGCCGCCTGGCCCACCCCCACATATGCCGGGCATGCCCTTTCCCCCACTTGGCCAGGGAATGAACCCTGCATTTGCTCCGTCATTCCCAGGACATCCTCCTCCCATGCCCATGCCTCCTGGCCAACAGCTTCCTCCTGGGCAGTATCATTTCCCTCCTCCGCACCCTGGTGGTCAACATGGTGATGGCTGGGGACAACAGGGCGGGCGTGGCTGGCGATAGCCGTGGTCACCCTCGGCGATGTATTTCTAATTTCTGATATGATACAGGACCGCCCGAAATCAGTTTCACCTATTACTTTCACTTTAATCGTTTTGGCGCTTTCTCTTGCATGAGACTATACTTAGGCTGTCCCTGGCGCCGTGCTTGGCGGTATTCTAATACCGTTGTAAATACTTATGTAAAAATAGCCTTTGTATTATCCTGTATGGATTGTTCGTTCTAGAAATTCCTACCTAGCAAACTAACCAAATATGCCAAGAAAAAGGGGCAGCCTGTTGTCTCACATTCCACCTGTAACTCAATCCTTTCAGTCCACTGACAGAACTTGTTGAATAAGCGAAAAAAAAAGTGCACTAGGCCGTGTAGAAAATTGTGGAAATTATGGATAAACTGCAGTATATAAGTATTCAGAGGCGGATCGAGGGAGTAATAAAATGGTTTGTCAAATTAGATAAAGAAGCCTTTACTGAATGACTGCTTCTTATGATGGGACCTGCTTCCCCAAGTTATTTCGAAACTTGAGTATAGGACCGCGTTCTCGTGCCTGTTATAGCCTTATGTGATTATCGCCTAATAAGAACTATCTTGTGTTAGTTTCTCCCTCGTAGACAGCTTTCGTATTGCCGTTGTTCTCGACCGAATAGCCGGTACCACATAAAAAGCCTATACAAATGTAAAAGAAGCCACCTACGAAGCCCGCTTATTGAAACAGCATCATCATTATTCTTTTTACCTCCTTGGCGGCTACCTCGTTTCCTCACTTAACCCCGAAATCTCACAGGCACTAGCTAATAAGCATATAAAGCACGAGAAATATCGATGATTATACCTTAATCACAGTTCTAAATCTGCTCTCCCTTCTTCCTTACTATTTGATTATTCAGAATGAAGTTTCTGACTGCTTCGGCCTTGAGCTGCTTTATTACATCTGTAATTGCGGCGGATTGCTTTGGTCAGCCTCAGACCGATTTGGCAAAGACTTACGGGGACGCATACTGGGATGCTCGTCAGAAAATGTGCTCGACTAGCGCATCCGGAGGCGGAAGCTGTGAATACCAAAAGGATTGCACAACGTCTTCTTCAAAGACGGTGCACGGATTTATCACATTAACGGATAACGTTGAGTTTAAACGATGGAAGGCCGGAGGAAGCGGAGGGTTCAAAGATTGCTGGGTACGATTAATGTCCTATTCAAATAAAAACCGTTAACTAACCTTCTCCAATAGGACGCAACTGAGTAAGTGGCAATAGACCTTGCGTATGTTTGCATTCTAACGCTAGTAGGGATATTATCAACCAATGCGTTGTTGGCTCAGGGCAGATGGGCGGCACATGGGTGGCTAATGGCCAGGTTTACCAGTTGAATTCGTGGTGGTCGAATTGAAGTTGTGGGTTAGTTGAAGTTGTGGGTTAGTTGAAGTTGTGGGTTAGTTGAAGTTGTGGGTTAGTTGAAGTTGTGGGTTAGTTGAAGTTGTGGGTTAGTTGAAGTTGTGGGTTAGTTGAAGTTGCGGGTTAGTTGACGATCAGTCAATGCTAAACATAGGGCAATGTATTTTATTTCAGTCCATTACACAGGAACCAATCATCTCACTTTATCCATAGATACGTTTCACGATCTTACGATAGACTTAAGTTTAAAATAGACTAGCGTGTTTCAGAATAAAGTTCGAGAAAGAATCGAAGAAAACTGGTGACGCGCGCTGTCGCACGCCGTGGCCCTGAAACGAAACAAGTACGAAAGATCAATCGTAAATTGAGTGATAACATAGAAGTCGAACGTGTAGTTTTGATAAGGCACCGGAACGATACACTGTCCTAGGATCAGTCAATTATATGCATACCGAGTTGTGAAGCAAAATACAGCACATTGAAAATCGTGGCAGTATTGATCACGAGGGGCATCCGTCATGAAGATGAAGCAACACCTGCCCTACGCTCAAAATAGCAACACTATTAATTTTTTGCCTTCCAAAAAGGCAAGGAAAAACATACAACAGCCAGGATTCGCATGTGGTCACCCACCATACTACTAACTGGCCGGCGTGTGGCTTAAGTACGGCTGAGCGGACGGGAAGCCCTGTTCTCCACACCCTATGGTCGTATGTACGAAATAGACCTTCACGAAGAATAGTATAGATATCGAGAAATATTATAGAAATACGTGTAAAGGGAAGCGGATTTGAGTGATAAAAAGTGATGCTGTAGAGCCTCGTGGACGACCGAGGGCTAATTCAGGGATTGCACAAGCTAGCGAATCAGCGACGCTAAGTGTGGAAGTTAATGTCAGTGCCTTAAGAAAACTCAAGTCATGAAGAGAGTTGTCAAAGCAAGGACGAGCTAGGACGAGCCAGTCACAGAAGGGAAACGAAGACAGAAGGGCGGAATGAAGCCCTAGAACGCTAAGAGCTAAGATGGATAGAGAAGTCGACGAGTAATCAGACAACGTAGCCAGGATAGACTCGAGCGAAGCAGAACATTTCTTGGCGGCGAAATTGACGAATCAGCGATGAGAACGGGCAAGGATTTAGCAGTACGAACACAAGCTAAGTTTGTGGGCGGCTCGCGCACGGTAGTAACCCCTTCACTCGTTCCTCGTTTCAGGGCACAGAGAGGCGAAACTGATTTCGAGCGGCCCTGTACCATGCTCAGAGATGGGGTAGTATTACTCAGCCCATCCTGAAATCACTCTTAAGTACGACTGTAGGCCCAAAGGTATCCAAACGAGATACAGTCGGGCTGTTGTGTGACGGCCTCTGAGGACCCTGGAATTGAACGGTCGCATCGTGACCGACGCGAGAAAGAAAAATGGCGGCTCGGGCCGAGACGCGAACCCCTGATCCGCCCGACCGCGACGAAGTTTCACCTCCACGTCTGGGGAGGCCGAAACGCACCACAAGGCCACCAACTCACTATGCTCGAGATCAAGAGGTCGACAACGACCAGAGAACGACACGCGCTTAACTGAGGAAGAAAACGCAAGACAAGCTAGCAACTCAACGTGACGCGGTCACTTCGGACGACTCCGCGACGGAGAGCGTGGACCTTAACACCGCCACACTCGTGAAAGAGCTCATTAAACTCAGGCGAGAGATCAGGCGACGGGATGACTTGCACAAGGAAGAGCTTCAGAAGGTTAAAGTTGAATTTAGCGCCGCTCTTGCCGAAGTTCGACACGAGTTACAGACTCTAACGGATAGACCCCTAACACCGTAAACCCACGCCGAAGTATACGCCGAAGTATACGCTTAGAATAACCACGATAAGATCCTCCACGAGATTCAATCCCTGCGCGATGTAATTATCCCTTCCGTTCCTACTAGCTCCTCGTCCTATATAGATATCGCCCGTACTCGACTTCTGAATACTCAGAAGTCTTGTTATGCGATTTATATACCAAATTCCCCCATACATTAATTAACGATAACGTCATGGGATCTCAATACATTGAAACTTGGTGTAGAACATTTCCTCTCAGGGTCTTTGTATGACTTGGGGATCGAAAATAAGGCTACGCATTGACATTAAGAAGCTTGTTTTGTTGTTTGCCTACAGTCTAGTCATGTCAAGATGCATTGCGATCTGGGGATATAAATTTCCTAATCAGGAAAACGCGACTCTATAACAAAGATATCATGACACCTCGCGACACCTCGCGGCGCGTCTAACCTTCTCACGACAAGATGCAATCTTCTATCCTGCCTACTTTTCCTCTTTCTCTTCCACCCTCCCCGCTCCTCTTCCCCCAACACCTTCAACCAACGTTCGCAATGTCTGCCTTCCCCGACCCGCCATCTACTCCGCCCCGTGGCCCCGTGAATCCTACTTCAGCTACTCCAACCGGAATGATCGACGATATGGAATCCGATGACTTCTACGATTCCACCTCGTCTTCGGATGATGAGCTGATCCAAGGCCCGTCGAAGAAAGTCAAGTTGACCCCCCGTGATTCCGCGGGAGATGCAGTCAAAAACGACACTCCCGTTCCGGCTAAAGGTGCCGCGTCTCCTAAGGACGGTACTTTGACTGAGGGCAGTGTTCATTCGGAGGGCAAGGCTCCTGCTAGTGTCCCCGCCGATACCGACGCTGAGTGCCTTGTTGCAACTCCTCCTCCGACCAGCCCACCTCTCGGCCCTCGTGAGGACACTACCGTCGCCGTTCCTGGGGACTCTCTGCCAGCCACCACCGTTCCTGACGCTCCATCTGCCGGCAATGAACCTCCGGCTTCCCGGGAGAGCACTCCAAGCGAGCCCTTCTGCGCTACCAACTATCCCATCTTTGACCCTGACGACTCAGATTACGAATTCGGGGACTATGACGCCACAGTGTTCACCGAACCTTACGCTTACAGGCAGTACATGTTGGAGCGACAAGTGTGGAGGATGGTTGAGAGCAGAATCACACGACACCTCCAAGACTGCCTTCGGGGCTCAGCACTCACCTGGTATCAAGAAGAACTAAACGACGAAGAACGAGAGGATCTTCGTGATGGCAGTCTTGAAGATTGGGTTGATTCTCTTTGTGATCGGTTCAGCCGTCCCCCTGAGGACCACCTGGAGAAAATCAAAGAGAACCCTTTGGACTTGACCGTGGTCCGGGCGAGCAAGAATATTGATTACTGGCTGGATGGCCAGTTCAAGCGCGCCGACCCAGTGACGGACGAGCATTGGGAGGCGTTGCATATGGTCTGGGAGTCTATTGACCCAGAACTGAGAAAGGATGTGCCTGAGCCAGACAGCGATAGTTGTTATGTCGGCTTTCTGTGGGATCTCGAGCATGCGCACGTGCAGTGGCGTCTCAGGCTTGGTCTCCCGCCAATGTGTGCCTTCTCGTGATCATCTAAAATCTGGATGACATGCAACCTGTGAGGATATTGAGGCTATGGCCATTTTCTGGAGATGATGTCGATCTACGGGTGTGGCGATCTATGGTGTCTTGTTAGGGAGTATTTCGGAGGAATGGAATAACAAGATCGCTTTAAAGATATCAAATACCGTGACATGAGTACTGTAAAAATAATTAGGATGTTGAAGGCCGTGGAGGGTCGTCTGGAGGTTTTAACCTATTCGACTGGAGTAGAGTAGGTCCTGGTCGAGACCTAGGGATCTGCCGCAACCCATTCATAGGTCATACCCGGGACATTCAGTCACTATATATATTCAACATAACGGTGACACTGACAGGTTTGGAGCACTGGCCACACGGCTATACCAGCTCCAAGCCGTTAGGAGAGGATTCTCCAGTATGGATGATCGGACCAAAACACGTTCTATCTCAAGAAACTCTTTTAGGCTGTATCTCACTCCAGATCTAGGCTTGACTTTAACCTTCCAAGCGTTACGGATCGATGGATCAAGCTAAACCTAAAAGAGTAATAACTTCGAGGCTTGGCTCCCCGCCACGCCTTCGGGCCGTCTGACTGTGGCGGTGTTTCAACATGAAGATCGTTGCCTGCTTGCTTTGTCAGAACGTCATGTCGAGCTTTTTGCCCTTTTTAACTCTGCAGATCATCTCAGGTTCTACAGAAGACCTCCTGATCTTCTTTCGCCGATATCACTATGAGAGGGAACCCCGCAACACCTTCCAAAGCGTGCCAGCCATGCCGCACCAAGAGACGAAAGGTAAGATTAAGCCCCCACGATCTCCCCGCAGCGATTGTGTCATTGGTCTTATGCCCCTCGTATAGTGTGATATGATGCGCCCAGGATGCTCACAGTGTCGAAGAGCGAACGTTGAGTGTTGGGGATACCGGGATTCTTTCTCATTGAGGCTCCGCGATGAGACATCTCTCGCGGCTCGAAAGAGCCAAGAACGGGTCGCCAGGAGTCGGACCGCATCACCAAATTCTGACTCTGATAAAAAGGTTGACTCTGATGAAAAGGTCAACATGCATGCGCTCATCACTCAGGAAATACCAGAAACCCCGGAAACTCTAGCGTTAAGCTATTTCATGCATGTCTATGTTCCTACTGCCGCATTCGAGTACTTGCCCGAATTATCATCCACATTTCTTACGTCAGGGCCTCTAGGGGATGCCCTTTTAGCACCCTCACTCCTCTTGTTCTCACAGAATCTTCGAATGCCATCAGTTCAATCTCTTGCGCAAAATCATTACGCTAGGGCATTGAGGTCTACCAATTCGGCCCTTTCTTGCCCAGAGCGAGCGACAAGTGATAGTACTCTCTTGGCAGTCTTGCTCTTGAGTCTGTTCGAGGCTTTGGTATTTCAAGGGCGAGCGATTCCTGTCAATTGGAACGCCCATACCCGGGGAGCCTCGGAGCTATTACGACTTCGAGGCGAGGGTCAGTTTGATAATTCCCTCGGCCGCCATTTGTTCCGACACGCGTCCTTGAACATCAGAACACACTGCGCCCAGCTAGGCGTGAGTACACCTTCCGTCTTAACCACGCTGGAATCGACCAATTTCGAGAGAATCTATAGTCCTGGGAGGATTCGCCAATTTGGACGAGTAGTGGGTGCTATTGCAAATCTACGGGCCATCAGCCAGAGCCTCTCCCCCCTCGGAACACTTGACCAGGCTCCTAAAGCTGGATTCGGAGCTTGAGGATATTCTCAATGACTTGCGGAGGGATGCATCTTTCGAGGTCGTCGACGCCAAAGATATACAAGGATCAATATGCACATACAAAGATAAAGTCTATCGATACCCGTCTCAGAGAATCGCCCGAACATGGAACATGGTCCGGATAACCAGATTATTCATCGCCCAAATGATTAACTACGTATTACTCTCTCCTCGTGGGATGGAACTTCCGAACGAGGTCTTGGCTCAAGTTCAGGACATTATTACTGTGACTGGTACCGAGATGATATCCGACATTCTGCATACCGTCCCTTTCGCACTTGAGCTCTCGATTAACCCCATCATGTCGGCTCGGTCGCTTATTTACCCCTTGTCTGGGATTGCGATATTCGAATTCGCATTACCTGATGCTGCAGAGTTTGCCCTTGACAGATTGGGGTTCATTGGGAGGCAGTATGGCTTCCCGCAGGCCATTGATTCAGCTAATATGGTCTTGCAGACTAAAGATTTAGAGGACTGGTAAGTGCAACTCTCTCAAACTCGAAGTATATGCAGTGGAAGCTGACCATTTTGTTTAAATTTCTCAGGATACATCTGTCTGTACTCTCTTGTTAATCCAAGACCAAATTAGACTATGCATCCCAGGAAAAATCAAGGAACTGGCCCGGGAGCATGCATCTCTATTATTATATCGTGTGTCAACAAGAAGTATATTTCGGTGGAGCTGCCTCAAAGTCTATTACTTGCTCATGAGACACCACAATAGCAATTTGTATTCTTACTTAAACTGACGACAATGGTATTGACCGACAATTTCTCCTTCCTCTCTTTCCAGCAGTTCTGTTGCATTTGAAGTATTTCGACTTATATCCACGAAAGACAATTGCATAATGACCTAGTATTGGCAACGATACTCACGCCCTTTCCAATATCCATGGCTTAAGCAACTGGGCGCTGAGATTTGTTCAGTCATAGCCCCATAACCAGGGCTAATTTCCTTGCTCTTCTGACTTCAACTCAAGTTTCTTCATGAACTTCCACCATCCAGCGTAGGGTTTGATTGTGTCCATCTGCGACTCGGTCGAACTCGAATCGCTTGTAGCCTCGATACCGACTAAGCCAGCCACCATGATCGTATAAAACTCATTTCCGTTATCGTTATCCTTAACTGGAACACTCGCATACCCCCGCGGAATGGGTTCAGTTTCAAGTGACGAGTGCGTGACACCCCAAACCGGCGGTCCAATCCTGGACGACGCCTCATTTAGGCAGGTGCTAGACTTTTTTTTGTTTAGATCTAACCTCGAATGGACCGGTGTTAATGAGCCTTGGTCAATTCAAGCGCCTGCCATCATACGTAGTTGCTTAGCCTCGAACACTATCAAATAGAAGAAATAAAGTTTAGATAGAATGAATTCGGACAAAACCATCAAAAATGCAGAATAATTTTACTTATTCAAAGACCGTCAGTCAAGCCATGCATCGTAAATCCCCCTCTCCCAGTCGATGATATTCATTCTGCTTTGCTAACACCCTCCAAATGTTCACGAGTCTACCACAACTTCGCATTTATGCCCCGATGGCACAATCAGAAAATAATGCTCTGGCCACATACTTTCTTCTGTGGAACCTGGTGCCAGCCGCACATTTCCACATCGACGGAAGAACTCGGCTGTCGCTAGCCGTAGCTCCATCCATGAGAGATGGATACCCAGGCAAATGCGTGATCCAGCACCAAAGGGAGATAGAGCCGCCTTGGCTTCATCTGACACTCTCTCATTGCCAGGGATCCATCGTGAAGGATTAAAATTCTCGGGTTCTGGGAAGAGGGTCTCATTTCGGTGAATAGAATAGCTCTGCGTCGAGACGGTTATGCCGGCAGGGATATAGTAGCCAGAGAGCTTCACGCCGCCCTCTGGGACAGATCGCGGGAGCGAGCCAGGCGCTGCGCCGTACAGTCGCAAAGTTTCGGTTATGGTGGCATTAAGAGAGGGTAACAATTCGAGATCTGTCTCCTGGTAGTTGTTACTGAGGCTAGCGAGTTCGTTCTCCAACTGTGCGTGTAGTGTCGGGCGACACATTACCGCCCAAATTAGATACGTCAGTGTCACGGCCGTTGTATCGGAGCCGGCCATAATCAGGTTACCTGCTTCGATGGCAACTTCTTCATCGCTCAGTGACTGATCCCGCGCTGACTCGTGTACTAGGCCGGAGAAGATATTATGGGCAGATTCGCTGTTCTTACGGCTGTTCGTCACAGCGCGTCGACTGTACTGCATCAGATATTCACGGGTGTTGAACATATCGCGGAAGGTCTTGTATGGTACGAGAGGGGCGATATATCGAACGAGGGGGATCTCAGCCGCGATGCCAGCGCCGTTCATTGCTAACTTGAGAATACGGATGTACTGGTTATTCTGCCCAGGCATGAGACCCTCTCCATTTGCATCACGAGCAGGTTATTACGTACCTTTCCCTTTCTCAACATGTCTAAGGACTCGCCAAACCCTAGATGTCCAATGACATCCGTCGTGAGAAGCTTCGCCCATTTCAGGATATCACACTTGCCAACCTGCACAAGCTCATTCTGAATCTGTGATATGGCCAGTTGGACCTTCTGTTTTACCACAGGCTCACAGGACGTGCGTAGGACTGATCACCCTAAGTGTTAGGGTAAGCGTTTAGGTTACTTAGGGAGCTACTTATGTTCGCTTGGTGAGCTACCCAGGGCGGCGAGGTGATTAACTGATTCTGTGCTCTACGAGCTGATAATTTCCCGAGGTAGCAGTTTTACCGTCACCTAGATTTACAAAATAACAAACAAAAGTCAAACAAATGAAACAACGTGCCAAAGTGATATCCAGTGAAAGGACAAGAAAAAAGTAGAATAGACCGTCAATGCCTTCTTATACTTCCTTCCCCAGGGTGAGAGAAGAAGTACATCCAACCCAACATTCATAGAGGTAATCCAGAAGAATACGGTCACAGCATCCAGTGCTTAAAAAAACCTTCTCAATTATGAGAGCGCATCCTCGATATACTCTGCCTGGGTCTCATCGCCATTGTTGTATCCGAAGGACTTGTAGTACTTCTCCTTGACTTCCTCGAAGGGCTTGCAGGCGTTGATTCCGGAGTCCTGTAAAACAAAAAGAGTTAGATATTCGTTATGAAGTAGGAGGATGGTGTATGACATACCCCATTATCAGAATTGCAGCACATCGGGGCATATCCCTCCGCGTCACACGCGTTCGGAGAAATGTCATCAGCCATAGCCTTGCCTATAAGTTGAGTAAACATTATTAGCATGTTATTCTCTCGGCCTCCATTGATACTTCCGAGCCAGTGCTAGAACAGTAGATGGATGCAGACATACAATCGAACGAGACTTTCGAGCTAACAGAAATACCCCCAAGAGCCGGAACGAGTTTTCCAACGTTGTCGATGAGCATACGCGATGTCTGTTGAAGAGACATGCAGCATCGCTTGAACTGCTTTTCAGGGCACTGGTACGCCCCCACTGGTGTCATCAAAGGGGATGCCACGGGAGAGGCCTGCGACGGAGCCGCGATGGCCTGCGTGGGAGTAGGAGCGGCCACTGAGTTTCCCGCTGCAACAGGGACGGCGGCAGTGATGGTGATAGTTGCGAGGGTGTAGAAGAGCGTAGGGAGATGCATTGTGACTGCCCTGTTATCTGATGTATTGTTTTCTGGACTTGTAGTTTTATAGGGTGAGGTATAAGCGGTCCTGTAGAGAGTGTGTTGTGCGGTTAAACCTCACACGACTGTCGCTGGTTAAGCAGTATTTTTATTTGAAAGGATTGTCTCGGATGGAGTGGTCGGATCCAAAAGAGTGTAATAGAGCGTGATGTGTATATGAAGGCCCGTTAAATGAACGACGAGAGCTGGGCGAGAAATTGGGGTGTCGAATGGCGTGTTTTTTTAGTTGTCGACGATGGTTGTAGTAAGTCGACTGGGTATGGGCGAAAGGCAACAAAGGACCCTTGGGCTGCCAGAGGCTTGCGTGCTTGGGCGTTTCAACCCTCGCAGTGCTCAGTCCAGATAGCCCTGTCGGGGCTTGTTGGCCGAAATTACCGATACCCACGCAGTGTTGTGTACTGTTTTGCTCCCTTGAGTCGCAATTAAGCCCTTGTTACTTGGTCAGGGGATTCCAGGGCATGGGGTTCCAATCTGCTCGAAAAATTAATCATCTCCTCGTTCTCGTTGGCCAGATGGGCTCTCTGAATCAGTTGGAATGTTAAACAATAGTATTTATGAGTTTGCATTATTCTTATTGGTTCTAAAGGGTTGTGTTGCGTCGCATGTCCGCGTGTCGGCTGTTATAAACTCGAACTGATGACCGATTGTGGACTGCCGAGTCAATATTCTAGATTTCCCGCTCCAATTGTAGCATCCAGTCACTACCTATTTGACATTAAGCATGTATACAATTCTATTTCATGTGCACGAGGAGCTTTGCGAAGCAATACCTCTAGAGCGTAACCAATTGAGCTCACAATCCACGAAGGATGCAAGGGATACCGCGGAGGAATGAGCCGTCAATCCACTCGTTGCCCCCTTGCCAACTAGGGGCACTCGTGCCTTGTTCCTCTCTGCAGGAACAACTTTGCGCCGCGGTTTTTTCACAATTGGTTCATCGTAATAGCCAAGACTAAGTATCGTTGATCGATCGGGTCCGCGAGTGATTCGCGTAACGTGATCGAGCAATTAGGGTTAGATCATAGGATAGTCTCTCATAAGCTTCATGGAGTGACACGATCATTGGGTGGCACTAATTTTCACCGTTGTCGCGGTATTTACTTTTGTTGGGAAAATCTACAATCATTTCGAGGTGAAATGCAGGACCCTGTACAAGCTACGGTAGTTTGGAATACAAATTGACGTTCCAGTATCAAATGAAAAAGGTTCAGCTGGTCATGAATGGTGTACAGTTTGTGATGCCAGTATGCTGGGTAGGAGGTAACAAGAGTTATAGGTATACAGGGGGTCGTGGTCGTAAAGAGCAGACGTTTTCTCGAGGGGACAAGATCGCGTCTCCGGTCGAGATGTCAGTGGTCATCACATGGGTACATCCATGGCAAAACAAAACATAAGCAATCATCCCATAAAGGGATGGGGAGGGTGGGAAAACATCGTCGCTCGCTCGCTCAAAGGAATCGCAGGGAAATAATGTACAGCCTGTATGTCCCCTCACAGAGGGAATGGCAGGGTTCAGAATAAAGCAACAATGATACACCGGCTGTTGGGGCCGTAGAAGTGGAAGAGGACGGAGATAGACCGTGCGAATGGAACATCATTTGTAGACTGCTCTATGTCCAGAAACGAACGCCGAGCCAGCCACAGGATTCTGAAAAAGAGTAATAAAACGAGCGTGGAGAAAAGAAGGGGAACACGGGGGCATCAGGGTAAGATCCATATTGGGTCTTACCTTTTTTTGCAGCGGTTTTCTGATATCATTGTGGATGGGGAGGGGATAGGTCAAGGCAGAGATAGGTTCGCTGTTGACAAGGTTCGCCATTGCAACTCGATCAATGTTCCTTGTGAGAAGGGCTTTGCAAAGTAAGATGTCCATGACGGTAAAAGCAGACGGGGACATTGTGGGGTGAGAGTGTGGAAAAGGAATGACCACTTCATAGTGACTCGACTCTCGTCGGGGACACAAAGAAATGCAAGGCTTGAAAACGCTATACCGCTAGGAAAGCATGAACTGCGCATTCTCGCGCGGCTCATCGAACTCCGTCAAAAAGAAGAAAACTCCGCCTCCGGGCGAACATGAGCGGGAGGGAACGTGTTTCTGATGAAATCTCGTCATGTTGCACCATGGAACTCCAGATGGGTGTAGTCAAGGCATCATAACGGTTGTATCATAAGAAGAGACCGCTACTTTCAAGTGTTAGCAATATATCTTTGGTAGACATAAGACGATGTCAGGGTCAACATACCTCCAGATAGGCTAGCAGTCTAATATCGAGACGTCTTGGCGTCGTTGGGGCTTCGCATGGGCTTCTGGCTAGGTTGCTGGTGAGCTGCATGGCGAGTGGCAGCAGCAGCACCGGCTGAGGTAGGTGGAGCGCCATTGGCTTGATGGGCAAGGACACCATTGCTCGAGGTGCCACTGCGATCACTGTTACCGCTGCTTTGGCTACTACGGCTGCTGGAGCCGCTATGGCTGTTGCTGTCATCAAGGTCGACAAAGGAGGACATTTGACGCTGCGTATACTCCAACATGGTACGGTTATAGTCCTCGAGGGTGATTCGAGGATCCGTAGACCGTTGGGTCTCGACATGGTTCCCATGAGAGGGACCAGTCCCTCCTGACTCGTGAGGGAACATGCTTCGAATGTTATCCGAATGCTGATGCATTTTGTGGCCTCCAGTTATGGTGGGAAATGTCTGGAGGTGACGATGTGAGTAGACTGAAAGCCTAGGTGGGTATCCGTTAGATAGGTGTTGATCGAGGGGTAGGTAATTGTGAAACAAGTCGATAGCTCAAGGCTTTAGCAAATCATGATGGTGATATCGCTTTGGAAGTTGGGATGTAGTTGAGGATGGGTAGGAAAAAATGGGGAAAGGCGGAGGCACGTTCTAAGTAGTAAAGGGCAAGGAAGCTTGGCAGAGGAGAGGTTCATGAATAGCGTACCTTTGGAAGTGTAGACCTGTTTCAATCGGCTATGGAAGAAACAGAACCAAAGTTGAAGAATGATGTAGGTTATTTCTAGTGTGGGAGAGAATATTGTGCTGCGGGTGCGATGGGGCCCAGCGTTAAAGGAGTCAATCGGGCGATGGGGCGGCAATCACAGGGTTTAGGGCATGTACGCGGGGGAGACCTGTGGACATATGGTTTGGAAATATGATTTAGATTCGAGGCATATATATAATAGAACCGTGACTGTATAAGACGAATGAGATCACTGCGGATGATCGAGAATGGCAAAAGAACGTCCGCTCGGGGCCGTTGCTGATAGGTCCATGAGTATAAAGGTTATAGGTTCCATCATCTCCTGAGACGGTCCATGGGCGACGTTCAAAGACAGAATTCATTAGTTACTGGACCCAGGTGCAGTGACATCATTGGCTGAAGAAGAGGGGGGAATATAGTAGAAGTGGATGTATGGATTTCCTTCGTGTGAGGCTAAGGCTAGACGACATCATAAGCAACTGCGGCCTTACCCTCCTTCACGCTTCGACAGTCCCCACCGGCTCGCGATAGACGTTCCGTTGCCGCTGCGGCACTGTCGCTCATGGTTAGGGGGCAAGTGGAGATGATTATCATCATGGCATAATCCACCTCCACATCTCTATGAGGAGGGGAACGGCCGCTCGTTACGGACCACACGCGAATGGACCACCACCTCCTCTCGATGAGGTCACTTGGGAATGCGCGAATGGGCCAGATGGACCGAATGGACCAGTTGAGCTGAGATCGGCAGACGGAAGTTGACCATCCCCTGCAGATCTTCCTCTGACGTCTCTGGACCGAATCATAATGGCGCAGGACAGGCCATAACCTTGAACATCGAGCCTCCCTTGTCGTCTTTGCGTTTTGGCTACTGCAGCGGGACAGACTCCAGAGCGTGTTGAATGGCAGCGGAAATGCGAGGTGGATGTACCCGGTGGAGAGCTACAGCCACAGTCAATCCACGCTAGTTTCACGGGAAGGATTCCACTGATTCCACTGCTGGATAGTTTCAGAATGATAATGTTAGAAAATACCAGGCGGGGAGAAAAGAAATGAAATCCAACGAGGGTCAATTGGAGGGCCTGGATCCATCGTTGGCTTGAGAATGGGGCCGATGATCAGCTTCCTGACGTCCCATGGCATGTCCCCGGCGATATATGCCCATCGATCTGTTTCTTTTTAGTTCTGCAAGTTCACAGATCAATCACAATTATTGGAAAGTACTGTCTCATTCCCTCGACAGCCATTCTCTGCAGTATTCCGTATTGCGGCAAAGGTCGAGGAGCTGAGGCTCGAGTGGAGTCGGGCTGAACACCATAACGTCATCCCCCCAAAGGTCGGGGCGATCCGCGCTTCGATCTGGCCTTCTGCTTTAACTGTGATTATTATTCCTACTATTGCTGGTCTTGTGATTCAGCCAGCCAACGACCTTGACGAGATCGTCCTAGACTTTTAGAGGCGTGATAGGCGTGAACTACATTGTAACAGACGAACTATCATGTCAGAAATGGCGCCTATATACTACCACCCTAGTTTCCAGCCCATCCCAGCAGCTCCTGCTACTCCTGACGGTGCACCGATCGACCAGACCGATCGCCCAAAATTGAATTAGCAAAATGGCCACAGTGGATATGGGAACACCGTCATAAGATCTTTGATTGGATGCTGTCTTTCCCTCTTGTTTCCTCCTCCACGGGTTGCCTCATAGGGACACCTGAGGCATGAAAGGCACCTGACGTCAGAAGCCCTGAACGGGTGATTTGAATACTCGAGACTGTTGTCGAGACTGTATATTCACAATAACCAGCCATGTGATTGAATTGGTTTAACTACAAGAACAATTTGACCTTGAATGATATGATAGATAGTTGCTCACTAACACGAATGGAATTATACGTCCCAAGTATGCCATATCAATCAAATCAGTACCAACGTAGGTCAGATATATACAGATGCCAAACGCTCCGAGTATACCTCACGATGTGGCGATTTCCATCCAGTCCTAGAACCAACCTCCCACCTTGCATGATGTATACCACAAATGGAAAAATAATCATGCCGCGAAAAGAATTTCATGGAATGATAGCCCCACTCAAGCTCTCTCACGAACTACAGAGCACAGTACTGCGCTCAAAGAGGCTGGATCTAAGCAGAGCAGAATATCATTACGGCCAGTCAAGAGCCCTGGCTTGCCAAGAGCTCTAATAGTGCAGTAGATTCCGAATGATCGACCATTTGTTAAACCTACCATAGCGGGGGAGGCAAAAGAAGTGGATAGACTCGGAAAGTATCATTTCGTGCGCACGGGGAGTACCCTCTTCCTACAATCTCCACTCCCGTAGCTCTCCACTTGCAGAATGGGGTCATTGTTCCTATCAGATAGGTTCTCGGAAACTGTCTCCTTCAATTTTTCTTTCTGTTCCTTGGGAGGCGTAGGGTTATAATGTTTGTCGTCTGCCCCTGTCCTCAATGAAGGCGATAATGCGACGTGGGATATGAATGTTTGCAGAAACTCTCGAGCAGAAGGCTAATTGATGGATCGAGCGTCATTCGCTATAACATCGACAATGAACCCTGTGATCACCACTGTAGTCTTATCGACCAATTCTGTTAATGTCATTAGAACGAGCTTCCCAAAAAGGTAAACTAAAGGTTATTTGGCGAATAATCCCAATTGGGCATATTGATAGTAGCCAAAAAGCAAAGGATACCCTGATGATATCAGTACTAGCACTAGATGCGTTGTGCAAGGTTGCAGCTCAAAGGAAACTAGTCGAGTAGGACCCCCGTTCTATTGTACATGCTGTCTTTTTTGGGACTTCAGAGGGTATCAGACCTGACAGTATCCTAAATACAAAGCTGAAGGGACGCATACTAGTGATGAGAAAATGAAACTCGGTCCCACCGGGTCCCTGCCAAAGCGCTTCACCCACTAGATAATTCTACATTGGATTCTTGCGTCATACAGGGAGTCTTCCCGACCGTTACTCGTGGAGAATATGAACGTATTACCAGTATCCAATTCTCCAAAAAAGATTATAATCATAGTAACATCAAGACGCCGCTCTGACACCAGCACATATCCCCTTGCCCGTGAAAGCAGGGTTATCATCCCAGTGAGATCATTCTACAGTCTGAGTATTGAGAAGAGTACTTCTAACTGCGCCGCAGTAGACATATCGCCTATTCCTATAGCCGACCTTGTCGCCATCATGCCAGATATGGAGGCAAATATGACGATCCAATCCAGCCGACTCGTCGGTGGCTGCCCTGGCCGATGATATCACTCCTCCCGAGCTCAACGGCTGCATGCGACAGACTGAGGATACGAGCATGTCAGTATAAACTTTGATTCATGTTTAACACCGTAGAAAGAGTAAGATGAAATCATTCCAACGATCGGACAATTCTGTCTAAATGAAGATGAAACATGTCGAACCACGGCTAACGTGGTTGAACGTCATGTGTACCACGTATCCATCCTCGTATGAAAGTCATCGGCTTCGTCTGTACGCTGGCCAGTCTCAAGTCATCTCCTTGCCATGATGGTATATTTCTGTAATTCTCATGCCGGGGGCCATTGTTTAATGCCCGATAGAAGTGAGCTATCATGGTGGTCTTGTGTGCATATCGCCACGACAAGGGCGATGGCCCAGAACCCTCGAGAAACCTGTTTTGGTCTAGAAACACAACGTCTAGTCACACATGGATAGCCCTCCCAAGCGCAACTTCAATGGGAACTCCATTTAGTATCTTCATTCTCGACCTACTATCTAAGAACTCGTCATGCTGACCGGCAAACTCGGTCGTCGTGCGAACAGTCCGTCGGCGAAAAGTGACCCTGGCCATCGCTAGGGCCTCGGCTGTGCATCGCCGTCCGGCCTGGACCTCCCACGATGATGACCAGAGCATCAGGTTTTCGATGTCTTTGCTATGTAGCCGCATATATCACTAGTCCACCCTCTCCCCATTAGACTGCGGTATAGTCTTAACCTACCCCAGCTTGAGTCATCAGCATAAGACTCTACCCGCAGAAAAGATAATCAGAAGAGGGGACCAATGTATGTCATGCAAAAAACCTGTTTTCGGTTCAATTGAAAGATGAATGTTTCTAGTAGGTAGCCTATTATAGCATGAAAGGTGGATACACTAGAACAAAAGACACGCCAGGGGGATTTTGCTCCAAGAGAGAAAAAAGTAAATGCATCATATTATTGACTTCATGCTCATCACACGTAACCTAGTAAAGACGTTAGTATCGAGTCCAATCAGATAATCAGAAGAAACAGAATATAGTCAGTATCCCCCAAAGTAGAAAAACGTACCCTTCCGTGCGCCCTGGAAGAAGAAGCGCACCACAAACACCTGCAAAGCAGCCATAGAAACCATCATCAAGCTCTCAATCACACTGAAGTTGAAAATCCGACGCTCGGTGCTGCGGACAGTGCTGAAGTTGCGGTTCTCGCGAGTACGGAAGTACTTCTGGTTACGGGAGATGGTGGATAGCTGTGCGGAGAGCTTGTAGATGGACTCTTCGAGGTTGGTGGTTTGCTCGGGGCTGGCACCCTGGCGGGAGGGGAGTTGGGCGCGCTGCTCGTTCTCGACCTGGAAAAGTGGGATTTAGTAAGATTTCAAACCAATTGAGTGATGAATTAGGACGGAATTGGGGGGAGTGTAGAGAACATGTTGACGCTCGGATATGCTTCTGCGGGGAGGGTAAACAACGTACGGCAATCTCGAAATCGACCATCTTCTCGGCAAACGTGGACATCTCATTGTTGAAGCAGAATGAGTACTCGCCGATGCTCTGCGCCGTGAAAACAAAGTCGCCCTGGCGTTCCTTTGTGCCATCCATCACGATCTTGCCGCCGGGTGCGGTGACGGTGTAATCAACATCGAAGGAACCACCGGATTGGACCTACACAAACACGCAATGTTAGTTACTGCCGATCGGTCTAACATTGCAGAGCGGATAGATGTCTCTAGCAATTGGAAAAAGACAACTTTGACAAAGTACTGACCGCAAAGTAGAATGCCACCTTGGCGTTAGACTGCTCAACGTTGGTGTAGAAGCATGCCTTCTCGTTGGCCTCGAGCCTATACGTCAGAGCAGTAGCACTGACGGAGGAGACCAAGGAGGCCAGGCCGGCGAGGAGAGCGAACCGCATAATGCCTGGAGGATGGAGATATGGTTGACGGGGAAGATCGCAGGGTCTCGGGGAATCGCGTGTCAGGAGTTCTGGCCAGCCTGGAGAGTCGGTGTTTGTTCCGTTTGCACCCAAACAACCGGTCTCATAAACTTGATTGGTTCTCACTCTCTACTCTTTATACTTTATGGGATATACGTGGACTTGATAGAAATAGAAGGGGGAAAACAAGAAATTTAAAATTGGAAGAGAAGGAAAAAAAAGAAACATAATTATCGCATCAAGCTGTCAACTGCTCATGTACCGGATCGCAGCTTCGAGCCCGCCCGCAAAAACGCCCCCCGGAAATGACTTTATCGAATGAAGAAGCTCTCGCTCTTAGCCCATAATCCGCGACTCTTGCTAGGATGGTCAAGACCCAGGTAGTCATCAGGACCGATCACATCAGCGAGAATGTCATCTAGAATCATGGTCAGCAACTGCACTCGCTAACAAGCCCAGACACGGATTTGGGTTGGGTATGCTTACCATCTTCAAGATACTTGGGGGCCGTGAACGACGCACGGGCGACGACGGCAAACTTAGTCTTCTCAAACGGCTTGCCCTTGAGACCGGTGCGCTTGGAAAGACGCTCCTTGGTCTCCTTAAAAATCTCACCCTGCTAGATAGTTAGTCATCTTGTAACTAAACAATCAAAGGATTGACGGCTGTAGCACTCACCGGCTTCACAACAAACTTGAAAGGAACCCCATGAGTGCGGTTAGGCTCCCGGTCAAAGTTGAAGGCGCTAACCAATCGATCGTCGCCCTCCATATTGAGCTCCTCGGCTGGTGCCCTCGCCGCATAGAGCGTAGAGAACTCATTGATGACTGACACATTAGTGTCTTCCTTGAACTCCTTATAGAGCTTGCCGCTTTGAGCCTCGAAAAGTCGGATCTCTTGGATAGCCTTTTCATCAAGGTTGGCCTTCTTCTGTAAGAGTCCGAGAAGGTCGGCAACGGTACCGTTACGCGACACCATAACCTCTACTAATTCCTACAAAAAGACTGTCAGTTGATCAAGTCATGAAGATCGAGCTGACTGACTTACCTCTTTCGTAATGCCCTCCGGCAGCAAAGTCACCTTGAAAGTCTTCTTGCTCTCGTAGTCACTTAAACTCATGTCCAATACCTCATAGAACAAAGCATCGGACCGATGCGCGGTGTACCCCCCATATGCACCATATTGGCCATTGAGGGTTTGAGCCAGGGTAGCGGTAGTGGTCCGCTTAAGGAAAGCCTTGGCCCCGCCGCCGGTGACCATAACGGGCGCAAACCGAATGTGAGTAGGCTCCACGTTCAAATGTTCGGCCACCTTCTTCGTCCACTGGTCATAGGTCGTCTTGCGGCTAAGCCCCAGGGTGAACCCATCACGATCATCCCCCTTCAGAGGGCGAAACTCGACGACTATGCGGTTGAGAAGGTAATCGTAGTATTGCCTGGCATCAGTGTAAAGAGCCGTCGACGGAAGCTCCGAGTCCTTCACGGTTCGCTGGAAAGTGATGATATCGCCATCCTGAATCTCCGACTGTTGGAAGGTCTGCTTGGGCTTCATCACATCGATCATATCGTGCTTGATCTCCTCAAACAGCATAAAGTCCGTCCCGGCAGGCCAATTCATCTTTGAAAGAATGGTGGGCGCCAAATCTTGCACCCTTTGGTTCTTGCGAACATGGATGGGGGCAATACCGGACAAGGTTTGGGTGTTCACGTCGAAGTTCTTCAGGAAAATCAAGACGAAATCATCAGAAGGCCATTCTTCGGGCTTCCCATTAGGGTCTAGAGGCGACACATCCATCCACAGTTGGAAAAGAGGGTCTTCCTTGCGGGGGTCCTTGCGGGCGGGGCTGCGGGGCCCGTACTTGATGCGAGCTTCCTCGACCGTCATTTCCATGTTGGTGAGGACCTGGTCGGGGCGGGTCGTCTTGTTTTGACGGCTAACCATCGTCCAGAACCGGATAGAGTCTACATCGATACCGCGCTCGTCGGCGATATCCTGTGCAATCTCGCCAAGTTTCTTAGTGCGAAGAATCCGGTATATATCCGGCAGACCAGGGTCTTCCATTGGAAGATCCAGGCTGGTCAGATCGAAGCCGTGGTGGTTTCGGAAAGTCTCTTCGGTCAAAACACCAAGTTTCATGTACAAATGAGCCGTATCCTTCTCTTTTTGTCTTTGCAACATTTCCGCTCGATCCTCGGCGACACGCTGTGCTAGAGTCAAAAGTTAGCGACGCTGGTTTGGAGTCCTTGAGTCATTTCGTTCTTACCAATGTGAGAGGGAACAGCTTCGTCGGTGATGGGGAGAAGGACGTTGTCCGATCGGGTCTTCCGAACATAAACCAACATGTAGGCATTCATGGACCGCTTGGTGGAGTACCTATGCGTGTAGGGCTGACGAACACCGGTTGTTCCGTTGGCGAATTCGTACTCTCCTCCATAGTTTTCTTCCAGAACCTCCTTCTCGGTAGCACGGTTGACCCGGTCATCGTCGAAGCGGTACCAGTGGCCATCCTTGGTCGGCTTCAAGAATGCATAGTAGTGGCCCGCATCGAGGCTACCGCTGTGGACGAGCACACCATGCAGCTCGTAGACCCAGGACTCCGACTTATCAGCATTGGCGGAAAGGTAAGGGGCGGCATCAAACTCCATCGGGAAGACATGGCGGTCATTGACCTTCATCATCGTCAGGGCATTAAGGTCGTATTCAAACCGTTTCAAGTGAAGATGCAGGACGGGTGGGAAGCTTTCAAAGATGACACCCTTCTTGGCATCCTGGAGCCCGTATGGAGCACCTGCATCATACTTGTTCTCGCCTTCCAGCGTCTCAACCTGGATGTAGTCCCGGAAGCTGTCATCCAGAGTCTTGTTTCCCCGAACGTTCAACTGGATATCCCAGAAATCTTCAATACGAGAGGACTCGTAATCGACATTAATGCAAGAGATATAAGTTTTGGTCTTTCCGACGAACAACTCAGGCAGGGCCTTTTCAGTAACGGTGCCCTTCATCTTCTCCTCCAAGCGCTCCATCAGCTTTCGCGACAGCTCTTGGACGTCTTGCTGCTCAAAGGCCTGTCTCGAATCCCAGCCAAAGGAGCCGGTCAGTTCAGTTGTTGCCACTGCCTTTTCCATTGTCTGAAGATTGTAGAATAGTCTTTGCAGGGTCCAAGCACTGTTCTCGCGAGAAGCATCCTGCTCTGTAGGGATATCGTATACAGCCTAGGAAGACAGTCAGAATGAACATAGACATCTTAGGGGAATTTTCAGTATCTACAAGAAACGTACCTTGCGGAAAGCATTGGTGAAATATAGAGATTGGAGAAGGGAGTTGAGGTAGCAAGTAGCACCCTGGTTGCGAAGGCCCACCATGCCGGTCTCCTTCTTGGAGTCGTAGCTGGAAACACTGTTAGCTCGAAAAATCTCGTCAAAAGCCTCATTGCGAGCGTAACTGACTTCTGGAAGCTGTGCCAGAGAACACCGGTAGGATCCTTGACCACGCGGACATAGGCAGTCACATTAGCCTCCTCATCCTGGACGAGCGGAACATTCTTGTCCTTCCACGCTTCGTTGAACAGACTCCGGAGGTCATAGAATCGAGTGAAACCCCAGTCGCCCTCATCAGCAGTGAATCGATGGGTTGCAACTAGTTTTCAGCGGTTAGTCTATCCGATTTCACCCAATGGCACCAGACCAAAGTATAACCTTACCATGGGAGAAGTAAATTGAGGGATCCTTCACATTCGACAGAACCAGTGCAAATTGTACACAGGCATACCAGTTCTCTGGCTGCTCGCCTTCCTCTGCATGTTCAAGGTAGAGCGAAGCGTGCTCCGAGTTGTTTCCGTATGGGAAGAAGAGAATGCGCCTAATCTTGGATCAGAAATGTGCCCATCTTTTTTTCCTTCTTCGAGCGATCCGGGAGGAGAACTGGTACCCACCAAGACGACCCGCCGCACTTGAAGATCGGACCGTGTGACTTTCTATCCATCTTCCTCCAGTTCTCGATGTGCCATGTGTTGTACACCTCTTCTAGGGTCTCAAGGTCAGGGTTCTTGGGGAGGACTCGCGCCATCATTGCCGTATCTAAGACAAGGTTGCAGACCTCGGTCAGCCATCTTCTCCAACATCGTAGCCCCAGAATGCAATTTATTCCGCAACCCTCCCAGCTGAGCGATCCCAAAGCTCTTTCGGTCGGATGAGATTGATTTCTCTCAGGTTTCTCATGCCGGCTTCGTTCTCGCTTTGAGGTCGGCCAGGGAGGGCAGGCAGGGCAGAGAGAAAAGAGGTAGACTCGGAATGAAGACATGAAAGCAACGTACGGTCAGCGGCGGACAGCGTAGGCTCGGGCTCATCGGAGCCCGAGCGGGAGACAACGACGACATCGGTCTTCTCATTGGAATATTGCTCATAGTCGTCGACCAGCATATCGTTCTCCGCGAGCTGGGTTGTTGAGAGCACGGTTAGATCTGCAATGACGACACACGCGAGGGGCACGGTCGGCACGGGCAAAGGACACAACGGCAACTCACGTTTTCCATGGCGAAGGGGACCCTCCCGTCCAGCCGGAAGGCGCCTGGTCGGAATGAAGGGAGAGAGTGTTTTAATGGGGGGAAGAAAGTGAGGGAGGTCAGAACGGGAGCAGGACGGAGTAGTCGTGTTTGTCGGGAGGAATTTCTTCTGGACCAGCAGAATGAGAGAGGGTCCGAAAGCTAGCGGTGGCGGAGCCCGTGGAGACTCGGCAGTGATTTTGTTTCCCTCTTGACAAGGACAATGGTCGAAGGGGGGAATAAGTGAGAGAGATTTGAAAAGTGAAATATGATGATTTGAAGAGAGTTATCAGATACTTGGAATCTCTCTTAGTTTTCAAGAAGGGTTTATGATCAAAGAGAGTTCTGGCGGGTGCAAGACATATGAAGAGCGTTGGCTGACGGTGTGGTGGTGGTGGTGATCTACTTGCTGCTTTCTCTTGCAGCCACTCACAGCTGGTTAGCTCACTAGTAATATTAAGATTAATTATAGATATAGAAAAAGGTATATAAGTCTATTTAGATTTCAATGAATACTCTTACTAGATAGTCTTTTAGTATATGTTTATATTAGTTGGTTTATATAGGCAACCTATTCAAAACGTCAGACCCTAGTGGCCAGCCACGACACTAACGGTCGCCTTACCCCAGCACTAAAAGAAAAAAAAAATGGAAATTCTATAGAGTCATTAACCAACCACAAAACAGCACCTAATAGAAGAATCCAACCACATTCAAACATCATAATCTCCTCTACTTTGTACTATTCAATTCTCTAAACTCGGCCCAAGGAAGCTTTCTCCACGTCACATGCCTCACCGCCCTCCAAAGCGGGCAGCACATGCAAACAGCTCGTTTCTCCTCACTTTCCCAAATCGCCCATCGCATGGCTCCTAGCTCTCCCCCAGACTGACTGGGACTGCATGGAGCACAATGCGGTCGAGTCGTCCTGCCAGATGCTGGAATAGCCTCCGTGCTCCCCAGCTGCGCTTTTACTCCAATGTGCGGGAGCAGCAACCGCCGCCGTGGCGGCCCGTCTCCGCTTTGGATGAGTATGATTCACGAGCTTTGCCCGGGTGGAATATGTCAAGACTAACTCGCCCAACCTTGGATATAGATGGGTTGAACGTCAAGCCCGACCTATTAGTCTGCGCCAGTTGACTTTTTTCGGTCGTACCTTGACCGAACCTCGACTCATTAGCTCGGCAAATTACGTGCGGACCGAGCTACCTACTCGGTATGTCCAGTCATGGGATGGGATGATAGTTGGAGCTTCATAAAGAGTGTTGCATGGCTAACTTTTGGTCATTGATGTAGTCTTGCACATCGTCTACGAGATATCCAGCAACTGCCCTACGTGGTCGTCGCCAACCCGCACCTATCCCTCGTCTACGAGCTATATTATAAGGCATTTGAACGGTTCCGAGTGATCCCCGAGATCTGCAGCCTTGACGATAATGACCGGTTCTGTGATGTCCTTCGAGAGATGCTGAGAGAGCACCTAGTGGTGATCCCCAACCTGGCAATGGGGGTGCTAGAGTGCCGTGATCTCGTGGCGCCGAACGAGATGGACAAGTTTATGAACACCCTCCTGCGAGCGGTATGTCTCATAACCCCAAATTTCTAGAAATACAGACAGTGAAACTCACCTCCCTCATAGAGAATCTCTCGGCGTGTCATTGCAGAGCAACACCTCGCCCTCACCGAGACTTTCAACTCGCCATGGCATTTCCCAGACTCCCATGAACGAACTGATATGAATGCAGACTTTGTCGGTGAAGTCTTCCTCAAATGCAAGGCCAAACAGGTCGTGGAAAGATGCGGACGAGTTGCACAGGACCTCATGCGCCAGACCTCGCAAACCGCGCAGCTTCCCGAGATCAAGGTCCAGGGTCATCTGGATGCCACCTTCCCGTACATCCTGAGTCATCTGGAGTACATTGTTGGGGAATTGCTGCGCAACTCGGTACAGGCCGTGGTCGAGAAATATCACGACTCGTCGCAACCACCACCGCCCATCGAAGTGTTGATTTGCGAAACGCCGCAACACGTGATTATGCGCATCTCCGATCAGGGCGGCGGGATCCCGCGGGAGATCCTCCCGTATCTGTGGTCCTTCAGCAAGGGACCGCGCACGCAGTCTCGGCTAGAGAATCTGGGTCAAGTCCCCGCCATGGCTGCAACCATGCAGGAGCTGAAAGTGTCGGAACGCAAGTATGATCGTGAGGCCTGGTACGAAGGGTCACTCGACTCGCTAACGTCGCGACCACCGAATCTGCGACTGGGCATGGGACTGCCGATGAGCCGGGTGTATGCCGAGTACTGGGCAGGCAGTCTGGAGCTGCACAGTCTAGAAGGGTATGGGGTAGATGCCTTTCTGCAGATCTGCAAGTTGGGGAACAAGAACGAGCAGGTAACGACACGGGCGGCCATCGACGCGGTGTGAGGGGTGTTTCTCTCTAGTCATGACCTGGTTTTTGTCGTTCGCCTCTTGTATTCCCCTAGTATCGGCTATTTCGGGTATGTACTTTTCAAGAGGTGTGCACGGGATTGAATAAAGCACCTTGTGTGACCTCCCAAGTACATACTGTATATCCTTCTACCCAGTCCAGAGTACTCGCCCTCTTGGGAGTGGGAATGACGTCAGTGGGACAATCGGCCAATCGGCGTGCAGCCCCCGAGATGAGCTCCTCAGCCCTACGAAGTACTGTGCAAGTTTCTCGGTTTACAACGAGCAAAGCACGTACTACCGTACTGCACTTGTACTACGTTAGTCACTACGGAGTACCAGGGCATTTCAGGGCCTGCGAAGTCGCCTGCCAAGCTTATTACGTTGATCCTTCAATCCCAACCTTACCACAGACAGGTCGCAGGAGCCTGGCACCACCACTGACGTCTTTGCCGATCATTCGATCATGAAACGCCTTGACTATTCCCCCAAAGACGATAACATCCCTATTTATATCTTCCTCCTCCTCTTTGCCATTTTCCTCCTCAGTTTTCTAGCCACGGCCGATTTTGAACACTCTCCCGACCCCGACTCGACTTAACTGCGACTACTGCATCTCATCTACTACCACCTATTTAAATTCGCAACTCTTCCTCGGTCAACTTCGTCATGGCGGGCACTTGTTCAATGCTGTGTTTGATCATTATCACTATCTTCAGTACGTTAACACCATCCTCCCTGCGATCGCTTTCTTCGGGCGCGATTCTCGGTTTCTCCTGCGCAGCTGTGCTGTTCGTGGACGAGAGTTTTCTGCTGCCTAGACGCCAAGCACCAGCAAACAAGGTTACCTGGCTAACTTTGCTATAGTCCCTCCACTGGGCGTCTTTCTCATTTCCGGCTGTGGCGTCGATTTCTGGATCAACGTTCTTCTAACCATTCTCGGGTGAGTCTACACTCTAGTTATCAACGGTGTCTACATGGACTTTTATCTCTACCGCTCTCCTCATATCTCCATACATTCCAAGGACACCGGCTAATTTTATCGTGCTACAGATACTTCCCCGGACACATCCATGCCTTCTACTTGGAATATGTGTACTATGACCGCCGCAATCGGGATCCTATAACTCGCGCAACTCAGCGACCTGCGCCGGGCGTGTACTCGGATCGCATTCAAAGCGGTGGTCACTCGCATGCGCGCAACTACGGCACCGTCTAAGCGACTCGACCGAATCACGTTTCGCGTGCGATTATAATGTGTTTTTGTCCTTGCGGTTCTGGAGCGATTGGTCTTTTCCTACGCGCTCTTGTTTACTCTATGCCTAGTCAGGTGTAGTGCGAGCTACAACAAACTATCCTGTACTTTGATTAATTCCGATTACCCCAATACCAAATATCATCCTAGTCCGATGAATGACATCAAACCTCTTGTAACGGCCGCCAGGTAACTGGGAAATAAACCCATAATCTTGTATTCATATAAAATCAAAGCATCCTTTTCCCAAAAGTCCCAAGTCCAAAATAATGCGACCTTCAATACAATACACACTCCACACTCTCAACAGATGCCCCCTTCTTACTGCGCACTCGCCTGCCCCGTCTGCCCCTCAACCTTCTTCCCCTTCAAAGTGGGGAAATCAAAGCTCTCACTACTCACAATCTGACCCTCCGTCCTAGGCACCGCCCCCGTCGCAGGAGCCCACCACAACGCCCCAACCCACGGCTGCACATTCCAACCCACCGACAACGTCACATTCGACCTCTCCGCCAATCGTCCCGTAATATCACTAATCTGATACTTCCCCTTCTGCCCCCGCAACCGCAGGACACCCGGCGTCTCAGGCTCAGCCGTCTTCTTATTCTTTGCAGCGCTAGTCTTGGTCTTGGTCTTGGTCTTGGTCCTGGCAGCGCGCTTAGCGTTGGAGGACTTGGTCAAAGCAGAAGTGATAGAGGAAGGAATCAACGCGGTAGCTTTTTCCTTCAGAATATCCCAGGAATACGGCGATGGGGAGGCGGGGATGATAGAGTCCCAGATTATAGCTTCGGAGGCACGGGTTTGCGTGTTTGCGTTGTCGGAGGAGGAGTAGGTGGCGTAGACGTAGACGAAAACTTGTTTTGTATTCCAGTTGAAGAGGGGGGAGAGGTCTGCGTCGAGGTCGAAGCGGATTTGGGCGTATTCTTCACGTTTGGTGGAGTAGTAATGTGGTCGGCCTTTGACGCTGTTTTGAGGCACGGGGGAAGTAATTAGCTTCGTCTCCAGCAAGATTGATAGCTTTGTAGCTGTTTGATGCATTCTGCTGCAAAGAGCATAGTGCAAAATAGCTATTCAGAGAGTATACTTACACCTGGACATTCTTCAGCTGCACCGACGCCGTCGTTGTATCCGTGGGAAACAGGAGCACCGAGAGCGCGGCGAATCCGGCCACCACCAAAGCGACGGTGGTGAAGAAGCCGAAGACGGCTTGTAGACGATTAAGGGATGAATGCATGGTGGGTGCGGCGAAGTGGGTGTAATTGTCCACACGAGATCCAAATCCGCGGTGGTGGTTTGGGTCAAGGGTGGAGATGAAGCCAGCTGGGCGTGTTTGGGGCTTATCGGGCTTATCGCGATAAGCTTGTATACAGTTCCGAGTCTCTTACCTCGGAATGATCTTGCCTCTTCCACGATTGCCACGATTGTTGTTTGAATTTTATTCTACATTCGTTGTCGGATACTAGAAACACTTAATCAACGTTGATCTACCGACTGCGTTTCTGCAATACCACCTCATCATGGGCGACCACATCCTCTTCTGCTACGGTATTTACCCCGAGTCATAACTATCCAACTAAACATGACACACCCCCAACCCTGAATCAACCTCCAGTCAAACTCTCACACTAACAATATCCCAGGAACCCTAATGGCACCACAAATGCTGCACCGCGTAATCCACGGCAGTCCCACTCCAGAACCGTGGCAAAAAGCACTCATCCGCTTCCAACCCGCCCTGCTCCACGGCTATCGACGCCATCGAGTGCGGGGCGCAGACTATCCGGGTATCGTGGCCGAGTCCGACTCAGAGTCTACAGCCGTTCTAGGCGTACTCGTCTACGGTCTCACAGATGGTGACATCTATCGACTAGATAAGTACGAGGGGGGCGAGTATGTCAAGGAAACTGTCAAAGTGCGCACGTTGCGTGCGTCGGAGGGGGCGTCGAAGGAGGACGGGGAGGTTACTTCCGAAAGACAGTTGAGGAATATGTTAGTTGCTGCTGGGTCGCAGGTTGTTGATGAAGGGGAGGAAGTTGTGGCTGCTACTTATGTGTGGATTGCGGGGAAGGAGAGGTTGGAGGAGGTGGAGTGGGATTTTGAGACGTTTAAAAGGGATAAGCTTGCGTGGTGGGTTGGGGCGAAAGAGAGTGAGTGGTAGATGGTTTGTAGATAGACTGTACATAGAGAGTATGGATGCATATTAAGAATTGTTTCAGTGGGTGAATAGTTCTATTTAGGCATAGTATACTCGGTAGAGAAGGGCATTGCACTGCAATGCAGATATCTATCTCATGTATTCATGAAAACGACAAATCACGGATTACAAGTCTTTTAGACTCGCTCAACGCCTCTATCCCACACCGAAAAGCTATTTGACATGCAAACCCGGAACAAAAGGGGGAAATAATAAACAGAAAGAACCAGGTCAAGGAAATAAAAGCAGAAGCACCGCCACAGTAGCCTGGGCTATGCTTTGGATAAACACCACACCGGCCACAATGCGAAATAAGAGATAATGCTAAGAAGACATTGGAGCAAAAAGAAAAACAGATAGACTCTGACCGTATTCAAACCTTGCGAGTCAGGCCCCGTGGGCTCTGTCGTGGGCTCTGTCGCGGTTGCTTCAAGTTCTTTCGTGGAGGTGTTTGCGGGACTTGAATTTCAACTCGTGGGAATGAGGCCGGCTCCTCAGGGGCCAGATCGAGGTCTCGTGCAGTAGTGTTGTCGGGAGTCGTGGGCCCATTGCGCTCACGTCTGTTGCTGGGAAAATAATCCTTGGCCTGTTTGAATTTATTCTTCTCCGCGCGGCCGGGCTTTGGTTCTGGGATCGGAGGAGCAGCCATCTCCTGGCTGTCAGGTATCTCTTCAACTTCTAGCTCAGTGAGTGGAAGACGGGATCGAGCTGGTTCAGGTGTAGATGGCTTGACCGTCTGCTTGGCTGGTTTTTGAACGGGCATTGCGGCCGTGGGCACCAAGACAGGCATGTCCGTGGCCTCGTTGTCGCTTGCCTCAACCTCTTGTAGAGACTGGTCATGCGCTTGTCCCTCTCCGGCATTCTCTTTCACCTTCGGAGAGGGAGCAGGCTCTTCCTTCTCAACCTTCTTGGCCTCTTTACCGTCGTCCTCCCGAGGTACCCTGGGCGGCCCCAGCAAGAACGAGATAGGCTGTCGATCCACCATGAGGCCCTCCTTCGTATCACTCCACTGCTCCTGATACAACTGATCAAGGAAATTCCTCATGCGTAAACGAAGAAGCCCAGAGCCGAGTGGAGGCCAGTCTTCATCCACGTTCATCTCTCGTTGCAGAACCTTGGTAATAAACTCATCAGGGCTGCGCACAAATCTCTCCATGTATGCCAGCAGATACAGTCCGCAGTCTGAATAGTTAGGCTGCAAGGGAATATTCTGCGCACGCATGCCCTTGATCACCGTTGACGGGCTCTTGATCTCCACCTTTCGCTTCGAGTCCGCCTCTTTGCAGATATACTCGCGTAGGGCCTTTACCGTGGGCGAACGGTTGGCATCGAGAGAGTCAAATGTGACGATGGCCGTCTGGTCAGGTTCCAACTTTAATCCGCCTCGCTTCTTTTTGGGCTTGGCCTTGCCAGCCTGCCCAGAGGCGGAGCCCTCCTGGCCGGCGATCTGCGTCGCAGCCTGGGAAGCAGGGGCTTCTTCGGGATCTAGTCCGGCTTCGGCTCTTGAAGGCAGACTCTGCTGAACCCCTGCCTGGGCGAGCGCATTCTTCCTTTCTAGAAGAGTCATAGACGCAAAGGATTTCCGGGTCTCTTCCGACGGGGGAAACACGGAATCTGGTTTTTGTTCCTTCGTTGGGGCTTCTTCGGAAAGTCTGGCTGAGGAAGGCACTGTTTCAGGCTCGGGTGATTCAAGAATCTCCTGCACTTCCTTTGCTGGTCGAGGTAGAGATTCCTTGTCACTGAGGGGCGCAGAGGCAGCCCCCGAGCTCTTTGCAGGATCCAGTCCCAGACTGGGCAGGTTGCAAATGATAGCGACATACCAATGCGCATTCTGATTGATGGGGACAACGATATAGTCGTAATTGAAGAGATCAACGGCCCTCGTCCACTTTTCAACACCTTCGTAATTGATCTCGCGAGAGCCCTTGTTCGTGAGCGTGGCGAAGAAGTACGTGTTGAAAAAGTATACCCTTTTCGCGACGTCAGGATTAGTACGCTCGATATGATCTTGCAAGAAGCGAATGTAGAAGGCGATCAAGTTATCATTCAGGAATTCGTTCTCGCGCAGTCGGTCACGGTCGTCGACGCTGACCTCTTCTTTCTTCTTTCCAACCTTGGGGTAAACCAAGGGCTTCTTCCAGTTCTTTCGGAATGTGTCATTCTTCAGGGCGGTATCGGTTTTATTCGTAGACGGGCCATCATCATCCAGTTTCTCCTTCCGTCGCGTCGTGTTTCTTGTTGACCGCCGCGTCTCGATTTCGCCAGATTCTTCGGGGTTGAACTTCTTCACCGGAATTTCGACTTCCACTTCCTTTGTTTTCGGCTTGTCCTTTGTTGTTTCTCGTGCCAGTTCGACGCTGCTCATGGGCTTGGAACCCTCCTGGGGTTTACCCTTATTTGGATCCTGGCCTTGCCCATCGGACTCGCTGGCAGAGCCTTCCAGCAGCGCAGAGAGTTTTTTGCCTTTCAGCTGATGAACAGAGGTGGATGCCGGCGATGTTGGCTCCGGTTCGGTAATTTCTTGCAAGGGAGACCTGGCTGTGATCACACGCTGGCACATTTCATGGTCATATGTAGAAAAAGCGTTGTCGAGCCATTTCCTAGTTCATTTGTCAATTTAGGGACTCCAGTTTGGATAGATCAGAGCAAACACTCACGGCTCCTTGTCGACAACCTTGCCACCGCCTTCTCGTATTTGATCAAGTAAAGCGTCCTTGCTGCTCCTCAATGTGAAATCAATGTCGAATTTAGAGCCCGGGGCTCCCTGGTAGCCATTCAACTGTAATCGCACTTTCTTGCTGTTCTCTGCCTGGTAAGTGACTCTCACATGGCGGAAAAGAACCTCTTCCAGTCTGTCACCAGTGATGGCTTTTCCCAGCAAAACTCTATCAGGGCACAGATGTATAACAGCTTTTTCTCCTTCTCCCACGAGCTTATGAATAGAACCAAAACGAATAGACTGGATGGAAAGATTGCGGTATTCCGGAGTTTGCTGCCCACGCTTTGGCTTTTTCTTTTTGCGTGGTGAGTCGAACCGGGTCGGCTCAATGTCAGACGGTGAGCGTTTGCGAGGGGGAGACGGCACAGTGTCCTCTTGGGTTTGCTGACGGCGTTTCTGGAGATTTTTCTTTGAAAGGTGCTTTGGAGGCGGGCGAGTCGTCACCTCGCCCTGTAGTTCATCCGGGCTGTCACCGGGGTCAGAAGCAGCTGGCGGTCTTTTCGATGGAGTCAAGGCTTGCGTGTCATTTTGAAGGCGGGCTTCCTCGGCATGATTCTCTTCGGGATCTGGAATCTCGATAGTCCCGAGCGAGGTGCGCTTTAGTGTAGGCGAGTTAAGAGGGGGTTGTGTGTGTTTTTTATCGGCATGTTCCACAGCGGATCCCGAAGAGCGCCGCTGCGCAGCAGCTTCCCAGGTGAATAACTCGTCCGCAGAGCTAGCGTTCGAGGTCCGACGATCTCTCGGGTGAGGGTGGTGTGTCCGTTCGAGCATGGCTTCCACCCCCCTATATTCAGAAACAAAGGCCGCACGGGCCCTATTCCTAGGGTTCGATGTGGACAAATTCGAGTCTGGAGAAAGTCGGGATGATCGACGCCCAGAAGCCGAGACCTCAGAAGTGACCGAGCCAGCCTGATCCTCATGCGTAAGATCAACTTGTCTCGAACCATCATGGCGCCGCCGCTTATTCGGTCGGTCAGAATCCTGAAAGTCATGTGCATCTTCTAATCGCCGGTAGGTCCTGTTGACGAATGCGTCGCCATTTTTGGTCTTTCCTGACGCGCGGATTGGTCCGCTCTGGCGCGCATTAGATATCCTATCGGTGGGCTGAAATGCCGCAGAAGCCTGGATTCCCCAGATATTAGCCCGAAGTTCCCACTTGATGCCGAAGATAGTAATTGACACATACACCGGGCTTTTTCCTCATTGCTCGGATAGCTCCGGGTCTTATCTCGAATGCACCCTGGGGCCTACAAGTACCAAAGAACTTGTATTAGCGCAAGTGCTCTCGCAGGCAAACCTCACGATCTCAAACTGGCAAGAGCTCATACCGAAAAGTCGCTCCTGGAAGCAACCGAGCCTCATCCTCCCTATCCTTGTTCATCGTCTGCGAAGGGTCGCCCAGCCTGCGCGTGGGGTTTATCAGCGACGGTCTGCTGGTTGAGCCGTATTGCGAAGGCATATCTACCGGGCACTAGGTCCTACGACAGAGAGCGGGGGCGAATGCCGCAATTGTCCACGGGAGGGTGCAGATCCAGGCGTGAATGAAAATTCGTTGGCATAACTCTGAGTAGTCTGGTAGCATGATCAGCTTCCGTATAAAAATAACGAGAGAAAAAAAAAGTCGCGGATAGATAGAGGACGAGCGGGGGATCTTTTTCCTCGCGGATTTGGGTACATCCCAGAGTCCAATATGTTCCAGTATCGAGCTGAAGCTGGGAAACCCGCGAATCAAAGCAGACAAGGTGTTCCAAGTAGCTTTGGCAAGCTTGTACATACCTGCGGAGCAGCAATATCGCGCGGTGGTTCAAAGCCAAGATCAAAGCGGTGATACTCGTCGTCTTCCAAGGCTAGAGAGAACTCGTTCTTTGCCTTCGTTATATGCCGGCGAAATCCAACAGTTGGTGAGGGCGGGGAACGACGGCGTGGGGAGGGAGAATGGACGCGCTGCTTTGAGAGCGAACTGCGGCGGTGTTGGTCTAGCGGCCGTTGAGGATCGTCACTTCGGGGACGACGCGGCGATGAGTTGAAGGAGGCAAAAGCCGCGCTGAGATTTTGGAAGAATGAAGACATCCAGACAGGGTCAGGACTAAAGCTGCACCATGTTCAACAGGTGCCTCATCTTGCAGCGGAGAGTCTTTTTTTGTCTGCATCGTCGCAAGTATGCGGTTGCTTTTGCGGTAATCGTCCTATCGCGGGCGGTCAGTTATGGACGCCTGAATTCTCAGGCAACCAGACCGATATCTCCGGGCAGCATGAGACACAGAGCAGCCGATAGGTCTACAAAGAATAATATGTGGACAGGTTGAGTCTTAGAGTTTCATTGAATGCATCAGAGAGCTATCAGTCATAGGTGGTTAATCAGGAGCCACCCACAAAGGTAATCTGCAAGAGAGAGAGCTATTTGGACATCCAGGCAAAATACGCTGGCTGCAGTCAATACTGCAGTGGTTTTGTTGCGCAGAAATAGCAGAGGTCAAGAGAAAAAAAAAATAAGACAACAGAAGCATCGCACGTAAGCTCAAAGGCGAAAAAAAATGGAGAAAACAGACATAATCAGTTCACTCAAGACATAAAATCAAATCAAAACCGCTGAGTTCGCCTCGATGCCCACCGTCCCCCCAGACCCAAACGCGTCCCAATGAGTAGTAAATTGTGCATGATATCTTTTTTTGGTTGGCTTTACTATACAGGGCTCAAGGCCGAGAATGCTGAGACCAGGCTTTACAGGGCGACTCCCTTGCCTTTGTCCGAGTCGTCGTGGCCGGTGCGTCGCTGGCCCGTTGGGTTAGAGCCGGAGGTTTGGGACTTTTCGTGGCGGGCCTGGTCAATAGCGGAGCGTTGGGCAATGCTATCATCGTGGCTCTTCCAGACGATGTTGGTGTCTACGGGGAAGGCGAGCATGCGCTTGATCGTTTCTCTGTCGAAGGCGTATTAGTTATGATGTTCCGGCTGGATCTTCATCCAATCAATAGCAATATGCAAGGACATACCTGATCTTAATGTTCCGCCCACCATCGTTCTTAGTCCACACACTCAACACATCCTCGCCACCCCGCACGCTCAAGACGGCACCGCAGACTTCATCACCCGCCTCGGCGAACTGGTCACCCACCAGGGCAAGTAGCAAATCCTCCCAGTACCGATCAGCGACACCCTTCTTCAGCCGGACAATCCACTTGCCACCTCGCTTGTTCGCCTCATCCTCCCACACAGGACGGATACCCTTCTTGAAAATGTGGTAGTCCGACACCGTCGGGAGGAGCGAAGGCCGCTTGAGATGCGAATAGACTGCCCAGAAGCTCTCTACCGAGGCTATCGAGGCGAGGGGCACTGTCGACTTTTCATAGTCGGAGTACTTGGGTGTGGGCGGGCGGTACCAGACGATCCAGGTAGACTTCAACGCATGTTCTCCGGGACCAGCGGGACCGTTAGCGTGAGACTTGGACCTCATCAGGTCTTCCTGCTCTGTCAAGATATCGCGCTTCTCTCCCGGGGTCTTCACCTCTGACGAACCACCCGGTGTCTTGGGTGCGCCGAACGAAGCGAAAGCACCGGAGCCGAGCCCGAATGCAGACGAGGCATTGGTAGAGGGCGAGGAGACGCCGGCGGATAGTGGCGAGATGGCATTAAAAGGGTTTGAGCGGCCGTGGGAGCTGTCAGGGCCGAAACGTTTGGATGGGCGGGGCATGTCAACGCGGGCACCGTCCTTGCCGTCCGTCCCGGACATGGACAGGGACAATTTGGAGGAGCTATAAGGGAGAGGCGGGGGTATTAGATTAGCTATGCTACTCGAGCTGGACAGGCTGGTACACTCCACGGGGACTTACTTTGCTCGACGAGTCCACAGGTTGGCATTATCCATGACGGCGGGTGTGACTGCCCGAGACACGAGCGGTCATGCGGGAGGAACAAAGAGCGCGGGAAGACGACGGGACACCCCAAGAAGACCACGAGCTTAGTTCAATGAGACAAGGAAGAAGGTATTGCTGCGACCGGGAGCTCAGGTAGGCGAGTACAGGAGAAGAGGGGGTGGATGGAGGCGGAGGAAGCGGGTGAGGTGGCGGGGGTATAAGTATGCCGAGTGATGTCGTCGAGCAAGGGCGGATGGAGGTAAGTAGGAGGAGGGATTCAAGAAGCGACGAGGGATATCGTAGGAGGAGAGTGGTGTAATAGGAAGGTTGAAAGGCGGGGAAATGAGAAAGATGGAGGGGGGGGAGTTCAGACAAGAAAAGAGAGATGATGGGGAAGATGAAGCAGATGCAAATGGATTTGGATTTGGATTTGGATAGTCTGCTTCTTCTTCTGCCCGCCAGCTCCATCCCAGTCCCCCCGACAGCCAATCATCGTCCGTTTCGCCTGCCGCCCGCACCGTCTTTTTTCCTGACGGCGCCTTTTTATTTTCCTTTTTTCTTCTCTTTTTCTTCTTTTCTTCTTCACCCAAGACCACCTACTCAAATCACCGCCAGGGTCTGTCCTTTCCACTACCCTGGCGTTTCCGCCGTGTGTGTCGAGAATAAAATGTCGCTTCTAAAACCATCATCACGAGGGCTCTTCTGAGCTTCCCAGGATGCGTTGATGACCTGACAGACGAGACATTCCTTTGCACTGATTGCCGACGTGTTTAGTTTCGGTTCCATCTTGAACCTCGACCTTGGTAGGGTACGTTCCCTGATAGCTACTTTACCCTCCAATTCAATCAATCATATCATTATCAAAATCAAAATCAATTTGTTTTATGACGAAATCTTTATGAGCTCTCTGGTAATCCGAGGCCTCAACCGCCTTCAATCTACTAGGCTGGTTGGGCGTGAGGTCAACAGGCAAAGTCTGATACTGCAAACTACACCCCGGCACGAACTATTCCCTTGGATCTTGAACCGACTTGATGCTAACAAGAGCATTCAGTAGCTTTTCCTTTTGTATTTTTCTTTTTCAATCTCTCCCAGGCCCCTGGAAGCTATGGGATCCTGCATGGCCATCATTAAGCTTAATACACCCTCGTGCCCTCCTACCTCATTCGTCTCTATTCCTCTATACACTACAAGTAGACTCAAAATCTACATTCTACACTCGGAGAACCAATTGAATATTAAACAAGAAGTTTCATGCTCGTGAGCAATATGTCACAAAAATAAGCCCAGGATATCCTCTGGAAATCAAGTCTCGTGGAAGAAAACATTAAGACGCAGATGCAAGCCAGTCCTCCTGCCATGCCCAATGCCGTACAATTAACACTCGATGCCGGAAAAAAATATTAGATCACGCTCGTTGCTTTCATCCATCCCCGCTCATACAGGACCAGATGTCTGGTGAGTGCCTTCGGCGCGAGCGCGTTTAGGGTCCCGATCGCTCGTTGGAACGGATGCCTCGGCCTTGCGCTTCTCCCGGTCCCTTTGGCTCTGCTGCTCAGCTCGCTTGGCCTCCTTACGCAGAGCTTTGGACTCGAACTCGTGCCAGTCCCCTTCAACGTGCTCCAGTCTGCAGAAAAAAGGTTAGAAAGAGGCGGACACATCAATGGGTGAAGAAACTTACTCAATAGCTTGCTGAGGGGCGGGTTCCTCTGACATGAAGAATGGATGCTGCAGCACCTCATCGGCGCTCGGCCGCTTGCTAGGGTCGTACTGGAAGACTTGCGTGATCATATCCAGCGCGGCTGGAGTCAGAATGTCGCGGTAGTGATCCTCAAAGACTCGCTTCTTGCGCTCGGCGGGCCGCATCAGCTGGAACCACGGCATTTCCACAACGTCCGGCCATTCGGTCCGTGTCGGGGTACCCAAAGAGTTGTAGATCTTGTCGAGCTGACTAAGTTCGCTGCCCTCGCCGGGGAAGACGGCCTTCTTGGTAAACATCTCCATGCACACGCATGCTGCACTCCAGACGTCAACACTGGGGCCGTACCGTGTCTCACCCAGAAGAAGTTCCGGGGGCCGGTACCAGATAGTAATCACTCGGTTAGTATAGTCAAGCTGACGGCTCTTCGAAAAGAAACGCGCCAGACCAAAGTCTGCGTATTTCAGCAGGCCGGTATTGCTGATCAGGATATTGGCAGCCTTTATATCTCGGTGAAGCACGCCACGGTGGTGAAGGTAGCTTAGTCCTTCAAACATCTGCTTGGCTAGATCTTTCTTGTGTGGGAGAGTGAGAGAGAAGGTGGGATGATTGATCAGACCTGTGAGATCGTGCGAGAGATATTCAAAGACCATGAAGCACTCATTTCTCTCAACCATCACTTCCAGCAGACTAACCACGTTGTGGTTGCGGAGGTGTTGAAGCAATTTGATCTCTCGCACGGCGGTCACGGGGAAGCCATCTTTCTCGCCTTCCATTCGAATCTTCTTGAGCGCAACCTTGCGTTGAGTGTAGACATGAATGCCTTTGAACACCTTGCCGTATGTACCAGCACCAATGACAGACTCGTTACCCGGCTTCCGGTAGTAAACGGAATCGGCATTTGCGAATTCCTCTGGTAATCTCGGCCGTGGTTTAACACGAGTAAGAATCTTCTTCTGCTTTGGTGGCACATCTCGCGGAGGCTCTGGAGATGGTTCCTTACGGCGGTCTTCTCGCACATCGGGCCGACGGTCATGTTTTCGTCGGTCACGACGATTTTCATGCCGGCGGTCATCTCTTCGATCCCGGGGATCACCATGGAAGTCTCGCGGTTCTCGCTGATCCCGGAAATCCCGGCGATCTCGCGAATCGCGACCTCGATCACGACCTCGATCCCGCCCCCGATCCCGACGGTCATACCGAGGATCAGGCTTGTTAGGGTACTTGGGCATTGGCCCATTGGTCAACCGATTCCGAGGGGTTGGCGGATCAGCTGGAGGCGCGCGAGGTGGTGGCTCACGTACTTGCATTCGTTGCGCAAGATCGGGAACAGGCTTTGGAGCAGGCGTAGGTGTAGTTTTCGCCTTGAAGGTAAAGCTGAATTTCCCGCCCTTCTCTGCCGGGGTTGAAACCTGGGGTTCACGATCTGGAGGAGGCATGTTCTGCTTGTTAGACTCTTCCGATGCATGCGGAGCTCGACCATCATCTCTTTGGAAGGCCCTGGCTCCGGAAATTGGCCGGTTCTCGGGCTCAACCGCACGAGGAGACTGCGGGCCATTTGCTGACTGTGGCCGAGTAGAAGTGGCTGGTGAGCCGTGCGCATGTGCTACACGGGGGCTAGGCGGGCCACCGCCACGGCCATGAGATCCAGAGGCAGTCCATAGTGAACTATTGAAATGGCCATGCCCACCACGATTTGCAGGACCGCTGGGACCAGAGCCGGAAAGCCGGCGGTCTGATTCGCGACTAGCTTGATGCCCCCGGTGGTCAGAAGATCCACCTCGGCGGGGTGGACCGCCATGAGAGGATTGAGGATGGTGGTCGGACAAGCCGTTGGACGGACCATGGTGACTTTGGTAGTGCGGTTCAGAAGGGGCGTTGTGTGAATAGTGCCCATCTTGTCGATGGTTTGGAGAGTGACTGCAGCAGCGAAAACAACAAGAAAGATTAGTCGACGAGCTAGTGACGTGAAACTGAGGGGGATATTAGAAAAGAGACTTACCCAGATACCGAATGTGATGGCGGGCCCTTCCAGCCACCTCGTCCACCAGAAGGAGACTCTGGCTGAGGAGACCCATGATGAGATCTTGTTGGTGTTTTCAAATGTGGTGAAGTCGAATAGGAGCCGGTCTCTAGGTGTGGTCGTGATGGCCGGTGCCGTTGCTTATTGTGGACATCAGATGCACGCATATCAAGCATTGGGAAAGCGTCCCGTAAGTTGGCTCGGCTCTTACTAGAGACGACTTTATTGCTGCCATTAGGACTCAAGTTTCGTCGATAAGGCGAAAGTGAACGACCATGGTCGTCTTCAGCGCCCTTGATAGGTCTTATCGAGTGCATACCCTCGTCACCTCTGGAATGGGAGGAATACGCGGATGCTTTCGATACCACAGATCGTGCGGAATGCCGAGATAGAGAACGAGACCGATATCGAGAATCTCTGTCGCTGTAGTCGTCGGTAGGCGATCGAGGCCGGCGGTCAGGGGACGGACGAAATTCCCTGTCCCGAACGGGTGATCTCGAACGGCCTGAGCGCGGGACATCATGTCGACGACGGTCTTTCCCTCGGCGATCTCGACCCCGATGAGGAGAGCGCCCTCTAGGGGCACCACGTCCTGGGAAGCGCGGTCGGCTACCAGGTGGGGGGCTTCGGTCGCGTCTGTCGCCGTTTTTCGCAAATGATGAACGACGTTGGGGAAATTGAGAGCGCTGGCCGCGAGGAGAGGGACTGCGAGTTCTTTTCCGTTTAGAGGGTGGCCCGAACGGTGAGTCGTCGCGCCGGAAACCCTGAGTATCCTTGCCGATGGGCCCAGATGTATGCGCGTTCCTCAGGTCGCCAGATGATGAAGGTCGGGGGTGGTCATGGTCCAACCGTCGAGTGTCGCGGTATCCTGAATCAGGACCGGGAGAACCACGCGGAGGCGATCGATCCAGAGGAAAGTCATTCGAAGCACGAGATGGATCAGGGCCGAAGCGGGAGGCGCGTGATGGTGGCGATCGATTGGGATAGTCGAAATGGCGGTCATTTGGTCGCGACTGGCGGCCACCTCGATCACGATAGCGACTTCTGCCCCGATCTCGATTCGATCCTCGACCTCTGCGACGGTCCCTGTCCCGGGTATCACGGTCTGGATCGCCGCTTCTCGGGTCTCTCAGCACCGGACTCCTACGGGACCCAGCCATTATATCTGCGTCAACGGCATCTGGTGATGCCCAGCAATGTAGATACAAGGATAGATGTTCCAGTAGTGGAAGAGGGAATCCGCTAGATGTTGAGGGAAGCAAAGTAGGTGGAGCCGACCCTGGATCGTGACCGCGTTCTCAGGCGGAAGTCTTGCGGATTGGGGAGAGGCTCGGAGGAACTGTTTTTCCGGTATCCTGTGAAGCCTGTGAGCCTGGAGACCACTCAAAGTGGGAGAAATTTATACGCACCCTTTCTTTACTTGGACTTAGATGTCGCTCTGACGGGCAGGCACTGAAAGTCTACTAGGTTTCGAAGGATATGAATGACTGGTGCAAGACCGTCACATAAACCTCCGAAAACTGGTGTGGTGACGGTTGGCGGTGAATGGTCAACCTTTGGGGCTCTACGGCAGAATTCGAAAGGACGGCTTTGATATGCAGTCACCAGGGTAAATCTGTGCGGCTGCTTGGGGCTCAGTAATAGCCAGTGGTCGCTTTTGAGTCGCATCTGGAGTGGCTTTTGACCAACTGATTTCCAGAAGCGAAGGCCTCAACTGAAGACTATCCTCGCTGTGTGGGCAGAGGATCTTGTGAGTCTGGCATGAAGCGTATCCCCAACGCTCAACAAATCGGCTTCACTCTCTGTGCCGAGTAGCGGTCTCTGGAAGAAAAGATCCCATGGGTTTGTGTCCCGGTGGGTCTGTATCTATCTACGTTCTGCATAAAGTCACAATGACCGTCGCCCAGCCTCAAAGATGCCACAACCAGGCCAAAATCAGCAGGGTGTTCGTGCGGTGTAGTTGCTTCGGCCTCGGCGTTCATTTCCGATGCTGCCATTGCGAAAGAAGGAACTCGGGTCGGACAACATGCTGGACCATTGTCGACAGTTTCCGTTCTCAGATTGTCCTTTGCCGGGGAACATGTAATGAGCCCAGCTCGGTGATGTCGTCAGTATTGCTGGGAGACGGTGATACTGAGCGTATGTAGTCCACTCCAAAATCAGTGACTGTCGATGTTTTTACAATAGCTTGACGTGTAAATACGTCCATCTGAAGAAAACAGAGATCGCCGATGGATTAATGGGCAGGGGAAACTGGATTGGTTGGTCCAAAGAAGGTCTCCAAGCATGGGTGTAGAGCATTTCCAGCGGTATACCTGTGGGAGGAAGCTCAAGGGAGCTTGCTGTAAGTACCATAGTGTCGAGGCTTGGAATAGTCAGGAGATCGTGCTGGACGAAGAGGACAGGGCCGTCGAATATAGAGACCAGGAACTAGATGGCAGTGCTTCTGTTGCATGGAACAGCAAGCATTGAAGGTTTCTGGAAGCCTGCAGTGAGAGCATTCAAGTCAAGCCGAGACGTAGTCTAGCAGAGTAATCCAACAATCACCGTCCATCCTGGTCATTCCACAGTAGCCAGATTAGATGCATCAACCCAGATCAAATGGCCCATGTTGTGGTAACTCAGAGTGGACGCCAGATTCCCTCATGTCGCACACCTTATTGTGAAGGGAACTCCCGGGCGAGCCGATAATGGTCGGGCGGGATGTGCTGGCACGGGGGGTTTGAAGCACCGGAATCCCTCAACGGTGACTGGATCGCCACACAAAGAAAAGAAAAGGTACGAGGAATAACATGTTAGAATGGTGGTCGGATCTGGAGAAGATCCACTAAGCAGAAGTACGCCACAGGGAGCCTGTACCGTGACTCGGAGGTGGTGGTGTGAATGTCACGTTAGGCTGAGGTTGCGGCGGAGTTGGAAGGTGCAGGTCATGTGATCATGATCACGTGGGTTTGTGGGGCGCCAAGCCAAACTATACAACATCCCTTAGAATCGCACTCATGTACCCTACCCTTGGTGGAGGATTGCTATCTTATTACTTGGGTCATTTGAATTCAAGACATTAATTTGTGCCCCGAGGTTCCTTAATAATGATGCATACTCGACATTTTATCCACCCTCATCCTCCACTTGTTTCATGAACACAGCCTCTCGTCTCTCGTCTGGGTTCGAAACGATTGCACCTTGCCTCAGCCATCTATCAGGTATGTCGAGCTGCTGTCGCTAACCATAAATATGGAGAGGCCACATCCAGTCTCAACATCACTAATTTCCATCTTCACCCATGTCGATTTCAATATCAGAGTCTTCAACTCTGATAAAGCCATCGCTGTCCGAACCATCGCTGCTAGAACCGTCAAAATTGGAACCATCAGTGGTGGGACCGTCAGTCCTGGAACCATTGGGGTTGGATCCAGTCTGAGTGTCATTGCCCTAGTGAATCCCAAGATTAGTATTTATTATATCAAAGGTACTCCGAAATTTTGGAGAGGCCAGAAGGTAGTTAGTTCCTCAGCAAAAAAGATGGAGCTCACAGGGTCATCCGAATTTCCCGGGTTCTGTTGGTTAGCTGTGGGATCTGTCATGGGGGCCAAGTAACCATCAAAGGTTGCTGGAGGTATCGCCATTGCCGTGAGACGACCGTTTATGATTCGAAAATTCGAGATACCCCGGGCCTGTTGAGGCAATTGGGAGGCTTGTGTTGGCTGAAGCTCGTCTCGTGGGATGCCAGCATAGGCTTGCATTTGAACCAGATACCCTTCAAGGGCCTCTTGACTGGAGGCCAAGTGCTGTGGCGGAGGAAGCATTGGATTGGTAGTTGCGATAGCACTGGCCATTTCGGCATTGAGGGCTTGTGTAAAGTCAGCCATCATTTGGTCGATGTTGGTTGGATCAAATCCTTCGAGGATTGTGCTGTCTATATCTTCGAAGATTGCGCTGTCGATCTCTTCGAGACTTGGGAAGCCCATCACATCGGTGTCCATCGGGTCAGGATCGTTGGCTCCACCAGATGGAGGGTCGATAGGCGGGCTGGACATCTTGGAATCGGCTGCGGTATGCAAACTGTTATTTGGCTGCTGTTTCGTAGGTCTCGGACTAAAAAATGCTCCAATGTTAGCTTCGTCTCTGCGGTGAGGAACTGATAGATGGACAAAGAAGGAGCTCTCAGTGAGATAGTGCTTGAACAGGGCGATCTCCATATATGGCAACGAAGTTGACCGCCATATACCAGGCACGCTCACGTCCCTAACTGCGTAAACAACCGCGTTAAACTCGTTATCAGACCTACTCACCAAATCGAAGTTGTAGGAAGCGAGGTCGAGGTCGATGAGAATGTGGTATTCGAGTCTCGAGAAGAGAGCAAAGAAGAAGGAGGAACAAGGAGATATTTATCATCATCGCGGTGGTGATCCAGGAGGTAGGAGAGGAAAAGAACAATGGCCGATTCCCTAGCCGCGCGATTGTTGCCTTGGAGGAATGTTTGCTTCACAATTTCCTCTTTGGGCGGTGAATAGGATGTGCTGCTGGCTATTTGCCTCGCCAGTTGATAACTCGTTCCTTGCCTACCCTTTCTCCCTACACCCTTGCCATTTGATCTACCACGGAGTCTAGCGAAGGGAAAGATCCGGAGAGAATACTGATTTTATTATGCTAACGGAGGTATACAGTGGTTATCAAAGTGCAAGACGCTACCTTTTCTGTTTTTATACGAGCGGTAAAAGGGTTCGCAGGGATTTTCAATGTTGTATTTTGAGTACAGAGAGATATTGGACATGTACAAAAAAGGAGAAACAGGTCTCGCCATCAGGTAGTGAGAAGGTACAGTATGAAACGTCAAGTGTTGAAACAGCCTCGCCGGTGCCGCCAGAAGGTTCTCGGTCTCCAGAACAGAACTCCAACTAAACTCAAAAAAAAAAAAAATGGCCCTGTGTAGGGTGTGTAAGTCTAAACATCATGAAATGAAAGTGTGTCATCGTTGAGTCGGGACAAATGCAAGCGTGAAATATGTGGGATGCTTGCTTTCAAAGTCCCTGAAGACGGCGGGTTGAAAGATCGCAGGGCGTCGGCATCATTCCAAGGTATATGCAAGAAGCAACATTCGGGAAGAACGTAAAAAGGAAAACGTAGACAGAAGAGAGAAGATAAACACCCAGATCCACGCTAGAGCAACATGCTCATGAGAAAAGAAAGCCAACATTACATTAACCTGTTGAAAGGTCACCACCAAAACTCCAAAATCGTAACTTGTCTCCCCAGTTGGAAAAATGAAATGGCACAAGGTAGGAGGGGGGAAATGTGAAAACGACGAGAACTCTCTATCGCCGGTGCAGCAGAGTCAAGAACTCCTCGCGAGTCTTAGCACTCGACCGCATGCAGCCCAGCATACAGCTAGTGGTCGTGGTGCTGCCGGTCTTTTGGACGCCGCGCATGACCATGCACAGGTGGGAGGATTCCATAACGACTCCGACACCACGAGGCTTAAGAACTTCAGAGATTGCCAAAGCAACCTGCTTGGTCAGACGCTCCTGGACTTGGAGTCTGCGGGAGAACATCTCCGCCAAGCGAGCAAGCTTCGAGAGTCCGAGGACACGGCGATCCGGGATATAGCCGATGTGCATCTGCCCCACATGATCAGCGTGATTCGATGGGGAATATATGCAGGGTCTGTCCTACCTTGCCAGTGAAGGGCACCATGTGGTGCTCGCACAGCGAAAACACGTCGATATCCTTAACAATGACCAGCTCATCGTGGTCCTCGTGGAACACTGCGCCATTAACCAAATCCCGCACATTCTCCTCGTAGCCTTTGGTGAAGTAGAGCATGGCCTTGGCATACCGCTCTGGGGTCTCACGGAGACCCTCACGCTCAGGATCCTCACCAACACATTCCAGAATTGTTCTCACTGCTCCCGCAAGTTTCTTGATACGCTCTTCGTTCTCCTCTGGGGTCGACTCCAGTCGCTGCCGAGTACCGGGGCCTGGGTGGCGAAGAGAAAGAAAAAAAGTTTAGAAAAATTATCATATACACATAACAGCACAATTGGAGTCAATTCACTTACAGGGCCAGCTGAGACCGTCAAAGTCGATGGGAGGGTTCATGGTATAAGGGCTGGCGGGGCGGCTTGACGTCGCCGGCGGGGTCAACGGACCGCCCTCGTCGCGGGGGTCGCGGGGAGGGTCATTCAGCAGAGGGAGTCTGCCGCTGTTGGGTTGTCAGATATGGAACTGGATTTATGGTTATATGGGGTATCACTCTGTGAATGAGAACATACCGCAGGCTCAGGGCAGTTTGGGCAGCTCCCGCTTCGGTAGCAGCGGTGGAGGCAGTGGGCTCACGCGCGGGGCGGGACCCCGCCTCAAGAGACTCGAATTCAGCAGGTACACGAGGTGCAAAGGAGGAGCGGATAGAGGTATTGAGGCTCTCTCGTTCGCGGTTATCACGAACACGAGTCCCACTACCGGCCGCCGTGGAGGATTGGAGGGGTGAGCTGCCGTTCAGCATGTGGGACGGGATGGCCGACGGCTTGGCCGGACCGGGAGGAGAACCAGCACCCATGGAGAATGGATTGAGGGTATTTGGAGGAGTTGGTAGACTCAAGAATGAACCTGATAGCGAGACAGAATAAGAACAATGGGCTTAGCAGAACATTGTCAGCGACAAGATGACTCTACTTTTTTTTTGACGCAAATGCAATCCGAAATCACGGGACGCTAAGCCCGTTTAGAAGAGTTCCCCTCATTTTTCCCGACACCGCCTGCTTTTTTCAGCTTTCTTGCTCCGGTGGCGCCATCACGTTGTCCGCGGAGGGCAGTCGAGGGAATTTGGGGATTGAGGTATTGACAATTTGGAGATCATGAATGGAGTGCTGTTCTCCTGTAGTTCCAGAATTTACACAGTATCTCCGGTTCTGGATCGACATACTGGACTTGAATGCCAATTCGGTCGAAGTTTTCCTTAAGGCAAACCCCACCAAAAAATATATCTCACACCCCACTTAACGATGCTTGAAAGGGTCCTAACGTATATAATGTTACTATACTCCATCACTATCCAGTGTCTTGAGAGGCCCATCATATATTACCTAGGCCCTTGAAGTATCAGGGATGAGGTTCTTTTGACTTCTGCCAACGGTCGAAGATCCAGGATGGACGCCATTTTCATGAGCATCAGGCTTAAACAAGATATTTATATCCTGTGCCTAGGCTCATCGCCCTGTCCCATAGGTTTCTTTCTGAATTCCTTGGTCGGACACGAACGTTGGACTCGCGTTAAATGGGGGTATCAATAAGCTGGTTCTCGTTCGCCAATTCTTGAGTTTTCTCTTTGTTGTAGGAACGCCACGCTCTTGATTTCCAAGAACCCAAAATGTGTACTTTTGATTTGCGTACCCGGGGCACGCAAATCCCCTGGCTATTACAGACATGTTGAATACTAGAAGTAAACACAGACCGAAAACCCCTCTTTCCCTTTTTACCCATCGCCCAAGTCTTGCCATCAAAAGGTTCATCGCTGCTCACTCTTCGTCTACCTCCGACAAGCCCTGAGCACTCTCCCCCTTCGTCCTACAGTAGCCTCCGTCTGCCTTGCCGTTGATACCCACATGAGGGTACCGACACCTCTAGGGACTCCGTGAATAAATAAATCATTGGTATTCATGCGATTTTGAATTATCACCCAGTATGAAGCTTTTCGCCCGCAACTAAATTCCAAAAAATAAGAATGGCAATCGACCATGAGAACCATCCGAGAAACGCAATTGAATTAGCCGACCAAAAATACAAAATCATGCCTCCAACTCCTCCGTGGGCACATCATCCAGATCCTTGCCTACAATTGCATCCGCAACCTTCCATACCTGTAGCAAGTTGTCCTCGGCAGCCGAGCAAAGGACCCACGGATCGTTGAGGTTCCAGCTGAAATCGGAGACCCGGTTGGTGTGTCCACCGTGCATGAACAGGCTGAGGAAATAGGTTAGTAAAGCCGTAGGAAGAATGATGAAAGAAGAAGATAAGGAGTGCGATATTGGGCAAACTTACAGCTCTGGCGGTCCATCCTGGGCATCCTCAGGAGTCTGCTCCTCGCCCGCACGACTGAGATCCCAGAACATGATCTTCCGGTCGTAGCTGGAGCTAGCCAGCACGGACTCCTCGAAGGGATGCCAAGCAATTGATTGCACCGAGTCGGTGTGTCCCTCCAGGGAGTGTAACTTGGCCTTCAGATTCCGCAAATCCCAAATGCCAATAGTCTTATCGGCAGAGCCAGTGGCCAGGATCGTCTCTGAAGCGGGGTTGAAGGCAATGGAGTTGATGGCATCCCTGTGCTCACCACCAACGGAGGCAACGGCCCGAGTGCTGTCCGCATTACGCACATCAATGATCTGGAGCGTGATATCGTCGGAGACGGTACCAATCAGGGAAGAGTGAAGAGGGTGATGTTGAACATCGTTAACGATCGAGGAGTGGTGTGTGTAGGTACGGGTGGGCTTCACAGCCTTGTTGCCCTTGGTGTATGTAGTAATGTCCCTGTGCATATATGAGTATTCGAATCCCAAATTAGACAAATTCATTAGAGCCGATTGTGCTCACCAAAGTCGAACCGTCTTGTCTTCACTACCGGTTGCGAGGTGGCCAGCATCGTGAGGGTTCCAGCTCAGACCGAAACCTTCTGCCTCATGACCCAAGAGCTCCATCTGAGGGTTGACAGTCCCCGTGGGCATGCTCGGGTGCTTTGAGCGATCCCAGATCATCACGCGGCCATCCGTACACATGGTCGCAATGATGTTCGGGTTCTGTGGTTGGTAGCGGGCCTTGTTGACTTCTCCCTGGTGATCAATCTTCTGGACAATGTTGAACTTGATTTCCATGGGCGACTTCTTCGAGCCACCCCCATAACCACCAATTTCGCCCTTGTCCTCATCATAGTCATCAGGGTTGGGAGCGTTGGCATTTGGGAGTTGGACGTGGGCAATCTGAAGGTAGTTTTGAGCATCGCCAGCGGTGTGGGTGCCAATAAGCAGGCGATGAGTAGAATATGGCTTGTCGGGAACACTGTGAGAGAAAGACCGGTCAGGAATCTCTAGGCTCTAGAGAGTGGCTTGGGGCCCTGGAGCTACTGACTCTTGCACATCAGGCAACCACTGAGTGGTGAGGGTTGGCCACTCAAGAGCTGTGCTGAGAATCATATCATAGAGGAAAGGCGCATTCTTCTTCCATGTCTTGTACTCTGAGTAGAGGTGTCCGAAGTTAGCCATGATGATCGAAATTGAGATCAAGATGAAGATGTGCACGTAAAGTAGATGTTGAGGTAGAGAATGAAGGTGATGAGAGAAGCCGATATCCATACCTTCATTGACAATCTTCTCTTGGGTGTGCTCATGCTCCTTCTCCTGCTCCTCCACTCCAGCTATTCACCCGTTAGTTTGAGATTTCCAGCCGCTTCGCATAGCTCCAGCCACTTACCATGCTCCTCCTCGTAGGGCTCCATTGTGCAGCTCTTAATTAAACAGTAATCAATGCGATCACAAATAAGGTGTTGAAGGTCGATTCGCGGGACAGGGTGGAGGTAGGAATGGGGTAGACGGTGTGGGAAAGGTACTTCGATTCCACGAACACGAACGCGACTTGCGACAGGCAAGCTCGGACCGCGTTTAATCGTTAATTGTTAATGGGCGACGACTAAGCGGCCGCTAGTCCCATTTAGGAAGCCGGGGGCTTTGGCGGTGACTCCGAGAACAGCAGATCTGCCCGACACCTTGGAAAGCTTCCTCCTCCACCTCTCACGACTTTAAGACGTCCCTCTCTCCCTTTTCCCCCCCACCGGGGCTCTCCTTTCACATTACACAACTCTTCACTTTTCAGCCCCGCGGCACTTGCCTTGGGACTTTTCTCTATTACCTTACGATCTCCCCAGTTATCAGTTGAGCTTGCCCTCTTCAGTTGCAAGTTCGCGCTGATACCTCTAACGATCACTTTCGAATCCTCCACTCCGGCGAAATCTTGCAGCTGGTCTCGTCATCTGTATCATTACTCTCACGTTACGAAGCTTTTTACCTGAGCCCATCGTCACCATGGGTGTTCCGAAGTTCTTCCGCTGGCTGAGTGAGCGGTATCCCGCGATCTCCATGCTGATCGCTGAGAGCCGCATCCCCGAATTTGACAGCCTGTACCTCGATATGAACGGTATTATTCACAACTGCACACATAAGGACAGCGACTCCCCGACATTCCGCATGACCGAGGAGCAGATGTTCATTGCAATCTTTAACTACATCGAGCACTTATTCGGCAAAATCAAACCGAAGAAGCTCTTTTTCATGGCAGTCGATGGTGTGGCCCCACGTGCCAAGATGAACCAACAACGTGCGCGTCGCTTTAGAACGGCGCTGGACGCCGAGGTGGCAAAGGAGAAGGCCATCCAACAAGGCCTGGAGATGCCAAAAGAGGATGCATTCGATAGCAACTGCATTACGCCCGGTACCGAGTTTATGGCGAAGTTGACGCAACAATTGAAGTACTTTATCAACAAGAAGATCTCGGAGGACTCCGATTGGCAAGGAGTGGAGATCGTGCTCTCGGGCCACGAGGTGCCCGGTGAGGGTGAACACAAGATCATGGAATACATCCGGCGCGCTAAAGCGCAGCCCGACTATCATCCCAACGTCCGCCATTGTCTTTATGGTTTGGATGCTGATCTTATCATGCTGGGTCTGCTCAGTCATGACCCTCACTTCTGCCTCCTCCGTGAAGAAGTGACGTTTGGCCGTCAAGTCTCCAAGAAGCCAAAGGAGCTTGAGCACCAGAACTTTTATCTTTTGCATCTCAGCATGGTTCGCGAGTATCTGGAGTTGGAGTTCCAGGAGCTGGAAGAGGAAGGTGCCCTCAATTTCCCATTCGATATGGAGCGAGTCATTGACGATTTCATCCTAATGGCATTCTTTGTTGGAAACGATTTCTTGCCCAATCTGCCAAACCTACATATCAACGAAGGTGCGCTGGCACTCATGTTCAAGATTTACAAGGACGTGTTGCGAAAGATGGGAGGATATATCAACGAGCAAGGTGTGATCAATGTCGAACGGCTTGGAATCCTGGTGGAGGCCCTCAGCGAGGTCGAGCACCGATTTTTCCAGGCCGAGAACTCCGATGCGCAGTGGATCAAGGCCAAGCAGAATGGCAATGATGGCTCTCTGGAGCTGAACACGAGGCCGAGGGAGCTGACGGTCACCTCCGCCCAAAAGGACATTCTCAAGAAAGTGAAGCAGTATGTCTTGAATCGCCCTAGCAAGGAATCCGAGCCCAAGCCGCTGGACTTCCCTCCTACGCTTCCAGCTCGTGACCGTGTGTTCATTGAGAAACTCGCAGACGAGCTTCGTGTGCAGTGGTCCACCGTGGACAACGAGGCTGGCGATAGATTCATGCGCGTTCAGCTTCCACAGTTGCAGGGCGATGACGATGACGACGACGAGGGAGAAGCATTCATAGCTGTTTCACGCATTATTCGCAAGTACGAAAAAGCCAAGGTCCAGGACATGACACCGGAGGAGGTGCAACAAGCCGCCGAGAAGAAGTATGACGCCAAATTCCAGGAATGGAAGGATAATTACTACCGCTCCAAGTTTGACTGGGGACTTGATAATGAGGAGGAGATGAAGAAGTTGACAGAGAACTATGTGCAAGGATTGCAGTGGGTTTTGTTCTACTACTACCGTGGTATTGCTTCGTGGCCCTGGTTCTTCAGGTATCACTATGCTCCTATGATCTCTGGTAAGTTAACTTTTACTGGGACACTGTTTTCCGTGTCCTGATTTTCTGTTATTATATACTTACCTCGGCTTTCAGATGTGAAAAAGGGGTTGGGTGCCGACATGAACTTCCGACTCGGGCAGCCTTTCCGGCCATACGAGCAGCTGATGGGTGTCTTGCCGGACCGCAGTAAGAAGATCGTGCCAACTGCCTATTGGGATCTCATGACATCCCCGGAGTCTCCTATCATTGATTTCTATCCTCGTGATTTCGACTTGGATATGAATGGAAAAAAGATGGAGTGGGAGGCTGTGGTCAAGATTCCTTTCATCGACGAGACGAGACTGTTGAATGCCCTGAAAACCAAGGAACAGTTCCTCAGTCCCGACGAAAAGGCGCGCAATGACTTTGGGGCTAGTTTGAAGTTCACTTATTCACCCGAAGTGAACTTTGTGTATCCTTCTTCAATGCCTGGCGTGTTCCCCGATCTCCCGAACTGCCACTGTATCGAGAATCTCTTCGATCTTCCCACTATGGATGGGTTGGAGCCATACAATGGCCTGATGGAGGGTGTACATCTAGGCGAGGCGGCCCTGGCTGGCTTCCCTAGTATCAAGACACTACCCCATGTCGGCCAGTTGGGCTTTCATGGAGTTACTGTGTTCCAGCAGGAAAGCCGCAACGAGAGTCAAGTCGTCACTCTTCTTGACCCAGGCAGCCGATCCAGCGTCGAGTTGGCCAAGGAGAAACTTGGCAAGCGAGTCCATGTCGGCTATCCGTACCTGCAGGAAGCGCTCGTCATTCGTGTATCGGATGAGCTCTTCGACTACATCCTTCCACCAGGCGAGCAACACGTTGTTCAAATTCCACACACTCCTCAGCAAATCGAGCAGTTCAAGAAGAAGGCGGACCGGATTGAAAGTCATTACAGCAAGCGTCTTGGTATGATCATTGGGAGTGTGGAGGCTTTAGTCCACATCCAGCCCTTGAAGGGCATGATCAAGACCGATGAAGGTGCCATTATCAAGGAGTTTGCCGACATTCCCGGCCAAGAGACCGACTATGCCCTTCAGATTGTTGTCGATGAGGTTGTTAACCCCGATGAACGCTTCATTGAGAGGGAGGCTCTGCCTATCGAAGAAGAGTTCCCCGAAAACTCTCGCGCGTTTTTCCTGGGTGACTTCAACTATGGTCGACCTGTCCATGTCAGTGGACATACCGACGGCAAAGTGAACGGTTTTATCGCAGCTGTGAAGGACCGCGAACCCGAGTTCGGAAAGGCCCGTGTTAGGCAAGCTGAACAACTCTGTCCTTACATGCCCTCTTACGCTGTTGCTCGCAATCTCAACCTCAACCCGCTGGTGCTGGCCAAGATTACCTCTTCATTCTCCGTTGATGTTGACGGCACGCGAGTGAACCTGGGCCTGAACCTCAAATTTGAGGCTCGAAAGCAAAAGGTCCTTGGATACTCTCGCCGTGGACAATCTGGATGGGAGTTTAGCCAGAAAGCCGTGGACTTGTTGGCACAATACATGATCACCTTCCCAGAGTTTATCGCTGGAATCCAGCGTAGTCCTCAAAAGGATCGCTACGCTCCAACTGATTTCTACCCGGAGGAGATCGCCATTGCCAAGATGAAGGAGATCCGCGAGTGGCTGAAGTCAATGGAGAGCAAGAACTTTGAGAGAGTCCCTCTCGATGCTGAGCAACTGGATTCCGACATCGTCCAGTTGATTGAACAGGATGCTGACCAGCTCGGTACTCCCGAAATGCAAGCAAAGAAGGTTCGCGGCGTTCCTCGTGGCGCTCTACTTCGTCCTGCCGATGCTGAACATCGTCTGGGTAACCAGACGTTCAAGCTTGGAGACCGGGTCGTGTATTGCCAAGACTCGGGCAAAGTACCAATCGCCACCCGTGGCACGGTGGTCGGTATCACGAGAACTTCTCGTGCTCTTCTGCTTGACGTACTATTTGACGTGTCCTTTATGAGTGGCACTGCCCTTGGCGATCGCTGTTCCCCATTCCGTGGACAGACAGTGCTTGCATCATCTGTTCTCAATCTCTCGTTCCGACAGCTGATTGCCTCCTCCCGTGCTGCAACCAACCAGCAACCTAGCCAACAACCAACCCCCCTCACCGTTGGTGGTTATGGTGCCCCCTTGGGCCCCAATGGACAGGGCCAGCTGAGAAATGCTCCGGCTCCTCCGCCATTGAGAGGTTCTTTCAAGGGCGCCGTGTCTGGCCAAGGTACTCATCGTGGTGGTCATGTTGCCATGAACAATGGCCAGCCTATGGTGCTTCCGCACCGTCCTCATCCCAACAATGGTCCTCCTCGTGGTCCCCGCGGTAATGGAAACCGTGGCCGTGGTGGGTTCAGAGGTGGATATCACTCTGTCGACAACAGCGACCCCAGCGAGGGAATTATCCAAAACAACCCGAACTTCCGCCCTAGGAACATGACTCAGGTGCCCCCACCCCAGGGAATGGACCGTGGCCGTGGCCGTGGTCGCGGACGAGGACGTGGTAACGGACAGCGCGGGCGTGGACGAGGTGGTCAAGGCGGTGCTCCCACAGTGGCCAGCCAGTGACCTGACGAGAATCTTTCCTCTCCATGATAAAGAGTGACGAAGCTATGGGTTTTACCGTTTGTACATGCAATCTTTTTTGATGGCTATAGTCTGGTCGTGTGGAGTACATACGGCTGGTATTTATGCCTGGGGTCGTGAATATGAAATAAAAAATCTCAAGAAAACAAGATAGGAATTGAAATGATCCCATAGCTCAATATTCTCCTCTTCCTCGACAAATATCTTCTATTCTTCCAACGACCTACTCGAACTTCAAGGTGCAGCTAGGTAATCCCATCGACAAAAGTAGCCTCCAAAATCCCGCTGCGGTACATGAATTTGAAATTTCCAACTCACCTTTGCCTCTTTCGAAACAACACCCGTGTGTTAGGATTAGGGAAGATATGTTCCCCAATCCCAATGTTTGCCGGCCTCCATCCAACCCGATCACCCTCAAATTTAAACTCGTAGTCCAGAATAATCCGGCTCATGATTGCCTTGATCGTACTTGCAGCGAAAAATCGACCCGGGCAAGCTTGACGCCCGAATCCAAAGTGCATATTCGACGGGCTAATACTGATAAAGCTGGTAGTCGGAGATAGAGTCCCTGATGTGCCATTTTGCTCCTTTTTCTCCTTTTCAGCATTCCCGTTCAAAGTTATGTTTGACACTCGAAGTGCATTTCGATCTGCTGGATCCTGACACCATCGCAATCCGTCAAAAACAGCTGGGTTCGATACGAAATTTGGATCTTTGCTGATGGGACCGGAGGGGAAGCAGATGTGTACTCCCTTGGGGAGGTGTAGACCGTCCGACAATGTCAAAGGTGCTTTGACGATGCGATGCATGGACACTACATTGTGCTCGATTTAGTAAACGATACTCAAAGAAAGCAACTTAATGGGAAAGAAATCCCGCACATTCACCTGGTGGACCCCAACGCTGCGACTCGCGCAGGAAACTATCCAAGCGTTTCTGGGCGTCAAATGATGCCGTGGTAGCGTTTTCCCATCCACTGCTTAGCGTCTGCATAATCTCTTCGCGCAACGGCTCGATATACTCCGGTCTGGCGATTAAATCGTAAAGAATATGGCAAAGTGCGATAGAGCTGGTATGCACAACGGCCAAGCTCATAAGAATCAGATTATGATGTGCCAGTGCCTCGGGGTCAAGATCCTGCTCGTCCTCTGCCATATCCATTATCCACTGCAGAAAGTCGTCGGGCTTGACGTAGTTCGGGTTATTAGCAGCCTCGGCAGAGCGGCGCTCTTTGATCATGGGAATGAAGAGGTTCTTGGCGAATTGTAGCTGTTTCTTCATTTGTTGGACGGAGGGGAGAAATGGCGCAATGAAGGGTCTGATGAAGTTTGGGAATGGACGTAGTAGGAGGATGGTAATGCCCACGTTGACTGAGTAGTTACTGGCTATGTCGAGCCATTGCTCGTTGCGTCGGAGGGAGTCGGCCAGGACACGGGATGTTGCACGCGCAATCAGACTGACGAACATTTCGTGCGCTTTGATAGTGGTCCATTGGTCTTTTTTTTCATGGGATATACGTGTTAGGAAGCTCTTTTAGTATGTATGAGGGCTTTCTTCACCTTCACAGTCCGGGAGCACAGAGTCGAAGGCGTAGCGTAATTCGTCAAGTATCCAGGGTGTGATTCGAGCTGTATAGTATTAGTTGATGAGGATCATATATCTGGAATTGAGGATGCAAAAAATCTCCTACCAATGCTGGGAGTCAGGCGTTTGCGAACGGTATTTGAGGGCAAATAGCTGTTGACCTTGATATTGGTGTATTCCCCCAGCGCATTCTAACCATGTATACTCAGCTTGAAAATTGCTGGAAACAATTTTTACCCCACCGACTACAAAAAGAAAGCTACAACGATACCTCGAATTGCGCATCCAAGGAGCTGATAACTGATGGTGGAAGATGCTTTAGCTCCTCGACATACTTGATCGGCAAAACGACAATCTCTCCATCACCGGTGAGCATACGAAAGGGATCATTTTTGAACTAGTACTCAAGTCAGCACCGTGCCAGATCCGCATCTTCGTGTTACCGAACTTTCTCATAACCCCAGTATATCATCGACTTGGCCTTTTGGTAGAAGATAAACCGGTTCAAGAGGTCGGGCAGGAAAGCACTATATCTGATGATGGGGATCTGCTTGAGGCGCGCATCTGGTTTCTGGCGCAATAGATAGAGCGCCAGTAAAATCCCGAAAAGGGGCCATATCGCTGAGCCGGCCATCTGAGATACGAGGGAACAGGCAAGAGTCTGATTGGAAAGCTCCCAAGGATTTGCTGGAAAATTAAAGGTGGCTGTCTGTGTCAGGATAAATCAGTGGAGGGTTGTACAGAAGCCGTCGGATAGTATTGAGAGACGCCCTACGCTGCTTACTGAGTATCTTTCAGGGGTGAAAGAGAGAGATCAAAATCCAAAGAACAAACTAGATAGTCATTGTGGAATTGCCCTTTTTGGAACGGAACTGCACGAGTGTTTGCAGTACTTCTATTGTTCAAAGATCCTGGTAAGACCCTTATCTCTATACACACTTTTGAAGGGTTCGCCTTTTTTCCTAATATACAAACGCCAGGCGCACATGCAAAGTAGACATTACAGGGGAATCTCTCACGATACTCATTCCAGACCGACCCATGAACCTTCATCATCGTCGTCAGCTTCGACCATTTGGTCGTCAACTTCGTCGGCGTCACCATTATCCAGTGCAAGCAGGGACGTGGATGGCTTCTTATCGGCGAGCACAGGCTTAGACAGGAGGTAGTTCAGGTCATAAACGTTCTTCTCCGTGAGTCGCTTAAGGTTCTCCCGAATCTCGTCAACAGCACGCTGAACCGCGCGCAACTCGGGCGCAAAAGTCCCCGAGTTGTCCTTAAGGTAACGACCGTGGCAGCTGAATAGAGACTCGATCCACAGCAAATTGAATTCGAGATGAGGGGTCTCATCGGCCGCGTGTGCGACAAAGCGAAGCAGGCGGGGCAGATAGACAGTTGGCACGGACCGCACCACGTGCGGAATATCGGACGGAGGGATAGCTTCGTACACAGCACGTAGAAGCTTCGATTCGTTTAGACGGAAGGCCATGATAATGGCCTTGAGGAATGTGTTCTCGTCGTCAACGGTGTTGGATGCTGCAGCCGCCTTGGCGGCATCAAGAGTGGCTAGAATGGTCGCCGGAGTGATGGTAATGTCCAGATCAAATGGATCAAAGACAAAGTCTGTGTCCAGACTGTAGATGAGGAGACCCTCCGTGGAGGCCGCACAGAAAGAGCGACCACTTGGGGCGAAATCAACCGACGTCACCCGCACTTCCGGTCGGACGCTGCGCACGCCAGGATCACCACGATGCGCGCCAGGGAGGGAACGGTCGATGCGATCTTCCTTGTCCGACATCTCACCAGACTCGTCCAGGAGGCCGCGTGGTCCAGCCTCGGTAAGGTCTCGGCTGTTCAAGAACTCCTGGGTACCGTCCAGAGACGTGTTGACTGAGACCGTGAACTTCTTGATAAGCGATCCGGTCGTCACGTCGTACAAGCAGATATACTTGCTGTTGCCAGCTGCAAGGATACAGCTACCGTCGGCACTGTAGGTAATACGGTTGAAGGACTTGGTTCCCGCTGAATTGGCAGCAGTGCGCCTATCGGATAGTTTCCGACCGCCAGAGACATCACGACGTCCGTCAAGGCCGCCTTCTTGAATGGCTTCGAAGACGTTCCAGAAGGATAGCTGTCCATCGAGCGTAGAGGCTGCGATCTGCAAGCCATCAGGTCGGAAAGAGACGCTCAGAACGTCAGACTGGAGCTGGAGGGGTTCACTGGTCTGGGCGCGGCCGAAGATGCTCCAAACTCGGACTGTGTGATCCCAGCTACCGCTAACCAGGTGGTTACCATCACCGGCAAAGGCAAGGCTGGACACGGGGGCCTCGTGGCCGGTGAGCTGATCGAGCAATTGTCCGGTTTGGACGGACCACACGTGAATATCGAAATCGTCGAGCGAGCCGGCGCACACGACTTCGCCACTAGGGTCCACCGCCAAGGAGGAGAACGAGAGACGGGTGGGCGCAGTAAAGGTGCGGAAATTGCGATACCGGATCAAATCCCACGCGCGAATCGAACCATCCAGGGATGCAGTGAACAAGACATTACCCTTCTTAGCAAACTGACAAGCGGTCACTCCGCTCTGGTGCTCGGTGAATGTCACAATGCAGAAGCCTGATTTGACATCCCACACCTTGATCTTACCGTCGTCGGCAGTCGTAACAATCTTTTGCCCATCCGGCGAATAGCAAATTGAGTTCATGGAGTCGAGATGACCCTGCTGCTTCAAAATGTACGACTCGGACTGCCACTCCCAGACTAGCAACTGGCCGAACTTGGACGATCCAAAGGCAAGCCACTCTCCAGATTGGTTGATCGTCACCACATCAATGTTGCTCTGAGAGACACTGTGACGGAAGTTTGATTAGAAAATAAATCGGTATCCAAGTTGGTCTGTGATGCATACCTGAGAAGGTGAATTGTGTTGAACTCTGGTAGATCATAAAGCCCAAACAGGCCATTGGAGAAGCCAACAACCAACAAATTGGATTTCGCGTGGAACGCGGCGCAGTTGACTTTGGCATCGTTTTGCATGAAGAAGTTCTTTTTAGTGATCCTCCATCGAGCCGATGCAATATCCTCGCCCGTTTCGAAATCCTTCTTCGTGAGGTACTCCCAACGGAAAAGTGCACCATCCTGACTGACTGTGTAGATCTGTTGGAAGGGTTAGTCTAAATGTGACGAATAGAGATCATGCTCGTTTAGCAACTCACCAATTCCTGATTGGCATCAAACCATGCGCAGACAACTCCATATCTGTGCCCAGACAAGGTCGTGGGCTCAAACCCATCCTCGGGATCTAGACTCCATACACGCGCCGTCAAGTCCTTGGATGCAGTAAGTAGGAACCGGGAGTCACTCGACCACTCAATGTTCTGGATGTCGTCAAAGTGTCCAGCGAGGTCACGGTGTAGAACGAAGGGAGCGAACTCGATCTCGCCATTGGTTTCGGTACCGGGATTCGAGGGGGTCTGCCAGAGTTGCAGGCGTCTACCCACAGCCACGGCAAAGTGTCGCCCCGATGGAGAAAACTTGAGGGCTGACACCTTACCCTTGAAGGTAAAGTGGTGAATCGCAATGCGACGGTGGAAATTGGTCAGGATAGCTCGACCATCCTCGTCGACAGTGAGTAGAAGATTTCCTCGCGGCGTAAGGTCGAGGCGAACGATGTTCTTGCGGTGGGAAAAAGGAAGGGTATAGGAGGTGTTGCTAGAAATTCGCTGTATGAGAAATTGCGGTTCAAGGAATTGCAGTTTCATAACTGTGGACGACCTACTGCACAAGATCAAAGACCGAGACGCGATTGCCTACTGGCGAGAGCAAGCAGGTGCCATCGGGAGTAAAGAGCAGGTTGCCCTTGCGGTAGACCGTCCCCAAAAGATTGGAGAACTAGATAAAGAGTTAGCCAGCAGTCTTACAAAGTAGATAGGACCATACCGACCTTGTAGTCTGTCTTCATTTTGCCTTTGCGACAGCTCGAGACACTCCGTCAAAAATTCCTCTTTTTGCTCTGCAACGGCCCAAATCCAAAAAGATAAGCCTCGGATCAGCGATAGTCCGGTCCCGCACCAAAATAGGGATAGTGAATACGCTAGTCCCGGGTAGGCAAGGCCAGCTATACTCCAGAAAACGAAAGGAGATTCAGGGGGAAGCAAGCAACGAGCAGCTCATCGCCTCTCCCCTTTTCCTCCAGGATCTCCGACCAATCTTTCCACTCCAGCCCGGTCCATACTTGAGGGGTCTCTCGTCGCTTTCTTCCAGCCTTTACACCCTTTGATATCCCCCACCCGACCAGCACACACATCATGTCTACAACGGAGACCGCCACTCCCATTGGCATTGCCAATGTAAGACCTCACTTCCCGAATCTCCAAAAAACGCGTTTTGAGGTCATGATAGCTAACCACATGTTGTTCCTTTTAGCTCCCCAACCAGCGGTGCGTACCTTGACGGAATTGATGCTGAATTGACTTCAAGGGGTAGCTTCTAATTGACGGTATCTAGACACAAGATTGTCGCGAAGCGGGGTGCGGCTTTCACAATTATGGTGTGTCTAAGCTTGGAATGTCCCCCGATCTGAGCCTCGACACTAATGACTCTGTCTACAGGTTGCCGGAGAGTCGGGATTGGGAAAGACTACCTTCATCAACACCCTGTTCTCTACCACCATCAAAAACTATGCCGATCACAAGCGCCGCCACCAGAAGCAGGTTGACCGCACCGTTGAGATCGAGATCACCAAGGCCGAGCTGGAGGAGAAGTTCTTCAAAGGTGCGATATGCTGGACCCCCAATCAGGCGATAAGGATGGATGGGAGCTTTGTTTACATCGGACGTATTGCAATTACGGATTATTAACCCGGCTTGCTTTCCTTTCACAGTTCGCCTGACCGTTATTGATACCCCCGGCTTCGGCGACTATGTCAACAACCGCGACTCGTGGCAGCCCATTATTGAGTTCTTGGATGACCAGCACGAATCCTACATGCTCCAGGAGCAGCAGCCCCGCCGTACCGACAAGATTGACATGCGTGTGCACGCTTGCCTGTACTTCATCCGCCCCACTGGACACACCCTCAAGCCTCTCGACATTGAGGTTATGAAGCGCCTGAGCTCCCGCGTCAACCTGATCCCCGTCGTTGCCAAGGCCGACACCCTCAGCCACGCCGATCTGGCCAAGTACAAGGAGAGAGTAAGTCGGAAAGCTATTCGGGGAGTTGGGCCGGACTCAAGGAGCACCCTGGACTAACTAGACAACTAGATTCGCGCCGTTATCGAGGCCCAGGGAATTAAGATCTACACCCCACCAATCGAGGAGGACGATGAGCACGCCGCCACCCACGCCCGTAGCCTGATGGCTGCTATGCCTTTCGCCGTTATTGGTTCCGAGAAGGATGTCAAGGCCAACGACGGCCGTGTCGTCAAGGGTCGTCAATATGCTTGGGGTGTTGCCGAGGTGGAGAACGAGGACCACTGCGACTTCAAGAAGCTCCGTTCGATCTTGATTCGCACCCACATGCTGGATCTTATCCACACTACCGAGGAGTCTCACTACGAGGCTTACCGTGCCCAGCAGATGGAGACTCGCAAGTTCGGCGAGGCCCGACCCCGCAAGCTGGACAACCCCAAGTTCAAGGAGGAGGAGGAGAACCTGCGCAAGCGGTTCACCGAGCAGGTCAAGGTCGAGGAGAGCCGTTTCCGACAGTGGGAGCAGAAGCTCATCTCTGAGCGCGACCGACTCAACAAGGATCTCGAGGCTACTCACGCTGCGTACGTTTTCAATCGGTCAATTTGTGTGTTTATAATTACTAACCTCTGGTAGCATCAAATCCCTCGAGCAAGAGATCGAAGGCCTGCAGGGCTCCGGCACCCGCAGCCACGGTCGTCGCTAGAATGGTGGTTCAAAAAGGGAGTTGGCACACTTGTGTTGGCTCTCTCGTCGTTTCTTTCTCTTGAGTACCCAATGTCTTGCAATTCACGCGCTTGGGAGGGCGCACCTTCGCCTTGAAGGGCTTGTTCGTTTCGTTCTGTTATATCCATTTACCGCTGGTAGCTAGCGATGGTGTCTACATCCTTGATAATAACCCCTCCTGTATTCTGTAGCGCGGAAAATACAGAGTTAATCCTTTGGTCGAAATTTAGGTGTTTTTGATTGAATTGATTCCTTTTGAGTGTATGGAGTAAATACTTCTGTAGCTTATTCTTGTAGTTCGTCAGAGCTTCGGTCTGTAGTCATAAGTGGAGTCTCGGGCCCCATTTCGCCGAACTCCAGGCCCACGCATCATCCGCAAAGCTTCAAAACGTCTTCTTACCTGCTCTGTTACTGGTCACATTCTCTCTCCAGCGGTCATGCCCCCGAAAAGATTCCCCACGCGGCATCTACACACCCTTAGAACACACAATGGTACGCCAGGTATCCCTCAAACTGCGAGCGATCAAACACTAACTGTTCCATGTCTCGCTAGGCCCCGTCAACGCCGTTACCTTCTCTAGCTACCCCGGCACCTATGTCCTGACAGGCTCCTCAGATCGTGCGATTCACCTCTCTCGAGCTGTCCCCAGCAATGCAGAAAATTCCGCGACGCCGGTAGAAACAACCACTCCCATCCAGCGGTATGAGGCACACGGCTACTCGGTACTTGACGTAGCCGTCGCCACGGATAATGCACGCTTTGCCAGTGTCGGAGGCGATCGGCAGGTGTTCTTGTGGGATGTCGAGCAGGGAGGGACTACGAGGCGATGGACTGGCCATAACAGCAAAGTCAAGGCTGTGCAGTTTGCGGGAGAGGGTGATTCGGTCGTTGTTTCTGGTATGGCCTGTCCTAAGTCGAAGCGGATACCTGCGCGCCTCTGATAATTTGCCTTGCTAACAATTTCCCTTCCTCTGATTCAGGCAGTGCAGACACCACGATTAATCTGTGGGATACTCGATCCAACGCCAACAAGCCAATCCAGACTCTCGCTGAGGCGAGTGACACCGTCTCGTCTCTACATGTGAATATGCCTACGTACTCGATTGCCAGTGGTAGTTACGATGGGCATGTTCGGGTCTATGATGTTCGCATGGGCAAGACAACAGTTGACGTTCTGGCCCACCCTGTGACGAGTGTACGGTGCTCTGTTGATGGCAATGCGCTGCTGACGTCCACGTTGGATAGCTATATCCGAATGCTGGATCGCACAGATGGATCACTCCTCGCAGCTTTCGGCGGACCATCTAAGAAAGCTGAGGGGCCTACGCTGGGAATTCTCGATACCAAGCCACGCCATACGTATCGCAACACCGAGTTGCGAGTCCGCTCTGTCTTTGCGCAGGGTGATGCAGTGGTTCTCAGTGGAAGTGAGGCGGCTCCTAAAGGTGATGGCACTGCAACTGGTGCAGCCGTCTTCGCATGGGATATATTGAGTGGCGAAACTGTTGCGACGGTGCCAATGGGAGAGAATGTCAAGGCCGTGAGCTGCGTGGCGTGGAATGAGAAGGGCTACTGGGCAGCCGGATGTGCGGATAGTAAGTTCTATTTAATTTTACTCATGGATGTATTCCATGGTGTTGGGCGCACGCACTGACTATCGTCCCTTTTCAGGTACCGTCCGGGTATTTGGTTGAGCCAACGGCCGATCCTTCCCGCAGAACGTGGCTGCCCACGTCTCCACTCCATCTTATTCCATGAGAAATAACCTCACTTCTTACAGGGCACAGACTGGCGCATAATCTTGATTGTTGTCCCCGATACCCCGATGCTCGATCCCCTTTTGAGTTACAGGGGATCTATAAAACCCACTTCCCCTGCAAGGGGACCCAATCCATACCCCGACATTTTATTTAGCTGCGACAGCCAAACATCACCATGAAAGCCTACTCGATTGCCTTCGCAGCCTCAGTGATAGCGTCTGCTATGGCGAACGACGTCTCTGTCGTCCGTCCAAACGAGTCTTTCTTACCAAATAACGCGCTTCCCCCGTCGCATGCCACGTCCGATGGAGCCTCCATCGTCCAATTGTTCCCCAATCTTGGTCGTTCCACTACATGGAATCTTATCTCGAGGACCAAGTTTGAAGGCGACACTGGCGAACCAGAAGGTATGGCCCGTATTGGTGACGACCGATACTTCATTTCTGCCGGACAATGGACCGTCCCGACCACGAAATATCCTCAGCCGATCAACGGCACCGATCGTACCCCCGGGGCGGGTTTCGCGCATACTCTCATCTATGACGGGCAAGGCAGACTCATTGCCAATGCCACTCTGACCAAGCCGGGAGATATCGAGTATCACACTGGTGGTATTGATTACGATGGCCGTTACCTGTGGGCAACTCTGTCTCAGTACCGGCCCAATTCGACAGCGACTATCGTACAGATCGACCCGCTTACGCTCCAGAAGAAGGACATGTTCCGCACCAAGGATCATAATGGTGGAATTGTGCACGATACTATCACTGACGACCTCGTCACGCTGAACTGGGGCGGCCGCAACGCTACCACCTGGTCTCTTAGAGACTACCCGCATGGATTTACGCCATTGCCTGGATTCACCGCTCCCAAGTCTTCCGTGCCAGAACCTTCGTTCTTCGTTGATTATCAAGACTGCAAGTTTATTGGTCATCATGCCCTTCCCGATGCCATGGCCGTCCGTGTCGGTGGTCAAGGGGGCAAGAGACCGATCATGTTCTGTGGTGGTGTAGCTACCATTGGGACATCATTCAACCTGGGCGGCATTGCTCTGGTTGATCTCGAGACGATGCTGCCTCTGTGGGAAGTTCCAATTGCGATGAAGAGTGATCTCGGGGTGTCCGTGACACAGAACCCAATCGATATTGCGGTTGTGGATGGAAAGCTGAGGATTTACTGTCTTCCTGATCAGCATAACTCGACCCTCTATGTTTACGAGGCGGCTTGAATATTGGAAAGAGGGTGGTGGAACAGCTCGTATTAGTGCAAAGTGAATTCATTCCAGTAATCAATTCATTTCTAGAGATCTGTTGTATTAAAACGTAGCCATCAGAAATTAGTAGATGGGTTGAGCCATATTAGTCTCTTGTGCAGGTTCTCCTAGATTTAACCAAGAAAACAACATGAACGAGGATTATCATTAACTTCCTCCCTAAAATCAGTAACCCCCGCGCTTGGCCTAGCGGTCAAGGCCTGGAATTTGCCAGCCTGATTCGCGTAATTCGAGGAAACGAGTACTCGTAGGTCGACGCGGGGGGTCCTTCTCCTTCCTTTTTATGCCGCGGACTTTTATATTACTCGACCCACAACAGTATTCTACACTTGTTATGGTTTATTTTTATATCATTCTAATAAGGAAAATTAAGAGGATAGATTAGTATTCTTTAACTAGATTTTAAACGTGGTGGTGGTTGGATGGGTTGGGGATATGTTGAAGGTGAGCATTGATTTGAAGTCAATAATGTCGCGACTTGAGTTTGTATGGTAGACGGAGGTAGACGGTTCGATTCATGGAGATGGAGATTCTTTTATTTTGAAAACTTATCCAGGAATTTATCAACAGCAACGCCCTAAATCAACGCCACGGCTTAGAGACAGAAATCAGAATCATGTACTCATACAGACATGGCCCAACATAAACATCCCTTTTTTTGTCCACCTTTCCTCTCTTTTTTGTTCATTCAAATTCACGAATGCCGAATATGCAGAGGGGCTTCACAAGGGGGGAACACACAATCTCAGTCTTCGGTTTGTTCAACATCGACGGTCTCCGTCTCCAGTCCAAGTCCCACTTCGGTCGTATCAGATACCACGTCGGCCGGTGAATCTTGTACCTTTTCCGCATCGAGGGCGTCAATGGCTCTCTGTAGTTCATCCTCGCCCACGATAATAGTACCCGCTCGCGCGGTACTCAGGAAACTAATCTCCACTGCATCGGCGGACGAATCCAAGTCCGGCTTGAGGTGGTGCGTCACCGGGGCAAGCTGGTGTTGACTCGACGGTTTCTTATCATTAAGTGCCAACTGAGTACCGAATGTATCGAACAGTTTGGGAACGGAGCCGATGACACTGCTCTGTTGGCTACTGACCTGGCTGTTGGTGTCGGCATGAGCATCCCGCGATGAATGGCTCGTCGCTTCAGCGAGTCGACCCGCCACACCACAGACAATACCCGAAGCCTCCAGCGGCAGATCACGTAGATCCAACATGATAGGAACAAGATAATCTCCCTGCGCACCGAGAAGCAGACTCGACCCATCGTCGTCATCAGTCTTCCGCGAAAACCGCGGAAGCAACCTCTTCTCCAGAAGCAACGACGCAGCCGGATCCAGCGCCGCAAGAGTCAGCGACAAAAACCGCGGTTCATCAACGAGGAGCACCTTGGCCAGCGCATCCCGCAGAATCGACATCGAGCTCTCCTGCCGATGGTACGGGTGGTGTGCGGCGCACTGGACGAGACGGAGAGTGGTGTCTACTGTGGGGGAAATCTGGCGTTTGCGGAGGTTTTCGAATGTGCGGGTTTGTAGTTCTGCGACTGTTGAGGGTGGGGGTGTCACTGGGGGACCAACTGCGTCGCTGAGTTTTCGTTCTACGGGTGGACTGAGCGGGTTTGTGAATGCTGTGTTTGCGTTTTCGAATTGGAAGCCTCGGCTTTCGAGGGTGGAGATTACGCTGGATTTGCTGCGGAGGGGGACTAGGATGTAGTCGGAGAAGTAGGTTGTGATAAAGAAGATTGAACTAGTAGAGATGTTAGTAGTTGAATTTGGTGTATGGGATGTAGATATATATCGCGGAAACGATGGTAGATATACGCACATTCCTGCCATGGCCAGTGGACTGGTCAATTCGAGAACTCGCTTGCCAGCTTCCAGCCCTTGGCCGAGAACTTGCATTGCAATGTAGTCATTGTCGCTGACATCCACACGAGACCGCAGTGAAGCATCAATCTGGCTGAGTTGGTTGATAAGAGGGTCAAAGTACTTTTCAACCAGACGTCGAGGGCAGATGACCGAGACTTCCACCGGGGTGATAGAGACGTTGAGGAATGCAGGTTCCCGGTACTCCGCGCCCGCATCAGAAATCGACTCGGAGTCATCTAGTACATCCTCTTCATCTTGGTTGCTATCTTGCAAAGGAGCGATCTCGTCAAAGATGAGTCGCAAAACTGGTTTGAAGAAATATGGATACAGTTCCAGAGGGATGTGGACCAGGACCAGTTGCTCCTCCTAGGATGTATATATATATGTTGAGCTGGGTGATACAGAGTTATATGCTGCGGGTAGGAAATGACTCACCAGGAATTGCACCTGGGCATCGATCATGGTCATAGACTGATCCATTGTTTGTGGTGTGCAGACACGTCCTTACACGTCCACGTTGGTTGAGAAAAGAACTGATGAGGAATTTGGCTGGCGATTGAAGGTAATAGAGAGCGAGATTGCGTGACTGTAAGATCGACATATGCAGGTCTCTAGGGAGATCACGTATGTTTAGTGAATGTGCACTTTTAGAAACCGAGGTGTCCAAAGAGGCATAGTGGTTGACGGCGACGCAGCTCTATTACGCCATTTCCGGGATGTGGTACTGTGGTACGGCGGTGCTATGGCGGTAGGATGGCGACAGAGCTGATGGTGACGGGATGGCGTCAGTGGGAATTGGGAGTAGGGGAATAAAGAAGAGAGGAGAGGGAGAGACCGTGAAGCTATGAATATGAGTCAAGTTTAGATAGGACCGAAGATGGTGCGGGTTACTACTCCTTGGCCTTTTTTTCTTTTCTTTTTCTCATAAAATCTGGGGGTGGCAGCAGACGAAAGGAGGGAAGAAGCAAAATGAATTTTAATGAACTCGAGTCACGCTCTCCTCTACGAACCTCCTCCTTTCTTTTTTTTCTACTTCCCCTCTACTTTATCATCCCCCCCCCCCCAGTTTACCAAATCTCTTCGTGCAACCGTTTTATCTCGCCAATCTCTCTAGAATCCACTTTACACTCCCCACTTGGCTTCTTTTTCTAAGTTGCTTATCGCAGGCCCCGCGCTAGGCGCTGTTCCCGGGCCCGCACGGACTTCATGTCGTGCATTTGGTACCTGAACACTTGAACACCTGAACATCGGAGACTGTGCACTGCGGGGAACCCCTGCTGAGGATTGCATCACAGGTCTCCCTCAGTGAGGAGCATCATTTCGAGCCAAGAGCTCCCTCGTCATACCCAATGAGATGCCTCTGGGAATTTCCAGGCCTCCACCGCGTTGTCTGCCCACGATCGACCGGGCCAGTTCTGTGCTTCCCACGAGGGCAATGGCCGGTTACAGTAACCACCTCCTATCGTCCTATCATACGTGGTTTAACTGCCCGGTCAAAAGGTTGTCGGGCATCAGGCCACCCCACTTTCAGCTCTTGAGAGAACGGCTGCCCATCACTCGGAAATCTTAACGGTCCCTCGGCCAAATGGTGATCCTCCGATAAGAGCCAGTGCCCGTACATCGCCGCTCAGAGTGGACCCTTTGGCTACGTGGATCATGGATGGGTTGCTGGTCCCCTCCTAACCCACCAAATCCCGCCGATGCCACATGAATTTATGTCATCGTCGAGGACAACCTCAAGGATCATGGGTTGTTGCTACAATGTACATCCCAGTTGGCGAGACCTTCTGGGATACAGTAATATGCCTGACATAGTTCAGCCAGCCATGAACTCCACAATGATGGCAAAAGCCTGGTTTCCCCCCATTCGAATGGAACCCTGTAGAAAGTCCAATCTCCTCACCATCGGAAACTAATCATGCAGCTCATAATCAACCACATTCAACGTAATACCCTACTCAATTCTCGACAGTCCGCTTTCTGTTTACCCTTAACCGACCCCGTCGGCCCGGTATGCGCCCCTTGCGTGAAAGTCGAGATTCGAGGCCGAGTCGGGAGATTCATCGACATGCCAGCCCCCGAGAATGCTTCGGTACACAACAAACCCTTCGCATAGGCGGCACCAGAAGGACACGCTGCCTGTGAGGTTACCTTTGTTTTCATGTTCCTTGAATGACAGCAGTGCATTTGGCATAGCGGGCACCATGGCTTCTAATATTCAGGGACCACCTAACATTGCTCCCTAGCGCAGATCGTTGTCATGTTTGGTAATAAAATAGGGCCTTCCCCTGCTCAATGATGTTGGGATTCTTCGAACAATATCGCAGTGGACGACCTGCGCCGACCTTCGTTTTTTGGGTTTTGTCGACAACCTCATTCGTTTTTTGGTCATATTTAATTCTTAATTTATAATAATCTCGGCTTGTTCTAACGTTGATCCCTCGGCTGCTTCTACTCGGAGGATTTAGCTATCTATCTGGATCGGAGAAGTCGACTGTCACTCGTTCTTTAGATCAACTGCCGTCATGGCCAAGTTGAATTTTCTTCTTTTGGCTGGCTTTGCCGCCAAGCTGGCTGCTGCCAAGGATGTCTATCTCGATTGGAACGTCACTTGGGTCAATGCCTCCCCGGATGGCTATGAGCGGCCCGTCATTGGTATCAACAACCAGTGGCCCTGCCCCCAGGTGGATGTCGAGCTTGGTGACCGAGTCATTGTCGATGTCTACAATGGACTGGGAAACCAGTCGACGGGTATTCACTGGCACGGTTTCCACCAATACCATGCCGGTGTCATGGATGGCTCCAGCTCAGTGACTCAATGTCCTATCGCCCCGGGCCAGCACATGCAGTATAGTTTCGATGTTAGTAGCCCTGCTGGAAAACAAAGCCAGTGATGCGCTTGCTAACTTAGTGGGAATAGGTTAACCAAACTGGAACTTACTGGTATCACTCGCACAACATGGGCCAGTACCCGGATGGATTCCGTGGTGCATTCATTGTTCACGACCCTAATCCCCCATTCTACTACGATGACGAGTTCACCATTACTCTTAGCGATTGGTACCACCGTGAAATGGCCGATCTGCTCCACGAGTATCAATCGCAGGAGAACTTGGAAGCCTTTGCTGGCAACGAGCCCGTCCCGAACTCGGCTCTGATCAACGATTCCACCAAGACCAAGATCAAGGTGGAGCCCAACAAGACTTATCTTGTTCACATCGTCTGTGTTGGCAACTGGCCCGGTCACACCTGGGTTCTGGATGGTCACGAGATGACCGTCGTCGAAGTTGATGGCGTGTACATTGAGCCCTATGTTACGGGCAGCAAGATGCTTCGTGTTGCTCCTGGTCAGCGCACGAGTGTGCTCATTCACACGAAGCCTGATATCAGCAAGAACTTTGCTATCTGGGATACAATGGATATCAACATGATGTTCATCTACGAGAACCGCACAATTCCTGCCAACTACAACCCCAACGTCACTGCTTGGCTGGTCTATGACGAGGCAAAGCCGCTGCCTCCCCCTCCCGTTCTGCACGAGTTTGACTTTGCGGACGACGTTGAATTTGTCCCACTCGATAAGGAGCCTCTGTTACAGCCAGTCAATAAGCAGATCATCATCGACACCTTCTCCACTGAGATCAACGGCATCCGGCGCTTCACCATCAACAACAAGACCTACATCCCTCAGGAAGTTCCCACTCTGTACACGGCCAACACGATTGGCAAGGACCTAGCATCCAACCCGGAAGTCTACGGCCAAGTCAATCCATTCATTGTCAACTACGGCGACGTTGTTGAGATCGTAATCAATAACCACCACAACAACCTGCACCCATGGCACTTGCACGGCCACGAGTTCCAAGTCCTGGAGCGCACCGGCGTCGATGGTGGTTACTTCACCGGTGCCTACTCGCCCAACATCTCGCAGACCCCGGTCCGCCGAGACACAATCATGGTCCAGAACCACGGTCACGCCGTACTCCGCTACCGGGCAAACAACCCCGGTGTCTGGTTGCTGCACTGCCACGTCGAATGGCACGTTGAAGCTGGTCTCGTCGCTACCATTATCGAAGCTCCCGAGACGTTCCCTGAATCTCAGGACGCTCCTCCCCAGAGTCACTACGATGTTTGTGCTGCTTATCCTGATCCTACCAATGGTAATGCTGCTGGGAAGAAGGGTCTTGATCTCTCTGGTGCGAATACAGAGGTTGAAACTGATACTCATGGAGCGATGTATAACCACGAGCCTGCCGGTGCTGCTGCTCCGTCTGCTCCTGTGGTTCCCGTTGCCTCTGCTCCTACCTCTTCTCCTACCATTGTGCCTGCACCTGCAGCCCCTACGCCTCAGAATACTCAGTCGCCTCCTCCTGCGCAGCCACCAGCGTCTACTCCTACCCATTCCCGTCCGCCTCCTCACCAGCAGCCCGCGCCTCAGGTCCCGGCTTCTGAAGCTCCCGCGCAGCCCGCTCCGGAAACTGCTCAGCAGCCAGCTCTTCAGCAGGAAGCTCCCGCTCCTCAAGCACCCGCACCCCAAGAGCCTGCGCCTCAGCCCGCTCCTCCAGTGAAGCCCGAGTATCCTGGGTACCCTGCTTCGGAGCCTGCGGAGGCTTTCCCCGTCTACCCTGTGCCTCTAGCACCACCTCCGCATGATAAGCCAATCTACGTGCATCAGCATGATAGCAAGTAAGTCAACCCAGCGTTCGATAATCAAGACACGCACTAACAAGTTCATCAGTGGTCCTTGGCCCCAGCCTCACGCTGACGAGGGCCATGCCCAAGTCGGAGAGGATCCGGATGCTGACTATGCTCACTCTGAGGATACCAAGTAAGTTTCACCCGACAATCTCTACAGTTATCTCATTTACTAATGCTTCATCAGGGGCCTGTGGCCAAACCCATACGAGAACAATGGCTACGTTCAGGAAGGTGGCCACATCGTCAAGACTTACGACAATGGGTATGTCACCCTGATCTCTCCCGATAAAGCATGTGCTAATCCTTCATTCTAGTCCCAACGACTTTCCCAAGGGATACGGGTACTGGCAACAGTATGAGCAAGAGCAGTAGACTATCTGTATTTGCATTTTCTATTTCTATTAATTTCTCCAGAGCGTGTATATAAGATTCACGCCCGTATAACGTTTTGGGTATTTAGAGTTCTAGCCTACTTAGAGCAAGCTTTGGCGTGAATTGCACTTCAAAATAAGATTTCTTTTTTCTCCAAGATCTTTTTGTCTTCATGGTATCTAGTTCTTAAAGCTCTCATGCTTGTTTAAAAAATGGGTTCAATGCTGGAAATACAATAGTCGAAGGAGACCAGGTCCATTGCCCACTCAGACGCTCATGTGCAGCTCTTTCCAACGGTAGCTACACTGGAGGTTGTAGCAGATCCTGGCCTTATCAAACATGTAGCCCAACATATGAAAAGATACCATCAGAGCCAGCTTCTGCGTCGACAACTCCGCAGGGCACTGTTTTTCCAAATGCCCCAAAGCATCCCAGCGTGCCGCATTCCAGGATCGACGGATACCCACCCGGCATTGTCCAACCACTTCAAGCAATCCAGGAACACCTCCGGATTCGGAAAGCTACACACTCACCGAACTGGTCGCCCTCGGTCGCACTAGTTTAACGCTAACTGGCTGGCTAGTCTACTGACCCATCTGTCTCCTGATTGGATCGTGTCCAAATTGAACATCGCCAGCTTCATCCGGGAAAGGCCGTCCACCTACTGTTTTCATAAACATTCAACATCACCCTCGTAATCCCATAGACCTAATCCGGGACTGTTCTGTTCTCAGCTGTTTTTATCATCACTGTAAATTATACTTAACTAGAGGCTTATCTGGCTATTGGGATAACTGGGTTCCTTTTCCTTAACCTGAACGATACTCATACACCATACAAACGTATAGATTCATTATCTACATCAATCACTATCCAAAATGACGCCTTGGATTCTTGGAGACCGATTCAACACTGTTTACCCGCACAAGGGCTCGATCAAGGCTCTGTGGGAGACTAAGTGGAAGTTCTGTGTATGTTCATATCCCCGCTCTATCATCAACCAGGATCAACGTCTATATCCCAGCAGACAGAAGACAAAGGTACTAATCTTACTCACAACCATTAGTGCCAGAAATCAATCTACCCATTCCACGATGGCTCCATCGAAGACTTTGAGCCAATCTTCGAGAAACTAATCGCTGTAAGGCCCAATATCAATCCACATCCTCGTCTCCCAGCCCTAACACCCTCTAGGAAAACATCAACGACGCCTTCTCAGACGCCTACACAAACGCCTTCCTCCCCATCGCCGAATCCCTCGAAAAACAAGCCACCGAAGCCCTAAACTACGGCCACCCAGACCGCGCCTCAGACCTCTACCGCCGCGCCGCCGTAGTCCTCCGCATCTCCCGCTTCCCCTACGTCAGCCACACCAGCCGTCCAGAGTCATCTCTCAAACGACTCGCCTTCGACCGCCAGAAGAAGGTCTACCTCGCCGCAGCTTCCCTGTGGAAACCACCCCTCAAGGAAGAAGTCATCCCGCACAAGCACGCTGCCAGCAACGATGGATCCAGTATCCCGCTGTACATCCGGCTACCGGAGGAAGCGTCTGCGTCGAATCGCGTCCCCGTCGTCCTGATCATGACCGGTCTGGACGGGTATAGACCTGATAATAGCCAGCGGACGCACGAGATTCTTGCGCGGGGCTGGGCAACTGTTATCGTTGAGATTCCCGGTACGGCGGATTGTCCTGCGGACGCTGCGGATCCGGACTCGCCGGATCGGTTGTGGGATAGTGTGTTGGATTATATGGCGACGATGCCGGAGCTTGATATGAGCCATGTTGCCGTTTGGGGACTGAGTGCTGGTGGCTTTTATGCTATCCGTGCGGCTTGTACGCATCGGCAGCGGTTGGTGGGTTGTGTGGCGCATGGGCCTGGATCGCATCATTTCTTGGGGAAGGAGTGGTTGAGTCGGGTTAATGATCATGAGTATCCGTTTACGTGAGTATTTTTCTGAGTTCCTGGGGAGGAGGGATGAAAGGAGTGAAGTGGACTGGACTGATATTCGTGTTTGATGTAGAATCACCGACTGCTGGGCTGAGAAGTATGGGTACTCCAGTACCAAGGAGTTTGAGGAGAATGCTCAGAAGAAGTTCTCCCTTGTCGAGACTGGTGTCATGGACCAGCCTAACTGTCGACTGCTTCTGCTGAATGTAAGTTTGCTGTCTTATTCTTGTTAGGGGTTGATATTGATGTTTCGTTAGGGCGTTGACGACGGCGTCGTGCCTATTGAGGACTCGCTGATCCTCTTCAACCATGGCGGCCCCAAGGAAGGACGGTTCTTCGAGGGTATGGTCCATATGGGATACCCCCATAGTCTGCCAGTTGCATACAAGTGGCTGGAGGATGTACTGTCGCCGAACAGAACCGAGGTGAAGAATTAGATGAAGACATCAACTCAGAGGGCAGGAATGCCTTTGCACTACAACTTGTCGTTAATCCAGACTGAAATACACTTTTTCCTACACTGTTCAAGACTTACTACATGCCAGTAAATTAGCCGTCAAATATGAGTTACTATATCATTGATCGCAGATGTAAAGGTACATTCGTGACATTTTATCGAAATCAACACCTTGTTGAATCGAAGTTTTGGTGTAGAAGCAAACGGAATGGTGGATATTGATTGCACTGCCAGAACGCCCGCAATGCACAGAGAGAAACCTTAACCCGGGGACATACCCCAAAACAACATATTATACTGCACAGAGATAGACCCTTTTCGCTTAATCGTCATCAACGCGAGCCCGCTTTGAGCCTCGGTCTTCGCTTTCGGCCTCTTGGATACCATAGCGCTTCTGGCCAGAAGTCACATCGGCAATCATGCTGTCGATACCAAAGGGATCGGCAGTGTCCTTTTCGAACTGAACTGGTCCTTGTCGTTCCTGTAAGATGAAAAAACGGAATTAGCATAAGCAACACCATGGTCTCTATCAGAATATAACATACCTCAGCGTCAGCAGCACCCTTGAAGCCCTCCTTAGCTCGTCCAAGAACCTCAAAGCGATTGGTCTTCTGAAGCTTGCCCATCTCAGCCTCGCCGCCCTCCTCGTCATCGGCATCAAGCTGAGCACGGGGACGGTAAATGCTGTTAATGGCGTCCTGCGCAGCAAACAGCGGCTTATCGTAGGGGTTATCCTCATTGAAACCAGCGTTCATACCGCTGGTCTGGTTAAACAGTCGCGAATCCCACATAGACTCAGAGCTCTGAGTAGGCTTCGCGAGACCCAAAGCAACCTTCTCGGAAATATCACGGTTCTGCTCGCGAGCCATAGCCTGGATGCGGCGTTCCGTACCCATGCGAGACTGGCGTAGTTGGCGCTCATTTTCTTGTCGTCGCTCGCGACGCTGTTGCTCACGCTCCCGGGCTTCTTCATCCTCGCTTGGGCTACCGGACCTTGAGGAGTAAGGGGAGGCGCTGCGGCTGGCACTGCGAGAGCGAGAACGGGCCACAGAGTCGCGACGACTGGGACCGGCACGTGCCTCGCGAGCCTTTTGGGCGAGTTGACGGAGGTGCTCCTCCTTCTGAGCCTTCTCCTTTTCGGCCAACTTCTGTTGCATCTGAGCTCGGAGCTGCACCTCCTCACGGGCGTGACGATCGGCTGTGAACAATGCTTCGGCAAACTGGGCGAACTTGTCGTTGATAGAGACATCCTGCAACCCACGACCATCCGCAGCCAAACGCTTGTCCAAGGGGACGGTATAACCCTTGGGGTTCTTCCAGTTCGATACGGGCGGAGGAATCTTCCAAGCTTCTTGATCCTCAGCGGTAAGCTTCCGTGGCGGCGAGTGCATAACGGGGGGCGGGGGCGATGGCGGTCCACGAGGAATCTTCTTGTGCTTGAACTTGGGCGGCTCCATAGGATCTTGCTGGCGCTCGACGATCTTCATAATACGGTCGTTCTTCTTCCCATTATCTCCCATCTGGTTCGCTGGCGTATATCGGACAAAAGTCGGCTCTGCTCGTCGGCCACCCCGGACGTTCTTGGGCTTCTGAGCTTGCACAGCTCCTTCCACCAAGCTGGCAAGTGCATTCTTGGTCTTTTCCATCTGAGCCTGAACTTCCTCCTCGGATGGCCTGTCAAGGGAGATTTCTCCCATATCCACCCGCTGTCGGAGCGGGATCAAATCCTTGAACGAGGCATGGACAATGCGGTTATCGCCGTGGCCACGGCGCGCAATTGCATCATACTTGACTTTGCCCTCGGCATCAACCTGTACAGCGAGCGCGTTTGATGTAGAGGATGTCCCCTTCCGTCCCATATCAAGGGGATACTGTGCGACTAGAATCTCGGGGAACGCGCCGCCGTCACCAAAATCTTCGGGGGCGCGTGGTCGCCATCCTGCCCGGTTTCCGTAGGGGGGAGGTCCGGTTCTCTGGTGAAAGAGGGGTTCAATCAGTATCTGTGTTAAAGTAGCAAGTAAGAATAAATAGTAAGCTCACCCGTAAGACTACTTGCGTTTCATCAAGCTGGTCGGCGCCCACCACACGCGGACCACGAGGTTGCGCATGCTGTGGCAACTCCTCCTCCTCGCCGGTGTACTTGGGCTTGGGGAGAGACTTGAAAAGTCCCGACGCAATAGATGCCATGGTGAGACTTGTTCTCTTATCAGAGAGTTGCCAAGTCAAAAGTGGTGAATGAGAGGTGGCTGTCGAGATGCGCCTAGCTTTTGCGGATTTGCGCAGGTGGTCTGCTTGGAATGCTCCACGCCAAGACTTTCTATCAAACCTAGTCACGTGAGTGTATCTATGAAGTCAATCCTTAGGACAGGGAAGGAGTTGTGATTAGATGGTAATATCTTACGTGTTAGGCTCTCTTAAATTACTCTGCTTAGGGTTTTATTTGACAAAAATCGAACAGAAACTAGCTTGAAGGTAATCCTTATATTCTCACACGCCAAATATGCAACTGAACACAGGAGATCATCGTATAGCGAACGTCTATCGATAGCAAAAAATGCACTAATATTACAGGAAGAGGGAGATATGGGGCATTATATTCGGTGAGAGCTTCAAGGCTACTAAGTAGCCAGCGGATTGAACTGTTCGGATTCAGGACAGACATGGGCTCGCTGAGGCAAGATAACACCCTCTTTGTCGCCAATGTCCACAAAGTGAGACCGGTTTTGGAAAGTGTACCAGATCTTCAACCGCTTCTTCAGTAGCGGTGCTGGGTCATGGAATCCGATTATTTGATGCTAAGTAGAGATCGCGTCAGTATACGTTAAGACAACATATTAAGAGTTTACTTACTTTGACGGTCTTCGCACCGATCACCAGCTGACCCCGGTCGACGAGGTTAGCTACGGGGAAGATTACATCGGTCGTGCGAGGCTCTTCAAATCCAGGCTTGGGTTTGCGATCCGCCGGTGGCCAGTATCCATATTCAGCCCGGTCGATCACTAGACCATCCTGTTCATGCTCGCGCACCTGTCGCCTCCGAACTTGGTCTCCCATGAGCTGGATGGCCTGTTCACTTTCGGCGCGCTTCTGTGGAACCAGCTTCTTCAGTTGGTTGTGACGACGAGCAGCCGCCTCGCGACGTCGCTTTCTGTCGCGCGGTCGGACGTAGCCAAATTCGATTGCAAGATAGCTAGCCCATGTGAAGATGCTTGCCAAAATAGCAGCATCGTGGGTAGCCTCGTCCTTGGAGCAAAGTACGATGGGCAAGTTGAGACCCTGGCCCAGTCGGCTCCAGCCAATGGTCATCAAAATACCCTGATCAGCGAAGCCAATTCCAACACCCATCTTGGTGAATTCACCGACCCGGCGGGTCCCTTTGAGACTCCATACGAAGGAGAGATTCGGGCTGACTGTACTGGAAACCTCTAGACGTACAGCTCGGGCATCCTCCATCTTCGCCATTGGGGCATAGCCTTCGTCACTCCATTCTGACTTCAAAGGATCGTCAGCCGGCGTCCCTGAGAACAGGTTTCGTGAATATGTTAGACCCAGACCACCTCCCCCGGGAGAAACTTGAACAAAAGTCTGCCAAGACTCGGCGGCACGATCAGTCATCTGCTTCTTCTGGAGGTGTCGGCGCAATTCTGCCTCTTCAGTCTCTGCATCATCCTCATCCATGGAAACGACGTTTAGTGGCTGTTTTGGCAGGGAGATCAGGCCGACTTGGAGACTGCTGAGATCGCCAGCAGAGGCATACATGTCCTCCACTGTCATCCCACGGAAAAAGAAGTTGTCAAGTAGGAAATCTGGATAGTACCAGAGACCACTTGACCAAGCACAGAAGGCAAGCTTCCTTGACGCAACTTCCTTGGTGACATGCACTTCTAAGGAAGGTGGGGACTCCAACAGGGAGCGCATAAAGGTGGTTTTCGTAGTAACCTGGAAAGGCTTGATGCCAGGAATCGGCTGGAAGGCCCGGGCAACGGTTGTCCTCAAAATTGGAACAGGTAAAACATTGGCTTCTACAAGGACAGTTGAATCCCTCAAAGTTGAAAATAGCTGGTTATTCCATATACCTTTGGTGCCGATCAACTCGCTGACATTGGGTGTCAAGGTGGCGCCCAGACTTATATTATTGGCAATCAAAACTGGAGGCAAGGGAATCTAGAATGGATTAGCATGCAGGTCCAATGTTTGAAAAGGCAAGCTGAGACATACTTGCATCTCTTCCTCCGTGCCATCCTCGAATCGAGCCTTTGCCGGTTGCACGCGATGAACAATGTTGCCGGCGATTCCTGCACTGAATGTCACATGCACAGGATCTTCTACTTCCTCCTCCTCTTCTTCTTCCTCCGCCGTGCTTTCGTCTGGCTTTTCCTTCTTTTGGAGCGGCACTTCCTCTTCTTTTACCTTCTTCCCAAATGTCGGTAAGTTTAGAGGAGTCTGAAATGAGTACTTGGCAGCGTAAGACACCGGAACAACCGTATCCGGGATCTGGATAGTCACATCATCATCCTCGTCCACACGAATAGTCGAAGACGCATTGATTCCGAGGGTGATGGAGCCCTAAACATTTCATGAAGCAGATCAGCAGGCGACCCTAGCTGATTATATCGAGGCACCGCTGCCTGTAGCACCTACCCGACTGTCGACCATTTCTTGTACTGCTTTGCGTTCGCGCCTCTTCATAGTCTTTGTGAACCAGCGACGAAATTGCTGCGGCGTCATGGCCTTGACGCCCACTTGCTGCCTCTCGGCGTCCCCTCCCACGCCCATTGCACCACCATGACCCCATTCTTTAGCCACGCCTTCAGCTCCCAGTAAATCATATACCACGCGCTTCTTGGGATCAATCAGGGTATCATATGCAGTTTGGATGCGCTTGAAATGCTGCTCGGCAGATTGCTGTAAATGCGACGGTTGCTTGTCCGGGTGGAACATCAAGGTCAGGTTGCGGTATGCGGATCGAATTTCGGTGTCGGTAGGAGGAGGTTTCTGTGCAAGACCCAGTAGGGAATAGTAGTCGAGCTGGTCGGGGTACTCGGTGGCCGTGCCAAACTCGCCGTCGAGTCCATCGTCATCCTCCAGGTGAGCACCGAAGGCCCGGGCCGCGGCCGCGGCCGCAGTCGATTCAGCAGACTCGGACATGGTGGCTAGCAGGATGGTGGATCTAGCGATCTAAAAGCGACGAGAGCCCATGGCCTTGAGCCCGAACGCGACGAGCAGTGGAGGTTGTCCAAAGCAGAAAGCTGGGGTGAGTATCGGAGAAACTTTCCTTGAGCTCCGTTGGCTCCGCTCTGAAGTCAGGCCCCGCCGGAAGGGATAACTCTTGCTACTAATATGAGCCTGCGAGGGCTCAACCCATTTTAAAGCGGGACTTTCTCGAACCAAGAAAGTCATTTGTAACCTCTTAAGAGGGGTCTGTATTGATTAAGCGCTGTGATGTGTATTCATCAAGCAAATACTTTTACGGAGGGCCAAATCAGCGCCAAGTCTTCAGCACCTGCAGAAACGCGGGGCATCAACAGTCGAGTCTTCAACAAAGAATATGCTTGTGAAAGACCAGCTGTCATGTTCACGAGTCGGATCAATCCGGAATTGAAAGAGATGAACTAAAAGCTTAATAGACTCGGTTATCCCAGAAGATAATTGGACTCTTTAGAACGAGTTGGACAAGGTCCATTAATAAAGTAGCTGAAACAAAACGGTAGTAGTCCCTCGAGACAAAGAACAAAGAAAAAAGAAAAAAGAACAAAGAACAAAGACATTCAAGTCAGATCCACATTTTAATTAGGGCGAGGCCGTTTCCACCCCCGAGATTTTCCCTGAGATATCTAAATCGTGCTAGACCCGCTATGAGTACAAGACTACCACAGTAGTAGTATCTTTCGGAATGTCTTTTGAGACATCCTTCGAAATAGCCATCATAATATCTCTCGATCTAAGTAGGTAACTAACTACAGTAGTTACCATCTTCTTTCAAAATATGACTAATAAGATGTTTTTGATGTTCAGTCAAGATTGAAATTCCCCACTACATAGTAGTGTGCCAGTGAGATGGTGGTGGCTACCAGATAGAATACTATGTATTATTATGCCAGGTAGCAGCCTCGCTCTTAATAAACGCGAAGTTCCCCTTGCGAGACAATGCGGGTCTCGTAACTTTGCGGAGAAGATCAACGGAGCCGAAAGTCAGCCCTTTAGGGGGGTAAATTCACGCCCAAACGTTCCAGGCAGCCACCACAACTCTCCTTCCTCAAACCCTCACCATGGAGAATCCCAGAAGCCCTGCTGCCATGGGCAAAGTACCTCCCATATTCAGAATCAACCTTTCACTTCCTCCATCAGAACGCTATGTCGAACTGGCGCGTATCTACCGCGACAAGATGCGTGCCCTACGCGGCATGTTCGATGAATTGGTTCAAGGCATTTCGCCCAGGATCCCGCTGAAGGGGGTGCATTGGCTGGCCAAACTCTCTTTGCGCAAACTATACACAGATGAAGAAACAGAGGAGCTTCGTGGAATCAGTCGCACAACCGATATTGACATGTACCTCCTCATCAGCCTGAACACGGTACTGGACCTTCTCATGGGTTGTACCAGTGGTGGTGTGCGCAGCAAAAGCGGATTGCAGACCAAAATGCTTCATTTCCGGACCCTTGATTGGGGTATGGATCCGTTGCGTGATTTGATCGTGCAGCTGGAGTTTGTACGAGACGATGACCCGGAGAAAGTGCTTGCCACGAGCATCACGTACGTGGGTTATATCGGCGTGCTTACGGGAGTGAGGAAAGATCTGAGCATGTCACTTAATTTCCGGCCTGTACATGATGAATCTCGGAACGTGGCTTTTTACACGAATCATCTGCTCGTTCTGCTTGGAATCCGGCAATCTATCTCGTCACTACTGCGGGAGTGTCTTTTCTCGTTTCCCGACGAACCAACGCCAAAGAGAGAAGAATCTCTATCAACACTGAAGAAGATCGTTGCTCAAGTCCCCAGCATGCCGACCACGGCGGTGTACTTGATCTTCAGCGATGGAGTCACCACAGTAACCATGGAGAAAGACCACGGAACTGCCGTTGTTCGCTCCTCACCTTCATTCATCATCACCACAAACCACGACCACGAACCGGACTCAAAGACACTGAAATCTATTGCCGATGAAAAGAGGAAGAACCACGTTGGCCTATCACTCATCTCATCCGAGGCACAAGTCATGGCCGACTTCATCGAAGACAGCAACGAAAGACGCGATTGCATGCAAGCCCGATGGGATACAAAAGTGCAACAGGCTGTGCAAGCTAAAAAGGCCGCTACGAAGAAGGTCACAGAACATATCGAGAATCTTGATCAGCCACAGCGCAGTCGTTCATCACTGCGCCTGCGCAAGAAACGAGAAGAAGAAGCCGAGGAGGCTGAACGACAACGCGCCTCGATGCAGGACTCGTTGGATGGCGCGGATGTGACCGTCACTCAAAAGGAAATCATCTCCTGGCTCACAACATTCCCAGTCTCGAACGAAACCACGCACTACGCGACTATCATGGATCCGTCCAAGGGTAAAGTGGCTTGGGTACGACAATATGACCCCAGCGAATGGGAAGAAGCCTCGGAAGACGTGAGTGACTAGGGCGTGGCGTTGCCATGTAAATACAATTACGAGAGAACGGCATTGCAAATTCCAAAACTTTGTATCCAAAATCCAACCCGATCAAGTATTTTCCTCTTTCAATTCTGGTAGATAATATACAGATAACAAGCGCTCACATGGACTCGCTCAAATTGAAACAAAAAAAATAGACAAAGTAAAAATCAGGCAACAGAGAACGTAGATATTATAGTACATGGGTTAGCCAAAATTTTGAATATCCCACCGGTACAGAAGAAGAAGCAGTCGAACCGCCATCGTTGACATCGATACCATCAGATCGTAAAAAGAACAATCAAGAATCGTAAGAAAATTTGTGTAAAGATGATCCATGCCTGTATCAGCAACAGGTGTTGAGAAAATGTGGAAGGTAGAATCAAAAAATGAAAATGCACAATGGACATGACGCGGATGATGTCTATGTTCAGAAAGAAGGATGCCACCCATTTTTGTAAGAAAAGATTTTTCATGTCAAGAGATGGGAATAGAGTCATGGAGTTGAAGAGATTGATACGTCAGGGAATCATGCCAGTGCAGGTCAGTTCAGCGTCGAATCATTTCAGCGATCTTTCAGCCATGCGATATTCTTGTCCGATAACTGAGTCTCGTCGGCTCTCATAGCACGCAGGAGGATATCCCGCGGCAGAGATCCATAGAAGAGGTCTTCGTCGAGTGTACCCGGTGGCTGAGGAGGAGTTCCAGCAGGCACCTTGGTCTCAAGTGAAGGACCATCCACAGCAAAACAAATCTTGTCCTGAGTGCGAGATCGGTCATTGGCGCAGTCTATCATCGAGTCGAGTCGTTTCTTGATGAGGTTTGCCAGACTAATAGAGCTATCCCAGTGGCGACCCAACAGTTGAACCATGCCGTATGCGCCATTGATGAACGAGATACAGTCTGGCAATTCGGCGACCATTCCTCCTGCACTGAGCACATCCACCGCAGAAAGGACCACATACCCCAAGAAGGGACTGAGGAGTGTCACGTTGGGCGAGGAGGGATCAGCTGTAGAGCGAGAAGCCTGGACGTCATGCGCGTATTGGACAACGGCCAGTGCGATTCTGAGCGTTTCAACCGCGTGGTATCGGGCGCGATGGATATACTGGATCAGCACTTCGGAGCGTAAACTTTGATATCGTGCGTGTCTGTACAACTTCATCAACGTGGCGTGGTAGAACATGTGAATTGCAACAAAGGCATCCATTTTTTTGACTTGACTAGCACGATCCATATTGGCAACGGAGAAGGAGAGGTGTCCGGGTAGTCGGTTGATCCAGTCGTCTGTCCGCCGAATAATGTTCGTATGGAATTCCTCGGCAAGTTGTGCCCAGCTTTCAGACGGCGTATGAGAGAGGCGGAAAGCCTGGAAGGAGACGTCGCCCCAGATAGAAAGAATCTGGATCACAAAGGCCATGGGGCTGAGGGTAGACCGGTCGTCATCAGTGGAGACTGAAGCTTGGTTGAGGACGGTTTGGAAGTACGGTGCAGTCGCATATTGCTGGACCTCGTAGATGTCTTCTCGGCAGGGGAGTCGAATCAAAGCCGAATTCGAAGAGATAGACGTTGACGTGGCAGAGAAGAAAGATGAAACTCGCTGTGGCATCACGTTAGCTTGATCAGTTTGAAGGCTTATGCAACGACCATCCATTCCACTTACATCCAAGATGAAAGCGACCCAGAACGTCCGGCGACGACACTCGATCAGTGCCTGCGGGTGTAACCCGTATTCGCACGCCTGGTTCTGGCTCACAATCACACCTCCAGACTCGATATTGAACCTCAGTCCACAAACAGCCCGTCCGGCAGCTCCAATCGAGTCCCAAGATCCCGCCAACAAACCAGCAGCGTAGTACAACAAACTCATCATGAGGTGACTCTGAGCAAGCTGAAGAGACAGATTATGCTGGCTCCTCTGAATAGCAAACCGAGCAATGCGAGAATAACGCCTCAATGCAGTAACTCTGTCAGGTCGATCGGAGAAAATAGAACCCAGTGCCATCATTGAATAAAGCATCATTTTATCCTCAGGGGACTTCGTGTCGCAGGACTTTAGCCACAAAATGAATCGAGCATGGGGGAAAATGTGATATAATCCATCATTAACGTTTGAGAAATAGGTTTCAACGTAATGCAAAGTCATTTCCGGGTCGTGGTCAAATGGGTCGACATTCCAAGAGCCCACCAGGGGGTCTTCGGAGTTGGTATCCCTCAATTCACCCAAAATCTCCGAGTACTCGGGGAGTCGATTGGCCTCGGTATATTCGACCTGTCGAACAAGGCTCTCGTCTCCAAAAGGGCGAGGGATTCGGTAGGCTCGCTGTCGGTATGCCCGATCCGCATCTACCATGGGGTCGTGGGCACTTTCCATGCCGGAGGGTGTCAACCCCGTGCTCTCTGACATTGGTGAATGACCACTTCCCGGAAGTGATGCTCCACTATCAGAAGCACGAGCGATGTTATAGATCGAGCCAGAGACGTCTGCATTTAGATTTGTTGGCCCGGCTGAGTGTGAGCCTCTCGAGCGATTCCCACGGAGCCTTTTAGAAGAAACTGTTAGCAGAAATCCAAAAGTGATAAATGCATTGTTATAACCCAATAATCTGCCTCCCAATTGACGTATAACTTACGCGTTCTCAAACCTGCATTCCCTTCCAGACTTTTGACACTGGTCACATTTGGGGCGGTTCGGTTGGCATTTGATCTTCTTTTCGCGGCAGGTCAAACAGGCTTGTGCGAGTCGTTTCCGAGGCTTTCCTGCCTTTGTGACGCCCCAATTCGGATTGACGGGTTTTCCATCGACGATCTTCGGCTGATGGGATCCATCGGCGTAGACAAAGCAAAGCTCGCCATCGATGTATCGTTCGTCAACCACATGTGGAAGTACTGCAGGCGGATTTGGCCGGCTTATGCTTTCGGGTGAGGAAATTTCTCCTGCAGTGGCTGGATCGTGGTATGAAGCACCGTGAGGGGGTAATTGTGCATGTGACATTGTAGCTGTGGAGGGATCGCTTCGTGTTGTTGCGTGATGATGATTCATATCTCGAGGGCTGGGCATAGCCACGTGGGAGAGTGGTGGAAGGCTCGCAGATTGAGAATGTGGCAAAGACTCCGATCGACGTCTATCTTGCCCACCAATTGGCGGAGGGGGAAGTGTTGAATCATGATGGCGATAGGGGTATGATAATTCGCGGTGTGGATCAATTGGTGTGGGAGTCCCATAGGTTTGTGGATGATATGGTGGCGGTGAACTTGGGCCAGAGGCCGGCGTCAATAGCGACCTCACAGACGGAAGCTGTTCGGTTCTTTGCCGCTGAGGCTCTGCTGAAGCTGTACCCCTGGCTGGTTCTGCTTTATCGGCCGACTGACGTCGTAGAAAAGGGTCTGATCCAAATTGCAAATTTGCTGGAGTTCGCGGAGGAGGAAGCTGGTATGGGTTATCCCCGGGTTCTGATTGATTAGCTCGACACTCCGGGGGCTGCTCCGACGACGGACCACCTGCGATGGGTAACATACGACCGAATGGTCCAACGTAGTAGCCTGACATGGCCGGCGTTGGGATCGAGCGTTGAGGGGTGTGAGTTGGTTTCTCGAAGAATAGCATTTACATGACACTTCCACTGAGCATCAAATAAGTTTTTTCTCTGCTTCTGCCCAGCACACCGTAGTACCTTTCAAGGCCTTGTGTCGTCGAATAAAGAATTTTGGAAATGCTGGATAGATCGAAAGGTATTGGGTGTCTGGTTGAATCGTAGGCCAAACTGCCGAATCTTCGAGTAATAACGAAATTGGATCAAGGAAAGAATCTAGGCACATACAAAACAAATTAGTTAAATCCAACTTGTTCCAGAATTCCTCTGCAATTGGTAATTCTCTTTGGCTCCAGTATACTCACCAATTGCAGGATGAAATAGCCTCCGTTACCGTCGTTGTATTAAGAGTAAGTCAATCAAGTTTGTTCCAAAGAAACCGAGAGAAAAACAACTCCTGAATAGCTATCCACCTGAAGGAAGAAGTAATGGGCGCAAGTTTAAAAGATGCAGCTGATGAAAATTGAATGAAGTTGATGTTCGTAGGGAAGAGAGTCGAGTCCTGGGCATTCCAAGTGCGCGGATTGCGCCAAGTCGCATCTGCCTCCAAATAATGGGGAACTGAACAAAGGATTAAAATAAATGAAGCAACAAAGTCGGTTCAAAAGACCAACATGTCGCTAACGGCCCTGGTCGTTCACGGTTTTTCGTGCATGTTCCGCTATAACCAGGGTGGCTGCAGGATCCCAGTGTTTTGCATAAGCTTCAAGGACGGCTCACGTTGGGGTCTAGCAAAAAGAGGGTAGGACTAGCGAGTCGCAAACAAGCATGGATCTTCCCCAAGATGTCGCGGGATTCGGGCCGAGAAGGAGTGCTCGACGACAAAGGAAGGGGGGAGAGAACTCCGTCGCGATAGAAGCAGAGAAAGTAGACAATCGCGGGCGTTCAGGGAATGAATGCACGCCGACCACCAGGTAAGCCGAAAAAGACTAACGGCCCGCTCGATTAGGACGGTCAAAGAGCGCCGAGATGATGCTTTTTCCGCATGTGCAGATAACCTAGAGCCACAGGCACAGGTAGATTAGGGACAGAAATAGATCTGTCCGGAAGGGAGAGGGTGGGTAGAAGCACTTTGGGATGTTGGCGACGATAATGAGGTCGGAAACGACCGATCCAGGAGCCGATGGTGGCACACGGCCTTGACTATACAGGGAAAAGGTAGCCTGGTCGGAAGAGTTGCCCGTCACTGGCCCGTAGGAACAAGGGATACTGGGAAAGAAAATAGCTAAAAGTAGCGCCCCCGCGGTAAATCCAATCAACTAGAGAAAAGTACTGTAGCGGATTGCCCCGCGAGACCAGCACGTTTGGACCTGAGCGGATTACTTTCTCTCTCTGGGCCTGCCCCGAACCAACGCAGGATTTCGGTGCTCTGTCTTTTGCAGAAGCACTTTGGAGGATCCTGGAAATAGGGAAACACAGAATAGGAAAAATAGGCGCTCAATGAGGTAAGAAATAGGGCCGAGACCGAGTCGAAAAGGAGGGCAAGTAGTAGGAAGTAGGATAACGGGAGTAAAGAATCCCCAAAACCAGACCGATGCGACCAAATCAACTAGTCAAAAAGGAAAGGAAAAGAAGAGGGGCCCGCAGCCTTTCGAAGCTTCACCACAAAAGGACCGACAGAGTGGCAGGATGTAAAATTTCTGGGGTGATCGGGCGTTGATAATTACCAGAGCAAAAGTACTTCGTACTCTGGGAACAACGGTTGTTGATGTTGGAGTAGCAGTTCCAACAAACAGGTGGTAGTAGTAGTAGTAATGAATAATAAATACCAAGAGCCAAAAAGACCAAAGAATCAAAAAGACAAGGAAAATGTATCCAGCTACTAACGATTCATGACAAGCTTCCAACCATACGATCGACGAGAGAGGTGGGATCGATCTATACTCTTCTGGGTTCGGTCCGCGCAGAGTTGGACAGCCCAAATCTCGAAGGACCGGAACCAAGACACATGGAAATTTCAGAAATATGAGACACTTTTTTGGCTGAGCCCCGTCTCTGCTCCGTTTGCTCGACCGAGGAGAGAGTGCCCTTTTTTTACCGGGGCTCCTTTTCCTGCAGGCGGCTCTCCCAAGCAATCAAAAATTGGAGTCCAGAAAAAAAAAAGTAAATAAAATTCCCCTCCCAAAATACCTGGAAAAAATAATAGATTATTTTTTCATTTAATGTTGGAACTAGTATGCTATCAGATATAGAATTATTCTTAGCGCCACCGTTTTTTTTTCCCTTTCCCTTCTCCCATTTATCATTCAAAAGACTATGTAGGGCCGTTCCCTTTCCCCCTCTCCAATGAGCCGATATGGCAGCTTCGCTCCCATCGGCCCGCCTCCATAGGACCATCGAAATCTCGAGGTCATATCGACCACATTCCGAGTGGATCCTTGCCCTTAGTCCGGAGTAGTAATGTATAATGATGCGCCCGTTCGTGCGCCGTTCCAGTCCGATCAGTACTTAGTACAGTACTAAGTACATTTAGTAGATTCGGCATTCGGGCACGACCAGTCTCTCTCTGAGATTTGCTCCCGATCAACAAATTATGGGGGGACACTGGCGTAATCCGTCTCGACCTTGTCAAGCGGCATTTGAATCACAATGCCGTGGTGCTTTCCACGGGTGTGGAGAGGATCTAGTATCCGAGGTTAATCCTTTTTTTTATCTTTTCGATTTTATTTTTCTAATTTTTTGGCTTTTTATTTTTTTTATCCTTCTTCATGTCTCTGCTAATCTTCTTAGTTTAAATTATGATGCTAGTTATCGAGTCTATTTACTAGAGGGGCGGAGGGGCAATAGCCACACGACTCCTACTGTACGGATACTCCGTGCTTGTACTAACCAGCGCATCATAGCCCCCCAGTTCATCCGAGTATCCATGAGTCCATGTTAGCTCCAGCCTTTTGTATCTTTATATTAATCACAAATCCTCCACCGGGATCAAGGATGTAAGCGTCTTAGTGATGCTGGTCGAAGCGCAACCCAGCCCCGGCGGCCGAATGTCCCTATGTATGCACTATTGTCCGGAGTACTACCGGAGAATTGGCGTTGTGTCTGTCTAGTTTTGTCCTTCCCGATCGGGCCATATATTTCTTCAAGTCATGAACTGCAAGTCATTCTTCAATGTACTCGCCGATAGTGAACATGCCCAGAAATGGGAGCCTAGTTCGTCAACTCTACCGGGGGCACTAAACTTACTAAACGCGTTTTACAGTTTGACCACACCCGGCACATGCAACCCAATGAACCAGAGAAACGTCTCGGGATTTGACCCTTAGATCTCCAGTAAATAATAATTCATGAAAAATCCTAGAATCAGGGGAAAATACGGGTTGTCGAAGCCCTGAAAACAGATCGATTGGTTGAAGAAATCCTGCCGGCCGGAATCTCCGACACGGATCATACTTCTAAAGTAGATTTTTTTTTCTCTCCTTTCCTTAATTTCCTCGAACGTTGTGTCTTCCGTAGTGGATGAAAATAAGACAAGAGCTTGTTTTGGACCCGGAATGATGGCCGTAAATCCCCTCCAGCAGTGGGTCGCTCGCGCCTTCGGCCGGTGGCGCGGGCGACTAGATGCCTAGTCGGGCAAATCCTCCTGGATTCCGGTGTTGGGGCCGCAGGGCTTATCTCTCTTTTGGGCGGACTCAGTACGAAGATCACTGGATCGGGTGGTGCTCCTGGTGGACTGGGTGGGCTCCGATGGGTTCTAATTTTTGCGCAGGATCCTCGGTTGAATTCTGGTCTGCCATTTTGACTTCGTTTCTCCAGCTTCAGCAGTCCATATGTTATGGAGAACATAGTTCTGGGTTTCTCGGACTCCGAATGAATGCCATGCTGAGTGGATGGAGAATCAAGAGTCTATGCCGAGATTTCTCTTCGGTCTTCTCTTCGGTTGAATCCGAATGCTGCACGGAGAAAGGATGATACTTGTCAAGACCTCGGGCGTAAGGTTTGCTCATTGTTGCTGAATATTTGGTCTTCGGACATATTATGGGTGGAGGACAAAGCTGCCCACTTTCCTCCACACAACTAATTGTGGCTCCCTTCAAAGCTCGGGCTGGAATGCCTAGGCTGGCTGGCATGTGCAGATTCTGCGTATGCAAGAGGAGAAAGAAAAGGCTCACCGTTTACAGTCATTTGGTCCTAGGCTTCGATGGTTATACTTGATCATTGTAAATTTGGTCAAAAAAGGCGTTGAACGTCTAGATGATCATCATAGATAGCGTCGTCCATTGTCAACATCTTCTTCTAAGTATTCGACTTGTCAAACTAGCACTTCTGTCAGAACACAACACGTGAAGTACATCGTGTACGGGGCGCTCATCAAGCCAAGCGCCCACAGAGCGCTGGACACGATGCAACTTCTTAATCTCGACTTTCGACTCGTCGCAAGATCGTATAAAGAGGAGCCCCGTGCAGGGACTTGTCAGCGCGATCGAGTAGGACCTCCGATGACCAGCGATGCCACAATACAGGGAACCCTGGCCCTCCCATACGAAGCTGTGGTCCAATGGGCCCGGCGTGAGACACTCCACCTTGTCCACGTCCACCAAACTTGTTACTCCAACGGCGATACAATCCGGAGTTGACCACGTATGGTGTCTCAAAAGCATGGCGATCCGATCTGCAAGCCGTCATTCGGGATCGCCGCCTATTTGGTCACAGCCCCCCTTGGTGCGTTTTCTGTTCCGGGTTACGCTGAAACTGTAAGCAGCAGGGTAGCCGAAAAGTTTGTAGTGACTACGGTATGGATAGTAGAAAAGTATAATATGGTTGTATAAACTCCATGCTACTCTGCTCACTCAAGGATATGCTGAAATCTAGAGACCCATCGGGATTTGTCGAATGTAGAAAGTGCGCTGGGCCCTTTTGATTCCGGCACTTTTCCCTTCAAAAAATCAAAACCAAACCCAACCTCTCAGCGGTCCTCCATCTGGCATTTCCACCCGAGAACTCGCAAGCGTGGCTC